TGAATTGATTCATCACACCGACTACCTAGATGATGCCGTGTAACCGTGAAGCATGCATGCATTGGACGGTGTGTCCCAATATTGCTAACCCGAGGTTCTGTGTCCCGCTCCTTACTTAGTGTAGCATTGATTCTCTGTTGAGGTGAATCTATTGTTAGTCTGATTCTCTAACTCTCTGATTTATAGTATTGTCATGTTTTATGTTATGTTAAAATCGACAGCTTAGCCCAAATTCGGTCCCTGGAAGGTCTTGGCGGGTCTGAACGGGAATGACCTCCGTTTAATGATATAGAAGACTGTCTATATTATCATGCGAGGGAATGGAAGCAATACAATATGGTACGTAGAGTAATATTGGGTAGCGACAAGGAGAGGAAGAGGATCTACGAAGATGAAGCCTAAGCGGTGGGATGAAAGGCACTAGACCAAACGGGACATCAACACTTATTAAAGGCGTTTGAATCTTACTGATTTGTACAAGGATGGCCTGAAGACATAATGAGTGGCATTTATCGTTTTTTGAACGTGCAGCAACGTCAATGGATACAATGGCAAATGGAACAGGTGGATGGAAACCGTCCGATACGCTGAACAGGTAGTGAAATTTTCATTTCCAATTTTCGACATAATCCAAGGTTGGTGGTCAAGTTGAATACATATAGCTGCAAGTGCCACCAGTCACAAGGCCATGAAAGGAATGTACTGTACCTGTTGCTTCAATTATGTCACGTCTTTTGTTCTCGAATAAGGCCATTAAGAGCATGTTGTTTTGAATGTTGATGATATACATGAAGGAAGACTCGATATTGAATTACAGACAAAAGAAATATGTGAGATGTACATGGATGCAAGCTTCTATCTCAATGGAGATGCACCTGAGAGATATCCTCCAAAGAATTTCGCGGCTCTCGTGTAAGATGCAGGCTGCTGTCTTCACTCGCGGAGTAGAACGTAACTGAGAGTTATCAGTTCACCATTATTACGGAAATTCATAAGACAAACCTCCACTCACTATGCATGTATCACGCCAGGAAACCAGCCTAGAGAAAGCAGGCATATGTTGATTAAGACGCTTGCACCACAGCCATTGTTGAGCAAGATCGCAAGGGGAGGAAGAAAGAACGCAAGAAGGATGGTGCAGCAATTCCTAGCATCAACCTGTTAGTAACGAATATTGTGGCATGCCATTTTGATTGAGTCTTCAAATTTGTGTTATGTGCTTACACTCGATCGCGGGGCTTATCTCCAGAGGGCCTGTCTGCAGGCACAGACTGTGCCACTGGGGGCTCGTATTGGGGTGGCATAGGGGTTTCTTCGTCGTGCGAATTTTTCACCATTTCGAGAAATCAGTATACTGATAGCTTTTGTGATGTTCAGTGAATAAAAAATTATAGATTTAGGAAACGGGGCGCAAATTTAACGAAGCTGGTGGAACCACTTGTGGTTCGATCGTTATGCTTGTGAAGATAATTCGCTTTTAGGTTTGTTTTAGGGACAGACTGTGGAGCATATGTGGGACTCGGGTGGCCGTACTTGTATAGACTTTTTTCCTTTCAAAGGTGGACTGTAGAGCGCACATCATCGTACTCGTAAAAGCTATTTCCTTTTCGGGGTGAGCCGATAAGCAAAATCAGCCTTAATATAGAGCTGCCTAGGGTAAAAAAACGGTGGGATTAATTCCAAGGTTGGATCGATGCACTGCCCCTGGGCTTATTAAAGCCTGTTGTAAGGGCCGCCTTTTTATTGGCGCTTGGTAACGTATGGTTATAATTTTGGGTACGTTAATAATAGGTAGGTGCCCATTTTTAGCTTATTATCGCACGCACGAGCAGCGTATATCATACCAGCTCGATTCCCACTCATCAAATTAATCTCACACTGGAGTTTTGTTGGTAGGTAATCGTCAAGGAGAGAAATGAAATCACGGTATACAACCGGTGACATGATTATCTAGTTATGATACCACAAGTCGGGTATGATCATGGACATGCATTGTTCTGCCTGATATGGCATGACTTAGCCCATCTCTGTCTATCATATAAACTCTGCTCCTCAATTTCCTCAATTGACGCCTGTTCTGGTGAAAACAATAGTCACTCTCGCGTTATTAACCACTTGACTATTTGTACTTATCGATCGGGTAAGGTAGATACAGGCCATGAGGTGAGTTTCAGGGGTAAAGGGGAATGACTAATGAGCAAGGAAGTGGATTGAGGGTTATTCTAGGCGCTGAATATGAGTGGAGTCAAGTGGGGTCACATTGAAGGCTTCAGTGGTGGACGGAATGCTCATACATACTGTATGTTTTTTTGCTTGTTTCACTGATATATGGAATGTTGAGTAGATTATCGAAGTACTATACTTACAGCAAAAGTTACATACAATGAATTGTGGTGCAGCTACACCAGGCAGGAACACTCTTCATCTAATAGAAGTTCTAATCTCCACCAACCTGGCAAAGCAGACCACTATGAATGTCGTACTCCCACATATCACTTCCAACGCCACTCCAAACAAAGAAACCCCCAGAAGGATCGTACTTTCTTTTGAGTTTCCAAAAGCTGGTCATAGTTCTCTCCATAAAAGTCCTGTTTCCACGTACTGCTGAATGCATTACCCTCATTCATGTAAGAGCCTGTTCTTGGTGCCCAATTCCTCCAAACGGGTTCCAAATTCGCCTCGTACCAGCGAGCTCCAGATGCTAGCTGCTCCACGTGAGTCGGCAGTTGCATTCAATGATGCCCCGTAAGACATGGCATGTAAGTACGCACTGCGCCATGCGGGTAGAACGCTTCCACGCATCTTCTGGGGTGTATTTGCTGGCCCAGGACCACCCTGCAAGCCGAAGAGAAGCATAGATCCTGTTCCAGACTGCGAAGTCGAGGCTTGTCGGAGATAGATAGCCAGATCTGTCATCGAAATGTCTGAAAGCTCGCGACGTCCTAGCAGACGGCTGCTCATTAGACTTGAGGAACCACAGGAAGCACTGGAAAGGAAGTTTGGCTTAGTGTATGCCCAATAGCCGTATGCTTCAGATGTCTGATTGACAACTTTCAGCACATTTTCAGAGCTGACATTTGCGAAACTGGATATCATCTTCTGGACTTTTCGATCCATCGCCTCGGTCGTTGTATTAAATCCTACCAAGCCAACTGAAGCGGCGACTCCTGGTGAACTGTGATTCAGTCCCGTCAGCGTTGTCATTGAGCTTCCGCTCATAGCAATCACCGTCCCCGTCATGCCATCATCCATGAGGTCAGGGGATCAAACTTGCGATTTTAGCAAGTGCCCCCCAGGAAATATTTTCGCTCTTCGATGAAGACTCCTGATAGAAATAAAATCCACCAGTAATCACATTTGTGGGCACGGGGTGAGTCTTCAGAACAAATTCAGTGATGACACCGAATTGGCCACCACCAGCACCACGAACAGCCCAGAAAATATCCACATTGTGTTTATGATTGGCCACAAGTCGTCGGCCGTCTGCTGTGATGACGGTGACTTGGTATACCTGGTCTGATGCAAGTCCATAGTGACTAGATAGAAGACCGTGACCTCCGTTTTGAATAAGTCCTCCGAGACCAACGGTTGCGTCTTCGCCGCCCACAACAGACCGATTCATGGCATGAACGGCGTTGTAAACAGATCCCCATGTGTTGCCGCTCCCGCAAATTACTACGTCGGCAGTTCCACTTCCGTCGGGCAGTAGCCATTTGGGTTGATGCTCGACGTGCTTGAAGTTGTGAGTCCAGATCGAAAGTGAATATGCGCCAGTAGATCTTGTTCCAGAATTAGTAAAAACCAAAGCTAGTGTAAAATTATATGGGGTGTAGTACCTGCCACTCAGATCATGTCCGGTTCCTTTAACAACAATTCTGATGTTTCTCTCCGTTGCCCATCGCAGGGCGGTAGCAACTTGTTGATCAGTTGTGGCGTTCACAATGTATTGCGGTAAAGCTCCAATGCTACATCCCCGGTCTTTCGTGTATCCCTCGGCGCCAGGGGGGCAAACAAGAGTTGTTTGTGAAAATGGAGTAGTCCACACTTTCCGGCCAAGCTGAATGGTAGGTGGCATATGGCCAATATTTGGTCACATCGGAACAATTCGTGGAAGAATTAAATGGATTGCCTTCATAGCAGGATGAGGGAGCCGGGGCAGTTTTGATCAAGGCACCTCGAATAGTTTGGTTCAAAGTTTCCCAATCCTGGATAGATGGCCATGTCGAATCGTTGGGTGTGGCTTTGCATTTGAGTTAGCAAAGGCCGTGGTCGAAAGCAAAGTGGAGCATAGTAAAATTGGTAGAAGGAGCACCATAATGCGGCTTCTGTGATAGCAGGAATGGGGCTAAGAGAGGCCAAATGATTTGAATTCAAATTGAGCCTACGGATTCTGCGGCTTTATAGCTTTGTTCATGAAATGCTTCCTTGGTTTACGCGGAAAACCATGATTTCATTGGAGGTAGTGTGGACCACAGCATGGCAAATCTTCGGTCTACTTGCACTCTCAAAAAGCTGGTCCGACTAAGTGGGCACGCAATTTCGACTAGATTTGCACCGTTTATTACTCTACTAGGCTGCATGACGTGGCTTATGTTTTGCATCCAAGGTCATGAATAACTAAGAAGAGCGCCCTGTTGGGGACTAAACTACAATAGGGAATTTGAGCGTATTCGTTTTCCAGGCCCCTTGACCCACTCGTAGACACAATGTACAGTAAATTAGAAAAAACTAAGATTCTATCTTCCAACCAATATGTCGAGATTCCAACACGCCTATTAGAACATTATGTATACGGCCAAGTCCATCAGCCTGTCTCCACTATCGTATAGAGTAGCACCGATCGGATAGGGCGGCAAGTGATAGGCAGCAACCGGCGAGTGGTAATAGACACAGGGCAAGACCTGTGGCCCTGGGTGCCTTATGGCGACTGTCTTTGGGAGAAGACTAGAAGTTGTTCTATACTGAGAAGCTTCCGCCATTATATTTTTCCAGTCCCCCATCGTACCCACCGCAAACTGATGGTGCCGGGACGTCATCTGAACTGCTGTCGAAAAACAATTTCTGATGCGGTCAAGCTTGTACTACCTAGGCAAAAGAATCTCACTTGAAGATCTAATTCAAATATCAGGTAGACCTGATTCTTCCCTCACAGCCGGTCTGGACATTCTTGTTGGGGTATTCTTGGGAACCGGATTGGTTGTCCTATATAGCGAGCAGTATGTTAAACGTAAAGTTGTTGGGTATGGCAAGCTTGAGCCTGAACTTCGCCTTACAGTAATGATCTTTGAAGGCCGCCTTGTCCCTGTTGGACTGCTCCGTACGGGTGGACATCAATGTCCAGTATCCCGTGGCCCAGTGAAGTTTGCTCAAGATTGTTGATTGGCTATGGGATGTACATTATCTTAATTCAGTCTTTTGCATATCCTGTGGACTGCTACCCAGACAGAGCCAACAGCGCAGTGGCTGTAAATGGTGCCGTGAGAAGCATTTTTGGGGTATCCTTTTCCCATTATCTGCTAGGTATCTTCTGAGATATGGTGAATTCCGGAAACCTGCAGAGACAGGGCCTACATATACATGCTGGAAGATCCAGCTAGGTAAACAAGGCTGATCACATGGAAAGGCATAACTTGTGACAAGCATTATTTTTCAAGCTGGGGAGACGATGTTGCCATCAGATGCGTTACTGGTAAATCCGAACCAAGCAAGTCTAGTCCCAGAGAGTTTTGATTAACTTCAATCGTCGCAGCATCCCCGTTAGTCAGCTGAAGTGGATTATCAAAAACGCGCCGATTTATCAAATTTTGACGCACTCGACTTTTGGTAGCTTTTCGATATCGAATGTCATTGTTGACTCACAACCTTCTCCAATATTCACGCTTGTTCTGTTCTAGCGTTTGTCAATTTGAATACTGTTGTCTTCAGACTTGGTTCAGCATGGGGTGTATTATGAATGAGCTCTCCGGGACCCACTTCGACGCAACAGTCTACAGGCATGAGAACTCTCCGAGATAAAGCATCCGATCCGATGAATGCTTTTTTTTTTCTAATTGGTTGTCAATTCAAAATACAGCTACGGAGAAGTATCCGTGGATTTGCACGGAGAATCCGTTATTGAATCAGGTATGCGCAAAGGCTCAAATCTATCCGAATAGTCGACTGAGCCAACGGGAACTAGCCGATCCGTTAATCCGTAATCGTTCCCACATATACCATTTGCCTCCCCTTTGAATTACTCCTTTTCCAGCTCCCACAAAGCTTTTGAAGCATTTTGATTGCTAGTCCAACACCATGTCGTTAGCATCAACCATTGTCGAGCAAATTGCGCTCCGAAAAAATCTCTGATACCACCTTCGTGTCAGCTTTTCAACCCAGGTAAAATGGGAAATGATCTCAATATCGCCTACGGTGGCTGCACCATTGCTATCGCAGTCAACGCAGCCCTATCAAACCGTTTCCTCCGGCTACCATCTCTACTCAGTCCTGGGCAATTACCTTGGCCCCCGCATTGACCATCCAAAAACTTCATTGCACGGTTCGAAGTATTCGAGACACGAGGACATTTGCAACCCGACAGGTGGACATCACTCAAGAGCACGATAATGGCATCCAACGATCATGCCTTACCATAAGTGCAGACTTCCAAGTACAAGAGCGAGGGTCTATGATGACTTATTCTCTTCGCCTCCGGCAGCGAAGTACTCAGATGTCGAATCAAGCCCTACCAGAGAGACCAATTGCGAAGCATTACTGCGGACCGGTGATATATCCTCGGAGATGTTCCAGAGAAATGATACTCTCTTTGGTCTCATGTCCCGCTTTTTTGGGCAAAAGCTGGTACCTGAAGGCGTGACCAAGCAGACAATCCACGGAATTGGGAAAGCACCTCAGAACAACTCGAAGACCATCTGAGTCTCACATCCAAGACATCGGCGGAATGGATGCGGAGCAAATCCCACAGCCCCAAACCGAATCGCAGCAGCTCAGTGCCCTTGCTTTTCACATGGACGAAGCGCTTTCATTTTTACTCTCTTACCCACAGTCATTTGTTTCTTGAGGATGTGTCAGCCTGTGCTAGCCTGGATGTTGCCCTGCGCCTGTTCTCAAACAAAGTTGATCTAAATAGAATGGCATTTGAAAGAAATGAAGACCATCAGTGGGGGAGAAGGAAGGACCTATAGCGAGGCGCGACTATGGGATCGGAATGGTAACCTAGTGATGGCGTGTATGACGCAACAAAATATCCTTCGACCCCACAAGCTATAATCTGCGAATCTAAGTACATACATGAAATTCGGAATCAATTATATGCACCGCTATCTCTCAGCTTAAAGCTAGGATATTGAGAATTGAAAACCGAACTATTTGGGCGTCTGAGGGGTCCAGTGCCGTAGTTTTGGGTCTTAATTGAGAATTTAGAACAACGACAAACCGCTTGGCATACTGTCGCGCCTGGATCCGACTTCCCAGCCACCTTCTGTGTAGGCTACCAAGTGCGGACCGAAAACCAGTCTGCTTATTACCTCAGAAAGGAGGCAAGGACAATCATTGATTTATTAGCATTTGATTAATATAGCCGAAGCAGCGTGGATTAATAATTTGTCTAATTGATTCTTTTGCGAGAAAAAAAAAGAAGCGACGAGGGCCCCGGGGTCTTTCCTTTGAAGGTGATAATGGAAACCTCTACGAGGGATAATGCCATGAATGGGTAGCTAGAAGTCCCTTTACTGGAAGTTCCCCTTTCTTTGATTGCCACCTGCATTGAATTTAAATAGTCCCTGGCCTCCAAAATTTACTTTACGAAAAACGAGTTGAGCCTCTAACTGAAGTGACATTTCGATAGCATGACTGGGCACAGCCGGCCCTCCATGCATGGTCTAAACATATATATTCAGACCTATCTATCTCCCATAAGACATGGACTGGTCTAAATACATGATGAGCGTAGCTTTTAAGCCTTAACTTTATTTGTGTGCGATTTCCAGTTAGGTATGAAGTTTTCCCACATTGTAAGCACCGCGATATGTCAATGAGCAGCAAATAAAGACCACTGAAGGCTCACTCACTGAACGTCACTAACGTATCATGCGAGATGATGAACCGCTCAATGAGCCTGAGTCTGAGCGCCCTTATAAAAGCGGTGGCATATAGAGGGAACCCCATCTGTCAAAGAAAAATCCGTATAAGTATGTGGACCCTTAATACCCCGCGTAATGTCCCTAATATGTTGGCTTTCATATGAAGGTAAGTAAGTATGACTGTGGTCTATTAAGACCTGCTAAAAGCCCTGGAGAAGAACATGAATACCTGGTCTGGCGAGTTAGCCCAACTGTGAGCTATGTACTAGGTACGTATATTCTCGAATTATTCATATTCATAAAAAGAATGCCCTATTCAGGCTCCTGATGCTGCCACTCTTTCTGCAACTCCTCAACATCAATCCCACAGGCAGCTGCCTTCCTAACAATAGCCTTGCCTTCTCGGCCACCGGCACATCGATCATCTTGCCATCCAACGTCCAAGCACCCCGACCAGCAGCAGCAGCCTTCTCATCTGCAATAACAACCCGAACAGCCCACCGTGTCTCCTCCTCATCCGGTCCAAAAATAGCATTCGCCGTCTTCACCTGAGTCGGATGAATACACTGCTTTCCATTGAATCCAAGTCGCCTTCCATCGCGACACTCCTCTTCCAGCGTCGCGGGTGGGGAGCCGTCCGCTTTATCGGATTTGTAGGCTGTGCAGACCAGATCGATTGTCGAAGGGAGCTCTGCGGCGCGGGCGGCTGTTGCGATTGCAGAGCGCGCGAAGAGGAATTCGGTCAACGATGGGGTACGCGTAATACTGAGGTCTAGGGCAAAGTCTTCGGCAGCGAAAATGAGACCTTGGAGGAGTGGGGTGGAGGAGCAAATTTGGGTTAAGTTTGTGAGTGGATTTAGCGGATTCGACAAGGGCGAGAGAGAAATTGGGGGACGAGCCTCAGGAGATTGATTCTTCTGTTGTGCAAGAGTGTGATTTATCACGTCTGTGACGAAGGTGAGGTCCGAAGCGGAGTTGACCTTGGGAATAACAATTGTAGTCAAGTTCGGGGATTGCAGCTAGGGTGGTATTAGTATTTTGGTATCTGAAATTGGTGCTTTTGAGTCAACTCACCACTTCGGTCAAGTCGCCCAGTGCCAAACCACTGTCGACCGAGTTGATTCGCACAGCCCGTTTCCGGATGTTACTCGGTGTGGGCTGATCGATCGCTCTCCGCACGAGGGAGCGGGCCTCCGCTTTCATGTGCGGAGTGACGCTGTCTTCAAGGTCATAGGTGAGACAGTCTGCTGCCAAAGAGCGAGACTTGTCAAGAAAGCGCTGCGACGAGCCCGGGACTAGTAGGTGAGGTCACTGGTTAGCTCTGTGGTGATCGTAAAGCTTCGGCATTGAAATGCGGGAAGACGCGCTGCGCGGCGTTCTTACCGTAAAGTAGGGAGCGACGCAGAGTATTGCGGGCAGCCATTGCGGGAGATGACATGATTGAAACAGTCTTTGAGTTTAAACTGCTGTTGTCTTCACCAAGGTCTCGGCGTTGATATAGGTGTCGCGTCCGGGATGTTCCTTCTGCAAGCCGAAGCTCGGGTGGCGCTCGGAATAGCCTATATGCCATGGACCCACACTGAGCTACGCCTGGAGCCGAAGACTTAAGTATTTCGCATTTTCGGGCGCGGAGACCTTCTTGACGCTACTCAAATTTGACCTAAACCGTGCTTATGGCTTACAGGTGATTAACACCTTGTATCCCTTCGCCGTTTGCGCCTGTATTCTCGCGTGTATCCTCGCATGTACTGTCACGTTCCCGTCTTAAGGGACCAAGGCTGTCAGTCGAGCAGTATACGACAGGGCTAGAAAAACACCCGTGAGACTGAAATTCCTCGATAATGACATGGCTTAGTGCAGCTCAGAAGCTGGTTTTAGGCTTGCTGGCTCAGCGAAACGAACGCCGTTCTCGATTGTTGTGAGGAACCCACCTTCACTCAAGTCACAAGATCATATCGGCGACAAATCTGGATCTCCTGGGGTGTGTTTAGAACAAACCCTGACATTACCATCTGTTGAATTACTTTTTCATTATAGATCAGTTTTGTCAAGAGCCATTTATGCACACATCTTGCGATCGGAAAAGGCTTCAACCGCCTAGAAGTTCTGGACCAAACTCACGGATAGTCCGGAGTCTTATCTGACGAACTTCTGCAGGTCTGATTGAACTCCGCTAGCACCGACCGGAGGAGCGGAGGACGCTCAAGGGGCTTTGTGGCTGATTCAGGGCCCCGATTAACCAATGAGGAGGTCCAAAGTAAACACCACACTCGTTTGCTTCACAGCTGTATATTATTTTTTAGGACACTGGAGTAATTTGCACTTTCTATGATAATGGAAACATTATTATTTCACATGATGAGCTGCAGAAAGCCCTATATCACTATATTAGGTGCTACCCAGCCGGTTTGACGCTGTGGACACCGATAAGACTACTGTAGCATGAGGTGGGGACACTCCGCGAAATGTCTCTAGCTAACGAATTCGGCCCCGGAACACTCTTCAAGCCGACAGTCTTGTTTGGACGGCCTATGACTGGTCGGGCAGTTCCACAATGGCCATATTAGGGAGCAATTACTATTAGTTACTGAACGACAGGTTGCTTTAACATCGCGATCTTAAAATGTCACCTGGCGGAAGCTAAGCCTTTTCCTTCATTAGGCGCCTGCAAAACACAGTATTGCGCGACCAAGCTTCACGCCTACATCGGTCTCCGACGGCGCTACAAATCTGCCATTATAGCGTGCGTCTTCGACTATGAACAGCCTATGGAATTTTTATCTCGATATTGATGTTGCATCGACACTTGATCGCAAGATGTTAAACAGGCCAGAGAATGAAATGCTTCGGACTTTGAGCCAAAGTACTCGGATCAAAAGAGCCGAAGCTGGGCTATATAAGCTTGCCTTCTTGGCCTGAAGTTCGAATCGATCAGCACTCGAGCAAGTTCAATCAATTCCAAAGCAAGCCTTCCTCCCAAGTTCCCAATTCGAATCGTCATCATGAAGTTTTCCACTGCCGCTGTTAGCAGTATGCTTCTTGCTACTGCCGCTTTTGCTGCACCTCTGACTTCCAAACGTCAAGCACGCAACGAAGCTCGCCGCATTGCTCGTGCAGAGACCCAGTCGGTCCAGCGCCACAGCAATCCTCCCTACAAGCCTGGTACTCACTGAAGTTATCAACTTCACGAACACCTCGAGGAGGAGTACAGCTCCAACTGGGCCGGTGCCGTCCTCATTGGGTCGGGCTACACTGCCGTTACGGGCACCTTCACTGTCCCAACCCCGAAGTCAGCTAGTGGCAATGGCGGAGGATCTGGTGGAGGTTTCGGCGGGGGATTCGGCGGAGGATTCGCGGATTCCTCTTCCTCCTACTCCGCCGCCTCTGCCTGGGTTGGCATCGATGGCGACACTTGGAGCGAGGCAATCCTGCAGACCGGTGTCGATTTTATCGTTGAGGATGGCCAGGTGAGCTACGATGCTTGGTACGAGTGGTACCCCGACTATGCCTACGATTTCAGCGACATTGACATCTCCGCTGGAGATGAGATCAAGGTGACCGTGGAAGCGAGTTCTTTGGCTTCGGGCACTGCGACAATTGAGAATATTTCTACTGGCCAGACTGTGTCCCACACCTTCTCGAGGGATGTTGAGGGCGACCTTGGTGAGCTTAACGCTGAGTGGATCGTCGAGGACTTTGAAGAGGGCGACTCCCTTGTTTCCTTTGCCGACTTTGGCTCTGTCACTTTCAGCAATGCCGAGGCGACTGATAACGGTAGCACTGTTGGACCATCTGGTGCCACTATTATGGACATTGAGCAGGATGGAGAGGTTCTTACTTCTACCTCTTCTACCTCGGACAGTGTCACCGTCACATATGTCTAAGCAGTGGCCCACAGGGTGGTTCGCCAATCACCATAGCTGTTATGAGAAGCGAAGGAGAGGATGAGATTGGCATGCATCGCAGGATTTGTTTTCTGAATGGGTTCTGAACCAATTACTAGATTTTTCATTGACAATGCTCTCTGTTTCCTGTGAAGAGACGTTGCCATGAAATTTCTGCATCTAGCCTTTTGATGGAATGACAACTTATTTATTGACCGAGCTTGATGTAACCCCGATAGAATTTTATTTGGAGCCCTTCTAGAGCTAAAATGATTCAACATTCAATGATGGTTGTATCGATCCTTTGTGTGAGCGCGACCCGAGCCAATTAGAGACGTAGGTGACGAGAGCAGCTATTTTAATGACCAGTCACACAAATCCAGGGCGAAAATTGCTCCAGAGAGAAAAAAACCTTCTAGTGGGGTTATGTTCCTGGCCTGGTACTGTAGTACGTAGATCAAATTCGATCTTATCTGATTCGATAAGTAGGGTTGCATGTGGAGATCCGCGCTCCCGCGAAGCTACATTACTGAGCCAAATAGCTAACAGGATTCACAGGATTCACTAGAGCTTCCGAAACCGGCCAGAATCCAAAGGAGAATATAAATAGGGATGTACACTTCTTTCAAAAAAAAAAAAAAAAAAAAGCTTTTGATAACCTTAATTCAATTTCACGTCTCGAGTCATTACTTTCCCTCCACCATAAACTGGATCTCATAATGAAACTCCTCAGTATTGTCGTTGCTGCTACCATGGCTGCTCTGGCTAGCGCTGAATGCAGTGGTCGTAAGTATATGGTCTAAAATTTTCAATGCCTTGGGTACATGCTAACCCATTTCTTATAGTTGGCGCGGCTTGCACCGGTGCTGGTGCTGCGCCTTGTTGCTCAGGTCTGACCTGTTCTGAAAACCTCGGGACGATGCAATATGTTTGCAATTGAATAGCAAAAGAGGGATTGGAAATTCAATGATGTTGTTCAAGTGCAAATATACCCATGTCTCATCAAAGTCAAGGGAGAGTTATATGTTGCATGTGCATAAATATGGTGCAACGACCATGTTATTGTTGGGGTGAACATGATAGCCACTTGGCCCGGGAGGATACACAGTTCATTTAATTTTGTACATAATAGTATGAGTATTGAATGAAGATGACTGATCAACACTTGAGCATCATGTATCATTGCTGGTAAGGTAAATGGCGACCGCTGACTTTTCTGACTAACCAGATTACATCCAATCCATCTCAATGACACTTGTTCTTGTCAAATTGTTTACCGTTCTCGAGACACACCCCAATATTATTTTCAATATTGGGGTCCGCATCAAGAAGAAAAAGGGATCTCAATTTTCCCCACAAAACAAGATATGTAGCCCGTGCATGGGCTTCTCAGATGCAGCAAGGTAGGAAGTGTCAGTGTGCCTACATCTCTCATTGCAAGCCAAAGCACCATAGTCTAATATTGGTATCTGATCTTGATCGCAATTGTAAGCGAAAGAAAGTCAGAATTTTTACTATAGGTGCTTAAAGGCTTTTAACGCCCACGAACCCTGAAAGTCTGCCTTCGGATATTAATCGACGCCACATATGTTGCTTTATCAGAAGGACCGAAGCACCCAGAACCATGCTCAGGCACACCCTCATGTGCCAATAAATAGATCGGTCGCCTTGAGCTACTAGTATGGAAGTATCCCTAGTCTTAATATCCCAGCCGGGTAACAAACCTAAAGTCCATGGACTTTGTCGCGTACAACACAAAGAAGGCAACAAACTGGCAACTTCCATCATGATTTATCCCTCAATCATCACACTTATCTCTTCACAAGTGCTCGCTCTTTCATCGCGTGCATACATGCATGTCGTACTGTAGTGTGGACATTGACCAATAAGCGTTGAAGGCGGTGTTATTCTGTCATCTCCTACCGCCTGCCGCCTGTTATGTTGTGAACACATCAGGGATCCGAACTGCAACTGCCACTGCGACAGCAGCGATTCGTGAAACCACCATATTTTCGAGGCATCAGAACCTACGGTTCTCGGTCGCTCATCATGGATCAAGGAGCTCAAGGAGAGCTGAACTGGCGTCTAAGCTCCCACCCGATCACACTACTTGTCTTCTTGGGTATCCGCATTGGTTAGTGCTCACTTTGTTGACCACTGATAGAATGCTTAACTGACTATCTGGGCAGGTGCCCTGATGATGTATCTCTTTGGCCTTCTGTTCATCGAAAACTTGTACGTCATTAGTGTCTAATGAGCCCTGGAGCTATTTCCGCTAGCTAGCAGCGATCCCCGAGCTAACTAGTTGATTACAGCGTACTCGTCTTCATCCTGACACTCCTCCTTCTCTCGGCCGACTTCTACTACCTGAAAAACATTGCTGGGCGGCGACTAGTTGGACTACGGTGGTGGAACGAGGTTAACACAACCTCCGGTGACTCGCACTGGGTCTTCGAGTCCTCCGACCCCAATGTTCGCACAATCACAGCTACGGACAAACGGTTCTTCTGGTTGAGTTTGTATGTGACACCGGCTCTGTGGGTGGGTTTGGCTATTCTGGCGATTGTGAGACTAGTTAGCGTGATCTGGCTCAGTCTAGTTGGTAAGATGATCCTGGCATATAATGATCCTTTGTTGGAAATGTATTGAACTAACTTGACGGACGCAGCCATTGCCCTCATTCTGACTATTACAAACACCGTGGCCTTCTCTCGATGTGATAAGTTCAGCCAGGCTTCGACTTTCGCGAACAGCGCTCTTGGAGGTGGCATTGTGAACAATTTGGCTAGTGGCCTGCTGGGCAGGTTCTTCCGGTGATTTGATGCAATCATCAGATTTGCACAATATTCATCTGCTAGAAAATAGTGATGACCCTTTTATCAAGACTTCTACTCCATGTATGCTTAAAGTGTTTTCATACAGCAATCAATTTGGATGTGTTATACCAAAGCCATCAATAAAAACGGATGCTTAGATGTGCTGTCGTCAAGAGCACTTGGAAAATGGAGTGTCAACTGGGGTAGACGCGATGCGTTTGTTTGTCAAACCTTCGTTTTTGTTTATTTCCTCATCGTGAAATCCATCTTCCTTTTCTTCTCTCTCTCTTTCTGCATCTCTCTCCCTCTCTCCACACTCCCATTCTCCTTCTCCTTCTTGGTTCCAATTCGCAATCCCCGCAACCAGGATAGGATCCATTCATACGACATTTCGTTCCTTGGATCCTATTCCTCATCTTAATTTTACCACGTCACTTTGCTGTTCAACGCTGTTCCCCCACCTCACATCTCAGTGAACAAACATCCTGTGAGTACTTTTTCCATATCTTTCTGAAGGAACCCTGGTTTTTTTTTTCCATGTGCTTGATTGTGAGCCCCTGCAATATGAAGATATCTTGTTTCCCTCCGCCTCATCATGTTGTATGGCACTTCACCAGAATACCTTTCACTTTCTCCATGATATTTCTTTGAGCAACTTGAGACAAATTTGTTGAGTTTCATCTTGCTCTTTTTCTCATTACGCGCCTTGTCTACCTTCCTGTTGACACATTTTTTTCCCTTTCTGTTTTGCTTTTCGAAGATAGAAGACAGACAAACAGGAACTTTATTTGGCGGGCTCTTAGCTAATTTCGCGAACTAATGCATTTCATACAGTGTTTCTTCGAGATGTCTGACACTTGGAATGATGATGCCGCCGAGGGCGCCTCCTGGGATCCCGACAAGAAAGAAGATGGGACCCGCTGGGGCCGAAAGCCCGAAGGTAAGTCGAGAAATGGTCTTACCATGGGGTACTTGATAGTGGGGCAACTAACTGTCAACAGTAGGCTATGATCATGCTAGCAGCCCGAAGGGAAATCAGGGCTCTGGCGGCGGTTACGATGAGAATGCTTGCCGCATGTGAGTTGTTGTGGGCTCGAGGAAGAGAAGATGGCTAACTGACTCGCAAAAGCTGTGGTGGTTCAGACCACTTCGCCCGCAACTGTCCAAATGAGGTCCCCGAGTACTCGTCATACCCGCAACAGTCACGCGGTTGCTTCAACTGTGGCCAGGAGGGGTGAGTAATATTCTCCAGATTGTTGTCATTGTGCCGATACTTACGAGTGTAACTATGACAGCCACTCCAAGGCCGAATGCACCGAGCCTCCAAAGTCTTTCGGCGCTTGCTTCAACTGTGGTGAAGAAGGGTGACCATCCCTACACTGCACAAGATTTGAATATAAACCGCTGACTCATGTCTATGATAGCCACTCCAAGGCGGACTGCACCCAGCCCCGCAAGTTCAGCGGGGCTTGCTTCAACTGTGGCGAGGAAGGGTATGTTGTTTTCTGATGGCTTAGTGCCCCATTCTAACAAATAATAGCCATTCTAAGACCGAGTGCACCAACCCGCGAGTGTTTAAAGGCACCTGCCGCCTTTGCGAGAAGGAAGGTCATCCGGCTTCGGAGTGCCCCAGAGAGACCTCCTGATGTTTGCCGCAACTGTGGAGCTGAAGGTTAGCAAATATATCGTGGCGTCTCTAGGTGACTGAGCTAATGCCGTTCGTAGGCCACCAAGCATTTGTCTGCACAGCGCCGCGCAAGTTCGATTTGAACAAAGTTGCAGATAGATTGCCAGAGGAGGCGTGGGACATGATGAAGGCCGCAGGAACGGATACTGAGGCATTCCGTTCGGTAAGTCCCTCATTGAAATGATACCAAAGGCGATTGCTGATAAGTCACCCAAGGCCCTTCAGGTGTATTCCAAGGCAGCTCCCCGAGGCTACCTACGTTGAAATTGAAAAGAAAATGCGCGAGGATAACTTTCTCCTCTACACGATTGCAGTGGTAAGTTTATTACCGTTACATTCACAGTGGCTTTGGCAATGGAACCGCTAACAGCCGATCTCAAATAAAGGATAAGGAAGTTGGAGATATGCACACTCTGATTGACCTCCAAGGCAACCTGGACAAGAAATACACTGTGGCATTCTACCGCGGCCCTAACTCCCCGCGAAATATTCTCAATGACAGATGGCCTGATAGCCCTGAGGACAACATTGAGCGATTGGCAAATTCAGGGGTCTCTTGCAATCGCTATGTCGTCAAGTGCCGCAACTGTGATGGTATTTGCAATTCCCCTTACCCACTTTTGAGCTAAGTAATTGCTAACAGAGCGATAGAAATCGGCCACATTGCAAAGAATTGCAAGCAGGAGCGCACTGAGGCTGAGCGCACTGAAATCAAATGCTCTAATTGCGAGGCAGTCGGCCACCGTGTGCGTGACTGCCCAGAGCCACGTCGCAGCAAGCATGGATGCCGCAATTGCGGGTAAGATTTGTTTCCAATTGAAAGTGCAATATGAAATACTGACTCACTTGCAGCTCCGATGAACACCAGGCTAAGGAGTGCCCCGAGCCTCGGGTTGCCCCCCTGACACTGAATGCCGCCGGTGCCATGAACGTATGACAAATTGCTTCCAGCCTAACATTCAAGCATCATACTGACCTTTTAGTCGGTCACTTTGCCCAGGACTGCCCCAAGGGTGGTGAAGACCGGGGCCCGCGCACTTGCCGCAATTGCGGGTATGTAATGTGTCTTTCTGTGAATGTCATTCTTCGGCTAACGAAAATAGATCCGAGGATCACATCGCTCGTGAGTGTGACAAGCCTCGCGACCCGGCCACTATCATGTGCCGTAACTGTGACCAGCGTAAGTTACCTCCCTGTCGGTTTTATATCATTCTCTTTGGCGGTTATGTGTCAATAAACATCCTCGAAACGCATTGATAACTTACGGCAACGAGTGTTCCGGCGCTAACAACTGGAAATAGTAGGTCACTCCAGCCGTGAATGTCCTCAGCCCAAGGACTGGTCCAAAGGTCCAGTGCAACCGTTGTGGCGAATGTAAGTCGACCAGATCAATATTTCAGTGCCCCGAAAACATTTGCTAATAATACATACCAGTTGGCCACACTGTGCATCGTTGCCCCCAGCCTGAGGACTCAGTCGACGCTGGCTACAACGAGACGGCCCATGATCACAACCCGGAGGGACAGAGATCGACTGCTGGCTCGCGACCAGCTTCTGCCGCTGGTACCACTGTGCCAGTGACTGATGATGACGATCTTAAGAACCAGGCGTGGTGATCTGTCAATGACACGCCGCAAGGCGAACCATTTCGATTATGGAGACGCTTTGAACCGATTCAGAACCCCGAAGTGAATATTCACGTTGGCCCTCTCAACCAAACACTGAGCTGTGTTTTTTTTGCTCTTTGCTTGTCTTCAGACCTTCACGAGTGACGACAGTGGACTGTGTCATGGGTGATCGAGGACCCGATTCTTTTGTACCGTTTAGCTATCCTGATTGACAAGGTCCCCTTCCCGGGTTTCATGTTGACTGTGTGAGAATCGCCCTCATTGGGCGTTTATTGTTACCGAAGTGATCTGCAAGGTTTTTATTATATCGTTAAGAAAGGAAGTTTAAAGGTTGCGGCAGATAACATGTTATGCTATGAAGGGAGATATGGCTGGATCAGATATCATTACCTGAATAATCTAACAATATTGTTATCCAATCGCGGACCAAGTAGGTGCACGTGTTGTTCATCAGATTTGAAGATGGATTCCAAGCTTCATATCCTCTTCCACAGACTTCCTGACTGGCCATCACCAAGCTCGAAACATGGAAACCCTTCCCCAGCACTACACCTCTGCTCAGACAGCTCTAGACACACGATCGACTCCATGAATTTGAGATGAGGTTGCATTTGAGCGTTCCCACCAAAGTCTATGATGACGGCATCACTCTGAGCCACAACCAGCCCGGGAGTAGACGAAAGGTCGGAACAGCAAAACGCCGAAGTCCAAGTTTCCGACCCGGCATCTTATCGGCGTACAGGGCTGATCCTTGTCGGCATTGCCGATCACCACGCGGGATATCAAAGTTTTACGGCTGTCCTACCAATGACTTGTCGGGGCAAGCCAAATGACCTCATCCTGCGTGAGAGCGATGCTTGCTCTTGTTTCGGATTGGGAGGTTTTTCTGGAGACAAAGGGGATGCTCGATGGATAGTCGTGACTAGCTACAGGATAAAGTTTGAAGGTAGATGTATTGTGTTCATAGCACGGGTTATCATGGTGATACGCTGTTTTGACGGTAATTATCGATTATCGACGATGACCAAATCCGGCCTTGATTTTGCATACCGCGGGGTAGACTTTTTTTGCTGGAATTATAGGCTATAGGTTCTAGACCAGATAGAGTTTGCACTTTAAGGACCAAAGATCCCAGTGCCTTCATACTTAACAATTAATTATCTTGAAGTATTGTACTTCCAATTAAGCTTTCCCTCGAACCTTGTGCCACGATCCCGCCACGTTGAGTTCAGGCGGTCCTTTGACGCCAGGGGGATATAACCTACATGCCACATGCATAGACATATGGAGAATCTCGCGGCCCAAGTACTGTAGCTATCGTGGATTTCTGATCACACCACACCGACACATTTGGACCGGGATCCACCGAAACGGGTTCCCCAATCGGGCAACCATTGGCGTGGTACGACATTCTGGAAGAACAAATTCGTGTCGATTTCGATAGATCCAATGCTACATCAGATCTCATTATTCATCCCATTGACTAGATTCATCGTTACTAGTCTTTGTATGTCCAGATAATATTCGGTCAGGTGTTGTTGGGGTGGCCCACCCAAGGTCACCGAGAACCCCCAGATTCAGGCCAGAAGACTGGGGTCGAATGCTGGGGTATCCCTGCCGGGGGAAAGTGACGATAATGATTTCCTTTTCTTTCCCCCATAGAGTACAGTAGATTACAGCTAGCGTTACATGTCAAATCTATCGTTATTCTAATGAAATTGTATACTCCATATTCAGAAAATATGATATCAGAACACCGTTGGACCCCATGCTCACGTTCCTGGTGATGACGTCATTGGATTATTTCCGTAATGGCGATCAATCAATTTCCAGGTTTTCCAATGCGGGAGTCCCCTGTTCGAGGCATTGAGACGAGACCCTTCCGACAGAATAGACGCGCCAAGAGAGGTAGGTCCTGCCTAAATTTGCATTTTTGGACCCTTCTCCGCACATGTGGGTCCCAATGCTGTGGTTTTCTATTAGCAAGTAGACGAGCAAAGGCCCGAAATTGTGCCGTATATACAGAGACGGCAGAGTTTCGGGACGCTCGCACGGGCAATTAGAGGCCAAAGCCGACTCGGTGATGTCGAGAAATCCCGTCGGGCGTGCTGATCCCTGTTCAACGCCGTACTTGGCGCGCTCCGGGAGCCCGAAGGACGCGAGGAGCCGACAAAAGTCATCAAAATGATGCAAGCACATTTCTTGTTCGTGTAGGTGCATTGTCACATTTACCCTTTCTCTGATGAATCCCCTCTCCCCATGCATTCTATCGTGGGGAATGGTGGAATCTGGGGGACCATATGCGACCCCATAAAAGAGGGACTGTTCCACTTTCCTTAACAAGTAAAGGGAACCACGCGAGTCACGGAAAAAATCACCGACATCATGAGTGTAGTCCCACTGGTCATTCATTCGATGTTCTCTGCAACCAGCAGCCGTACCATGACTGGGCCGTACAAGTAAATGATACCGGATGGTTACCGAAGTCGTTGCCCTTTGGTTCCCGAAGTCATGTCCGCCTGACCCGGTGGAACCTGAATCGTGGAAGACATGAAAAGTTCTAGGTGTAGCCGGTGATTTGATGTTCACTTCAGAGTGGGGTTCTCCCCGGTTCAATGTCTGTATGGGGAGTGGAGTGTGTTTCTCACCCAATCCGGCGAATATGTAGCCATCGTGGATGCTACCTTGCTTCCGATCTCTCGTGGTTCCCGTCATTTTCAATCAAATACAGGTTCCCGATCGTTGTGGATCCTTGTCTCGTGCACGCTATGGCCGTTTTGACGTGGGTTCATAAGCTCAAGCTGCTTCCCCGGACCTTACTTGAACTTTTCTTTTTTTTCTTTAACATCGTCTCTGCTCATAATCTTTTGTCCACTGGTTTGGACATTGTGTTGGATTTTTATTATTCAATTCTCCCTATACAAGGCTTGGCTGGCACATTGTATACGACTTTCGACTCACTTCCGCCATCATGAAGCGATACTTTGGACTCCGGGGTACATCCCTAAATATCATGATCAGTATTATTGCTGGTCTGGATTTCTTGTATGTTTATATCATGAGTCTTCGACATTGTATTCTTTGACTAACGTGCTTCTCTCAGGCTTTTTGGATATGACCAGTATGTTGTTACTTCAGGTTTTCAGGCATCATGTTTTCTTACTAACGGAACAGGGGTGTTATGGGAGGTCTCTTGACTTTGAATTCATTTGTCACCACTTTCCCTGAGGTCGATACCACAAAGGCGGGTGAGATGGGCCTCAGCCAGTCTCAAAAAGCAATCGTTCCTCTACACAGGGTATCACAATTGCCTCCTACAACTTAGGTTGTTTTTTCGGTGCCGTCTTCTGTATTTGGATTGGTAACTATCTGGGTCGTCGCAAGACCATCTTCACTGGCTCAATTATCATGGTGATTGGTGCAACTCTGCAGTCATGTGCATACAGCCTTCCACATCTGATTGCTGGCCGCGTGCTCACTGGTATTGGAAATGGCATGAACACTTCGACCGTCCGTAAGTATATCATATACTGAGACTCAGTGCAAATTGCATGGCCGCTAACATTACATATAGCTACTTGGCAAGCTGAGTGTTCCAAGTCCCACCACCGTGGCCCCCTGGTTATGCTGGAAGGCTCCTTAATTGCGGGTGGTATCACTATCAGTTACTGGATTGACCTTGGATTCTCCTTCCTGGATCCCAGCTCAGTGGCATGGCGATTCCCAATTGCCTTCCAGAACTTCTTCACGCTCGTCATTCTCGCCTGTGTGCTTCCACTGCCGGAGTCACCCCGTTGGCTGATTATGAAAGGTCGTGAGGGAGGAGGCAATGGAAGTGTTATCGGCAATCTTGGATCTTCCAGAGGGCGACGAATACATCCACTCCGAGTTCGCTGCAATCAAAGATGCCGTTCTGGACGCCGATACCGTTAGCTTCCGGGATCTGTGCACCATGGATGAGAACCGTCATTTGCACCGCGTCGTTCTTGCGTACATCAACCAGATGTTCCAGCAAATTTCTGGCATTAACTTGATCACCTACTATGCTGCCACTATCTACGAGAACTCGATTGGCATGGATGGTCTCACATCACGAATTATGGCTGCCTGCAATGGTACCGAGTACTTCCTCGCCTCTCTCATCCCTATTTTCATTATCGAGAAGGTTGGTCGTCGCAGCCTGATGTTGGTCGGCGCTGCTGGCATGTCCCTCTCTATGGCTGTACTAGCTATTTGCACTAGCTTTGAGGGAGAGACTAAGCCCGGTATTGCCGCCGCGGTGTTCTTGTTTGTCTTCAACACCTTCTTCGCTTGGGGTTGGTTGGGTATGACCTGGCTCTACCCGGCCGAGATTGTCCCCCCTGCGTATCCGTGCTCCTGCAAATGCCCTCTCTACATCCGCAAACTGGTAAGTTTGGACACTTCACTCATTCTAGGACCCGAGCTAACGAAGGACCAGGATCTTTAACTTCTTGGTTGTCATGATTACCCCCGTCGCTTTCGAGAACATCGGATACCAAACCTACATCATCTTTGCGGTCATCAACGCTTTCATCTTTCCCGTCGTCTACTTCTTCTACCCAGAGACCGCCTACCGATCCTTGGAGGAGATGGACACTATCTTCCAGAATTCTACCAGTGTCTTCAACGTCGTCTCTGTCGCTCGCAACCAGCCCCACCGCTACGGCAAGAACGGCGAGCTGCTCATCAACTACCAAGACACCGAAGAGCACCTCCGCCGCGCCAGTCATGTCTCCGAGAAGCATGGAAAGACCTTTGCTTCAAGTGGTCAGCTGGAGAGTGGTAAGGGTGCTCATATCGAGAACAATCAGGACAGCATCTCCACTAGCAGCTAAGCTTGCTGCATGAGAAACAAGTACTAATAACTTGATCCTTTACTGAATGGCTTTACGAACTGTCTTTTCTTTTTCTGGATGCGTGTTTTTAATTCTGCTGGCAGGGAACCGCTATTATCTGGTGATATCGCTCTATTCAGATGGAGTCTGAAAGTACGTGCTCCCTTCTGTATGGATGTCTGAACACAGATCTTCTATTTGGGTGGTTTTCTGGCTTTGTTTTTGTTTTATACCCATGTGCATAAAACCCCCTTCTCACAGAAGATCGTGACTGGGCTCGAGGACTGGGTCTTCGCCTGGCCACTATGATCAATTATATACACGACTGTATGAAGTTGGTAGATAAATGAACAGAACTGGGATGTTCGATCAAACAATATGCATTTCTTAACCAAAGATATCCAAACCATTCATCTTATTGACTATGTACCTTGTAGCTCACAGTCCAAAAGCCAAAGCTCCCACCAGGACCCCAAAAGTAGCATATGCCCAGGGGACCCACGCTCGAACAGTAACTGTACTTGCTGCACCATCGCCTAGAACAAGCCCATTCCCAGCCGTCGCAGTCGGAGTTCCTGCAGCACCCGTTGAAATGGGAACTGGATCGGTAGAGCTCTCCAAGTAAGTGGCAGTATAAGGAGGATAGTATGAGTAGACACTAACGCTGTACGAGAAAGATTCATGCGCGTCAGCACTGTCAGTCGCATAAACAGACCAGATAGTCGTGGTAGTAGTCTCCGTCGAGGTCACAGTCTGCACAGTATAAGGCGAATAAGAAGTCCAGAAATAGAACCAGTAAGACCTAGTGAACATCAGCATTGCCCGCCCAAAACTCCACATAAAAACCACTCACCAGTAGTAGGTAGTATAATAATAATCATACTCATAGCTGTCATACGTATACGTATAGCCAGCAGCCGTCGTAGACTCATAAGTATAAGTATCCGACGCAGAAGAAGTAGCAGACACAAATTCAGTCGCTGTCTCCGTAGTACCAGATCCAACATCAACCGTATTGCCCAGGCTACCCGTCCCATCTGAGCCTATACATCCTGTATCAGGACAACATACTTCTTCCCCATCCCAGATCTTGCACTGGTACCCAACATCACAGTAGTAACCTCCTTCACAGCACTCACCCCCAACGGGGGAGCAGTACCCGTAGTTCCCACAGCAGTTCCAGCCACTGGGACACGTTCCGATGGTACAGCATGTATCGCCTGGATCGGCGCAGTAGCCGCTTGTGCAGCATCCGTTGCCGGTGGGGCAGCATTTGGATGTATCAGTGCTGCACTCTGCATAGCCGGTTGGACAGTCATAGTAGTAGTAGCGTTCTACCAGATCAATGTCGCCACGGGCGTTGAGGGTGCTACCGGACTGGGCAAGGCTGAGGGTGCCGTTTGAACGGAGGCGAGGCTGGTTTTGGGGCGTGTCCGCGAATGTGGATGACAGGAAGAGCAGGGTGAGACCTGCTTCCTTGAAAAGGGGAAGCATTGTGTTTTTGGTGCGCTTGAGGTGGAGTATATACTCTGCTTGTATTGGGACGAGAGAGATCTAATCTAGGATATGCGCGGAAATGGCGCAAAGTCATAGTTTATATAGGTTTACTCCTCAGCTAGCTCTATACTAAAAGAGGGGGATCAAATATTGTTCTCGGCTAATTAGAAAATCTCATACATCGTCGCTTGCTCATATCTGCCCAGCTTTTGCGGTGGGTTAGTGTTGTCAAATACGAGGCAATATGCTTGGCATGTCGAGACGCTTTCACACTGTCCAAAGCGTTTATGATTTTTCATATAGTCAGTAAACGTGTATGATTTCTGTACAACATATGGCCAACGGCTTTCATACATTTAATATTAAAGTGTTGTTGATATATGGACCGTAACCATGGGACTTAGGGCTATAATTTTGGATCTGGGTGGACACGGGCGTTGGGTTGGGGCTTAAACACGGGATTGCCTGAATACGAGCAAAACTTTATCTAGGACTCTGGAAATGGCACACATGGGACCTGAGCGGCTTGGGCCCTGCATGTACTTAATTTGGGATAGCACGTGAGTCAAATAACTATGTCTGCTTTTTTGTCTTGGCCAAGTGGCTTTCGTTTCACGAAGATCTAGGGCGCACTTAGGTTCCGGAGATAGGTAAACATGACCCGTGTAGCAGTATTCAGGGTAAAGTAATGTAGATCATTATTTCTTGCTTCTTTCTTCACTTCTAAAATTTGACATGTGCCTCGAATCTAAAAACTTTATTTCATAGGAGATGCCTTTCTTTACTTCTGTGATTGAAGAGCACCTTAAAGTTCTCGACGAGATAGGTTTGATTGGATACTCTCTTCGCCTCATCAGTTATCCGTATAGATAGTGCACTGGGGCTGCCTATGACACCATAAGCAATTTTGGGATTTCATCCTTGAGGCAAGGGGTGCAACTATCCAGAAAAGCTTGCAGTCTATGTCATAAGCGGAGGTGAAGGTGAGGTCCTATAAAGACATTTGTTCGTGATAAGTCCTCTTTCTGATCTCTCAGAATGCACCGCCTATCTCCATATCAGTTTATACATGCCCAGTCAACTGGTCAACGAGCCATGGTACAGTGGCACTATTTCCATTTAACCCGTGTTCAATGACTCAAGTAAGATGGGCCTGAGGAAATGAAGCTCATGATGTGGGGCCGTGAGGCTGCAGTGCATCTCGCAGCTCCTGGTAGCAAATGATATGGATTGAGTCGGATTGAGCACCGTGGCACTTCTAAAACATAAAGCCAGAAAATCATTATACCACCAAAGCGTAGGATATTTCAACGGCGAAGAGTCTTCCAAAGGTGGTGATTCCTATGGCATTTCTGAGGGCTACTGCTCCGAGTGCAAGGTCGAGTTTGTGTATTAGATTCTAAAAACCTTGCTGAGGCTGGAACATTGTTTTTTTTTTCATTGGAGATGAGGCGGGCACATTACCTATTCAGGTGTAACAAGCAATCTCCTTCAAATTATATTGCTAATTCTTGGATGATAAGAAATGCATCATATACGATGATTTCCGTGCTCGGCTGCGTCAGTGAACACAAGATCCTGAAAATAGAATTCCTTGTGCCAATGTAGTCACAAAACAGATGATCAAGAATTTCACCTGAAGCTTATGCTAAATTTGGACAAGGTAGACCATGAGTCTTTACCACGAGTCATACTTGATCGTGGTCAAGAGCTTCATGACTCAATCAAGCCAAAGTCACACATATGACATTGATGCCTCGGTGAACGACAGTAGACCTTGAGTGAGTGTGTGGGAGGGATTTGGCAATGCATAGATTGCAAGAATGGACATTTCCTTATCAATATAACAGAAAACATAGCTCGACTTGGGACCCTTGTATACCAGATTGCGGAGGCGGGAACGTAACCCCATAATGCATGTGTGGGGTCGTTCAAGCCACCAGAAACAACGGAGCTAGGATTTAGCCGGATATTAGATGGAAACATACGTTGAATTAAGAATGTGGATCTTGGAGCTTCACGAAAGATGCGATCGGTAGATCATGCATGCATGAAGCCTGATCGACACCTGGCGAAGAGCTACGTATAGATATGTGGAAAGAGATAAGAGTGGATCGGAAGAGCCTGAGTGATTCTCAAAACGATGGTTGATTTTCCATCCATGTAATGGTTCTATGCTATTGTACGTCACACATAAACCCAGGAAAGGGCGATTTCAAGACAAAAAAAACAAGAGACTCGGCGAGTGCAACAAGGGAGGTATGTGAACACAGGAGGCGAACTCTGGCGCCGAGAGCAGAATTGTTCGGGTTCAGGAACGCGGATAAATAGTTGAGAAAAAAGAAAGACACAGGCAAGAATTCTATGGCTCCCCTCATGCAGTCAGGCCGCTCTCATGGTCCGAACTCCCAGGTGATGCCGGAGGGTATCGGAACGCTAAAATGATTTCAATCCTTAAAGGCCACCGCACAGAGTCTCGGCAATAATACCGGTAATCTGGTACGGATCAGCGTTCGAAGCAGGGCGACGGTCCTCGAAGTAACCCTTGCCGTCCTTGGCGCACTGGCGGGGGATACGAATGGAACCACCACGGTCGGCGACACCATATGAGAACTTCTCGATGCTGCCGGTCTCGTGGCGACCAGTGAGACGCTCCTCGTTGCCCTCACCGTAGACGGCGATGTGCTCAACGTGACGGGCCTCAAGCTTCTTCATCATGGCCTCAATGGCCTTCATACCACCCTCGGCACGAGTAGCGTTGGTAGAGACGTTGGTGTGCAGACCGGCACCGTTCCACTCACCCTTGATGGGCTTGGGCTCGAAGGAGATGCGGACACCGAACTCCTCAGCGACACGGTGGAGGATGAAACGAGACATCCAGAGGTGGTCACCCACTGTAAAGATGGTCAGCCTCTCTAAAGCAATAATGGAAAGGGGGAAAAATCTTACTGTCAATGCCGGGAACGGGGCCAACCTGGTACTCCCACTGAGAGGGCATGACCTCAGCGTTGATACCGGAGATGGCGACCTTGGCGTACAAGCAGGCACGGTAGTGAGCCTCGACGATGTCACGGCAGTAAACCTTGCCGGTACCGACACCACAGTAGTAAGGACCCTGGGCACCGGGGAAACCACCGGAGGGCCAGCCGTAGGGCCAGCCATCGGTACCGAGAAGAGTGTACTCCTGCTCCAGACCGAACCAGAACTCCTCCTTGGCGTGGGTCTCGAACAGGCGAGCGGCCTCGTGACGGTAGTTGAACTTGTTGGGGGATCCATCGGAGTCCCAGGTCTCGCAGAGGACAAGGATGTTGTCACCCTGGCGGAAGGGGTCGGGGAAGATGGCAACGGGGCGCAGGTAGACATCGGAGTTACCGCCGGGGGGCCTGGCCGGTGGAGGAACCGTCGAAGTTCCATTCGGGAAGCTCGTCAACGCTGGTCACGGCCTTGGACAGGGTCTAAGGAAGAAGCACCATTAGTGACACGCTCGGAAGAATGGGAGGCCCCTCTATTTCACGTGATGCGGATAGTTGCAGGCATCGCGTGCGGCGCGATCGGGTACGTGCACAGGGCTTATCAAAGCCGATCGAGCGATAACGATGCCAGAGCAACCAATCCGACCCCGCGAAAAAAAAAAAGACTCAACAGACAAATTATAGCTTACCTTGGTCTTGGAACGAGTACCGCCATTGGCATCAATCCAGATGTACTCAGCTTGGACGGAACCACGCTGGTCAAGAGACATGTACTTCATGAGCTAAACACCCCATGGGAAGTCAGTATTGAACATTTCCTCTCTCTGGCTTAATCGCCATTGTGGAAATTCAAAGCAACAAGAATCAAACGCACATTCTCCGTGTTGGAGACGACAGTTGAATCAGCCTGGCGTTGGTTAGCAAGTTTCCGACATGAGTCATTGCGAGTGACGTACCATAATGAATGATTATGGGTATGTGTGGAGATTAAAACAAGTGTTTTGGCTTGCAAGCAAGCAGAGAGGGTTTTGAGGTTTTTCTTAAAAGGAATCCCGAAGGATAGAAGAAGAGATAGAACACAAAACTGATGGATGGTAAAATCCAAGGAAAGAGGGGAGTTTTGTAGATGGTGGGGGGGGGGAAAAGGAGGAAAGATAAAAGATTTAAATTTAGTCACGCCTTGAGTTCTTTTTTTTTGTAAGTGGGGGAGAGAATGAGGAAAGAACGGGATAAATTACAGGAAGGCGTGGATCAGCCCCAACTGGGCTTAGCGGTATGGGGCTGGACCGTATCCCTGGTCCTCCACGTATGGTATTTGCTTTTTCGTTACCGATCCAAAGTGCCTCATACTGTAGACATTCCTTTCTCAAACCCGAAACCGGGGTCGTTGGGGAAACCAATTCCTAAAAAATCACGCATGACCAGGCTTTTTGTTTTTTTTGAGCATCTTTGCTTTTTTTGGCTATCATTTGATATTCTGATATGCACTTTTGGACTTGCAAGCGAGACAAGCGCAAAACGGGAAGCCCACCGTCTATTTACCGAGTAAAATCAACGCCACCCCTCTTCTGTGTCATCATCGTCGCATCATACAGGCTGCGGTGCCGGTCGTCGCCGAGTTTTTTTACAGGCGACGAGAATCACAAGAAAACGATCTTCCGCAATTGCATCTGCCACAAGCCGCGGACTGGTTCTCCAGAGAAAACTAGGGTTTCAACAATGACGGTTTCCCCGTCATTTCTGGAATCTTTGGCCCTTCTCCCGAGGTTTCTTCCTATCCTTGTCCTTGCACTATAGACTGAAAAATGGTCTGGTATCATGATACATAGACCGCCATGCACCCCTTGTCAACCTGTCGTCTTGCTTCTTTTGGGTTATTGTCCTTTGATACACTTGTGATAACCTCGATTTATGCCCAATCAGCGGTCAGGCCTTGTAATTAGCCCCAGTAATCAGCATCCTATCCCTCCTCTCCCGTTGGACCGATAACAACAGGAACGCCTGCTCGGAACCTTTTAAATCAATCGCTATCAATTGGAGGGAACAGGAACAGATGCCATGTGCACATGCGCATCTGTTTGCCAGATCTGGTCCGCCCCGCGGTCTGTGGTCCCTGCCCGCGCCGCACATCCCCACGTCTGGATGTCTTTATCCCGAGCGGGCAAGAGTCCGGGGGAGCGTTTTCCCCGGCTCGATCACCGTCTCAAGCGCTCATCTGACCGGCAAATAAGAGATCCTTGCGTATCGCAAAGTTCAAAAGATAGCTAGAATGATATATTGTTGCTAATGATGGTTAGCAATAATCTGATCCTTTCTGAATAGGGTGCATATCAGCTGCTAGGGGTTGATAGCTAAGGTGCATATTGATCCGTGCAGACAGTTCTAGATTGACGGAAAAAGCAAAGATTCGAATCGAGTTTTTTAGTTTGCTTTTTCCGCGTTTGATTATCATATTGAATTAATTGCGGTGAGCATATACGAATTCAGAGCTAAACTATAGCGACTCAGAAGTATGCCATTCTCCGTTCTCCGCTCTCCGTTAACCACTTAGTGCTAATCGCAATTGCGCTATTCGTTATCACCCCGTATCGCCGCGTGTCTAGACTAGGCACGATAAGCAATCTCTTTATAGAATAGCCCACCTGGATACGCCGTACCTGCAGCGGCTAACCCGCTCCCATTCTAGGTCAACTAGACGTAGAAATTGATCCATCATCGGATATGGCAAGCGATACCTATCTCCTGAACCTCAAGGCAAAATTACACCCCGGTTGACCGGTATTTCGGTACATACATGGTATCAACTCTGGGAAAATACAAGATCCGCAAACCCCATCGAACTGGAGAACCCAGCCACGCCGGGACTGGGATCGATCAAGTCACAGTCCTGGCTAAAGTGGAGCGTGGCAAAACGTTCTCGAAACCGCCGTCGACTCGCCAATCAGACGGGGCCAAGATTCTCGAACCGCCCCGACACCGGCCATGGGTGTCGTGCTTTCTGGGTTTTTTCCAATGCAAACTGAGTCACGCGTCGCGTAGAAGAAATTTTTATAATAATTATGATTTCGATTATTTAATTTTGATATTTTTTTTTTTATCTTTATTTTTTATCAAGGCTCGGCTAATTTATGTAAAGATATCCGCTTTAGGTAATTGTGTGCTTAGCAAAGACTGTGAAGATCAAGCGAGAAATCTTGTGACTGATCGGCGAGGTTAGGGAAAGTGCAAAAAATACCCAAGAATGATAGAAAAAAGGTACTAGGGGGTTGATATCGCAGGATTTGCTTGGGATAGGTTTATGCAGCAAGAAAAGTGGCGACAAGATCTCCCTCCCCCGTATTTTCGTCGACGAGTTAAGGTCGGGAAGTTCAGGAAGGGATTAGTGCCAGAACCCTTATTTCCCCGACTTTCTGGTCAGCCCTGGCAATTCTAAGAATACTTCTCTTGGCTATATATGTGGCCGTGCTTCACGGTCACTCCGTACTTCAAAGTCTCCATGTTGCACCTGCACAGCCTCTCTGTTTCTGTTTTCTATTTCCCAATACGGAATATCAGGTACATCTGTACGCGTTCAGGATAAGAATAGTAACCCCCTGAAACAACTTCGGCGTTAGTCATCCGGCCTGAACGCCGAGAGTCGAGACTCTTTTCGCCCTACGATTACGTGCAACGTGAAAGATCTTCCAACCAACCACACTACAGTGTCGATATTTAATTACAGACGCACTTGTTATCCATGCAGGCGCCCAAAATGATATCTCCACCTGCAGAACAGGAATTAGAAAGGGTTCCATCATAGATCGACAACCGAATTGCTTATCGGGATGCGTTGATTGGCTCAATGGCCGCTTGACACACGCTGCTGACTAGTGATAGTCATCGCTCCAATACTTAAGACGTAATATCTCCCAGTTTGGGAGGTCAACGGAGGACTTGAGCCATACTTGATCACCAGTCTAAACTCAACAGAAATAAATGAAAATTTCAATAAAAATTAATTCGGGCTGCTTTGTGCGTTGTAAATTCTTAACGAAGGTCCGAGTACACGGGTGAAGGTCAAAAGCAAACAAGAGCCGAGCTATTTCGATACATCTTCTAACACCAACGTACGAATTACTTTTGAAATGATAGGGGCAAAAAAGGTATTTATTGGGCAATATTAATGATATAAAGCATGAGTCGTAATGATACAAGACGACAAGGTCTGCACTATACGTGGTATTTCGACGCCTTCAGTAAATGCCTCACTGGAATTTGAATAAAACTACTAGTTAGTGAGGGCTTGCTACTGTATCCACTGATAACGAACTATGTCATACGACGAGCTAGAACAAAAGCCTCAACTGGTGGGGTAGTCTCGGCGAGTGGCTGACAGTAGTGCCTCGTAGTTAGTTTCACCTCCGTTACGAGGTATTAGTTCCATAGCTCTGTACGAAGAGGGGTTAAGTTTTTCTTTTTCCTTTTTTTTTTCGCGTCTGGCGGGTCGCTATAATTGTAGAATATACCTCATACAAAAGTTTTCATGATGGTCGATGATGATGATGATGATGATGCCCAGTAAGTCTTGGAAAGTCACTGGATCTGCAACCGCGACGCAACCGCGCAGACAGGTACGCCCCGCAAAACTCAAAGGGTCTGTCAAAGGGTCTATCGGATCGGCGTGCGACGACATAATGATGGTAACGCCGCTTCCAAGATGATCAGGGCTCCCTGTTATTATCATATGGTGCGATCTGGTCTTGAAGGCCATTACGATTGTTCAATGTGGTCTAGAGAAATTCAAATCAGTCTAGGAATCTAAGTCGTCAAGGAGGCACTTCAGACCAAACTACTTTAAAAGTCTTATCCTTGCTGGACCAAGTACTAACTTGCATTCAGTATACATAGCCAATGGAGATTGGACTAGCTAGTAGGTATCATAATGTAGGTTAATCCATACAGAAAACTTCATGTATGGAGATGTAAGTCGATGGCAGTCCTCCGTCGGACTGTGCGACACTCATGGCGCATGCACAAGCCCCGCCAGTGCATGATATGCAAAGTAGATCTATGAACTGTGTCACCGGGAAGATAAGCACTTGAGCCTCCATATGCCATGCTTTTCACCTTGGACGTATCGCTGGCGCAAACTTCCATCAGAGCGGATGGCAGCTCAACCCCCCTTGAGGCCGGGAGCAATTGTCCTTTTGCAATACTCATACGGGTAGGTCATTAAATTCCAAGCCAGCCTAGCGCAGCGGACGGTAAACTGAACCTAACGTCGTCTGGGTCTAGACACTGGTTACCGGAATCTCCGGCACTCGGTTTTAACCGCTGCCGAGCCGTTCCCGCAGGACCCATTCCACCAGGATACCCAGGTCCTGCGAGGTCTCCAAGACCCTGGCGATCTTTTTGTGGATATTCTGCAGGCTTGGCTTATCATCCGTCCCTTGCATCTCGGTGTCCCCGGGATCGCCATTGGTTGCATTGAGACCCGAGCTGTCGACCACGGAAATGCAACCATTGAGGCCAACCTCGAAACAGAGTGAGACTTGTACTGACTCGCGCACAAATTTGTCGACGCTGCCGATATTTTTGCCGGGATTAGTGATAAGCAACATGAGGGCTGGAGACTGTCCAAGTTGTGAGCGTAGTGTCACGTCTACCTTGACATCGTTCATGAAAAGTCGGTCATCTTGGTCGTTGGACCACGAGAAAATGCCGCTATTTTCAGCAGTTGGGAACCCATCACTGAGCAGCATATTGAGCTTCTCTTCGTTCGGATCATCATTGCTGAGAGTAATGGTGCTTTCTGAACCGTTAAAGAGACTTGGGTCTGGACCAGAGGATAGGGCAGAAGATAACTTTGTTGGTGTCGATTTCGTCGAGGGCGTCTTCGCAGATACTGTCTTGTCGGGTGTTTCCTGAGTAGGAGTCTTGAAGACTTTGCGAATCAAACTTGCAAGCAAAGCGTATTGACGTAATACCTAAGTTCTATTAGAGCTTTTTTTTTTCTTTTACAACGAGTCAAGGCGCGGGGTTTCACATACAGGAAGGATGTCGGCAATTTGTCGAGGATGGGAAAATGGAAGCTCACGAATCTTGCGGCCTGCAACGGACTCGAATGCCTGGAAGGTGTAGTTATGTTGTTTAACCTGAGTTGTGCCGGTTGAATCAACGGAATACACAGACATCCTGCGCTTTCTACGACTCGGTTGAGGCGACGCATCGCTTGCTGTCGAGTCTGAAACCAGCAACCAGTCATATGTAAACATCTTAAACTCATGCGGTAATTGCATTCCAAGATGACGATAGATGTCGGACGCAGCGAGAATAGGAATGTCTAGGGGTGGCTCTAGCTTGGCAACGAAGCGGCGATTTGGCGGGGATGATTCCAGCATACTGGAGTCAAGAGCCATCGGATCAGGGTGGTTTCCATGCGAAAGTCGCATAGTCTGAGGAGGGTCAAGCCATTCAACAGACCGCACAGTTTCAGCAGGTGGTGAGGACTCGGACTTATCGCCAGATGTGAAGACCTCGGTCCCTATCCACTCTTTGGAGATGCGAAGGGACGGATATCCCTCTTCGCACTCAATCATGACAGTCCATATGCGTTCTTGGTCTTCCAGATCAATGGCCTCTCCGTCAATCACCATTGCATCAGGCGATCTTTTTGCCTTGACATCCAAGACCTTGGCCTGGTCGACCCAAAACTCCAGGCCAAGCCCGATTCGGGATCCTTTGTGCATGCTTGGACGACCGATGACCCCAGAACAGAGATGTTCGTAATCTCCGCCATACTTGCTATTCTTCCCTTCTTCCACCCAGATGCGCTTAAGGTTCTCCTCAAGACCTTCCAACGCCTCAAAACAGTTCACTTCTTGACTGAGCTTATCCAGTTTGGCGAGCCACTGCAAGTTCTCATAGAAACCCTGGAGTGACTTCCAATTCCCTGTCTCGCTGTCTTGAGGCGATTGCGCAAGGTTACGCTTCAGAACAGCAGTCGCTTCTTCTCGTCGCTAAACCCTAAAACCCTAAACCCTAAACCCTAACCCTAAACCCTAAACCCTAAAACCCTTTATTCGAAGCACTACGACCCAATCCCTTAGTGCATTGAATTCATTTAGCCAGGACCCATTATACCAAGCATCTCTTCGCCCCCTTCGCCCTCTACAGAGTAAGGTAACTACTCAGGGATATTGCCTGATCTTTCAGGCATTCATTAACTTCCTACTTCGGTCCTATTCCTTACTACATAGTGAGGGAGAGGGTCCTACTAGCTATCTAGGGCTCTATACCCTAGACCCTAGCCAGCTAGGAGCCCTAGAAGCCCTAGAGACCTTCCTATCTAGCCTACCCTCTCCTGACCCTACGATACTAGAGGAAAGGCCTAGGTCGCCTATCGATGAATCTGATTCAGCACTAGAGAGTGCCTCAGAAGATGACCTTACCCAGCTCCCTCAGGCTACCTTTGAGAATGCCTTAGTCAGCGAGGGGGTAGGCCTAGTTATGAAGCTTATCCTCTTACTTACTGAGTGCCATATCACCCACCAAAGGGAAATTCCGCTATATGCCTTCCTTGCCTGCTATAGCCGCAACTACTCACGTGACTGCTTTAAACCCTTAGACCGGATTAGTCATACCTACTCAGCTATCATCAAGGGTCACCAATTCGTGTTTCTCTACTGGTTACACACTACCAAATTCGCTCAGCCTAGCCAGGATGAATCTATGGCTAGTTTTATCCGAAAGTGGATGCATCAATACTTTACAGCCCAATCAGAATCCCCACTAGGTCATGTGCTCGTCCTTAGGGGCCTAGCCTTTACTGTGATGAAATCTTCAACCTCGCTTGGAAAGATCCATATAATAGGGCCTCATACCCTACGCTATGGTCATGTGACTCTCTCCCAGCAGGATCTTATTGTCCTAGTTACTAAGGGTATAGGGCGGCTAGCCCTAGACCTATCAAATGAGCTCTTCTTTGAATTTAGTAACTTCCAAGAGGTTAGTTCTACCTATCTGCCTACCTCTCTGCCTACCTATCTGCCTACCTCTCTGCCTACCTCTCTGCCTACTAAGCTTACTAACCTATATATATATATATAGATCCTACCTACACTCAACCTCTCTAAGGCTGCTAGCTTTGAAGATATTGGCAATATAACCAATCAGTGGTCCTTCCTCTCTGCCTATCTTACCCAGGATTCCCGTGACTTCCTTCTACGAAAGGCCCTAGCTACCTCTAGTTGGGTGGCACAGATCCTAGGAGAAGAGGGTCCTACTATCGAAATCTCTAGGTCTAGGGCCCAAACCTACCTAGAGACTAGTAGTAGGTGGTTAAAAGGGCTTCTGACCCTATGTCATATGACTAGTGGGGCGCCTGCTAGGGGTACTGAGATTAACCAGGTGATCTGGCATAATACCCCTATTAACCCTAGGAATCTCTTCCTAGACCCTGTGAATCATATCTTCCTAATTCGGCTGGCCTATTCAAAGACCTTTAGCCGTAGTGGCCAAGAGAAGGACGCAGTGAGGGCCCTTCCACAATCACTCTCGTACCTCTTACTAGCCTATCTGGCTTATATAAGACCCTTTGAGGAAGCCTTTCTAATCTCGCTGAACCAGCAGCTGCCTGAGGCCTACTTTCTACTTTTCTGGGACTACCATACATCTCAGCCCTTTTCATCTAAAGTTCTCTCTTATACCTTGAAAGCCCTAACTAGTGATCTACTCACTCAGCGGTTTAATATCCCAATCTGGCGTCACCTAATGCAAGGGTTTATTAGGTATGGCCTAGGCCTATCTAATACCCTAGAAGACCCTACCACTGATGAGATAGACGATGAGGGCCTAGGTGCAGACCAAATGAACCACTCAAGGGCAACTGGCCTAGCTATCTATGGCAGAAGCGTGGCTAGCTTCCAGGGTATTAGGGCTGATATCCAAACTGCCCTTATTAGCTTTAGCCAGCGGTGGCATACCTATCTCGGTGTATCACCTGACCAGCTCGTGCTAGGGTCTCTCTTCTATAATAGGGCCTTCTTAGTGCCTAAGGCAGAAGCAGAGCCTAGCCTACCTCAGCAGCCTAAGGCACCCTTAGCCCTTGGGCTACCACTAAATTGGCCAGTTGTTCAATGTCGATATCCTACTAGGCCTGGGGTCCCTACCCCTACCTATAGGGTCTCGATAGGCCAATTTAATGAGTTTATGGGCCTATATGGGGTACCCCAGGCAGCTAGAGGGCAGATAGACCAACCACCTAGTCTTGATGCTAGCCAAGAGATTCGCCAGTTAGCCTATTCACCCTTAATAGCGAGTGGCCAGATTGGGATAGGTCTCCTAACCCAGCTACTTAGGGAATTCCTCAATGATAATCAGGCTACCTTTCGTAGCCCTGATCAGCGAGAGGCCTTCTACCTAATGATGAAGCATATACCCTATCTCTTTCTTATCCTACCTACTGCTGCTGGGAAGACTACGCTATTCCTACTAGGGGCTAGCCTCTTTAATAGCCACGTGACTATTATGGTGATTCCTCTCATTTCATTAAAGCTTGACCTACTAGGTAAGGCTAAGGCCCTAGGGCTAAGGCCTACTACATGGGACCCTTCGCAAGAATCTCTTCCCTCGGAGTCTAGGCTAATCCTAGTGCAAATTGAGCACGTGGTCTATCCTGAATTCCTAGAGATGGCGAATACCCTGATTAGTCAGAAGAGACTAGCAAGAGTCATTTGGGACGAATGCCATCTAATTCCTCTCTCAAAGACCTATCGGCCTATTATGAATCGCGCATGGCATGCCCTAGCCCTAGGGGTCCCAATGGTATTTGCTTCGGCTACCCTACCTAGGCATCTACAGAGCGAGCTTAGTGAGATGCTTCACCTAGGCACCCAGCCCTATAGCCTACGGGCTAGCCTAACGCTAAAGCACATAGCCTATAGGGTTGAGGCCCTACCTCCTACGCTCGGAGAGAGTGGCTATCCTAGCTATATTAGCCAGTTTATCAAAGGATTCGCCCTTAAGCATGGCCCCTTTGGTTCTAGTGTTAGTACTAAGGCTAGTGCTAGGGCTAACCCAAAGGTGATTATCTTCTGCCGAACAAAGGCCTTGGTTGATAGCCTATTTAATGCCTTGCAGCCTCAGGCAGCGAGATTTCACTCTGGCCTATCTGATGATGAAAAGCTGCTTCAGCTAGGGCGCTTTAGGGTAGAGACCCCTATCCTACTAGCCACTAGTGGGATTGGTGCTGGCTACGATTTCCCTGATGTTAATCTCGTTATCCACTTTATGCCTGGTGTTTATGAGATGACCAATTTTATGCAGGAATCTGGTAGGGCTGGTAGGTCACCTGATTCGCTAGCGTGGTCCTACTGCCTAGTGCAATCCTGGCAGCTAAAGCAGGTGCCTAGTCATTCAGTGCCTCAGGCTGCAGAGAAGGTCTATTTCCAACAATACCTACTTGACCAGATCTGCCGTCGTAGGGTAATCTCTAGGGTCTTCGATGCAGAAGCTATAGAGAGATGTGACCCTATCTGGGCCCAATGCGACCTCTGTGCTCACCGCTTATCCAGCCATTCTATAATTACCTCTAGGGTCCGAAACCAGACCCAGAAAGACCTAGAAGGTATAGAATTCATCGCAAGGGCTGTGAGATTCTGGACAAATGAGCAGTGCCCTATCTGCTGTATTAATTGGTCAGGTAAGCTTATTACCCTACTATCCTAGCCCTAGCCCTAGCCCTAGCCCTAGCTATAGCTATAGCCATAGCCCTAGGCCCTAGTCTATTCTATCTTACTAATATAATATATAGCATTAGAAGAACCTAGGCCGCCTAGGCCCTTAGGCCATGGGCTTACTACCTGTGAGACCTTCCAGTCGCCAATCTTTATTAGGTCGGCTAAGGAGTTAGTGACACGGGTAAACCCTAAGGAGGAAACCTGCTGTTATAGGTGCTTCCTACCTACTAGGGTCTGTAAGGGCCCTTTGGTGACGAATGAGGGTAAAGGGTGCTTCTCAGATAAGCTACTAGTTAGCTTTTGGACGGTTTGTAATATGGCCTTCAAGGGTAGGGGCTTAGGGAATAGTCCCTACTTTAATAAGGAGTGGGTGCCTAGTGAATGGGAGCCTAATACGTTCTATGAGGCAGGGTGGAGCTGGGACACAGAGGTTATTAGGGTAGTAGTAGTCTTCTATTACTTTGCCCGCCAGTATTATAGTAAGCATGGATGGAATTAGTAGGTAGGATTAGATAGTAGGGCTTTCATTAGTAATCGATCATATTAGCCTAGGTTAGGCAGGATAAAGGATACTAGCCATTCAGCTTATATAGAAGTAGTAAACCTATAGTCGCCTACCATCTAGCCTACCAACTAGGACCGTCAACATACCCTACCAACTGGCAGACCGGCGGGCCTCCATCCATTAGACTCGCGGCCCTCTATCTAGCCTACCAACTGGCAGACCCGCGGGCCTCCATCTAGCATCCACCTAGCAGACCCGCGGGCCATCCGCCTAGCCTACCAACTGGTAAGAGCCGCGGGCCTTCAACTGGCAGCCCCGCGGGCCTTCAACTATCAGACCGACGGGCCTCCAGCCATCAGACCCGAGGGCCTCCATCTAGCATCCACCTAGGAGACACGCGGGTCTTCAACTATCAGACCGACGGGCCTCCACCTAGCAGACCGACGGGCCTCCACCTAGCAGACCCGCGGGCCATCCGCCTAGCCTACCAACTGGTAAGACCCGCCGGCCTTCCACCTAGCATCCACGTAGCAGACCCACGGGCCTTCAACTATCAGACCGACAGGCCTCCATCCAGCAGACCCGAGGGCCTTCCACCTAGCATCTATCTAGTAGGCCCGCTGCCCTCTATCTAGCCTACCAACTGGTACGACCCGCGGGCCTACAACTATCAGACCGACGGGCCTCCACCTAGCATCCATCCATCAGACTCGCGGGCCTTTATCTAGCCAACCAACTGGCAGACCCGCGGGCCTTCCACCTAGCATCCATCCATCAGACTCGCGGGCCTTTATCTAGCCAACCAACTGGCAGACCCGCGGGCCTCCAGCCATTAGACCCGCGGGCCTTCCACCTAGCATCCACCCAGTAGACTAACGGACCTCCATCCAGCAGACCCGCGGGCCTTCACCTAGGATCTATCTATCAGACCCATAGGCCTTCCACCTAGCCTACCAACTGGTAAGACCTGCGGGCCTTCAACTATCAGACCGACGGGCCTCCACCCAGCAGACCAGCGGGCCTCCATCCAGCAGACGCGCGGGCCTTCAACTATCAGACCGATAGGCCTCCACCCAGCAGACTAGCGGGCCTCTATCCAGCAGACGCGCGGGCCTTCAACTATCAGACCGACGGGCCTTCACCCAGCAGACCAGCGGGCCTCTATCTAGCCTACCAACTGGTAAGACCCGCGGGCCTTCAACTATCAGACCGACAGGCCTCCATCTAGCAGACCCACGCGCCTCTGTCTATTAGACTAGCGGGCCTCTATCTAGCAGACCCGCGGGTCTTCATCTAGCCTACCAACTAGTAAGACCCGCGGGCCTCCACCTATTATACCCACGGGCCTCCACCTAGCAGACTTGCGGGCCTTTAACTATTATACCTTCCAACTGGCCTTCTAATAGGCCTTTCACCTAGCCTTTCTATCTAGCCTACTATCTAGCCTACCCCTAGGCCTCTACCTAGCCTACTAACTAACCCCTTCCGCCCTATATTCTATCCTCTATACTATCCTCTCTATTATTCTATCTACCTATATCTCTCTTATAGACCCCTTTACGCTATACCTATAGTAGAATTAATATATATATCCTACTAGTATTAAGAATATATCACTCTATTAATTCCTCTTATATATTAGTATAATATATTATTAGGATATATATTTATAACCACTAAGCTTAATAGATTTCATCGCTTAATAACTTCGTGGATACTAGCCTAATTAAGATACTACTAATATTAATCTAACCGCCGAGACTCCCTCTATTAAACGAGCCTACCTAGGATTAGTCATCTAGTAAAAAGTTTCAAACTCCCTTTCCCTACTAATTATCCTAGTATAAGGCTTGCTTACGTAATATAAATCCTCTAGCCTAGTAGCGAGAGGGCTATAGTATCTAGAACTTCTTCCCTTATTCTAATAGCTTACCTCGTTCGCGAGATATTAAAGGATTACTATTAGCCCTGATACTAGCCTTAAGGACTTTCTAGGGTCTAGAAGTTAGCCTAATAGCTAAGCCTAGTACTTACATAAGGGATGTCTAGCTTAAATAGGGATAGGCTACCCGCGCGAAAAGGTCTTGGCATCCCCCATCAAAAATAATTCACGAAAACCAGACCCCCTTAGCCCTCACTATTCTAGGTCGAAATCTAAAAATGTAAATAAGCCAAAAGATTGGAAAGGCTTTAATATTAAAAGATTTAAAAGACCCGATCGAAAAATACTAAGATTTGACTGACCTACTTAGGGGGGGGGTACCGTGTTGACTCGGTACCCCCCCCCTTGCCAAGACTTTTTAACTATGGGTACCCCCCCCTACCGGGCGATTCTATGTTTAGGGCCATATTCAGGCCCTAATCTAGTCCCATGGGCGGGTATACTCATGGCCTACCCACGTGGGTATTCCCATGGGCGGGACGCGGGTAGGGAGTTAGTCCCATGGGAGTCCCATGTCAATGTCTACCCAAAACCTAACCCGCGTGCGGGTTAGGTTGGGTTGGGTTTTGGGTTTTGCGGGTTATGGCGCAGGCTATATAAGGGAAGGATAAAAAAAGGGGTAATGGTATACGTTCAGACCAGAACGGAGGTAAGAAACAGTAAATAAGCTTAGGGTTATGCAAAAATTTCAGGCCAAATCAGGCCAAATAAGGCGAAAAATCTTAAATCAGGCAGGATTAGGTGTCGATGGGCCGGCCCATAGGCGCCTATAGGAGGAACCAGGTCATCGCACACCGACCGAGAGGTCATCGCACACATCACGTGATATTTACAATAATTATGGCCCGTGCTTATCGCAACCCTGTAAATTTCTAGGGTAAACCCTTGTAACCTAGTAATCTATCCACACACCCCACTTCTTTCTTTTAGTCTCTCTTAATTATCAACCTATCTACCATAGAACGCGCTACAGATTATACCTAGAGGGCTTATAAGGATCGTACACTCTCTGAGCTTCTACAGTTTAATTCTACGCCCGATATAGAGGATATAGGCGATTATGTCGACCCATTTGACAGCAAGCAAGAATTTGAAACCGCAATTCCTAACCTAGACGAGGTAAATATATATTCACCACATTTAATTCCAAACTAGTTGCGAAATAATTATTAACTACAGTAGTTTATTTATAGGTAATTTATATTCCGACTCCATTAATCTATCATCCAGCCTAAGCTATATTAGCTGCTATAGTTGAATACGTACCTTTACTCCCAGAGTATCTAGAGACTTATGATGAAGGGTTTGTCTATATCGTGAAGATCGATATAGGCATTCCGTAATGGTAATTCTAAAATTACGAAGGATTTACGTTCTTCCAGAAAAGTGGGGCAAAGTAAAAATTAAATCACGTGATGTATGCGATGACCTTACACCATATGTGCGATGACCTATATGCACCGCCTATAGGCGGCCCATAAAGGGGCCTGACTTCGCTGTCCATACGTGGGCCGCCCATGGACGGGCCGTGGACCGGACTTTTTGTCCATGGACGGCCCATGTCAATGTCTAGTGGCTCCTATATACGACTCATCCTTCCATCGCTCCTACCAACATCATCTAGCTCACGATACCTTTGCACGATCCCATGCCGTCGCAAGATTGCCCCTCGTATTGAAGATGCTCTCGTAAGTCTGTGGCTGGGCATTGTAGGCCTCATCCGTGGCCTTGACCACCAGCACAGCCTCAGAAACAGTCTTGCCATCATCTGGCACCTGCCCCTTATACCTCCAACGCTTCCAGCACCATGCCCTACTTCCACTCACTTTAGCCTCATCATCCAACAGCTCAGCCTCGTGCCATGTCCTGCCTCCGTCGACACTGACATCCACACGGATAATCTCACGCCCCCCACCCGAGTACGCATAGCCTTCTGCGCAGAAGGATTCCACCTCGCCCCTGCCGCCCCTGGTTGGTTCAACGTGTGTAATTGCTGACGTGACGGGCATCTCCTGTATTGATCGAGCCCTTTGCCAGTCCGGATTCTTGACGTCGCTGGGGCAGAAGCTCTTGTAGTCGCGCCGCTGCCACTGGGTGGGAGACTCATCCTCAGATATCGTAATCTGGGATAGCCACTTGACACTGCGTGCTGCTACCGTGCCCGGAACGATGACTCGCACAGGGTAGCCATGATCCCGCGGCAGCTCGGCGCCGTTCATGTCAAAGGCTAACAGGACATCCCCCCAAGGGTCGATGGCCTTGCGGATAGGGATGGACGCTCCGTACGTCTCCATGGCCGAGAAATGGACATGCTGAGCGTCGGGTGGGAGCTTCTCAATATCCAGACCAGCATCGGCGAGGACGTCGACAAGCTTGACCCCCTCCCACTCGGCAGTAGAGATGGCACCGGCTTTCCACTGGAGTCCGTTTGTCGGCCCCACGCCGTCCGTCATCGACTTGCGGCGATTCCCGGCACACTGCAGTGTAGTCATGAGCTTATGTCTCTGAAATCTCTGCTTAAGTTCCTTCACAGTATATGTCCTTTCGCTCCCATCCGTCAGCTCGATGATGACCTTATGTTCTTCTCCATCCACGGCGGGAACCCAGAAATGATTTCGGACATAGAACAGCTCGTTCGGGGTAATGAACTCTCTGAGCCCTCCCTCTGGCGTCTCTGCATTTCTTGGACAAGGCGTCAGCGTCACGAGTCGCGCATCCCGTTCCGGGTCATTTTGGAATGGGTCAACGATGGCGTCCTGGGGTACTCGGCCATCCTTCAATTCAGCATCGTCTATCTCGCCAATTTTATATTGCTCCAGGATTTCGTAGACGTCCGGCCGTTTATGTATCGTAAAGATGTCCCAGTACGGTTCTAGACTGCCTCCCGCGGCGGTTAAAATCACTTCACCCCCGGGATGAGCCTCGACCCAGTCTGTAATGTCATACACCGAAATTCCATTGATAACCCAGGGGTTCTTGGATGATCCGTCGTGCTGCTTGACCTCAGCCAGGCGGAAAGTTCTGATTTTGGCCTCGACCTTGCCGTCACCGTTTTCGTAGGAGTCGTCGCTCAATAATTGGAGGGACCCGGCAGCGAACCCAACAGCTATGGCACCTCTGCTCGCGAGAGAGGCCCACGACCTACTGGTCTTAGGATTATTGCTTGCATGATGCGAATAGAGCCTGATCCCTCCCAGGTGCGTTGGAAGGGTTGGTTGACGAGGATGTCTCGCATGCTGGGCACAGCTCATCCAGCAGCTGCTTTCTAAACGTGCCAGCAGTCGGCCGGATATGGCGTACTTCAGCGGCATGATCATGAGCATTCGTGGGTAATTGCAATATGTCCAGTTCTCAACTGTCGCATTCCGTTGAAGTGTCAAAGAGGGTGTTTAGCCGCCGGCCACACTCCTGAGCCCCTCTCGTCTCCATACTGTAATCCTTTCTCGCGTAGGACGGGAGCTCGCACCTCCGGGCATCATTTGATCGGCGATTGCAACCCATCGGCGATTGCAACCCGGCGTATACCCCAGAAACTCACATGAACGGCAATGAGTGCGGGCCCCGCTATTGAAGGGCCGACGCTAGCCGATGCTAGCAATGTACCCCACATTGTACAAATTCTGGGGTGAGGCTCTGACCGGAGAAATTTTCGGACATACTGTACTGTAGTGCTCCACATCGACAGAACGATCTTGCACGCGCTGTAGCCCACTAAATTGATGCCTGCCTGAACTCATGCATTTGGGGAAGACGAATCGGAGAAAACATCGGTCAACTTGTGATAACATGTGTCATTTTGGGGCTAGCTACTTCGTGGAGATTTCAGGTTGCCCCCTTGCCCCCTAACGACCACGCCGCCCGTTTAAGACTATCAACTTAGTTCGTGTTTGCATGCCACAAAAGATAAGACTTGATGAGGAATTTTGCAGTTTCCTTAATCCATCCCACGTTCGAAGAAAAAATGTCACCGCATCAAGTCCAAGACCTCCTGACCGAGCCACGACGGGCTAGCTGGAAGGAGGCTTCCGTCTACCAGATATGGCCTGCCTCCTTCAAGGACTCAATGGGGTCGGGGACGGGTGATCTGAGGGGTGTCATTTCTAAGGTCGACCACCTCAAGAAGCTGGGAGTCGATGTCGTCTGGTTGTCACCCATCTTCGAGAGCCCTCAAGTTGATATGGTTAGTTTCATATGCTTTCATTAGGCGGCAATACGATCGTGGATCAAGACACTCATCCTCTATCATGTGGCCCTCAACTGATGCAAAGATTTCAATCCCAGGGGTACGACATTAGTAACTACCGCGTGATTGATCCACGGTATGGTTCTATTGAGGACGTATATGTGTTGAGGGACAGGCTCCACGAACGAGGTATGGAGCTCGTCATGGATCTCGTCATGAATCATACCAGCGACCAGCATGAATGGTTCAAACAGTCGCGGAGTTCTCGCAAGAACAAATATCGCGATTGGTACATCTGGAAGCCTGCGCGGCTTGATGCTCAGGGCAACCGACAACCACCTAAAAATTGGCAGAGCCATTTTCAAGGTACGTCAAGTTTTGTCCTAAACAACTACGGGCCACGAAGAAAAAATAATCATTTAAATTGATGGTAATGCTCAGGGAGTACGTGGGAATGGGATGAATGCACGGGAGAGTACTATCTCCACCTCTATGGCAAGGAGCAGCCAGACCTGAATTGGGAGAACCCTGCGGTTCGCCACGAGGTGCATGAGACGATGCGGTTCTGGCTCGACCGTGGCATCGATGGTTTTCGTTTCGACGTCATAAACTTCCTCAGCAAGGGCACGGAGTTCCCAGACTCATTCAGCGCCTTCTTCCCGGGATCTGAGTTCTATGCCGCTGGGCCTCGACTCCACGAGTACCTGCAGGAACTGGGAAGGATTCTCCAAGAGTATGATGCTTTCAGCGTGGGCGAGATGCCATGCGTCCACGATACGAAGGAGATTATCAAGAGTGTCCAGGCCACGGTTACCCGCCAAGAACCTATGGGTCTATAGGTATAGGTTTTGGGTATTGGGTATGAACCCAACCCGCGAGTACGGGTCCTAAAGTTAGACCCAAACCCGACCCAAAGCGAGGTCTAATAGAAACTATCGAAGCTAAGAATAGAGCCAAGTGATTGACGACTCTCATATTTGGTCTGCCAGCACTCTGAACTGCGGTAAGAGAGACGCTAACCGCATCGGATGAGTTCCTAGTTCCTACTACTAGAGTCTTGCTGCGTCTAGTCTGACTGGACTCGTCGCGGGCCATGTTCAGCTAGTACTAGCTACTAAATATATGTAGATATTTAAAACGAAAGGGAATAAATAAATTCTCCTTATCTTTTAGTGTTAGTCCACGGGTTTTAGCCAGTTTATCTGGCACCTTTACATCTGCACGGGTTGAACTTGAGGGTCTCTATGCTTGTTAGCTAGCTCACCTCAATGATATGCCTCCCGCCCTTAACTCCTTTCACTTCCACCAAGTCCACCACCATTTCTATCCTCCTGAACCACTCTGCCGCCGTTTTCTTCCCATCAACCGTCACTGACGGCATGCTCCCCCTGCTGCACAACCGGCAGGACGAGCACTCCCTCTGTCCCGTCCGGCGTCTCAATTATCGCGCTGTACGTCTTCCCACTGTTCACCCATTTTGCCTGATACTTCCCCAAGGACGTCGTCAGCCCACCCTCGGCAGTCTGTAAGTCTCCAAACTGCGGCGCAAACATCCACGTCGCCCCGGCGGGACTTGTAATACTCAAGCCAACGATATAGGTGGTCAGGGCGTTCGTTGGCCCTGAACTCCACCCATGCGCGTGCGAAACATAGCTAAAATCATTGTCATAGCCGTCATTCCACCGATATCCAAAGGTGCCATTGACCAAGTAACCCTCGATGGTGGTACTTTCGCTGCCGTTCGGATTGTTGATATACCACCCCCACGACAGGCGCATCAGATCCAGCGCACGCTGCGCGTGTCCCGCGACGAGGTGCGCCTGCAGCTCGAAGCTGGAGATGTACGGGCTCACTTCACCGGGCAGCTCGGGACAGTTGGCGCCAATGGGAGTCCAGTTCGTCGTCAGCCACTGGCTGATGCTCTGCGCTTCCGCACTGTCGGGCCTGATCACGCCGAAGGCCACGGCCATCGAATTCGAGCCCTGGTCGTGCAGCGTGGTGTTCGTGGCGTTAGACCTGAACGCCCCCAACGAGGCGTCGTAGCAGTACTTGAGCGTGGCTGCCTGCAGCCTCACGGCATCCGCCGTCCACGCTGCCGCGAGGTCCGGGTCGTCGCCCACCCAGCGCGCTAGGTCGGCGCCCGTGATCAGCGTCTGGTACAGAATCATCTGGGCGATGGTCTCGTTGTAACCGGTGACCAGCTGGCCCCAGCCTTTGGTGCCGGTGACGTTGAGCAGACCGCCGGTGTAGCTTTGGTAGCCGGTGACCCAGTCCATGGCGCGCTTGTAGCCGTCCCAGTTGCTCTGTCCCCAGGCAGTGTCGTTGGTGTAGAAGATGTAGTTGTACGTGCCGATCATCGTCCACATATGGTAGGTGGTGCTGCCTTGTTGGAGGAGCGGTGGACCGGCTTGGGGAAATTCGCCGTCGGCATTTTGGTAGTCATACATGCTTTGAAGACTGTTCTTGGCTTGTCTGCGGACCAGATGGTCAGTCGACGAACGAGCCCATCAAAAATCGATCACTTACTCCAACTCTCCCAAACTGACAAACGTCGATGGCACCGCAACGCCCATATCACCAGGCCAAATCTCGCGATCCCGCTTGGCGCCATCCACCAAAATGGTACTCCCATTTCCCAGGGTGCCGTTATTCTCCCACCCAGTTTCCAGGAAGGGGAACCACCGCCCATAGGTGTTCGGCACCGTATCGGTCTGCAGCGTATAAGCACCACCATACCAGATCCGGTTCAGCAGATCATCATCGCAGGAGAAGTATCCTTGATAGGCTTGGAGGTTTGACCAGGTCGGCATGAAGCCGATCTCGAGCTCGATGTCCGTGATCTCGACCGACGCATTGTCTGCCATCAGGAAGAGCGTCAGGTACCGGAAGCCGCCGCGAAGCTTGTGGTCCGGCATTGTGTACGCCACGTCACCGGTGCCGGTGAAGTTGGAGTATATGGCGCCGTCTGGCCCGATCATGTCACCATTCGACGAGTCGGACCATTCTCCGATCCAATTCTTGGCCTCCGTAAAGGCGAGACCGACCGCACCATGCCCGACATCCGGAGAGTAGTCGCTGCGCTGGGGTGAGGAGGCTTTGCGCCCAGGGGCGTATGGGGCGGCTGGGCTCACGCTGTATTTGAGCGAGACGATGCCGCCGACCTCCTTGCCGAAGTCGAAGACGTAGAGCGAGCCATTGTGTGGCAGACTGGCCTGGCCGGGCCACTGGCGCACGTCATCCAGGTTGGTGATTGGGAAGAACGTCTCGGGCTGGACGGTGCGTGACGAGGGCGCGAACATATACCGCTCCCACGCGCCGGGGAAGGCAGGCTCAGTGATGGCACTGCAGGTGTAGTTCTTCCAGCAGGACGCGCCGACGGCCTGGCGCGCCGACGCGAGCAGGAGAAGGGAGGCATTGAGAAGAGATCTGGGGAGAATCATGGCTGTTGCAAGGGCAAGGGCGAGGGCGTGGCCAAGAAACTCTTCTGGTTCATGTCGAGACCCTAGCGCTGGGGGAAGCCATGATGTAGTAGTCATGTCCTGCGTCGTTGTCGGCGGCAGTCTTTGCGCGGGGACAAGACCATCAACCATGACGATAGGCAGAGATCTGACCTCACAGCATTTCGTTTCCTTCTCGGTGCATCTCGGTGTATTACAACCCGACCGCTGAATTCTGAATTTCTTCTGATGGAGTAGCCCGGATGTTGATCAACGGGTAGTGCCCTTGCCAAACCCCGGCTGAGTCGTCTAGAAAGAGTCGGTAGTTTTGCCGATCTGCGGGGAAGCGAGAACCAAGCCACTGGGGTCGCACAAAACGATGGCGACTCCTCGTTCTTTGCAAAGCCGATATGGGGAATTCCAGTCTAGTGGCGCTGCGTACCAAGGCAGTTGTGGATAAATAACCGGTCCCGAACCGGGACAACCCCAAATTCCACGGGAGGCATTTCTCCGTCAATGACATCTAGAGGCACATCTGATTTCCTTCATCTCGTGGCTATGTGATGCGTGTTGCCATTTGGCGCCAGTTCCTGGTGACTCTTCCGCTGCCTACTTGCCACGTCAAAGATCGGCGGGGGATTTGACCACCGGCCATCGTCGTGGAATTCTGCCACCAATGGGCCGACAAGGTGCCATCGGCATCGTTGGTTTTGCTGCTCATGGCTGCATCACATCATAAAAGCACGCCCAACAGTTTCAGGACGGGAGACACAACCTGGATCGTATAGGGCCAAGTTTGACCTGACCAGCTCTCTCCTTCTCCTCTCCTGCCAAGACGTGGTACATCATGCGCACCTTCACTCTCCTCACGCTGGCAGTTGCTGCTCTTGTGCAGGTGACTACGGCCTACCTGCCTCCCTTCTGCGACGGCCCTGGTCATCATCCGCCTTACTGTCCCGGATCGAAGAGCTTGTTGAGCCACATGAATGGCTCCGTTCAGGTCACCACTCTCGGGCCGGAGTTACGTCGCCAATGCACAGTGTACGCCCATGGGGGTAACGTGTCGGACGTGCCGAACATCCTCAAGGCATTCGATGAGTGCAATCATGGCGGCCACGTCGTATTCCCCGAGGACCAAAACTACTTCATTGGCGAGAAGCTGAACCCGACCTTGTACGACGTCTCCGTCGAGTGGCGCGGCTGGTGGACGGTGAAGCCCGACATAGCATACTGGGCCAATAACCAGAGCCACTACTTCATCCAGTTCCAGAACCATGTGGCCGCCATCGTCTTCAGCGGCGACCACTTCAAGATTGATGGCCACGGCACTGGCGGCATCTTTGGCAATGGCAATCTGTGGTACCAGGCCGAGCAAGGCACTTCCGTGTTCGGCCGGCCGATGGCGTTCGTCTTCTGGAACGTCAGCGACGTGCAGGTCGACAATTTCAAGAACCTCGACCCGCCGTTCTGGTCGACCAACATCATGAACGGCACCAACATGTATTTCAATAACCTGGTCAACAATGCGACCGCCCCCGGCGCACCGTACGGCGAGGACTGGGTCCAGAACACCGACGGCTTCGACACGATGAATGTCAACAACATCTACGTGACCAACTTCACGTACCAAGGCGGCGACGACTGCCAAGCCATCAAGGACCAGAGCTACAACGTCTTCGCCAAGAACGTCACCTGCATCGGCGGCAACGGCATCGCCGTCGGCTCGCTGGGCCAGTACCTCGACGACGCCAGCGTGGCCAACTACGAGGTTGATGGCGCTAACATCTACCCCTATAACGGCGTCTTCGGGCAAGGTGCCTATATTAAGACCTGGGTGGGCGTGCCCGTGGCGCAAGACTTCTACGAGTCGTGCTGCCAGCCGCGCGGTGGCGGCTGGGGCAGCGTGCGTAATATGGTCTTCCGGAATTTCAACCTGCATGGCCCCCAGCGGGTCGGCGCGATCAACCAGGCGAACGGCGACAACGCCAATGGCACGTACGCGGGTACGTCTAACATGGAGATCTCGAATGTCGTCTTTGCCAACTTCACGGGATTCCTCAACGGGCAGGCCCCCAACGACGATACCGTGCAGATCCAGTGCTCGGAGCGGCACCCGTGCTTCAACATCGAGCTGCAGAATATCACGGCCACAAATGGACCCAACACGACCAGTCTCGGCTTGGTGTCGTGCGAGTGGATCGCGCCCGGTGGCGTGCACTTGGGCAATATGAATGGGACGGGATGCTGAATCGAAGGTACACACAATATATCCACAAGGTAAGAGCGAATAAAGAATATTACCAATAGTAATCAGCCGATATTTCCTTTCCTATCGGGCGATTCTATGTTTAGGGACCGTCAACCAGCCACGCTCCTATACTAGATAGTTAACGTAATCGGAAAGCGAGTGGCGCATGTAAGCGAGCGGCGCACCCCAAAACACCATAGTAAATGCGATATTTAAGAACACAATATTTCAACAACCATAAGTTTATTCTACTTGGCTTTTAGTAATCCACTTATTTAGAGCAGAAATAGTATAATTTAAGAGTCTGGGGTAATTTATTTATAATATCACTACGCTTAATATAAAATACAGTGTAATTTAGCTTTCTGAGCTTCAAATATATATCATTAGCTCACTATGTCTTCAAAATTTCCGAGACCTTCAAATACCTTTAGACTTAATATAAAGGACATATTTTTATAGAAAGACCCTATAAGAAGCTATGGTTGTTTAGATATCAAGTTGTAATTAATCGCATTTACTATGGTATTTTGGGGTGCGCCGCTCGCTTACATGCGCCACTCGCTTTCCGAATACGTTACAGACTCTTATAATAAACAAGTTGAATTAAACTCAAGATGGGTTGACTCGATCTCAAGCTTATAGACAGACGGTATAGATACATAAATGCAAGATGTCATCCGGTTCGGATGAAAATGAAACTCAAGTGGTTAATACAGTGGAATATGGACAGCTTCCCCCCCCCCCTTCCCCCCCCCCCCCTAGTTTTCAGGGTAGGTATTTCGTGAAATGTGGCTAAAAGTATAGCTGAATTTAAGAACCGCTGTGGCCCATCTACACCCACCCACCCACCCTTCTGGGCGGTGTAGGTGGGTGTGAGCCACGGGTCCTCCCTTTATACACGAATGCCTCGGATCGGATTATACCACCACGACTGTTCGGAGTGGTTCTACTCGCCTTGGTGTTTCTTCGCTAACCAAAGACCACCAAGGATTATCGGCGCAAAAAAATTCGACATCATCCCCACTATAGCCATCCCGAACTGAAGGGAGCCATCTCGCACATCGTACTCCCGACCCGCACAGATCAGAAACGTCGGCCCCCACACCAAATACGCTCGCACCACGTTCTTCCATATATGTGCGGGCGAGTAAAACGCCCGGAAAAGGAAGAAGGCGGCAGCAACGCAGGCAATGATCATAGCCCAGTAGTTGATAATTCCTGAGGTGGAGGCCCGCCACTCAGCGTATTTATCTTCGTCGACACTGGCGTAGAGGAACGGTCCAATTTCCTTCCCAAAGACCCGGACGAAATCCATCTTGGAACTCTTTCGTAAGTCATCTGAGCGGCCGAATTTCCACAGATTGGCAGTGGCTTGGGCGATTTCGGAAGTAACGTCGTGTTTGTGGACGAGGGTATGGATCAAATAAGTCCTGACCTGTTTAGGTCCAGCGCTTCGTCGGGGAATTTTGCCCATGATACGAGGTAGATAGACGCGGTCGGGGGTATCACGGGTTCGGGTGGTAAGTGAGCTTATCCTTTGGCCCCTAGGATGTTTTGATATTCGTCCAGTGTGATCCGCACAATGGTGCTTTTGTCGACGAGAAGCTATGGTAAAATAGGGGGCTAGGTTGTTCGCATCGGCTACCGCCAGCACGCCAAGGCTTCATACCAAACTTAGTCATTCATTAACTAGTTAACGTAATTCACAAGCGAGCCGGCCACCCAAGCGAGCCGGCCACCCCAAAACATCATATTAAATGCTGTTTTTTACAACCTTATATCTCAATAACTAAAGCTCTAATTTATTCCAACATAAGTATACTGGTATTGATAAGCATTCTTTATTGTGGATATTAATTTTAAGCCGATCAAAATGTTGTATACTCACAATACCATAAATTACGTTGTAATTTAGCTAAATAAACCAGAAATATATATATTCCGCTACCAAAATTTCTTAGACTTCATCCAAGTTTATGTTTACTATATAGAACATGGCCTTAGAGTTTGCTATCTATAAGAGCCCCGATTGTTGAGATATAAGGTTGTAAAAAACAGCATTTAATATGGTGTTTTGGGGTGGCCGGCTCGCTTGTGAATTACGTTACTCAAACCTTTAGAAATACCATCGTTGAATCAGTCAACTATTCTTTCACTGTTCTTTATCGCATTTCAAGGCTTCTAGGGTATAGAAGCGAATCAAGCAAGGTGTCAACAACTAGTGCGTATCACTAAGGTCATATGGGTGAAGTGGTAGGAAGGAATTTCCCTGTTCCGCCGCCAGATCGCTCGCTCACTTTAACCGCTCAGTCAGTCATCAACCTCGTCACTATCAACATTAATTTTCATGTCTGTCAACACTCACCGACCGTGAACACTACAAGCGTCAACACTAAGTCAACGGCGGTCAACATCAACGACGGTCAGCCCTTACTATCGTCACTCACTATGAACACTCACTATCAACGTCAATTTTTAAATTCCTATCAAGAAGCTCCCCAAAAAAAAGCCCATCTGTTCACGCCCCGTAAGATCGATTTTCTACCTGATCGGCTCTGATTTTCCTGCATAAATCACTTGTTCGGTCCCTGGCCCTTCCGAGTCTGGTCCACTCCTCTTCGAAATTTGATCGGAATGAAGAGGCAATATTATCGAATCCTCATTCTATGGAGATGGCACTGTAACACTAGGATTAGGAGTCATCGACCGTCGAATTTCCTATGGTATCCCTCTGAAGTATCTTAATTTGAACATGTGCCACGTGACTGTATTTTATGTGCGGATAGGGAATGCCCGAGGTCAGGGATGCACAATTTGGAACCGGCGACTTTATTTTCTTCGTTCGAGGTTTATATGTCGCCGGTCCGACGCGTTCTGCAATCCATGGATTTGCCTATTATCGGATGAATTCTACAACACTCGCTTCAACGTGACTTACACAGTTAGATCTGGAATATGTGTTTGTCTCCAGATGAGACTAGACCTACCAAGTCAGAAGATGCTAGCAGTACTGCCCAACCCCAACATGAGAACAGTACCGAGGAACCAGAGGGGAACCCAACGGTGATGCACGGCTTCAAGCTCTGGGCTATTTTCCTCGGAATATGTTTCGGTGCTTTCCTGATGTCCTTGGATATCTTCGTTATCGCAACAGTACTATTACCCACCCCTTTCCTGTCCCAGAAAATCGAATCGTCTGACAAACCATGGATAGGCCATTCCATCCATCACGTCCGACTTCAAGGATACGTCGCAGTTGGCCTGGTATCCGGCCGCCTACTCACTCACGACATGCGCATTGACTCCGCTGGCAGGAAAGCTGAGCGCAACCTTTCCCCTGCGCTGGATATATATCACATTCTTTTCCATATTTATGCTCGGAAGCCTCATCTGTGGCTTTGCTCCGAATAGCAACGGCTTCATTGTGGGTCGTGCAGTCGCAGGCATTGGGGCGTCTGGTGTCGCGAGTGGTGGGTTTGTTATTGTTCTCACCGTTGCTTCAGACAAAGCGAAACCGCTCCTTATGGGCATCTGCAGCAGTTGTTTTGCTATGGGTCTAATCCTTGCACCCGTTATAGGTGGTGCTCTCACGCAAAAGGCAACATGGCGGTGGTGCTTCTGGGTCAACCTTCCTCCGGGTGCTGTGACACTGGTCGCTATGCTCTTGTTCTTTAAACCCCCATCTATTCAGCGCGATCGGACAGCTCTCCAGCGGATCAAGAACCTGGATCTCATTGGATGTGCAATCTTCATTCCCGCTATTTTCATGCTGCTTCTGGCTATGATGTGGGGCGGCACGGAAAAGCCTTGGGGCTCGGCAACAATCATCGGTCTCTTTGTGGGGTCAGGTGTGACGCTCATGCTGTTTGTTGGCTGGGAGCACTATAAAGGCGATGGCGCTATGATACCGGGGAATCTAATTGTCAGACGAACCATCACCTTCAGTGTCTTGTTTTCCTTCTGTCATTTCGGGTCTCTTGGCATCCTAAACTACTATCTTCCAGAGTGGTTCCAAGCCGTGGAAGGCGCAAGTCCGCTGGAAAGTGGTACGCGAGTTTTGGCTTCGGTGCTCGCTCAGATCGTGGGAACACTATCTTCTGGTATTCTAGGTAAGCTTAACACTCGGATTTCACGTTGAAGGTATCAGAGGCTGACACCAGACAGCGCGGAAAGTCAACTTCTACAACCCTTGGCTCTTCGTTGGACCTCTCTTCATGTGCACCGCCGCAGCATTATACACCCAGTTCACGGCTTTCAATACACCATCCAGCCATTGGATCGGGTTCCAAGTCATCCAGGGTCTCGGGGTCGGCATGGCCCAACAAATGCCTTCTCTCATAGTCCAACTAGCAGTCCATGACAAGCCGGAGCTGATGCCCGCTGCCGTCTCTCTCAACCTATTCTTCCAGTATCTGGGTGCCACAGTCACACAGGTTATCGGAGGCATCGTGTTCCGCTCAATTCTGGGCAAATCCCTGGATGACCATGGTCTGAATGCCACACAGATAGCGTTGTTATCTGCCGCTGGAACTGCCCATATCCGTGAAGTCGCCAATGCGAACTTCCCCAAACTGTTGCGTCCGGTTTTGGAATCTTACAACAAAGCTATTACTTCCACATTTGTGAGTGGCCCTTCCCCGGGTGAGGGTCTAGAGTGATTTTAACTGACAGATGGACATCGACAGTTTGTTGCAGTTGGTACGACAGCCGCGGCATTCTGTTTTGCTTTTGGGGTTAAATGGACGAGAATCCATGCGGTAAAGAGTACTGAACCGGAAGCGAATGAGGTTGAACAGAAGTAGGGACCTGGAAAGCCTGTTCTACGGGTCTCGGGGGTAAGAGTAAGCCATTTTCCGTGTAAGAGAGCTTGGAAGTGATCGATATTGAGATAGATGAAGGGAGAAAGACTATGCTACTTAGACAAAGCTAGGTATTTAGCTATATTTCTCTAGTACATAAATTCTAGAAGCAAGTTTTCTGATTGCCTGGAAAATTTGAACATTCAAAATTTGTATGTAAAAATGATTATATGTACTTAAAAAGGTCGACATGATAACTCGAAGTCCACGGATGCATTTCAAATGCTTGAGCCTTATAATTGCGGGAACAAATGTTATTTTACCGCAAAATGTATCATTCATAAAATTTCGAGTGTGGGTATAGGTACGATTCTACTCCAGGAGCTTCTAGTTCTACCTGCCTGAGGTTATTCGGACATCAGCTCACCCCACCTCTCCACTCTCTTTCCTTCGACAATGGATTGTGAATACCACCGAGTGTTGCCTCACCGTTCTTCCCCTGAATGTCAGCTATTCAGCTGTTGATACTAAATGCTAACAACAGCAGACTTCTATGGTAAAATTTGAGATGGTGTTTGCAAGGAGTAACTTGGATTTCTGGGGATTGGGAGCGAATTTTTCAATGAAACCTCAACGGCCCATCTAAGAATTACTGTTCACTTTTTCAAGTTACGCAGAATAATTCATAAGATATCAAGCTTACAGAATACAAAATGCATGATCGAAATTTGCGGTCATTTTATCCCAACCGCCACAAGCGAAACTGCCTTCAAAACTCCTGGCTCCGTGGGACACAGGCTCCGCATCTCATCCGTCATCAAAATCTTCAACTTCGCCTTCTGCTCCTCCGAGAGATCTTGGCTTGCATTCATCATCTGCGTGACACGTGTCATCATCACCTCGACAAACGACTCATACGACCGGAACGGTATGTCGACTGGTACCTCATATACCTCAACGTTGAGATACCCCGCCGTCTTCAGCTGCTCCTTGAGCTTAGGTGCCTTAGCCCAGTCATCTGGAATAGAGGGGGGGCTGCGGGATGGGTCAATCTTGGTTATGGCTCTCAAGATCTTGAGCCAATCCGTCTCCGCCCACGACGAAGCCGCCAGGACGCCACCTGGCTGCAACACACGCCTCGCTTCGGTCAAAGCCTTCAGGGGACTTTTGGCGTTGAAAAAAGACTGTAAAAATGAGCATACGAATAACAATCGTGGTCAATCAAAGAGACGGGGTTTGCCCACTTACCCATCCCGCCGCAACGTGGCTTAGTGAATCGTCGTCGACGCTATGCAAATCCATGGAATCGAGGACTTCAGTACCCACCCGATTCCACAGCGAGTCCGCATCGTCGCTGATCTTGCGGTTCTTGACTTCCTCAACTTGTTCCACCATGGCCGGCGCAAAATCCGAGCAAATCAGCGTGCACGACTCAGGGAGGCTCGAGCCAAACTCGTCAATGATGCGCGACATAATTGGGCCCGGGCCGCAGCCATCATCCAAGATACCTGTGGCGGTTGCAAGCGGGAAGCGAGAGTTCAAGCACTCGAGCATGACGGTAATCGGCTTCACGTTCAAGCCGCCTGTCATTCCCTTGTAGCTTGCCGCTTTCTTTCTCCAATCTTCTGGGGACGCTGTTGGGGGGTCTTTGTTAGCGTGTATCCACGCATAGCAATGGGACGGACGAACTTGAGACAGGCATTTTGGTCGATGGAAAGAGCTGGTCTTCTGAAGTGTGGTTACGTATTTACTGTCAAAGGTATGGCTTGGGCATTGACATTGTATAGGACCTGCAGGGAGCATTTTGATACTTCTGGCCACCCTCTTCCGGATTTACTTTGTTGGTTGTCCATCCGGCGAATTTCTGGACTGAACGGTGGTTATTGGCACGCGTGAAAGTCTCCGTGTCCCGGCCGGCGAGTAAATATGGCGCGTTGGAGCTGGGAGATGTGCAAGGCTAGTGCCTGGGAGCTTCGTCATCTCCCGAGACTATTTGGGGGCTATCGTAACCTGCAACATTGCCAAGTGGTTCCCAGTGGGATCATACTCCCGCGATGCTCAACGCGCTGGAGTCGGATACTCTTGCCGAGAGGTTGACCATGTCAGACGGCAACTACGCCGGATTTCAAATTGCCGGGCTGTGGGATTGATCCCCTGATGTTCACTCCTGGTCGACATGAACGCCGTGGCGCTCACAACCTGGCCACAAGCAGGCAGCATCCTGAGTGGGGTTGTAGACCATAAGCACAATTGATCGGCCGAATTGTTGGGGGCCAAAATACTCGGGAATACGTTGCACCTCACCTTGCCACGTGGCCCTCCGAGAGCGGCCAGTTGAGACCGCGACCACCAATGTCCTATCTGCTGCCCCTGGAATCATCATTTCCGTGAAAGACATTGGCAAATTCATCTGCGATGTTGATCTACTCGCTAGCGTACTTGGTACCCTTTCACAGCCTATAGTCACCGCCTTTTATGGTGGGGCAATCGCGGACAAGCCAACTAATCGGAAAAATGCCATGCTCCGATAAACGGATCTATCTTTTCCCCAATCTAACACCTTTCTGACGTTTATCCTTAGCCACATATTGATGGTTCGTTCTATTGTAACCGCGCACTCCCCCGCTTTGCGCGACATGGGTCTGCATGCGGTCGTAAGGACAGCGTCCAGCCATGTGGTATCGTCGAAAAATTCCCGATTCATACCCTCATTTCCAATCCTTCCAAGGTTTTATGAGAAATCGAATGGAAATCAAGGATGGTCAGTATGTGTTGACAGTATCATTCAAACACGATAGTTAGAGCTTGGCACACTTTCTGCTCGTGGGGGCTTAACCCCGACTTCTGTCTTAGGTAATTCTCCCCGTCGTCACTTGGGGTCGGTTTTGTTACTTGTATGTACTACCTTCCCCTCCGTATAACTATCGTTCCCCTCGTAATGTCCCACCAACACGGATTCTTTAGTGCATGCTGGATCCTCCAGGATCATCGACAGGTGACATGTCCATGTGGTTGCACGTGCGGCAGGGACGTTAACTAGTTGTTTCACAGGTGCCCGAGACAGTTGAGCACGCCGAGACCGGGCAAACGCATCCATTACAGGGCAGTAAGTCTGGGCAGTCTGGGCATGGCATACGCCATCAGGCGAGAAGATAGTTCTTCTAATAATGGTTTTATCTTTTACCACGGGGCCACGACCTGACTGCATATCGCGTGGAATTTAGCGTGGGATCTGTGGAGATTGTCGTATGGCACATCAAATTGAAACCCTAGCAAGTGTGGCTTTATATTATTACTTAAGAGAGTGGCCGGCCAGGGCCTTTCTGCACCCACATTTTTCAGACACACTGGCAGCTCACCAGCGTTCCACTTTATCTCTTGTTATAACCAGCACGGCGCAATGATACGTGTAGAATCCAACGGGGAAGGGAAGCTTCGAGCCGCGTGTGACCGATGCCACGAACTCAAAAATCGCTGTACACGAACGGGTGGATCAGAGAGTCGGTGCGACCGGTGTGAGAGACTTGATATAGACTGCGTGTACAATACCAGTGCCCGGATGGGTCGTCCGAGACTCTCTCGGTCCGCTCATAAAACCGCCTCGACTGGTCCCGGCGACAGTCATGCGAGACACACAGCTAAACGACGGGCCGTCCAGTCGGGACAACAACATACCACCAACACCAACTTAACGCCCGTTGAACATACTGATCATGTTGAGTTGGCAATTGGTGATACTCCCGGGAATAATGAACCCGTTCTCGGCCTTCTGGACCCTTCCCTTCTCCCTGAAGGTAAATACGCACGCAATGAGCCCGTACTCAGGGACTGGCAGATGACGCAAGCTAAGCCCTGGCCAGCCATAACCGCCGAGTATCTGGACTGGTATTTACAATTAGATGCTTCCGACTTCACCAATTTTCCCCAAGGCGACCCGACGGTTGGTCATGCCCAAGCATATCATCAAGTGGACCTCCGACACCGACACAAAGCGGAGGTTTCACATTACCCCAATTCTGCAATGGGGATGTTGGAAAAAGCAGCTCCGGTGAAGACTGGCACGGATGAGCTTCTGCGGCTGCAGAGCCAATTGAGCAATTTGTTGACAAGCGCGAGCGAATCAGCCACACCCCATCAGCCGGCCTTGGATGAAGTGATGATGGCATGCAAAGATCTGCTAGAGTTGCTCCCAGGTCGTCAATCGGACTGCAGTGGGCCATCCACTCCCGGGCGTCCTCAAGGCAATCCCTGTCACGCCGCGTTAGACCCGCTGAGGATAAACTACATTTCCGTATTGCAGGTGGCTACGTCTTATGCATATGCCCTGCAGCTGCTTGATCTCGCGGTGGATAATCTGAAAGCTGGGAACTTGGCGGTCGTCAGGCTGGGCATCTTCAATCTTGCGTCACAACCAGCAATGAGCATCTCCGTGGGGGCTTACATGATCTCCACCATGGTTCATCAACTGCGCGACGCCATCAGCCTCCTGATGCCTGAACACGGGGAGAGACCGTCACTGCATGTATTATCCACGAGCGAGTTGCAAGCAGCCACTACAGCGAGCTCGATACATGCTGCTGTGAACATGCTTCATGAGATGGAGACGTCTTTACTCAAGAAGTTGTCACAACTTTGAATAGTCTATATTCAGGGTGTTGACAAAATAAGGGGGCCGATCAGATGAAAGAGGATGGACGTAGAAATTGGAAGTAAATTCTAATGATATTTTCTATTCGTTCTCAGGGGGATATTTATATCCTTTCTTTGAGAACTGTTTTCTCAGGAAAACACATACAAAGCTGTTCTTTCACACCGCTACTCGACGGTCCATGGCGCTCGGAATCGGTGGGAACCATGTTTGTTTTTAATGATATTTGTAGATTTATCCTTCAATATTCAATACTTCATGATGACCAGATTCCCGAATCCCGGAACCTTGGTTGTTCGAAGGCAGAGCCTAACCAGGCAGCCCGCCAATGAGCATCTTCTACCCCGTCCTTCGAAAGCAGAAGTCGCCGGTCACCGGCAAGTTTCAGAGCGCCAGCAGAATAGATCCGGTGAATACCCCAAGCTGACTAGGGGCTCTAGCACAAACGGTGCATTATGAAAGACACGGTTCTTGGGAAAGGAAGTCTCTCTTTCCAGGAACCAGCTAAGCAGTCCATCTCCAAACACGCAATCACCCCAACAACCCGACACGATGCTTCCAGAAACGCGACCCGCCATCATCTGCCTCCATGGCCACGGAAGCAACGGGGCAATCTTCCAATACCAATCCCGCAAAATCATCCAAGTCCTCGGAACCCGCTTCCGCTTCCTCTTCATCGACTCTCCCATCACAACCCCCCAGCCCGGCGTAGGAGTCCTGCCCTACTTCGCGGAAGTCAAGCCCTACAGGCGCTGGCACCAAGATGCAAACACAATCGGCTTATTCGACGTCACACCTGAAGATATAGTCCGCGAAAGACGTATCGTACGGCATAACCTGGCCGACGTGATAGAGCGTGAGCGCCAGAACGGTCTGGGCGTCGTCGGCGTCATGGCCTTTAGTCAGGGTACGCGTGTGGCGACTGCTTTATGTCTTGACCCGGAGCTTGGAGTGGATATCAAGTTCGCTATTATGATTTGTGGGATTTGTCCTTCGTTGCCGCTGACTGCTGAGCCTTTGTCGCGGACGTTGGATATTTTGTCTGTTCATGTTCAGGGGAGTACCGATCCGTGGTCGTCCAAAGGGACGAGGCTGTCAAAGGAGTATTTCAATCAGAAACTTTCGAGTGTTGTGAAGTTCAAAGGGGGCCATGAGATTCCCGCTAAGTCGCAGGATGTGGATAATATTGCTGGAAAGGTTATGGTGGAATATGATTGTGACTCTGTGCCAGCTGCACCAGCCATGATATCTGTCTAGCGAGAATGAAGTAATGATTACGGGAGTTTGAGAACGGATTTGTGATTTCTGATTTGCAACCAAGACTGTACTTCCGTAGCTTCTATATGTATCTAGCTGCAACCATAGATTCACCTTGACTATATGCGGACCGTAATCCTCTATTGCCCATTGACCAAGAACTTGTATGTCGCAAATCTCGTGAATAGTCCGTCCATACCCCAAATGGTCTTTCGGTGTCTCCATTCTGGGTGGTGGACGGCATCCGGCCAGTCTTGCATTTCCAACGATATCGCACCGTGCTGAGATACCTTGCCTTCGCCTTGATCTTTCTTCAACTTCAACCCACCTACACAAACTGTCAGCTTTCACTCTAACCCCCAGGGAAGGATTTTTATTACTAATTTTACCATCCCACGTATGAACATGGAGAGCGTCTTGGTCAGTGTAAAGCTCCATGGTGATACCTGACAGATGCGAGGAGAGTATCGCGACAGGGTCATCCTCCTTGTCACCAAATGGTTTATGAGACAGCGCATAAGTCACATCAAATGATGATCTCTGCTTCTGAATCTCTTCCCCAATGGATTTCGACGTCGACCAGAAGTCGAAATCTTTCCGCTCCCTGCTACTTCGAATATCTCCAGTCGGAATACCACGATCATCAACATCAAACCGCATACCGGCCACCGGGAGATGAAGTTTGTGATTAAGCACTGTTTCGCTGGAGTTTGGCCTGAACCCATCAAGGTTAAAGAACACTTGTTGGCTTAGGTTGATCGGTCCGGCCTTCAGCAATGGAGTCACCCCGAAAGCGATCCGCCATTCATACGGCGTAACTGTATGTGTTACACAGGAGGCGAAGATACCCGGGAAGCCATTCCACCGGTTATCAAACAGGACGAATGTGATGCTGTTGTTGATGTGCACTGCGATATCCCAGGTTTGGCGACCCCATCCCTTCTCGCCACCATTGTATAACGAGGTTCCGTTGTGTGCGTTCGGGGTGACGTTGTAGAGGATTCCATCCACCTCGTAGCTCGCGCCGCTCAAGAATCCAGCGTATCGTCCTGCACTTGGGATATTAGCAAGGCTCTGGGCGGAGTGGGGTAACGAAGGATTGCAGACGCGGGTTGGATTAATGGGGGGAAGAGCTGCTGAGAGATGCAGGTTCATTCTCGAATTTTGGTCTGCGATAAAGAGAGATCCCATACCTATGACTCCGTTCAAGTACGGATTCGACGACTGCTGAGGGTAATCCCGAGCGTCATCCATGCCCAAGACAATGTCAATCTCTTCCCCATGGGTGTTGTTCAGCCAGAGGTTTGTAAGGGCAGCGCCATGGTTGGTAAAAGCCAGGCGAATGCCTTCTGCTTGAATAATGTATTTTCCGTCTTCATTCGTCGGCCACAGCGCTGTAAGTGCAGCAAACGGGCTTCCGCGGGTCCAGACCGACTTGACCGCTGCCAGAATACCAACGGAGAGTTTCCAGAGATTCATTGCAAACTCCCATGCAATCTCATAAAGTTTAGAACAGTTGGAGATGTGAAGCGTCGAATTGCATTTCTTGTTGACTGCGAACTTAGGGACCGCTATAACAGATAACGGAGATTACAAGCTTACTTCGCATTTCAAAGCTCTCATGTCAGAGCTGTGTTGCTCAACCGGCGACTTTTAGACTTTGAACGGCATTTGCGTACTCCGGACAGGTGAAACGATCGGGCTCAATCAATTCCTATAACCAATACGCTACAGCAGTAATCCCTCGCACACGTAGTCTTAGGATCTCTGATCTGATTCAGAAAATGAATACTAGGCTGATTGTCATAGGCAAACTCGAATGTTGTATACTAAACACAAACTTCGAGCCTACCGGCATGTATAATATCACTCAAGCTTTCGCGGGCCGGACAAACTTGAGTCGACCGAAAACTCCCTCTGCAGACTTGTTCGTTTGACCGAACTTTAGCCTGTCAGCCGTGTCGGGGTTGGCAAGTCCGATCTCGAACGTAGACATCACAGCAGTGACGAGACATTCCAGAGTAGCCCTCGCGAAATTGGCTCCAATGCAGTTTCGTGGCCCAGCCCCAAATGTCAACATAGCATAATTACTAGATGCACCTCCCGAGTTGGCTTTTCCATCGCCAATCCATCGGTCAGGGTTGAACACATCGGCATCCGGTCCCCAGAGCGTCTTGTCGTGGTTCGTCACCTCGGCTGAGTATATCACAACGGTACCTTTCGGAATTCGGTGGCCGATCATCGTAGTATCCTGTTTGGCGACCTTGATAATAATGGGAGAGAATGGATAGCACCGCAGGACTTCGTTGCAGAAGGCATTCAAGTAGGGAAGATTCTGACCGCGGGGGCCATACTCGGTCGTCTGCAAGTCGGTTCCTAGGGCGTTGTGCACCTCCCCTCTCAAACGTTGCTGCATCTCTGGCCGTCTTCCAAGCTCATACATGGTCCATTCGAAGGCCGTGGCGGTGGACTCGTGGCCGGCTGTGAGGAAGGTCATGACATGGTCAATCAGATGGTGTTCCTCAAATACACCGCTTGCCAGGGCGACAGTAACGATATCCTTTTTGCTCAGGTCTTCGTCTGCAACAAGCTTTTCCTTTCTCTGTCGGATGACCCCGCCCGTGATTCCACGGAGGTAGTCTGCCGAGTTGGAGATCTCAATGAGCTTCTTCAGAGGCACCTTCATCAAAAGGCGCATATCGAAGTATCGGCTGAACAACCCGACCCAACTAAACACCCGGGTAGGGTCCAGAATCAATTTTCTGTAATGGCTTCGGAGGTCATTATCGGGCTGCTGCAGCGTCTGGAAGTCGTGTCCCATGCCGGCGAGCCCAATGTTATCTAGTGTAGCGCGGGAAACGTATTCGCGGAAGTTGATCGGGGCGTCAGGGTTCGCGCGCAACTCATCCCCCATGCATTGGACCATTTCTTGGGCTTTTCGCCAGAAGATATCAGTAAGATTACGAACATGGGGCACGGTGAAAGCCGGCATCATATTCTTGCGGTGTAGCTGTGAGTTCTCTTGTCAGCTGCGACTTCTAGCCACGGGACCTGATTCTGGTATTCACATACTTTGAAGTCATCATTACTAAGGAAGCCAAGGTTGCTACCCGTGAATCTTTTGATGGCAATCTTGACCAGATCTTGGTGAGCGTAGTCGAAGGCATTGACTGTGAGCATGTCTCTGATTGCCGGTGGACTTGTCGCTAGAATGACCTCCCCACTCAAAGCTGAGTATATTCGGAGAAGACCTTCGTTGGGGGTGCTCTCGACAATCTTCCGCAGCGGCACCCATGCATTATCGGGGAATAGAACGGGGTAATTTCCTGTCAAAATTGTTCGATGCTACTATATTATTAGCGTGTCTCCGATGTAATACAAACAAGACTATGCGTACCGAAGGGGTTGGGATATCCCGGAAAGGTGTGAAATAACGGGGATAGAGGATCATCCAATAAACAGCAAAGCCAACAAAGGCACACAATTCAGCGCCTAGCACTTTGAAGAGCAATGCTGTATAATGTCCAAAGACGAAAGTCTGGTGGACAATTCCCCCTACAGTTAGTGTAAGCGTACACAGCCATATCTCGAGAAACGATCTCATCCTGAAAGTTCTATAGAATGAGAGAAACCTCGTGATAATTTGTTGAGTAAATAATGTTTCAATGCGTATGGTAAATAATGTTTATCCTAATATACTCATAAACACATCCTTCGAAACGGAGACTAGATATAAGCCTTTCTAATTTCCTGAAGGGGCATGTTAGTTGCCTAATATCTTGGTGCGCTGTCAGCATGTTAGCGTGCGCCGGTGTTAGGCGTACAGTGCCAAGACTATGGACCGGCGACTTCTACCTAGGGTAATCAGGGAAACTGCTCACTATTTATGCGAGGATTAAACTGCAGGATTACTATTAGAGGCTCTGATCTAATGATTTACCAATGAACACCTACATTCCAAATCCCACTGCTCTGAGATCGTATCGGTTCATAAACAGGGCTATTGGTTAACCCGAGACAAGAAGCGCCAGTGCCTCAAATGTTCGCCCGGAAACTAATCCTACACTTTTTTAATAAAGATTTAATCCCTACTATTAATGGAATTAAATAGTAAAGTTTTCCATTCACCTACTCAATATATACAATTCATGGCGAATCTCAGCTTAATGTGAAAATAGGACAATACGCTCAATGTTAGCTGATACATGTAGCCACTCTCAAATATACATAGCAGCAACACATGTATCCTGAGATCAATCCCTCACATGCATTTATTCAATCCTTGTTCTCAGGTTGATGTGTTTCAACTAAGGGTTGTGATTTATGTGGAACCTAGGAAATAGATACAAGCTAATGATCTCCTGAACCACTGATAGACCCCGAAAATCAGATCGATATCATTAGACGCGGCAGACGAGCTTCTGGCCAGATACCTTCTTGTCCTTAAGAAGCTTAAGACCAACTAATGTTTCGCTAAGACTCTCACCTACTACTTTGTGGGGATGTGTCTTCAGCTTACCATCATCCAGTAGCTCTTGCGCCAGTGCAAACCACTCGAAACCAAACTTCCTATACTCTTCGTTTCCTTCTCCACCAAATGGCTCTGGCCAGCCCAGCCTTTTGCCAAGGAGTGTTGGACCCAAAACCCAGGCTGGAACAACCGTCTTCGGTCGGGTATGGAGGAACTCAGGGAAGGGTTCCAGTGCGGTGTATTTGCCTCCAGACCTGCCGATACATTTGTAGCACAATTGCATTGTTTCTGGCTCCGAAATGCAGTCAAGAACAAACTTGAGGGAATTACGCGTGTGTTTGCGAATATCATCCGCACATGTCTCCTCGTGGTAGTCGAATACTGCAGTGGCCCCGTATGATTTCACGAGTTCAAAGTTGCTTAGTGAACAAGTCGCTATAGGGCTCAGTCCTGACCTAGAAAGATGGGTGAGCGTCCCAAACTTCATGAAGCACAGGTGATACTAAACTTACAGTTTGAGCAACTGAATGGCGAGAGTACCGGTGGCAGTGCTGCCACCGTATACTAGCACCTCTACTGGCTTGCTGGCCGGCGACTTGGGAGATCCAGGAACATCCAGCGATTTGAAAAGTGCGAGACCAATGGTACCAATTCCACTTCCCAGCGTTGCCGCTTGTTCAAGTGACATGTGGTCTGGGACCTTGATCGTGGTAAGATCTGTTGCGCCGACAATCTGCGCAAACGCGCCAACCGTAGGAGTGAGAGAATGCATTCCTGGCACTGCTCCGCAAATTCGGTCGCCAGGCTTGATGGGTACGGCAGTTCGAACTTTGGACCCAATGCATATAACTTCGCCCGCAAAGTCCATGCCGCCGATTGCGCCAGGGTATGCCAGCTTGCCGACCATTTTGGTGTCAATCGGGTTCAGCGCAACAAACGCATTCTTCACCAGGATCATGTCTTCCTCCAAGGCGGGAATCTGGACATTATCGCGTAGACCGAGAGTGCCATCGTCAAGGGCTACAATGGCAGTCTGAGTGGAGGGTAGTCCAGGCATTGTGTGGAAAAAATGAAAAGGACGAAATTGTTGATGAAAGTTCGTAATGTTGAAAGTGAAGCAATCTAATAGGTATGGCGTTTTGGTGTGACAAGGATTCAAAGTAAATGTTTCCACTCCGGACGAGCGTATCAGCTAGTCCAGAATATAATAGGCTAGATGGGATCCGGAATTTTTGAGCTGTCAGATTAAGTTGCCGGTTCTCATAGTTAGACCCAACCGGCGTTCATCCCCACGGTCCGGCCTACCGGCGTTTAGCCACGTTTTGCCCACGTTTTGGCCCCATCGGCTCTCGCGTCGCATAGAGATTGGCATTTTCTAATCTTTGCATAGTCACGCGATAAGGTCGTAGGAATCATGTATTTATTGCATATATAGTTCGATAATCGTTGGTGACTGGTTTGAAATCAGGACGCAGGAGACAAATCCAATTTTCTTGATCAACTCTGTAGACTTGAAGCATCTTCTCCTCATACTTGAATCAACTTCCAAGTCTCTTCTCCTTACCCCCGAAAACGCTCCTCTCCACTATGTCTCCCTCCAGAAATGAACCCATTGCCATTGTGGGCATGGGATGCCGCTTCCCAGGAGGCGCAAGCTCGCCCTCTAAGCTGTGGGATCTCCTGAACAACCCAACCGACGTCGCCCAAAACATTCCTTCTTCGCGATTCAACGTAGATCGCTTCTATCACAAAGTCGGTAGTCATCACGGAACCACAAATATCCGCCAGGCCTACCTACTGTCAGAGGATGTTCGTGAGTTCGATGCCAAGTTCTTCTCTGTCCCTCCCGGCGAGGCAGAAGCCATCGATCCCCAGCAGCGAATTCTCCTCGAAGTGGCATACGAGGCCCTCGAAACTTCTGGCCACACTCTCAGCAACCTCTCCGGGTCTGACACCGGCGTCTTTGTCGGTCTCATGTCCCAGGACTACTTTGCGCTAAACGGCCAGGACGTGAATTCGGTTCCCACCTACGCTGCATCTGGCACTGCTGCCAGCAACGCCTCGAGCCGGTTATCCTACTTCTTTAACTGGCATGGCCCGTCCATGACGATCGATACCGCCTGCTCATCTAGCATGGTCGCTGTGAACGAAGCCGTGCAGACCCTTCGAAACGGCACCAGCCGCGTTGCTATTGCTTGTGGAACAAACCTGTGTTTGTCGGCCTTCACATTCATCACACTGAGCAAGCTCAGCATGTTGTCACCAACCTCTAGATGCCACATGTGGGATGTCGACGCGGACGGCTACGCCAGAGGTGAGGGTGTTGCTTGCGTCGTCTTGAAGACTCTTAGCGCTGCTATTGAAGATGGGGATCACATCGAATGCGTGATCCGAGAAGTTGGCGTCAACCACGACGGCCGAACAAAGGGGTTGACCATGCCCAGTGCTACAGCCCAGGCATCCCTAATTCGAGACACATACGCCCGGGCTGGGCTGGATCCGATGAAGGAGGAGGACCGGTGCCAGTACTTTGAAGCTCACGGCACAGGAACCAAGGCCGGGTGAGTTGAAACCTTCTGCGCATACTTGAATAAAAACCAATATACCTTCTTTTAGCGATCCCCAAGAGGCTGAGGCCATCATGAATGCATTCTTCCCCGAGTCTGATTCTGAAGGCGAACTCTTCGTCGGTTCTATCAAGACTGTTGTCGGTCACACTGAGGGTACTGCGGGACTGGCAGGTCTTATAAAAGCTTGTTTGGCTCTTCAAAATGCAACTGTGCCCCCAAATCTACTATTCAATCGCTTGAACCCCGAGCTTGAGCTCTTTACCAAGAATCTTCGTGTTCCTACGGCCAATCAACCTTGGCCTGAATTACCAGATGGTAAACCACGGAGGGTTAGGTTAGTTGAAGAGCGAACTCGAACTTTGATGATTTATATCTCCATACTAATTCTTTTTCTCAATACAGTGTCAACAGCTTTGGCTTTGGCGGTACCAACTCTCACTGTATCCTTGAAACATATGCACCAACGCCCAGTGGCCCAGCTCTTGAAATAGAGGCAGCCACATCGAGAACATGTTGCATTCCAGCTGTATTTTCTGCGGCGTCTGATAACTCGCTTGTTGCACTCTTGCAGTCCACCCTTGAATTTATGGACAAGAAGGCAGCTATTGATATATCTGAACTGGCATACAATTTGAGCACCAAGCGGTCTGCTCTTCAGCGAAGACTCGCACTGTCTGCTGCATCGATCGCCGAGCTTCGAGAGAAGATTCAGTCTACTATTGAAGCAGCCTCAGAGAAAGAATCCGCTTCACCTTCTATTTCAGCTTTGCCTGGAACCGCTTCATTGCTGGGTGTTTTCACTGGCCAGGGTGCTCAGTGGCAAGGTATGGGATCGCAGCTTATCTCGTCGATCCCGCTGGCCCGGAAAACAGTGGAAGAGCTAGATGCATCTCTGGCAAGCTTGCCCTCTTACAACCGCCCATCCTGGACTCTAGCCGAAGTGCTCACTGATAGCAATGCGCCCGTTAACGAAGCCTCCCTTTCCCAGCCTCTCTGCACGGCTGTACAGGTCATTCTGGTTGACCTTCTTTACGCTGCCGGGATTAAGTTCCAAGCAGTTGTTGGTCATTCCTCGGGTGAGATTGCTGCAGCCTATGCTGCAGGCTTCATCACTGCGCACGACGCCATCCGCATCGCATACTACAGGGGATTCTACGCCAAGATGGCTGCCGGTCCTTCTGGAGAGAAAGGAGCAATGCTGGCTGTTGGAACATCCATCGAGGATGCCAGTGAGCTTTGCCAGCTTGACGACTTCGCCGGAAAGATCTGTGTCGCTGCCCACAACTCTACAGCCAGCGTGACTCTGTCGGGTGATATCACGGCTATCACCCAAGCACAGGAAATTTTAGAAGACGAGGGAAAGTTTGCCAGAGTTTTGAAGGTCGATACTGCATACCACTCGGCTCACATGCTTAAATGCTCTGCATCTTACCTCATAGCGTTGACAAACAGCAAGATCGAAGTCCGACAGCCCGGGCTCGACGCACCGCAGTGGTTCAGCAGCGTCCGAAAGGGCGAGATCGTCACTAGCCCGGGGAGTCTGAACGGCCAATATTGGGTCGATAACATGGTCCAGCCCGTACTGTTCTGCCCAGCCGTTCAAACATGCATGACATCTTTGGGCAAATCAATTAACTGTGCCTTAGAGGTCGGGCCGCATCCTGCTTTGCAAGGCCCGGCCAAAGATTCTATTCTTGCCGCCGTGGATCGGGAAATTCCATATACTAGTACCTTGGAGCGTGGAAAGGACAGCATGGCGGCATTCTCCGACACACTTGGATTCCTATGGAGTCACTTTGGACCTACTGCTGTGAAACTCGGAACTTTCCAGCAAGCATGTTACCCGGACACTCCATCTAAGATGATCCATGGTCTCCCAACGTACCCTTGGGCCCATGACAAGGGCTACTTTGCTGAATCGAGACTCATCAAGACCTTCCACAGCCACCCGGTGCCCTTCCATGACTTGTTGGGCATCCAAACTGCGGACGGAGTGACGAATGAATGGAGATGGCGAAACATCCTGAAAATGAACGAACTCAAATGGCTCTCAGGGCACTCACTACAAGGTCAGGTTGTATTTCCCGCCACGGCTTACATTTGTCTTGCCATGGAAGCAGCGCTGCAGCTTGCCCAAGGAAGGACAGTGATGTCCATCGATCTCCTCGATCTTGAAATTCGCAAAGCTATCGCCATCCACGACTCCACGGGAACTGAGCTGCTCGTTTCCATGACCAAGGTGTCTACCCTCGACGCCGAGTCGAAGGAAATTACCGCTGACTTCGCGGCCTACTCCACAATCAGCAAAGACACCGCTAACCTGTCACTCAACTGCTGCGGTCGTGTTCGTGTGCTTCTGGGAGAGTACTCGGCATTCCATTTCTCGCCTAGACAGTCTCCCATTGGAAAGCTGACCGCGGTGGACGTGGACAGCTTTTACAAGATCCTCCGAGAAGACTTCGGATTCGGATACGAGGGTCCTTTCCGTGCCCTCATGAGTGTCAGTCGTAAATCAGGGTTTGCGACGGGAAAAATTCGATGCGAGGGTTTTGATGATTCAGAAACTTCTCTGCTCTTCCACCCTGGTATGCTGGACAGTGCCTTGCAGGGCCTGAATGCTGCCCACAGTGCCCCCGGAGATGGCCGTCTCTGGACCATCGTGGCGCCGACTTTCTGTCGTCGCATTTCGATTATCCCTGAACTCTGCGGCACCAACATGACAGGCAATGTTGAGATCGACTGCACTATCACTGATCCTCGCGACACTTACGTCACTGGAGATGTGGAGGTCTTCTCGGAGCATTTCAAGGAGAAGATTATCGAGGTTGAGGGGCTCACCTTTTCCCCATTCGCAGGAGCGACCGTGGACAACGATCGATACCTTTTCCAGGAGTCGTTCCTGTGTCTTGATAAGCCAGACGCCTATATAATCTTTGGCGATAGAGAGCCGACTCATCAGGAGAGCATGAAGGCCCTTGACGCTGAGCGGGCGGCATTCTACTACCTCAAGACCTTCCATCTCTCGGTCAGTCCGGAACAACGCGAGACCCTTCCGTGGTATCGACAGGCTCTGCTGAAGAACGCCGAGCGGCTCTTTCACATTGTCAATGACGGGAAGCATCCGTTTGCCCCGCGCTCTTGGGTGAACGACACCAGAGAGGATATTTTCAAGATGATCGACAGGTAAGTAGCTTGTGCCTTGTTGAAGACTTGATTTGGAACCTCTATTAACACTTTTATAGCTATCCCACGACAGATGCCGATTTCAACCTGACTAAAGCTGTCGGAGAAAATATGCTCCTCTCTTCGGTGCTCAATGGAGATACCAGCATCCTGCAGTACATGACAAAGGATAACTACCTTGAGCAGTACTATGTGGATGCCATCGGATTCCAGCTGCTCAACTTCCTGATTGCCGGGGTTATGGAGCAGCTTTGCGTGAAATCTCCTCGCATGAACTTCCTTGAGGTGGGCGCCGGAACCGGTGGTGCGACCAAGGCGATCTTAGAGAAGATTGGACACTCCTTTGCGTCGTATACTTATACCGATATTTCGAGTGCCTTCTTCGGTCATGCTGCGGAACACTTCCCATCGCAGGTCAACAAGATGATTTTCAAGACTTTGGATATCGCAAAGGACCCCACTGGACAGGACTATACCCTCCAGAGTTATGATGTTGTCATTGCCTCTAATGTTTTACACGCGACTGAGTCATTGCGGACTGCTCTTGAGAATACGCGAAAGCTCTTGCGACCAGGTGGTTACCTTGTGATGGTTGAGATCATCCGCAATGACGTGATGCGCCATGGTCTCGTCATGGGCGGACTCCCCGGCTGGTGGATCGGCGAGAATGATGGTCGTCAATGGGGTCCCAGTATTACTCTTGAGGAGTGGGATAGTATCCTTCGAGAGACGGGCTTCAATGGCATCGAAACCAATTCGCCCATGCGTGACCCAGTGGGCGTGCCCGGATCCATTATAGTTTCTCGAGCACAAAATGATGTTATCAGCCAGTTGAGCATGCCTCTCAGCTCAGCTCCGAGTGCTGACAGAATCCTGTTGGTCATTGGGGGCAGCAGTCCGTCTGTCACACCATTCAGGGACCAGCTCTGCCTCACGCTGAGGTCCCAGTTTGCAGATGTCATCAAGCTGGAGAAATTCGACAATCTACCAGCACTCCCTGAGAGTTACCACGTCCTGTGCCTTGCTGAGTGCGACGCGAATTTGTTCCAGGACCTGGAAGAGTCTGTTTTCTCTAACCTGAAGACAGTCATAGGTTCTGCGGCCAGTGTACTCTGGTTGCTCCAGGGCCGTCGATCGAACAACCCCCATGCCGGAACTACCCTCGGTCTCTTCCGGACGCTGTTCTACGAAGTTCCTGGAACCCTGTTGCAGACTCTGGATATTGATTCCGTCAATGTTAATGACTGTTCAGTCATCGCGAAGTCGATGTGCCAGCTCAGGCTCCAATCGGAAATTGCCAGACGTGGCGAGTCGGATAAGATACATTGGGAGTTCGAGCCAGAACTGGTCCTTAAGGACGGCCAGCTCCATGCCCCAAGAGTCCGTCCGCATGATGGCCAGAACAATCGATACAATTCATCCAAAAGACCTATGACTCACAAGGTGGACACTCAGACGACACCTTTGGCGCTGGAGTTCGTCGACGACTCGTACATGCTACGGGAACAGCACACCATTGAGAAATCCTCATATGGCTTTGTTACCGTCAAGATATCTTGCTCTTTCTTGTCGTCGATCAAGACGCCAGTGGGATATGTATTTGTTAGTCTTGGAGAAGATGTCAAGACAGGAGAGAAAACACTCTGTTTCTCTAACCGCAACGAGTCTATCGTGAAGGTCCCTAAGTCTTGGACCGCATCCCTTGACGAGGTCGAGGTTGACGGACAATTCATGTCGTTTGTTATTGCCGACCTCACAGTCCAATGGGTATTGCAAATGCTGCCACCCACAGGTACTGTGATGGCGTATGAGCCAGATCCAGTTGCAGCATCTCTGCTATCTCAGCAGTTGAGCAGAGTTGGCAAGAAGGCTCTTTTCCTGACGTCTAGTCCCGAAATGTCTGGCCGAAACTGGGTATATGTTCACCCAAATAGTACCAAGAGAGCCATCGCTGCCCTCTTACCATCCGACGTTACCTTGTACGTCGACGCCTCCGGAGCCGGGCCTCAATCTCAAAGTCTCGGCTCCAAGATTGCTACCTCCGTGTCATCGATCTGTGATAAGGTCAAGATGTCCAGCCTGACTGCATCGGAAGCGTCCGTTCTTCCGCACGATGCCCCCGAAGCCATCACAAATCTGCTCCGTCGCGCTACTTCATTCGCCTCCTCACTGCTCTCCGCACAAGCAACTCCAGAGGGCGCACCGCTTGACATCTTACCATTGAGACGGGTGGTTGCAAACTTTGCTTCTCCAAATCCCAGCTCACTGATTTACTGGCAAGAGGATCAATACGTATCGGTCTCTGTTGAACCCATTTTCCAACGTGATGATCTATTCCGCCCCGATCGCACCTACTGGCTAGCTGGTCTCGCCGGAGACACTGGACGATCCCTGGCCGACTTCATGATTGCCCACAATGCTCGCAATATTGTGCTCAGCAGCCGTACACCCAATCCCGACGCAGACTGGGTCCAATGGCAAAATTCAAGAGGTGCGACAGTGAAGTATTTCGCAGGGTAAGTAAATAAATTATTGAGTTAACCTCTCTCACCACTTGGAAGAAAATTGCTAACCAGATTCCTTTCTTAGTGACATCACCAGCTTCGAATCCATAAAGCAGATCTTTGAAACCATCAAGGAGTCCATGCCGCCCATTGGGGGTGTTGCGAATGGTGCCATGGTTCTGCGAGACAGTTCCTTCATGAAGATGAGCTTCGAAGATTTCCAAGCCGTCCTGCGTCCCAAGATCCAAGGCACAATTAACCTCGACCGGCTCTTCTCCGATCCCAGCCAACCACTCGACTGGTTTATCGGATTTAGTTCGATCGCGGCAACAGTCGGTAACCCTGGTCAATCGGCGTACACTGCCGGAAACTGTTTCATTAAGGCACTTATCGACCGGCGCCGTCAGCAAGGTCTGGCCGGATCATCAATTGACATCACTCGATTGGTGGGACTGGGCTTCATCGAGCGTGAGAGCCACGGCCGTCTGACCAAGGAGCATCAGGAGCGACTAACCACGCGATCTGGCACTATCGCGATGAGCGAGAATGATCTGCAGCAGTTGTTTGCCGAGGCCATCTTGTCCGGACGACCTGAATTGGGCCTCAACCCGGAGATCATTACTGGTCTGGCGCCCATCACTGTCGAGCAGTCCAAGGACGCATACTGGAAGACGAATACCAGGTTGTCGCTGTTGATTCGGGAGGTGGGACAGGGCGGCGCCCGGGGTGGAAAGAGGGGCAACGTGGTCCCAGTCCGACAACTGTTGGAAGGGGCCAAGAACATGCAAGACGCGGCGAAGGTGCTTTCAAGTACGTAAAATTATGTTTCAAGACTTCTCCCCAGACCGATTGAACATGGTCACTGACAATTTCGCTTAGTTGCTTTCAAATCAAAGCTGCAAGCGTTGAAATTCCTTTCGGATTCGGACAGCCTCTATGACACCACGCCTCTGGTGGATATGGGTGTCGACAGTCTGGTCGCTGTGGAGGTGAGATCGTGGTTCTTGAAGGAGCTCGCAGTCGACGTGCCGGTGATGAAGATTCTGGGTGGCGCCTCCATCACGGATTTGTTGGAGGTTGTGGTGCAGAAGCTTCCCCAAGAGTTGCTGACTCGGCTTGATCCCGAGGGGAAGCATAATAGCGGCAGTGACAATGTGCCAGCCCCTGATGCCGACGAAAAATCTGAAGATTTGGAGGAATTGAAGACCAACGGTATTGACAGCGCTCATGAGGTCAACGGTGTAAACGGTGTCAATGGAACTCATGATACCATTGATGCCGCGAATGTCACCAACGGGACTGTTATCATCACAAATAAGGTGGATCTCAAGAGTGCAGATGGGGTTCTCCCGATTATTATCAGTGGGCAGGAGGTAGCGTAAGATGGAAGGCGTGGTATCCCTGTTTAATTGTATTAATTCTCTCTCAGTCTTGGACCCCATTCCCTTCTTCACCGTCCTCCACAATATCATCAAATGCATTGCTCTATGATACCGCCCCTAGGTTCTCTCTCGTAGACTCGTATAGTTACTATTACGCTTGCACGCGCTGTATAACCCAGTTAGAAATAGGTTTTAAGTACCCATTAATACAAATCTTACTCGGAATCCTGGTAGACAGGGTAGTCCCCAATGTAATAGCAGCATATATTTATCGCGAGCTTTATTAGGTTAATTGAAGTCTACTACTACTACTACTACTACTACTACTACTACTACCAATCCCAACAATATATCTTATTTACCCCTATAGGATGGGTTAGGTGAATCCTTAGATAATCCCTAAGCCTAGGAGCGATACGGCGGTGTAAAAAAACTAAAAGCGCACTCTATCAAAAAAAGGATAAAACTTAATAATATAATAACTACTTCTCTACTAGTCTGATATGGTTTATATTGATATTATCAATAGATTAATTGCTAATTTAGAACTTCTCAATTCTTTAGCGCTATACGACCGTTTAATAGGGTAGAGGAAGAGTTTTAAATACCAGTGGGATTTTCTTTGAATTCCAGCGAGGGCTAGTCAATTTATAGTTTAGCGCCGGGAAGCCTTTGTTAGTAAAGTGGGTGAACACCAGCGGAGTTTAACGTAGACTAACTTTAGTTGGCTAGCAAGACCTGAAAAATAAGCTTTATTTTCAGACTGTTGTCAACTACACGGTGTATATACTACTGGTCGACCATCACCAACCGCGGCCGTCCTTCTTAGCAAACTCGAAAGCGTAAGCGGTCTGGCTAGTCACCGGGGTCACAGTGAAGGTCAGCGAGTCGCCCTCGTACTGATGTTCCGTCACGCCCATGTCGATCGGCAGGCCCACGTCGCCATAGGTGCCGTTCCAGTCGAAGCGCAACGTGCGGATTGGGATGCTCCCACGCTGCTCGTAGCCCAGGTAGCTCAGGGCATCGACAGTGATTGCCCAGGTGCCGTTTGCCAGCCGCGGGCCGCACAGGATTTTGACGCCCGACGGCGACCCGTCCGATGTGGCGAAGACGTCGAACCGCCGGTCCGGCGAGCCCTCGGTAGCAACGCGGTAGCCCGTCATGCGCTGAGCGTAGTACTGGTACACGCGCCACTCGCCGTTGGGCCAGTAGCCGCCCTGTGTGTAGTTGTACTGGGCGGTGTTGGCGCCCGGCTTTCCGAGGAGGTTGGCAAGGAAGTCGTGCAGCTGGAAGCCGTCGGCCCAGTTGCCGCGGAGGCCGGGAATGTTGAGACGCTCAAGACGGGAGATATACCACGCGACTCCAGCGGGCTGCTGTTCGTCAATCACGCCGTACTCGTTGATGCAGAAGGGCGTGGGCGGGATGTTGTGCTGCTGGAGCATTGACTTGAGCGCGCCTGCGGCCTCCTGGGGGTCATCGTAGAGGTATTGGGGCCCGTAGAACTCCGAATGCCAGGTGAAGACGTCCGGGATAGTGTTGTTATGCTGGATGAAGGACAGATAGGTGTCCCACCAGCTGTTGGGCTCTCCGGGGGGAACTGCAAAGGAAGGGCCGATGAGGGGGGGTGTGAGGCCCGAGCCGTTGTCTTCTGGCTGTCAGCAATTCCTTCGTGAAAGATATATCCGTGGCTATAGGTACTACAGAGCGTTGAAGACACAAGTCGCCTATGGAACTGGTTCGACATACCGCAGTCTCAGCAGTCCACGTCCCCACATTTCTAAGTACTGGGATTGCGAACGCCTCCAAAAATAGCCGCCGTCGGGCTCATTCCATATCTCGACAGAGAGGCCGGGGTGCATGTGGTTCCTGTAGATGCTGTCGACGATTGCGCCGAGGAATAAGTCATACCTAAGGGGACTGGTGAGCGAGCTTGGGCCAACGCAGGAAGAGCAAAGGAATCGGCTTCAGGCGTCCTCACGATGTCCAGTTCCCGTTATCTCCCGGGAAGGGGTCACTGGCCGTCTCGCTGCCATCTGCACCCCAGAGGTCTGAAATGCGGAGTTGAAACTCGCCGCCGTGTTTGCGGGTGGTCGAGTATTCTCCGAATGTATCTTGAAAGCGGGTATTGAAGTCGGCCACTCCGCCCATCCACCCTGTCTTGGAGGTTTGAGCAGCACCGGCAAGGTTCCATCTGAAGCCCATGCCGGTGTAGAATTCGGCGGGGATCTGGTTTGGCTTGGCTGGGATGCCGTAGATCATGCCAGACGCAATGTGCTCTGGGCGGCCGCTGGGTTTAGAGAGGGTGACAGTTGCGGTTCCGGACACCGAAGCACTCGAGGAACCTGCGGCGGCGCCCTGGTTGAACCCTGCTAGGCACGCCAGCAACATGGCGTTTCCAATCGCGGCCTTCTTCATCTTGCGAAACTGCGCACTGTCTTGAAACCGTCCGGCGGTGTTATGTTTTCTTCTACAGAGGCGGCGACGGGATGTCAATTTCTTCTTTCCTGGGTCAAGCCACGTTCATATATGGCTCCTAAATTTCATTCAGTTGAAGCTATTGGTCTCCGGTGGGAAAGCTCCGTCGCAAATAGCTTCTCCACTTCTCTCCGGGAGCTCCCGAGTTAAACACCTCCCCGGATCGCTGAAAGGGCTAACCGCTGAATCCCTGACGGTGGAGGATGTGGAGGTGGAGACGGAGTAATTACTACGCCCTCAAGCTAGGAACTCATGACATTTTGCCGGAATGTCGGGGTTGAACTTGACCCTGTGGCACTTACTGAGTAGCATGGAGGCGTTGCTGGTTCTGAGCTCCGGAGACTCATCCCACCGGAGACTCATCCCACCGGAGACTTGTAGGCCAGAATTAGCCATCTTAGCAGCTTCAACCCCACATCCTTCCTTCCCGCGCCACGATTCCTGCCGCGGCAATCGAATTTGTCGCGACAATCATACTAGCCTTTACATCCCATGCCGAGCATCTCAAGAATGTGCGCCCCTCGACTCTCCTCAGTCTGTATTTGCCGCTGGTGATTATGCTAGATATTGCACGCGATCGCACTATCTGGTTGCTGCACCTACTAATGCCTATTGCCCCGCTCTTCACCGTCTGTCTCGCTTTGAAGGTGGCCTGGTTTTGCCTGGAAGCACGAGGAAAGCGGAAAGCGGGACATCATCTTAGAGAAATATAACCATATTAACACAGAGGAACTAGCAGGGATTCTGAAAAGGTCTGTTTTCGGTTGGCTGTTACCATTTATTATCCATAGATCACGGAACGAGTTCGCGGTCCGCGATCTGGCTATACTGGATAACGGGCTTCGGGCGTGCAATGTCCATGAGGCTTTCCAGCAGGAATGGAACCTTGGTAAGCGTCAAGTCCCGAAACGGAACCTTAGATGTACGATTTACTGATACGATGGGATAGTTGCCTCTCACAAACCCCATCAGCTCGCGCTGTGTCTGGTAAAAGCCTTCAAGTGGCGATTACTAGGCGGGGTCTTGCCTCAAATTGGACTCCTGGCCTTGACAGTTTTTCAGCCGATCATCATTGAGCAGCTAGTGGACTATGTCAGCGCGTCTGAGGTAACCCAGGGCAGAGGCGACTGGTTTAGGGTTGATTGGGGCCGTCGTATTGGTATATGGAGGAACTGCGGTAAGCCTGCGGAGGCGCTGCCCCTTTGTACTTTCTTTTACTGACTTAGAGCAGCTTTGTACCACCGTCTATTACCATATTATGTATCGATTGGTGACGATGATCCGGGTCGCACTTATATCCGCCATTTACCATGCTGCGCTAACATTAAGCCAGGCAAGAAGATTGGAATCTGTGGACGGACGGGAAGGTTTGGAATCTGACACATTTGATCTGCTCCTTGCCCTCATGCTGACGATCTTGACCTCCAGTGGGAAAAGATCGTTGATCTTCTCCCTCTGTAGAGGTATGGACATCCACAGCGGACGCATTCTGATCGACGGCATCGACCTCGCGATCGTGCCCCCAGAAGAAATCCAGTCCAGGATTAGCATTATCACCCAAGATCCTCTGCTCCTCAAGGGATCTGTTCGGTCCAATATCGACCTCACTGAATCCCAGACCGATCCTGAACTTCTCTCGGTCTGCCGGTTGGTCGGATTGGAGGAATACATCCAGGCCCACGGTGGTTTGATGCCGAATGGAGCCCCTTGGCCCTATCTTCCGGTCAGAAACAGCTCTTCTGTCTGGCTCGCTCGCTGCTGCACAAGTCTCGGATTCATATTCTGGATGAGGTGACTAGCAAGTGAGTCCTCCTCTTCATGATTCGCTTTCCCTTCAGTCCAAAGGGGATTTTCCATTAACAGTAGCGTGAGCGAGAGGATTATTTCGAAATGGTGAGATTAGCTAAGATTGAAGATAGCCTACTCTCGTCTTGCCTCAGCAGTAAGAGAAGCTATGCAACAGCTTATTCGTATGAGGCGTACACTAGTGTTGGGTAGTTGGGTTTTTATGATGGTGTGGTAAAAGATTTAGAGGGGGAGGAATAGAACTTCCTATAGCAAAACTAAGTCTATCCCATAGGGTACGTGGGATACACTGCATCCTAGTAGGCTAGAGGCATAGGAGTAGGTAAATAAGTGAATCACAAAATGTGGGTAGTCTAACAACTCCCAACTAATTTAATAATCAAAATGAGTGATGGGGCCGTCCTGGGTGGGGATACAGTGGTGGGTGGGGAGATCGCTAGACGGGGTAGTAAGTTATGAGACTATGCAGTTTGATTCTGTGGAAGTTACGGCTGGACTTGAGCCAACGCCAGTGAGATCGAGTACTGAATGAAAGGAAGATCCAAATATCGTCGCTCTTTAGTGAATGAAAGCCATATAATCGTGACAAGAAGTTTCTTAATGAAAGGATCAACAGAGTTTTTGCATAGATGGACGTATATTACTCAGTTCAATCTAAATTGCTGTGGTTACGCCCTCCGTATAGCAAATTCAAGCGTAAACAAGAGAATATCAGATAAGAACGTAGGAAAGAGCTAAATTACTCATTTAAAGCGAAAAGCCAGCACACTATTGTCGTAGATTGCCACGGCTAAGAAAAAAGGCCCCAATGTGACCTGAAATGGGCGATGAACCAGAAAGCCAGGAATATGATCATAGCGTCTAAATGTACCGACGTACTAAATTTTCCAGTTGGCTCTTTAAGGGTTCTTTTCCTCAAATCCAGTCCTCAAGTATGCTCGCAGTCCAGAAACTCCTTAAACCATGCGCTTTCTTTAACTCCGCACCCTTTATCGACCCTATCAATCGTAATAATCACTGGCTAACAGTTGGGAAGCAGTCAGCAAGGCCCTTGTTGTGCTTGTTGGAGGCATGCTCGAGGAGACTATCGCGTCAAAAAGATGTTAGTGAATTGGAGCTGAGCCGAGTTGCCAGTTAGAAGATATTACGCACGCCGGTGCTTTGGTGGTCTGAAGGAACGTCTGCCTGCAGACCTGGCATTGGATATTCATAGCCTTCTCATTCTACATGTGAGACCCTGGAATTAGCGACATGCGATCGGGGGAACACTTGGAGCGTCCGGCCGCTTGGAACGTTGTGGTCGGATTTTGGGTTCACGTACGGATTTGGTCTGAGATTTGGCAGTTTTTCCATCCTTTTGGTTGCGCTCGCGCTTCATCGAGGCTTTCGCTCCCTGTGGAGTATCATCAGTTAACCTGCGTGTCAGCTTGGAGCCCCGGGGTCGGGACGTAAACGAAGAGGCATCGCATCGCCATTGTCAGGGTTGCACTTACGTTACCCATTGTGGAGATATTCCGATGAGTCTGGGTTTTCAATAATGAGGCAGATGCAGGAATGTGATCAAGATACACGTGATAAAGCGAAAGGGAGAGAAAATTAAAAAAAAAAAAAAAAAAAAAAAAAAAAAAGGAGGGGTGGCGATATTACGCAGACAGGCCTGGCCGAGTTGGTGATAGCGTGGAAAAATTTACTCCGCCTTCCAGTAAATTCGCGTCGGCCAGGCTCCTAGGCACATCGCTTATTAGGGCAGCGCCCCACTTTCTTGCTATCTCGTACATCAAGATCATGAAGATGGGCATATCAACTTTTGAGCAATTTCGTTACCTCGGCATCTGCAAACGCAAATTTGAGGTGGATAGCAAGCCCTGGAAGGCAGAGCTTGCGATGCAAAAATATATCTCGATGTCTTGAGAAACGATATTATAAATTTATTCGATAGCGTACATATTGAGATCATAAATTCGTGAATTGAACCTTCGTCTATCTAATTCTGGTTTTCTATACTATCACACAGAGTCTTTAGTGTCCACCCCGCCCATTCGAAGTCACTATAATCAAGATAAACCTGTCCGCTCAGTCGAACCCACCATATTCCTTGAAATGGGAAGATTGGCATGGATGTCTGGCATTTTTTGATCATCGTCTGTTGTATGAACTCTGTGACGGTGGTTTCAGCCCCTTGCTCATCCTTTACTAGGCTCCCATCTCCAACAGTCGGCTTTTGAATGGGCAAAAGAATATTCATCATGTAGTAATCCGACAGGTATTGGCAATGTTGTCCAGGCCCCAAGTCCCTAAAATGTCTGCAACTCTGTTCCCACCGTTGCGGGAAAGTTGAATGCAATATTCGTGGATCTTTTTCTTCCCCACCGCAAACCTCCCGCGCCACTTTACGGCGTGCGGAACGGTCAAGAAAGAGATGTTGTCAGTGGTACCAACGAATTCAAAATTCAAGACAAAATCAGATTTCCTATTGTTGCCAGATTTTTTGTACGGAATTTCCCCGATCGGTTGAGCTTTAAATCCATGGCTTGTGGGCAAAGTGCTTCGCATCATGTCTTGGTTGCGCTCGGGGACGTAGAATACAGCACATCCACGAGCAGTAAACAGCCATTTATGGCAGTTACTGCCAAAAAAGTCCGGATCCAAATTTGACAGGTTGAGCTCAATCTGTCCAATGCCATGAGCACCATCAATTAAGCTTAATACGCCTTCTGAACGACAGATAGCCGTGAGTTGTTCAAAAGGGAGTCTCAGACCTGGGTTCGAAGATATCGTATCGAAGATGGCGATTCGCGGGCGAAACCCCTCGCTCTTAGAAGCCTGAATCCCCTTTTGGAATGCGGAAAGAATCTCATCATTCTCCACTGGATAGGTAAATCCAATCTCTCTAGTGCGGGCCCTTCCTTGGGTCACTTCACAAACGTAGCTCGTGGTCTTCCCACATGCATCATAAATCATGTCGAGCTGAAGGATTTCATCTTTCCCGTCGCTGTTCCATACAAGATTGCGCAGGACTGTATTAACTCCGGTGGTGGCGTTGGGGTCGAAAATAACAGTAGACTGGGGAACACCGAGGAACTCGCTTATGGCAAAACGTGACTCGTCCAGCAGCTGAGTGAAGCGGTATTTTATAAAAGGACACGTGGAATTTTTGTACTCATTACGGAGCTGGTTTGCTTTGATGCGGATTGTGGTGGGCGATGCCCCGAATGATCCTAGAAATAGTGAGTCGCGGAACGACTAAAGGCAGCGACGAATACGTCCATGATTTCCGTGATTCTTACATCGGCCTTGTCCGCTGGCAACTCATTTTTTCTACGCGTCTACGCGTATTCTCTACTCCACGGCTTTGGATGGCAAGGCGCCTCAGATCCTTCGTTATGAAAAGTTCGGTGTTCCATATGCATGCGTGGCTGTCACTGCTGCTCTCAGTCTGCTGGTGTACCTCAATGTCTCCGCAGGTTCGGCCAAAGCTTTCTTCTGGATCAGTAATTTGAGCTCTGTCAGCACACTGATTGTGTGGTCCTCGATCTCGATTACTTATATAAAGTCGGGGATAGTTCCCATTCGGGTTAGTTCCGTCTCCTCAGCACAATCGGTCACCGCCCTCGTAAGGCCATGCATCGATGCCATTCGTCACACCTTTTTGAATAATTAAAGAAGACAAAATTTAGGAATAGTGACGATTGGGGCTCAGATTGAAAAAAATATGGTGATATGTACGCAATCCAAGACACACTATTCGCACGACCCAGTCTCGCCTTCTTCGGGGATAGTCGCAAATTTGTTGAGCACTTGCTTCAAAGCAGGGCGCCGAATTGGTTTGCTAAAGGAAGTTTTCAGTATCGAGAAGAGAAATGTTGTGTATTCTATGAACACAAACCTGATAAACATGTCCATTCCGGAGTCCATGCAGTCCTTGATATTGCTCTCTTCTGCAAAGGCACTTAGCGCGACTATCGGTGCAGAGTACCCCATCTCCCGAATAAGTCGTGTGCTTTGAAGGCCGTCAAGATTTGGCATCTACACGAGTTAGCAACTCCTTTCAAGATCAAATGACATGATTTGAAATACCTGGATATCCATAAAGATGAGATCAAAGACTCGACCCTTCTCCATGTTGGACTTGACCGTGTCGTATGCTTCTTGACCGTCCTTGACCATTGTCACATCGTAGACTTCTTCAAGAGCAAGCATTCTGGGACAAGTTAGTATTCAAAAGAGCAAAAAAGGCGAGTCAGTATATCCTACCGTCGGACCACTTCCTGGTTGACCGTGTTGTCCTCAGCCACCAAGACGCGTATCTTCTTTGGGACGTCATCCGCTGGCTGACCATTGCTTGGAGTGGCGTTTTTTGACGGAGATGATGAAGGTGATGAAGGAATCGTCGGCGTGAAAAATGGCTGACTCAGGCCAACTAGTCGCGGTTGAATATCCGACTTTTCAAAACCAGGTGCAACCGGTTCATTCCTCAACGACCCATGATTCGACGGTGTCTTTGCAGCATGAGAAAGATCCTCCAAGGATAAAACACTCGGGGTTCTCGATCCAGGCGAGCTAGAAATATGGGTACTCGGGGCCACCTCCTTAACGAACCTTAACGGAATCCGCAACGTAAAAATGGAACCTCTGCCCTCTTCGCTGTCCAGGACAATGGCGCCACCCATAATTCGAGACAACTGAGCGCAAATACTCAGACCCAGACCTGTTCCTCCATATTTGCGATTCAATCCCAGGTCTCCCTGTACAAAGGGATCGAAGATACGCCGATGCAAGTGAGCAGGGACACCGGGCCCGTTGTCCTCCACCTCGAAGTAAAATAGCAGTGACGGCATAGCTCCCGTCGCAGGCTGCCTTCCATCTGAGAAGCTCTGCCTGGGCTCTTCATGGGTTGCAATAGAACTCTGCGTGTTGGGCCGGTTAGGTGCCTGGAATCGCGAGGACCGTCTTCCAGTCACAGGGCCTCCGGAGCCAGAATCATCCTCCACGCAACGAATACGAACCTGAACCCTTCCATTCTCCGGGGTAAACTTGAGGCTGTTGCTGACCAAATTGATGAGGACTTGAAGAATCCGGTGCTGGTCTCCCCAGAGCACCATGTTCATGAGATTTACGGCCTCCTGGCAAGAAGCCGAAACTATTCGTTCAACGCCTTCCTCCAAACACGAGGTGGATTTGACAGTTTGAGAACTTTCCGCGGATACACAGGTAACGCTGAACTCGATGTTTTTCTCATGGACCTGGTTTTGAAAGATGATCGCCAGCTGGGATCGGATATCCGAAATTTTGAACTCTTTTTCCTCGAGCTGAATGGCTTGTTCGATTTGGTTCTTGCTGAACGTCAACAGGTCATTGAGAAGATGAAGAAGGAGATCGCCTGATTGGTAGACGACTTGGAGCGATTTCTTGATGCGGGAAAGGTCGTCCTCGCCCATGCATACCGCACACATGCCGAGAATGCCATTCAATGGCGTCTTGAGCTCATGTGAGATGTTAGCAATGAACAAGGTCTTGCTTTCATTGGCAGTTTCAGCGGCCAATTTTGCTTTCTCAAGCTCCCGCGTTCGCTCCGCGACTCGTTCCTCCAATCGTGTATATTGGATCGTCAGCTCGTCCGACATTTCATTGAAGGTTTTTGTAAGCTCTGTCAGTTCATCCGTCACGCAGTGATTTTGCTCCTTAACCCTTCCCGGGATCTGGAACCGACGAGGACTTCGGTTCCGCATGTTGGCTGAGCTGTTGAGTCTTTCAAGTGGGGCCCGGAAACGCTTCGCCCACATGGCAGGTCGGCCCTTTTCATTGACTTGCTCCTCCATCGTCTCCAAGGTGCCTCCGACATCGTCGGTAGTATGAGAATCCCGTCTCTCAGACTGGGGAAACTGAAAAGAGAGCCCTGTTGTCACGGACTTCTGGGCCGCCGCTCGTAGTCTCCGAATCGGAGCAACAGCCCAATGCGTCAATATAGGCACCATGAAAATTATCAGTCCTGCTGTTCCAAACACACAGGCAAGAATAATTTTCCGGAGGCGAGCTACTGGACTGAACGCCTCCGCATGAGTCTCTTCCACGATAAGAATCCATTCAACCAGAGAGCTCTGAAGGCGAATCGCGCCCACGGCAACACTATATCCCTTTTCATTCCAGGTAGAAAGCTTACTAATGGAATGGTTCTCGGTTTCATAGGGTTCGAGCATCAGCTTCAGCGCCATTGGATACTGCGAAAGCTCCCACGAAGTGTCAGTCGAGACGCCACGATGCCGACTGGTTTGTCCTGGCAGGGGTGTGGGCTCAAACACATAATGAACCCGTGCATCGGCAAGAGCTGCGGCATCAGGTGGATATGTAGCTGTCGCAGGCTGGGACTTTGCTGCGAATGTGTTCTCAGGTCGAGAAGGCCCGATCAGGAGAACCTGTCCCGTGTTCCCCAGACCATCCCTAGAGCTAACAACGCTTTGAAAAGCTGCTGCACTGGCGACAATGCTATGAGGTCATTAGTATAATTTTCAAGAGAACCTTAATGTGCTGCCCTCAGAAGGACTCCCACTCACGTCATGAACCCAAGTAGATCCGTCTCCGACATGTTGTTGACAATGGGCAGCGTCAAGGAAATGAGCGAGAATGAATCGTTGATTCTCAAGGGACCGAGAAGCAAGGCGGATTTCAGTCCCAGCGGATAGTCAGGAAAGGCATGCACGGTGGTTGAGCTGTTGCCGCCGGGTGAGTTCGTGTATGTGAGATTGGGATACAGCTCCGGGGGGTACCCCAAGCTATCCGATCCCAATTTTACCTGACTTCCATTGGCATAGGTATAAGGAAGTGTAATATCTGGCACCGTTTCACTGGTCACACTGAGTAGCCTCTCATTATCCACCTGCCCACTCCTTGAGTAGAGAACTGCCTGGTAAAGACTAAGGTACCCTCGGGTTCCCAGTGCCGACTGTACGTCGGTTATGGACGTCACCCAATTGCTCGTGGAGGTGTTTCCAGCATAATACTGGAGAAGGGCTGCCTGGACTAAGATTCGCGTGGATATGGTCTTGCTGGTCACTTCGAGGAGGTCTAAACTAGAGGCGATCTGGCTGGCTTTGATGGTCGCGACAAGCTCGAGGCTCTGGGTTCTACGTGATTGTCAGCATGCGCAGTCCTACTCCGTCAGAAAAGTGACGCTTACCCGACATTCACGACGAATTCGTAGGTCGTGGTCCACTGGTTCTTTGGTTAGTATGCCAATCCTGCCTTTCCTCTTGTTTCAAGACCGGGATTCTCACCGTTGCAATAGCAAGGACGACAATCCCGACAACGGTAGTCAACAGGACTAGCAGCCCAAGCTGCACGGCGATAGGAATGCGCATCCGACCGCGATGATGGCGTCAAAACTCATGGAGAGGGAAAATGGTGAAGTCGAACCCAGCTGTCTCGTCGAAGTCGTTTAAAGCAGGGGCGAAAAGGAGGTCGGCATGAGAGAGGATTTTCTCATCACCAGGAAGCATGCGGCAACACCCGTGATTAAACGGGCACAAAAATGGAACCGTCCTTGTTTTCACACCATGTGCCCGGGGGCAAAAGTCCAGCTTGGCAAGGGTTCGGGGCTGGAGCACGATTCTAGACTGAACTAGACCAAACGGGATGACGGGAGCACAGGTCCAGAATCAGGTCTTGGACCGCGCTGGGTTTTGCGGGTGAAATTTGCCGACCCCTTGGACCCCCGAATAACCTCCTGATAGGTCCACTGCCTTCCACTTGGACCTTTCCAAGGTTGATTTGAGACTGTCTTATGCATCAGAAACGGCGGGGGATAGGATTATTGCGGACTATTTGATGCTCTAGTGTCGACAAGATTTGGGATTCGTTTTCGTTGATCCTGGTAACTCTCGTACCAGCACTTCGACTATTATTTGGGGTTGTGGGTTCTCTAACTGCTGCGAACTAACCCTTGCCCCAAGGTGCTATGGGCGGGCTCCGCGGGCGGTATCTGCTACTTACGTGCACACTTTTCCCGAGTAGCAAGCACTGTGTCAAAGAACAACTCAGCGCTGAGTATACCTGCAAATTGTGATGAAGACTAAGACTCCTCCAAACTTCCATTTCAAACCGCAAAGTCTTTTCTACGATAACATCGATTGGTACTACTATATCGAACTAAAGGTTAGACTGGACTTCTTCGCGATCCACCATATAACTCCGCTTCCTATTATTCTCTAACCCCAATTCACGCAACACGCGTCGGAGCATCTTCCCACTAGCACTCTTTGGAGTCTCTTGAAGCAAGTCGAGCTCCGTGACCTAGATATGCGGCACCCCCGCACAAACCCCGTGATTTGATGGACTAATGAGAAAGTTGTCAGTAGGATACCGGGCTTCAACACAACATGGGCTTTGGTATGCTGACCAGTGTAGTCATTTGGGATGGTGTCTACGGTTATATCTTCCACCGTCGGGCATCTAAGTAGCAGATCCTCGAGCTCAGCTGGTGCGACCGCAGTCCCTTTGACCTTTATCATTTCCTTGATCCCATCGGTGATAGTGATAAACCCCTCTATATCCCATGTCACCATTGTATAGCCAGCCTTCAGTGTTGAATGTTTAAGACGTTACCTTCTCATTATGTAGATATCCAATAATCACCCGTGAGCCCCGAGCCGTGATCCCACCATGGTCATTATAACGAAACCCCCTTTCCCGTTCGGGATTCACTCTTTGACTCCTGTATCTGCAAAATAATGGTGACGCAGTATGGGTACTCGTAGGTGAACTTCTCTAAATGGTGCGCTGTTATGCAACTGCAACACTCGGTCATTCCATAACAATGCTTGAACCCGAGCTGTAAAGCTTTGCTGAAACACTTGAATGACCTCTGAGGACAGCGGGGCTGCGCCAGACGAAGAACTGCGCAGATACGAGAGGTTCTATCGCTTTACTATCGAATCTCTGAAGATACGTATCAAAATAGACGGCACCAAGAGTGACTCCGAAATTTGACACTCCTTGCCCAATTAGCTATGGGCATCTTCGCATTCTTCGCAAGGCTTTTCCTATAATCTTTGAGTGACATTGATGAAAGTGCATACCAGATTTTGATTGACACCCGGAACCTGCATGGGTGCTTTCTTGTTCATCCCGCTGATCATCGCTCAGAGATACCCAGCGGAACCTGCCTCGAATAACTAGACATTTGCCAATGAACACGTAAACTTGATTCATTCGTGCGTCAGAAAAAAAAGGCTGCCGCATACTGTCTTGCCTTTAAAGCGACTACACTACTGGCTCAGACAGGTAGGCGCACAGGTCCGACCGCAGTTAATGAAAATATTGTAATAGTTGCAGCGAAGAAGTGATGGTCTAAAGTTCTATTCAATGCAAATACGTGCAATATATGCTAAGTGTACATCCAGGGGTTTGAACGCCAGACAATGTAGTGTGGGACTCCAGGTCCAAAATCGGTTTTCATGCATCATGACCAACGTGGCTCAAAAACAAAAATAATAAGAAATAAAATAAAAAAGTGAACACTGTTCATGAAGAAAGAAGTAATAAATGCCGAAAGGCGTCTTCCATTGACGCTTAGGCGTTCTCGGCATGGTACATCTCCTGCTCCTTCCGCCCGTAGGGGCTCTCATCGGCCAACCACTCCTGGCGGTTAGGGATCTTGTAGGAGCTGCTCTTCCAGGGAGCAACCTTGTTGACATACATGTAGTCAAGCTCCTCTAGAGTACGACCCTTACCCTCGATAACGAAGAAGTAGACGACGAGAGCACCGACGAAGAGGCAGCCAGCGAAGACGTAGCCATAGGCGAAGTCGATATCACTGGTGATGAAGGTGGTGAAGAAACTGATGAGGAAGTTCCAGGCCCAGTTGGAGGCAGTGGCCAGAGCCATACCCTTGGCACGATACTTAGAGGGGAACAGCTCGGCGGCAATGGCCCAGATCATAGGACCCCAGGTCATGGCATAGGCGGCAATGAAGAAGCAGGCAACGACAATCATGCCCTTACCGGCACCGGGTGTGTTCTGAGGGTTCTCGATGTCCAACATGAAGTGACCCAAAGAGGCGAATATCATGAACATGACGAACATCCAGATTGCACCGAAGATAAGAGACTTGCGGCGACCGAAGTTCTCAACAACGTACAGACCACCGAAAGTGGTGCTGAAGTTGACAGCACCGAGAATGACCTGAGTAATGAAGCTGTCCGAAATGCCAGCGCCCTGGAAGATGGTGGTACCCTGAGAGGTATTAGCAATGGTGTTCTCGATAATTAGAGAGCATGGGATTCGACGCTTACATAGTAAAAGAAGTAATTGGCGCCAGTGAGCTGCTGCAGACTCTGCAGAACCATACCCAACACGATGCGGTAGAACATGCGAGGGGCGGTGATGAACTCGTGCCACTTCTGGCCCTCCGACTCGGCCTCGAACTGTTCACGGATCTCGTTCATTTCCTCAATGATGCGGACGTGGTTCTCGGGGATACCATACAGCTTGGCCAGGGTACGGCGGGCGCTGTCGACCTTTCCGTGTCGAAACTCAAAGCGAGGGCTCTCGGGGAAGAAGACCATGCCGCCACCAAGAACGATGGCAAAAAGGAAGGTCAGGCCGAGGGTGATCCGCCACTGGGCAGTGCCCTCGAGGTTGTGGGTGCCCAAGTTAATGCAGTAGGCCAGGAAGATACCAAGGGTGACGAACAGTTGGTAGCAGCTGATCATGGCACCACGGATGTGACGGGGAGCACTCTCACCCTGGTACATAGGGACCAGCAGAGAGCAACCACCGACACCCAGACCAGTGACCCAACGGCCGACAACCATCTGCCACCAGTGTCCGGCGGGAGAGGAAATCTGGACGACGAGGCCAACTATGAGAATGACACACCAGACACTGATCGACCACTTGCGGCCCAGATAGTCTGCCACGGGGGCGCCCACCAGCGCGCCAATCAAAGTACCGATGGAGAGAAGACCGACAATAAGACCGGCGCGGGTGTCACTGAAGGCCCACTCCCCCTTGGCGTTGAGCTGACCGTATCGCTCCAAGTAATTGCTCATCTCTTGGAAACCTGAAATCTGACCGGTATCATAACCGAAGAGCAGACCACCCATCGAGACAAAGAGGGCCATGGTGAGGGACCGCAGGGTGATCCGGGGAATGGGAGTGTCGACGCCAGCCGGCATCATGGGTTTCTGGATGGGGCTGTTCTGGAAGGAAGTATCGGTACTGGGCTGCTGAGCCGGAGCTGAGACAGACTCCCCATGATGGGAGGTTGATTCGAGGCCCATATTGAGGGATGGGTTTTAAGTGAAACTTCTCTTTCTCTTGTCACAAGACCTTGGTATGTTATAAAATCAAGGTTTTGGTAAAAGGTAACCTCTTGTTGTCAAGTAAAGAATGTCAGGTGGGAAAGGGAAATGCCCGTGGGGAAAAAAAGGAAAAGAAATGCCAGAATCCGGAGACAACAGAGCCTTTTTGTAATCCCCCAGGAACAGGGGAAACAAGGCTCCAACCATTTGCCTGGGGCGAGTGGAGAGGCGATGTGGAGAGACGACACGCGAGTATGTACATACATGACAATGCCCAATGCCGAAAACCGTGCGACCGAGTCAAACCAGCAAACCAGACCGGCCGAAGCCGACTTGCACGGCTCCCGAGTGAATCCACCGAGGGCAGGGGGATAAGCCAGCCAGGGCTAGTTCCAGTGAATGATCGGCTACGGTTCGCCAGTCAGACGGATGGCCGAGTTCCCGGCACGTAAATGCTGGGATTTCGGGTTGACTGGTGGCAAAACTCGGCGGCGGCTGCACAGCCAAGCCGTGCCGAGAGACGTTCTTGGCTCGGGATCCCACTTTGGTCGTTGATCTCGTTACCAGAGTTCCCTTTCAAGGGTTCTTCGATATACCCGCCTGCATAACTGCATAGGAAGTGACATGTTGACGTACGCAGCAACTTACGTTCGGCTACATGTTTCGGGATATCTGGAGAAGTCGGTGGGCCGTATGTTTCAAAAACGAAGCCGGGTTTTCGGACCCCAGGCCCTCCACATTGTTCTCCCACGAGTCATACCTGATACTTATCCCGGTGAAGATGCCCCGAGAAGTAGCCATCTCCAGACAAGGAAGGCCGCAAAAATCCCGAGGGGAAATGTGGAGTCCGTGGAGGGACTTCCACACGTGTTTCCAGGGACTCCTCCGCTCCTTACATCATTGCACAGGTGTCCCCATCGTTTCCCGTGTGCCCCGTTTCGCTCTCGGTCACATCCCGACTGTAATTTCCCTTGTCAGGCTTTAAAACCTAAATCCTTTTAATCCGCACAGTCGACCTGGTATTTCACGCCCCGTCGGTGGCGCCGCCACACCCGCTTCTTGGTTCCTGATACGTCATTGAAGAATCTGCGCAGGGTAATAATGAATTTCTTCATGACCCATACAATCAACCCACTCCGCGTGACATGTTTGGTAGAAGACAGTAAATGTAATTGAACTAGAAGACCTAATGAAAAAGGCTCTGAGCAGAATCTTAGAAAAGGAGAACGCCAAAATCTCTGCGGGCTTTGTGGACGAATAACGATCGCACAAACCCGAGGCGGCTCCCCAGGAATGCTGACACATTGCAGAGTACTTCTTATCCAATGAGTTTTCAGTTTTTGCGTCGATTCCACTCGTGTACCCGATTACGTCGTTTCGGGCTCCCGAGTTGTTCGGCTCTTTTGTGTTGTAGCGATGTCCTCGGCTGGTGGCGGACCGTTTATTGGCAGATTCGGCCGGGCCTCCCGTGGATGGAACCATCGGTCTGGCCAAAGATCGGCTTCTCATCGGGTTCCTTCGCTAACAGGATCCAGGCCGGAAAATGTAACGGAGGGCTTCGGCCGGTTCCAGACGATCTTTTAGCCGAGATCGATCTGCGCGACGAAGCTCGAGGTCACGAGGATCGCTCCCGAGCAACTCATCCATGAGCAGCTGTCGGTTCACTCGAGGTACCTTAAGTCGTCCCTTGCATGGTCGACACGGACATCATAAAGCCATTTGCACTTTTGTTTCTAGCTGGCCTAGGACTACTCAAGTAGGACTCTACGGCCAATGTGGGAGTAAGGATTATTCAGGACCTACGGCTTGTGAGGATGTGTGGGGGTGTCAGTACCGGAACGACTGGTACAGCCAGTGTGTATCAGGTGGGTGATTGATCATATTGCCGGGATTGGCTAGAGAATGTACTTAAATCGTGGCGCTCAATGATTGTGTACCCTGGATGGACAGCCGGACAGGTTGAATGCATATAATGACTTGACAAGTAACGGAAGGTAGAAATCGAGGACAATCTTGATATCAATTACACACCTGGGCAGTTTCCATTCAACAGAACCTCGAAAGTCCGCTAGATAAACACCTTGAAAAAGAGCCCTGGAGCACTGCGTCCTAAGTGTCAAAAGAAACCTCAACATTGGGCGGTTTGGTGCAACCACGCCGGCCGGCTTAGGGACGATCACCACTAATTCTCCACCTCGGCACTGTGTACTATTCCCTAATCTCCGGCAGATTTCAACTTGTAGTTCCAAGGTTGGCAGGAAGGCCAACACTGAGCAATGCTGTAGACTGCGATCGCCTCCAACGGGCCTCCTGTGGCCGAGAAGAAAAGACACAGCCTCTAGGAAGATGGGATTGATGAGCCGGTTCACTTTGTCGCATTTGCGTCGACTCGCTGAGCCGGTGATTATTCGAAGCCAGTCGCGAGCAGGGACTAATCTGCAAATTCCGCGAAAGAAACAGCATCGACTGCGATAATCAGTCTCTCTGGGGATTGCCAGCTTGCACCTTGGCAAGCAAGTAGTACGAGTCTTAGCATCAAGATTCAGATTTGCTCAACAGGAGGCTGCATCGCCGTGTATCAATCCGCGCGGGCGGATCTTGATCTGCAGAGCCGGGCGTCGCAAACGTCTTCTCTACTACCATGGAATTGCTGTGCGGGTTAAATTTCTCTGGCAGAATCGCGGAAGAGCGGATAAAGAATACCGAGAAATTATGGTGACAGACAGTTCAGACTGACGGGCAGAAAATGTATTCGAGGTCCAGAAGCAACGAGTGACATATACTGCACTTGAAAGGACATAACTATGCGTATGTACATCAAGGGGCACCTCGCCCCAACTGAACATTTACTATAGAAAACACGCGAGGGGGGGTATTCATTCCGCGAGGGCAAGCATCGGTTCGACGACGGGAGGAGGGTGAATTTTTGCGGCGGGCAGGAAGACAGATTTCGCAGAGGGCTGAACTACAGAAATTTCGCATCTGGGGGGCGCGGCGCAATGACGAGACCACGGGTGGTTGGGTGATTGATTATTTGCTGTCGAGTTCTGGGCGGGATTTGCTGTCGATTTCAGCGATGATTTTGCTGGAGAGCTTGGAGGTTGCTTTGGGCACTGAGGGCGAGTCGCTGTCGCGTTCAACTGCATCGGTAGGCGGACCGCGGTAATTTTGGTAGCCCCAAATTATGTACCAAACGGCGGCGATGAACACAAATCCAACAAACACCACCGAGGCGTAGTTCATACTTTCCAGAGTGACAGCTTTCAGGGTCGGCATGCAGAATAAAGGAATAGCGAGGACACTCCAGCCTGTTGACTATGTTAGCAAAAGGAGGACAGACGGATGATAGTAGACGTACCGAGAGCAATCACGTTGGCGATGGCGCCAAAGATTCCAAAGTTGAAACGACCGTTCTTGATATCCTCACGACGGCGGAAGAACAAGGAGACGGCAATCGGACAGGCGTAACTCATGGTCAGGAAGATGACCCCCACACCGGAGAAAGCATTGTAGGCAGCGGTCGAACCAAAATAGATGGCACCCAATGCGATCTCGACCAGCATGCCCAGGATCATCGCGTTCAGGGGAATTTCGAGCTTCTTGTCGACGATGCGCCACCAACCAGAGCCGGGAATACCACCATCACGAGCAAAGGCCCAGGTGCACCGCGATGTGGCCGTCACGCAGCCAACTCCGCAGATGATGCCGAGAACCAGCAAAGGGATCATCAGGCAGAAGGCACCGACCGAGCTACCGAGAGCGTGCCTGAAGATGACGGGCGTGGGCTGACCGGAGGCCAAGTTGACCAGCATCGTCAGATCGGGAAGGACGAAGCAGACGGGGATCAAGAAGAGGAGACCGGCGATGGTGTTGATCACAATAGTACCCACCATGGCCTTGGGGACCATGATGGCGGGTTCACGAACTTCTTCACAGAGACTGTTTTCGGTCAGTAAGTTGGACTTCCCATCTAGCAATTGTATCACTCACGAGACGATCATGCCAGTGGCCGAAGTGGCGTAGGCGGCTTGCAACAATCCAATAAAGAAAGACCAGCCGGCCGGCCACCCGGCTTGCGTCTCGAAGTGACCGAAGACCCAGGCACCCGAGCGGCGGCCTTCCTTCGCAACAGCCAACAAACACACGACGATGGCGATCAAACCGGCGATAGTCCAGAAAATGGCAAAAGTCTGCGCGATCATCGTTAGTACCAGATCGGGAAATAGAGCACGTGCGTCCACGTACCTCCAGCCAGGGTAGCCATTTGTTTCCAAAGGCCGAGATAGCGTGCGTGAGAAGAGTGATAGCCAAGAAAAGCAAGAAGATCTGATAAGCCTGGAAATCATCGGTGATACCAACTCCGGGAGCCTTCTCGAAAACGTTAAGGCAAGCGACGAAGAGTAGAGTGGTTCCAAAGTTGACGGCGAGGGTGATGGTGATATTTCCCGCGACATATGACCAACCGCAAATCCACGACGCGACACGACGGCACCATAGCGGAGACAGAACGAATGTTTGGTAGTAGACGCCCCCGGCCGTGGGATAAACCGAGGTGATTTCCGCGAGCGAGACGGCGACGCACAGGATCAGGAACGAGATGAGGACCCAGCCCCAGATGATATTGGCGGGGCCACCCGCGGCGAGAGGATAATACAAGGTAGTCGACAAGCCGTAGGGGACGGACGAGAGAATGAAGCACATGAAGGTGACCTGCCAGACGGAGCGGTTACGCGCCAGTTCCGGGGTATATCCCAGGTCCTCCAGCGTGCGGTCTGCCTTGTCCGTCTCGGGACCCGTTTCTGAGCGCCCGATAGACACGCGCGATGGGCGGCGTATTTCCCCCTCGATAGCCATAACGAGTATAGATCAAGGCCCTGGCTGAAAGGTGTGCATGCAGGCAGGGATATTACACCGGCACGTGGGAATTAAAAAGAATGTAGAGAATGAGACAACAAGCAAGGGAAAGATTGAGTAAAGAAGCAAAGAGGTAAAGAGGTAAAAAAGATACAGAAAAAAAGAGTAAAAAAAGCCGAGTGGAGTAGGACGCGGCGCCCGAGGGCGGGAAGATATGGTAGGATTTCGCTTCAAACCTAGCTTGGGCTAGCCCGGGGTTACTGTCGGATGGCAATTGGACAATTGCCAATCAGACCGGTTTTGGGAGGTGGCAACTGGAGCCTCCTTGGCGCCGCGCTGCTGGGACCCTTGATTGGCAGCGGAGTGGTTGTCATCTCCATCGCCCGGAGCAGATCCGCTCAACAGCCACAAGTGTTGGGCCATCTCGCAACAACGTGTTATCTGATGCCCCCCATGCCGTCGTATCACTCGCATATGCGGTAGACCCTTGTTCTTTATTTCATACTTTTTCACACTGCGCCCAGTAGCGCGATCTTACTGCAGACGGAGGAACTATGATTTCAGGGGCGCCGCCTCCATTTGCCTGTACCAGAATTCGGCTCCCGGAGCCTCCGCGAGTCCGGAAAGGGAAGCGAAGTGGAAGAAAACCTCGTTTCTAGAAGCGAAAGCATCTTGGCGAGCCCGGCCCATAATCGGTCTCCGACACTCCGAGCGGCCATCCCGCAAATACTCCACTAGGCTGTGGCTGCCTCGGTACGGGGAAGTCTGCTACGGATTAGTGCATCGCTTCGAATATGGCCAAATGGGATCTAGGTGGGACATACGATGGGTGATGAACTAGCCGATGTCCAACAGTCCCGACTCCATCAGACGCAGGAGGGGCGGCGTGATCGTCGCGTTCACTAGCGACATGTGGACATCTAAGCCATCAGCCTTACCCTTCCTACACCTCTACATGTTAAAAGATTCACATTTTTTACCCCTCAATTGACGCATAACTCCACAATCTGATTTCTGATTCAATTTGCTTCAAATTATAACTGCTCGTAGATCGCATGAAGATACACGTAGTATATCAATATAAAGCCGGAGGCATGAGTATTTTCACAATAGATTTCTTCAACCGTTCCTGAGTCCGGTGTAGACAACGGCTTCCATGGTTGGTGCGTTAGTTGATGGCTAACTTGGGTGGATGTACAATCTCCTTGGCTTAACGAGGACCCATCGACATGAAAAATTGCAGTATCCAGGACGGTCATCGAAAAGCACCAGATGTTTGTACTTCAAAGCAACTCGTATCGAGGATCATGCCCATGTAGGCTGGAATCGGCAACAACAGCGACCTTCCAAGTGGGGCGCATCAGGCCATCAATGATCGACCGACCCCATACCCCATGGGAATTCGATCCGTGTCGGGGGAAGCGGGGGTGGATATATTCCCTCGTAGTCTAGACTTCTCAGACCAGGATAACAGACCAGGATAACATTGAGAAAATATAAGACAAAGTAGGCAATAGCAATACATTTGATTGTGCAGATACCTTTGTCTAGAAATGTGTAACTAGTGTTGCCTCGCGACATGGATGCGTGAGTGGCTCTGTAAACATACAGCAGATTAGTCTCCACTTTTATAGACGTTGGGAACCTGTCAATATCACTAGGTTGAAATTACGCGTGTAACTTGGAGACGAACATATTATCTTCAAGTGGTTCTTGTATAGTGAACGACGAGTAGCACCCTTGGAATGATCTGGAGCAAACTTAGAGACTCGTCCGAGAAACTTCATGTGCTGTGTACTCTAGATAAAATAGAAGAGGCCTTGATACTCCCTGGAGTCCGCACCATGGGATAGAGCTGGCCAATGAGGATATCAAGGTGGGAGCTTGAGAGAACTCCTCTTTCATTCCGTACCCGAACTCGGCGGCGGTCTTAGTGTAGTCCCTGACGGGCTTAGTTATGTCGTGGCAAACAGATCAAAAATAACGCTTAGCCTTTTAGTGCTTAAACCAAACCAATTTTGACCTCCGATTTCAAATCGAACACGGTAATGCTGGATCTCGGGGCTTTTCTTACTGTTTCCTTTCCCTGGCACCCATGGTTTTTCTACCTCTGAGACTCTCTTCACGACTAAATACTCTCACAACTGCTTCACTAGGCTCTTCCATCAACCTCAATACTTCTTCTATCATCTGTCAAAGAAGCATTTTTACAATGGCTTTCAAAACATTCATTCTACGCATCGCGTCTGCCGTAGGCCACCGGAAACCTAATGTACCGGGGCATATCGAATTCAACAGTTTCGAACTGTACTTACGGGAGTTCGAGGTCAAATAAAATGCTGAGACACAAGAGAATTGGATCCACCAATACAAAATGGAATTGAGGAAGCGCGGTAAAATTTTGGCATTGACAAGCCATCTTAACGCCCATATTGGCCACCTCGAGAGAATCTCGGAAGAACAAGGTCGAATGACACCTTCCGACTCGTCAAAGCTGCAGCAATACTCTCGGGACATTGTACAAGTGTCCAGGGACTACTGCGAACACATTCAGCGGCTCCAGAACCTGGAGAGAACCAAGCCACCCGGCAAGCTGGCCAGTGAATTCCTCTTAAAACGAGAGTGCAGGCCGCATGCCCGTTGGAAGCTCGAAAAGATCGCTTCTCAGCTTCGTTGGGGATGTTGCCTTCGCCAATGTCGCTGCTGCGAGAGATGGAGTGCGATTCAGATTGATACTGGAAGCGCCAAGACCATGCACTTTGACAACGACTGTGATTGCTGTGCACGATACAATAAGCCTATTGCAACTACGCCCGTTCCGGCTACTACTCTTGCGACGACGTCTATTGCGACTACTTGTGTGGCATGACGCCCAGTGCACTTGAATGACGATGAAGCGAGTCAGCCTTCATCAATCGTTCTCTTTTTTGTTCGTCCCGTCATTACCTTTTTGTTTTGGCACAGTTAGGATCGGCGTCGGGGCCATTTTCTGCAGTGTGGGAGTCTTCTTTATTGATATTGTTCCTGGCATTCTTCAATCATACGCTGAGGTCCTATTCCAATTGACAATTTATTTTCGATTCACTTGCACATGAAAACCTAGCAACATGTCGCTATACCAGTTGGAGTCTAGCCCCGACCGCCTATTAGCGAGCATTTCCTGTCTGGGCTGACCCCCGCGTCTGATTCGATGCCACCTCGCCTTTCCTCCCGCTTGCTCACTTGAACCCCTGCAAATTTGTCGAATGCTGATAAGACAAACCCTTTTGGGGCGTTGCCTCTACAGCCACATGAGAAGAGGTAAATGGCTAGGCACTTTATAGGCTGCCGGACCGGTGGCCGGACCGGTGCTGAAGCTGTTGCCAAAGGCCCTGGGCCCTTTTTTCACAGGGCTCGCCGACGGGAACACTTGTCAGCACCTTGAGAGATTTAGGAATTTCCGTGTTCGACACATATTCCATTCGGATTGTATCCATTCTTTGTTCATACTCGTGCCTTGCGCAAAATGGCGACGACTGAACACACGTCTTCCATGGCGGACCAGCCACCTCTGACCGAGAAAGGCCAAACGGTGCGCACGCTTGTTGAGGCAGATCTTCTAGATGATCGTTATGCCACCACTCAACGCGGTCTGAAGAGTCGCCATGTTCAGCTGATGGCCCTCGGTGGCACGATTGGGACAGGTGAGTTGTTTACTCGGGCTTTCTCCCCGGAGGTCATCGCTAACAGTCGTGTCAACCAGGACTATTTGTCTCATCGGGTCAGTCGCTCGCCATAGGTGGCTCTGCCTCACTCCTGCTGGGATATATTTTCATCTCGGCAATGGTGTATGGTCTGGTCACCGCAATCGCAGAGATCGGCGCTTACCTCCCCGTTCACGGCGGTACCATGAGCTACCACGGATTCCGATATGTGTCGCGAAGCTTGGGATTTGCGATGGGATACTTATACTGGTACTCGCTGGGGATTTTGGTCCCATACGAGATCACAGCAGCCGGGCTGGTTATTGGATATTGGGACCCTAACGGGACCATCAACATTGCTGTGTGGATCTCGATCATGATGGTTGTGATCATCGCTTTAAACTTCCTCCCGGTGCGGTTCTATGGCGAATCAGAGTTTTGGTTCTCCAGTGTCAAGATCATCACCCTGATCGGGCTCCTGATGGTGTCCTTCATCCTCTTCTGGGGTGGCGGGCCAAATCGAGAGTTGCTAGGCTTCCATTACTGGAAGCATCCAGGTTCCTTTAACCAGTATCTCGTGAAAGGAAATACGGGACGATTCGTCGGCCTACTTAAGTGCACAGTATCCAGCGCGATTGCTTTCATTTTCGCACCGGAGTTGATCATCATTAGTGGCGGTGAGATGGAGTCGCCGCGGCGCAATGTGCCTCGAGCAGCCCGGCGGTACATTTACCGTCTCGTTTTCTTCTACATCTTCGGTGTTCTGGCCATTGGTGTTATCTGCCCATCGAACGCTAAACGACTGACAACCGGCGACGGCACTGTCAAGTCGTCGCCATTCGTGGTGGGAATCCAGAACGCCGGCATTCCGGTGCTGAATCACATTGTTAATGCCGCTGTGTTGACTTCGGCCTGGTCTGCAGGAAACTCGTTCCTATACATGTCGTCCCGCTCCTTGTATTCACTGGCCATGTCGGGCAATGCACCCAGCATCTTTAAGTCCTGTAACCGATGGGGCGTGCCATACTATGCAGTGGCCGCGTCGGCCTGCTTCTCAGCCCTGGCGTATTTATCGGTTGGTAACTCCAGTTCAATCGTTTTTAACTGGTTTGTCAACTTTACCAACACATCGGGCTTCATCTCCTGGATTTGCTGCTGCGTCGTGTTCTTCCGGTTCCGCAAAGCAGTTCAAGCCCAAGGCATTGAACCGCCGTATCGATCGCGACTGCAACCATACGGGGCATACTTTGGAATGGCCGGATCGATTTTGATGGCACTGATCAACGGTTTCACCGTTTTCTTCCCGTCTGAATGGTCTGTGAGCAATTTCTTCACCGCGTATATCGGAATTCCCGCCTTTTTGGTGCTGTACTTTGGCCACCGAGCTCTGTTCTGGAGCGATCCATGGGCGTGGAATCCCGAGGAAGTCGATATGCAGACGGGATTACAGGAGATTATTGAAGCAGAGTTGCCGGAAAGGCCGCGTGGGCCGTGGTGGAAGTTTTGGTAGTAGAGAAGCTGTGCAATGGGAGATTCAGTGTCTTCCAGATTGCTTTGACCTGTATTCTGTGTCATTTTGATAACATAGTCAACCAAAGCGCATATGATATTCCAATTTCACATGATTCCCGGCTTACCGGCCGTTGTTATCATCGATCAGTGTCAGTCTTCTGATCTCATTCGGTCGGCATCGGCTCGGCCAATCTTATCAAGAATCTCCGCACTCGCCCGCATCAGATAGCAGCCAAACCGGAGTACTTAAAAACTGACGCCGGCCCGAGCTAATTTGGCCGATACGGAATTTATTCACAACCCGAGCGACCATGGCCGTGCCTCCCCCGACTGTCCGACCGCTGCAGCCTCCGGCAGGCTCCAGAATTAACTTTGGCGCTCAGATCGACGGCATCGATTTAGAGAATCTGACCGGTTCGTTGACGATAGTGGTATTTGGAAGAATGCCAACTAATTCCAAGTAGACCAGCAGTTTGCGACCGTCCGCGACGCACTGTATCACCATCACGTCATCGTGTTCAAGAATCAGCAGAAACTCTCTCCCAAGGCACAATACGAGCTCACCAAGCGCTTTGATCCTGCATCGGATAACTATGGTCACGGCAAGGCGCTCGATGCAAAGCGAAGCATCCTCCATCCTGACCTGAAAACCATTCCCCACCAGCCACAAGTTCAAGTGATCGGCAATGGCTTTGTTCCTTCATACGAAGGGCTGGAAAATGTCCAGCTGAAACACCCTCACCACCGAACATTCCACAAGGATCACATTCCCGACGATAAAGATTACGATTTCACTCGTTTCTACCGCTGGCACATCGATGCGGCCCTGTATGATTTATACCCGCCCCAGGTGACAACCCTTTTTGCCGTGAATGTACCAAAGGGCCGCCGCCAGACATTGCTATACGATGATGGGACCGGTGAGACACTGGATGTTCCGCTCGGCACGACGGCATTCGTGAGTGGCCAGCAGATGTTCGATGGTCTGTCCCCAAAGGACCAGGAGTTCGTGCGAACAAGCAAGATTGAATATGCTCCTCACCCGTGAGTCACCATTTACTCTCTATGAATCCCAGAGAATGCACTAACCGGCTTTGTTTAGCTATATCTGGATGAGCTCCGCTCGTTCAAACTCCACTGGCCTCGGTCTTCATCCAGAAGGGCTCGAACTGCCCGAGTCAAAACTGCCTCCCATTGACAAGGAGAAAATCATGATACTCCCCATGGTGTGGAAGAACCCCGTCACTGGAAAGCTCGCGATGCAGGTACACCCGTCGGCGATTCGCCGCATTCACCTTGCTGATGGCACTGTGATCGACGACCTTAGGCGTGTGCGTGAAATCATCTACAAGTTGCAGAGACCGGCTATCAGCCCTCAGTATGTGTATCCGCATGATTGGGAGAATGGCGATTTGGTTCTTTTTAACAACCGAGGTGTATTACATTCGGTTGTGGGTGCCTTCAAGCCAGATGAGGTACGCCTGTTCCGCCAGTGCAATCTGGCTGCCTCGGAGCCTCCTGTGGGATCATGAGTGGATTCACTGTTGTTTTTGGGTACAGAATACATAGCGATGGGACATGATAAACAGGATATGGTGCTTTTTTGGGGTCATATACTCACGATGGAACATTCGCTCAGAGAATGCATGTGTCACTTTTTTCAATCATCATAGATACGAAGGATGGGTGTTTCCCCATATAATCCGACCCAGGGCCACAATATGTCCTGGAGTCAAGAGACAATATTCACATGGAGTCAATTTTGTTGAGCTCGGATATTATAATACAGTCTAAACTATTATACACATTAAATAGGGTGCGTCTCCATTGCGTGACAAGGACAGTAAACGAACGCTCGAACTAATTGCCTCATCGAACAATATAAAACCCGTTCACAGCAACTTGTCTCTCCCTCCACTCATCAGTCGCCGATCGAACCCCCAGCCGATGCAAAGGCACCTGTTCCATCCATTTTAGTCCCCGGGCTCTCGCAACGGCGTATCCTTCCCGTGTTCGATCAGCCCAGCTGGGATTTTGCCGTTGACTTTCAGCGGCAATTGGCACTTCTGGAGCCCATGCTGGATGGACCAATGTGTTCTGCACCACAGATACATCGTAAACATCAGCCAGAATGGCTGCCTCTGCTGCCGCGGCCTGTGCTTCCGCAAGTTCTTGGCTATTGCCACCAGTCGGCGGCGGGATATCCTCTCGAAGGAATCCCATGAGTCGAATATCAAGCTTGGTCGTCTGAAGGGGTACCTCATCCAACAGGCGAAGGGTCACAGTCCGTCTCGTAATTTGTGTCATATCTACCCTCGATGCTTGTAGAGGGTCCAAAGTTCGAACAGAGAGGGCAATTGGACACCACGGTCCTGTGGACGCATCTTTAGTAGAGCCTGTATCAAAGCGTGCCCAGCCAAAGAAGTAGCCACGGAGTTGCTCTGGAACCCAATCCGGAACCTTAGTGAGAGTCATTTTTGGAGTTTCGCTTGAATCACTGGGAATTGGCGAGTGTGCGAGTTCACCACGAGCTTTGAAGTTCATTGGAAATGGCAGCTGCGGTCCTTCGTCAATACGAGACACTTCATTACCGGCAAATGGCGGAGGGCCTTGACCGGCCACGGTTTTCCGATTGGGATCGGCAGATGAATTCAAAACCCCACCAACTCTGTCTTTGACACCACTGGCAGAGTATGCTGTATGTACCGCGGCCTGCGTTACCCATGAGGGACGATATGGATTTACCGTGGATGTGACAGCTGCTGCAGCCGGGGTAGCTACTGTTCGAGCAGCTGTCTGCGCATAGAGGCTGACCACCATCGCTCCGACCTCCAGTGGCAACGTACTCAAGCTGGCACCCCGGAGAGAATGCGGGTTGGCCGACGTCGAGAGGACTCGGAAAACCGGGCTATTGCCAAGAACGCTCTTTTTCAGCCCTTCGCAAAGCACTAGCTGGAAATAACCGTCACCAGCTTCAGCAGGAATCCGAACGACAGCTGTTTCGCGCAGCTGATGTGTATCTCGAGGTCTTGCGGGTGCCTTTTTGCGAAACTTTTTGATATCGCGCTGCCAAGCACGTTCGTCGTCCGGATTCACTTGATCGGCTCGAACCGGCATGCCCGGAGTGACATCAAGCCAGCTGCTATTAAGATGAAGAAGCGCTTTGGTGCGCATTCCGGTCTTTCCCGACCATCCTTTGCTCTGTAACCACAGTGTACGGTCTAGTGGCAAGGGTGCATCGGAGAATATTGAGACGGCCACCGACGTGGTGTTACCACGGTAGAAAACTAAGCCATGGGAGTGCCGTAAGATTGTAACGTGCTTGTTCGACTCGGTCGGATGATTAATGAGACCACCGAGAAGGTGACGCGCCTCGCCGTATGCTTTCTGGACCGGTGAAGGGGATGGCGGTGGGGGCGGCGTTGTTGATATCGAAGCACCTATTGTTCGGGGCCGTGGAACGGACTCAGAATAGGGTGACGGAGGTGACGGAGCAGCTGGTCCATAAAGCTCTGTATAAGACGGGGGCCGTAATAACGGCGGTGGTACTAAATTTAGGGAGCTTGTGGCGTGAGACAACGGGGGATCGGCATTTGCAGTCCCACGCAGATTCGGGTTAGACACGGGCTTCCGGCTGATACGGAATCGATCCGACGGTCCTGGCCGCAGATTTGCAGGCTCCATGGTCTACACATGGCGCACCGCGAAGGAAATGAAGATCCGTCGATCGATCGATAGGCAAATGCGATTGGTCTGATCAGTCATCATGGCGCCTGAGGCATTCCGTGGAGGCCGGATATATTTGATCATCCAATCACACCTCGCCTCATGATGCACTACACTTGCGTCGTCTCTTAATGTTTCCTATCAAAGATTGCCGTCAGATAATAGCTTATTTCGCTTGCGGGGGATTGATTTGATCTTACGAAATAGTTTAATAATGAACAGCTAAGTACAAGGCTGGTCCAGCCTTGTAAAGCAAATAGAAATACTATTCGACTTAAAGCGGAAAAAACATATTCTAATTAATGGATCGAATATTCTAAATGCCCAAAACTAAAGCTTGAGTGAAGTAAGAATTCTACACGTAAATAGAAGCTAGCGAGGGTGGGGTATTTAAAGTAACTCCGAGTCATTGGACCTAAAGCTATAGGTAGTTAAAGAAGGGGGGGGGGCATTTGTGTAACAATTCCCTATAAGTAAATTGAGTGGGGCTCTCGAAATAGCCAGGCATGATCTTGCATTCACTATGCTTACTAGAGTGATGGGTTTACTTTAGGGGCGGTTAGCTAGACGCTTACTTATTTGATCTTACTGGTAGAGCTGCCCGCCGAATATTAACGTTGTTACTATAGCCTTTCAACGAATAGGAAATTGATGAGACTATAAATAATAGGCATTGACTCTAGATAGAAAGAATCATTTTCTGATATTCCAAACAAATATATACTATAAAATTTTTCCGTAAAATCTCCAACAATTTCCGGACCAGATATCCTCGCCCGTAAATTTCAGTTTCTTCCACTCATGTGATATATTTTCTTTGATGATACCTTCATGTTATTCATTCTGAGTATTCGATACACGAAGGATGAACACTTCACCTGGCGTCAGATCGGCTTCTGTCATCCAAACTACAGAAAAGTAGCACAACTAACCAAATTATGAAATTATCTCGAGAGGTACAGCCTTCTAAAGAGTATCTTGAAGTTGAAGTTTGCTCGGCTGGCTGTCTTGCTATTTCTTTTTCTCTGGTGTGACATCTTTTATTTACAATGGGACAATGTGTCGTACAGATGCCCCGTGAGATTACACCCGGGTGGTCAAATGGGCCTTGAAATGTTGATCTTTGACTCCGGTTTCGGGATAATTCCAAGCTTGCCGAGGCGAAAAGTAGAAACGGCGTGGTCAGCCGTCAGCCGATAGTCTAAATGCTTCAAGAGATGATGAAAGGTCATGAGAGAGTGAAATCGCAGCCCATAAAAATCGTGCCATCGATCGGTGTGTCATAGTAAGGTTCAATCTGCACAAATCCGTATCGACGATACAGTCTTTGTGCTGCAGTCATCTCGGGCAGCGTGTCCAAACGGATGCCCCTGTAACCAGAGCCTTTGGCTTGTGCAACGATCGCTTCAACGAGTCTGTCACCGAGCTTCAAGCCTCGCGCGTTTTCGGCCACATAGAGACGTTTCATCTCACACCAATTATCTGAACTGCGCCTCAACGCCACGCATCCGACGGCAGAGATCCGCGGGGTCATCGGGTTTAGAGTAGGTGTTGTCGAATGAGATGCAAAAATGTGATCAGGATGATCAACCACGGCTCGTGCGATCAGAAGAAACCCTCCTTGAGACTCTGCATATTTGCCGGGTAAAGAATCGAGTTCGTCTTGGAAAGATTGAAAAGTGAGATCGATCCCGAGGGACGCCGCGTAACCCGAAAACAAGGAATGAATCACGTCCAGATCGCGAGGAAATTGCGCCGGCTCAATACGGACTGTCATTATGAACCGTGTGGACTTGGGTTGGTTTGAATAAAGCGATCTTGACCTTAAAAATTATCGGTGACTCAGAATCGCCAGGGACGATCAGCCCCACAGGGTCTCTCGGAGCTCGTCCCGATGTCGGTGAGCCTCAAATTGGCCGATGAGACTTCGGATATCGCTGGTATTCACAGATTCTCCAAGCCTATTTGTCCGCCGGCGTGGCCCGAATTCCTCGCTGTTGATTCCACGTCTTTAAAGGTCCCAAGCTTGAAGAAAATCTTGCATGGGCTCAAAAGTTCTATGAAGCTTTGAAGAACACCGATCCGAGCAACTTCCTACCGGCAACTTATCCCGACGAGAACTGCAGATATTGATCTGAAGCTGTATTATGGAAGCCGATATGACGATCTCAAAAGGATCAAGCAACAGTACGATCCTGCAAATGTATTCAAGCATACTGTAGTGCAGCTGTGAGAAGACGAGAAGCATTGAGGAGACAGTAGTTGGCAATTTGGAATGGCATACTTCAATTAAGATATTAAGAAAGTCAGGTATAATGCAAATCTCACCGGTACATGGCCTTGCGGCTTCTTCTAAACAAATCAAAGTCCCAAATCCTTGGTCCCAAGAACGCCGATCCCACCAACTCCAAAAGGGAAAACAAAAAAAAAAAAAGGAAAACCCCTCAGGCCAAAACCATAAACCAAAACCACCGTGTTATGTACAGGTAGCCGACACCCTGCAGCCCAAAGGGCGTGACCTTATTGGTAAATGACAGAAAATTCAGTATCGCTCTCGACAATAACATCGGCAAGTACCTTGCCGTTCTGCTGGATATCGAGGATCTGGGCATTGTTCACGCCGTAGTCACCATCGTCGGTCTTAGCCTGGGCACCACTGAAAGTGACCATGCCGAAGTTGGCAAGAGGGACCTGGGAGCTGCCGGTGTTGAAGTCCTCGACGATCCATTCGGCATTCTGGCCACCCAGAGTGGCATCAGAAGAAGGTGCCGAGAGGGTCGTGGTCACACTCTTGCCGGAGGACTTGTTCTCGATAATGGCAATTCCCTCACTGGGTGAGGTGGATTTGACCATGGCGACAATAACATCACCGGCAGACAGGTCCAAGTCGAAGTTCTCGGCACTGCTGGGGTACCACTCGTACCAGGCGTCGAAGGATGTCTCTCCATTTTGAATGTAGCTGTCGATACCAGTCTGCAAAATGGCCTTGGTGTAGGTATCACCGTCGATACCGACCCAGGCGGAAGCAGCTTGCATGTCGCCCGAGTTGTCGGTGGCCGTAGGGTTAGGAACAGTGAAAGTGGCCGAGACGGCTGAGTAGGTAGCGCTAGCAGGGGGCTTGTCGCGGACAATACCGGCCCAGTTGTTGCTGTACTGGACATTGGAATCGCCGGACCCTTCCTTGAGAAGAACGCCGTTTTCCTCACCGGAGTTGTCAATCTTGCTGGGGGGCTGGGACTGGCGTTGGAAGACGCCGCGCTGCTCAAGACGCTCGGCAAGTCCAGGACGAGGAGCAGCGAGGGCACCACCAGCCAACATGGCTCCAGCGAGGGATGCGGTGGTGAACTTCATGTTGGCAGAAAAGCGAGACAAGACTCCGGAAGAGGGTATGATGTGAGAGATTCAGAACGGGGGGTTGCGAGGAAGAAGCTTAAAACACAGGGCTTGCAGAATAGTCTTATATCATCGACTCCAAAAGATTGCTGCGATGATACAGCCGCATGAGGAAGTGGATCTCGTGGAGGCGTACCTCCGATTCCATCCTGAAAATCTCGTCAGAGGCATTGCCCGGGGCCCGCTGAGTGGAGGAGGCAAACGTTCAGCAGGGAAGCGGAGCGGTCACGCAGGGAATTCAAGGTTGATTCGCTATCTGGTACTTGCATGGTGTAGATCGTGACCGTTCCAGGTGTGTCTATCAGCGTGGCTCGTGAACGGGTGTTGGTACACTTCCGCGACCATCGACGGAGTTGAGAGGGCAGCTGAGGGCGATGAGTGACTTGCGCGTCTAGGTGACGGATGCATTTTTCAGGGACAGTAGTATCTACCAGTGGAGGTATGACGGATCGGCTGAAGATCAGCGTCAAATCCCGCTGTATGCCACGAGATCCGCCAGGGAATGAAGACCGCCGGGATATAGAAGAACATTAGACTTTGTTCAGTGTATCCCAGATAGAGCCCCATGAGAAGTGGATAGAGGTTGAGTCTATCATATTTTGTCCTGTTTACCTCCCAAATGAGAGACAATAAACAACGATGCTTGTAAAATCAGGAGTCAACCTGAATCTACCCAGGTCATAGAAGGCATCTAGAACCAGATCGACTGCGAAATATGGAACCAGATCGACTGCGAAATGTGTTTGCGGCAGACTCGTGGTCTAGAACAGATCGCTGAGGAAATGGGTTTAGCGTTCATACCAATTAAGAGGATGCGGCAATGTCCACATTCCTCAGATGGTCAGCATCGAATGTGGTTGGACAGCGTCCGAATAAGGAATGCTGAAAACAGTACATCGCGTTGATCATTTCCAGGTTTAAATTCGGCCTCTCCGTTGTCCAGTTCGTTCTGGATTCAGCTCCCCGGGTTCGGCAAGACGGGCGTGGCGCGGCAAGTCAATCTTGCGGATGCAAGATTGACGATCAAATGCGTGTATCTGGGCTGTCGAATGGCCAAGATGGTCTGCATTCTCAATATCTTATTCGACTTCACCTTGGGTTCACGGACGTCGTGCGACGATCATCAGGTCGATGGCTTCTCTGACCGGCGCCTCGTCATGAGACGTAACCCGCGGTTGTAAGACTATTATCTACCATTACAACCTGAGTTGGAAACAATCGCCTTGATTTGAGGATGGCATGAGGCAATGTTTCGTCCAAAAACCGGACCGATCGTCGTGAACAGTGTCTCAGTCGTTAAATAATTTTTTTTAGCTCGGGGTTTGGCGAGACCCTAGAGCACTAAGAACCGGTGAACTACGACGTCCCGGATCATCGCAAAATGCCACGTCAAATGAGCTCGCCCGGATACAGTCCGGAATTCTTCGGAGCTGTGAAAAAGTCACAGATACGTACAGATTGTAACCAAAGGAGTTTTTGACGAGAAATGGTAGTTGGACTGCGTCGCAAGATGTGGTGTAACATGCTTCCGGGTATAGAATTTGCAATGGAAAAATAAAAAATATCACATGGGAAGGCGGCGCATCTCCTCCACGGACCAGTATTGGCGCATGTTATCCGCACGGAGAGTCTGGACCTCCTGGTCCAAATGCTGCCAGAGCACTTTTCCAAATTTGTCCATCAGCCGCGTGATCTCTTCACGGCGCATATCTTCCTCGCCGGATCGACACTTTTCGAGATAGGCCTCGAGTTTTTCCAAACCAGCATGAATCTGCTTGTGCTGCGTCAGGAGCTCAAGTTCTTTCCGGAACTCGGGCATCTTTTTGGCCAGCACGGGAAAGATGTGCTGTTCCTCAATAGAGTGGTGGAAGTCAAGCTGGGAGCAGAACTGGAGACCCATCATGATCATTTGACGGGCCGAAAGACCACCGGGCCGTTTTCCAGTACTCGTGCAGGCATCATATAGCTGGTTCCATGTCATACGGAAGTGATTATGCTGGGAGGGAGTGAGTAACCAGTCACCGGCGGGGCTAATACATATTTCAAGGGCTTACAAAAGCATCCATTTGCTCTGACAGGCGATTGTAGGCTCGGAAGTCAGTGGCAGACAGAGCGGGCAAAGTCTCGCCAGAGCCCTCACATGGGGCCTTTTTCTTGTTGCCCATCGCGACGAAAGATGTTGAAGATGCAGAGTACAGACGAGCAGAGATAGGAGCCCGAAAGAGTGGCGACCTAATCGGTCGCAGGTACATGGGACGGCAGTTGAACGAGAGTCACTGCCGAGTCAGGATAGGAACACTTTAGGATCAAATCAAGGCTAGAAAGTGCCCTTAAAAAGAGATCCCGGGATGATGAGAAAGCAGAGATTTCTGATTCGGCGGATCGCCTTCGCGGCAACTGCATCTCCCGCTTGTAACCAACGCAATGATCTCAACCTCAAATGGTTTGTCAGCGTGGAAGGACATCACCCTCCGAGGTTGAGGCAAAGTGAATAATGCCTGGCAAAGACAAAAGGATTTTATCAAATTTTGAAAAATACAACCCTTGGAAATGAATGTCCACGGGAGGTAAGATGTATATCGTGCAGCATTGTTCTTTACGTTATTGAAAGACGGGTTGCGGGAGCGCGCGATGTGCTCCTCGCGACAAGCTTGAGAAACAACCACTGAAGACTCAGAACAGTCGGGCTGGAAATGCCTGTAGATTCAAGTATTTGCAATATCGTAAGGCTACATAGTTTTTACGAATATCCCAGATCTTCAATGGATGTGTGCCACCTCGACCGAAGTCGTAGGACACAAATCTAGTACTCACTGGACAAAGAGAATCAACTCCGTCGATATCAGCACTTCTTCGGCACAACCACAGCCATTAAAGGGCCGGATCGCAATTTGACATCCGTGCTTGCCGAACTGGACTTGCTAAATGGACCCTAACGCGTCAGTACCGTTGGAGGGTCAGTATGTGTCAAGTGTTGGAAAGAATGGTATATTATTATCAATACACATCGGGCGCACCGGTGGCGCAGATGGAATGGGGAAATAATAAAACAGGAGCCACCGGACGGGGGAATCGAAGATTAGGCAATAAAAGTCGTAACGCCGTGGATGAAAGGAAAAAATGAATTAGAGCTCTCCGTGGATCTGGCCCTGTTCCTTGTAGTAGCTGGGAGGCCTCAAATTACCGGATGTGATCTCTTTCCAGGCCAGGTCGAATCGAGCACCCAGCATCCAGGCCGCGAACATCTATGAGAGTCAGTTGAAATCATGTGCAAAGGACCGAGGCGGACATACCATGGTACCGGCAACGAAGAGGATGATGATGCCCATGAGACCCATCAAGAAGTAGACGTCGGACTTGTTTTCGGCGTCTTCTTCGCGCTTCTTGGCCTGCTCTGCGGTAATTTCACCGGTAACTCGGCGCTGAGCATCTTCGGCCTTCTGGGTTGGGAAGATGGTCTCGATGAATTTCTCAATCTGGATTACCAGGTTAGTATCTTATCACAAATTGGAAGCCATGCATCTTACCTTGCCGCAAACAATGCTGATCTTCAGGAAGTTGGGGTCCTTAGGAGTGTTCTTCTTGTGAATTGCGCGGGTCAATCTCCGGAACGTCTGGCACAGAACGTGAAGGTTTTGGGTGGACTCCGTCATGAGTTCGCATGCTTGACCCTTGGTGATCTTAATGTTGCGCTCGAAGATGTCGTAGTTGCGGAAGCACAGTTCCATGGTGGCAATGGCCATCGACTGGGGGATGGCGCAAAAGTTGAACACACTCTGCTCGCGCAGACCAGCCAGGTAGAAGAGACACTCCTCGGCATGCTCCAAAGCATTGAGGACCATCTCTGAGTTGCAGTTAAGTGCCGCCTCCTTGTACTCAGGCTTGAAGAGATCCTCAAAGTTGTCAACGTGCTTCGACCAGATCTCCTGGGGCCAGAACCGCCGGTTGTCATCGAAATCCTCCCGGATATCACGGATGATGTTGGTCTTCTGCAGGAAGAGACCCATCGACTTGTGGAGTTTGGGGCGCTTGAGAAGAGCGGGGTTGCCGAACTCAGCCTCGACGAACAGACGGGTAAGACCCTCACCGACTAGACCGGCGACGTAGTAGCAATACAGATCGTACTCCTCAATGGTCTTCACGCTCGCGTCGTCCTTCTCCGCCTTAGCGCAGTAGTCCGCCATGCCATTACCCATCTTGTCCGTAATGTCCTTGATGATTGCCTGGTAGGCGGGCTTCATGTTCTTGAACTCAGCGACAACGTTCTGGAACTGAACCAGCAGTTCCCGATCCTTCTCCTCCGGGCGATTGCCGGTAAAGTTCCAACCATCTTGCGTCAAGACGTCCTTAAAATTCCGAAGGAGCGGCTCCTTGGTCGCGAAGGGAATAGAGGTGTCATCCTCGATGGTGTCCAGACCGCGGAGGACGAGATAGAAGACACAGATGGGCAGCAGCAGCTCCGGGTGAAGCTCCTTGATCACGGCGCTGAAGCTGCGGCTGGTCAAGTCCAGGAACTTGAAGCACTGCTTCTGGGTCTCGGTGTCGTTCTTCGCATCGCGCTCATGAGGAGGGTTGTGCCAAACCTTCCTATGCGACCGAAAAGGTTAGTTCGGACCGTGACAGAGCTCGAAAGACAAGCAAGGATAGCTCCAAGTTGTGGGGACACGTACCACTGAATGATAGATCTCAATTGCAGCGGGTGGAAGACGAGGTAAGCGGCATTTCCAATGAAACCCATCTTGTTCAAAGTCGGACACTCAAAGGTCCGGGGAAAGAAGGGAAAGAGAAGAACAGGCCTGAAATGAAGTTAGAGACTCGACGGAGAAGAGGGAAAAGGGGGCGAACTCGAGGAAATTAAGAGACTTCGCCACGTGACCCGACCATTCCCTACACGGCGTCATATGGCGGGGATCAAAAAAGTGCTTTCTCTTCTGTCACCCCATCTTTCTCTATTCAACGCCGCTCATCCGGGTTTCCTTGATTGCCCCGGAGCATCCAAAGCTCTGTTGCATCGCACCATGGTTGCCGATACCAGTTATTACGACGCTTTGGGCGTCGCGCCTACTGCCACCGAGCTCGAAATCAAGAAGGCTTACCGCAAGCTCGCCATCACCACTCACCCAGGTACGACACACTGCGTCTCATAGCATTATATAACTGACGGTCTCCGATAGACAAGAACCCCGGCGATGAAACCGCGCACGCACGGTTCCAGGCGGTATGCGCGCCGTCCGCCGTAAACATCGCTGCCTTGGACTAATCTCTTATCTAGATCGGCGAAGCCTACCAAGTTCTCAGCAACGAAGATCTACGAAAACGATATGATAAGTTCGGCAAGGAGGATGCCGTTCCGGGCGGTGGTTTCGGTTAGTCGACTTGTGGATTGTTCTGGTTGAGAAAGATGGCTGACAGGCACCCACAGAGGATCCGTCCGAGTTCTTCAGCATGATATTCGGTGGCGAGGCATTCGTCGACCTTATCGGCGAGATCTCTCTCATGAAAGATTTGACCGCGACGATGGATATCACGATGGAGCAGATGGAGGAGGAGGAGCTTGCCGCGTCGGCCGAAGAGAAGCTCAACATCCACGACGAAGAGGTAAAAGCCGCCAGCGCCGAACGTGCTTCCACCGAAGGAGCTACCGCCGAGAGCTCTTTTGCAGCTGATGCGGAGAAGGCCCAAGCTCAACCTGCCGCGACAGCCTCCGGTCAGAGTTCGGGCACCAGTACACCCCGACGATACATGGGCCAGCAGGCTCTCATGGATAAGTCCGAGGAGGAGGCGCGTATGGAGGCAGCTGGTCTGTCGCAGGAGGAGAAGGAGCTGCGTAAGAAGGAGAAGAAGAAGGGTCTGTCCAAGGAACAGCAAGAGCGCCTTGCCGCATTTGAGGAGGAGCGGAGAAAGGCCCGCGAGGAGCGTGTCAACACTCTGGCCAACAAGCTGGTCGACCGCCTCAGTGTCTGGACCGAGACCGACAAGGGCAAAGATGTGACGCATGCGTTCGAGGAGAAGATTCGATTGGAGGTCGAGAACCTCAAGATGGAGTCCTTCGGTTTGGAGATCCTGCACGCGGTCGGTGCCACCTACACTCAGAAGGGTACTTCGTTCCTCAAGTCACAGAAGTTCCTCGGTATCTCCGGATTCTTCTCGCGTCTCAAGGACAAAGGAACTCTGGCCAAGGAGACATGGACGACCATCTCCACTGCCATCGATGCCCAAATGACTATGGAGGAGATGGCCAAGCTGGAAGAACGCGGCGGCGAGGACTGGACCGATGAGAAGAAGGCCGAGTACGAGAAGAAGGTGACTGGCAAGATTCTCGCGGCGGCATGGCGCGGCAGCAAGTTCGAGATTCAGAGTGTTCTCCGGGAGGTCTGTGACCAGGTTCTGGGCGACAAGCGAATTCGTCTGGAGAAGCGCGTCGAACGCGCGCATGCACTGGTTCTTGCAGGTAACATCTACGCCAAGGTACGATTACGCAAAGACCAACACCCCCACCCCCTTGTTTCGCATATGTTAACTCTTCGATTGCAGGCCGAGCGTGACCCCGAGGAGGAGGGTGATTACATGGCATTCGAGCAGTTGATGGCCGAGGCTATGACTAAGAAGGGCAAGGACGAGAAGAAGAAGGAGAAGAAGTCCAAGCATGGCCACCACGATTCTAAGCAATATGAGAATGTGGAGGAGCACCTCGCTGCTTGAGCGCTTTCTAGATCCATGTCTTGATCCTTTTCCTTCGTCGCCGCCTGGACATATATATTTGCTTTCCCTTGCGTTACGGGGCTAGTAGATCCCCTCTCCGTTTCAAAGCGACCAGACCATGTTGCGTGGACACTGCGCATAATTCAAACCATAGATTGCCCTATATACCTGGGTCTCCCCCCATGACTCGCGAGAAGTTCTTCCTTCCCCGCTCATACCATAGATTCCATTGACATACGTTCATATTATAAGACAGAAACTATAGAGACATGTCAACACGCATTATTGGAGAGGCATTTTCGCGGGGTATCCGTTCCGGGCTCGATGCATCTCAACCATTAAACCATTACCGTTCCATGCACATTTTAACGGGACAGTCGGCCGCCCCATGCCTATTTGGAAATCATTTAAGCGTGGCTCGCATGGTGCGAGTGGATGGCGCTATCGCCGCTAAGCTCGACGCTAGCAATGGCAGACGGCGACGAGGTACTATGGGCACGACTAACGGGCTGGTTATGCATAGCCTCAACTTCACGAGTCGACAACTCTGACGGGGCAGGAGCAGGGACCGTACTGGCAGGCATATCTTGAGCAGCAGGACCGGCTTCTCGAGTCTCCGGCGCGTCGACTACCTGAGTCTTACGCATCGACTGATAGCCCGCCCGGTCGGAGACGAGCACCCCACAGAGGGCCAGGATGGACAGGATGAAGAGATCGAGGAAGAGGAACCTATGAGAGAATACAAAGATTAGACTTTATCTTTTTCTTTTCCAGAAGTGAAATCCATACCAAAGCAGAACGGCCAAGGCAATCACGGCATTCAAGAAGTTGTTATAGCTGGTAAAGCCCCCAAGCATAGACGCAATATCGGCAAAGCAGGCCAACCAGAACACCCAGGTGACAAAGTAAACAACCGCAAAGACAATGCCGAGAATGGCATTCAACTTGGCCGTGACGAAGCCCTTGCTAGTGTAGAACCAGGGCAGCACCAAGGCCGCGACCGCGACCAAAATGGACCAACAAGCCGAAAAGATCAGGAACGTCAGGATGCCCGGGGTACTGACGTCCACATTCTTGGGGACATAGCCCGCAAAGAGATCGTCGTACCCTACACTGCGAGTGCCGCTCCAGACAGAAGCGATGTAGGCACACAAGCCCAGCTCGACAACGGAGAAGAGGAAGCAGGTGCCGACGAGGGCATAAAGGGCAGTATGGAGTGCTAACATGGTTGCGGACGTGACTTCAGAGCTGGGGAAACGCAAAGGAGATATAAACAACCATGGAAAACGGCACCCATGTCGAAGGGGCGCCCTTGCAGCTCTTTATTGTATTGTCATTTCCCACGTGCGGCTCATCTGCATAGATCGATGACCTGAATTTCGGAAAGACGTCAGGCATCAGCCTGGCTGCGAGTGTCGGATAGCTGTACGGCTCCACCGAAAAGTTTGCTCTCCAATCGATCGTGTTGGATACGAGGATCCACGTCGAGATGGCGGTAGTCCTGATCGAAATCGGTGCAAGGTAAGCAAGTCGTGTTTCGGGCCGGCACGGTTGCGGAGCTGTAGCTGAAGAAACGAACCCAGGGCGTTTGAGGAGTTTAGAGGTGGAAGTTGGAAGCTTGTGGAGGGCATCAGCAAGGTCGTCGGTCTATTTTCCGAACTATTTCATAACCCGCGTAGTGATGCTGCAGTGTGTGCCCGGATGTGATCGATCAAGCTCTACGGAGTATAGCTCGGCCAAACAAAGCTGGGCTGACCTCCGCCCCTCGCATTCACGACCGCGCTATCGTATCGACGACTACTTATACCTTCGCTTTCAATACGGGGGCCCAGAGGCCTTCATGAAGGCTTCCCTCAGGGCGTCCGGATCGGCGTGTTCCATTCTGCTCCGGTTCATTTGATTTGGTTTGCGCCTTTTGCAGCTTTACAGATCAAGTTCAAGTGGATCTCACGTTTCGCCGAAGGATCAGCAATCAATCATTCTGCTTTGGGCATCGCCAGCCTGTATTATCCCGATCGAGCGTCGCCCACACCTGTGCAGCCTTCAATACGCTCTTCCGATGATCTGAATGCTTTTAGTCTCGGCGTGGCCCAACTTCCGACGTGTAGCCTCAAACCTCAAAACCTCGGAATTAATTCGACTTCCGATAGTGCTACTTCTCTTGTTTTTCACTACTCCCTACGGAGTACGTCGCCTTTCCCATGGGCCAAGCACTTCCAGCCTTCCTGGTCTCACTCCACACTCCGCAGGCCCGATCGCAATGTTTCGTCGCAAGCAAATACCATGATTCCCGGATTCCGGTGGGTCGATCGTATCCCAAACCGCGGGTCCACTTACAATGGTCAGAGTCCGACTTGATAACAAAAATTGCGGAGAAAAGCAAGCAGAGGCTACAATGCTCCCTACAAGGAACAATCCTCGCTGATCCATGCGAACAAAATGAACAACAGAACCAGCTATATAATGATCCGGTCCGTCCAATGCAGAGTTTCTTTGCATAATGCCAACGAGTCGCAACCTTATGGCGATCCAGAAACCGGCTATGTATTCTCTCGCAATCACTCTTTTTGCTCTTGGTGACGGGATCGCTGCCATGACGGTGCCGAACAGTAGCCCGAGTTCGAGCTCGGCTGCAGCACCGACCGGTACCTCCTTTCCGTCTGGATTTGACATAAAGACCAGCTGGGGCAACCTGAGCCCCTATTCAGACTCGGCCGGCTTTGGTATCGACAAGGGATTCCCCGCCCAGTGCGAGCTGTCCCAAGTGCATGTTCTGCACCGTCACGCACAGCGATATCCCTCTTCGTGGCCCACCGACGGTGGTGGCATGGATAACTTTGCGGCCAAGGTCGCCAACTTTACCAAGCAGAACCCCGACAAAAAGGTCGGCTCGGGGCCGCTGTCCTTCTTGAATGATTGGGAGTATATGCTCGGGGAAAACCTGCTACTACCATCTGGTGCAGCCACCGAGGCAACCGCTGGTGCTTTGTTCTGGAGCCAATACGGCCGACTGTTGTATCATGCAGGCCGAGGCGACGCCATCTACGATCCCTTGATGAACTCGTTTCCGAATGGCACAGCGCGTCCCAAGCCCACGTTCCGCACAACCGATTATCCTCGTATCCTTGAGAGCGCCCGCTGGTGGCTGAGTAAGTATTGCTGCTTATTTATACAAAGTTAAACTGACCCTCGATCCAGGTGGCTTCTTCAATAACATCGGAGCCAACAGCTCCTACTCGTTGTACGATCTCACCATCATGCCCGAGGATGATGGCTTTAACACGACGCTGTCTCCAACCTCTACTTGTACGAATGGTAGCAGCAACGGGTACGATTAACAATCAGCCCTGCACACATGTCAGTATTGACGAACTTGAAAAAATAGAGACCACAATGTCGCCAAATTCTACCCCACATTGACAAAGGATGCCCTAAGGCGCTTATCTGCCTATTTGCCGCAAGAACTTAACCTCACCACCATGGATGTCTACGCCATGTTCAGCATGTGCCCTTACGAGTACGCAACTTTGGGTCAATCCTCGTTCTGCTCGCTGTTCACAGAGCAGGAATGGAAGGATTTCGAGTACGCCATCGATATCATGTTCTATGGCAACAACTTTTTTGGTTCCCCCAGCGGCCGAGCACAAGGGATCGGTTATGTGGAAGAGATAGCCGCGCGTCTGCAGTCACGTCTGATCATGAAGAGCGACAGCAGCATCAACTATACCTACGATGACAACACCAAAGATTTCCCGCTTCATCAGCCCATGTACATGGACATGTCCCACGATACCGTGATCGTAGCGGTGTTGGCTGCTCTGGGCCTGGACTATTTCAAGTACGGTCCACATGGCTTGCCTAGCGACGTCCCGCACGCCGTTCCTCGAAACTTCGTAATGGACAAAGTTGCCCCATTCGGTGCGCGTCTTTTCACCGAGGTCTGGACCTGTCCTAGCGATGTGCGGCTCGATAACCTTGAGGATCAGATGTATAAGAACCCGGATCTGTCTTCCAATTCGGATACAACGGACTACATCCGCTTTGTGTTGAACAATGCCCCCGTGCCGGTAGAAGGATTGGCACCTTGCAAGGGCTCAGTCAACGGATTCTGTGATATGATGAAGTTTTTGAATTACGTTCCTGAACTGACCCAGCGGGCCATGTATCAGGAAGCTTGCTTTGGCGACTACAACACCACCACCATGGTTCCAAATGGCCAACCTGTTCAGTCCTAAGGGTCGTTGAATATGCTGTACCATCGCTCCTTGGGATGTATGTATATCATCTACTGATGGAATCTTTCTACAACTACTCCATCCGTATTTGTTTTCGTCGAAATCCCTAGAGAAGATTTAGCTGTGTTGATCGTGGTCACCTACTAGGATTAGACTTTGCAGGATGTCTCATTATTGCAGCTCAATCTTGTTAGAAAAGTAACTTACATGTCCGGTTCCAGACACCTCTATGGCTCTTCAATCCTCCGACTATCTTCTAACCCTCTGCTTCCCTTCGTCTGATTCCCTAGCAAACGTCCAGTTCGACAGATTTTACAGTCGCACAGGCCTCACATGCCTCGGCAACACGCTCTTTTGCCCCAGATCTGAAGTTTTTCCATCAGCAACCTCTCTCTCATGAACTGCTTGATGTCTCTGCAGCACATCTATAATCATCATCGGAGAAATGAAGACAGATTGAGGTCTGCTCGGATGTCGCGACCTTGAAGTCCGTGGGTATAGAGCCCCGATTTATGTGCAGAGAGCCGAGACGATGGGTTTATGTTGGTTTCGAGAGCCAAATTGCGGCTCCCGACCTGGGCTCGATACATGTTGACCGTTTGGAGATTCATATTGGATTATTTTTATTGTTTTTAATTTAGTAGGGTATCCCGCTCCGGGGCTTTTCATTTCTAGATTAATTCTAGGGTCAATTGGTCTTGTACCCAAATGTTTCTCCCATTTGTGTTGCTGAATGTCTTTCCTTTGCTTACCAAGGCATCACAGGCGGCTGCTTTTTGATAGGCCAACCGAAGCTATGCATACAGATAACTTAGACCCTTACCGCAAAATAAATATGGATAGTTCTCACCAAAGCTGTGCATATTTTCTCCACCACAGTGCCATTTACGTAATCACATTTCACCCCTCGCAGGGGCTGGATATCTTTGGCGAACGCGTCCCAAATCGACCAGTTACCAACCACACAACCGGGACAATATGAAGTTTCTCACTTTAGTCGCGTTTGTAGCTGTGACAAGTAGCGAATTCACCTGCATCAGGCCGATCAATCCAATTCCCGCCGGCCTCCCCGGCGTATGCTGCACGGACTTGATCCAAGGAAGCTTACTAACATTCGTATATACTGGCAAGAACTGTACGTTATTCTAAGGGTAACTTTAACTTTTCCAATCGAGCTAACACGTCACTCAAGGCACACACGCAATCAAGTTGTCCGAAGCCGCGGATGGAAGCCAGACCTACGGTCCGTGTGGTGCTGATCAGCACGCGGCGTGCTGCGACCCTGTAAGTTGTGAAATTGAAATCGAAAAAAAGGTTTCCACTGAGGATTACAAAGCTTGTGACAAAACTGAGCCCAACGAGTAATCCTGCTTGTGTGTTGCCGGAATAAGGACGATTCGACTTTGTTCTTGAAGGCAGGTGTGACTCAAGCAGACCACGATGAGGGCACGATGAGGGTGGGTCATGAAGTGTATACACTCACATCAAAGTAATGTTCTTTGAGACTGCCATCCTAAATCCATATACTGCATGAATAAATATCGTAGTTAGTTGGCAGCTACCAGTCAACAAGGTAGATGGGCTTGCAAGCAATCAAAGCGCGAGCAAATGCATCATCCCCCAACAGATGGTCGTCTTCATGTGAAGCGGGACTCGCCCATCGACCAACCAACCGCGGCGCCCACAGATAATCACCATTGTCAGCGACGATCCCCAGCTTCCCTGTGCCCCGAATATGTCGATCTCCCCTCCCCGGTCATGGCTGCTCTTCTCCCGAGCTTTTATCGCTCGAGTCCGTCGTACGATCTCGGCCAGCTGAATCCACCCCGAAATGCCGAGTGAGTGGGCCCTATGCAATAATTGTGCCGTGTGGAGATTGCTTCTCATCATTTAAGCGCAGCTTTGATTCTATATAGCCTTTTTTGGGTCATGATGCATGACCTCGGCTCTGGGGCTCACGCCACTTTGAACTCACGCGTGGCGCTTCCGGATAGCTTGTTCCTATTTATGAGATACCTAAGATTGCTTATGCAGTAGACCCCGATGCCTTAAGGCCGAGGTTTAGACATAACGCACCGTATCATGCACGCGTTATGTGGTAGGACTACCCCGCACGCGGGTATTCACTTTCCTCGGTCCGCTGGCTCTTGTAGACGGAAATCAACTTGTGGTCAGGCGTGCATTGAGAATATGATCAGTGGGGTTGAATCATGCCTCATGCTATTCGGACGGGGAGTCTATCCGGGATAACGAGAACAGTGTATAAATAATTAACGTTTGCCTACCATCCTAGAAGCTCGACAATATATTTCTATTGATCAAATAATGGTTTTGCCGCTTCAAGCCCAAGACTGAAATAAAAGTTCTCATCATGGCATGGCCCACCTCCATATCGAGCGTGATGGAGACCCCAGTCACCAATCACCTATCTCAATCATCCCTACAAGAACGCATTATTTATGGACTGCTGGGTTTGGCCACATATCTGATTCTTGCCTCATCATTGCGTTTCCAGAGGCGTCGCAACCTCTACAATAAATACCCTTATAAGACTCGTTCATTGATGGGGAAGATGACAGTTCAAGATGCGTTTGCCATCCAGAAGACAATAATGCAGATGGAATATCCCTTCATCGTCCTTAAATCACTCCAGTTTGCTCTGTTTCGAGTAATAGATCTCCTGTCAGACGATTTACAAACCCCACTAACTAACCCGTCATAGACATATGGAATTCCGACAATTTCCACCCTCCTTCTGAAAACCTCTCAGTTCTCAGACTCGGCGACTTCATTCAAGCGATATGCGGATACAGGTATACTGATTGGCGAGTTCATGGCCTTCGATCCCGGTTCAGAGCGAGCACAAACCGCTATTGCACGAACCAAGTTTCTCCACAAGGGCTATCGAGCCAGTGGGAAGATCCTGGGAGATGACATGCTATACACGCTTAGTCTGTTCGCAACTGAGCCTATCCGGTTCGTCAAGCTATATGAATGGCGGGAGATGACAGAAATGGAGCGCTGTGCTGTTGGTACGTACTGGAAAAGTCTCGGTGATGCACTTGGCATCAGCTATGAAAACTGCCTTCCGGTAAGACCGGCTTTCAAGACGGGATTCACTGGTTGGAAGAGGTCAGTGTGTGGAGCCAGCACTACGAAATGCAGCACATGAAGCCGCATTCTCGCAACAGGGAAATTGCGGAGAAGACGATCGATGTGCTGGTGTACAATCTACCGGGCTTCATGAAGCCACTGGGTGTATACTTTGTCTCTTTCCTAATGGACGAGCGTCTTCGAAACGCGATGATGATGGAGCCTCCTCCCCCTTTACTCAGCGCGATATTTGGCTCTACCTTTCAACTTCGCAGATTATTTCTGCGATATCTGGCCCTACCACGTCCAAGTTTTATGCGTCTGAATGTCTTCACGGACAAGCCCAACGAGCATGGCAGAAACTATCTCACGTTTTATGAAGGTGCGCCGTTCTATGTCCAGCCCACAGTCTGGAATCGCTGGGGCCCCGTGGCGTGGGTCAAGTGGGTATTGGGACAGCCCTTACCGGGTGACGATGGTGACAAGTATTATCCTCGGGGCTACTTCACACCGGATCTGGGTCCTAAGTATTTTGAAGGCAAGGGGAGGAAGGAGTTGGAAATTATCAAGGACAGTCTTCGAACGCAGCGAATGGGACAATGCCCATTTCCGTAATTTATTTGCTTTGATCAACGATCATGTTTACAAGTCCATCTTGAATAAATCTTACTTCTGCCACACTATCCCACTACCATCTCGAGAATCTGTAGTACCTGCGATTTCTCCGTCAATGGGACCGGGTTTGACTGACACAGCGGGTCGTGCAAAGCATTCTCCGCTAGCATGTCCAGCTTGTCGCGACCGATGCCAACATCAGCGAGTGACCGGGGCATTCCAAGCTCGCGGATCACTGCATCTAAGACATCCCCTAAATCGGCGGCTGAAATATCATCCAAGCGCTCGCGCAACACTCCAGCGACTACTGGATCTTTAATCAAAAAGTCGCGCAAGCTGGCCTGGCGGTCGGTGTTGGCGTTGTGTGCGGCATTGAACTTGCATACGGCTGGAAGACAGATGCAGCTGGTTTCTCCGTGGCCAACACCGAGAGGCCCGAGCTGTGTTTTATTAGCATAGTAGAAGAACAACAAAAAGAAAGATTTGGAGTTAAAGGGGCGTACTTGGTGTCCAATACCGTGGCTTGCTCCAAGCTTAAAGGATATGATCGTACAAGCAGCCATGGCATCAACTGATCCGAGCTGGCACTGCAGAAAAGCATCGCGATCTGCGCGGTTCTTTTTGCACCGCACGAGACCCGGTACCAAGCGACTGAGCGCATTCCGTGCCAGCTCATCTGATTCTGGGGTAGTGATGCCGACGGCACAAAGAGTTTCGACGCAGTGATCAACGGCACGCACTCCAGTACTCAACCAGATAGAATCAGGCGTTGTCTCCACCAGTTCCGGGTCAAGAATAACGAACTCAGGACCGCGGAGTGGAGGGTAGAACATGTACTTGCGATGAGACTGGTCCTCGGTGCCACCAGCAAAGTCAGAATACTCGCCAGCGGACAGTGATGTAGGGACGGAGACAATGGGAATAGTAGACGCGACGACATCGGCACGCTTCTTGGAACCCTCCGCGAGCGTTTCAAGGTCCTCGGCCGTACTGACATCATTGGCGAGGGCAAAAGCAACGATTTTAGCTCCATCAGTCAAGCTCCCCGCACCCAGCGTCAGAAGCATGTCTGCCTTCACTTTGCGTGCATCGGCCACGATTTCCAGGACTTCAGACCACTGAGTGTGTGTTTTCATGCCGATGCGCTGACCGGCTACCCTTTCAGGGCCCAGGGCAGCTGTCAGTCTCGTCAAAGAATCAGTGTTGCGCGCAAGAGAACCCGAGCAGATTACGTATACGCGTGAGGCCTTGGTGTTGGTGACATATCGAGTGGCTGCGGTGGGGAAATCAATCCCATATGACAGCTGAGGACGGCTATGGCCATCAAAGGCCGGGCGCACGGTTTCGGGCATTATGAAAGTTGATACGATGGCGAAATTTGACACCTTGAGGCAGGTGAGTTGGGCAATGAAGGTCTTATATCATCACTACCTTCCGTATATGGGGCCGCCCCGCGATTCCCGGTTTAGCCCAGTGGCACCGCAAAAGTGCCCGGCGGTGTGTTGGGGGGGGGTCGGAGACTTTTGCGGTGCAACTATAAATAGCGATCTCCAATTCACACTTTTAATACTGTCTAGCAGACGGTAGATGCGGCTATACGTAACTAGATAACTTCGCCGATGCTCCTGGACGTGTAATAAATTCGCCTCATACAGTGCTCAAGATCATGCCACCGATAAAGGCGATTCTGGCATTCTGCTATCAGAGCCATGGCACCGCCCAGAGAAGTGGGCCAGCCACAGAAACGATCAGATAAGATCTACTGTGATAATTAGCGACAGAAATGAGTAAGAGTTGCAGCATATCCAGGTACATAGATGGAATCAATTCCAAAAACACGGGATTCACATTCAGTGACAAAGGAGGCTGTGTAGTCGGCATTATCTAGTTCTCAACTGATTTCAAAGCAATTTCCGGCTTTTGGAGGAAGAAAGCGGCGGCGGCTAGAATACGAAAGGACCAGTTTGGAAGGAGGCACGAGTAGCAGTGAGACGCAAGTCTTATAATTGGCCGAGGATATGAGTACAGGAAGCAGACAAGTTGTGCATATCGGGTATCTATCACAAAGTCAAAAGAGTAGGGAGGGTAGAATCAACCCATGCGAAGCAAGATCTATCAGTCATCACCGATGGAAATATCGAACCAAATGAAAGAAAGCCGTCAGGGACAGATGTGGTACATGGGGGGGAATCTGAACGAGAGAAGTAGACCAAATGCAGCGATGTATCAAGAAATAGTAGTAAAGATCAAGCAGATGTGAACAAGGGGTATTTTGCAAAAGTTACAAACGAATGGAAAGATTAGAAGATTAAATCGGTCCCACCTGGAGACGAAGGTAGAGGGAGTGTTGCTGGATCAAAGTCAAAGAAAGAATCGGACGGTGTGTCGTGAGGAGAGGAAACGGCGTATTCAGTAGACGGGCTGAGCAGTGCGCGTCCACTCTCGCCGACCTCGCCCAGCTCTTCAGGGGATAAGACCCGTCCGCCCAACTCGATATCCTGGACACGGACACTGTACTCAAGGGCCTTCCGGCCTTCCTTAATCAGCTCTTCAGTCCATCCCAGGCATCGTTTCAGGCTCTGGTTCATTTTCTGGCTGTCAACCAAAAGCTCCTGGTGCCGGGCAAGGTCAACCATAAATCGTTTCTCGTCATGTGCTCGATGTTTCGCGTCGTGCTCAGCAAGTGAGTCTGGACTCAGAATCCCTTCGTCCGCTATGGAATCTTCGTCGCTGAAATCAGACATGTCATCTTGGGATCGGATAGATGAAAGTTCGCTGACACCCTCTTCCAGTTCGCTGGTTGTTGACAGCGCGGTACCAGAAAATGAACGGGCCGAAGGTGCCATAGACAAACGTCCAGACCGACTGAGGCGTCGGAACCGTCGTAGCTCTGCTTTTTGGTTGCGCATTTCTCGCTCCAAAGTTCGGTTGATAGCCAGCAGCGACGAGTTGCTAATTTCCAGGTCCAGAATCTTGCGTTCTGTACGAGCATTCAACGCCCCCTCGCCAACTTCGGACTTTCCAGGGCTCATGGGGATTGACATAGGCGGGTTTGTGGAAACGGACGAGCCGTTACTGAAAATGCGTGGGCGAAGTGTCGGTATTTGATCAGACATCACGGGTGCCGTGCCATCATTCATGTTGTTGGATATGATGACTGGACTGGCGCGAAGACCATCCTGTACAACGTTGTTATTGCTGGTCGAATCAAGACTTGATGATTTCGCATGTCGTCCAATTGACGGGGGGCCCGATCTTTCAGGAATGATACTCGGCGGCGAGCCGAAACGTTGCAGGATGTTCTCTAATCCCATGTCCGGGTTGGGACTGGGCTGTGAATTTGTGTCATCGGAGAGTGGTGATGCAGCATCTGAAGGTCGAGGAGATTTTAAACGTGGGGAGGGCGAGGCGGACGGTTTAGTTGGTACAGGGCGAGGGAGTCCCCCCGAACGGCGCTTCGCAGAGCTTAAGAAATAAGAATCTTCTGCGGCCTGCCGTTCTTGGTTCCCATTCGCATACATGAAGCTCGAGACCGGAGACGTCTTGCCCTGGCTCTGCCCCTGTCCCTGGCCCTGCCCATGTCTAGGACGGATTGTATCCAAATCGGAGGAAGTGGTGGAGCGTGCCTCAGAGGCATGGAAGAACATGGGAGAGGCAGCTGCCATGTCGGAGAATGAGTTGGGACGTGAAACTTGTTGTCCCTCCGCAGTCAGGGTCTTTGCTCGCAAGCTCCTCGACTGCTCCGCCTTCACCAAGCGAGCCGGGCTCCGTTCCGTCCGACGTGTTCCTTGGAGTCCCAGGCCAACTGTGGGTTGAGAGTATGGAGTCTGGGGTGACGGAGCAGGAGGCGTATTCGTGGGTGAGGCGAATGCAGTATCGCGTCGAGTCGTGCGGGAGCCCGATCGAGGGGTGACGTTGGTACTGAGGAAGGTGGGAGGGACGGCGGTGATCTCATCTTTGGTGGGAGTGGAATAGGGATTATCGGAGTGTGCGAGACGACGAGCAACAGAAAAGCCAGGACTCGGACTGGCCAGCTTCGGGGTCAAGGGAGCCTTCTTGTTAGTGCGGTGAAACGCCGCGGAGAGGGTGGGCGTAAACGGTTTGGCGGGATAGCCATTGTTTTGTTTATCGGACGTCATAGTTGCGGAGCGGGCATTGCGAGGCACCGCAGGCTCGTGAGCATGATGACACCGGCCACGGTGGAAATATCTCTCTCGGACAGAGACGAGACAGGGAGTGGCCTGATTAGAGTGGAGAGATGTGTGAACGTGGGAGGCGAGGGACTCGAAAACATTCGGCCCAAATACGGTTTAGGGCGTGCGTTCACCGCAACGCGGAATTCCGAGTAAACACTGCACTCGGCGCTTTGAGATGGGAGTTTATCGAAATGGATTTGAGTGATAACGGTTTAAAATGAAGTCGTATTGTTTGTTACATTTATTGATCGCTATTCATACATCAAGCGACACAGATGCAGGGCCCTGACAGGCATTCCGATGCTCCACTCGGTATCCAATCGGTCTGTCGATCACGGTCAAGGATCCTCAGAGACGTCGCCGGGTTTGAAGTGCAGCAAAAGCTGCCGAAACGCGAAGTTTGCATATCTATCGTGGCCATATGCCACGCTCGGCGTGTGTCTGGTGGTTATTTTGCTGTTCACCGGTCGCTCAAGGGCCACCGATGCTTCATCACTCCTGGGATCCAGGATCCAGGATCACAGGAAGAAAAGTCGTTTCTGTCGCGGGTCACCGTCGGCACTGCTCGGTTGAGTGGACTTTCTTTTGCGAGTCGCTGGAACTGAAGGCACCCCCTGCGAGGTGTCTTCAACCACCTCACGGATGGTCTGCCTAGAGAGACAGAAATCCACGTGGTCATTGAAGACTCGATCATCCGCAACTTGCGGCCGACCACAGATAGGACATTCCCACTGGGCGGGTTGACTTTTTAACAAGTCAACAGCACTGCTGGGCCCGGCTGAATCAGGGAGATCGGCAGCCTCTTGGCTCAGCTGTTCCAGGTCATTCATTTCATCCTGGACTTCTTGCCTGGCCGACGTCTCGAACGCCTCCTCGGGGCCGATCTCATGGTCGACTTTCTCGATTTGTGTTTCCGGTGTTCGGACGGAGCTGGGCTTGGGCTGCGCCGCGGCGCCGAAAAAGTTGATACCGACTTTCTTGGTGCTGACCAAATTCGAGCATCGAAGACCCAAAAGCCGCAGCTTCATGCCAGGAATGTCTTTCTCAAGTTTGGCCAGCATAGGCAAAGCAAATGCGTAGAGATCCTTTGCTTGAGAAACGGCGCGTGGTGGAGCTGTCTGGCGGGTCAGCACCTCAAACGTATGAAGTTTCACCTTCAAACAAAGTGTCCGCCCTTTGAACTGGGTGCGTGCCAAATCCTTTTCCATCTCCTCGGCGGCCCAGCGGAGCTTGGATCGAAGTTCTTCTTTGTCTCCGATTTCATTAAATGTTGTCTCTGTGCTCACACTCTTTCGTTCGCTGGCCTCAATCGGCTCAATCTTTGTCCGTCCCAGACCGAGATAGCACTGAGCCAGAAATTGAAATGCCTTCTCGCCAAATAACTTGGTCAACAAGGCACGATGTGGATAGATATCCCCACATGTCACGACGCCGATGGAGCCCAGCTCTCGTTCGAAAACACGGCCAACGCCATTGACTTTTCGAACGGGTAACGTGCGCATGAATTCCATGATCGCTTCTCGGTCATTCGCAACGCGGAATTGACCATTTGGCTTGTTCTGGTTGGACGCAATCTTGGCAATCTTCGCATTGGCAGCAATACCGGCGGACACAGATACCTTCGTGGTCTCGAGGATTCGTGCACGCATGCTCTGAATTGCCTCTTCTGGGCCTATCTGATTCTCATCACAATAGGCAGTAATATTCAAGTAAGCCTCATCGACACTAGCAGTCTCGAAGAGCGGGTCGTATTCTGCCATGATGGCACGGATCTCGTTGGCCTTCGCAGTATACTTTTCGTGGTTCTGGGGGAGGAGGACCAGCTGCGGGCACAACTTCTTCGCGACAAAAGACGCCATGCCACTGCGAACTCCAAATTTCCGGGCCAAGTAGTTGCAGGTTGTCAACACGCCTTTACCGACGGCCATGGGAACGGTTTTCAGCTCCGGCCGATCGAGTTCCTCGACCGCTGCAAAGAACGCGTCACAGTCGACATGGATGACATACTGAGAGAGGTCTCGGCTCAGCTCCAGCTCGGCGAGATACTCGTCAGCTCTTCTTCGTTCCTGACTCAAATCGAGTTCGTCGAGACGGGCTTTCTCTCTGAGAATGCGCTCAATTTTCACCGTGAGATTGCGATCTCGCTCCTGCTCGTGGTTGAAGAATTTGGAACCTTTGGAGGCGTTATAAATGATTTCCGACACCTAACCACCGGTCTTAGCTATCCAGCTCGGAATGAAAATAACATCACTTGTTCGCACCTTTTGCTGATCCACGGCATCTTGACCCGCTTTGGTTAAAGAGGGCCCCAGTAGCTGATATTTCAGCGTCTCATAGTCCTCCACGCCCCCCGGCTCAGACTGCTCCTTTTTGTCCTCGTCATTTTTGTCGGCCGGTCCACCCGGAGATGCCATAACTTCGAGCCATGAGCGAGCGCGGAAAGTAAAGAGTTGATGCGCAGGCAGAAGCCGCGAAAGAAACGCCAAGTCACGTGTGCACGCGTTGACCGGTTCACGTGTTGCGGGCGGCGCAACTTGCAGTCTTCAACTGTCTCGATGTGGATTCTCGATTCGACGGGGGATTTTCTGAACGGTGGGTGGCGGTGACAATTGGTGATGCGATGAATGACAAGACTGACATCCCGCAGGGAAGCGTGTGTGGTTGCGACCCGGGAAGAAGTACCTCTTCGGTCGAATCAAGCAGGATGGTGGTATGTTCAGTCCGCGATGCTTCTATACCTCAACTGACTGGGAATATCACCAGTTCTCCATGCCGTCGATCATAAAACGATCTCCCGCAGACACATCGTGATCCAAGTGTTTGAAGTCCGCGATGGAGATGGAGTATGACCACCGATTCGATTATCCGAGTTAGTTTCTGACAGGCACCAGACTCGCACGCATGCACGAACGCAGATTCGCATTACCGATCTCGGATCGTCCCGCGGAACAACGGTGGATGGAGAACAAATCAAAGGACAGGAGCGCGTCTTGAGCGGGGATGAGCACACTATCCAGCTGGGTAAAGCTCCAGATGCTCTACGGTACGTTATCCGCCCGCTTGTGCTGGTGCAGACTGACAGTACTCCAATAGTATAAAATGGGAGTCAGTGGTACTGAGTTTCTCGTTCTCTACCAAGGAGATGAGAGCTCAAGACCCTCTGGCCAAAGTTCGCTCACGGCTCGAAGCCCTCGACATCAAAACCGTGATTGATTACCTTGTCGGCCATACGACACATGTGGTCCAGAGCAAGCGTAATACGGCGAAGGGCCTGCAAGCGCTCATCAATGGCAAATTCATTGTGCAAAACTCCTATATTGATGCACTGGTTTACGCTGCCTCTCCTAGCGACCTTGAGAACGAGGAGTCGTTATCACCATTGGAGATGGATTTCGAATCATCGTGGCCAGATCCGATGGAGCATCTTCCCCCTGCTGGTAATGAGCCGACCAGCCGTTCCGCGGTTGCTTTTGCTCCCAACGCTTCCCGAATCAATGTCTTTGAAGGATACACATTCGTGTTCGGTGATGCTGCTCAGTTTGCCAATCTCCAAGCCGCCATCAACAATGGTCAAGGAAAGGCACTCTTTTATGAGGTCAAAGATGGAGAGACTACAGCAGCAGAAGTCATCCAGTTCATGAAACAAGCTGCGAGCTACAAGGGTCGTGGGACTCCGGATGGTGTTGTCCTCGTGCGTTTTCGCTCAAAGGGCGAGTATGAGCAGTGGTCCATTGAGGTTGGCAATGACGTTGCCCTAGCGATGGACCGACGTGTGATTGAGCAGAGAGAGTTTCTCGATGCCATCCTCGGGAACGACGCTTCTCCGCTTTGTCGCCCTCTTCCCCGTGAGGAAGGATCAAGTCAGGTCTCTGTGGCTGCCACGCCATCAGAACCCGAGCCAACGTCTGCAACTCCTCCCCCGGAGGCAACACAGTCAAGATCCAGGTCAAGAGGGCCTCGAGTACGCCCCTTCGTGAGCAAGATGAAGACCTTCGATGACGGTTTTGACATGGATTCCATCCCAGTCCATACACCCGGTGTTGACGACGCCACTGACACTCAACCAATGGAAATGGAGGCACATGAACCCACCCAGGCCATCCAGCATCTCAATACAGTTGAAGAGGTCGAGGAGGACATGGTGTCCGATCTGCTGCCCGGCGCACGTGCAATGAAACGCCGACGAGAAGAAATGGGCGAAGACCGCCACAGTGGCAGAGCAACCTGCGTGAAGACTGAGGTTCCCAAGCCGAAGCGGCCCAAGCTGGACGTATTGGAGGCGGCACGAAAGCATCGAGAAGAAGAAGAAGAAAGACAGCGGCAGGAGGCAGAAAATCTACACGGATCCCAGGATGTGAATGTCGAAGAACTCAAGAATCTCGCCATCATCGAAGAGATGGATGTTCGTCTCCGCGAGCCACCCGCACGACAAAGTGAGGACCCGGATAGATGGGATGAGAGATGGAATGGCCGCAAGAACTTCAAGCGATTTCGACGCAAAGGAGAGTCGCAGCATTCCCGCCAGCGAATCCAGAGCGTCATTGTCCCCCTGGAAGAGGTGACCCGAAAAGACTACGGTATCGGCGAATACCGCTGGGTCGGCAACAGCAAGACACCCGAGGTCAGCCAACCGGTAGAGCGCGAAGAACCAGCTCCCAGTCGTGAGGAGCCCGCTTCATCGCGATCAGAACTTTCGGGGGCAGCTTCGGTGACTCCAGATCCGACTTCCTCACAACCAAGCTTGTCTCGTGCTCGCAGTCAGAAGCGACCGCGACAGACCCATGATTCGGATAGTGACGAAGAGCTTCGTTTCCGATTCAGGCGGAAGCGTTAGCATTGGGAGGGTTTGATTTTCAGATCAATATTGCATATCTTTTACAGCGTGGATTTGTCTTCCGCATCGATACCCTCGTCAATATCATACTCCAATGTCATTTATGGATTGTCAGTGTCGGTTCTTTGTAGGTTTCTAGGAAGCTTCATTTCTATTGTGGTACATAGGCCGATGTGCCTGTGCAGCTTCAAGGCTTAATTCTAACCGGGTTATTTACATCCTCGCTCTCGCCACCGTCACTAACAATGATACCCAGAATCCACACGTTGACACCGAAGAATAATACAGATGCAAGGAAGAGTCCTGGCACAAAGGATGAAAGGCCGAGGAATTCGAGATTGTAGCCCTGAGATAGCCAGAGAGCCTAAAGACGTTAGTTGGGAGTATCCAAAGCAGTTCAGTGGAGAGCATTACCTGTCCAAGGACCCAGAAAATTGCCGCCGAAATACCCAATGCGGGCTTGCGGATGAGCGAGGAGGACGGCAAGTAGAACGGCAAAAGAATGAGGTACCACAGGAAGTACTGTCTCGGGATTAGCTAGGGTGATCGAGTTGGTGAGAGCAAGTACCAAATTACCTGACTGGTGCAGACTTTGTTAAAGGTGACAAATGCAAAGGTCTGAGCTAGCATGGCAGTCGCCAGGCTTTTCTTCGCGAGCACGAGCGGCAGGGCGATCACCGCAAGCAGTAGCTGGGGTAAGAATGCAACGGTTTCGAAATGGAATGTCACAACATCCGCAGAAGTAAGGTACAGCAGGGTACTGTAAGGCGAGAAGTTGTGACGATGGTCGATGCGCGTTAGGTGGTGGAAGAAGGTGTGATGAACAAACGGCATGCCGTACTGAAGGTACATGGCCAAGTTCAAGGCAACAAAGGTGACCAGCGCAGCCAGAGTCAGCTTAACACGGGAAGCAGTCACAAAGCCGGTGATCCGGGACAATAAATCGGATTTGGTGTCCGGAGCAGCACCATCACGCTGAGCATCCCACCACCAGAGGATCGAGACTCCATATATGAACGGGTAGATCTTGAAGTGCACAGCAAGCCCAAGAATGACACCCGCCAGAACAGCTTTCCTTGTCAAAGTAGCCCACAGCAATGCAGCAACAAGCACTCCAAGCAGACCCTCGGAACTGCCACGAGTGCTGATATTGGCAACCATTGGATTCCACAACCAAACAGCAGCAACGTATCTTAGCGCCCGCTCGGTCGGGAAGCTATAACATTGGCGCAACAACTGAACAACCAGCCACCCAGCAAGGACATCGGCCAGAGCGAAAAGCGCCTTACCAAAGGCGAAAGTCAAAGTGGCCCAGGGGGCCGATCCCTCCCAAGCCGTCGGAAGAAGCATCCACGCCAGAAGCGGTGTGTAGCGATAAGTGTCTCTCGCATATGGCGACTCTCCCGTGGAGACATATCGCGCTGCATCAGTGAACACCATGTAGTCAATGTCGGTATATTTCACGGCGGAGTTGGCATCCTGCCAGCCGCCGTAGACGAGCAAAACGAGGCGCAAAACCGTGGCGGCGACAAAAACGCGCGAAGCAGAATCAAAAAGACCCATGTTGATGGATGGACGGGAATTCGTATCAATCCTGTGCCGAGGCGTTCTTGTGGATGTCTCCCGTGTTTAGGGGACAATTAGCCTCCAAAGTCCGTCGGTTGAATGGCGGAAAGCAGCGGACACTCTGACAACGTACAAGGCTGAACCAGTCTATGAGAATATCATGTCATGATTTGCTCAGCTTCCCATACTCCAGCTGCCCTAAGTTGCAGTGTTTACAGATTTCATTTCCAGTGAAACGTCGTGGTTGGGTAGTGAGCTGAGTCAGCGCTCAACATTGCCCTTTTTGGTGGCGTCCCATGCCGCCCTAACGAGAATCGTGACCTTAAAGTGAGCTTGTACCACAGTATACAAAACATCAACATTGGAACCATTTTTCGGGGACCAGTGATTTTTAAATATCGTGTATTTCTTTGATTGGTTTTGGTTTGACAGCTCGACTCTTGAAAGTATACACTGCGCTTCATTTCCGGTGCCCAGGCTAACGCTGCATATTTCTTTCCCAACACCCGTAGACATCCAAGTGCGCAACAGAAAAAGTGATGAAACGGTCAATAATAAAGCGGAGGATTGACGAAATATGGATCCGGCATATGCTCAAAATACGGTTGACTCCCAAATTTGGGACCCTTCTCATGATTCGGAGTCAAAAGCGCCATCGCCTCTGCACGGGTCTCAAGATCGGTAAGTCCAGGCCACAGGTTACTGTCGCTCCAGCTGAGATACTCCCACAAATATTGACCAGAGTCATCAATAAATGGCGTCGATAATGGATCGGCGATTCCATTTGCTCCTAGAGAAACTCTCATATGTGCGGACTCGGGCGACGGGAACAACGGCACATCCCGACCGGCGAAATAGATGCTCGTGGAGAGACCAGCTGCAGAAGTGAACGTGGTGAGATCTTTACCCCGCTTACTAGCCTCGTATATACGCGAGACAGCATCAAGAGACCCTTTCGCCGTATGTCCGTATGATTGCATGCGCGCCAGGGTTGCCATGGCCGTCTCAACTTGTGCCTGACAAGACTCGATCGAAGCACGGGGATCATCACTCGTGGGGTCATTTAAGAAAAGTCCGAGCAGCGGCACCAGAGAAGCCTGGAAAGTCCACCAGACAGCATTCCAGCCACAGAGCTGGTTGAGCTGGGCTGTAGCAGCGATATTCTGGATAGACAGCTCGGCGATTTCCCGACATTTCTCGATGGCCGTGCGTTCTTCTGATCGTAGAGCAATATATGGGACGCGCCGCATAGCGTAGCTCAAAAGGGTAGGTCTGTAGAGAAGCATGCGCTGGTTAAGATATCGCCAGCGCATGACGGTTCGGACGGTGCTGATTGACTCGGAGCACGGTTCGTGGTCTTTGAGGACCGGCGGTAGATTCGCCCACCAATCGAGGAGTAGGATATCTGCATGCGACATTTCCTGGTGCTTCACGAGGGGTGCCGCTGCGAGGGATTCCTGGACCTGTGATGCGATCTTGGCAAAACGAATATTTTCCACCAATGGCAGGATCTCGAGAACATTTTCCTATAATAAATGAGCAGAGGCCTTTCAGATGTTATTTATATCATGCTCGCCTTGTCTCGACAGTTAGGAGGTCTGACGGTGATGTTTGGACCAAAGCGGCCCATACTCGGACGGCCAAGCGTCATCCCTCCCCAAGTATCCATACAGAAGAGAGACCACCAGACTCGGCGCTTCAGATCTATGGAGGCGAGTTTTGCTGAATTTGGTGCCTGGCGGGCTTCTACGAATTCTTTGTGTAGACCCAGCCCTGCCGCCATTCTGAGCGCAGCGCCCATGAGAGAGTATGCGAGGTTCGGTTGGCTGATATAGTGGCAATACCAACCACCGATCAGTCCCAAAGCTTGGATAGTCTCCAGATGGGAGCTTCCCAGAGAGCTGAGGTTCAAGTGACTCTTGCATCGTAGGAAGTATGTTTGGTGTGTCATGTCGTCTGGTCCCGAGGCGGCAATGCTTCCTAAAGCAAGCACAATATTCAAGAGGGCAAGCCAGTGATCGTCTCTCCGGAGACCTGTGATGTAAGTCTCGCGGAACATTTGTTCATCAATCATCGGGGCAAAAGATTGGAAATACAGGAAATATGCGTCGAGCATTTGCATCTCCGTCGAAGGGATTGCAAGGTTTGGTGGTGTGACGGGCGCTTGGTTCCACGCATGCTGGGTGTCATAGTCGAGACCGCCGTCGCATGGCCGAGTGGGTGGGATTTGAGTGAAGTAGGATGCAGCCCCCGGATCAAGCCAGACGATGACTTTGAGCACCGCCTGGATGGAGCATACACCCAGATAAGACGATGATGGTCGAGCAGAGAGGGAGAGGGCATTCACATCGTCAGAAACACCCTCCACCAGCTCGCCGGAGCTGGGTTGTCGACCGTCATCTAGTTCTTCGGGCATGCTTTGCAAAGATTCGAGATTGTCATCTTCATGCGAGAGTGGAGACACATGAGCCTCCACTGAGCCCGAAGTCGCAGGGGACGCAGGACGCGGCGCGTTAGCCACGTAGGAAGATGAACCGGTGGTCAGCTCGAGCAGTTTCTCTCGGGAGAGACTGACAAGAGACTCTGGGGCCATGTCGGGAAAGAGCTTTCCCAGCACGCTGCGATATTCATCCAAAGTGGTGGACAATTTCTCGACATGTCTGTTGAACCTCAGTTACACTCATATCACAGGGCGCGAAAAACATACCTTCTTGAAGGTCTTGGGTCGGAGTAATGACATTGATCCGCTTTCTTATACCACCGGCAAGCCTCACAAGGTTTCTCACCATCGCATTTAATTTTGCGATGGCGACAAGAAGTACAGGCGCGTAGAGTAGTGACCCTACGACCAACAGACTCGCGGCGCTCATTGCTGGGTCTTCGGACCGGCATCGCTGGCCCCGGATTCTCAAAACCCTCAAAGGTATGGAACATGACTGTAGCGAATGGGACACCGGTCACAAATCACATATTTTTTGCGGGTTCTTGGGTCGATCAGTGAAGCATGAAATCGGTGATGTTGTCGTATGGTTCCAGACAGCACTGCACAGGGTACAGTGTAGTAGATGCGGGGTTAGATTGTGCGGGCTATGGTGGAAGGAAGATCATGTCGTCCTGTAAATGAGTGGAGTGTTGAAACTCAAAAAAAACTGAAGGATAAGGGGGAGGGACATCAGAGAGGCTAAAACGGGGTGGAGAATAGCCTGATCAGCCTAACATCTCCCCCGCATTTCGGAGAACGCACGTTTTTCCCTTTTTATGCCCTCCCTCCGGGTTCCCGTCTCGCTTATTGGATGTCGATGTGCGAGAGTTACAGTTCTAGTTGAATGAATGCTGCATAAAGGCCGGGTGGGCCCTCTAGAGTAGAGTATCCGCGTTACCGTGACTGATTACCGTACATTTGACCGGGATTTAAATGAGGGTCTTGAATCCTTGGGGTGACAGGTCTGCGCACCGGAGGGTGCCACGCGCCAAGCCAGGGTGGTGAAATTACATCGAATTACGGGCGCCGTTCGCTCTTTACGAGCCACCATTCACGCACCGGGACGTCAGATTCAATTTCTCCAGAGAGGGGGCAATTTCCCCGGACTCGCTTGATCGCAAGGTTTGTATGGTTCCATGTTGGAAGCGAACCCTGCAGGAGAACAGACGATCGTCCGGAGCGATGCGAAGCAAAACATACCGGGGTCTTCGTCTGAATTACGGTGGTAAGTCTTCCTTTAGTTACATCGAAAGATACCTAGGTAGACGTAGAAGACACCCCGGGGCCGGACAAACGTACATGCAACGCTCCTGTTATTAACACGACCCTAGTGAGGCTCACTGGTTTCACCCCGGGAGACCAAGCGGTCTGGCACCTCCATTTAGGGGACGTCACCTCGGCTCTCGCAAGGTCTGATCAGGTGGGGCAAGATGCCCGGCAGTCATCCAATCGTCATCGGAAGGATACTATTAATACCGAGACCCACGTGTGTTTGGTGAGAATGCCGAAATACCGTTGCATTCCCGAGCCATTGGTTCGGCTAGGAGACTAGTCTTGCGGCCGTACATAGTGTGGGGCTAGTGGTTTCTATCGTGAGTCGATGAGCTAGGATTGATGCGGAGTTCCCGTCGTCGGGCATGGGCATGAACGGCATGAGGGAGAGCCATGCAAGAAGTAGATTTTGGCTCGGTGAGCCTGGGGAGAATGTCCTCACGGAGAATGACGGTGCCAGAAGCTGCGCGGGTGGTGGTCCGTATCCAAATAGGAAATGTGGGGTCCAACCGTTCGATCCGATCTTATGCACCGGGTCTTATTTGTGTATATACTGAGTCGAATATGAGTGATGGTTGATCCCGGGCCTTACGAACAAGGCAAGGAAAGGAGCAAATGTTATTTTGACCTGATCGACTCCCTCTTTTTGGCCGAATCCAGGAGTGTGCATAGCACGTGACCGCCAGGCTCCCCGTGCCCAAAGAGGAAGCCGCGTGGGGATGTTTATCGATAAGCCCCATCGCATCTCCGTATAAAAAGCCCCGTCGCAGGAAGCTGTTATAGTTCAGACTTCGCTGCCATAATGGAGCTCTATAAGCAGTCGCTTTCCACCGGGTGGTCCTTCAGGGACCGCGATACCGACGAATGGATGTCCGTTCCCGCGGTGCCCTCCGTGGTGCAACAAGATCTCATTGCAAACCAGAAGTAAGCTTCTCCACTCCAGTGACCGGACCACATGTAGCAGCTCTGACCGGAGGACAGACTGAAAGACCCGTTTATCGGGTTCAATGAACTGAAAGCCCGTTGGGTCAACGAGAAATCATGGGTTTACCGGAATGTGCTCCGGAGACCGAATGTCCCCGAAGGAGCGGCAATTGAATTGGTATTTGATGGTCTCGACACTTTCGCTACGGTCACACTCGATGGCCAGACGATCTTGCAAAGCGACAATATGTTCCTCGGACACCGGGTCAATGTCACCAAGGCTTTGGAAGCCGAGGGTGAACATACTTTAGAGATCGAGTTCGACTGTGCCCTGCTCAGAGCTCGTGAACTGCGAAAGCAAGATCCGAAACACAAGTGGGTTGGATTCAACGGTGACCAGTCTCGACTGGCAGTGCGGAAAGCTCAATACCACTGGGGCTGGGACTGGGGACCGGTCTTGATGACTGCGGGCATCTGGCGTGCAGTCCGATTCGAAGTATACACTGCTAGAGTGGTTGATCTGTGGCCACAGACAAAACTGGCTGCAGATCAGCAGACCGCCGAGGTGACTGCTGTCGCCAAGTTTGATGCGATGACCACCGGAGACTACACAGCTCGATTCAGGTTGAGCTCAAAGGGGAATGAAATTGCCCATCAGGACGTTCCGGTCTCGACGGACCAGAATGCAGAAGTCACATTCCGGGTGAACCGCCCTGAGCTCTGGTGGCCACATGGATATGGCGAGCAGGCTCTGTACGAGGTCTCCGTTTCGCTTGTCCGAAATGGCGAGGCGGTGGACCAAGTGAGCAAGAAATTTGGTATCAGGACCGCGGAAGTCATTCAACAGCCGGACAAGCATGGCAAATCATTCTTCTTCCGAATCAACGGGATGGACATTTTCTGCGGTGGGTCATGCTGGATTCCCGCCGATAGTCTACTACCCAATATCAGCGCTGAACGGTACCGCAAATGGATCGAGTTGATGGTGGAAGGCCGGCAGATCATGATCAGGTACGGTACTTACCCTGTGTGTGCAGAATTACGCTAATTGTTGTTTAGAGTCTGGGGTGGTGGAATCTACGAAGACGACTGCTTCTATGAAGCCTGCGACGAGCTTGGCGTGCTGGTCTGGCAGGACTTTATGTTTGGCTGTGGCAACTATCCCACCTCGCCCGAGATCCTGGAATCGATACAGCAGGAGACGGTGTACAACGTTCAACGTCTGCGGCATCACCCATCTATTGTGGTTTACGTTGGAAACAACGAGGATTATCAGGTACAGGAATCGGAGGGATTGACCTACAATTTCGAAGACAAGGACCCTCAGAGTTGGCTGAAGACGGACTTCCCGGCACGCTACATCTACGAAAAGCTGCTGCCGGAGGTTGTAGCGGAACACTCTCCCGCGACATTCTATCATCCCGGTAGCCCGTGGGGCGATGGGAAGATCTCATCTGATCCGACAGTTGGAGATATGCACCAATGGAATGTCTGGCACGGCACGCAAGAAAAATACCAAATCTTCGACACGCTGGGCGGTCGATTCAACAGCGAATTCGGCATGGAGGCCTTCCCTCATCTGTCCACCATCGAACACTTTATCGAGAACCCGGCCGACATGTTCCCACAATCCCAAGTGATGGACTTTCACAACAAGGCCGACGGCCATGAACGACGGCTGGCAACCTACTTGGTGGAGAATCTACGGACGGCGACAGACCTCGAAACCTACATCTATCTCACGCAGATCGTGCAAGCCGAGACGATGATGTTCGGCTACCGAGGCTGGCGCCGCCAATGGGGAGACGAGCGACACTGCGGAGGCGCCCTACTGTGGCAGCTCAACGACTGCTGGCCAACCATCTCCTGGGCGATCGTGGACTACTTCCTGAACCCCAAACCCGCCTTCTACGCGGTGAAGCGAGTGCTCAACCCGATCGCGGTCGGAGTACGACGAGAGCATCATGACTGGAGCGTCGCTCACGCACAACCCCCACAAACCAGCCGGTATGAGCTCTGGGTAGTAAACAGCAAGCCACAAACCCTACAGGGCAGCATCGAACTACGATTCTTATCGGTGGCCACGGGAAGAGATATCCGATCCCCGGTGGTACGCGATGTCACGATCCACGCGAACGGGACGACGGATGTCATGACGGGGTTGATCGACCACATGGCCGAGGAACCACACGTGGTTGCCGCGCGGTTGTGGGTAGACAACAAGATCGTCGCACGAGATGTGGATTGGCCGCAGCCGTTGAAGTACCTCGATTTCTCCACACGGGGACTTGAGATCCAGGTTCACCGCGGAGATCAAGCGCGCGTTGTGATCAACGCACGGAAACCGGTGAAAGGCCTGGTGATCGAAGAGCAGGAGGGTGTCCGAATTAGCGATAATGCCATGGATATCGTGCCGGGCGACGAGCAGACCGTAATTGTCCGCGGTCTGGGAAGCCGATCGCTGACATACCGTTACCTGGGACAAGACGCCTGTGGCGTGTTGGAGTGAGATGGAGCACGATAGCGATAGCAATAGCCAAAAGCTTATCCCGAGTGTTGACCGTTCCCATCGCTTCCATTTCCAGGGGAGAGTACACAGTAGATAGTGAATGTGACCCCAGGATGCGATCTCCCGGTAATCCGCAGAGGGAGGGCCAACCCCAGGTTTCACTTCGGTAAATGTGGCGTACCCCGGTCTCCAAGTGGATGTTACATTTGTGCAGATAAGCCTCGCCTCGCCCGGCCTTTTTAGCCCCAACCGAGCCCGTATTCGCTGACGGGTGATGACAGGGTGCCCCTGTATCCTGCCCGGTGTCATGCTAAGTGGCATGCTAAGGTAGCATTAATGAAGCCATCTTGCCCTTTGGTCTGCATGTGCATTGGACCGTAGACTCGGATGGGTTGGTATTTGGTTGTGTCGCTCTAAAATTAGCGTCTACTCGTGGCAAGGCAAGACCGTCTCTTGCGGGGTTTCGGTGACTCCCGTAGCTATGTCTCGCGACTCATCTCGAGTTCCAGCCGTGCTCACTTCATCACCCCTGAAGCTTCTCGTGCGGCCGCTTACCCCGATCCCTCGTTCCGGGGTAGGTAGTACTCCGTACTCGGAGAACTGATGGATCACAAGTGGATCCGCCATCTAAACCCAGCTCGATGAGCCGTCACGAGGCCTGTAGATACTGAGGCGCACGTCCCTCACGCAGCACACGATCCACAGTCCCTTATCAAGCCACGGCAGAAATCTACCGTATGGCTGGGATGGTAGCTGTCTCATTGGAAGGCGTTCGAGCACGCTAGCTTGGCTGCCATCCCAATGGAACAGTCGAACGATCAGGTTTCACTCGCGTCGATTCGAGCTTACACCCCTGCTAGCGGCTGAGATTGGAATAAAACCTCCGTCTTCCCTCCCCCCTCATCCGTGTTTTCGATTTTCAAGATCACCGCGGAGTCTGTCCGATTCTAGTTCGCCTGCCATCATGTCTGCCGACAAAGAAACCATGAGAACCACCGACGAGCATGTCGCTCCGGCCGAATACAACAATGCCAGCTTCGACGCCACCGCTCTGCCGTCCGGATGGAAGTACAGACAGCGTCGAATCTTCGGCTGGGCGATCCCCTGGTATGCGTCGCCCAAGGTGCAACTTCTCATGGTCGCCTTCGTGTGTTTCATGTGCCCTGGAATGTTCAATGCGCTCGGTGGTTTGGGAGGTGGTGGAAAGACCGATGCCGAACTGGCCGATAACATGGTGAAAACCCCCTTTCTCTCTCTCTCTCCGACTCCAAAGCAAAGGGAATATACGGAGCTGACGGCCGGAACAGAACACCGCGCTGTATAGTTGTTTCGCAGTTTTCGGTATTTTCGGCGGAACCTTTGTCAACAAGCTCGGTGTGAAATGGACCCTGGCCTTCGGTGGCGTGGGATACTGCCTCTATGCAATTAGCTTGTTGGTCTCGGTTCACGCCAACGTTGCAGGCTTCAACCTGTTCGCCGGTGCTTGGCTGGGTATTTGCGCCGGTCTTCTCTGGACGGCCCAGGGTACGATCATGATCTCCTACCCCAACGAGAAGCAAAAGGGCAAGTACTTTGCCTGGTTCTGGGCAATCTTCAACATGGGCGCCGTCATCGGCGGCTTGATCCCCCTCGGTCAAAACATCAACGTCAAAACGAACAAGACTGTGTCGGACGGCACGTACATCGGCTTCATCGTGCTGATGGCCATTGGAGCCCTCCTCGCCGTCTTCCTCTGCAACGCCAGCGACGTTATCCGTGAGGATGGAAGTCGCGTCATTCTCATGAAGAACCCCAGCTGGAAATCCGAGCTGGCCGGTCTGTGGGAAACCCTCCGATTCGAACCCTTCGTGGTCCTGCTCTTCCCCATGTTCTTCGTTTCCAACTGGTTTTACATCTACCAGCAGAACGCCGTGAACGGCGCTTACTTCGATACCCGCACCAAGGCACTGAACAGTCTTCTCTACTGGCTGGCCCAGATTTTCGCCGCTGCTATCTGGGGATATCTCCTCGATGTCCAGGGTGTTCGCCGCTCTACCCGAGCCAAGATCACCTGGGTCGTTCTTTTCATCCTCACCTTTGCTATCTGGGGTGGTGGCTATAAGTTTGAGCAGAGGTACACTCGCCAGACCGTGGACATCAAACTCCACCCGGACTGGAAGGCCTTTGACTGGTCTGATTCTGGTTACGTTGGCCCCATGTTCCTGTACATCTTCTACGGCTTCTACGATGCCGCTTGGCAGGCTAGTATCTACTGGTACGTGCCCTCAAAACCCCCCTAACTGTCAGCTCCACTAACCAATCCAGGTTCATGGGCGCCCTCTCCAACTCGGGTCGTCGCTCCGCCAACTATGTCGGTTTCTACAAGGGCATCCAGTCCTGCGGGGCGGCCATCGTGAACAACCTTGACGCCCGCAAACTCTCCTTTGAAAGGGAGTTTATCAGCAACTGGGTCCTGCTCGCCGTATCCCTCGTCTTCGCTGCCCCAGTCATCTTCCTGAAGATTCGTGATCACATTGACGTTGAGGAGGATCTTGCGGGTACTGATGAGACTCTCGCCGATATCCTTCCTGCTGATCACCCTGAGAAGGTGGGGGCCTAAGTTATGTAGGCGGAGTTTGATTGTTTCATGATATACCATATTTTCCAGGTTGATAATGACGGTTTGGATACGGGGAACGCGGGTATGTTCACATGGAGAAGTACGAAGCATCGACAGCAGGGTTCTTAATGTTCTTGGTGGATGTCCGCGTCGGTTGCGATGTTCGTCTTTATTTGGACCCGGCCTCACTTACTTGTGGCCCATACCCCACATTCGGGTTGATTTAATTTGAAATACTTCCAACCCACTTCCTCCATACAAGTAAGAAAATTGATTGACTATGACGTATACGGGCTGGACGAATCTCCCATCAGCATTCCATATCCAACAAATCACATACTCAAATATCCAAAACAAAATTCGCCTCAGATTCTATTCCAATGCACTCCTCGCAGGTATTTTCTCATGTGGTCCTTCCCACGTTTGCCATTTATGCATCTAGAAATCTAAGTGAGGAGGACTGTACCATGCGAGCTACTTGGGAAAAGAACGTACTTATTCATTTTTTCTGCCCCCCCCCATTACTGGTCTGTACGCAGTTGCTTTCAAGTACGAACGGAATAAAGGATCGATATGCCACCCTTTCATAGATTCTATATGAATGTTACATATGCGAATTTAATGCCTCGGGTAAAGAAGGAACTAAGAAATGAAAGCAAGAAAGGTATGTCTATTTGCTGGGCATATAAAAAGTACGGGAATCAATATGGGCTCTTGACGCCGGGGATACAGGGGTATCCCTTCTTCGCGTCGGCAAAGCTCCAATTCCGTGCCTTTTCGATATTTTCCGCAAGATCATCCATATCTTTGTTCTTCTCAAGGTTGGAGTTGGGATTATAGTTGCCGCACTCGTTGAAGTACGCATTGTACAGTCCCGGCGCGGTGAATTCGTTATCGAACAGGCTGGTCGGGTCATTTGGCTTGACGTTCTTCGGAACCCTGAAGGCGTCCTTCTTATTGCCGTTCTGAAGATAGCCCTCATGGATGCTGCATAGGAAGTCAGATGCTGGGATTCTTTTTGTTTTCCTTGCTTGACGGATAGATGCAACTTACCTCTGGGCCATAACCTCCAACGTAAGACCGCCAACGACGGACGGATCGCCAGTCATTTCCGAGTGAGTCATGCCGTTGATGACACTCAGCTTCTGCTTGGGCCGCTCGAATCGGTATGCTTGACCGCCAGCGCCACTCTTGTTGGCATCCACAAAGAAGAAGCACAGCTTGGAATATTTCTTGACCGTCACTGCGCAGTTCTTCCACTCTTTTGAGCCGTAGGGCTGTTTATACCATTAGAAAGCCGGAGAGTGCAATAACTAGGGATCGACTTACGTGAAACAGTTCGCCAAAGAGCACGTCTTTCTTGGCTCGGCTGCTGTCGTCACAAGCATAAGGACGGACACTGGCGATGTTAGCAACCTGGTAGAGAGTGATATCTGGAACATTCTTACATGAGCGTTGGGCGCGAATCGTCGTTCTGTTGAAGTGCGATCGGAATCAACTGCGCATACATGGCCTTCTGGGCATTGGCAATGATGTTTTGAGGCCTCACGGCGCGACTGAATCTGCCGTCTTTCAACATGTTCGATAGCGTGGCAAAGTCGGAGACCCCGTCGGCCGTGGTGCCATCGGCGAACAGCTCTCCGGTAAATAGCTTGTTGCTGTAACCATTAATGTTCTTCGCCCATTGGTCCGAGATGGAGTCCATCAGCTTCATGAATGAGCCTGCTTCTGTGATCATGCTAGTGGCTCCCTCCCTGTCAAACAAAAGTCAGCTTTCCTGCTTCTTTCATGTTGTATTCAAGTTGTCACATACACCAAATTCTTGCCGGCGCTGATATACTCGCCAGCAATGTTGGTGATCTCAAAGGCCATTTGATTCCCCATTTGCTTGTAGTTGTTCAGCTGGTTCTTGTAATATTGAGCGACCTGGGATGAAATATAGTCCGGAGCTGCACCGCCTTTACCGAGCGCCTTGGTCATAGGACCGATGGCCGATTCAACGCCCTTGGTGATAAGCTGGCTCGCACCCAGCGACAAAAAGTCCGCAACGAAGCCAATGATCTCCTCGGCTGACATCTTGGGCTTGTTATACTTGACAAAGTACTCGGCAATGTCATCCACAGACGTCAAATCTTTGCCCTCGGCGAGGGTCAGCTGCTCGGCAAATGGGGAATAGAACTGTAGCATATCAGCATTGGGCACCGCAGACCGGCAGAGAGAAGGGAGTTCTTACGTTGGCAACTGATGAAAGAGAATTGAGGATCAAGTATCCGGCAGGACCAATGGCTTGGTTCTGTGCATTGTCAGTATTTTATCGGTCTCTTCTAGTCTGAGAGAAACGCGATGAAGAGGACTTACACATTGCCCTTCATAGTTGAGGCAGTCGTTCTTCCCATCATTGGAGTCGAGAGCACCGATAGCACAGTCAAAGTTTGCGGCGGTATCACCCAAAGCCTCGGCAACGTAGTGCGATAGAGACGAGTACTTTTTGTGGGTGTTTTGCTGGAACTCGTACACGAGTGCCTCCCAAAGCTGATCGGCTCCCGATGTCGTCCACTGAGTTTGTGGGTCCGAGTCCGCAGGATTGGCGTACATGGGGTCCTTGCAAGACTGCTGGCTGGCATCTGATGAAAAGGATTAGATTAAACTCGGGGGAAAAGACAAATAGTGAAAAGGACGCCGTACTCAGCAAAGCCTTGGCGATGTTAGGGGCCTGAGGGACCGCACTGGCGCTTGCTGTAGCCGCCAAAAGGACGGCAGCACCGAGATGAGAAACTCGCATGGTGTGTATGAGTAAAGGATGAGAGAAGAGAAGGTTGATGCGATGGAGGGATACTCGGTCATTGTGGGAATGAACTACTTATCTAGCTCTGTACTAGGATGGACTCAGCATCCGATGTCTGCTAATGTGCTCGTCTCTCCCGTTGGACTCATGGATGGCCCGCGGACGGCAAGAGAAGCCAAATATAGATCTGCGCGAAATATCCATCCGTGGGCGATGCAAACGGGGGTAAAATGGGATACTATCTAAGGCAACCAATGTTTCAGCCTCTAAATCAAGCACAATGGGGCCGTATAAGCTTTCGGGACCCCTAGGGGTCCCCCAGGTACACTTAGGGGTCCGCCCCCGAGCTGTCCCACCTTGACATCAAAATATCAAACGGCCCCCAATACCGACCCTGAACAATGTCAACAGCCCCCAATACTACCCCAACCATTGCCCGCTTAGTGCTATCTTTGGAAGTGGTGAGAGATCCTTAGAATAGAAATTTTGGAATACCTTCTTGTCCCTCCGGTCATAAAAGTCGCGGGAGATCCTCTCCTAGAATATTGTCTTATCCAAACCATCCTATCCTTCTCTTCATTTCTTCAGTCTCACCCTCATCATGAAGCACCTATCCGCCTTCCTACTTCAAAGCTCCTTCTGCCTGGGACTTGCTCAAGCGGCAGTTGTCTACCCACGCGGTTCTAGCCCACCTCCTGCCTACGTGATGAATCCTGAGATTGCTGGGTGGGACCTCACCTGCGGCCTACCAAATCCCAATAATCACGGGGAGACGCGCATGGATGCAGTCAAGCGCGCCTGGGAAGGCGCCATGGAAATGGCCGCCGACTCATGGGATCGCTGGGAAATAACCAAACCCAAGCTTGAAAAGATAGACAAGAGTAACATGAATCCTGACTATATCGACCAACTGGAAGTGGACATCGACGATCCTGGGTATGTCTCCTTGTCTCTTTCCCACCAACTTGTTCAGAATGGCATCTAACTCTCCGTCTCAGATACACACAATTCTTTGCCCTACGCTGGGACAAAAACTTCCGGAAGGGAGTTGAAAATGTTCTGCACAAAATGAACACCCTTATCAACTCCATGCCATCGCAGAACGGGCGCCCAAAGACGCCGTTGTACATCTCGTGCAATGACGCCGGAGTCGGCCAATACACGTGTGAGAAGGATATCGCATTCGAGGTTGATTTGCCCAATGATGCGGGGTCCTACATCAACTTCTGCTCTCCTTTCTGGAAGCAGCCCCGTTTTGACGTGTGGAAGAAGGCCGCCGGAAGCGAGAAACACTCAAAGAACGGTGGGCCAGGCGATGTCAGCGAGAATGACTGGGAGTCTGTACGCAACCTCGAGCGATACGGACACGGCACTGATGGTACGTTCAGCCATTGAAAAAAAAGATTTAATCTGCCAATTACCCAAAGACTGACACCTCTCTAGCAAGCACTGTATTCCAAGAGCTCACCCACGTGAATTGGATTGGTAACACCAACCCGCTCGTTAACGGAAAGCCTACACCTGCGGATAACTCCGGTTTTTATATCAACTCCCAAATGTCTAAGAAGTGTCTCTCGAACAGCGCCAATTGCAAGGATCTAGTCAACAACGCCGAGTCGTTCTCGTGGTATGCCCAGTACGGATATTTCCGCCGCCGCGTTACTCCCCGAGCTGAGATCTGGCCACTTTGGGGACCTCAGCAAAAGCCTATTATTTTGCCCGTGTAAAGTGGGATAGAACTGTTTGAGGCGTTGGCACATGTCTTTCTCTTATCCTCATGCAATACAAACACTCTGAAATAGATCTTCTTCTCGATATATCTCCACTGTGTCGAAGTCTCCAAGATCGCAGTTTCTTCATAATTCATAGAATGGTCACAAATACCAATATGGTGTAAGTAGCCATTTGGCGTGTAAATGAAAATCTTGAAAGCAAAAGTCACAGCAACGTCGAGATAGACTTTCCCCTTATTCATATCCCCTCCAGCGTACATGAAACTCCTATCTCATGCTCTTTTTGTGCAATGGTATATAGGAATTTTCAAGTTACTGATCAAAATACAATATATTGCAACAGAAAAGCAGCGAAGCACAAGATAGAAAGTGCTATGCATAGTGTTTGTTGGCGTTGGGATACAATTATGTATTGGGGCACATGCAATTGTGCCCCGACGTACGGATGGGAATAAGATCATCGATGATGGTTCAATTCAGGCGGGAAAGGGGGCTCCCTGAACTGTTTGGCCCCACGCCCCCCCCCCCCCGACCCCACGATGTTGTCTTCACTGTATATTGTAGTAGGACTTATGTGAATCAGAATCGCGGATATGGTTAGATCGCTTTTGTTAACCGGATTGTATGACTTTTCGGAACTAAATACGACTAGAGAAAGGAAAGTCGTACGATGCAAAGGTTGGTGCTGTGGCATTGGACAATAAATGAATTGGCAAGGATAAGAATGCTGAATTTGGGATAAAGATTTGACAAAAAACAACCAATCTATTTGGTACAAAAAGGCCAACCATACACCCCTATCACCAAACACCCTTTAGCTCAAGTCGTCTTTACTCGTGTTGTCGCACACGTAGTTAAAAGAGCGCATGGCCGGGATCAGCTTCCCTTGAGAGTTGGTAGCCGTGGAGCACCCGCTCTTCTGGTCCGCCGCCGACATGAAGCCCAGCCAGTCCTTGTCGTCGCAGCCGAGGCCACCAAAGAAGTGAAGTTGGCAATTTGAGGCAATATTGCCATCGAGTATGAAGCTGGCGCCATTGTCCTCCAGGTCATCCAGGCCGCCCTTATCGTGACCCTTGGAGCCGGAGCACTGCTTGGAGCCGTCTCCGTTGAAGTCTTTTCGAGGCACGTATGTCGTGGCGTCGGCACCGGCGCCGTGACACCCTCCTGTCGCGTAGAAAGTGATGCTCTTAAGCGTGTCTGCTTGCCAAACGGGTGGCTTGAAGTTGATCTTGGGATTGTTGCCCTTCGGGTATTCTTTCATGCTTTTCTGGATTGCCTGACTCCATTTACTTTGAGGCAATGGCTTTGTACATGGCTTTTTGCCGCCCGGGAATACGACGGCCAGGGCCACGGTGGCCATGAGAAAGAGGGAGAAGAGTCGGAAAATCATCGTGGTCAGAGTATGGAGAGAGACCAGGAGATAGTTTCGCCTTGGAGAAGAGGAGGAAGTTGGAGGAATGTAGAGTGACAGGACAGACGGGGCATTCATCTATTTACATGTTTTCATCGACTCTTGATATAGAACAAGCAAAAGTATAAACGCAGGGGTTCCGTGTGGGGGGCGACATCCTCTGCTTAATTTAGCTGATCGGTACGGCGGATTGGGGCCATGGGGCCAGGAACTTCCGGTGATTTCTAGCGAAGATTAGTTCAGACAGTTAAGACCCTCCCGCCTCTCACTTAGCTCAGCCCCTCTGCATCTCCGCCCCATCATGGATCTGCCTGTGCTCCCCGTCGAGTGTTGGACCCTGATAGCAGACAAGCTATCGTCTCACAGTCTAAGCCGTCTGACACGCGCATCCCAATCACTGCATGCTGTCCTCGGCCCCCGTCTCTACCGTTACATCGACCTCAGCGTGCACAATATCTCTCCCACTATCTCAGCGAAGGGCGAAGAGCACATCGCACCATGCCCGCCTAAACTCCTCGATCGCCAGCGCGCCTTTACGCGCCTGTGATTCTGCACCGCAAGCCTGAGTATGCCTCATGAGTCCAGTCCTTTACCTGGACTATGTGCCTGCACCGGGCCTGTGTTACTAAGGCCGTCCCTGAAGATGAGCTGGGCAGTGTTGTCCAGCTATTTTCGCGGCTGTATCGCGTTCTCTCTGTCTATATTAACGGGGGTAGTGCACATTGCTACCCCCCGAAATCTGTTCCCCCTCTGTTTCCCGCCGCCAGCCATATCTGGCTGAGCGGACAGATGCATTACGGCCTGGCATATGCCATTCTCCACGGTTCAGAAAAGACAGCTCTGAAGACTCTCGACATCTGCAACTTGCATGAGCGCGGTCACACCCGATCGAGGCAAAACTACCAGGTACCTCCCATACAGGAAGGTTACGACTGGGGCCTTGCTGCGTGGGACGAGAACGACGCAGAACCGATCGAGGAAGACTGGCCGGCAGACTTGTTGCCCAAGCAAGTCCCGCCGGGGCCGATGCGCTATCTACTGAACGGACAGCTGGTGGCACGATGCACTAGTCTAGAAAACTTGACTCTTCGCCAGGTGATTATAGAAACGCTACATGCATATGAGCTCCTGCCTCCCGGGTGGTATTATCCTGGATTGGAGATACATGAGAAGTGGGCATCCTTTATCCAGGCAGTCCGCCCGCGCCATCTGATAATTTAATATGATGACGTATCTACGACGATACGATCGGAACTGAAGAGACTGTGGAGGAAGAATACATGTCGCGGCAACTTACCCTACCATGGGGACTTTGACCAGAAATCGTTGCCGCTCTTGAAAGAAGGGTGGCCCGAACTGCAGAGATTGGAGTTGACCTACTGGCTCATCGCAGAAATGGACCTGCTTGACTTGGTTGTCCGCGATGAGACTATAGCTCTTCTTGGTAGCAGCGAAGAGGTGGAGGTCAACACGCTCCCATGGACCTATTACCACAACGGATTTCATACGTTAGACTAAAATGAGATAATGAATATCTTACGACTATACACAGTTGAAACTACATAGCATGTTCCAGCGAAATTAGGTTCATACTAGAATGGTAATCAGCATGCACTGCCCTGGCATACAGAAACCCCAATATCTAAATATACCTCGGCAAGGGTACGTCCAAATTGGTCTATTTCAGAACTACGCTGGCCCCAACAGGGTGGGTCTCCACGGGAAAGGACCCAAAGGAAGGGTCGGCTGGTTCCTGACGGGGGCCTCGCATCATCTGGAGGGGCCAAATCGGGTTACCCACCAATGATATCGCCACCCTAGTGAAGCTTGACATCGACCCACTCGTGTTTCATCGTTTATTTTGGGCCAAATCGATTTAGTTATCTACTTCCGAGCTTGCAACCGCCCTCCAAGCGGGTTGTCTGGCCCCAGGGTCCATCGTCAACACGTTCCAAAAGTAGCCAGGCGCTAAGCAACAGTGCCCAAGGCCCCCAAGCGACAGCTTCAGGACCAACAGCAGATCTAACAAGGGACTCACCTTTAGAGCGCGCATAAAATCCTACGGTACTCCAGTATAGTCAGCATCTCTACAACATATCACTCCCCTTCTCGTCGTCCCCTGGATTTCTACTTCGACCATCATGGCCAACCTCCGCGTTCTTCATATAGGGATGGCGGCGATCGTGGCACTAGCACCGCTCTCCGGTCGGTGGTTGTTCTGTGCCTATGTTGAGAGCTATCCTGTAGACCTATGCACGGGCCTCGCCTCACATACGGCCGATACTCGGCGGTGAAAACGCTCCAGTCCATGAGTAATCCAGAATTACATAACGTAATCGGTAAGCGAGTGACGCATGTAAGCGAGTGACGCACCCACCCATCCTCTATATTTTTAAACCACCCTTTTTAACCAAAACGCCTTTATATTCACTAAATTATCTCTGATTACATTTATTTGCCCTATGCCCAACCTGATTACATAAAGAACACGTAAACTGACGCCGTCGCGCTGGTGCTACCGCCTGCTGAATAGGCTGCCCGGGTGCTACTGGAGACGGTGCCGTAGGCTGTATAGTAGCCTCACGGGCTTGTAAATGCTCCTGAGCTTCCTGCACTGACATACCAGCTTCGAAGGCTATACGTCTACTAACCCGTGCGCGCTTTTGCTTCTGCACTGCGTTGGCAGCGCGTAATTCCTTGTTTTCTTGCTCAAGTAATATACCGTTTTGCATAGCGATCTGACAGCCCTTAATAAGCTGGTTTAACGCGGCTTGCGAGGGCGATGGGGGGCTATTTGAGCGTCGTTTTAAGAAAGCCTGGATTGACGCTCCTTGTTTAAGTAATTCCGCGACGGTCGCGGGCATTTTTGGGGTAAAAACGCTAGATCGGCTGTTTGGGCGGCTTCCTGAAGGTGTGGGCGTTCGAAGCCGGATATTGAGCTTTAAAAGCACTCGTTCTGGGTCGAACGGCACTAACCCTGCTGCTGCGAAGCTATTTTTGATTGTAAGCGCTTGAAAAGCGCTTACGCGAGCGTGTGGGTATACTGCGAGGAAATCAAGCTTGTCGATATGGTTAATACCAGCCCGCATTTTTTGATCAACCAAGGTTCCGTACGAGCGTTTTAAAACCGCAAAACAACTAATATTAAGCGGTTGTAAGAGATGTGAGCTATACGCTGGCATATAGAGAGGAATTATCTCATTTTCTGCGCAGATTTGGTCGAATTGTGGAGTTAAATGACTCCCGTGGCCATCAAGGACTAATAAACGATATCGGCCTTGCGTACGGCTATTCGTTGACGGTATAAATAGCTGTTGAAGCCATCGAAGGCTAATCTCGTCTGTCGTCCATCCATTTTGACTAACTTCGAAGCGCCAGTTATATAGAAAGCCATCGGCCCAAGCTAGATTGTATAGTTTGGCCTTGAAGATAATTGTAGGCGGAAGCGCCCACCCAGAAGCGCTAATTGACTCGATTGTAGTCACCCACTCGCGATTTCCTGGCTGTAAAACTGATCGCCGACCGTAGTATTCCGCTCGAGTAATGACCTTTGCGGTCGCTGTGAGGCCCATCGCGAAGCCAGTCTCGTCAAAGTTGTAGATATCCTCCGGTAGGATACCGTATTGCTGAACCGTAGCTTGTACGGTATCAAACCACCCTTGAATAACCTTTGGATCCTCTTGTTTTGCTCGTTGATAGTCGTATCGACGGGAAAAGCGAGATTTTAGCTCTGAATGACGATGGGTATAGTTATAGACCCATTTTTCGCCGACTGACTGGATTGGGGTTGAACCACGCTTTGCAAGCAAAAGATTCGCTATTTCTCGCACCATAGAGGGCCTAGGGGCTGCTCCGCGTGAATCCATAGACAATATCCACTTCTTAAGTGATTCCTCTTCAATTTGAGTCAATTTATGGCTATTTGCGCGAGATTCAGCGCGGTTTGTAGTCCCGCGTAGTCGACGGCGAAGCGTTGGTTCAGGGACATTAAATCGGCGCGCTGTGTCGCGTATAGACGTAATTTCCTTTTTCTGAATAGCTTGTATAGCTAATAAAATGCGGCCCTCTTGCTCTATGGAATTTCGGCCTAATTGAGCGCGGTCTGGAGGCATGGTGGTCGGTAGAAAATAGAAGGACGCGTGTGGACGCGAGAAAATAGGTGGGTGCGTCACTCGCTTACATGCGTCACTCGCTTACCGATTACGTTACAAAAAACATAGGAAATGTGGTCTCTCGTGTGACCTATCACTTGCTAGCGGTAAGTTATCGCTCCATGCGCTGACACCTTAAGCCCTAAGGTCGCAAATGATTATTCTGCTGCCTTTGTCAACGATTTTTGTTGCCTATAATTCTTCCAGGGTTTGTTAATATCGAGTGGCCTAAGGTGTGCGCGTCGCCAAGAAGGAGAAATCCAGATGCCTATCCCTGCCTGAATACTTAAGTCTTGCTTCGTTGAATGCCGAATAACAACCTTGGAAGCCTGAAAGCACAAATCTATCCCTCTATCCTTTACCTCTTCCCTTGTGAAACAAAATGGCCGCTCCAAAGTACTCTATTGCCTCTGTTTCGGAACCGGACCTCCCCTTTTTGGCCAATTTCATCCATGCCGCTAAGCTATCTTTGAGCATCAACCGTCTCATCTTTAAAGACTGGCCAAATGAGGCGCTCCAAAAGCAGATGTACAGTGAAGCTGTTCAGGATGGATACTCCAACCCTTCGATGGAATGTTTTAAAGCAGTCGATGTCGACTCTAATGAAATCGTCGGCTACTTTGTCCTTGCACGGAAGCGACCAGTCAAAGAGAGTCTAATCGACAGCGGAAGCGAAGGTGAAGCCATTCCAGATGGCTTCAATCTTGGTCTCTTTAGAGAGATGACGGACGCGACCATCCAAATTGCCAAGCAGACGGACGCAATCGATCGCTTTGGTAAGTTGTCAGTCATTGCTCCAAGCATTGCTAATGTGCCGTGCAGAAATCGTCTACATGTGTGTGAAGCCATCCTACCAGTGTAAAGGAATTGGTTCCAAGCTGGTTCAGCTCGGCTTCGATCGTGCCCGTGCTGAAGGTATCCCATTTGCTGTCTGTGCCGAAGCACCAGCACATGAATTTTTCATCAAGCTGGGATTCAAAGACACAACACACTACGATATCGATCTCCGGAAGTATGCTCCAGCTTACAGTGGCTTCGGTATTTTCCGACTGAGTGGGATGATGTGGCGCCCTTGAGTACCAGGACAGAGTCCCGGAGATAGATCTAATCATAATTAGAGTCAGCAAAATAGGATTTCTAAATTATCACGGCGAGTCATAAGGTCCTTGGGTGGGAAGTTATCGGTCGCATTTAAACTCAACGCCAGTTATCACCTGCATTAACCTCGATGCATAAAACTGACGTATTATTTCCTGCCCCATTGCAGTAATGCTTCGATATTGCCACTATGCGGGGTATCAGTGCTCTTTATCCTCTTTAGTTCAATAAGGTTTCCCAGCCGCCTGTGATGTCACTAAATAGCCCATTATAGATTACTCTAAAAGATGTATGCTGTTGTAAATTGCGTGTCTTTTTTAACTGAAATTTCCTACTCGCACCGAAGCTGTGCAACAACCACACGGACCTAGAAAATCACGACACTAGATAGAGCTACGGACCGTCAAATTCAACATCGCAATTTCTTTTTTCCTAAAGCCAGCCTTTTTTGTTAGTGAGAGCTATGCGGGAGATGCTAGTGGTGTTCTGTTGAGTGAAGAATAGGCCGAAAACAGCTCACAGGCAACCCTACTCAAGGATACTAAAGGTCTACTTTTTATGGACAGATCGAACGATTTACGAACTTCCATCCTGTATAGCAAATTTTAATGGAGCACGGGAGACATTTCTTAAAAAGTGAATGTTTTAGCTTGGAGACTCGAAGCAGGACACACAAAGTAGGGACGAGAACCCCACAAATTGGTAGTCAGAGCAGAAAAAGTTCAACTTGGCCTATAATGCTATGTACATAACCCAATTTCTTATGTCTTAATGCCGTGTCATCGTAGCGCTGTAGTGTCGTTGGGTAGAACGACAGACACAGGTGCTTTAATAGGCTCTCCAACTTGAAAGCCGCTGGTGCAGGGCTTCTCGGTCGACTGGACAGAGAAACAGTGTAGTCGAAAGTGTGCCACGCAGCGACGGAGGTCGGGGTCAGGAGCAGTGGCTTCACGCGCTAACTTCTCTTTGGAGGTGGCGGTGAGCTTATAAAGAAGGGCGTTGTCGTTCGCCATGGGGTTTAGCGCTGGTTGAGGTTCTTTTTGCAAATGTACGGAATGAGTTGGCTTGTCGGTTCTGAGTAGCAAGGCGGACGGACAGCTTTGATCATGATGATGTGGCGCGCTCACGATCGTATGTTGTAGAATGGGTTATAGTTTGCTTATAGACCAGACGGCAATTTGATTCATGATTTAATGGAGATTGTAGATCTTATATTAAAGGTGTAAACGAGGATGGAATGGGACTCTCAGACCTCGAGGGAGAAGAGCAATGATCGGTAAAATGTGAGTAAAGGTCGCGTGAAATTTTTATACGGGACACGGAGCGATCTGCAAGAGGTAATGCAGGGACGTCCACGTACTGCATAGTATACTTCCCGCCCAAACCTGGACACTTTCAAGGATGACAGATATGTACCAGGTCAAGGGAAACGGGAGCGAATTTTGCAGGTATGAAGATGTTGGCACACGAAGTTGTATCTTCCAGCATCTTCACATCTGGAATAACCGAGGGCAAGAGCAGTATTACGAAGGAGAAGTTTAAAGGTAAGGTCCCAGCGGGGTGCCCAAGTAAAGACGAGAATATGGCTGGAGCAGTGCTCTTTACTGCTGCAACCCAGTATCTTGATGGATATCTGAGCGACCGGGTCAGTCTAAACGTTGTTCCCAGTCATGGAGATTATACAGTCTGAATGGTTGAGTGCTCAACTACTTTTCTAAGTATTCGAGAAACCTTTTTCCCTGTGTAGCTATGTATGTGAAAACCGGAAAATTCGGTATGGAAAGTTCAAAAGCGAAAACAATATGTGGTATTCATTGATTCATGGTTTGATCATATACGTAAACACATCCAACAAAATTCACACCAGAAGAGTCTGCATGGTCGCAGATCTATTCCAACTGGACAGATAACGCTCAGTGCTTCGCAGCCTCTGTGGAAAGGATTAATATACGATCATGCTGGATTCATGCACATGGAGTACTCACCCTTGTTGGTGTCGGCCTTGGTGTTGTGCACCGTCTCGTCTTTCTTGTTGACAGCGGCGTCCTTGGCTGCGCTTGCGCGAGTACCAAGGCTGGTGTCAGAGTCCTTGGCGACGTTCTTGTTGGCCTCCTTCGCACCCTGGTTGGTGGCGCCCTGAACGGACTCGGAGACGTAGTTTGCGGCGTTCTGGGAGAATCAAGTTAGTGTGAGTCCAGAGCACCAGGGCGAGGAAACACCTCTACTAACCTTGGCGGTTTCCATAGTGAAGATGTAGTAAATAAATTGTCTTTGATGATTTGCTTTTGATCGATGGCACTAGCAGGATTCTTATAGGCGTCTCGGAATATTCCAGTAGGGAATGGATCGAGCTTTCGCCACATCCCAAACCTCGGCCAGCCTTGCTTCCCTGCTTTCACTGCCAAGGTGTTTGTGATCACGCACGCCATCCAGGCGTATGCGTCACTGGTTTGTTTCGAGCAACTCTTGGACCATGAGGGGTCTGGATCTCATCGAAGCCGATGGTTGTCTTGATGTTTTCATCACATGCATATTATTGCAGCCGGTTGACAGGAAATGCACTGAGATTGGTCTCCAATAACCCGCCAATCATGGGAGAGGTCACAAACAGGCTTTGCAAGCCACTTATACCGGTTTGTAGCTGGGGTACAAGCGCGCAGTAATGTGAGGTAACACTGACGGCGGGATCCACGTTGGGATCTACAGTCCCACCCGACCCTGGCAAGCTTTGTGTTGTTTTGGTTTGATTCTTGGGTTGCTTCTATTCTCAGCACTCATATTTGTGTTCTATGAGATACGAGATCGGGGTAAAATAGCACGCGGCCTAAATCTCCCCAGATCTACTGTGTCCTAAGGGGCCAAGTATCTGTCTTGCCTTATCGATGCTCCTCTAAATAATCCTCTAGTACTAGTTTGTATGGGTCGTAATTTACTTCTAGCTTTTGAGACTTTGGCTTCTTCACCAACAAACTCACGAGCTGGTCTACGCTTGTGTTGCTTTCCACAATTTCTGCTCAAGACCCCATTAGCGATCACTCACAACATGGCGAATCGGGGTGCATAAGATAAACGGAAGTGAAGAGAAAGAACTTGTCGAGCCCTCCTTCCTTAGTCAAGAACTCATGACATCTCGACAATGCGCTACAGCCCGGCGATTGGGTAGTGATCTTAGGGTCTGGCGGGGGCCTCGGTCATATTGGCGTGCAAATCACGGCCAGGGTTAAGAAAGTCCGGGTCATTGCAGTAGACAGGCGACGCTAAAAGGAATCTCAGTCTGGAGTCCGGGGCTGAAGTTTTTGTCGACTTTAAGACGGAAGACGTCGCAGCGCGAGTGCTCGAGTTGGCCGGAGAGGGCGCGCATGCGACAGTCGTTGTCCCCAGTACCAAGGAGGCATTCAAGGTTGCCCCGACGCTGGTCAGGAATATGGGCCAGATTATCTGGGTAGATCTTCCGCCGAACGATATGGAGCTTCCCATTTCTGCGACGCTGTGTGCTGGCCGAGGTAGGTCATCTCCCCAATATCTTCGTCTTCGGAAAATTTCCGAGAGGAATTTCTGACAATTATAGCTCTTTCCATCAAAGGCTCTTCAGTTGGTAGAGAAGAGCAGATGGCGGAGTTGTTGCAACTTGCCCTCCACGGAGTGATCACCCCGGCCATTGAGGTGTTCGATTTTGAGGAAACCCCCAATCTTATCAATAAAATCAAGGACGATACAATCGTTGGATGAGCAGTTGTCGCGATCCCAAGCTAGGTGCTTCGGAAGAAAAGTGAATTGTCAAGGCGCAAGGCTGGTGGTCCATTTTGTTAGCGGAGCGTCTATTTCGTCGAATTCCCCCATCGTATCGGTTCTCTTTATTTGACGAATTTGAATCCTCGATATTTCAATTGGCCAACTGAAAGGCGAGTGAGAGACAAGCAAATCAGAAAAACGGCAATCGTCATAAATCGACCTTATCTTATCGGTGCAAACCCTCTTCCTCCTCCACCTCCTCGATATGGGCACCAAACGATCATGGGAAGGCCAGCCTCTGGGTCTGCATACCAAGTCCGATACCAATATGACTTCCTCGGAGTCGACGGGCACATTTCACTCCATCTTCGAGACCTTCCGCAACGAGCTGGACGAGCACCATGACCGCCGCGAGCGAATCATCAAGGCAAGCCGGGACATCACCGCGCTCAGCAAGAAGAAGTAAGCTCTTCCCTGGCCTTACAGGCAATGCGACGGACTCTAACTTCCAATACAGTATCTTCGCCCTCCAAAGAGTCCGTGCCATCAACCAACCCATCCCACCCAAAATTGCACAAGAAAATCAAACCCGCCTCGATACCATCGACAAGCTCTTCAACTCGATAGTCTCCGATGTCGCCGGCATCAATTCCTGGCGCTACCAGCGTCAAATCGGTGGCGCGATTCAAGAATTCATTGAAGCGATCTCGTTCGACCACTACCTCCGCACACAGACCCTGATCACACACGCCGAAGTGACAACACGGGTACCGGCCGGAATTATGGTCACCGAAGAGGACTACGTGATGGGACTCTTCGATTTGACGGGTGAAATGATGCGCTTTGCCGTCTTGCAGCTAAGCTCGGGGAACGCACCTGCCACGCAGGATACACAGGACTCAGCAGAGCCGCAACCGCCGAGTCTCTCGCCTACTCAGGCCGGCATTGTAGTGGATCTTCGAGCCATGCGGGCGCGATTCGAGGCGCTCAGTGTTCCAAGGAAATACCACATGCTGCGCGATCTCCAGAAGAAGGTGGAAGTCATGCAGAACAGCGTGGAGAAGGTGGAGCGGGCGGCGTATGGGATTCTGGTGCGTGGCAGCGAGCGGCCGAGTGGGTGGACGCCGGATCTATCTGCGCCAGTGGAGGTTGAGACTCATTAAACTGGGGGTTCGATCGCAGTCCTCAGCTATATGCCTCGGATATACGTTTAAAAGTGAGCCGGGTTGATCCTGGCGCCATATTCGTGGTCCACGATTATTTACAGATGCTATAATCCCACATTTACACGTTCGGTCTCCCTAAACACGAGTTGCTCTTCTCCCCTAGATGATAAACACCATATAATCGCGATTCCCTGTCAAATCACATTGGCATCTCAACTTGGCCCAAGTGCCCGTTACCCTGGACGTAGCAACTCGGCTAACCAGCACTCTGCAACAATGAGGAATCCCGTGAATTGTTCGAGTACGGCTACGGCCGATGGCGGCAAGTATCCCTATCCCATAGAGTCACGTATAGCTCCAACATCTACTCGATACAACGAATCTCCACGTCTCGCGGAGCGAAAGCCCGTCTTTGTCATATTACGGCCTCCAACCACCAACTCGTCAACTATAAACTCGCGCGCTTTTCTCCTTCATAGTTCCTGGTCGACACGATCCCGAAGTTGCCTTAGGTCATCACGGAAAACTAAGAGAACGAGAGAGAAAAGAAGCACGGCAGCTAGCGAAACACCACCATAAGCATGCGCAAAAACCGCGACTCCGTACACGCCAATATACCCCGATTCCTTAGGAAGCGCGTTCCAACCCGTTAGGAACGAGCCAAAGGCCAAAAGGAAGGAAGCCAACAGGGCAATTTCGGCACCAGAGGACTGACCCGCGCGCAGGCGCGCAAAGCTGAGGATATAAAGGGCACCGAAGACGTGGCCGAGTAGGATCGAAGCGGGTGAGCGGGTGCGCACGGAGCTTATCGCGCCTCCGACCAAGGCGAAGAGGGCGATGACGAGGGCGGTGTTTGTCGGGAGGCTTTCGAGGCTTTGTTGGGGCGAGCCTGTGCGCGCATACGCGACCGCGGCTGTAAGGACGAAGAGGGAGGCGACTAGAGCGGGGGCGCTTGAATTTGTCTGTTTGGAGCTTGAGTTGGTTTTTGGTCGGTTGAGAGGTTAGAAGAGGGATTGGCTTACCATTGTATTGGCGGCGGTAGTCTATTTCATATTTGGGGACTGCATGGAGCCTCGGAAACCTTTCCCAATTACCACGAGGCGCGTAATTTCAGAGGAAGCCCGGCCAAGGAACGCGCGCTTTAGGTTCCCGGCCCGATCCCGATCTCCACGTGATATCAAGGTTGGTGTTTGAGATTGAAAAATTGGTTCCTAGTGCAACACTTGGCTAAAAATACTAGGGTCATAACATTCTGGGGGGTAGGGCGCCCAATTCAATAACCAACGCCCTGGCTGCTTGCCAGGAAAGCATCTGCCTGCGCTCCGCCACCAGCCGGGATTAACGAAACGACATAAGGCCATTCATTCTATACCACCCACCCAACCTGCGATGACATTTTTATGTATATCAGCTTCTGCTTATCCCTCCTTAGGAATATTACAGAGCCTCTAATTGCTCTTGATTGACCCCGCTCGGGGCAAGACAACAGCCTGGGATATTTACTAACGTACAATGGTACCCTTGCTCCTGCACTCACTGGCGACCTTGCGAGGGTCTCAATGCCGCACATGACTATTTTCCAGCAATTTATTATCTATAATTACCCTCCAGCCAGGATTTCTGCGTTTCAAAATGAAGCTAATATTTCTATTCGGGTAACCCTTAATAGCGAACACATAGTACTATGCTCATATCGGTAAATAAAGTCCCTTGCCATATTTCTTGCATAATCAAATGTTTTTAGTCCAATTTCCTACTTTATGTGAATGAACATATCTATATAAATGTTTCCTGGCTTTAGCCTGACATTCAGGCCAGGCAATCACTGTGACGTATAGGTCACAGTAGGAACCAAATGTGACAATGGGGCCAAATGTAACAATGGGGCCAAATGCAACAATAGGGCGAAATGCAAAAATGGGGCTAAATTTAACCGATGTCTAGGCCTGATATATGGAATTTCTTCTTTGATCGAGGCAACCCGTGATGAGGACCATCTGGGCTCCGGCACGTAGGGTCCAAAACACTAGGATATTGAGTCGTTCCTTGCCATGACCTGAATGAACCGTAAAAATAGTGAGGGGACCAGAGGCAGTGCTGCATTGATTTCGCAAGGATTGCCTCTTATACCGGCAAGGGTGGAAAAGGCAACCAGATCAGTCACTTCTGTGATCGGCTCTATAACAAGCCGCTTATTAGACAGAATGATCTTCGCAAACTTATATTAGGCAAATTGCAGCAACAACGAACTGTTGAGAAATGAAGGGGAGATCGATGAAAAGAAGATGGACACGTAATTGATAGTAAATTCTGATGCTCTTTTCTGCAGAGGTCATTGTCTTGGAGCTTACTGGCATTCGCCCGGAGTTTTGCCGTTCATAATTCGGTGCCCTTGGTCGGAGTTTACTGGTATCAATGGCGAACGGAGATTCGAGGCCAATGCATTATCCCCTGGTCTTCTCCCGAGAGGTGCTCGCCGATGACCCGTGTTTGGAGGATATTGTTTTCAAGAAAGTGACTGACTGTGATCTGATATCAACGTTATCGGGAAGACACCACTCGATTTACTAATTACCCCATCTGTCTACTCTGGATAAATCACTTCGAGACTATTTTGGACTGTGCAATCTTCTACTATCCTGGTTATCCGCAGCCTTTCATCCATTCCGGTGCCATATCCGTTGAGCTGTCGCTCTTTTCACCAGTATCATCCGAGGTATTCGGCTTATCCAATTGCCCAGAGTTAATGCAAATTTGCCGGAACGTCAGAAGCCAACGAGCGGTGGGGGTAACCGGTCTGGATCAACGTTATCCATCGCCGATAGCGATCAACGTTATCGCAGTGGGGAAGACACTCCACTCACGTAGATCATCCAAAGCTCCATTGCCATCTGGCAATTGACAATTGACAATATACAATATACTACAATATACCAATTACGATTTGCCCCACCAGTCTACACTACCGGATCCGGGGAAAGCAGTTCGACAAAGCTTCATACGAGTAAGGAGGACAAAGCGTCACGGTGACATCACCACCCCCCGCACAGTGCCGGAGCACAGCACAAATCAAAACTAGACGGTCAAAACTAAAGAGGGAGCAAAAAGCACAAACCACAACGCCTTCGTTATCTCATTCCTCGAGTCGAGTCACCCGTAGTCCAGGCAAACCAAAGACTCAATGATCACGCAATGATCATGCGGAGCGGGGGTCCTCATCCTCGGACAAGATGCCCTGCGAAATAAGCTCCTCGGGCTCGGGGCGGTTTTGAATCTTGTGTTCGAGGTTATCGGCCAGCATGTTGCGTTCGAGGTCGCGGGCCTGTGCTTGTAGCGCTGGGGCAGCGTTGGTTGCGGGGAGGATGTTCCCTGTACCCGCGGTGTTAGCGCAAATCCAACGAGAACTTAAATGTAGGGCTTCGGTGTAGAAGCAGAGTATGAAGTGGGAAGGGTATGGGTAGACTCACGCTCGACGAGCTGGTCGCGGTCGGGTCGCTTCCCCAGCTTGTTCTTGAGATCGTCGGTAGCTCGTTGGCGGGCGAGTTCCTGGTGGGCCGCTTGGAGGGCCCTGCGGAAGTTAGTTAAGGAGCTGTAAAATGACGGAGCTGTAAGTCGGCAAGACATACGGAGCGACGTTCGTGTCCAGCAGGATATGGCGGTTTTTGAGGTCCTGCACGTCTGGACGGGTCTGGAGGTGCTTCTCCAGCGAGTTGCGGCGCTCGTGGTGGGTGGTAAGAGGGCGTTGGTCGACGGACATGATTGAAGAATTTAGCTATTGAAGGTTGAAGGAATGTAATGGAGTAGTGGATATTGGAGTGGAATAGTTGAAGCGGTAAAGAGGTGAAGTGGTGAAGTTGGGAAGTTATGAAGTTGGGAACCAGTCAAATGATGTTCCGCGGGACGTCACGCGGGGTACCTGAAACACAAGACTGCGACTCGTGTCGTACACTACTTGGACTCTACGAATGAGAAAAGATAACCAGATAAGTTTAGTAGATCGGAAATCCACTATCATACACGAGATCGCGCCAAAATCAGCAACTTCTCAACGGTTCCCAGGGCACCGCCTACTCTGTCAGTCCAGGGAGACCTTACAGGCCCCTCGAGTAGAGGTAGAAGTAGTAATCACCAGCCGCGGATCGAATGGAATCCGGCAGATTCATCGCCGGGATTCGGCCAGCCACGGTCTGGGATTGATGCCGGGGGTTCAGTGGTGTGGGTTGGGGTAGAGGGGGGGGAAGAAACACGCCCTGTCGCAGCACGGATTTCCCTCGCGCGATGCCCGTCCTGCATAAGGAAAAGAGACAAACCCGGGTTCTGGATGCATGGAGTCACACTGGTCTGCCAGCACCGCGTCGTTAGACACAGATGCTATCGGCAGACCCGCTCGCGCCTTCAAGGAACCCAGAGCTTGCCTCGTCCTCGGCCGTTGCCGCGCGCCGCGCCGCGAGTAGATCCTCCACGGCGGGAACTGGCAGAGCGACGCGAGGCCGAGGACATGCCTCGGGCAGCCCCCTGTGGAGAACTCAGATCCACCGTCGGTGTCTTGTTCGCACCGAGGGATCGGCTGAACGAGTCCGGGTCGATGGGCTGTGTCGGGACCTCAACCGGGGCCTGAGTCTCCGGAGTCGCTGGGGTAGCCTTTGCAGCAGCGTTCTTGCGAGAAGAGCCGCCCCGTGCACCACGAGAAGAAGAACCTTTGCCATTGCCGCTGCCGCTGCCGCTACCGCTACCACGGCCGCGCGGGACAAAGACCAGCTCGTCCTCGTCACTGTCGTCCTCGTAGGTCAACAGAGTCTTGGGCTCGGTAGCGTGGGTCTGAGTCTTCTCAACGTATTTGCAACGGTTTTTGTATTCGCGCTCTTCGTATTGAATCGCAGTGCGCAGCTGGACAATGTTCTTCACGCCGATACCGAACTTCTGAGCCCATACCTGAGTCGCGCGGTCGTTGGTCACCAGAATACAGCTTTTGGCAGAATTCTCAGCATCCGGGCCGCTGTGCAGCCGCCACAGCAACGCACTCAACAACGGGCGCAGAACCGACGGAACGACGGGAATGTTGGATGCGGAGGAAGCACGCTGATGTCCCTTGGTCTTCTCCATCTTGCCGGTGCCACCGTTCTCATGTTGGGCGCATTCGGGACTGGTGCGCGAACTGCGGGAGGACGTGCGCGAGCCGGGTCCGCTGGGAGAGCCGGCGGAGGTGATCGAAGGGGCCTCGGTCTGATTCTTGAAATTCAATTTGCTCAGTAGCATCTGCGATAGATCGTCCGATTCGGAGGCGCCGTGGTACTTGGGGGAGTCGGTCGCCGATTCGGGGGAAGCGGTCTCGTCGAGAGCCTCGGGCTCTTCCTCGAATTCCGGCAGGAAGAATTTCTCGGCTTCTTCCCAGTGCTCGTACTGTTCCATCGGACCCTGCAGGGCGACGCGGTCGGCGGCGATGTGGTCTTTGCCGGAGGTGACGCGGTCCAGGAAGCGAACGGCCTCGCGGGCATTGATCGCGATTTGCGATCCCGCCCGCTTCAAGGCATGGAGCCGTTCAAGAGCTGGACAGGAAGAAAGGGTTAGAGAAGTGATGCGACATCGGAGAGAACGACCGTCTCTCTCTCTCTCTCTCATTGTGCACCTACTGTAAAGAGGAACAATGAGATCGATGGCCCCGCTGGTGGTCCATTTCTTGATTTCGCTGATATTGGTGGTCAGAGCCGTCTCGTCCACGGCGCAGTGAAAGGTCTTGCGTCCGGTCGACATGGCGGACGAGAAAAGTGAGTCTCGCAGAGAGGGTCGGAGGAGGGCCAGTATGCCCTAGACCGGGGAACTGGATGTGTGAACAGCCGCAGCTGGAGAGGGGACCGTCAGCAGGGAGCGAAGGAGGTTTGACGGAGGGACATGGGAATGTGGGGGCGAGCGGGCGGCCGGTATAACGCGGAGCACTCACAGTGAGAAGCCAGAGAACAAGAGAATAACATCTGCAGCATCTTTGTCGCGACGCACGTAGCACGAAGAACAGAGTACAAAGATGTCTAGGAACGAAAATGAAGTCGGCGCCGTATCTGACTAAGCGGGTACCCCGGGTCAGGTACGAACCGAGATGAGATGGATGGGATATAACTGAATATGGATATGAATAGCGATGAATCTATATGTGCGAGGGGAGAATCTAGCTAATAGAAACATGAGATAAATGGAAGGGGAAGAAGAGAAGAGTGACCGATCTGCCTGCCATCGTGAAATTGGTATCCAACTCGCATTCCTATTGCTTCACCTTCTTGATGAGACCATCCGATTCCTTGACCCGCTGTGCCCACTCACTAGAAAGAGTTAGCATGTATGAAATAAATTTCCTATGGTCTTGGATATGACTCACGTCCAGCTGCCGTCGTATACCCGACGCAGATTCGGGCTTCCATATTCCGCTTCGCCCAAGGCCGTCTCAATAATGCTGGCAGTCACGCCAGTACCGCAGGAGCTGATAATCGAGCGCTCGGGATTAATTTGCCGTTCCTCAAATATCTTGCGCAGTTCCTCCGGAGAGCGATACGTCTTGGTCTCCGGATCGAGGAACTCCTGGAACGGCATGCTCTTGGAGCCCGGCAGATGGCCCGAAGGCAGGCCCGGGCGTGGCTCAGGGTCAGTGCCAGCCCAGCGGCCGTATGAACGAGCATCTAGGATCTCGATCTCCTCGGCACCCTCCTTGCCATAGTCCAGTGCAAGCTCCTTCATCTCGCGGAAGGAAATCACCAGCTTCGAGTCGTAGGTGGGGACGGGATACTTGGACTTTTCCACAGGTGCCGGTTCACCACTCTCGGTGGGGAAACCCTCCTTGACCCAGAGACGGTAGTTGTTCAGGATGTGCACGTTGGAGTGGCCGAACACGCGCAGGGTCCAGCCCACGCGCGGAGCGCTGAAGATGCCCAGCTCGGCAGTGTCGTAAACCACGATCTCATCATCGCGGCGAATACCGAGATCGCTCATGGCCTCTGCGAAGGTCTCGCAAGTAGGCAGCATGTGCGGATAAGGCGAGTCATGGTCTTTGACTACGTCAAGGTCGAAGAAGCGAGACTGGGGGATCCGAGACCGACGAAAGGATTCGATTCCAGTGCGACCCTCGGGGTCATTAGGCATGAACCATGCTGCACAGAGAGGAATCACTCTAGGCGATGTGGAGATCTTGGTCGGGGGGTTCTTCTTCAGAGCCTCGTTGAGCTGGTTAGGGGTCACCAGGTACGAGGAGAAGGAGACATTGCGGGCCTGAGTGAATAATCCGATGGCCTTGTTTGAACGGAAGGACCGAGCAGGCAAACCCACCCGAGATACCATGGAAGCCATGGTCGACAGCGATCCAGGAATACAGGGAATGTAGCTTGGATGCCAGGTGCGGAGAAGGCCATGTGAACGATAAACAACCCTTATCGGTCACCGCTCACCTTCACCTTCCTTCACCCACCTTTTTTCCCCACTCCGCTTCACAGCAACATGAAGGTTACGCTGAAAGAATGGAACGCCATCGCTACCTGGCATTGGGATATGCCCGAGGATGAGGTTTGCGGTATCTGTCGCGTCCAGTTCGACGGTACCTGCCCGACCTGCAAATTTCCGGGAGATGACTGCTCATTGCGTAGGTCGACACGGTTCCGATTCCAGGGCTACGGACTAATTAGATGTCTACAGTTCTCGGCAAATGTGGCCATTCGTTTCATATGGTGAGACGAGATGCGTATCGACGGGGATTGTGGACTAACGGCGGGTCAACAGCATTGCCTCATGACCTGGATCCAGCAGGAAACATCCAAGGGACTGTGTCCGATGTGTCGCCAGAGTATGACACCCATTCCAGGGCTGAATTTCATTGCTAACCGCTTTCAGAATTTGAGTGGAAACAAACGGAGGAGTGATCATCGAATCTTGCATATTCCGGCGTTCAACGGGTTGATTCCAAGGATACCCCTGCAACATTTCTTGATAGCGTTTTTTATGGGCCAAGGCGACATTTTGTACCGGCGGACATGCTCCGATGCACTTTTACCTCTGTATTAGTGCCCCCGCGAGGATAAGTGGCCATTGATAAAGACCAATGGTTCCAAAGACCGTCAAAATCACATGGTTTGAATCATTGACCATCGTTCCCCAAGTATTGCGATTGATTGCAGGATTACACCTCCGATTTCAATACACTTTAATCTCAGACCAATATAACCTTCCATGGCCAGAAAGACTGAATTATTGACAATCTAGTTGGTGCCGTGGATCCGACGGCGAATATACAGCACCACATTACTCGATATCCATCTTAAAACACGTCACCCAAAACCTTTCAATTGCAAAGATTGACCATCTAGCCATATCACAGAGAAACATCTTGTCGGCTTTCAATCCGAGGCTCTCCGTTGAGAGCATAACGTAGCAATAACGTCACGTGTTCATATCTCCTTATCGATAAGAGCTGGGGAGCGACATCACCGGTGGACCGGTTGACTTCCCCAACGATGTAGCGGAGATGCCGACCAACCCACATCCTCTCTCGACCTCGTCGTCTCTCCGGGACTTGCACAGCCAGCCTGAGGCCGCGTCAAGACCGAGCGATCGATACGGCGGACACGAGGAGCACCAAACAGCTGCAGAGCCGCATCCGCGGGAAGTACACGCCTCTCCGATACATGATGAGAGCCCCATACACGATGCCCCAGATGTCCACGATGTCCCCGAAGAGGGTGTAGAGCAACGCTCCACACCAGGATTTCAGCCCTTCTTCACTCTAGTTGAAGACGCCCACACATCAGACTACCACCACCCGACAGTACACTACATCTTCTCCGACGATGACACGGACATCGTAACAGAGGCCGCACTCCGCAGTCTAGAAGCCCAACAAACCGAAACCAACAAAGATCAAGTCCACAAATCAGCCGAGTCGGAAAAATCAACCCTGCTCCCACCTCCAATCCCGGGAGTCCGCGAGAACTACATCGTGCTAGACGTCGAACCAGTCCACACAAACACAAGCACAAACCCAACCCCAACCCCAACCTCTGCACCGAATCCAGGGATCAGTGAGATGAAACCACATACATTAAGCCAGTCGCCAGGGTCGAGCGTACCCCAGTTCCGGGTAGTCAGCGCCAAGAGTTTCTCTCCGAGCTGGCAGGTCCTCAGCAGTGAGATCGTAGCGGCGCCGACATTCGAGAATGGGAATGGGAACCCAGGTGATGCGGGGCATGGGTTCATGTTGAAGATTCGTGGGACGGATGGGTTATCTGGGGAGATTGCGCGGGAGAGGGGGACGCAGAGGTTGGAGGATATGATGGATCAGTTTGCGAAGAGGATGCGGGAGTTGCAAATGATTATTGATACGGCGGAAGCTGCGAGTGGAGAGAAGGAGGTTGGGGACGAGGGGGCTGAAACGAAGGAGGTGGAGGAGTCTTGATCTCCTTCGAGATCTATTGCTTAATGGCGCTATGACTTATGTATCGGCGCGATTCTGAGATGCATGGCGTTTTCATCCACACACTGGACAGTGCTCTTGGGGATACCACTGCTTACTTTTACTATTTGAATATCAGATGTGATGCAATCAATTAAGACCAGACGGCCGTAAGAGTAAGATATCTATTCATAACGATCCCAACGCCATGGAGAAAAGACCAGATCCAAGACTCAACAAAAGAAGAAAAAGCGAACGACAATTCCACTACGGTTTTCAGCCAGAAACTCCGGTCAATAGGGGGCAAGTACCAGCGATATTGGGTATCAAGATGTCACGTAAAGAATCAAATCAAAATGGTGCAACTAGTCCGAGGGACGGGTTCGGAGGTAGCGACGACCGGCAGCTGTAGACGGAGGCACGTTCTCGCGACCCTCCATCATGCCGGCCATCCTCTTGGAGAGCATTTTCTGAGGCAGTTTGCTTTCCGCGGGGTTGGTGGACGCGGAGCGGCGGCGCTTGAGAGCCGGTTGCTCGGGCTCGTCCTTTTCGGGGGTTTCGTCCAGGTCTGTGATGACTGGGGCGGCGGAAGAATCGGGTTTGGAAGACGCAGTGTCGTCGTCATCACATCCGACTTGTCTGGCGACGTTTACATCGACTTCCCTAAGGCCAGTGTTGGAAGTGGGCGCGGATGAAGAAGAGGGGTGAGTTACCTCTTCCGCGGCATCGCTATACACATAGGATTTAGATGGCGAGGAGGCTGGGGATTCTGGGAGAGGGGGAGGCAAGGGCTCCTCGTTGAAGGGAAGAGCAGTGAATTGCTTGGAAACTCGATGCCGTGACCGAAGACCCTCATGGGGTTCGGTGCGAGGGAGAGTCGAGGGGTATTCATAGCGCCGCTTTTGAGGAGTGATACCAGTCGGCACGTACTCCTTCATCGGATGGCTTTGGATGTTGGCGCGAAGTTCGATAAGAGGTTGGCGGACACCATCCTGAAGAGGTGCAGTGGACTGCTCGAGCTTCTCGGTGTGCATGTTGGTATCCTCCTGGAGACGGCCGATGCGTTCACCGAAGCCGTCCAGCTGCCCTTGCACGGCGGTGCGAGACTCCCGGACATTCTTGGAAATGGCGTCCAGGCTGCCAATGTGTGATTCATGGAAACGGCCATTGTGCGACCGGGCCTTCGCAACGAAATCGTCAAGGGCCTCCATTTGCTTGCTCATGTCGCTCATCTGAGCATCCACAATCCGCACAGTCTCCTGGTGAACCGACTCCGTAACTCGCTGGATGGAAGCATTGCGTTGGTCAAAGGTCTGTTGTGGTTAGCGTTGGCTTTGGAAAAAGAGAACACGGAGAATCTTACCTCCCAGTCCGTCTGCATCTTGGCCTTGATCTCGTCTCTAGATGCAGTGACGTCCTTGGCAAATTGCTCCTCCTTGAAGATCCATTCATCAATGTGTCGGTCATACTGCGCTGTAGCATGTTCAAGAGAGTCACCCGAAGCGGTCATGTCGTTACGAAGGGTATCAACCTTGCCCTTGAGGCGACTGGACTGCCGTGAGCTCGACTCATCCAGCAGCATGCGAATCTGCGACATGAGGTTGTCGCGCTCTGATTGAGCACTCGCATGCTCCTCTTCGAGAACTTGAGCAAGATTTTGGGAAGCCTTGCGGTTAGCCTCCACCGACTGGCGGTTGGCTTCTTGAAGCTCAAGGCGCAACTTGTTGATCTCGGATTTCTGCTGCTCCAGATGCGAGACCATGTTCTCAAACATGCCCTTGAAATCCTTGCCAAGGGTGCTGTAGGATGTATGCAGCTGGGAGTGAAATTCGGAGAACTCGCCAATAACCTCCTTGGAAATGCGAGCTGCAGCAGCAGACAGTCCATTCAGACCCTCGCCAACCTTGGTCTTCACATCCTCACGAAGTATCTTGATCTCCTCAAGAACTTCATTCATCTCATCGTGAGCACCGGAAGTTTGGCTCTTGGCATCGGATTCAACCTTGTCAAAGGTGGAGCCAAATTCTTGTAGCTGAGACCGAGCAGAGTTGACTGCGCTAAGCTCGGAGTCAACAAAACGATGGATACGGCCCGACATGCTCGCCAAAAGATTAGCATGCTGCATCTGGAAGTTTTCCATGCGGGCATCGATTTGCTGGGTGACTTGGCTAACTTCATCCGTGGACGACTGCCAGGTCTGGTGATTATCCGACTCCAGGTTGTCCTTGCGGTCAATCTTCGCGTGCAGACCATTAACGTCCGCGACGGTGCCATCCAGGGTGGTCAGAATCTCTGCTCCGATTTGACGAAGTCTGCTCTCAGTGCTCTGATGAGCTTTCCGCACAAGTGTCTCCTCATCCAGCTGCTCGGAGGTGTGCTTGAGGTTCTTTTCTGTTTGCTCCAGCACGCCCCGGGTGTCGGTCAGCTTGTGCTGGGTATATTCATTGTCCTGCTTCAGGGTATTGAAGTTGCTGGTGAGGGTGAACAACTCCTGCACTTTGTGACGAAGACTCGCTTCCATGGATTCAATTCTGGCTCGCTGTTCCTCGTTGACGATTCGCCGGGACTCGCTTTCCATGGTCATCTCCTCATACGCAACCGGGGTCATGTACACACCGTTGCGGTGGCGGGTTGCAATAAGATCGCTCTTCAGCTTCTCAATTTCCATGCCGATCTCTCGGAGCAGCTTGTTTTTCGACACAAGAGAGTTGATTTGAGGCTTGTTGCGAATGTTCTTGGCTCGGAATGCGTAATCGAGGGTCGAAATTGTTTCCTCCAGGTTGCTTTTTGATGGGGAAACCGTGGCAATAATACAGGTTTTTGTTCGACCACCTAGAGAGTCTTGCAACAGACGAGTGAGCTTCGACTCTCGATACGGGATGTGGGCACTCTTGTCCACCAGCGCGTTGATCACACGTCCCAATGTCAACAAACTCTTGTTGATCAAGCCCGCTTCGGCGGCCCGCTTGTTCTCCGCGCCGCTTCGACCAATATTCTCGCTACCAGCCAAATCCACCAAATTCAACTTTCCAGAGCTGACATACTCCTCACCCGAGTCAGTAAGGCGTTTGGTAAAAACGGTGATGGTGAAAATGGTGTGACTGCGGGAACTGAGATCGTTGCATTTGGTCGCGGCGACTTGGCGTCTGTGACTGCCCAATTGGAGCAGTTTAATACCGGAGGAAGCGGAATCAATGTAAGTTTCCTCCATCCCTTGCACCATGGTACCCGCGTGACCTTTCTTTTCGTTCTCGAAGATTTTGAGTTTTGTGTTGTCGTCGGCGGACAGCAGATCGCGCAGCTCCTCATTGTAGAGTTCGATGAAGGAGCATTTGACTGTGCTTTCGGTCTCTTCGAGTTTGTGGAATAAAGAGTAGAGTGTGCGCGGTATGATACCAGCGTCATCGGACAAAATCCCAAGGGTGTCGGTCATGTCTCCAGACATGGTATATGTCTTTCCTGTTCCAGTTTGACCGTAAGCGAAGATAGTACAGTTGAAGCCTGCAAGCATCTATGATCCGTTAGCACGCCATGCTCCCACACCGGTGATAACGATCGGCTTACCTCGTTGACAATTGGTACAACCACCTCATCGTAAACAATTACTTGATCGGCGCCTGGCGAGAACACCTTGTCGAAAGCGTAGGTCTTGTTAGAGATCGCATTCGGTCCCATAGACAAATCCACATTCTTTCCGCTGACACCTTCAGTGGACAACACCACACCACTGTTCTCCTTGATCTCGCGCTGATTGCGACCGCGGCAGCGCACCACCACATGGATGCTGGTGTCTTCGTTGATTTCACGTTCATAGTCTCTCTCCTTTCGTTTTCCGGTGGCAGATTGGTCAGGGCTCGGTTTGGTCGCACGTGTCATAGCAGTGGAAGTCGGTCTCCCTGTTACTGCGGGCGATGCCACTCTCTCCGGCACGGTGGAGCCGGTTCGTCGAGTGGGTTGACGCAAATTGGTCCTTCTTGCAGCTGCTGGAATAGCAGAGGCAGGCCGGGGTGGGCCAGCCATGGTTGAAGAGCAAGTTGGAGATAGGTGATCTGGGAAGCAGATCCGTGCATGAAGTAAACGATCCAGAGTGCCAAGCGGATCCGTTCGGGCAAAACAAAAACAACCCCCACGTGACCAGTCACGCTCCCCCTCCCACATGACTCAGCGTCATCGCTTCCCCGCGTGTGATCTCCTTATCTTGCTCTCTTGCTTTACTTCTCTTGCTTTCCCAGAGCTTTTTTAAACACGTCTTCAACGCGTTTCATATCGCATGAAGGTGAAACTACGATGACTGCACGAACTGCGCCAGTTCAGACCTTCCCGGGCAAAGGCCTGGGCAACATCAGTATGTCTCCGATAATCTACGCGCGGGGTACAATCTAACTGCTGCTTAGCACTGGGCGCATCATTGCATAATGTCCTGACAAGAGTCAAGTCCCACCCACAAACATATCCTGCCATCGATCTTGCATACTCCTCCTCCGATCCACTGCGCAAACCTGTGGTGCTACATCTACCCTCAAACGGCTTGCGCCTCCGGTTCGATGGTCCAGACCAGCGACTCCGTCTGATCGAGGTGTTGGACTTTTCCAAGGTGGATCTGGTATACAAGAACCAAGACGTTCTCAAGAGTGGCAAGTCCGCCGAGCCGACCACATCTCCCCAAGGGCCCAGCTTCCGACATGTCTACAACCGTTTATTCGGCCCATCCTACCCGGGTGAATATGTTCCGCCGGCTGACCAGTCACCATTCGGCACCTATGTGCTGTCATATCCGGGAATAGCATTTTCCTTCCCTCTCCAACACTCCGCGTGGTCCGAGCATTGCGACTTTGTAGCACTACTTTCATCCTCAGCCGCCTTATCAGCGACCTCCATGGCCATTTTCCAAGGGTCCTCATGGCCGGAGACCCGAGCAAAGCTCTTTACTCAGCAACCTCAATATCCGCGCTCGTCAGCCGTGGTAAGCAAAGCTCGCGACTCATTTGCCGACGAGATCGAGGAATTCCACATCCTCGGGGCCGGGAAACTAGAAGTAACCCGACGGACGAGTGCGCCGTTACAGATTAACTTGGGAGAGACCACGCCACAGGACTTGATTGCAGAATTTGGCCCACCAGATGCCATTTATCGTAAAAATGACCGGCGCATTTCCATCCACCGTGCAGCGGGCGGCGACCCACTGCACCTGAGCCCATCGCCCGGCCGAGGCATGGACATCCCAGATACTGATCACTCCTCCAACAACAGCGTGACTGATGATTCAGACGAAGAAATATCTCCCTCTAGCGTCAGCGACCCAGCTTCATTGCCCTCAGAATGCTTCTTCAACTACTTCCACCACGGCTTTGACGCATTCATCTCACATCCCACCACCCCGGGCCCGGCATTCCCAACCTCTGGACTAGCGGACCCATCACCTCAGCCGTCAACATCGCAACTGACCGTAACCAAGATCATCCTGCACGGCAATGTGCCGGGGTCTTACCCCTTCAATCGTCACCGCCGAAGCCGCTGGGCTATCCACCTTGACCAGTCCGGCAACGGTCTGACTTCCGAGTCACCATACGACGAGATATCTTCCCAACTACGCGGGGTGTGGAAAGGCGCCTATGGCAATGCAGACGAAGAGCGGGCTATGCAGCGCCCAATGGTACTCAACCGCGGTTGGGGCGATAGCCCCGAGAATAGTGTCGAGTTTCTCGGCGGCTGGGAAGAAACCACGTCCAAAGGTCCGCGTGCTGGTGGTGACAGTCATGATGGCGGGTTGGGGAATACCGAGCTTTTTGGGTTCCCGGGCCTGCTGTTTGAGGTGCTGAAGAATGGTGCCGTGAGCTGTCTGACGGTCTATTGAGCAACGGCAGTTCCAGGCCTTTGGCGCTTTTGGTTTTGATTTGATATGCGACATGAGCGATGACTGGAGTTTGGGTGTGTACATTTTACAGCGCATCTTGATGATTTTATGGGGTAGAGCAGCTCTTACATTTATGGTGGAAGAGACAATTTATTTCGAGATAATCTCGGTCTACTTACTGAAGTATCGGCCTAAGTTCAGAAAGAGGGATATCGGAAAGATACCTACTAAGACATACCACCAGCAGAACACCTTGTTCCTACTTGTCAAACCCCCCGTCCCGGGCCCGAAAAAAGAGAGGACCTATTATCCCCGGCAGTGCTGTGGGAGTATAGATCTTCCCGGGTCAAATACATATCCGCCTCACCTGGAGTGTAACTTCATTCGCCCAAATCATAACGCTGTAAAGCCCAGATATTTTGCACGGAATTACCCTGATTCTAGATCTTAGAATTAGCTGCTAGGCTCGAATCAAATAAATATATCGAAACGGTGAGCTCAACGCTGATTACCACATAAAACAGTACTTTACTAATGCTGGGTGGACCCACCTCGTAACTTTGGTAAAACAACAACAGCGGCGGTTCTTCAAAATCGACGATCTCCGAATCTCCACGCTCCACGCCTCAGCCCTGAGGATATGCAGGGAGGATGCGACAGACGCAGCTGCTGTCCCGAAGTTGGACCTCAACACTCAAGCTCCCCAAGTCCACATTCCCCCCACGCGTATCGCCAGCCGACAGGACCAAATACCTGAAGCGAAGCACCGACGAGCTCTACGCCTGGCAACAGCACGAACGACCCGCGTCGAAGCCCTTTATCCTACACGATGGCCCACCATACGCAAACGGCGAGCTGCACATTGGCCACGCACTGAACAAAATCCTCAAGGATATCATCAACCGCGTCCAGTTGGGCCGGGGGAAGCGCGTGCGCTATGTGCCCGGGTGGGATTGTCACGGGCTGCCCATCGAGCTGAAGGCCCTTCAAGGGTTACAGCAGATGGGTGTGGCGGAGGATTCGATGAGCCCTGCGGTGATCCGCAAGTCTGCGCGGCAGCTTGCTCGGCAAACGGTCAAGGGGCAGATGAAGGAATTCAAAGGGTTTGGAGTGATGGCGGATTGGGAGGGCCATTGGAAGACGATGGACAAGGCGTTTGAGATGCGACAGCTGGCGGTCTTTCGGGAGATGGTTGACCACGGCCTCATCTACCGCAAGTTCAAGCCGGTGTACTGGTCACCGTCGTCGGGGACTGCCCTTGCGGAGGCTGAGTTGGAATACAAGGATAAACATATGTCGACAGCGGCTCTGGTTAGGTTTCCACTGGTCGACATGCCAGCGCATTTGTCAAAGGACCCGTTGATTGAGGGAAAGGAAGTCAGCGTGGTTATCTGGACTACCACGCCCTGGACTTTGCCTGCCAATGCGGCCATCGCAGTGAGTGAATCGCTTGAGTACACCATCGTCCAGTCTGAGGAACACGGCCTTCTGCTTGTAGCCCAGTCTCGGCTCGAGTACCTCCAGTCCATGCTAGGCGAGGCGGAGCTTTCGGTCATTATTCCTTCAATCCTGGGATCGGAACTGGCCGAAAAGTGTACCTATCGATCACTTTTCAAGGGCCCAGAAGCCAACTCCCAGCCGATCATCGGCGCAGGCTTTGTGACCGCTGACTCGGGATCTGGACTGGTGCACTGTGCGCCGGGTCACGGTATGGAAGACTACGAGGCGTGTCTTGCGCGCGGCATCGAGGTATTTGCACCCGTTAACGGTGATGGCAAGTTTACAGAGAAGGCGATGCCACATGACCCCACGCGCTTGACCGGCAAGTCTGTCTTGGGAGATGGCAACCGAGCTGTTCTTGAATATGCTGAAGCCCGCGGTCAACTCCTCGCCCAGCACGCATACGAGCACAAGTATCCCTACGACTGGCGCTCCAAGCGCCCGATTATCATCCGGGCTACCGAACAATGGTTCGCCGATGTGGGTGACATTCGCGCGAGCGCTCTCCAATCCCTGGAAGATGTCCGTTTTGTTCCCGAGGCGGGCAAATCCCGGCTGGAGAATTTTGTCAAGAACCGCAGTGAATGGTGCATCTCTCGGCAGCGCGCTTGGGGTGTCCCGATTCCCGCTATCTATCACCGGACCACTGGCGAGGCGGTTCTGACCAAGGAGAGCGTGTCTCATATTATGTCTACGATTGAAGAACGCGGCATCGATGCCTGGTGGACAGACAGTGCGGATGATCCCGCCTGGATACTTCCATCTCTGCGTGATGACTCGGTAGGATACCGACGTGGGTTAGACACAATGGATGTCTGGTTTGACAGCGGCACCAGCTGGGCGGAGATCGACGTCCCCCAGGAAGGCCGAAACCACCCAGCCGACGTATACCTGGAGGGAAGTGACCAACACCGCGGCTGGTTCCAGTCTGGTCTCTTGACCTATATTGCCCACCAGCTTGCCTCTGGCAAGACCGAGGGTGCCTCTGCTCCCTTCCAAAACCTTATTACCCACGGATTTACCCTTGATGAGACTGGGCGCAAGATGAGCAAGTCTATCGGCAACACCATTGCCCCGCAGACGATCATGGACGGCACTCTTCTGCCTCCTCTCCCGCCACGCAAGGGCAAAGCCAAGAAACAGGCGGAAAACGAAGGTCCGACCTACGACGCCCTGGGCCCTGATGTACTCCGACTTTGGGCTGCGAGCAGTGACTACACGCGCGACGTAGTGATTGGCAAGCAGGTGCTTCAGACCGTACACACCAGTCTTCACAAGCTCCGGGTGACATTCAAGCTGCTGCTCGGTGCACTGGGCGATTTCCAGCCCGAGCGTGCTTTGCCGTATCAGGAGCTGCAGCTGGTTGACCGCATTGCGCTGAAGCATCTGTCGGACCTGGTGCAGACGACGCAAAAGGCCTGTGATAACTTTGAGTTCTACAAGGCCGTCAGCACGCTGAACCAATGGGCCAACCTCCAATTCTCGGCGTTCTACATGGAAGCCATCAAAGACCGACTCTACACGCTGGGCGAGAATAGCAGCAGCCGACGAGCGGTCCAGACCACTTTGTTCTATATCTTTACCCACCTGCAGGAAGTTCTCGCACCCATCACCCCGCTCCTCGTCGAGGAGACATGGGAGCACACGCCAGAGGCAATCCGCTTGCACAACCCCCATCCCTTGCAGCGGGTCGTCTCTACCCCCGCTCAGGAATGGCATGATACATCGCTGGACACGAGACATCTGGAAATTACCGCAGTGCACTCGGTGATCAAGCACCTGCAAGAACAAGCCCGACGAAAGAAACAACTCGGCTCGTCGCTGCAATCATTCGTGCACGTAGCTCTCCCCCGCGACACAAGCACCTCCACGACCTTCCACGAGCACCTCTCAGAGCTACCGGATTTGTTTGTCGTGTCCTCCGTGACCCTCGGCACACCCGGCGAGTCCGTCCCGGAGATAAGCCAGGCGGAGTGGCAGTACGAGCAGGAGTGCGAGCTCCCCGATGGCCAGGGCACAGTGTACGTGTACGCGCCCCAAGCATCCAAATGTGGGAGATGCTGGCGGTATGCAGTTCCGGTGGCAAGCGAAGAGGAGATTTGCCAGCGATGCGAAGAAGTGGTATCGGAGCTCGAGTCTGAGTGAGCTGTAATCTATCTGTAACTACTGTATACTCTATATTCCATGTACAATACCGGATCTCCGATCAGAGATTTCACCACAGCCAATAGATCCAGAACGAGATCGTACCACCAGACGCAGTGTTGCATCGAACAAGTAACAGCCAATGTTGTGGCGATGACGCATCGTCATCCCGCTGTGACGTCGCCTAAATCCTGCTTTCCGAAACACCTACTACCTTCACGTCGGCAGCCTTCAGCTTTCAGCTCTTTACTCCTCTTCAACTCCTCAAGCCTCACCATGATTGTCCCTGACTTTGACAACTTCCCAGCCATGGCTACTACCACGGGCATCGCCCCCATCCCCACGGTGATCCCCGGAACTCCTCTGATCCACGAGCTCCACGACACCGGCAAGCGAACTCTCTGGTGAGCACTGTCGTCCCCGCATCCCTCCAAGATCAAATCTGACAAAAGAAACAGGGTAGTAACCGTCCTCATGGCCATCTCCTCCCTAGTGTTCTACACCCTCGCCGCTCGCGCCCCTCTGGTAAGCTTCATCCCCGCGATCTGCAGACCGAGCACCAACCTTAAAAATCCCCACAGACAAAGCGGGTCCTACACATCACCAGTGCCCTGATCACGACCATCTCCTTCATAACCTACCTTGCCCTGTCCACGGGTCAAGGCATAACCTTTAAAGAACACCACATTACCGAGGTCCACAAACACGTCCCAAACACCCACACCGACACCCTCCGCCAGGTCCTCTGGCTCCGGTACATAAACTGGGCCCTTAGCACGCCCCTGCTGCTCACCAACTTCGCGTTGGTCTCCGGTCTACCCGGTGCTAATCTCCTGAGCGCAATCGCTGCTAACTATGTTATGCTTGCGTCCGGAGTTCTGGGGACTTTTGCGGGACATACTAGAGCCCGATGGGCTTGGTTGACGCTGTCCTGTGTGGGGTATTTGATTACGCTGCACCACGCGGGATTCCATGCGCAGCGGGCGACGCAGAATAAGGATGCAAAGCTGCGACGCTTCTTTGGCGCTTTTTCGGGCTCTACCCTCGTGATGTTTGCCTTGTATCCGATGTACGTTTTCCCTCTGCCGGATTGAGTATATGGTGTTCTGATTGATTTAGTTCCATCGCGGCTGGTTCCCTGGCTCTCAAGCTCAGCGTCGATACCGAAACGGTCCTCTTCGCCGTGCTGGATATCTTTACGCAGGGTATTGTGGGATACTGGCTGTTGCTGACGCATGATACCTCTCCTGGACTGTACGTTCCATTCTCTCCTACTCGTGTATGATTTACTAATTGAACCAGGGCTTCTCTGGATGGCTTCTGGACTCATGGAGTCGGTAGTGAGGGCAACATTCGCCTGTCGGATGAGGAGGGCGCGTAGTTGGATCTCGGTGCAGGATGATCTGACGACAAGGACAAAATTACGCACACGCTTCGAATCCCGATCTTTGATTTGTCTCCAATCTCTACTCTATTTCGTTTTCGTTTTCAATTTCTGGTTTATTTGCATGCCCAAGATTGAATGAAGTCGGGCGTTGAAGTGTTTTTTTTCTTTGCCTGTAGCATATTCATTAATGAATTAGTGAGGTACTTCCGTGCCTCCTGCAGTCAAGTATGACCACATTAACATCTTATTAACATTAATCCACCTTGGTTTCTGGTATCTCCGAAGTAGTATCTCATGCCACTGAATGGCACACTGGGTCTGCTTCAACCACGCCCTGTAGAGCAGGTCGGAATCTTCAGTTCTTAGTCGCTGACCATACTATTCCCGAGGACACCGCAGAAAAAAAAAGCTCCCCATGTCATCACATCACAAACGACCCAGCACAACCCCAGAGTCACCATACACCATCTCATTGACCTTCTTCCCATCCTTCAATTCGATAACCTTCAAATCCTTCTGCAGGTTCAGCGTGAGGATACCAACAGGCACATCCTCGAGATCGATCTTCCGAGGGCATCGAACAGTAACCTTTTGCATAGCCGGGGCCAACCAGAAGCCGGCATCGATGCACTCGCCTTTGAAATGAATGCTGTGCAACCTCTCGGGGTCGAACCATTGCAGGAAAGGGTCGGCATCCACGACAAATCCGGACAGCGTGAGAGTCTCGATGGTGAGGTATTGGCTGGTCCGGGCAATAGCATGGGCGCGGAGTTTGGCTTTTTCGATGCTGTGTTTGTCGAGGTACTCGCCGTAGCCGATGCTGGAGTGTAGTTCGCCGTCGCCGAGGTGGCCACTATTTTGGTCAGCTTTCCAATCTTACATTATTTGGGTCCTGTTCAACTTACTAGTAGGAAGGCTTAGCATTTTGCTTCTCGTCCATTGTCCATCCTTCTCGGATCGGCCTCCACTGACTACCATGCGTCAGGTCGATAATCTCAGGCTTCAGGACCATTCCCAGCTCCAGTTCATCAAGGGCCAGGTTCAGCCAGGCAGCCTGCCAGATGTAGGTTTGATATGACTGCATCATGCCAACGAGTTTGAGAGAGCGTAAGCCACGGAACTGGCAGAGGGGTTTCAGCTCCATAATATCAAGGCAGTTGGTTCCCTCTTGATTATGAGCACAGGACCGAAACAGATCCAGTCCAAGCGTTGACTTGTCCCGAGGAAGGGAAAGCCAAGATGGACCACCACGAAACTCAACGAGTGGCTTTGCCGGCGTAGCAATGTTGACGAACACCGATGCCAGACGGGGCGACGGTGTAGGTGACTCGGGTACCTCGACCGTCTCGACGGTTGTCTTTGTCTTTGTCGGAGACTCGGGCCTCTTCAGCGGCGAAAGCAACTGCCAACGGGGCGCGGGAGTATTAGGCGCAGACGTCTTAACAGACCAGAAACGCGGTCCAACGGGAGTTACAGGTGCAGACCTCTTCAGAGGGGATGGGGAGCGTGCACGGCGAGCCAGGCCATGAAGGCGCGGCGAATGAGCCAAGGAACTGAAGCGCTGGAGAGGCGTTCTGGGAGCTTCGGACATGCTAACGGTGCGACGGTGTTCCTTCTTTGGAGTTTTGATGGGAGACTCTGTAAATGGAGTCTCCATCAGTGGACTCAGTGGGAGAGCTGGCAGTTCTTTGAACAGTTCATTGTCCGGGGAGCGTGGGAGCTGCTCCATATCGAGATCCTGGTTGAATGGAAAGCGCTTGGATAGGTCTGTATCCAAGCTGGATGTATCTGGGAAGGTTAACCATATAAAGGACCAATATGAAGTGAATGTTCGAGGCAAAGCTCAGAACGAGCTTACCAGTTGCAATGTGAAGCGCAGAAAGACCAACCCCCCGAGGATATTCGTGTTTCTCTTCGTTATCCACCAGGCTGGCGGTTTTCCAGAAATCCTGTCCCATTAGCGTGCTATTCCAGTGCTCGGCGTACTGGTCCATTGCAGGTTTGGAGGTGTCGTACTATCAATACCTGAAGTGCAGTGTCAGCAATGGTGGCTGTTGCAAGGAGTAAAACATTTGAAGGTGTCCAAGGGAAGAGAGAGCATCGGAGCAGCTAGAGTCTGGAGAGGTAGCTCCTGCCTGCCTGTTCGGGCAGGAATTGCCTCGACTTCACAGTTGACCTCTGCTATGCTCGTGGTCCATTGCCTGAAAAGAGTGAATTCCCGAGGTCTACAGCTCTGGAGACGGTCGATGTTGTACTTGCAGCTGACATCTTCCAGCTATGACGTCTGTCAGTATACAGTATGTACTTCCCCGTATACTGGTATCTTTCCCGACAAGTAGTGCATACCGGGAGATCATCTCCACGTGGGGACCTCGGGGAGCCTCTGGTCACTGCTTTCAGATCTAAAAGTCTACAATCAATACGAATGGGAAAAATGGCTGGTAGGAGCGGATTCGCTATTTTTGTTTTCCCTTCCCGTAAATACATCCATGGACACCCAACGCGTCGGCCGAATGGGGAATCAACAGCCACATGTCACTCCCAGCAGACAATGAAGGGGTAAAGAAACTCGGAACTAAATCATGCGTGCGTCAAAAAACCTAGTACTTCTTGCCCTGGCGCAGGACATCACCGAACTCCTCCAGAGGGCTGCGGATGAGCTTAGTCTCCTGCCACAGGTTGGGGGTGAGGAAGCCGTAGGTGTTGACGACGGCGACGAAGGTGGCCTTGAGGGTGTTCTCGAGGGTCTTGGTGGAGCCGGAAGAGGAGGTGTAGGCGTCCTGGACACCAGCGAGCTGGAGGAGACGCTTGACGGCGGGAGAGGCGACAAGGCCGGTACCGCGGGGAGCGGGAATGAGCTAGAACACAAAATTAGTGGGATATTTCGATTCTCCCGAGAAAGGTGAACATACACGGACGGAGACGGAACCACACTTGCCGGACTGCTTGACGGGCAGAGAGTGAGGCTCACCAAGGTTGGTACCCCAGTAACCGCGGCGAACGGGCAGGACGGCGAGCTTGGCAATGGTGATGGCGGCGCGGATGGCGGTGGCGACTTCCTTGGAGGTCTTGATACCGAGACCGATGTGGCCCTCGGAGTCACCGATGAGGACGATGGCCTTGAAGCGGGTACGCTGACCGGCACGGGTCTGCTTCTGGACGGGCTTGATCTGTAGTTCGAAGAAAACGAGTTAGAGACTCATCCTGCAGTAGTATCCATGCGCATTGGTGTCGCAAATCCGCATTCCGATTCGCGATGCCAATTGCGCAATCCTCCCAATTCAATTTTGTCGTACCTTCATAACCTCATCCTTCAGCTTGGGCAGGAAGAAGTCCACGATCTGGAACTCCTTGATGGGCAGAGAGTGCAGGTAGATCTGCTCCATGCTGGTGATCTTGCCGGCCTTCACGAGACGACCGAGCTTGGTGACGGGCTGCCACTCCTTCTCCTCCTGCTTTCCACCACGGCGGCCACGGCCACGGCCACGACCACGGCGGTCACCACCGCGGTCACCGCGGGAACCGAAACCTCCACGTCCACGGGGAGCAGCGTCAGCCATTTTGGATGTTGTAGGGCGACGGGTTGAGTTGTCGAGGGGGATGTGTCGATGTCGTCGGAGATGGCCTTCGATACACTTGTTTGGGCCGAAAATTCGGGTGGGCTAAGCGAGTGAACAGCCCTAGTGGGTGCCCTGTGCCCTAGTTTCCCGATCGGGCATATGGCACGTGCACCATCGAGATCGAGCTCCTGTCACGTGCCCGCTCCACCCCGGGGATCTTCGTGCATTGGTGAATGATGTCGTGGTCACAAAGTACTACACGAACGTAAATAATCCGTGAACTCTTCGCTGGTCGATAACTTTATTGATTTCCTGCTCACTATCTACCATAAAATCCGCTAGAAGTTCACCGTCGTCGAGGTCCTATGATGTCAGAAAAAGCCAAGTCTGCTGAAAATCCTGATGGCGTTTCCCGCCGGGCGGGTGCATTTTCTGGCAGGGAAACGCCCTGACATAGCCAACTCCGCAATTTTAAAGATGAGCGGACCCCAGCTTTAACGTTGCTGACCCCGTTCCCCTCACTCTTTCTCGCGCTTTTTATAGTCTAATCATTCATCATCACAATGTTGCGCTGGTACCATTCCCCTCTTTCCCCCTTTCCAGATCCAAAACACTGACAGCGATTCAGGTACCAGAGCAAGTTGGCCAAGCGGCCCATCCTCACCGCTAGCATCACCAGCGCGGTACGACTTCCCTCCGATCGAATCCAGTTGCCCCTGATCTAAATTCATACCAGGTGTTGTTTGGCAGTGGTGATGTCCTCGCCCAGCAGGCTGTTGACCGTCGGGGTCTCGAGAAGCACGACTTTAGCCGCACCGGGCGCATGGCCCTGTACGGTGGAGGTAAGCAGTATCGCCTCTGATATTCACTGTCAATCGCTAATCCCTGCTGCGCTGTAGCTGTCTTCGGCCCTGTAGCCACCGTCTGGTTCGGCTTCCTCCAGCGTCACGTCGTCCTCAAGAACACCGCGACCACCACCTTTGCCCGAGTCGCATGTGACCAGATCCTGTTTGCGCCCGTGCAGCTCACCTGCTTCTTGTCTTCAATGGCCATCATGGAGGGCACCAGCCCTGTGGAGAAGTGGAAGGCTTCCTTTGCTCCCGCTTACAAGGCCAACTTGTTCGTCTGGCCGTTTGTCCAGGGTGCCAACTTTGCCTTTGTCCCTCTGGAGCTGCGCGTCCTAGTGGTCAATGTGGTCAGCCTGGGTGAGTACATGATTTTAGAATATGCGCGGTCCTGGCGAGTGCTAACGATTTGTCCAGGCTGGAACTGCTTCCTTAGCTTGATGAACAGCGGTGAAGAGTAAAGTGATGGGTACATCATTGTCATTGTTCATGCTTCTTTTGTGATACCATTGGCATTTCTCATAGAGGGTTTCCGGTCACTTTGGTTTGGTTCCTGGGTCATTTATTGATTGTGCTCGTATTGTGTTGGTTACTGCAAGGGTCTGTTTGCGGGTCAATATTTTTTTTTCTTGCATTTTATAAAAGGATGTGTGACTCAAATGGGGCAGAGTCATTTTAAAGATATTTATTTGAAAGCGTGGAGCATTAAAAGGAGACTATAATATCTGGATGTACTTTATGTAGTGTTAGGGCTGGAATCGGCCCGACCCAAAGAGGCAACGCAGTTTTTTGCGTAGCCGCAACAACGTCAAATCTCAAACTCGATCGCGGGTCCTTTTTATTGAGTCCAATCCCTCAACACTCGTCTTCTGCCTGGAGCAGATATCATCTGCTCTTCACTTGGAGAGTCTTTTCTCTTTGTTCGCACTCGCCTTTCGGACCCGCGCGCCTTCCGCCCCGAAAACTTTCCCCTCCGAACATCTTCAACACCGCCTTCGACTCACCCTTCCTCCCCTTTCATCCTCTCACCATCAACACCCACAATGGCGGCTGTGGCAGAGAACGGTCACCCTGTGACTGATGAGAACACTGCGCCCGTCGCCTCGACCGACGAGGCCATCACCGTCTTCCACAACCCGGAGAACTTCAATGTGAAGCACCCGCTCATGCACGAGTGGACTCTGTGGTTCACCAAGCCCCCCAGCGGAAAGGTGATTGTCGCTGCATTCGACTGGAAATCCCAGCGCTGACAATACGTTCTACAGGGCGACAACTGGAATGATCTCCTCAAGGAAGTCGTCACATTCAGCTCCGTCGAAGAGTTCTGGGGCATCTACGTACGACCTTCCCAACCCCCGCGAATCGCATTCCCTACTTGCTAACGCTTCTCACATCTAGAATAACATCACGCCTACCTCCGAACTGGGCCTCAAGGCCGACTACCACCTCTTCAAGAAGGGCGTACGACCGGAGTGGGAGGACCCGCAGAACAAGCACGGTGGCAAGTGGTCATACCAATTCAAGGACAAGCGCTCGGTTCCTATCGACGATCTGTGGCTGCACGCACAACTGGCCGCCATCGGCGAGACACTCGAGACCGACAACGATAGCGAAGTCATGGGCGTGGTGGTGAACGTGCGCAAGGGCTTCTACCGTGTCGGCCTGTGGACACGCACCGTGGGCAAGAGCATCCCCGGTGACAAGAACACCCGCACTCCCGCGCAGGGCAAGGAAATCCTGGAGGCAATCGGTGCGCGGTTCAAGGAGGTGCTCCGACTGAAGGAGGCGGACGTGGTGGAGTTCTCGGGCCACACGGACAGCGCACACAGCGGCAGCACTCGCGCCAAGGCCAAGTACACCGTCTAAGGTGTGATAGGAGCGGTGGAGAGCGTGAACATGGAGAGACCCGGTGCGGTCTGAACCTGGGAGAAAAGTTGATTCCCCGTCTTCCCTTAGCTTTGCTGCATTTGCAGTGACGACCTGATTGCTTCGACATGTATCTTACACAACGCATTTTATGAGGCATGTCGTGGCACCTGGGCAGGTTGTCTGCTCAGGTGATCTTGTCTGTATGGTATTTTCATTTTTAGAGGTACATTCAATCTACCGACGATTCATGAAAGAGTCTTTCCCGGTGCATGAGGGGTAGACCTCAGTCCCGTACCATTGTATTTCAGGGATCCATATGCCCCAGGTAGATTAATTGGTTTTCAATTGACGGGGAGTCAATGGTTGGCATTTTTATGGCGCGAGGGATCGTCATGCAGCCGCGATATATTTCGGATCTGCACCGCTCCAGGGGCCGCATGTATGGATATGTAGGCCACTGTCCAAACCTAAACTATAACCCAGAAGAATTCTCAAGCACCATTGACCACACAAGCTTCTTTCCCAAGGAGCCTTGAAGCTCCAGAAATTTCATTTTTCCTAGTTGTAGACGTCGTTCTCGGGATCTTAATCCATGGACGGCTGGCGTAGTCCTCATCATCCGACAAGAAAAAGGCAACGTACTAAGAAGGTGATGCTTACCACGTAGAGAGGCATACATGCCAGCATGTGATTCTCACCCAATGACAGGACTAGGCCCGCCAATGTACAAGTCTTATACAGAATGTTCATTCCGGGTCATTCTTATATCCAAGGGTGCATTAGCTATCAGCAGACTTTTGATATCGGCCCAGTCCAAGCAGCTCTTTACATGGATGATCAATGATATATCTAGGGATCTGATGAAACCACTAACTTCGGAGTGTACACGCTACCTGGTCGTACAAGTTGTCAACCCCGTGCTGACCAGCCTGTGTCCCCAGGCGGGAACTATATCCCGCTGTGAGTCATTCAGGCCAAGCGGTGGTAGTCAGCACAGTCACAGTTGTGTTTGTGCTGGGACCAGGGCAAAATCCTGGATTGGAGCACTAAAAGCCGCGTGTGCCATGACCGGTCCCACGTTATCAGCACTGTTCAAAGTGTCTAGAGAGTGTGAACAGCCAGCTTTGGGGAAAGATCGATCTCTTCTCAGTATTTCGGTAGAATTACCATCACCATCATAATGATCGACTGGGTCACAATCTTCAGCTGGGCTCGAGATATCCCAGTTCTCCTCATACCAGCCCTCCTTATACTATACTGGTACATCCGAATCCCAGGAAACATGCCCAAGAACATCCCAACAGTACCAATCTACATCTCCCTACTGGGCCTATGGAGCGACATGGGCCAAGACGACATTTTCGACCGATGGCTCCGAGAACCACTGGAAAAGCACGGCGCAGTGAAGATCTGGTTCGCAGGGCGCTGGAACGTACTCGCCACGCGGCCACAGTTTCTAGTGGACATGTTCCGGCAAGAAGATGTATATGCCAAAGCCGGTAGCCAGAAGAAGATTCCCTGGAGTGTTATTGCCGCGCTTGTTGGTGACAATATTATCAACGCGCATGGTCAGAATTGGAAGCTTTATACGTCTATCATGAAGGCGGGGCTGCAGAGGCGAATTACGGATTCGGCGCCGCTGTTGGAGAAGTCGAGGCTTTTTGTGGATATTTTGGTGGAGGAGCAGAAGAAGTTGGGGATTGAGAAGGGGGTCTTGGTTAATCCAATTATACAGCGATGGGCGCTCAGCTGTATGGGGATCAATTTTATGAATGTTGACCTCGAGGTAAGTTTTGCGGCTGAGGACCAAAGCGAGATATACTGACGGGTGCAGGCTTTGGAAAGACCAGGCCAACGCCTTGAAGAGCTCCAGACAATCATCAAAAAGACCCTCTTCAAGCCTCTCTTCTTCAACTTTCCCGACCTCGACAAATACCCCGGCCTCTTCCGGCAGCGCAAAGATGCCTTCGCCGTAATGCAAGAATTTGGTGACCTTCTCGTCGACACCGTCCGTCGAAGAATCCAAAGCACCGACCAAGACGGCGAACAAGTAGTCGACTACCTCGACCGAGCTCTAAAAGAAGGCAAAATCGACGAAGAGCAATACCGCGCGAACCTCAAAGTAACGTTCCTAACAGCGCACGAAAACGCCCAACAACTCCTAAACTCGACATTCTGGGTCTTCGGCTCAAACAAAGCCATCCAAAACAAACTCCGCGCCGAAATCCTCGCCACAGACACGGCAAACCCCTCCACAGAAACAATCAACTCCCTCCCATACCTCTACTCCGTCATCCTCGAACTCCTCCGCCTGTACCCACCCGTCTCGCAACTAATCAACCGCGTCACAACGTCAACATGTGCCCTAGGCGGCTCAATCACCATACCCAACCACACCTGGGTAGGATGGAACGCATTCGGCGTGCACACGGATCAAAGCATCTGGGGTCCCGACGCAAGAGAATTCAAACCTGAGCGCTGGGGGAGTGACGTGAAGAGTATCCAGAATGCATTGAGGAGCAAGACGACGGCGTGTCATTTTATTGCATTCAATGCGCACTCGCGAAAGTGTTTGGGCCAAGGGTTTGCGGTGCTACAGATGAAGATTGTACTGTGTGAGCTTGTTAGGAGGTTGGAGTGGGATATCGACCCAGGGTACGAGTTGAAATTGACTTCGGTGAGTTCGTTTGTTTCGGGCTCCCCCGTTTACAGAGGAGGATGAGGAGGTCGGCTGATATCTGACATCTGACATTTACAGGGCGGCATTATGGCTCCGCTGGGGTTGAGGGCCATTGTTCGTGAGAGACAGGTATAGAGTGACTGACCAGGAACCGGTGGGGGTTTAGGGTTTAAGGTTGAAGCGAGATTTGGTCCGTGGGGGGACGAAGTGTATTCGGTTGACGAGACACGTGTGCTTCATTATCTTCGTCTAAGGTCCTATATAGACGAAGATTGAGCGAGGGTGGTGATTGAGGACCGTGTAGAGCCCACTATTGGTATCTGGGTCACGGAGAAGGGCGATTGACTTGTTTCATCGGCGGATAAATGTGGGTTGCAGGCCACAACTATGATATTTGGTGCGTATAGTTCTGAGGAATGGCTTCGCTTGCCCTAAACTCAAATGATTCTGCTGCTACAATCTCTGCAATGAGATACCCGTGAGCCATGTCTGAAGAGTTCAAGTGCTACAAGGTGGCCGTTCCGGTTTTCGCGGGTGCTGATATCCTCGTCGTACCCGGGGCAGCACTATCTATCATTTCGAAACTGGTTGAAAACGAGGCTCTAGAATTGGATTCAATTCGCACATTTGCAACCTCGAATTTCCCACGCTCTCGCATCCTCTTCTCAGTTTGCAAGGGAGCCCTCCTACTTGCCGCAGTCGGGATTTTCTCGACTGACGGTGATAACAGACCACCACGCACTGGACAAAGAGTGGAGACTGTACCAAATGAACCTGTCCAGATAGGTGTAATCTAATGACTGCGGGTCTGGTTGAATCTCGAGATGGCAGTAATTCGGCCTCCGACGGACTAATAGCGCCTAGTGTGCAATCTCATTTCTAAACACCGTAGAAATTCCAGGTTTTGACTGGCTCGGCAGTCTCTGGGGACAGCCGAAGAGTCCCGCGGTCCACTGCGACGATCGTGAGTGGACGACGATATCCCAATGTCAGTTCTCGCGGACGGTCCTCGCGAGTCCGGTAGTGAGAGCCGAGAGCCAACAAGTGAATGGAGGCGAAGGTTCAAGCCTCGTCCGAGAGATGATACCACGGAATAGCCACGAGGCAGCTCCACCACAGTGTCAACGGCCTCGCCAAGAGATTCATGCAACTTAATAAATGCTTATCCGGGGATGGATCATGTACATGCGCACACCCACAGCCACTTCCGCACAACCCCGGGGTCGGATCGCACACGAGATGCCACGGCTGCCAATATCTTGGGCAGCCTTGGTCGGCCTCACGGGAAGCGTCGAGGCTGCAGACGTCAGCAGCCAAGGGCTCGGACGCACACACCGTTCGGCACTAGCAACCTAAAAGGGCGCAAACCAGGGAGGGGAAGCAGGCGATACGCCGGAGACCGTGTGGTGGCACTCGAGGACCTGGATCCATGCCCGCGCGGCCAATTGAACCGGCCGAGCGACGTCGGAGCTCCGATAAGGGCAGTTTCTTTTATTTATGGGCGTGTCCCCGTCTGACGCGGCCGGTTTTTGCTTTCTTCCCTGATGCTCCCTTTGCACTTTTTTGCGCCTGCAACATGAAGACTTCAACACCGGTCTTTCATGATCGGAGAAGGAGACATTCACTCCCCACACCATGACCAATTCACTCGACAGCTAGAAACCTCCTTATCTTTAGGCCAGTCTTGGCACGGTCGAGAGCCAGCGCCGGACTCCACCTTCGCCTTCCCACGCAGCAGTCTCCCGCCTCGCTTTTACGAGAGAAAAATTACCCCAGATCGCACTGTCCGGCAATTCTGCATCCTGACTTGGACCTCTACTCGCATTGGCTGGCTATCACCGGCTTTTGCAGGATATGTACAATGAAATTGCTTCTCCAGTCCTCCCCGCATCTCGAAGTTAAGGGCCCAACGAGACCAGTGAGACCCAACAAGAAACAAAACCATGGGGACGCCGAGACTCTGGGGTACCACTGAGATGAGCGGGTGACCTCATGAGACACGGCCGGAAGTCAAAACCACGACTGATAAGCCTTTGGGCGCGGGGACAAGCCGGGCTGGCCCCAACGTTGCAACGGAAAATACAGGGGAACCCGGGGCAAGTCCCTGCATAATCGGTCGCGGGTTGAGCGGTTGCCTGATGAGATTATGGATTATGCGATTACGGGGAAACGAGATTACCCCATGGTATTAGTCGGATCTCAAACACAGGATCAGACACGCGATCGGCGACACCGAAAGCGGGTGAATGCCCATGCGGAGGAATGCGCGATCTCTTTTCTGTTCCGATTTCGACCAACCCGGAGAGGTACACAACGAGCTACCTTGGCCACCAAAGGCTTCTTTGGAAAAAAATAATATTTTTCCTACCCCTGGGACAACAAACAAGGCCGGGCAAAACACGTTGCCGCCGAGGTTGACGGTTGACGGTTGACGGGGTCCGGAGAGTGAACTCCGGCCCATACCATAAACCTATCCTATCTGCACAGTGGACACCTCCCGTGGGCTTCTTGGCGAAGCTGGCGCAGAGAATCGATTCCGGCGCTCGTGTCCGGCTGCAGGTATACACACTGGGAAATTTTCTCTTGACCGGCCTTTCCCGACTGGATGTGGATGCCTGATTCGCTGGATAAGGGTGGAGAGCCGCGGGTTTCCAGAAATCAAAATCTCTCCACAGAGAAGGGTCCCTCGCGTGAGCAGCGCTATCGTTTCGCTGCTGCTGGTCGCTTCCGTCTGCCTTTCTGTGGTTACATTGGGTCTCGCCCGATGCGCGTGCGGTGGTTTGGCATTGTGGAACAGACAGCGCCGATCGCATCCACGGTCGGAGCGAGCTGCGAACAATGATTGTTTCGGGGTTTCTCCTTTTATTACCATCACGAGTGGATTCCAAAACTCTTGGCCCGGTGTGTTTTTGTACTAAGAAGGCGTCCTTTTCTCGGTTCACGCACCGATAAGAATCCCCACCGGACCTCGGGTGTGTGGTAATAAAAACTTGCCCTATATAGTTAATACTCGGCCAGCCCAGCTCTTTCTCTTTCTCTCCGTCCTCGAGAGAATCTGAATCATGTCGGCCGCAGATCGCGAGGCTGAGCTTGCCCAGTATGTTCACCTGTTCTGCTGTTCCGTACGGGACGGCTGACTCGCAAACACATTGCTAATTGACTTTTGACAGACCCCACAACAATGACTCCCCCGTCGAGCACATCGTGGTGAACAGCGAGAAGGACAGTATGTCCATTGACAAGGAGAATGGCACCATCACCTCCGACGGCGAGGAGCCCACAGAAGACGAGAAGCGTACTCTGCGCCACATTGCAGAGAACCTGCCCGTTTCCGCCTGGCTGGTGGCTGTGGTCGAACTGTGCGAGCGGTTCACCTACTACGGCATGTCTGGCATGTTCCAGAACTACGTTATGCGCCCGCTGGACGGCAGCCAGGGCCGTGGTGCTCTCGGCATGGGCCACCAGGGTGCGACTGGTCTGACCACTTTCTTCCAATTCTGGTGCTATGGTAAGCTTCGATACACAAGACTCAATATATGGACGGATGCTGACAGGGCCTCCAGTTACTCCCATCATTGGTGCCATTGTCGCCGATCAGTACCTCGGCAAGTACAAGACTATTGTGTGGTTCTGCGGTGTCTACCTGATCGGTCTTCTGATCCTGGTCTGCACTTCTATCCCCGTTGCTTTGGAGCACGGTGCCGGCCTGGGTGGCTTCGTCGTGGCCATTCTGGTCATCGGCCTGGGTACCGGTGGTATCAAGTCTAACGTGGCTCCTCTGATTGCCGACCAGTACAAGCGCAAGAAGATGGCGCTCAAGACCACCCCCAAGGGTGAGCGCGTGATTATCGACCCGGCCCTGACAATCCAGCGTATCTACATGATCTTCTACGGCTGTATCAACCTCGGTTCGCTCTCTCTGCTGGCCACTCCCTACATGGAGCTGTACATCGGCTTCTGGTCGGGCTTCCTGCTGTGTCTTTGCATGTTCGCCACCGGTACCATGGTTCTTATTTTCGGCCGCAAGTACTACGTCGTGCGCCCGCCGCAGGGCTCTATCATCACGGATGCTTTCAAGGCCCTTTGGATCATGGTGAAGAACCGCAACATGGATGCCCCCAAGCCTAGCTGGCAAGCCGAGCACAGGGGCGTGCAATCCATGCCCTGGAATGACCACTTCATCGACGAGCTCAAGCGCGCCCTGGTTGCCTGCCGCGTCTTCGCCTTCTACCCCATCTACTGGGTCGTGTACGGCCAGTTCTCGAGCAACTTCGTCACCCAGGCCGGCCAGATGGAAGGTCATGGCATCCCCAACGATCTGATGCAGAACTTCGACCCGATCTCGATTATCGTGTTCATTCCCCTGCTCGAGACTCTGGTGTATCCTCTCATGCGCCGTTTGAAGATTCCTTTCCGCCCGATCACCCGTATCTCCCTCGGTTTCGTGGTCGCCTCTCTGGCCATGATGTACGCCGCGATCGTGCAGCACCTGATCTACTCCGCCGGACCCTGCTATGGTCACCCCGGCTGCGCCGCCTCGGTGGTCGACGGCACCGCCATGGGTAACCACGTCCACATCGCCATCCAGACCCCGGCCTACGTGTTCATCGGTATTTCCGAGATTTTCGCTTCCGTCTCCGGTCTGGAATATGCCTACACCAAGGCCCCGCCCTCGATGAAATCCTTCGTGCAGTCCATGTACCTCCTCACGAACGCTTTCGGCTCCGCTCTCGCCGAAGCTCTCACCCCTGCCGCCTTCGACCCCGCCATCATGTGGATGTTTGCCGCTCTGGCTTGCGCCTCGTTCACCTGCGGTATCATCTTCTGGCTGGTCTTCCACCACCTGAACTCCCAGGAAGATGATATGAACGCTCTCGATGCGGACGATGATCTCCAGGCTGAGACTGTGGCTCCTCACGCTACTGAGCCCGTCGACGCTGTTGACTTGGCGCAGCACAAGCACTAGATTTACTAGATTATTGTATTGATACTGTATAAGGGAGCAGGATCTTCCTGTGTTTGCTGAGCAGACGTTAGACGAGATTATGAGACAGATTAATCTCTAGTATATATTATGAATGTGAATAGATTATGATCTACACCCATGAATCTTTCCAATTCTTGTATTTGGCCCTCGAGAGGTGGTCAATCTCATTCGTTAATTCTAATACGGCAGCCCGACCCCGACAGAGGCAAATATCAAGCATCTATTTGGCCGGCGGAAAACGGTAATAGGCCAAGGCACCAACACTTCTGACAAACAGTAATCTAAAACTCTATATATTGGTAAGTTGCTCTGTCACATCGTCATGACAGCAATAAGTAGACACCAGAGCGGCGTGTTACCGTCGAAGTCCCGATAGTTAGCGAGACCGGGGGCTTTACGCAACAGCAAATCCACAACTGCATAATGGCCCCCTATTGCAGCTGCCTGAAGTGGTCTGCATTTTCTCACGTCCTGCGTATGCAAGCCTGTCCTCTGCTGATCCAGCCGGTATGCGTCCAGCTGCTGTAGCAAGATGCAGTGCCGTCCTTTTTTTGATCATCTAGCGTATTGACATCTTCTCCCCGACTGCAAAGCATATTCAAAGAGCCAAAAATTCAGCGTCAACCGCCATTCGATTCTCGATATTTGTTTTTGAAAGGCCTTGTCTTGTCATGGAGAATGCACTGCCATTACGATATGGAAAGCGTCTTCATATTTTGTGAAGAGTCGCATCTATTCAACGCCTATGACCATAATTCTAAGCGTAGTGCCTGAAACCATGCAGCCTCGGAAATAAAGGGCGTTAGGGTACTGTCAATCCAAAGGGACCAGTCGTCATCCCATCGTAAAGCACAAACAGCCAAGCAATATTCCCAGTACGCAGGATACCACCCGGATTTTTCCCAATCAATTATCACGAGGCGTGTTCCTTCATTGTCTCGATGGCTTTTCTCTAGGATAATAATATTTTTCCGTTGCAAATCACCGTGAGTGAATGTCGGCTCGTGGCCCTTAAAAATGAGAGGAAAGCATTTTCGAAGATACTCCGCTCTGTAGAGTGGGCCTCCGTTGTAGGTATACTTTCGCATCATTGCTTCGTTGAGATCCTCTTCAGAATCAAACGGGCCATTCACTAACGGATCTGGTTCTTGTGTCCAAAAGATCTCGTCCAGGAGCTCTCTTTTGCCGACACTGCCAAAGTACTTTGGGGATGGAAGCTGGCGTAACTCGTCAAAGTACTTCCGCAGGTCACTTAGTATCTCTTGTTTGTCCGATATTGTAAGTCGCGGCCATGCTGAAAGAAGTGTCTGACCGACAATGCGCTCCATGACAATGAAATTTTGGCCAGTTTTTGGGTCTGAATAGAGAGCGAAGACCCGCGGCACAGGAATTTTTGTATTTGCCCGAACAAATAACATGTTTTCTCCTTCCATGAGACTGACGCCGAGCCCATATTTCACAACAAAATGCTGGCCAACTCCAACGATTCTTCGCCCTCCATATTCCATAGAAATGTCTGGAGCACTCTCGATTTCGGCATCAGTGGGGAGAGGGCAAGGCAAATCAGTTGCATAGAACGGAATATCAAAGGATGTCTTCATTGTTGCTCGATATCAGTCGGTGGATCGGCAAACGGGCTGGAAGTAGGCAATGAAGAGAATGCGACAGCGACGCTCCTATTTATCAGCTTAGTGATGCAAACACCACCGACGTGTTTGTTTGCTTTCATGACGTGATTGGTATTCCTAAGGCGGTGAGACCGATACGATTTGGGGCTAGGGGAAAGTTGTTGCGGCTGCATCGGACACCAACATACATCGACACTGATAGCTGCTGGATTGTGCCATGGGAAGAGGTCCGAAGGGAGTTCGCAGGAGACAAGATGCCGAAGCGCAACCTATCGAACATTAGGCTATACGGATGTCTCGCCTACTGCCGCATTCAGAAGCTCGCGCAATCTGACAAGATTCATCCGCGCGCAGAGGTCGGCTTCCTGGTCTGTGTTGTGACTTCAAATGTGTGGAATATCTGGTTCCCGCAGCGCGGTAGGGTCGAGTAAGTTAGGGACGCTATCTTTGATGAATCTCGGTGATACACACCTTATTACCAACCAATTCAGCCGATCGAAGCTGCCGTCGCCATTGGCACGATGCTAGAGACCACAAGGCGCGATGATGAGGATCATGACCTCGCTGCCTAGCCTATAGAACACCAGAGGGCGCAAGAAGCAGTAGAGCCTATGATATCAGCCGAGAAACAGATACAAGAGGTTACCAACCCCGCTGAACGATCGCTTCTATCACTTGCTATCTTTCCTTGTCGTTTAGGATCTCTGGTTCTGCTACCAGTGGTAGTGGAACCTGCTGAATTGGCTGGTAATCAGGTGTGTACCCCCGCGATTTATTAAAGATCACATACTGTCATCGCAAATCCCTGGTTTCGACGGAATAGGAGTGAGGTAACGCACTAAACTATATCGAAACATGGGGTATGAGATTAGCGTAAGTGAATCATCGTCAAGTCATGGGAATCTCCACCGCCAGGCAATGATCATGAAATCTATAACTTCTCATACAAAACAGCTCACTGACTATTGGCCGGATCATCAGGCCCCCAGGAAAGAATATAAGTTGATACAGGCCACTAATTGATATCCACGAGCTTGCGCACCACTCATTGATCCATGTCCATACATATTCGCCTGAAGCGACCTACAATCGGCCCTTTAACTATTTTGTAAGAATTCCTGCATTGACCAAAGCATTTATAGCTTCCTGGGTCCATTCCTGACAACGGCGAAGTGGTTCTTTTGGATAGAGTCTCCGGGGTCCTTCGAATTGCTTTTTCGGCGGAGGAATGCGTTCGCAAGTCGGCTTGATGCGGGGGAAATCGGCTGCGGCAATCTTCCCGATGAATTCTTTGCTTTGGTAGGTCGCTGATTCTTCAGGCTTTTTGGCAGGCTTGTCGTTGTGTTTCATTCCATTCTGTATGTCGCCGGTGACTTGAAACACGTGTCCAGATTGGTCGCTGTTTATCTCGACGAAGATGGCGTGATGATCCCGGGGAAGGCCAGCATAAGAAACTCGATAGACATTATAAGACATCTCTGAAAATAAGGGTCAGCTATGGAAATGGTATCGCCGCCATTGGTGTTAAATGCACTTTTGGGATTTGTAGACAGAAAATTCGTGATGGTTTCCTTGGGAATGAACTTGGACTTCTTGCTTTGATTCTTTCTCTAACGAAATATTTCGAAATATTTATATTATAGACGGAAAGTCTCAACATTCCCTTGTTGGCTCTTTTTGCCCTATCCTCGCATTTGCCAACCTATCAAGTAGGAATCATACCCTAAGCGCTGTCAAGATGAAACAGCCACACGATGCAACCACTAGCGCGCGGCACCATTGACATGAACGTCCTTTGACATCCAATAGCCACCCACCAATAAGGCCTATGCTAAGGTGACGGTACTTTCGTTCATCTGCTACGGAAGAGTGTTTTTCAAGCGTTCGGTCCCGGACAAGCGCTATATCTCGGCGATAGAAAGCACCATTGGTCAGCAAAAGCCTGATTTTTCTACCGCCGTCCTCGGCCATCCCGACCCTATGAGTGTTTTGACGCCCTCATTCAAACGGTCCCCTGCCATTGCGATGTAATCTGCAAGAGAATTTCATTGGGCCGCAGCTGAGTCGGCTGGCATAGGCACCATGGTAGACCAACATCGGTAGTTGACCAGTCACATTTGGGTCACCACCCGCGAGTGTCGACGGCCTGGGTTCCATATATTCCCCGCTTGACAGACCCTGCAGCGACTAAGCATGTGAAGCTTTCGCTGAAGTGGCCTGTTGCAGAGACAAGTACCAGGTTTCGGCATAGGCACCAGACAACCACTGGTAATCTCTAACTAGCTGGACAATAAGGCATATTACAGTCACCCAAGCTTGGAGCATTTTGTAGTGCAAGGTAGCAACATTATTGCAGGTCAATGAGCTCCGTGAGATCGGTGTTATGAACCCCACAGTCGCCAAGCGATCCGTTCATATGTATGCACCACCAAGAGAGAGGAGACAGGATGGCCTAACGTACGCCTGATTTACAACGCCACACCTCCTATCAATCAGCCCGGGCTCCAGGAGTGTCTCAGTAGACGCCAGGATCGGAAGGGCGGCTACGGGGAAAAATAAACGGAGAGCCGACAAGGCTAAGAGTTCAGGGTAAGACCGAAGGAATCGCTGTCAATGACAGCTGCACCAAAGCTTTATTTTAGGAGTGCGCTCTGGTTGCGACTGTAAATACTGGCCAATAAATAACCAGGAACAAAGGACAAACTGGGGAGTCAAAGCACCCTGGGGATGGTTTGACTATGATGATTGGACTAAATGGTCAAGTAAGTTATGCGGGCCCTAAGGAATCGTCGGGATTCTAAGTGGGACCCATGCCAACTATAATGACTCTCGGTGTTGTGGCAAAATGATTGGTAATGAAGTGGCTGAGGTCATGCTGAACTCATCAGCTCATGAGGGTTACTCTAAGTGGAAGTGGTGATGCTTCACTGATAGTGAAAAAAGTGAAAATATAGTTCAGGACCAAGGATCGGCCAAAGCAATCCCATCAATTGAGTGCGTTGAAACGCGTTAATTGAGTTCACCTGCAGCGCATGTATTTTCCACCGTGTCCTGCAATCATGACGTGCGGCCTCGAATTGCCACTTGTATCGGTACTTACGAAAAGGTGGCAGGGTACGTGTTGAAGAATGTACCGGTACTTGACAGGACCCTTCAACCGCTCCACCCGTCGCCGATCCGCATCGCATACATAAATAGCAACGGGCGCAGCATCAGCCACAGTCGAAGAGTCCACCGTGCAAGGAGGCTGGGAGATGGGGTGGTTTTTACTCGCAATTCAATCGAACTTGTAGGTTTGAAATCTATCACTCCTGAATTGCCCCAGGTCGACACGGACGCGGTACTTCACCCCCTGACAATCCATATCCCGTATCGTGACACGAAGGTCTTTCTGCCCCTGCCACCCGCCAGCCCTTCCGTCACTCCACCTCTCCCGTCTCACCCTTTCCTCCTCTTCAACCCCCCCTTTCATTGCCCTGAAACACATTCTTCATCATGAGTGTGAGTCTTCCCTTTTGACGTGTCTCATCTCTTTCTAACCACACTCAGTACCAGAGCTTGGGGGATAACACTCAAAGCGGCTACGGCCAGTACAACCCCTATGGGGCCCAGGAAAACCCCTACGCCCAGCAACAACAACAGCCACAGCAGCAACAGCCGTATGGCTATGGCGGCGGCTACGGCCAGGCTGGAGCCATGGAGCAGGGCAACGGTGGATATGGTGAGTTCAATCCCGATGGTCCCGCCGTGACCCTGGAGGAATACGCGCTTACACGACTCTCGCAGAAATGTCCAACATGCAGCAGTCCGGCGGCCCGACCGTGATTCTCAACAAGTGCAAGGAGATGAACGACGCGATCAACGAGCTGCGCACCAAGCGCGAGGGCCAACTGGCATCCGCGCAGACCGCGCTTTTGGAGTCGGCCACCGGCAAGGAGGACCAGCAGGCACGCCAGACTGTCGACTACATCGAGGACGAGATCAACACCGCCCTGCGCTACCTGCGCGACCAGTTCAAGCGCATCAAGGAGACACCCGGCTCCGGTGACCCGCGTGTCTCCGGTCAGGTCGAGAACGTCAACCGCAACCTCCGCCGCGAGATCGAGCAGTACCAGCGCACCCAGTCGGACTTCCGGAAGCGCCTGGAGGAGCAGGTCCGCCGCCGTTATGCGATTGCCAACCCCGAGGCTAGCCCCGAGGAGCTCGAACAGGGTGTGCAGAATGTTCTGGCCGGTCAAGAGCAGGCCTTCATGGTATGTCTTCGGTTTCTCACGATTGTCTACCCGGACTCGGCTAATATTTGTGATAGGTTCCCGGTACTCGATCCCGCCAGGCCAACGATGCCCGCCAAGCCACCATGCAGCGATCCGCCGCAATCCGCAAGATCGAACAGGACATGGTCCAGCTGGGCCAGCTCTACCAGGAGGTTGCCGAGCTGATCCACCAGCAGGAGCCGGCTGTGCAGCAGATCAACCAGGGCGCCGAGGAGACGCACCGCAACGTGCAGCAGGCCAACAGCAAGCTGGACAACGCAATCACCAGTGCCCGCAACGCCCGCCGGTGGAAGTGGTACGCGTTGATCATCGTTAGTACGTGCCGATTCTCTCTCCCCATTGTAACGTTCCCGACTAACCTCCTATACAGTCATCATCATTGCCATCGTCGTCGGTGTCGCCGTCGGAGTCACGGAAGCCAATCGCGGCGGGAAATAAGCATTGCCCCATTACCACCCTCTATCCCCGTGTACGACCCGCTCTCATACCCTCCCTGTACCTTTCTATCTCCCTCTCGTTTCTATACCACCCTCTCGCATGTCATATTTGTCTCACCGTGTAAAAGCAATGCTCGATCCGCCGTTTCCTTTGTCTCGTTTCTCCCAGGATTGTGTACAGCGTCCGCGACCGCACGACGGTCATGATGATTCTGCTTGCTCGCTGTTCTGTGCCTCCATGTGCCGACGATTGTCGCGCGTGGATGTATATACTAGATTGTTTGGTTTTCTTGTGAGCGACCCGTGGCTATCGCTGATGGCTGATTCTCGGGCGCTAGAATCTATGTAATACGCCTAATAATTGATTCCTTCTGCTGTCCCAGCTCTATCACTTCCCACCTACTTGACCGGTATGTGTATAGTGTATGCTGTAACTTGAATCGATTCAACGGGGTATCCAATCCGACCCTTCGCAGGCCGGGCATTTCTAATCACAAATCCTACATCGACAAATTTACACATGCACCCTCAAGTCACAACCTCGACATTCGAGACCATCAAGCCTGCGCCTCCCTCTCCTTCTCCCTCGTCTCCTCCGCCGGCGTCTTAGTCTTCAATTGCAGCGCATGAATTCCGCCCTCTTGACTCATCTCCTCCTTCAACAAGGCATAGACCATACGGTGCCTTGCAGGCTGCATTTTCGACTCGAAGGCATCGGAAGTTATCGACACACTGACAACGTTATTAGTCCCACTGTCGTATATATCGGGCGTAGACGTACTGGAAATGGGTCTCCTTCGAGGCAACGCCCTCCATCGCCTTGTGGTGGGCGTGCTTGTGGGAGTCATTGCGGATAATCAGGGTAGACGGGGTGAAGGCGTGGACGATCTATTGAGGGGGTTAGAGCTAGAAGTGGCGTGGCAGTCGGGGGCGTAGGACGGACTTTGTCGCGCATCAGATCCTCCATCGGAGTTGCGGAGGCCATTTTCGCGGAGACGGAGAAGAGGCGGCGCGGGAGGAGGCCCGGGAGGGTGCGAGGGAGCATTGGAGACGCTGTGATACAGCGGGAACGAAGGAATTGGCAGAGAAAGAGAATGAGAAGAAGAAAGAGGAACGAAGGTATAGAAAGGTGGGAGGATAAGCGTAATTGGAGAAAAGCGGAGTCGCAAAGTTGCCTGATCTTTCCGCGGAACTTCAATCGCACGACATCAACTTGCCATTGCCCCTCGACTACTGAACTAGCCATGAGGCTTTTGCCATAATTCCGAATATCTCTACGGATATTATCAAAATGCCCGGTCGTCTGATCTCGCGACTGCGACCGCGCCTGCAGCTTCCGCGCCTGGCTCCCCGCGCAAGACTGCTCTCGACGCTCCCGAATACCCCGATTTTCCGAGCTCTACAGGAACATGACCCGACCAGTCTAGCTGTCGTGCACAGCGTGAGTGAGCGCTCGTTTACATACGGCAACCTCATCGGCGACGTACTCCGCGCGAAGGAGCAGCTCGAACACAAGACCACGGGCAAGCTGGCCGGGGAGCGGGTCGCGTTTTTGGCGGAGAATAGCTATGACTACGTAGGTACTGTGTCCTTCCACTGCCGGATCTATCGAGTAAAGCCTAATGGATTATAGTGACGCTGCTTGCCATCTTTGCGAGCGATGCTATCGCATTGCCCTTGTCCCCGTCTTTTCCGACTGGTGAACTCCAGTATATTTTGGATAACTCCGAGGCAAAGATGCTCTTGGCGACGGAGAAATATGCCGATAAGGCGGAGCAGGTTCTCAAGGCTGGACTGAAGCGTGAGCCTTTGTTTGATATCAGACAGAAGCTCAGGCAGGGTGCTGGGAGTGAGTCTGTTCAATTGGAGAATCTGAAGCAGCCTGCCTCCGGTGGCATGATGCTGTACACTTCGGGGACTACGAATCGACCAGTAGGTGCAGTTTCCATTGTCCCAGAAGAACTGGCCTAATATCCAACAGAAAGGCGTGCTCATCCCCGACTCTGCACTCGCAGCACAAGCATCTTCGCTTCTCAAAGCATGGAAGTACACACCACAAGACCGACTGCTCCACCTACTCCCACTCCACCACATTCACGGCGTCGTCAACGCAATCGTAACACCCCTGTTCGCCGGCTCGTCCATCGAATTCATGTACCCGTTCAACCCAGACCAAGTCTGGCGCCGTCTCGCCGCACCATTCACGGCAGACAACCCCAAATCCAAAATCACCTTCCTCACAGCGGTTCCAACAGTCTACAACCGCCTAATGACATCCTTCGCCACCCTGCCACCAGATACCCAAGAAGCCGCCAAGCAAGGCATATCCCCCTCCAACCTCCGCCTCAATATCTCCGGCTCAGCCGCCCTCCCAACACCCACGAAAATAAAATGGACATCCCTCAGCAATGGCAATATCCTCCTCGAACGCTTCGGCATGACCGAAGTAGGCATGGCCATTAGCTGTGGCCTGGACCCAGCAGACCGCATCGACAGCAGCGTCGGCTGGCCTTTACCGGGCGTCGAAGCTCGGCTCGTCGACACCGAAACCAATGAGGTAATCCCGCTCGACAGCAAATATGCGTCTGGCCGCGAACGCGAAGGCGAGATCCAACTCCGCGGCGAAACAATATTCCACAGCTACTGGGGCAACGAGAAAGCCACAGCCGAAAGCTTCGTATCTAGCCCTGACGGCGGTAAACCGTGGTTCCGGACCGGGGACGTGGCCACTCGACGGGTCGTTGAAGGTGCAGGATCTGGATCTAGTGGTCAGTGGGCTACGGGACCTATGTATTTCATACAGGGCCGGAAGAGTGTGGATATCATCAAGACGGGCGGCGAGAAAGTGAGCGCGTTGGAGGTTGAGAGGGAATTGCTTTCCTTGTATGTGTTTTCCCAAATCCCTTTTTTTCTTTGTCATTGTTACTGACCTGGCTAGGCCGCAAATCGCAGAGGCTGCTGTTGTTGGCCTCCCTTCGGAACAATGGGGTCATAAAGTCGCCGCCGTTGTGGTTCTCAGCGCCGATGCAGCGAGTAGTGGACGGAATGGGAAGACGTGGGGACCTATGGATATGCGGCGTGCGCTGAAGGATCGATTGGCGTCATATAAGGTTCCACAGGTGATGAAGGTTCTGGAGGCCATTCCGAGGAATGCGATGGGAAAGGGTGAGTTATTCCCTCCCGGTGCAGTTGGATTGTGCTGGGACTTGATCTTGCTAACGTTGAACAGTGAACAAAAAAGCGCTCGTGAAAGAGGTATTTGGTGTTTGAGATAAAAGACGCGATGGGGATAGTTCTCCGCTCTGAAGTGTACGATATTGGAGTATTACAATGTAGATTCGAATGTAAATCTATTCCATGAGATCCACGATAGAAATCTTTCCATATAATGTATAGTACAGTGTTGTACAATGCCACTCCCGTCAGGAAGCAGGCTCAAGCCCACTCGCCCTTCCTTTGAAAGGCACTAACCAACCTCGTCGCCTCCATCTTCACCTCCAGCTTTGCCATATCAACAGCCGTGATAGTAGCATCAACAACACCGAAAACATCCATATCTTCTCTACCGGGGCAATGCTCCGGAATGGTCACCACACATTTGACGCCCAGGTTCGTGATCACGCCCGAGTAAATCGGTCCCTCGTGGGCGAGTCCGGTGAGTCGCGGGACGCGCAGGATGACTCGGAACGAGGGAGGCAGCTCGCATTCGGCGAAATAGAAGGCGCGGAAGAGGAGCATGCAGGCCCAATGTTGTGTGGAGAAGGAGGAGACTTCCTTAAGGCGTGTTTTCAAGGTCTGGCCGAAGTGGATCAGGTTTTCTACGTCGGCTTTAGTGTAGGGGAGAGGGAGGGATGGTTGTTCCGCCGTGGAGTCCTCGACGGGTTCGCTCTCAGAGGGAAGAGCGGCTTCTTCTTCAGGCATGTCGATAGCAGCATTGAACTGCCGACCGTTCTCATGCTCAAAGCGCAGAGCAGCCTCAATCTGGTAATGCGCAATCACATCTGTAAACCGACGAAGCGGACTCGTGCTCTTGACATATGCATTTATGCCGAGGAAGTGGTGTTTGATGGGGCTAGACGCCGACAGAGCTTTTGGCAGAACGAAATGTAAGAAGTTTTTACCGCCATACTGGGCGATATTGTCGCGCGTGACGCGTGCGTATTCCGGGTCATACCAGGTGCCGTCAAAAACAGCGGGGATGTTGCGGGTAGCGCAGAATTGGCCCGCGATGTGGCCGGCCAAGTTCATTAGTAGAGAGACGAGGTTTTCTTTAGACTCGTCGGGGACTTCCTGCGCGTCGAAGTCATGCATGCGGAGTTGGATGATGGGGTCGCCGATAAAATACCTGCCCTCAGTGACCTGCATCTCGTATGGCTTTGTAGGCGCCGTGCCCATCTGGACGGAGACGGAGAGGTTCGGCGATAGACGTTGCATGTCCATTGCGCCGTTCTTTTGGCGCTGGGTGCGGAAGCCGAGCATCAGCTTACGGAGAAGTGTGAAAGTGTCTTCGTCTTCTGGAGTGAGGGTCTCGCGAATTACTCTGTCAGCGGCCAAGGGCTGATCGACAATGGTTCCACCGACTTTCAGCGAGGCCGTCGGTCCCCTTTTGTCCGGGATGAAGAAGTCGCGCAGCTTGCTGTGGGTAACATTGATGATGTTTCGGACGGTTCCGTTTGTCACCTCAGTGTCGAGAATCTCGCCCTGCAGATTCATCTTCGCACTGAAGGTCAGTGTTGGCCGGCCAGGCGAGAGACTGAAGTTGCCCTGGGTGAGGGATGTCGGGAAGATGGGGTATGTACGCTCTGGGGCGTAGGTAGTGGCCCACCGAGAGCCGGCATACTCTATGGTAGGGTCGTTATGGTGCAAGAAGGCAGTTGGGTTGGCGACGTGGATCCGGATCCAGAATGTGTCGTCAGAGCCAGGGATTCGTTCCAGGGAGACACCGTCGTCGATTTCTTGTGCATTGACATCGTCTATGCAGTACACAGGCAAATCACTCCAGTCTTTCCGGAGGCCTTGCATAGAGTCCGTGAGAGAAAGATTCCGGCAGGACTCCTCAATCTCTTCCCATCTCATATCCTCGAGAAGAGACATGCCGTGGCCAGGGAGGAGCAGGCTCTGATCGAGGAGGCCGAGGTTCTCCCATGGGGCTATAACACCGATCTCTTGCAGGAACAGGCGGGTTGACGCCTCACTGAGGCCGAGAGTGTTGTACATTCCCGTTGCGCGCATGATGTGCGAAGCGGCCGATCGCAGGGTGCCAGAGGGCATGATCACAGATGGGATTGCATACAGTTGCAAATACTCCAGGATAATCCGGTCGTTATCAGTGAACTTTTCTGTTAGGACTTCACGATACAACATGGGCTTGCCATCCTGTCCCGGCTCGAACTGCTGAGTTGTAGGTCCCACGCTGGACATGATAGTGGGCGAGCGAACCTTTCGGCTCAGACGAATGAGACGCTGTGCCTTTTGGATGAACATCTGCATCGGATGGTCATTGAACTTTGGTGTACTCTTGACCATGATGGCTTCGACTAGATGGTTTTGGTGCTCGTGGACCCATGTTGTAACTTTCTCAACAGCGGTGGCGATTCTTTTCGGCTGCACCAGGTACAGGCTGCTGAACAAAGAGTTCGAGTCCTTTTCGATGAGAAATGGGTGGTTGCGCACCGCTTGGTGGACAGCATATAGGCTCACAGCTGTCAGTTCGGACTCATCGACATCCAAAACCTTCATGGTCAACTCTTCGAGGGTCAATCGTAGAAACTCAGTCTCGTCCGCGGTAATATCGTAGATTTTATCCAGTCGCTGGGCATTATCCCGACAGAAATCCATCATATGATCTTGGAAATTGCCCATCATCTCCAGCAGCGGGGCTCCAAGCGGTCTCGGGAGACCACCCTCCGGAGTGGATTGAAGCTCAGATTCGACACGAGCAAGTCCATTCGGAAAATAGGGCTTAATGGGCTCAAGCAGCTCAGTGGGAGCAAAGCCTTTGAGGACATAATCCAATTCACCTGCAGAGCAGGCACGCCACATACCACGTTCGGTGTAGAACTGCTTCTGCCTGTTGGTAGACTGCACATAGATGGCCAAGGAAGATGTCCCATCTACCCGTATTAGGCTGACCATATCACCCGGTTCCAGGTGGTCACCCTCAAATTCCTCTGACATGTCCAGATCGGTTTGGTCCGTCAATTGCGAGCTGGCCCGGACGCTTTCAGTCTCTCCACGGCCGTTCATCATGACGAACTCAGCGTTGAGAGCCGTGGCTGACCCTGGTTCATGAACTGAATCTAGATTCTGAGGCGCTATTTCTTGCCACCGGCGAAGGTAATATCGGATATCGTTGGTCGTCGCATACTCGGCGTTCAGGCGAGCCATCTGGACCTCTGTCGCCGTTGGCGGGTCCTTCTCGGTAGAGTTCTGTGAAAAAGTTGTTAGCTGGTCCCTATGGTTAAAGGCGCATTTCCGCGTACCTCATCCTTGACCTCATTGGCGACAATCGATCGCAGAGTCCTCGTGGTTGATAGCGAGCGTTGTCCGAGCGTTGGCGTGCGAGTCACCGGTCGAGGGAGCAGACATTCTGCTCGCCTCTGCCGCACTATGCATCGCACACAGAGCTGCCTGGTAATGGCAAGTCTCTGCAGTGACCCTGCTTTGGGTAATACCATAGTCGTGGTTGCGTCGACACACGACGCTCGTCGATCGCGAAACTTGGATTATTTGGCTGGCATAATAATCCACCGCCCAGGGCGGTACCATCCAGGTCTCGTGACCTGTCAAGACATGCGTGCTTCCCTCAGCGGTTTGTTCTATTTGTTCTATTTCTGTTATTGCCTTCTTTGAAGATTTGATATGTCAACAGGTGCATTGCTCATCGCGACGATTTTTGAAATTATCTCTAAGCGAGGCACAAATTTGACGGTGCGGAGATTTTTGAAATCTAGTTCGGATTATACCATCGCCAAGATTCGATAGTCCCGAAATCCTACACGGAACGAAGACAGTAATATCCACAAACGTGGCATGGCGGCCCTAGGCGACATCTGCGGCAGTTCGTCCGAGCAGGATTGCGCAGGGATAGGCGTCTCGAATGTCTCATCACTCGCGCTACGCGAGGTTGAATTAGTCTACGCACCAGGGTTCACATGGGACTTGCTCCATCTCGTCGCAATATCACATCTGACGGCCAAGGTTCCCAAGTATGGACAAGCCATGGCAGATCGCAACTATGGGCAGGCCCACTGGCCCGTCAATGTTTCAGATCTAGGACTCCCCCAAGACTCTTTCTCAAGGACAGGTCTACTGTGCACATCACGCACAGCCCTTAGTCGTATGCAGCGTGTTCGTTTCCGTTTGGGAAAAATGGTCAGCCACCTCGGTAGTACATGCATGAATTCATGTGAAAGGAACCCACGTTAGGAACTGCTGGTCCGGAGGATTCTTTCTCAGTTTCCCTAGTTTGGCAATCCCATCGGACGCACGAGGCCGAGAACCTAAAATACTTTGCTGACGAGCGCATATCATTTCTACACTGGTCTAAGCGAGGATACTAAACTTCCAGGAACCGTTCAGGGGCAATCCCCGCGCGGTCCGCCTTAACCCAGCCGGAGCCCTGTCACTCTACATAGGTCTCCCCACTATCGATCAGAACAGGGGCCTGCCTTAGACTATATGCCGCTGTGATGCACCACACCCTATTTATGTCTGCTTTTCTTCTTCTCGGATGAGGGACCATCATATGTACAATCCCACGCCCTTCCATGGTTGGGTTGGCTTATCTTTAAGGCGCAGTGGTATAGCCAGAATCGTAAGCGTAGGGCGCGGACCTTCCGCGGAACCTCCACCAAAATTCCCATTGCATCTAGCGGCATGCCAATTCTACAATAGTGTAAGCCTTTGTTCTAGGTCTACAATCAGGGAACTGCTACTCCGTAGTAGTGGGGCCAGGAACCAAACTTGCAATCCTCCACCACTCACGGCTTATGGATACCAATCGCGCTATGGCACGGCATGGCAACTGGTCCCCATCTGCCTCTCCGTTCGGGTAGAGAAGCCTCAATGCCATCAAGAGTATTCAATAACGCATATCCTCACGGTCAACACCAGACAGACTTTTGGTTGGCAAAGAAGTTTAATCTAGTGACCTCATTCGACGAAGTATTCTCTCCGACTAGGAACCCGAGGTTTCAGCAAGCATCCAGCTTGCCATATGCTCCAATCCAAACAGAGCCGGCCCAGCCCCACAAAGCCTAAAAAAGAGAAGCGAGATGGGGATAGCCACCGATCATCCGAGTCTTTCTTGGCAGCCTGAGAATCGTAAAAAAACGCCAGATGCTCCCTACCCGATCAGGGAAACTGCGGGAATTCCGACAACTGGGTTTCTGCAGAACCCCTGTACGCTATAGTTTGCCCACCTCAATCCTTCGGGGCTCCACCAGGAGGGGCAGTAGCTCGAGGGATACCCTCCGAGACCCTTAAGGACCCATTAGCAATCATGGCTATTTATATGAATCGAACACCCACTTCCCCAGGGTTAAGTCTGAGTTTGACCTTTCCATTCCAACTTATTCGTTCCTTTGCCACAAATTCAATTTCCATCGCCCAGGGGTTTGCATTTGTTTACTTCATCTGTATATACGTTGTTCTAACTCTATATAACCACGCTCTTTACCATGGTTTCCAGCGCTGGCTGGCGCGCCTTGGGGCTGGTCGTTGCTACCATTGCGCCTGTGGTGCATGCCGACATCTGCTCAACCCTTCAACAAGCCGGAATCGATATTGAGTATCCCCTCACGCTAGACTACTCGAGTGATCTCACCAAGTATTGGTCAGCAGCATGTGGAGACCTGAAGCCGACATGTATTGCGGCGCCATCTAGCGCCGCGGAGATGTCACAGATCATCACAGAGCTGCACAATGTCGAGACACTGTTTGCTGTCAAGTCTGGTGGACATATGCCGAATAATGGGTTCGCCAGTATCGAGGATGGTCTGCTGATTTCGACGAAGAACCTCGACCAGGTATTCTATAACCCCAAAGACGAGACTGCCGTCATTGGACCTGGTTTATCTTGGGAGGAGGCTCAGAAGGGATTGGACGGTACCGGCCGTGCTCTTGTCGGTGGCCGACTTGGAGGCGTTGGTGTTGGCGGGTATATGCTCGGATGTAAGTTGGTCTCAAAAAGTTTCCGTCTGATCCGTGCTAACAGGACCAGGTGGCATGAGTTTCTTAAGCACCCAGTACGGGTGGGCTGCCAACAACGTGGCCAACTTCCAGGTCGTTCTGGCCAACGGCACGATTGTTGATGCTAACGAGAAGGAGAATACCGGTAAGGGCGAGAGATAACTAAGACTAAACGACATGGAGCTAATCGAGTATAGATCTTTATAATTCACTGAAGGGCAGCGGTAACAACCTCGGCGTCGTCACCGCGTACACCATGCAGACACACCCCATCGACAAGGTCTGGGGCGGCAACTACATCTTTACAGCCGACAAGACCCCCGAGGTGTTGAATGCTCTGCGCAACTTCGTGGACGACTACCCCGATGACAAGGCCGCCATTATCTTGACTTCCGAGCACGGCGCGGTTATTGATTTCTGGATCATGTTCCTCTTCTACGATGGACCCGAGCCACCGGCGGGTGTCTTTGACGAATTCACTGCGATCGAGCACATCTCCACGACCAAGACCTGGGATAGCTACTACGATCTGTTGAAGTACAATGACATCTTCATTCTCCAGTAAGTATCTCCGGCTTAATAACCTGGAACCCGCTAACTTCTTTGCAGCGGACAACGCTACACCATCGCGACCGAAACCACCCCCGTCCCCAGCAAGGCCGTGGGCTCTTCCGTGCTGCAGGAGTACTACGACCACTGGTACAACGTAACCGAGTCCGTACTCGCAGTCCCCGGTGTGCTGGGTTCTATCGCCTTCCAGCCCGTGCCCACAGCCTTCTCCCAGAAGGCCGCAGAGCGTGGTGGCGTAAGTCTCCCCAAGATCGCCCAAAAAGAAAACAACAACTAAGAATAATAGGACCTTCTATCTGTCCCTACGGACACAAACTACATCTTTATCGAGCTCGACTTCTCCTACTCCTTCGCCGCAGACGACGAGACAATCGACCAAGCCAATCAGAACCTGTACCAGGGCCTGGGCAACCTTGTCCAAAAGAACATCGACGAGGGTCGTCTTCCGGACGTCTACCGACCACTTTTCATGAACGATGCCTACTTTAGACAGGACTACTGGGGCCGTATCAAGCCTGAATCGAAGCAGTATGCGCTGGAGACTCGGCTGCGGTATGACCCTGATGGGTTCTTCCAGACGCGAACCAGTGGTGGCTGGCGGTTGGAACAGTAAGGGAGAGACCGAGGTGGTGATCTTGTTGATTTGATATAATTTGGTATATAATTATCCTAATACGGAACCTACTGCATTTAATCTTCAATATTGGCAATGTTACTCTGTATAATTTGTAGATCCCATGCTGCCAGTGTACCTGGTGAAGCCAAATTCTCCGAGAAATGATCCAAGCTATCTGATGATTGTTTTGTTCGGCAGTTTCGATTCTTCCATTTTTCTCCTGTATTGTCTTCTTCTGGATTCCAAGCCTTTATTTTTGGTTCAACGCAGCACTCTTTGAATCCCTCCATAAGCTTGAAATTTGACGATCCTACAAGAAGAACTTCAAATGGCAAAAAAAAAAGTCAAAAGGATAGGCACACGATGTCAACAACTCGATGGCCACAATTGATGCAGCTCCATGATAATCACGTAGTGTTATTGTTTAGAAAGTAATTCATCAAGGTTCAAAAACCAATTGTCTAATTTCCTGTTGTCTGAATTGCCCGAGTTTGGAAAAAGAAGTACATGAGCCATTGAAATATCCTCTGCCATCTCTCAAGAATGCAAGTTCTCTATATTAAGCCCGAATGGTCCTTCAAAAATTAACCATAGGCGTGCAACGGCCCAATCTCCCACCAATTGAGCCACAACACATGGGATCCCCGGCTTGACTTGTACAAATGTGGAGGAAGTCGGTGTCATCTTTGGGCATATGACGGGCTATTGTGTTGAAAAGATGGTTAGTTTCAACCAAAATGAAGCTTGCATGGAGAAGAAAAGGGAAAGATAAAAGGCTAGTGTGAGGCAGTTGATCTCAAAAGAAAGAACTTACGATCTGAGCAGTCCATGCCTGAAGAGCTTAAAAGATCAGAAGTGCAGCATTTGGCTTGGCTGCCACTTGGGCAGACAGCAGCCAGGCTAGAGCCGGCGAAAAGGGCAATGATAGTGGTGAAGAACCTCATTTTGGGTCGGTGGCTATTGCCTAGGTAGATGATAATATAGAAAAAGTGTGTTTGAATGGAACTTTGTTTGAGGAGAATGGTAGACATAGGCGACCTTATATAGGGGTGTGTTTTGCTTTGGGGGAGAGTGAATGCAAGGAGGCAAAAGACAAGATCGCCAGCCTGCCACCTAGATTTTGGTTGGCAGAAGACAAGATCGCCAGCCTGCCACCTGATTTTGGTTGGATCTCGGCTCAAGGAGATCTCATCCCTTCAGGAGTCCTATCAATAGTGAGAGCCGACGAAGCACAGCAAATCAGCAAGGCGAAACCAGCCCATCCAGTTGCGGATCGCAATGCATGACCCTGACGGCTGGCTCAAGCTATTACTCCGAAAAAGGTGCCTTTAGACATGGACCTTGCAGACCAAGTTTGGTGTCGCACTTACAGTAGTTTTCGAAATCAGCTATACCGCCATACTCCTACTAGTTGATTTCTGGAAAATAACTCCGGATAACGCTAACCCGTTTGGCTTTACCGCCTCATAATTCCCGCTCACTTGTATAGTTAACCCTTGAGTGCATGATCAGCTGGTTCCCAACCTGGTCATTTTCGGTTATACCAAAAATAAGCCTGTTGATCAGATGGAAAATCCCATTTTCTATATCAAAGAAAACTATATCATCATTTTCACAATCACCTACTACCGCGCAATCGGTAACATACTTTCGTGCCGCCCACTTTGGTAAAGGGAAGACTGAGGGCCAGGTTATCTACGCTTATGGTCAATATCAGGACAACTGGGAACGTCAACTTTTTGGTACCTGGCGAATCGTGCATCGCAACTTGGTTTACATGGTGTGCCTTTTTGTCACGAACTGGCAGCAAGTACAAAGGTTAACAGCTCTCCATCTAGGGCCCCCTAATTGGCAACGAGTCTATTTTTGTCTGCTAGCTCATAAATCCATTCCCTGCGCATTAGCGCAATGCTGGAATCATGGCGATAGATAAATATCCATAGCAAAATTCAAACTTCATCGTGACTTATCTTTCATTACTTCGTCCCACAAGCGAGATGGCCGTCGTTTTCGTCAACGCAGGCGTTCATGTCTCTGCGACTAAAGTTCAAATCAATTGAGGACGATTTGGCCAGCCATAAAACATACACGGTAAATATTCAGAGCAATAAGACTCTGTTTAGAAACTTTTATTCTCTAGCAGCCGCGTTACAGTAAAAAAAAAGAAAACTAGTCCGAAATATTCAGACGGTGAATATCCAAATCTTACCAAATCTTCAAACCTCAAGCCATGTGCGATTCCTCAAACCTCATGCTTTCATTTTCAGGTTGATACAAGGTGGACCAGCTACCAAGCAAAGTGGACCACAAACGGACCAAACACTTCAATGTGAAGTTCCATTACCAGCGAGCAGTGCTGAATGTGCCACTGTGTCCCTTCTGATCATGGGACCTAGTGAAAGGGTGAAGAAGTTCACCGATGTTGAAAATAGTTTAAGCCGATCAACCACCTAGAAGAGCGAGGTGATCAATCAGCACAATTGATATGCGGGTATATGATTCAGAGAAACCGCTACCAGCAAACATCTAGATAAAAGGAGATGGCGGAAGACGCCAGAGAGCCTGAGAGGGCAGGCATCCAAACAAAACAACCCCAACCGCCCACACTATAGATAACAAAATCATGAAACAAGATCGACCACGCAGTACCCATCCCAATTAATCCCAGCCTCAATTTAGTACCCCGGTAGCCGCCTGCATCAGATCCGGCAGTGGGATGACGACGAGTGGTCGAGAGGCGACCGGGGCTTTAGGTTCCAGCCCCAAGCGCCGGGGTGGGGCGATCAACACCCACGTATAACCCGTCCTGTAATATTTTAGAAACGCGTCAAAGAGCTCTGAGAGCTTCGTGCAGCTAAGCTGTCACATAAACGGATTGCTATATGCGGCAGCTTGGATTGTGGTGTCTGATTCGTTGTGCGCGGCGGTTGGATCTAGACATTCTCCAACAACGGGACTAGATGAGGCTGCGAGAGCGTTTGAGGTGGTCTAGATTGGAGCCGATGCTAATTTGGTACGATCTAGATTCTTTTTTTTCTCTTTGTGTCAGCGGCTGTGTCTTTGGGCTATATAAGGATGAGCCGTGAACGTCTTTGACAGTTCTGCAGGATTCACTTTAGGTTTTTACTTTCATTCAAACATTCTCTTTGTCTTCTTGTTTCGCATTTCTTCCCGACGCTCCTTGATATTTCTTGATATTTTGGGTTCGTATCTACAGCATCACTCCTTGGTTACTTTGGATTCGGTTCAGCGCCTTCTATTCGACATTCATTCTACGCAACACATTGTATAAGCGAAATGCCTCGCTACGGAGCCCTCGGTGCAACATTCCAGTTGGCACGGCTATTCCAGTTTGTCTCACTTATTGCTATTATCGGCATGACGGCCAAGTTCATCGCATCGATCGTCTCGAGCAACGCTACGCCGCCGAATATTCTCATCGGGACAATCAGTGTGGTAAGTTCAACACCTTCCCCCTTCCCACTCGAGGCCCTTCTAATGAAAGTAGACTTGTATCGCAGTAATCTACTGCTTAATCACCGCGGTTCTTTTTATGGATAACATCCTTCCCTTCCTCGCCTGCGCAGCACTCGACCTGCTCCTCTTAATCGGGTTCATCGTCGTCGCTGTGGTAATGGGCAAGCCGCTGTCCTACCTGAAGTGCACATCACTGGCTGAGCTGGGATACAAAGATGCAACGGCTTATGCATTCTCGTCGCACCTGGACAGTTACCTTGCCACCATCAGCGGGACGATCGACTACAAGTCGTGGATCGGAGCGTCCAAGGCGATTTGTCTGGAGACGAAGGCGATCTGGGGACTGAGCATTGCCTTGTGGTGAGTACCCTGATTTTTGTGAGGTTTCATGGATACTAATGTGCGAATAGTATTCTGCTTTTCTTCTCGATGCTCTGCAGTGTCTGTCTTTGGCGCCTGAAGAAGGCTCTTGCGGCTGCGGAGGAAAAGTAACCGTTCTCTTCAAAGCTGGGTGCTCGATCCGCAATCTATACAATGGACGGAAGGGGGGGGGGTAATGGGTATTGGATATGGAAATAACGAGAGAGAGGCAATATGTTCAAACCATCTTTCAACGCACTAATGGTCTGACTTCTGGCGTTTGGCGTACATTTGATTGAGAAATAGCTAAAACCCCATATATATCCACAAAATGGAACACACTCGCTCATGCTATGAAAATCTCGCCCGAGTTCAAAAAAAAAAAAAAAAATCAGAAATAGAAAAGAAATCATCCCGAGCTGACGGGTGGGATGATAGCAACCTCCGCCCCGGGCTGAATCAAGCGTGTCGGCTCATCGTCAAGATCAACATACTCGCCGTCAACACTGACGCCGGAGCTGCGGAGAATAGCATCCCGGATGCCGGAGTAGCGCTCTTCCAGGAGGGGGAATAGATGCGAGAATGTGGTTGGCGCGGGCAGCCGCTCAGTGTTCTTGGCGGTGTATTGGGATGCCGCGGCGAAGTAGTGGATTGTAAAGGATGATTCTGGGCCGGAAGTGCCTTGGGGGTTTGATTGGGAGGCCATGGTTGAGAGAGTACTGAAGATGGAACAAGAATATGGTCGACGTTACGAGTGAAGTTGAAATTGTTTTGGCGAGGCGGGGTTCGCCGATACGGCTCGGCGGCTTATACTTGCCGTTTATACTTTCGCTTTTAAGGCGACGCGGTAGACCCTCAATGATTGTTTCAACATAGCAAAAGTGATAGCAAAAGTACTAATGAATTAACATCGCAACCATGAAAGCGGCCCTTAAGTCTCTACCTTAATCTATCTAGACAAACGCTAAACTCATGACACATAACTAGCTTAAGCCAGCTCCCTAAACGCCTTCACGAAATCCGCCTTCAAATCCTCCCAATTCTCCAACCCAATACTGATCCTCAACAACCTCCGATCAACAGTCATATCAGACATAGTGCGCCACTCAATCAACGACTCAACACCACCAAGACTAGTAGCATGCTGGAAGAGATGCAATTTACTCGGCAAGGTCCGGGCAAGGACCTCCTCTTCCATCGTAATCGAGAACACCGGCCCAAACCCATTAGGCATTTGATTCTTCAACCAGTCACCGCCATCAGACTGGATACTAGCGTGGAAGACTTCAGCCAAGACAGCTTGCACGGCAGCTTCGTCCGAGCCTGGTGCCGGGGAAGGTGCGTGCAGGGCGTTATTAAGCCAAAACACTAGTTTCGTGGTGCTATCACTCTGGCGCGAGACGCGGACTTCAAGGGTTCGGAGACTTCGCACGCCGAGCCAGGATTCCATGTTGCCCATTACAGAGCCTAGGAAGACACGGTCGGCGAAGAGTTGCTTGTACCAGTCCTTTCGCTGGGTGGCGAGGACGCCGCAGAGGATATCGCTGTGGCCGCCGAAATACTTCGAACCGGAGTGCATGACGAGGTCTGCGCCGTGGACGAAGGGGTCTTGGAGGGAGGGCGGGGCGAAGGTGGAATCCACGATGAGGAATGCGCCGCGCGAGTGGGCTTTTTGGGCGTATGCAGCGATGTCGAAGGCTGTGCCTTTGGGATTGACGGGAGTCTCGAGGAGGATAACGTCTCCTGAGGAGAGATCCTCAGCCGCGCAGTCGAGGGGGAGTTTCTGGAGGCCACTGACGCGGGTGAAGAGAGCGATTACGCCGTGGCAGCCATGGTAGCCTTCTCCGACGGAGATGCGGCCCGGGTTCAGCAGGGTGAGGGCTGCGTGGAGAGCAGAGAGGCCGGAGGAGTAGCTGATAGCTTCGCCGTGTAGGATGGAGGAGAGGATGGCTTCGAAGCGGGTTGGATTTGGAGCTGAGGCGCGGGAGTAGACGTGGGATGAGGGATTGGAGGTACCTAAGGTACCGGACTACATGACGATTAGACTGGATCAGGCGTACGGAGAAGAGAGCATACGCAATAGTCGGCCGCGGGAACTAAGGCGGCAGGGTCTTTGGGATAGCGGAAGGTGGTGGCCAGGTGCATGGGCGGAGCGACATCGGTGACGACATTCAGTGCGTCGTCCGCGTGCAGAGTCTGTGTGGAAATTCCAATGTTGGACATTATGGTTATGCTATGTTCTCGGAATTGTATGCACAGGAAGATCGGGGAATTTATGATACAACCAGAAGTGTTGACTCGAAGTCTTGGAGAGAAATGAGGGGTTTCACGAAGCGGTCACGTGGTGCGGGGACGCCGATCTCGCTGTATAATTGGGGGGAGATGAAAATGAAGATTGGGGTGAGGATAAGTATGAATATGAAGATGGGCATGGGCATGACATGAGCATGGGGCAGAAGAAGGAGGCGAGGGAATAAGTGATTATCGGCGCAGAGATCCCATTCTGGATGGTTCTCGCACCGATCCAGGGAGTGCCACCTTGAAACTGGAGCGGTCTGTACATTATTAGCTGGCATCTCGCCAAATCAATGGGATTGAACTCTTACCAGTTTCAGAGTCAAAGGTGATAGCAATGTCGTCGTGTTCGATAGGATATTCGGGCATATCCAGGCATACAAAGTCCGACGCCGGGTCCTCATCCTTCTTCGGGAGGGCAAACTTGGCGTCAACAATGCGGAGTCCAAACTTGCCAGAGCGATTAAAAGACTCGATATGGTCCGTGCCCTTGAGCACGAAGTTCATGCAGGTGCCATGGTGGAAGTCCGCGAAGAAGGCGAGCAGTTGTGTGACCTTTTCCTGTCGCACGATCTGGATGCGGACCTGGTTGGCTTCCCATTTCTTGTAGATGGGGACAACCATGCGGCGGCGGGAAATGGTGAATGAAGACGCGGTTCCATCGTAGATGACTCGGAAGCCGGTGACGGCCTGTTCAAATGCATGGAGATCTAGGTCTGTTAGTGGAGTCCAACTTAAACTGTGAAAGAGACATACCCTGCATCGAGGCAAAGTCCAACCGCCGAACCATGGGTTTAGCGGTGACCTTTTGCAAGAAGCCAGCCACCTGCTCAGGCATTTCCGTAGGGACGAGATTGTCGGCCAGCGAAACGGTCAGATCATGTTGTGCTGGGCGGAACAAGCTCATGCCAGTCTTCTTGTTGACATCCAATGCGATTTTGAGTTCCCCAGGTCCTGTAGACAATTAACAAAAGCTCAATAGACGTCGACGGAGTCTCCCTACCTAAATTGATACGGTCCGTTACAGATCCCCACTCAGTAGCGACGAAAGCCCTCAGGTGTTCCGACAGAATCGTTGGGCCGTAGCCATGATCTACATAGGCATGTTCTTGATCAATAACCAGCACGTTCCCGACGGGGAACTGCAGGTGTGTGGTCGGCGTTCGGCCACTGCCTGAATCGCCGGGCTGCTCGATGGCATACGACCGCAGGGGAATCTCGGGGGTCTTGGTCTCTCCGTCCTGAGGTAGCATGCCGAGAAGCACGGAATGCATTTGTGTGCGCTCGTCCACCTCATGGAAGGTCATCAACATTGACCGCGTACGACCATCCTCGGTCACTTTCAAAAGCAGAGCCGGCGCACCATCTTCTCCCCGCAAAAGCCCGAAGACCACGGGTGCGCCGTAGCCTAGGGTATGGCGGACGTTACTGAGAGTCTTCACTTTCGGACTCGTCAGCACAGTCAATCGGAACCCACGATGGGCGTTTCGAGTGCCAGTGCCTTCGGTGATGTTTACTGTCCGCTCAAACAAACGAATGCGACAGCGTTCCAGGGGCTCGTTGGGGAATGCCTTGGGCGTTCCAGGATCCATATACTGGAACACTTTCAGAGTGTTCTCAAAGACCACCACCTCGCCAGCCTCAGGCTCGAGACTTGCTTCCGACTTTTGGGTATACTTGACGATATTCCACAGAGTTTTGAAATCGTCTTCTTTAAACATAACATCCAACTCAAAGCCACGGGGCAGCTTGACCCGCATGGAATGAGACCGGACTTGCCAGTCCACATCCTCCCAGGTGGGTCCCTGCTTGCGATCGGCCTGAATCAAGACATTCACGAGCTGACTCTGACTCGTAATCGCGGCGTGGACGTACCAATCAGACCGCTCCCGGATAATCGTCAATGCACAAGGCATGGCGTACTGCTCGCCTTCCTCGTCGCCGGAACTCACACAGGCCTGCACAAACATGCTTCCATAGCTAAAGTACCGGCTGGTGTCGCCAAGAGGCATCATGTACACCATACTCGGTGTTTTGGATGGCTTGTCGGCCAACATCGATCTCGTTGCACTGCCAGACAGAACTGCGGAAACGTCTGGTGCAAAGAAGGGGTATCGGAGCCAAACGCTGGAATCCAGCTGACTGGGAGAGTTCTCGTCACGGAGAACAATGGCGAGGATATCATTTCGCTTGATAGACATGGCCAGCGACCGGAGGTGATTAAGGGCGTTTTGGTGGAGACTGAGAAGGTCGACCATCTCCTTGTCGCCAGTAGTGCTGGCAACTGCCAACACAGCGTCCACTCCCATGGAACCATATCGCGCCACCTCGTAGTGTGTAGGCACGATATTCTCGTTGATCCACAGCGCTTTCCCAAGGTCAATAACGGCCTGCTTGGCGTAGCTGGGAGGAGCCGTTGCCCGCGAGCGAGCAAACGTTTCCAAGCGTGTCTTGCCCCGCAAAAACCACCATATCGCAGCTCGGATCCATTCTGTCAGAGTGGTTTCCATTAGCGGCTTGACACTCTCTGCGGACATGTGAAGAAGACTGTCGTATCTGGCAATGTAATTCTTGAACTCGGCAAATGCGGTGTCCCCAACCTGATTGGCAATGTTCCGCAAAGAATACTTGGGCGGCTGGGGGCTTCGCGATGGTTCTCGACTCGTTTGGGTGGACGGAGATGCAAGCTGGTTCATTGATGGAATTTCGCGACTGAGCTGGCTTGCCGGAGAGGCTAGATTTCTCGGCTGTGGTTCATGAGTAGGAACCGGCGGTCCTGGTGTAGGATTGGCTGGGCTTCCTGGTGTAAGACTAGGGGGCATGCGCGGGTCAACGGGACTCAGGTTAGCTGCAGCGCGGTGTACGGCTGGGCTCGGGGGATTCCGAATCGACTGGACAATCGATTTGACCGAGGGTGCATGTTGCGAGGCGGGTGTTTCGTAGACCGACTCATGGGGGCTTCGGGGACTATGAGATGGCAGAGGCTCAGGGCTGGAGATGTCGTCGTCGTCAGTCGTCGGGGATGCGATGTCTTCGTAGCGATTGTGTAATGCACGGGCTTCCTCCACCTGCATCTGTTTCCGTACCCGCTCCGCGAACGAATGCGAGTCGGGCGACCCTCGGAATGATAAACGGGAGCCGGGCTTGCTGATGTGCAGGGTGCTCAAGAATTCCGCTTCGTGTGGGTCCTGGACGAGCGGCGGTTGTTGCGCGCTGGGGCTGACGCGTTGATCCTGCGCGCATCGTGATCGCCCATCACCATCGGCCAGCGAGGTGTTGACCCGAAGCGTCGGCAGGTGCTCTCGAGACGGGTTCGGGGAACGAGAGGGCATTCGTCGTGGCTGGGAGGATTGCGCGGCCTGTCTCTCGCGCATGCGCTGAACAGATCGCGAGATCTCGACGGTGGGGATATCCGACTCGTCGCCTCCCTCTCCAATCGTCTGGGGCGCGCGATCTGAGAATCCGACCCGCAGTCCCTTGCCCTTGAGGGGGTGTAGAAGTGACGGAAGCGACTTGGATTCCGGGAGTTTATCCTCGGTGAAGTCGAAGGCGAAGTAGTTCTCTTTCGAAGGAGGCGGAATCACTGGCAAGGCGGGCTGCGGGGCAGGGACATTCACAAGGTCCTGCGACGAGGGAATAGGGTGGGTAGATACGGTTGGAGGGGCATCTCTGTGGTCAGCCTTTTGGGCAGTGGCCGTAGCGAGAAAGTCTTGAATCTGTTTATCGGGGGTGGAACGACTGTTCTTGTCCTTGGAGAAGAGCTTATCTCTCCAGTGCGGCTTCTTGTCCTTCACAGGTTTGGTGGGCTGCTCAGCAGCCAGGAACGCGAAAGGGTCCTCGGGAGGCATGTCGAAGATGAGACGAGGTGAGGGTCGTCCGCATCGCACGCCCTCAGTGAACAAAGGAAAGCCGGTTCCTTTGGTTTGATCCCCCTCCCCCGATGGCGTGTCAATGCACAGAGGTAGAACGGATCGACAGGGGGCGACCTCGAGGTGATGGTGGGTTGTAGGCGGGGAAGAGAATGCGCAAATAGACGCACTCTGGAGAAAGTAGGAGGAGAAAGGAGGGCGGTTATTGCATGAGTGATCGTGCTTTGGCAGTAGAGGCGCGATTGCCTCCTGGTGGAGCACACAAAGATCGTCTAAGGGGAAGCAGAACAAACAACCATAAACCCGAGAAAAGTCCACTGTACGGAGCAGTGTAAAGTTAAACACCGGACAAGCTGAACCAGGCGTGTCTGGGGATGTGGATCAAGGAGAGGAATGCCTCAAATTGCGTTTGGTATCAGGGGGAGGTGGAGCGTGGACAGGGTCCGTCTGTCACTCTTACACTCTTATTTTACATCCGTCGAGCTGAGCGCTGGACGGTTGTCTGACCGCGGACTCGGCCTCTTCTCCATCTACCTAGACCTATACCCATATCTATGCCCTACAGGCGTCTTCTTTATCTCCTTGCAGCGGATGAAAGCCACCCTGTCACCAAACTTCCCCCGCTACAGACGATCCACCTCCCCGCCTTCACCAATGAAGAGCTGCGCCCGCGGGTCTCATCGTGAAACTCCGCTAATCCCGTCTCAGCCACGGCGGAGGGGCAGCGGGTCTCGCTGACGAGGACTTTGTCGTTCATTTGGCCTGAGCAGAACTCTTCTCATGAATCGCGATCGCGCCGATCCGTGTTGACACCACTTTACACGTGTACCGCGGGTGGTGCCTGTGCGTTATGTACACGATGCGCACCGTTTCCACCAGTTCATGGCCACGGAGTATACAATTTCCACCGGCACGTCCCTAGCTCAAGCTCCGAGTCTAAAAACAGTCCGTGCCAATGTGGCAGTTGATCGGATGTCCCATTCCTGCGGCTTCCCCCATTTGTCCTCCCGATGCAGGGGACTCGAAAAACGTTGGCATGCAATCCCTTCTTTTCAGAGTGGATAAGATTGTCTTCTGAACCATGCCCGGCGTCACCGCTACATTGTCGAATGCCTTCCCGAGCATGTCCTCCCTGGTCGTACAGCCCCAATGATCGCCAACCGAGGCCACCCTGACCACCGTGCACTCCGTAGCCGCTGCTCAGGTAAATGCCGCTGTCAATTCCATTCGGATGTTTTCCAGGGTTTGCGCGCGCGTATACGGTCTATATTTAATCCCCCGGCTGAGACAATCAACTCCTCGCTCTAAATATATCCGTACAGGTGCCATCCACGGGGAACGCGTGACAGTAAGCCTCCATGCAAGTCGTGGATCGTCCAGACGCCAAGGTTATCTCGACATCAACACGCGCAGATCTTTCCATCGACGTTTTCTGACAGCACAAACCAATCAATCATGTTATATATCAAGTCACACGCTTAGAAGTTTTCGGGGTCCCTCTCGCAACATGTAGTCATAAAGCTAGGATGCAGATAACACGACAGCCCGAAGGTAGCTTACACTTCCGCTCGGACCACGCTCAGGGTTCACAGTTCAAAGAACATAAACCGGAAATATGACACCAAATTCTCAGACACACCTAGCCTTGGCCCTTGGAAGTAGCCAAACAGAACAAAGATCTTAAGTATCGCCGCCGAAGCGCACCACATCCTCAGCAACCACCACGAAAACACCCACCTCAATCTGCCACCTAGCGTATCCACCCGCCTGAACTCGGTAACCTTTACGTGCTCCATAACCCCACGTATGCCAATCCCAGCAAAATTATCCGAGTCAAGTTCAGCCCTGTGGGGTTTATTGTGTCCATTCTCGGATGCGATCTCGGACCGATACCTCCTTACCAAACAAGACATTACCGTAGATGTGCACAGCGCAACGCTATACCCGATGTCCGCACTCATCGCGACGGTAGGGGAAAAAAAGGTATCCGGGAGCTCAATGTCAAGGAACGCGTTCTATACCTGGATCTCGGTCATATTCAACAACTGTATCGAAGACTTGCGTCTGATATGTCCGTTCATCTGAGATATATTTACACCTGGGCACCAACCGGGAACTTGGGGATGGAATATAAAACAAAGAAAGCAAAGATACAAGACAATAGACAAACACTTCTTCCATCTCCGCAGAAGCCTTACCACCAAACACACTATACATGCTAGGTCTCCCACAGCACCGACCAGACCTCACCTCAGCCGAGTCCATCAAAACCGTCTACAGAACAGTCGTAGGCCTACAAACGGGATCATAGCTAGACATCGAAGTGAACGAGTCCTGGAGACAACCCGACACAATCTGCTACACGAAAGACGAGTTCCGGCAGACAGCGCACGGCCGTGACTCCCGTTCCGAGCCTTTACATACACTCTCCGTGGAAAATCAGGCTCACATCCAACCCGTCCTTTGGCCAAGGGTATCCGATACCACGAATCGTGCTCTAGCTGGGATCAAAGGACTAGACGTGACGCGGGTAATCGCAGGACCGAGTATATCCAAGATCCGCGCTGCTAGGCGCAGATATCCTACGGATTTTATCGAGAAAGATTCTAGAAGCGACGATACTCATGCTCGACACGCAAGTGGGGAAGCGGAATGTTGTCATCGATTTGAAGAGTGTTGAAGGGAAATTGGAGTTCAGGGCGCTACTTGAAGAGCGGGATGTTTTGTTGGATAAGTATAGACCTGGGGTGATTGGTCGGATGGGATTTGGGATGAGATTGTGCGGCGGAGGGGGAGGGGATTATGTGTGCGCGGGAGCAAACGTATGGGTGGCATGGGGAGCGGTAGGATCGCTGTATGTATCAGAAGATTCGTGGCTGTGTATGTTGGTTCTTGATGTTAGTGTGAGAGTCCTGATTGAACAGAAGTGACTGGGCTCAGGGAAGGTTGCTGGGGACTTGATGAGTCTGCCGCGCCGTTGCTTCTGAACTCGGATTATCAGTAAGTGTCTTTGTGGAGTTAAGTAGTTCATGCTGTATTTATAGGACGGGCGTTGTTGGCGCCATTGGAATCACGCATGCACTGTATCAACGTGTTGAGGAGGAAGACTCCTGTAACGTTGACACCTCTCTGAATCAGTTCAACAACCGGTACCTGGATCTAACTCTCCATGAAGAAGAGGCAGTAGCACCCATCAAAGCCAAAGACCTCGAGTTTAAAGTTCTCAGTCATGACACTGACTTGTTCACACTGGTCAGTATGACGAAGCAGAGTTTGCGCAAGAGTCACGGCAGTGGAAAAGACGAGCTCTTCGATCCACCTCGGTTCACCGTAGTCGAGATGTGCTAGGCAAGAGAAGGAGAGAAAGTAGAAGTCCTGGACTGGGCGCAGATAGTGCGTTTCTCAAGACAGAAGGAGGATAATCTGCAGAACTGCTATGATCATGGCTCACATATGCCGGGGGCTGATCAGCCCGAGTGGATGCCTCCGTCACCGTAAGGGTATTTCATGATAAAATAAACAGTGATTTCATTCAAGCTTTTCGATTTGAATAAAATCTGGCAAAGAGAACACATTCGGAGATTGTCCATGCGAAAATAAGACATATCAGACCGATGTTACTCAATTATTCGATGCCAAGTAGAAGGTATCGTCCCGTGCAGCAACGACTCTTTGTGGCTTGCCCTAGTACATCCACAGAGCCCTACATCTTCCAAATAACCGGCGTGGCCGTGTTCCGCTCAATGAAACAGCCATTAGACCCAGCAGCTAGCCAGCCACCAGTCCCCCACTGAGTGAGACATGACCTCATGAGATAGGGGACGGTCCTGACCACTGAGCTGTTGGACCGCGTTCTTCCTCGGGCCGGGGTCGGCATGGTGTCTCATGTACAAGCGGTCGCATATAATACCCTGATCGGCATGCGCAAAGCTTTCAGGGCATGGCACGGATGTGGGATCAGCACCAAGTGAGACAGCGAGCAGCGGGGTGAAACAGGGCAGCGACGAGTGAAGAAACTGGGATTCCTCTCAGTTGCTTATTAGTAGCCTTCCTGTTGGTTCTAGGGTGTTCGTGTATAGGATGTTATGGCATAATTGATAGGAGTCGCTGGATGCAGACAGAAAAAAGTATAAGGCCAAGGCAGTGACCGATTACTATTTCCGGACTTGCGTCTCCATTCTACTTACCTTTGCGTAAGGTATCTGAAAGTCCGGGGGAGGGGATTCTTACGTCGACTCTTCCATTTTTTCACATTGGTTTTCGGGTCACATAAATACCGCGTACAGATCTTTTCCCTCTGCAGGCGTGCAAGTGTATAGCCGCAGCGGAAGTGGCTAATAATAACCAGCAAGTCATCTCCACCGGGCCAGACCCAACAAGGCGCAGCAAAAACAAGACTTCTCCTGCCTAACCCGCACTCGCTCCTCGTTACCTAGCACCGGCTCGATCTTAGGGTAACTTTCTAGTGCAGACTTACGTACCCGTTCGGTTTTTTTCCTTCGACTCTTTCCGCCCCGAAACCCCTGTTCTCCCACCTTCCCGCTCTCACCCACTTATCTCGAGTCCCCATCTGCTCCATCTTCGATCCGGAGAACGCGACGTGGGCCAAACAACACTGGCACCATTGTCAATACAACGTGGATTCGATTACCCGTCACGGGGGCTGACCTCCCCTAGGGGGTCATCCTATATGCCCGAGACAGACGAGATGCGTCACGACTCGACGCGCACGCCTAGGGGCCTGGCCGCTGCCCATGCGAGCTCGACACAACCCCCCCCACGGCCACTCTGTTTCCCAATACCGGCGATGGCCAGCGTCCACTCGGCAGCGGTGGACACTTGGATGGTGGATTGCTCTGGTCTGCCTGCTGTCCTGGGCAGCGCCAGCAGCAGCGGTGCTGTTGAATTTTGACAACTGTCTTAGCAAAACCGACCTGGATTCCAATCCGCTGCCGCTCCAATACGTGCCCCTCGATGTCGCCGTCACATTTAATTTGAGCGACCCTTTACACCCTCTGAATGTGACGGTATACGGAAATGTGTCGGGCACGGCCGACGGACAGTCGAACTATCCCTCGATGGACAGCCCGTCGTGGAGTGATCCGAATGTCACTGTCGGCAAGATCGTGGACTTGAGCAGTACGAACAACAAGTACAGCACGCTGCTGACTTCGTTCGACGTGCTGAACTTTGCGGCGTATAGCAATCCTTCTCGGTTTTGCAAGTCCGTCACGCAGGGCGAGTGCCCGCTGGGCCCGGTCTTCAACTACAATCTGTAAGTCGATTCTTTTCACTTCGGCTCAGTCTCAATCTTACACGCCAATTCTACTAGGAGCGATTTGAGCACGCTGCGCGCTTTCTCTGTCCAACATAACATGGTTTCGACGTATCGCTTCTCCACGATTACACCGACGCTTACCATCCGATCCGGCGACGCGGACGCAGCTGAGCTGGGCTGTATAACGGTATCGGTCACACCCGACTTCGGGACAACCCTCAAAAATGCCCTGGCCTATGTGCCGTTGGTCATTTTGATCTTGGTTGGGATTGCAACGGTGACTGCGGCAATATACAGCCCTTGGGGAACCACGGATCCTTTTCGATGGACGAGCAATTATGGCCGCGACGAGGATGTCCTTCGACTGGTGACACCTGGGTTTGCGGATTGCCTGCAGTATCTGCAGTTCGTCGTGCTGACAGGCGCTCTCTCGTTGGACTATCCCGGATACTTCCAACCGGCCGTGAGCCACGGATCTTGGTCAGTACTTATGTTCAACCAGAGCTTTGTTCACCCTGATGGTGGCAATAATCCGATCGTGGATGGTGTCTATGCGATCAATGGAACCTATGGACTGGATCGGATGAATCAACTGGTTGGAATGGCCACCACGCGAGATATATGGCCGGGCATGATTGTCTGGCTGCTCATCATCTTGATCTGCATCACAGTACTGACTCAGATCGGTTTCGGACTACGCTGGCTCCACCGCGAGCTAGCGCATAATACAGAACAGGATCTGCGTTCCAAGAACATGCCTTTCACCGTCGGCAATATCATTCGAATCGTGTTCAACTTTCTGCTCCTCCCCATCATCTCGCTTTCTTTCTTCCAGCTGGTCATCGCCAGTGGGTCGCCAGCTTATAGCGTGGCATTGGCAGCACTGGTCATCCTTATTCTAATATGCTTCTCAATCTGGATGGTTCGTGTGATTGCATCGACTCGCCCCAAGGCTCATCTCTTCGACGACCTTCCAACAGTCCTCTTGTATGGACCGCTCTATAATACCTACTGTGACGATGCAGCTGCATTTGCCATGGTCCCCATCTTTCTCAACTTCGCCCGCGGTGTGGCCATTGGGGCTTTGCAGCCATCTGGAATTGCCCAGGTTGTCATGCTAGCCATCTGCGAAGTCGTCTCAGTGCTCACGCTCATAGCATTCCGTCCGTTCCCATCACCAACACAAATGAACCTTTATCATGGCGTCTTTTCCATCATCCGTTTTCTGACTATTGTCCTGAGCGTCGTCTTTGTTCCATCGCTCACAGTCTCAAATGCTACGCGCGGCTGGATCGGTTATGTAATTCTCATGTTGCATGCCTTGGTTCTTATCTTTGGATTCTTCCTGAATGCTCTCCAAACGTTGATTGAAGTCTTAGCAAGACTCGCTGGTGCTGGCGGTTCTACTCGTGGTGGCCTGGTCAAGGTCTTTGGCTTGCGGCAGCTGTCAAAGCGCACACCTAACCGCGATATTACCCGTCAGAGTCTCGGATCAGAGGCGGCCATGCTCGGACACGTCGATGATCGTATGTCGTCTCAGTTTGAGGGGTCCCGCCCCCGCAGTCTATCGGGAAGCTCTGCCTTACTGTTGAACCGTGCTACTGCTAGTGAGGGACGTGCCAGCGCAGTGCTCGAGTATGCCGGCTCGCAAAGTGGCACCCACAGCCGGGCTACTAGTGGTGCTTTCTATATACCGTCTCCCACCGCATACACCGGAGCTGGCTTCCCCAGTGAATCACCGAATAGCAGTACATTCATTGGCGCGCACCCTCGGGACCCCTATTATCGGCCACCTCGGCCTGGGCGCCGAACTTCTCAGCCGAATTCGCCGATCGAGCCTCCTCCTAAGGGGAAAGGACGCTCGAGGACCTTCTTGAAGCCGGCCCGGCCTGATACTGAAGAGGATATGGAAATTGGCCTGCCAATGTCCGGACGAGGCACGCCAACGCCGGCTTATCTGCCTGCCCCCAAGGATGATCTGGAATTGGAAGATCCTCGGAAGCGGAAGGATTATGCCGTGCGTGAGGTGGATTTCTATTATCGCGTGCGCGGTCCTCCACTATCGCATACTGGAACTCGCAAATTGAAGACTGGCCCTGCAGATCCTACAGGCCCCGTTTCTTCTGCGACTGGCTGGTTCCGCAACATGTTCCAGGGCAAGACCAAGGACAAAGCGAAGGGCTTCGAGGTCGTCCGAAGTGCTCGGGCGCCACCTCCCGGCCTCTTCCGGGGCGGTAGCTACAATGAGGAGTATCACGATGATCCCGATGATGCAGTGGCTGGCGGGCATTCTCGCCATGTCTCTGGCGGCGAGGAACCATACCGATACTCAGAAGGCGACCACGATGGTCAACGGTCCAGTGATGCACGCCCCCCAGTTCTACCCCAAGTGAACTCCGTCGGTAGCATCGAACTACCCAGCCGAGTAGGGTCCCGTCGTACCCAAGCAACATCGGAGGGCGTGGAGGGAACAGCCCAGCCCCTGCCCATCGTCACAGAAACCATCTCCCCGCAACCAAACACCGTCTCAGATCCCACCTCCCCGGACGGAGAGCACCTCCAACCTTCCTCCCCCGCCACGGCCCGCCTCCCATTCAGCGGAAGCAGCTCACCGTCCCAAGAAAGAGGCCATTCCGTCGCCTCAACCTCCGGCTCCCAAACATCATCCCACAAAACTGGCCGCCATGGTGTCCGTCCCGACCGCCCCTCAAGCGTGGGCTACGTCGCCTCCCACCGAACCCAAGACAACATCCACCATGGGAGCCCCGACGAACCCTCCTGGGCCGGTAGCACCGCTGAGCTAGTCGACGAGGCTGCACAGGGGGACAAGGAACGCGAGCACTAGACCCAATCTCAACCCCTACCACTTTTCAAGCGGTAGTGTACATTCAGATTATATCCTCACCATCACACGCACATGTATTCTCAAGCATTGAGTTGGATCGATGCCCGTGACGAATTTCCTTTATGTGCTTGCTCCCACAAAATTGTTTCGAGGCGTTTTTGTTTTCGAAGGTTTGCTCCCTTAGCTTGATACCGGTGTTTTAATCTGGATATTAATGAAGCGGCGCCGCTTAATTTCTTGACATTTACATTTGTTCTACGAGTAGAGTCCTATGACTAAAGTCATGTAGGAACACAATTCATGGATGTAATCGTGTGGTGGTTTCTGGGGTTCATTTCTGTGAATGCTTCATAGCTCGAGATTTGCCCTTACCACTTTGAACCGTAGGCTTCAAACTTTATGACTTTATCGTGGTCTAATCAGCTTGGTCATGGCAATTTTGGCTCCGTATTGATACAAACACTTGATGTCTATTTCCTAAGGTATTGACGGTTCTTTTGGTCAACCTGCATAGCCACCGTTTTGAGATAGGTCAGCCGTAATACTTGTGAGCCTTAAGTTTTGACATATATGAAACAAATAAGTTTCCGTAACATACCACTATTGTATGGTGCTCCACCTGTTGCGGCTCCTCAAGAATCGTTATACTTTCTTAATTAATCTTTTGTATGATGTTGAATGCCTGGTTAGGCTCTATCAGGTTAATTGAACTCTGATTGATTGATTGATTGATATAATGTTGAAAATGTTTATCTAAATACATAGTTCGCTAGTTGCAACCACGGGGTCAATCATAGATCACGACCTCGTGGGTGTTCCCGAAGTCGAAAATGAGTGATGATACTGAATAATCTGGTTCTCGATCTTGCGCACCATGGTCTCCATTCCTTGGCTGCCAACTGAGCCCAGATTCCGGAACTCAAACAGAGGAACGGACAAGTGCGGGTTCCCATAAATGCGCTCTCTGACCTCACCATAGGCTCCAATCTGGTGATCGAACCATCTATCATAGAATTCCATCAGATCCAAAGCACCCGTTGGCTCTTTTTTGTCCTTCGCAATAGATCCAAGGGCTTTTCTGGCAATCTCCAGCTTGCTGCCTTTGTTTTGGATTCCTTCCATCCAGTCTTTCACAGTAAATGACGTTATGTCCTTGAGATCTTTGTTGTTTTTGAACGGTGTGTCACCGTCAACTGTGAGTGTCCACTTTGAATTGATATTAGGAAGAGGCGTTGGCTTGTCAAGAGGTCCTTTGCACCATAGGCCGTCGATCCTAGTTAATTAGGGTTAATTTGGGATCTCAAAATCGGATATTCAATCTCAAAAGAGACACTCACTCGACCTTTTCCATCTCCTCCTCGGTAGTATCGTGACCATCGGGTTTGACATTCTTGTAGCATGCAAGTAATTGAACCAATTCATAGAGATCTTTGCCCTTCAGACTAGACTCTACTCCTTCGAATAAAGACACAAAGTTTGTCCGAGGCATGATGGGACTCCTGTTCTTGAAGCTTGTCTTGGCTGTAATCTCGGGGTCAGTTTTGACATAAGAGAGAACAAGGGAGAAGAAAGCCATCTCCTCTGCCGTGACGTCCTTAGCTTTGATGCCTTGTGGGGAGCTCTGGAAGAAGTTCTTATTGACCCAGACCATATCTTTTGCCATGCGCTGTGCTGCAGGCAAAAGAGGATTAGTCCACGAGTTTGACGTCTTTGCGTATTTGAATACGACATTAAGGGCAGCCATCGGTAGGGGAGCTGTGGCCTGAGCTTGCCACATGAGGGATTTCCAACCACCGGTTCTTTGGGGGTCCTTGATCTCCCAAGTTTTGCATTGGTTATTGACTGGGTCCACGAGAACAACTTTGTTGTTTTTAGAGGTCGCGTGGGGATCCCAACGTTCCTATGAGATACAAGGCTTGCGGTCAGTGGAGAGTTTCCCACAGGTAAAATTAGGATTTGGACTCACAATGTCACTCGCAACATCTTTTGCTGCTTGCACGGCTTGGTTTGTACCAAGCTTGATGATTTTGCCATTCAAAATATACTCCGCGTCAAGTCGGTTGCTCATTTCTGCCGTAGTGTCGACCGTCAAGTCCCAGTCGGTTGCTTGATGGCCCGAAATTGCCTTATTCTTAGATGCGAAAGTGTTCTCTTTGCCGCAATTTCCAACGCTGGTAAAGTAGAATCCACCAGTTTCAAATTCCACTCCAAGTCCTGCCGTTCGATCTGCTGTGGGACCATCTTCGAATGGATCAATATCAAGATCTTCCGCCTTGCAATCACTAAAGGGATCCGACTCGCCGGATGACGACTCGCCGGATGAGGGATCCTTGAAGGGGTCACTTCCACCGACAGGACCTCCTCGCGCATCAAGCGGAGCGGCAGAGGTGGTCCTAGAAAATGAAAGGAAGAAGAAAGCGAGTAGGCATAAACCCAGTTGGGCTGCAAGAAGACGGGAGCGAAACATGATAGAGATTTTGGTCTCGTAGTTTCAAGTTGCAATTGGAGTACTGATGAGGCACTAACGTACGAGGAAATAGAGCAATATAAATATTTTGGTCCATGGAATTGGCCCCCGTTCGTCTTCCTTGACGGATGAGACTCATGCCCACCACCTGGGTCCGTAGACAATCAATTGGGGCTATTTACAGAATCTTGGGGCGATAGGATCGGGGGCCTTAGGAACGGCCCTTAGTCGTCTTCTTAAAGGCATGAGACCCTTGCCGAGGTCCGTGGGCAATCAGTTGAAGCTATTTACGGAATCTGGGGCCATAGAGAGGCCGTATGAACATGAATTCAACTTTGAGGGACCGAGGAGTTCGTTTGATTAACTAATGCCTTCCTCCAGTGGAGAACGACGGACGATTTACCTATGAACATGCAGGATACTGAACAAGTCCCGCTCACGGCGCATTTGATGAACATGTCACCAGTGACAAGACACAGTATAGCGAATGCCCTCAGCCCCGGAACAAGATCACACCAACTCCAAATCAATCTAGCCAACGCTTCCGAAAGCTAACTAAAGCTTGGTGATACTTGGCATCGGCCCGCTTCAGGGGTTTGGGGGCCGTCAGGGCCAAAAATATCCCCTTGGCATGATTGCTGGGGCGGTACATAGGGGGGGGCGGGGATGGTAAGTTGGGGCGGGGCCATATCTTGGAGCCGTCAGGCTGAAACATTTGGACTTCTTCAAAACAAAACTCAGGTACCCCAACTTGCCGTCTGCCAAATTCATACTCCTTTTTATCCTTTCCAATCTGTCACTGCAGTCTAACCCTCATTTTCATATCATGGCTTTAATGCATGATCAGTCTGTGCTATCTTCACTTCCAGCTGATTTGATCCTCTGTGTTTTCTGCGCTTTTTCTACCTTTGCCGATGTACTGCATTTTGCTGCATCCTGTCAAAAGCACCGACAGATTCTCCATGACAATGTCTCCACCATTTATCACCGTGTGAGTCCAAGGGCAATCCCTTGTCGACGCTATGCGCGAAAGCTTTTAGAAGATCAAGGGGGCTCCCTGTCATACCAGAATCCAACGATTTCAGACTTCTTGCAAATGACTCGGAACTTCGTCGTCATGGAGAAATCTATCGACCAATTTAATGAGAAGGTCGTCGCTGAGATGGCGAGACCAGGTTCAGTTTACAACCGTATGTCGGCCCGACCTATGAACCTACATTTGTCTGACCTCTCAATAGGAGGCTATGGTGGAAAGGAGTTTCGCGAGGGCAGTCCACGTTTTCCGCACCTTACTGAATCTGAGCGCCCACGATTTATTCGAGCAGCTTACCAAATGTGGAGCCTGATTCTCCTCGATTCTACACTGAGGGAGCTTAGAATAAGCACACTCAAGTTCAAAGACATTCAAACTCTCATCGACTTGGTGGAACTTTGTCGCTTCAGAGGGTTTTCGTTGATTCTAGACAAACAAACGATGGAGTTAGAAGCGCAAACTCTGGGCCTGCTAGTAGACATTGCCTTCATTTCACTAAAATCAGCTGCTGAGCTCATCATTGCGAAATTTTATACGGAAGAAAGAAGATATTGCCCAACCCTCCCATACGAAATAGCATACCGGGGCTGTGTCTCTATTTGGGATAACTGGACAGATTACAAGAAAGATGTTATCTTACAAGGACTGAATGGACGGAAACAGGATAGGCCAGTCTCGGAGGTTTGGTATGAAACTTCTGATGAGGAGTTGATGGGCTAGTTTGTTTGATATAGCGATTGTATCATAACTCAACAGGCTTTGGGAACTTGTTTTGTCGTACAATTAAGCAAATTGATGGAGCAGCCTTTTTTCGTGATTGCGCGCATCCCAATGGCGCTTTAGACCCCTAGTCACGACCCTAGTTTACGAGCGGGTGTCGGGCTCTCAGGCCCAAGCTTTCTTCTTCTTCTCCATCCTACTCTTCTTTCCTTATCCCAAGGCCTTCTGTATCCTACCCACTACCACGCTCCACCTTTTGAAGGTAAGCTGGTTCCACTTCATCTCTTCTCAGCTACCAAGGAGTAATCCAATGACAATGCCTGAAATTCTCACTGAGATTCTCCCGGATCTAGCGCATCTAAATCTTCATCAGATCGAAGCGTGAGAAGCGGATGAATAGGAAGGGGAATGCAGATAAATGGCAGGGATCTTACGACCCCATGTATAGACAGTCGCGGTAGCAAGCCGGATAGATCTCGGCCTCGGCCCGAATCTGCCAGTTTCGACCGTATTTGCGGTCTCACCGCCTTCAAGTCCCAAGGCCCCACTGATAAGGCAGACCGGACCCAAACTTCACCCTCTTGCATACCCTCCGGGCTTGGTGACGGCTGTATCTCCAGTCAGTAACTCACAACAGCCGCAGTATAGATCTTGTCGACCTTTGTGCGCTTCACCGCTTCACCTTTATTTCAACTCTGCATTTTTCCAGTAGTTTTACTGGTCGATAAGGGGTCACGAGACACCACACCTCCCTCTGCCTTTTTATCCATATCTCAGTTAATCATCACTTTCGCGTCGAATAACCGTCATTTCCCCTTTGAATACCCATCATTTAATCGTCGGAGGACCGCTCGAGCCACCACGAGGATATCCTCTCCCGCATTCTCGAACGATATTGTCATCGAAGATCCCATGACGGACAAGACACTGGATGCTCGAGGCTGGTCTCGATGCCAATAAGGACTTTTGATCCCATCACCCGGAATATACGCAATATTTCATGATGTCTGGCCCAAGCACCACATCATCAACACCTCCCTTGACAAGTCCTTTGTACGCAAGCGAGAGTGGCGAACCTCGAACAGTCGAGGACAACGAAAGGCTGAGCGCTGGACGCCAGGCCGGCGTTGAGATCGGAGACGAGGGGTATCACCGAATAGAGCAATCACCAGGCGCTTCGCATCACCGCGGAAACGCACAGAGTACGGACGAATACCCGGAACTTTCCAGACAAATGAGCTCCCCGCACGTCACATCATCAAGGTCAGGCCTCACGCCGATTGACCTCACGAGGCCGATGCCTTCACACCCAGCAAGACACCGAAAGCGGCGGTTGACAAGCCTTGGGGAGCATCCTCGTCTTCAACGCACTCGCTCCGGAGAAGCGCCTACCCGCGAATCTCATCCCCGAGCGGCATTTCCTCATCGATCGGTGTCCATGATTGTCCCATCGTCGAGAGCTGGCTCTTCCACGGCACCGGGGTTGTCATACGCCACGGCCATCGACATAACGTCGTCTCCGCCTGGCCATGACGAAGAGAATTCACTACGCCGTGATGACCAGGGTAGTCATCATCATCAGCCAGCTGAGGGGACTCAATATGCTCTGCGGCAAACAGATACCCTTCGTGAAGCTGGTTATTTCGCAGGCTCATCGGCATCTTCAAGACGGGCCTCAGCACTGTCTATCACGGCAAACCGCGATAGGTCTGATAGGCTTAGACAGAGTCAAGGGTCGTTCACAGAGCAATGGCCGGAAACCTCTGCTAGGCAAGTCGGCCCTGTGAATTCATTATCACCCTCACGAATGGCTTCACAACATGGGGAAGGGAGCACCGGCCATCAATATTATGGAAATGTTGAAGCGGAGGCAGAGTTACCAAGGTGGCAGCCCGATTCAGAAGTGACAGAATGCCCAATCTGCGGGACAGTGTTCAAACTTTGGTATCGTAAACATCATTGTCGAAAGTGCGGCCGCGTGGTTTGTGCTTCGTGTTCGCCTCACCGAATTACCATCCCAAAGCAGTACATTGTCCGTCCGCCTGGCTCCTCACATCCTACATCCCCACCAATTCCTCTACCTCGTCAAGTCATTGATCTTACTGTAGAAGACCTCGTTTCTTCATCATTTATCAATCCTGCTCTGGGAGGTGGCGAAGAAGTTCGTCTTTGCAACCCCTGTGTCCCCGACCCAAATCCCCATCCTCTAAACTATACGAGTGTACGGCCTCATGGCCATCGCCCTACCCAGTCACTATCTTCCACCATGCTTCCACCCACCTCCGCGCGTCGACCGTCTGCGATCCGTCTGGTAAGTCAGAAAGCTATTTTTATCTGACACACAAAGCTAATTAATTTCCTCAGGACGATACTCGTCAGGAGCGACGGCCGATGGAATCATACCGTCGCCTCTCACTCCGTCAGGAATCTGGTCAGGAAGGCCGCCACCCCTACATTTATGACCCGTCTGGTCGCTCCTATGACGAGGGAATTCGCCGAGGCACTCGTCGATTCACTGGCCCTCCTGCACTGCATTCATCCGGTGCAGCCTGGCCTCCGCCGGCTCAAAATGACTCTCGCAGCGCTCCCGTGTGTGAGCGCGACCTATGCCCGATCTGTAGTCTTCGTTTCCCTCCCCTCAGTGCCGATGCGCCAGTTGAGTCTCGAGAAGCTCATATTGTGCACTGTATCGAAAACCGTGTCGCGCCAGCCCAGCTGGAGTCCTCGACGACAGCTCCATCTCCAGCATCCGCGATCGCACGCATGGTCACATTTATGGCCACTGAGAAGGACTGTCTTAGTGGACCGAACGAAGCGGCAGAATGCTCGATTTGCATGGAGGACTACGAGGTCGGCCAGGATCTCGTCCGCCTTGAGTGCCTCTGCAAGTTCCATAGAGAGTGCATCGTGGACTGGTTCAAGCGGAAGCCGGAGTGCCCGTTGCACTGGGTGTCGTCGTAAGTGCCATGTGCGACGGGAAGCTATCGCCGAAAATTTCCCTTCCGCTCGACTATTTACCGACCAGAGGGCTTGCTCTTTTTTTTGTTCTTATCTCTTGTTTCGATACAGAGCCGCCCTGTAGAGGAGTTTTCTTTTGCTCTGTGTATTATTACCCCATGATATGATGAATGAAACGAACTCAGCATAAATTTCGCTGTAAAGATTCACTTGAAAGTATTCATGAAGAATTTAGACGTCGAGAGGATACGTATTTAGCTGTATACAGTTGTTACGTTGGGGACGGTCACGTGCCGGGCTGCCGGGGTCGTCATCGTCCGCTTAAAACAAACTGCGATTTCGATGAACTCGAGGTTACCAGGCGTCGTTTGATTCTCGGACCGACTAGAGCTTATCTGATTTCTGCTCGCGTGCTGGGAAGCCCTGATTACACCGCAGCAGCCACTTGCAGTGCACCTCGAGAGTTGCAACGTCTAGGCATCGGCGGTCGGTGCTTTCATCCACCGTGCTCCGTTCCATCTCAGCTTGTGAGGCACGAAGCAGCCACCACGTAGGATTTGTCTGCACTGTAAGTTCAGGCATTTATTGATGCATTATTGGCAATAGTCATTGGGTATAGTGCAAAATATACTAACATTCGCTAGCCCAGTGGTTCCAGGCTGATCAACTGCCCCGCTGCAATTTAACGTGCACGGCGTTGGCTTTTGCCGTCCCGACGGACAGCGACCATGTCCGATTACCCGGAGCCACCGTCGCACATGGCCATGCATTCTCAAACCGGGGATGATTCCCCGGGCGATCGGGCAGCATTCTCCATGGGTTCGCACCCTGGCGCCACCTCCACTGAACCCGAGGATCATCAGGTGGATCTTAAACGGCCCCGGGCTTGCGAGCCTTGTCGCCAGCTTAAGGTCCGGTGTGACCCGGATCCAAGTAATCCTGACGGACCTTGTAAGAGATGCGCCAAGGCTCGTCGTACATGTGTTGTGACGGCGCCGACTCGGAAACGCCAGAAGAAGACGGACAGCCGGGTGACGGAGCTGGAGCGAAAAATCGATGCTCTAACTGCTACGTTACAGCAATCGCATAGTGGTGCGTTTGGGGTGGCGCCTCCAGCGCAACAACAGCCGTCACAGCCGCCCAATCGCGACGACCAGCCTTCCAATCGGTGGTGGAACCCTAGTTTGGCGGGGAATAAGCGCAGCCACGACGAGCTTCTGGCTTCGCAGTATTCTCGTTCTGACAGTCCATCTGCAGAGCAAATACACAAACCCACAGCCTCGAAATGGCGTGGTCCCTTTGCCGGCGAGACTGCACCACCCAAGGTTGAAGCTGCCACTGAATTTGTGGATGTGATTGATAGAGGACTCGTCGATATTGAAACTGCTCATGCTGCCTTTAACCGCTATGTCAATCAAATGGCAGTGGAGATGCCTATTGTGGTGTTTTCGCCAGGCACGACCATGGCCGATGTGCGCCGTGGGAAGCCTACATTGTTTTTGGCCATCCTTGCTGTTGCCATGGGCAAATTCAACAAGGAGGCTCAGCCCACCCTTTTGACTGAGATTTATAAATTGATAGCTGATCGCGTCATTGTTAGAGGTGAAAAATCTATCGAGATTGTCCAGGCGCTCTTGGTCTGTACAATCTGGTACATGCCTCCAGATAATCTCGAGGAGCTCAAGTTCTATCAGCTCGTTCACATTGCTGTGGTCTTGGCTATGGACCTCGGCCTCAACCGCCGTTCTCAGGGAGATCTCAAACCTTTTGCGCGTCTCAGAGAGATGCTCATCAAAAAGCCCCAGGGTCCAAATGTTGATCTTAGTGGGCCGGAGGCGAAACGAACATGGTTGGGATGTTATTTCATGTCCGTTCAGTGAGTTTAACCCAACCTAGATGAAGGTATTTGAAAGTGCACTAATATAAATAGGGTGACCGTGGCCTTGAGACGAACCCATCTCGTCAGGTGGCAGCCGTACATGGATGATTGTCTTCAGGTCCTGGAAACACACCCCGAGGCCTTACCATCTGATCGGCAAGTTATTTGGTGGGCTAAACTTGGTTTCATTCTGGAAGAGGCCGGAGTGCAGCTCTTGAGCGATGATTCCGAGGCTCCGACCTCGTTTGCAGATAGCAAAACGCGGTACACCATTAGGGCATTCAACAACCAGCTGACGCAATGGAGGAAGGAGGTCCCGGAGGAATTATTCACAAGTAGGTCATGCTCTATACACTAGGTCAATTTGTTTAACGCCTTCGCAGTTCCCATGGCACATACATACTATGTCGCCAACCTCTTTGTGCACGAAAGTGCTATGAGCATCGATTGCAAACAGAGCGTCATCCCCAAATCCCCAGGAAATGACGACTTACCCACCTCGGCTATTGCGCCGCTCATTGATGCACTCACTACATGCATCCGCTCGATCCATCAAAGTCTGGATGCAATTCTGTCAGTCGACATAGAGCGTCTGACGTGCCTGCCGACTGTTGCTCTGGCCCGAACATCTTACCCGGTTATCAGTCTGATCAAAATCTACTCTCTCCTCACTGCGAGTGAAACACGCATTGGTCAAGTCATCGACATGCAAAGTCTCAAACTCGAATCCTACCTCGAAAAAGTCATCAATCACTACCGCGCCGCAGCAGCTCTTAATGAAGGTAGAGCCCCTTCCAAATTCGGAAACATCATAATGATGCTACGGAACTGGTTCATCAAGAAGAAAGAAAACGGACCAGCATTGAGAGAGATTTTTGGAACCGAGATGCGGTCAGACACACCGACTGATAAACCAGCTCGACCACAACTTGATCAAATTAAACAAGGCGCAACACCACTCGATCTCCTCAGCGAAGTCGCCACAGGAAACCAACCCAGCCGAGCCCCCTCGAACGGCTCAATCTCGCACCATTCTCACTCCGGCCAAGGGTCACTTTACTCCCCAGCAACCATAAATCAAAATAATCCAAGCTCAACAACGCCTGGAACCCCGTTCGCTCCAGCTGAAGCACCGACAACATCATGGCCAACACCGTCCTTCACACCCTCCATATCCGGCCCCTCACATCCAAACATGGGCAGTCGCGCTTTCTACCAACCCTTCACACCAACAGACCGCGCAACGCCGTATAACGGTGCACCTTCTACGATGGGTGGTACATATGCGGATATGTCGACAGGCATGCTCGGGCAGTCGATGGGCATGGACACTAGGTTGGGCATGGAGGAAACGTTTGATCCGGATAATCTGTTTGCGCTGGGAACCATGATGGATGAGGGCTTGTTTACGTTCCCGTTGGCTTTTGACGGAAATTTCCAGTTTTAAATTGGATTGTACATCGTTGCTGTAGGTTTGTGGTTGAACTTCTCTTCTCTCTTATACCCCTGACAATAGCTATTCTTTGTCAGCAATCCATACTCATCTCCACCTCCATCCGTCTTGTCAGACTCAATCACGGTTTTATCTCCAGCACGTGGCTTTCCGAGTGGTTCCCAGTGGTCAGATTATAAGCCAGAGAAAAATACCCCCAGGTAAATTGATATTATAGAGCTCGCTGTCCCTCCACCGGAGTATCCGGCTAGCTAATATGAAGATAAGCGCTTGGAGAGAGGAAATTTGGATCGACAAATCCATTGTGGGTCTTGCATACCAAGCCAGCAGCCGTAAATATCTCATATCGAATGCAAAATACCCCAATGCCAGGTCTAGCGCTGGACTATGTGAAGATGCTTAGGCTCACCTAAGATGTAATGAGCTATCGGCACAATGGCTGGGAAAATGCCTTTGCCGAAGTGCATCATCCGATATCCACTTGCCGGTCCCGCCCCTGGAAGAACGCATGTTCGGTCCACATCTTTTGGATGAGCTACAAGCCCCGTTAACACCTGCTCCCCCTCCATCCTCTCACACATCTGATTATTGGAAAGAGCGCACTATCCGGAGTGGAGTCACCAAGCGAAACGTATGAGCATTAACTCGGGTATATGAACTTTTATATCACTGTCGATTGAAATGGGTATATTCTATTCACCTCGGACTCCCCTGCCACGTTTGCAGAATCCGCTGTTCCACGTAAGCCCACGGCCATCCGTTATCCCGTTCTGTACGGCGGAGCAGATCAAATAATAGATTCTGCGCCTGAGGATCATCGATCCATGAGCTGCCTATAACCAGGCATTAGTACTGAGCCAATAAGTCGAGGAAGATGGTGTAGAACGTACAAGCACACAATGCATGACAAGCCATGATCCGCAAAGATGGCTCGTCGTCTGCCGACAGAGCAATGCCCCAAAGGTAATTCAGGTTGTCTGAGATTTGTTCCTTGATGTACATGTGATGCTCGGCAGACATCAACCCCCTGTCATATACTTCGAATTCGCGAATCAGCAGCAGCGCCTTGGCAAGACATACATGCTGCATAGCCGTAGCTGCCAAGAAAAAGTTATCAGCATAAACCCTTTTTAATCACAGAGCGAACAAAATCCCAGAATTAAACTCACAATGCCATAAACTCGTGTACCAAACCACAGGAAACGGCTTCCCTCTCCCATGATCTGGTGGTGATACATGCAACGGCGTAAATGTATCCGGCCTCCCAGTCTCCCAGTCCCGAATCCTTTGCTTCAGCGCATTCTCCCCCGCAATGCCGAGATGACCACAATAATTCCGGCCCGAGACATTATAGCAAAACTCCACGGTCTCGGCAAGAAGCCAAATCGCTCGGTTAACCCAGTCGCGCTCGGTACACGGCTTGGCGACCCACCAACGACGAAGCCGATCATCAAATGGCGCGAAGCTCAGGCGAAGACATTTCTGGTACGTAAGCGCGAATTGAATGTCTTGGATTACGAAGACCCAGAAGGAAGCCGACGTGAGGCCGGGTGAAATAGCGCAGTCCACATGTGAGCTGATATAGACGGATCCGGCGAGGAGGTGGCGTTGCGGGTCGTTCGAGGGGGTGTGGGCTGCTAATGTCAGTGGGGGAGTCGGGAGTTGACGGGGTGAAATGCGCACAGGAGATCTGTTCAAAGAAGCGGAGGATCACGGTTGAGCTTAGGAGGATGTCGAGGCCGATTTCAAACTCGGGTTTGTCGAGGACTGGGAGCATGATTGAGACGCAGCGCTCATGATAGCTGTCTGCGACCTCGGGGGAGATCGTGTTTGCCGTTCGGGATAGATGGCATGCTGATACAGCCAGGCAGGCGTACAGCAGCAGTGGGGATGAGCTAGCTCGCCCGGCTACATCTGCGCAGAAGTGTCGTTCAGGATCGCCCGCGTCGAGCTGGACTTTGGTTAGAAGCGCGGTCTGCTCAGGGGAAAAGTACTTACCCAAGGCGCTAGATGGATTTGGAAATGTCGGAGTAGGTAAGCTTCCGTTACGCTTGCCAGTCGTGGTTGACAAGGGGTTGTGCTAGATGATCGAGGTGAGTTGGCCGAGTTGGAGCGTGTCCCGGCTTGAGAGTCTGCGATGTAAAGTGGAAGTCTGGTGCTTGAGCTAGGTAAAGAAGGGTCCATAGTGGACGAGGAGGTAGAGCGAGCTTCGGACGGTGACCTGGAGAGCGATTTATTGCTCGCCGTCGGCACGACGTGATACTCCGACGCGGTCTGGTTGGTTTCATCTTTGAAAGAATCTGGCAAGGATGAGAAAGTTTCCAGATTCCAAATCTCCAAGGGAGGGCATACATTCTGAGGATGTTTCGACCCAAATTTGGTCATCAGGAAAAGTCAAGTCGCTCTCCCCGTACCTCGGGGGCCCCTTTCCTCGCAAGGAAGGATTCTGACCATGCCGAAAGGAAACTTCCTCAGATTTCCCCGGCGCAGGCACGCATTCGCGGCCAGATCGCTGGCAGCGCAGACATTTCGTTCCTGATTTGTCACCTGGAAGCCGTTAGATCCGATTCCTGCAAGTGACGAGCGATGACATACATTTCAGATGGCGCAGACGACATGTGAGGCTAAACAAGGTCAGTATTTTCACGAATCCTAGAGAAGACAACCACGGACCATCCCCTCATTACGCAGAGTGGCGAACAACGACACGATCAAGGAAAGAGTTCCAGCAGGACATAGTCAGCATCCCAGGCCCGAGGATGCGAGATATAAGATGCAAAGTACGATCATGAAGTTTGAGTAGTAATTATCGATGGCGGAGATAAAGTGGGGTGGCCAATCCCTGAAAATGGACGCTGATACACCGGCAGATCATCATGAGGCCAACGCAGAATTTTTGGGGTACAACCAAACATCGCCCCGGGTGAGTTGGAGATTAGCTCGACGTTGAGCGGAGCAGGGGCAGCGGTTGACCGGGTTTCGAATGTCCTGGAACTTCACTGGAATTGGCTGCTACTGATACCCGGACAGGGCAGCGCCATTGTTCCTCATCCTTTTCCCAGCGCTAGCTGCAACAATCCCCACCGGGGCCCGTTTTGACAGACTCCTGCTGTATTTGGTTGGACGGCACGCGCCCCCACACGTCCGCGACAAAGTTTTGCTTGCCCCCCCCGATCAAAACCGATCTTTTCCCGAAGGAGATCTTGGATGCGTTCTGGCCGATTGCGGCTGCCTTCGGGAACATGGCAGGCAAGAACAAGCGAGTAGGTATAGAAGAGCGATGTATCTGGTCGAGAATTCTTTTCTTTTGCCATCGGGTCGCCGCGTAGCCCCCCCCTATGTTTTCTGGTTTTCTGGTTTTTTCTTTTCTTTTTTTCTTTTTTTTTCTGGGTATGTAGTGCATTTTGTATTTCAGTGAGATTTGTGGGATTGGGCCAGTACCCCAGTGCAGATTATCGACAGTGTACTGTACTCCGTATTGGCGTACGCATTGACCCGGAGCCAATAGTACATGAGCGGGACGACGTGAGTCTCCAATAATTGTAAGCCGGAGATTGTTCGCTCTAGGATCCAACCTGTGATAGACCTGCCCAGGTGTGGGTGTCGTCGGTCAAGCAAGCTTCGAAAATAAAGTGGAAACACTAGCGTCATCCGTTGGGACCGTCACCGAGTACTCCGTACGGAGTAGTTGGCCCTGGCCTGACGTTTGTTCGACCATGTGGCGGTCACGGCACTCCAAACTCAAATCCAGCACGAGGAATGGGTAAGGAGATAGATCATTGGATCGGCAACGCCGGGATCAAATCGTACCTGACAAATCCCGCACCGGGGTGGTGGAGCCTTCATTAAAGTAGAAGTATCGGGCGCGATTTCGGGTTTTCATTTCGTTAGGACCCGTGGATGGCAAGCTCCGGACCCGTCAAACCCTGCAGATCTTGGGGAGCCGTGCGCTGGATGCCGATGCCGTGATTCGTAGGCCGGCCAACAGGACGCGTCTGCAGGTCCTCATCTGGGCAGGTTGGAATTGCTTCCCGTTGGTTCCGGAGAAAATCCCAGACTGGTGTATGTTCGTCCGTGGTTGATGTGGGGAGCGCAGATGCCGAGTCTTCCAGCTGCCTCTTTGAGCGATAGCTGCCGAGTTAGGTTTGGATCGCATATTGACGCCCGATCGGGCATGACACATCAGGGGGGATCCCCGGGATATCAATGTATCCGTTGGTCCATTTATCCGAACAACTTTAACCATCTGCAATCAGCAATCAACCGAACGTCGGGTCACCTGACTCGTTATCGGTTGGCCATGACGTGTCGAGATAAGAACTGGGAACCGGGAATACTTGGGCTTGGAGAACGTCCATTACCGCCAACACCTTGCGTCGAGTGCAGCTTCGGAAGTTGCCCTGTCGACCTTTTCTAGAATGTCCTGAAATGTCTCTCCCACGCATCTCCTTCCTCGAAGGATGGGATCGCTACCCTGGTGCCCGCCACGACGCGGCACTATCAGATACAGAATCAGAGAATGCAGACCTGCCGTCTCCGTCTCCGTTGTCGTCGTCCTTCCCCTCCACGTATAGCAGGCTTAATTTCAACCCGTATGCGGGGCCTGGTTGGAACGAGAGTGTCGACGATCGTGATGATCGCCCCTCGTTGTTTGGATCCATGCTGTCGCCGACGGCGACGCGGGACGGTCGAGTGGAGCCTTCCCCAAGCGCTGACCTTGGCCCTGGCTCTCCCGGGTCCAAGGATCTCTGGACAGAGACAAGGCCTGCTTATGAAGTTAGCCCCGCTAAGCGCATCGGTATGCCGAACTTTCGTTCTGTAGCCACGGAACTAACGATTTTTAGTCCAGGTGTGTCTAGCGGTGCTGTACTGCTTTCTGGCCGCTGGAATTGTGTTCGGCTTTGCTGCCATCAAGCCGGTTCTGATCCGCGAGAATGTATATCGTAACCTCTGCACTCAGGAGGAGCTGGAGGAGCATGTTTACGTCTGCTATGGCCAGGAAATACGGTACCTCTTTCAACGCTTCGGGCAGAATAAACACTGATCAAGTATGACAGGTTGAATCTCATGTTCACCATTGCCGCTGTTGCAACCAATGTCTCCGCGCTGCCCGTAGGAACCATTCTGGATGCGTACGGCCCTCGGGTGTGTGGCCTCATCGGCAGTCTGTGTCTCGCTCTTGGAGCCGCGCTCTTCGCATTCGCCAACCAATTGCCCTTTGATGGGTACATCCCGGGATACCTACTGCTCTCTCTGGGCGGCCCGTTCGTCTTCATCTCATCGTTCCATCTATCCAACACGTTTCCCACGCGGTCGGGACTAATCCTCTCCATGCTGACCGGCGCCTTCGACGCATCCAGTGTCCAGTTCCTGATTTTCAGGCTTCTAAACGAGCACACGGGTGGCTACGTATCAAGCCAGAAGTTCTTCTTGGTTTATCTCGTCGTCCCGATCTTCATCGTCGCAGCCCAGATAACAGTGATGCCAACAACATCCTACAAAACAGCCGGCGAATTGCTCCAACAAGCGTCGGTGCACGTCGCCGATGAAATCGCCGACCGCGTAGACGGGACAACCCAGGATGCCGAGCGCGAGCGGAGCGACCGTCGTGCCCAGCGACAGAGTATCGTAAGCCAGATCCAGGGCCTCCTGGACGACGGCACAGCATCGATAGCATCCGGTGGCATCGATGATTCAATCTTTTATCCACTCGCTCAGCCCACCACAGACCCACCACAGTCCCAACCCATCCCCGCAAACACACCCAAGACGCACACCAGCGGCGTCTGGGGCGTACTCCACGGGAAAAGCGCACTACAACAACTAACCACACCATGGTTCGTACTAATCACGCTCTTCACGGTCATAATGATGCTTCGCATAAACTACTTCGTCGCCTCCCTGCGTCAACAATACAACTACCTCCTCAATCCCACACTCGCACGAAAAGTCAACACCGTCTTCGACATTCTCCTTCCCGTCGGTGGACTCGTATCCATCCCATTCATCGGCACCTTCCTAGATACATTCCAAACGCGCACCGTGCTCACCATTCTCGTGGTAACGGCCACCGCTATCGGTATCCTAGGCTGCATTCCAAATAGCGTGGAAGCGGCGTATGGAAACATTATGCTTTTCGTACTCTATCGACCATTCTATTACACCACTGTATCGGATTACGCGGCCAAGGTCTTTGGATTCCAGACATTCGGCAAGGTTTACGGGTTGATTATTTGCTTGGCGGGTTTTGGTAATTTTGCACAGGCGGGACTGGATACGCTGACGCTTAAGGTGTTTGGCGGGGATCCGGTGCCGGTCAATGCTTTCTTGACTGTTTTGGTTACTGTTGTTGGGGGTGCTCTGGTGGCGTTTGTGAGTTGGAAGACGTCTGTTATTGCTGCTCGGGGTCACGCGAGGCCTACTGCCGAGATGAGACCGAGTCACAATGATAATGGTGTCTATCCGGAAGGAGTGTTGGCTAGAGATTGGGAAACGAGACCTCTTCTTTCCGATGATGATGGGCGCAGGGCCTACGGGTCTTGAGCATGAGTTGGATGAAGGTTTCTGGCGGATGCCGATCAGTAGATCTTCCTGTTCATATCTCAATGATCCGTATATAACTTCGATCAGTCACTGAATGTTACACATTCTCCTTAAAAGTAACCGCGCAACAATCAAGATCAAGAAGCAAATCATCCCCTCACACTAAGTGGCAGCGAATTGGGGGCCCAAAACGGCTGTTTTTGATGCCATTTGAGCCTCCTATGTCATAATCTTAAGACTTGAAATTCATCACACGTGATTTATGCTACCATACGTGTACTATGTGCAGGTGTTCACTGAGCACTAATGGTTGCCTAGCGATTAGTTCACCCTCTACTTAGGTTATTAAGAAGATCGGGTACTGTGCGTTAGGCCGTTCTCGTCGGCGAATTTTGAGTTGATTAAACTGTACGACGAGCAATTCATCATAATAATCATGAAATTAAAACCAATTACAGCAGAGCAGCCACAGCAGCAGCAACCATGGGAGCAGCCGTAATGAAAGCACCCGCAGGGCCAGCGGCAGCTGCGCCGGTCTTAGTTGCCGCGGGAGCCGTAAACGAACTCAGTCCCCCAGTGACAGTCAACCTATAATAAGAATTGGAGATCGGCATGGAGGTATAAGTCGCACTGCTGGTGGTGGTAACATCGTACTTGCCACCGTTGTAGGTCCCGCTCATTTGCGCACTCATAGTGCAGCTAGCTGACTCGGTGGAAGACTTCAGAGAGCACTCATAGGACTGGGTGACAGTGATATCGTAGCTGGTAGACTTGTCGGAGGTGGATGCGATATATTTGCCCGTGAAGCTGACTGTCTCGGGGCCTTGGATGATGGTCCACGAAGTGGGGTAGTCGCAGTCTGTCTTGGGGGCGCCCTTCACGCAGCCGACGTGATATGTGGCGGCCTCGGCGTTGATGCCGGCGACGCTGGCGGCGGTGCTTATCCAGCCGCCGTGGCTGAGCAGGCCTGCGGACCAGGGGGGAATGAAGTAGCCAATGATGGTGGAGCTGGCATCGTCGGCTTTGGCGAGCGTAGCAAGGGCTGCGGCGAGGAAAATGGAGGTGCGCATGGTGATGGTATTTTGTCCTTTTCAAATGAAGGGGAAATACAGGAGGAGGTGCAGCAACATAGCGGCGGACGACTGCGTCCCTTTAAATGGAAGGAAAACCAGGTACCTATCCTATGAGGCTTCGCTTAATTAGTAGCCTCATCGAAGGTGAGACACCAGCTGTACTCAGACCAACCAGGGACCGGCAGGGTAGCATAGTTCGTCCCGTTTAGCCTTAGGATGATTTCTTAGTGGCCCGAGTCACATTTTGTTGATCACTCATTGGATCTTGGAGCGCTATGGCTGATGCAGGACAAGGCTAGTGTTCGGTATAATACTAGCTCAATACGGGAAGGGTTCGTGTGTAGAAAACCAGTTTAACGTCCACAGGTCCAATCCCTGAGGCGGCTGCAGTTGCTGACGGATCGTATGAGTCAGAGTAGTATTTCGTGAAAAGTTATATAGTTAAAGCACCCGTCCTTTCAATGCCTGCGCCCGGAGAAAGACGCCTCCTGATCTTTTCAAGATCTATTGAGCCAAGGCACAGGCGTCCCACCGGAGATATAACCCCTATTTTGCATAGCATGGATTTATAAAGTCGGGGGCCAGAAATAGACATCATGTGACACAGTATGATAGCCTGAGTTAAGTTATTAGAGTGAATTTGTGTTGATACTCCTGGAAAGCCTGGCAACCAAGGATCTTGGCGATAGCTTAGCGCGGTCTCTAGAGGCTCTGGGTCGCCTCCGCTGGGGTCCACAATTAAGGCCCAAGAAATAGAAAATCTGGAGAGCTAAGGCCTCAAGCGATGGATCTTTTACCAGGGTAATAAGACCACTATGTTGACCCTCTCGGCAGTCAACATGCCCCTCCATATAGTGGAGCCGCTAAAGTATCTCCTCTCTCCACGACAAGTCCGTAAAACACTATGGTTGCGTGTGCCATGTCACCGACCCAGGGAGTCTATTGTTGATAGAATCTTTAGCTTTACTCCTACCAATCTTCAGGTTAGATGGCTGGACAAATAGAAGAATGGATGGTAGAATGGATGGAAGAGTGGATATATCGTGTAGAAGGCTCCACTTTGGGAGTTAGTCGCCCGCCTCACCAAGAAGTGCAGCCCGAAATATCACGCTGACTGCTCTTTTTGATATGTAAATCGCCCCTACTGCCAAGTAAACTCTGGAGGCCTAGGCCCACGATCCGTGATCAAGCTCATGGTAACCAACCACCTGCCAGCCATATTCCCCATGACAGCTCCATTTCACTCCGTACATCCGATCTATATCTAGAGTCTTTATTCATTACTCTCAAGAGAACCAACAACACTTCAATGCCCATGAACTCAGCCCAAACAAATATCCGAACTTCAACTTGGGACTCTGGAATCATTAATTGAATACAAAATAGATATTCAGGTAAGTCCCTGCTCTCGCATAAAAATAGGTACACCAAATACGAGTTTTGTCCAGAATACGAAGCATAAAACGCGGAGAGAAAGACCCATCCTGCATTCGCTTCACAAAGCAGGTCTCAGACGTGAGTGCGAAGGCACAATCTCGATCACCAGTACACTCTCATCAGCACCTCACACAGTATCTCCCGAGCTTCATGCTTTTGCCTGCTAATTTCAATACCTTGCACCTTCCGTCGCCAGACTAGACATAAGACTTCCTGCGCATGATCATTCCGTGAGTCAGCCGAAGCGAACCAGCAGTTCGAGATTACCGAACAGACGATAGTCAGAACATTCGAGTGTGGCACGGAGGGGCTGGATGGAATGATCATTACGATTGAGAAGGCGGACAATGACAAGTATTCTTCGGGGTTCCAATCGCGGATGGATTCGCAGGGTGGGAGGTGGAAGGCGAGTGTTTTCCGATTGATTTTTAGATATCTCCCGGTGGTAGATTCGGTAGAGTTGGAGATAAAAAAAATGCATTGTATACGAGATTGCATTGCCAACGAGGCTTTTTTTTTCATATATGCATCATATCTAGTATATTCTTGCAGCCGGAGCCACTGGCCATGGGAGGGTCGCGTGGTCTGCAACCCATCCATTGGGGTGTGTACCGAGGCTCAAATCCTCAAGAGGCGGGAAACTTCGATGAGAAGTTCGGTGACGGTGACACATCTCAGTTTGTCTCCAGCCAGCTACCGGCTGAGATAATGTGCAACCAAAGAAAGCGCTGATATTTAATGTTGCACCGAAAAGTTCCGCAGGGATTAGATTAGTCGACCGGGCCGCTTGCTGGGTGGGTTGTATGGAGGGTGATCTGGGCGAACGCTCTATTACAAGGTGCCGAGAAATCATTCGACCGGGCGCAAGATCGGGCTGGAATTGGCTTCGAGCCATAGCAGTTCTGCTGCCTCGTCGCAGGCCTCGTCGTACCAGAGCATTATCTCTAGGGCACGTTTGACGCTTGGCCAAGAAGTCAAGCCGCTGCGACGAGCGGTCTCACCGAGTCCCGAGACGAAGAACGATCGTTCTGGGGTATCAGTGGCTGCGATGCCGCCTAGGGTGAGGGCCCAGATCAGGGGGATGCGGTTGGCGGGTGTGGACCACATGGCTGAGGAGGTGGGGTCGCGGAGAAGAGACTGGATCTGTTGTGCCAGGCTCTTGAGGGGGGTGTTTTGAGCGGGGATAGGGAACATGACGCCGACGCCGAAGATCAACGCGGCGAGGCGGCAGATTTCATAAGTGGTAGCTTGCGTGGGATATGAGAAGGAGGTCGGGATCTCTGAGGCGGGCATAAGGGAGAGGAGAGTGTGTTCGGTAAGGTTTCGTTGGTCGGCGAGTAGTGAGGCATCGTAGCCGTTTGCTAGACCGGCTCTGACGATGTTGATATAGTTGAAAGCGGCTTGGAATGCTTCTGCCATTTGAGGTGTGACACCGATGTCCTGGAGTTGGCCGAAACCGTGCTCAATGTCGGAAGGTCCGAACCCTAATAACTCCTGAACGGTGATGCCATTGCGGCTTGTGTCGAGGGGCCAGAAAGCGAATCCCGGGCGGGTGCAGAAGATGGCGGCAGTGAAAATGTCCGAGCTGGTAAGGTTAGCAGAGCTCAACATGAGGGTGACAAAAGGAACGAACAAGCTAATCATCGCGGGCAGCCCGGTGAACTTGATATTCTCCAAGCCACCCCGCAACCGGACCAACTGGACCAAACCACGAATATGGATCAGGTTGGGTGGCAGACATCCATACACATCGATCCACTGCAAGCGCTGGAGAGGAGGGCTGAACGGGGTCTTCCGATGTCGCTGACGTTTTTCGTTCTCCGGCTGATGATGCGCCATGCAGATAACACTGAGTAGCACCGCATCGCTAACCGCGCGTGAGGGATCCCGAACCGCCTGATTGATCAACTTGATCGACTCCATCTCACACAACTGTAACACGCGCTCATGTTTAGGGCCCCAAGCACCGTCGGGCACCCAGTGATTTAACCACTGGACCCGCTGGTGACACAGCGAGCCGAACATGAAGGCCGTGAAGAGAGCGGGATCGGAAAGAGACAGGGGGAACCACAGTTCTCCGGCCTCCTTCAGGTGTGGTCGGGTCGGAATGAGTCCCGGCCAGAGGACAGAAAGGCCTAAAAGCGAAAGAGAAATCCGTCAGTAAATGCTCAAATGCACAGAGCAGAATGGAATTCCCCTACAGTATTGCTCGCAAAGATTTACGACCTCCGGCGAGAAAGAGGACGGATATGTGCAGAAGGGATCAAAGACGCCGGTAATGAGAGGTTCGATCCGGGAACTTTCCCAGGGGATCACGGCCAAGGGTTCGCCCGAGTATGCCGCGACGGAACTGGCGTCGTCACTGCTGTCGCTACTATCGCTCGCATGCGACGGCGGGAACGGCGAGCCCTGCCATTCTCGACGGCGGTCCTCGAAGCGACGGAGGACGGGGCCGATGGCACTTGCGCGATGAGGCGAATAGGAAGGGTGCGAGACAAAGGCAAAGGTTGAAGGACCGGCGAGGTCACTGGACAAAGGCGAGATGGAGTCGCGGACGGGGCGAGGCACGCGGTTTGTGTTGGCGGCTTCGAGGGCAGTCGAGCGGTCCTTGGTCTGGTCGGAGATCCAGCGGCCGACGTGGGCTCGTACCAGGCGTTGCGCTTTCAGGCGCTCAGTCTCGGAGGAGGGTCGGGCGTTGACGAAGTGGATGCCGTCCTTCTTGCGAGAAGTATTCTGTTTCTTTCGGGACGCCATGATCCTTACAGGGGTTCATCCCTGATCACCGGCGCGGGCGAGAGATCCAGACGGTAACCGGGAGCATCCTTTGGAGCTTAGGGGAGGGGAAGGGGGGAAGGGCAGGGCGGGTCAAATTGGGGCAAGGGATCGTTCCAGGAACATGGTAAGGTGATAAATAAGGTAAGTGAGATAAGTTAAGATAAATGGAGACGAACTAGCCGGGGATAAAAAAGTACCAGTGGCAGAAAGGACGAGAGATGACACGGTGGGAGACCCAACGAGGAAAAGCCCCGTGACCCGCGATCTCGCTTGTCGATGGCTTCTCGTGTTATGACTTGCAGTTGCAGTGGAGCGGTGCTTGTCTGGTTTGTTTAGCGCCGGCTTACACTCTTTCTCCGTCTACTTGGTTTGGGCCACGTCTCTACGCCGTCTGAGCGGTCGACCCGTGTGGATTACTTCTCCGTCTCCGTCCTCCACCCCGGGATACGAAGTCAAATCACATCGAACGGCGCCGGAAGATGGACCCGCCGCACCGGAACCAGATACAAGCTAGCCGAGTCGACAATTTCATCACCAACCGACGATCCAGGACTGCAGTTCCCAGAACCTGAACCAGGCCCGACCGTGCAGGAGCTTGAAGCGATAGCTCATTCGCCTTGACACATCGGGCGTGCACGAACTCAAATTCCCTTCCCCGGAGTCTTTGCGGACGCCTTGGTTCTTCCAAAGTCTGGCACCGGTGGGACCAACCGCAAATGTGACACATCGTGACACCGCCGATCTCGAGCGTCTCGCCTCGCCGCCAAGACACCCTTGAGGAATCTATCACGATGACGAGGGTTCGCATGCAGTCCTGATTTGCAGGCCCTCGTACGCGCATGGTAACACGGGATTTACGTATGATCGGGCGAAAATGTTCGATCCGTGAGGGGAGACCGAAAGCTTAAAATTGCGATTGTGATTGACAAAGCCCTGAGAGCTCCCGGCTACTAAATTAACTAAACCATACACGTTTCACTAATCAATTTCCAGCAGGCGGTACTTGGCGCTCTTCCCAGTCTGCGGATCCCGGTAGGCATCCAGCGCCTCCTCCACAACCGCCATGTAGCCAAGAACCTGTTCTTCCTGCCACCGGCGTCCAACTACCTGCACGGCGGTGGGGAGACCCGCCATCTTGGACGAGTCGTAGTGTTTCCACGCGCCACGAGCGATCGCGTTATCCGCGCCGAAGCGCTTGAGGGTTGTCCTGTACGGGGCCACAAGCGCGTCGCGGACGGGGTCTACATGGCCGACTGGGATTACACCGGCTGAGTAGTCGAGTAGGTTCCAGAGGAAGGTGTAGCCGCAGGATGAAACAGCGTCGTGCATGGCTTTGTGTGGGAGTGCCGGGGTCGCGTTGGCGGGACACAGGATGAAGTCGAATTGCTGGGGATCGGAGTCCCACCATGCGTGCCAGGTTGCGCGGTAGGATTCGCGCCGAGCGACGAGGGGCCACAGCTGGGCGGCGGATTTGGGGCCGAAGTCACGAACGAGTGTCGCTAGGACTGTGTCGCGCTTGATGTAGCGCACGTACAGGTAGTAGAGGTAGCGCAGGGGACGGGGTAGATGGGCGACGCGGCTGAGTTGGATGGCACCTGGGTCGGAGGGCTCGAAGCTGCGCAGCTTGGCGTTGAAGTGGTGGCAGCCATCGGAGTTGAGGAGCTGCGAAGCTAGATTGAGGCCGGTCAAGGGGTCGGCGTTGGCTGGAGGGGTGATCTCGGTCACGGTGTGGCCAGCTTGGGTGAGAGCGGCCACGGTGGTAGACACGGCGCGTTCAATTGCTGGTGTAGGAGGCACGACACCTGCGCACATTAGTCTACGCCTTGCTTGGAGATCGGAATACATACCATCACTGCTCATCAAACCGATGCGAAGAGGCTTGCTCTGCGCCTCGGTCTCAAGATCACCTCTCCATGAGATGGGATGAACCGAGTAATCATACTTCCAAGGCTCCATGCCGATAATAGCCTTGGTGAAATAAGTGAGGTCATTCAGCGTGCGAGCCATCGGACTAAAGACACTGGGAATGCCCTCTTGGCCGGCCATACTGGTACTGACGCCGACCTTGGGCCAACGACCCGTACTGCAGCGGAGCGCGTAGATGCCACTCCATGCGGCAGGCACACGCACAGAACCAGCGACATCGGAGCCGATACCAATGCGGCCACCCTGAGCAAGAAGAGCACCTTCACCACCGGTTGAACCGCCGGGGGAGTAGCCAGGGACATGGGGATTGAGACAATGACCCCAGAGCCCATTGGCAGACTCGAAGGAAAGAAGCGTTATAGGCAGTGCAGTCTTGACATAAGGAACGGCACCTACAAGCCATCAGCAAAAAACCTCTCCATAGTCAAGCGAATACATACCCGCATCCTTCAGCATCCTAACCATAGGTCCATCCTCGGTAAACGGCTTCCCCGCCAATGCCGAGTACCCAAGAGTGGTGTCAAATCCCTTGACCTGAACAGTGTCCTTCAACGAAACGGGAATACCAGCTAGCGGACCCTTCAGATTGACCTCACTCTCAAGCCATGACTCTGCCTCCGGAAGTAGAAGCTCAGTGATACAATTAGTACGCTCTTGAGCACGAACGGCAACCTTGCCGTACGTACGTAGCACACTCAAAGGCGAAGTAGTAGTGTCCTGGATATCGCGGACGAGCTCTTCAATAGGCTGGTCGATGATCTTCTTATCAGTGGCTGTGATGGCCAGGTGGTAGGGGTAAGGCAGCGAGGCGAAGCGGGCAGCGCGCTCCGATTGCTTTTGTTTGCTTTTGGATGTTAGTGGATGTGGAAGTAGATGGAGGGGGTTAATTACCGTACTCGCCGGTACGCGAGATAGTCGAACGGAGGAAACATGGTGGTGGTGTGTTGGGGAGGAGAGGGCCGGGGTGGAACCGCCTTTTATCTGAGCTCTTGGAGCTCTTGCGGGGGGAGGCGAATCCGATAAGCCCGAGGTCCAGGTCCCGCTTGTAAGCGGTGTTTAGTCCGCCCCCTGTTATCTCCACTAGGCACTACCGTGGAGACACTAGGACGAGATTGTTATCGCGTGAACTGAATACTGACATTCGGTCTGCGTATCTTTTTTTTTGAGGTATCTGAGCTTTTTGACTAGCAGAGACCGGACAGGTAGCGACTAGCCCGTTGAGTAGGTCCACCCGTCGATAACCTGATGTTGCCGAAATGGGTCGAGATGCCTCAAAGGCGTATTTCAATGATCATGATGTATTTCCATATGTTTTGCTACATAGATCTATCTACTCAAAGCATCGCCAAGAACGAAGCCGAAGCCGCCCTGGAGGCGCGGTGGGTATATCTCCAGATTTATCAAACAAAGATCCTAACGCCGTAGAAACCCTTCCCCAAATGCATTAAAACGTCATGTGTGAAGTATGATGGCTTCACGGTTCAGGAGTCTGCAGCCAGTTGTGCTTGGCTAGCCACCAGATAATGACGCCGCCGACGACAAGGAGGATGATGAAGATGAAAATGACGAAGCCCCAGATGAGCGACCGCTTGCTTTTTTGGCGTTCCCGTTCAAGCCAGTTGTCGGATTGTCTGTGGATTGGTTAGTTGGCGCTGGATCGGTGTTGTAGGTATTGCCTCTTACCTTTTCTGCATTGATTCCAGGTCGAGCGTACTTGTGCTCTTGGCTTCTTCGTCCAGGTGGACTGCTGTGGAGAAGCGTTTCCAGAAGTATGGATCGCGGACGAGGGCCATATCCTCTATTGTGTTGTGCAAGGGGCGTGCTCAAATGCAATTTGATGCCCCTTAGAAGATAGATGAGTGTTCGGTTCACAAAGCAGATAATCTTGAGCTTGAGAATGACGGCGACGACGAAGCCAGAGTGTAGATGGGTTGGAGTGTGGGGTGAGGACCGTAGCGGGCGTGAAACAAGAGGCAGATTAGATACGGGAGTCGACTAGCACTTAACCGGCCGGGTAAGAGGGCTTTGTATCAAATGCCACGCAAGGAATTCCACTTCATCAGACGACCGGAGGCTGGGCGGATAAGGCAGCGCATAACTCGCAGTACCAAGGATGGCCTGCCAACCCGCAATATGCGACGGGCGCCTTCCACCAATGGCCTGCGCCGGTGGACAGGACTTCCACGGCGGATCGACTGCCATGGCGACCAAATGCCAATCAGCACCGATGGGAGACCATTGAAATGCCTCATGCGACCATGGCATGTCGATTGGAATGAAGGGGGGTGATTTGGAAGGTAATCGGCGGTCAGATTGTGGTGGCTGGATCAGGGCCAATTAAGGTATGGAATGTTGATCGTTCGATCGCCCACGGGGTGTAGTTCGGGAAGTACAGCACACTTGGGGGTGAATTATCGTGGATCGTGGTCTGTATAGGTGGGTAGGATACGAGGCATTGGCTGGAGATTACGGCTCTGGATTATTCTTCGATGTTTAGATCACGATTGGTCGCCGCAATCTATAGTAAGTGGAAATGTTAGGAAGCTTAATTTGTTTGTTGCGGTTGTGCATCAAGGGGTTGTTCCTTGATAGGATCAGGATCACCCCAGCAACACACCCGTCGGTCAGTACATTCTTCAGCCCTAAGATCTTACAAGAGCCTCATTGATCATGTGTATCTGGGCATATTTTCAAGATTGCAGCAACTTTTCTGCGCTATCGATCGACAATATCGGCAAACGGGGTACCAAAACACAACTCGTTCACGACCACAGGGCCCTCTTTACACTGCACATAATTCAGACGGTGCGGTTAGCGAGAGACTGCTGCCACTCTTCGCTTTCTCGTGGGCCCGCCAGAAAATAGCAGCCTTCAAACACATAGACTCGTGATATGTAACAAGAATGGAAAGGTGTGGCACATGCGGTTGTTAGGCAAGATCGCAGCAGCTTCAGCCGACGCGGTATGGACCAGGGGCATTTCTGTCTCAAGTGACCAGTCTAGACCTATATCCTTCGAGAATAAAGGCACAGCATCCGACCCGAACCCCTGCCAAGATCTCCACGTGGTAGCGTCTGTCAGATCGGGAAATTCATGCCAAGGCTCGAGTTTGTATAAGGTTAACGCTTTCAGTTTCAACTGAGTTGGCAAACGGCGTTCAACGAGACATGGATGTGTGTATGAATGCTCTGGGCTTTCGGCTTTCATCTTCATGATTCTTATCCTTTGTCAGCATGTCCGTACGGTAAGTGACCTTCCAGGTCGACTTCAAAATCCTTCATCCGCCCATAAATACAACCCTTAGACAACCCTGGAATAAGTAAAAAACACGGAAAATTCAAATTAGAGTTGATACGGTGTAGAATTATCATGGGAGCTCCATGTCAAGGTACTCTACCTAGATATCGCAGTTCGCTGCTTTTCCAACCCATGCCCGAATAGACCAACTAGATGGAAAGTGTACCTGTGTCAACCATTAGTCGTCCAGATTGATTCGGATATCCCAGAAAATCAAACTGCACAAAATGAAATGCAAAAAAAGATGACTTTTCCTCTTTACCTATACCGCGTCGATTTTTTTATCAATGCAGGGAGCCAGGTATTATTCCACAAGCTATCACATGCGAACCCAAGTGAATCACTTTGGTATTCGAGGATCAAGCTACGAGAGCCAGTAAAACCCTTCCAGAAAGTTCTTTGCCCGCGGCTGACATGCGGCTTTTCAGTATGGAAAATGGAGGAGTTCTTGGTGTTGCCTGACGTGGACATCATAGGGTGGCACCACGCGAGTGCGCCACGCGAGATCCAAAGTCACATGAAAAGGGTCCAGTGTCCAGAGCTGAGAGTTGTATATAGTCCTGTTCCGTACATTTTTATTCTCAGTGTTTTCCCCCACGTCTAGACATGAAAGTCGAACCTCTTGAATAAAGTGAACAGAACCCGTGGATCGAACTCCCCCGCAGTGGGTCTCGTTCCTGACCGCCCCTCGTTGCCTGTTGTCGATCTTCTTACCTTGCTCCCAATTCCTTCGTGCACCTCATACGCACTTGCGCGAGGATTCTAAATCCATGGTGCTGACATGTCGTCCGCATCAACTCACTGGGGAACCCTCATCAACCCGGATAAGAGCCCTGCGCCGCTTCTAGAGCAACTATGTTTGGGCATCGCACAGCTGTTGGTAAGCACGCAACACATTCTCGTGTCTCACCAAACTGACTCTTGATCTGCGAAATAGCCCTCATTTGACTCAAATGGCACCACAGACCTCACCCCCGACCGGCTGGCCACATTCTACCGCAGAGTCGGCGGCAACTATGACACACTCTTTCTTGCAACCAAGACCCAGTCGCTGTCCTTCATTTACCAGTCGCTGGGATGTTTTCACAGCCTCCAGCCTTCCACCAATCCCTATGAGTCACCATCTATCCCTTCACTTCTACCGAACGGCTTTGTGCGATGGCAGACAATACAGTTGTTGATGGACCCGGATGAGCACGCACGGTTCCTGCAAGAGGCTGTCAAACAGTGGGATATTGTCGATGCCCAAGGACAGGTTTTTCCCAAGGAAATTCCCCGGGATGCATTCCCTTCAGAACCAGATCCCGAGATGATGCAGTGGCATGAAGGTGTTTGCCGGAGGCTCGAATATGACTTTGTCAAACGGAATGTTCATCACGTCTCCCCTCCGAACTTCGGGGCCTATAATTGCCATTTCAAGGGCAAGGATCCGCTTCCTGACGAGGAGGATTATTTTGCGCAGAGCCCTCGTAGATCCAACTCGAGGCGCCAGAGCCACTTTGACTCAGATCGATCTAGCCGTCGACGCCATCACCACAGGCGGCTCAGCGCGGAGTATCCCACGTCCAGCTCTCGCAGACATGATCCAGGGGTTATCCCGCGTGCGGATGACGGTAGATCAAGTGTGTCGTCCCCGCGAGGGCCATCACCATCTGGCCTTGCAGAGCGTCCACGTCGTTCACGAGGCCGAGACCGACGATCCGGGTATGGTCGCCCTCTCAGCCCCCCAGAAGTGGATGACGCGCCAGATAATGTCGACATATCGGATAATTCACTGTACCCGGAAGACCTCGACCTCAGACCGAAGCACAAATCGCGCCATCACAAACTGTCACCGCCTCCCGACTCCCGCGCCCGACGCCATTCTCACGACGCCTATGAGCGTAAACCCGCACGAGACCTTTCATCATCACCGAAAAAGCAGTATGAAAACTACGATAGACGCCCACCAAGACCCATCAAGCCACCCTCTGACAAGCGTCGAGAAGGCCGCTCTCGTTCCAGGCCAACAGGCGTCAAATTCCGAGACTTTATCTTCGACGGCCCAACACCAGCTACAGCCCCAGAACCACCGCAATACACAGCGGCTCCCCCACCACCGCCACGAGGTCCACCCCGCCCTCGATACAACATAGACGCGTACCTAACAGACGACAGCCGACGAGATAGTTACAGCGGCGGCAGTACAGGAGGAAGTCGTCCCGGCAGTGGAGGCAGCGGATCTGAACGACCGCGTTCGTACAGTACTGCGGGCTTGTATCCACGGACGTCAAGGTGGACTAGTCCTGTGCGTAGCTCAGCTGCGAAACGTTACATACCCACGAGTGTGGCAGAGGATGCGGGATATATACCCCCGCTGCGACGGCCTATATGACTGATGATTTATGAACAGCGTTTGATTCTTGCTTGTTTTCTCATATATTATGTCTCCTTTGGACTTTGCATTATACATGGCATCTCCACTAAGCTATCTCCACGACTGACGATCACATGGCGCTTTGACCTCAATTATCTTTTTTACATTCATGATTTGGTTACATATGAGCATTTATGAGGCTACGACGTTACAATGGAACACGTTTATCAGTTGAGCAATGATTTGCATTAACCGGGTTCAAGACCAATGTCAGAACACAAATTCGAATTTACATTTCAGGCTCATCAACTATATGTCTTCCCTATTACTGTCCTCAGCACCTTCCTTATAACCGTCCGTTTCATAGCCAGCATCTTTCAATGTCCACATCAAGTCCTCCATATTTGGGTGCCCGACTTCCCGAGCATCTGGAATCATTCCTTCAACCCCATTGATTTCTTTCAGATAAAGTGAGCCAGCATTGAACGCTTTCATCAAAGCATCTATTTGGAAATCATGCTCCTCCATCTCGCCCCTTAGGTATCCGCGGATACACAGATATTCCAGACTGGGGGGAAGACAATCGACCAGCATGACTCTATCTTGCTTCTCGCCAAGGCCTTCCTTGACACCCTTGGCAAAATACAAGAGAAAATTGACGTTCAAGCTTAGACGTTTTAGCACCAGAAAGTCTCTCAGCGACCCGTTGTACTCCCACACCTTTCGAAGGAATTTAACGGTCTCCACGTACTGCTCATCCTCCCAAGGCCCCCATGGGTTCCTAGCCTCCAACGGATCGTCGAATTCATCCATTGGAGACATCTCGTGATTCACAATATTTGTGATGCTGTGACACCCATAAGGAAGAAAGTGGGTGTCAATATCAAGACACTCCATCGTTTTCATGTGCTTGCATAGAATCTTGATGAAGGCCTTGGGATTGAACACCGGGCGTGCGTCCCAGAGTGCTCTGCCTCCAACTGAGTACTGAAACTCTTTAACCGCCTTGCACCTCGCCAGTACATGACATATAAAAGTCGAGTTGACATACGCATGATTGATGGAAATCTTGCTGATATTAGACTCGTCCCACTTAATGTCAGGTATCGGGTCAACGTGTTCCCGCATCAGATCAGTGCCGACATATTCAATGGACAGAAGTTTATCGAAAAGTGTCGTGATCCCGATAAAGTCCAACATTACATAGTAGCGGTCTTGGGCTAGTCCTTCGTCGCTGTTGATCAGATAAACCTTTTGCAGATTCTGAAGGTATGGCTTGGCCGAGGGACTCGCATTCGCGCCCTGGAAAAGCCGGACGAGTGGAAATTGGACATCGACACAGTTTCTTCCTTGACAAAGACCTTCATGGAATCCTTCACAGAAATATCCTTCGCAAAAATCTCCATAAGCCTCTTCGTTGCCAGCGGCATTCGGGGCAAAATAATCAAGATCGGTGAATCGGTAGAAGGGCGGAGCCAGGGCCATCGAAACCAGATTCGGCGATACCGAGATCAGGAGAGCCGTCAAAGCCTGTGTGATGACTGGTCCACTTGGATCTTCATCGCTATAAATACTGTCAGTGTCAAGAAAGCGCTGTGGCTCCTTTTGCATGAGCATGTTCATCAAAAGCTTCTCTTCGTAGGCAAATCCCGCTCGGCGAACTGCAGCGCGCAGCAGAGTCATCTCCTCGTCACTCAGATTGCGCTGGGGACCCCTCAGCAAAAATAGAGCGCTATCCTGCAATGGTCTAGGATAACACTCGATATACCGAACATAGTGCCCGAGGGTCGGTTTCTTCAGGATTTCCAAGAGCATTTCAAATGCTGGTTGAATGCTTCTTTTGGTTGTAGAGATCCTGATCTGATGAAACTTCTTGCGCGTTGGCATGTCACACACTAAATAGAGAGCACGACATTGTATCGACAAAGTGGCGACATCTCAGTTACACAGGAGATAGGATAGAATCCGGTGATGTATCTCCGATGGTAGATCAGAAATGGACATTGTGCCGAAATTTGTAGTGTTTTGTTTGGGGTTTAGGATCTTTAAATGGAGTTTACACAAGGTTACGTTACGGGAGAGAACCGAATTGGCGAGAGAGGAGTCGCAACAGACCTAAACAAAAGGTGGGGGGTCACCTGACCAGAGAGGGCCAACTAATCAGAATCCAGGAGTATAGTGCTGAAACACATTCACTTGAAAGAGCCTCAATACCAAGTTCTGGTGGCGCAAATAGCAGCCGTCGAACCCTTCGAAAATGCGACTTATAACAAACAAAACAAAACCGAATTATTTGTTAAGCGGCTATGAATGTAAGCGATGTTGTATTGTGATATTGGAATTTGATCTTAAGAGAGCAATAATGAGGTCTGAATAATAGTCCATAACGTTCCGTGGAACTTCCATTTCTCCTATAGCTGACCCAGTAGAGCATAACACCCCCTAAACGTTTGCATGATTCCCAAAAAAACTCTCCGCGACTGGCAAACCGTCAAGGCGAGTTTATCCGCCGATAAGAATAGCGGACGCGGATCAGACGCGGATTGGAGTCTTGCGAGCGTCGAACGTTTGACCAATTTGGGCTGGTTGGACCTTATTCGCTTCATTTTAACGGGCCGTCTGACGCGTTCCGTCAAGCCAGAATCAGCCACTCGATGGCTGCCCGCTCGACACACAAGCCACTCCAAGCTTCCCGGGCGGTTCGTGGCTGGGGCTGTTAAATATCGGTTTGGAATTGCCGGGGCTTGTCTCACATAAAGGTTTCTGGACAGCCTTGGAAGGATCTTATCCGGGACTAATCGATGTTCGGTAGAGACAAGTTTTGCCGAGATCCGTTGATTATTCGTTGTCTATATACAAAATCGTACAGTCACAAAGTATGTCTCAGTATCAATGGTGAAGCACTATATATGATGAACCCATTCAGTGTGAGCTGCGGCACTGCCCATAATGAAAGTCCCAAGCCAGATGCCTCCAAGAACCGACAGGAAGTACCCGAGATTCATGGTCATCACCGCAATCATCCTGCCGCGTATTAGTATCGGACGTTGGAAAAAGGATTGAATCAAAACTCACAGTAGGTATGCAATTCCTCCAATAACCACCTCATAAGTCGCGCGAGCAGCGGCAGGATTAACCCGCCACCTAGACCACCGGTTGCCGAGCTCTTGCATACTCAGTTGCACACCAGAGACATGCCTAGTCTCGGTTTTCTGACCCATATGACCACCAAGAGTGGCCTGTTGCACACCATCCGTCCATAGCCGACCCTCGAGAACGGGTCGGATGGCGATAAGGACTCGGAGAATGACGGCAAAGACGATCAGGAAAATGCAGGTACCGGCGTACTGGCCCTTGGTCGTTGGCGTCCAGTCGTTGGAGAAGAGAGGCGTCTTGAATGAAGTGAAGAAGGTCATGACCATATCGGCCATGGACATGGTCATTGAGGAGTCGGACATGCCGGACATGCCGGACATGGAGTCGGTGGTGGTTGAAGAGGGCATCGACATGGTCATCGACATGGACCCCGTTGATGTCGCCGTCGCCATCGACATGGACGTTGCCATACCGGTCATGCCCATCGACATGGACGTGGTCATATCGCTCATGTCCATTTTGGAAGGTGATGTGCCGATCGTAAGTGCTGGTGTTGGGAGGTGCCCCTATCCGTTGGGCGGAGATGCGCAAATTGAATATTCGATGCGACAAGCTGCGTCAAGGTATGACACCGAATATATGTCCGGAGCAAGTAGAATTGGCCGTGACCCGAAAAGTGGCCTAGCCACGGGGCATTTTATTAAATACTGACAATGGACCCCGCCACGTGAAAAAGGCAGTGATAACCAGATTCATCTCTGAAGCGTGCGGGTCTTTTCCCGCAACCCCACAGCGAGAAAACGATTTGCCAGGGGGCAGCCCAGCTTGCTCATATTAGCTCTGCGGAGCATACTATACCATATCGGTCACGACATGCGCTGATTCATGAGACTCTCAGGGGGGCAAAATGGGCGGGCGTCCGACACAAATCCGCCATGCGAAGAAGTTTGATGCTCGGACCGCGTGCGCGTCTCCGTTCAGACCTGCTAATTCGGCGTGATTGGTGCATTTGGGGCGATCGGGCTAATCCGACGCGGGAAGATCCACATGAAATGCACGCAAATATGCTCACCTTGAACCGCGTGGACCGTGCGTGGCTTTCATTGCCCTGAATTATATCATTTACGTGTTCCCGGTGGTCTCCGGTTAGGCATTGAGTCGCATGGCAGCGTGTGTCCAGCGATAGAACATTGGATCGTAGATCGTGGATGCTGTGCAACGCGCAGGGTATGAAATCCCTGTAACGCAAACTCCATCTGTGATAGACGCCACTGAAGAAGGATGAAAATTGAGCTTTGACATGCCAAGAAATGACAGCCCTACCAAGCCAAGCCAAGAAATTGAAGAGCACGTTGGAGCAGGTAAGCGTTTATGGAGTAAACTTGAGCAAATTCAGAGTGGACCCTGTCTGAACGTAGAAAGCCCACGCGAGTTTTGAATCTATACCTGTTATTATTAATACTATCCATTTTTGTGGATTGACTCGGACTTCATTTTTGACCTCACTTCCACAAATTTCGATACAGATTGAACGTCGTGAGGTAGCTCCGACACCCATCTGTAGCCATGGGGATGATACCATGGCTGACCGAGCCGGTCATGCTGCATTCTGACCGCAACCCTGGGGCGTGTACGATGACACCGGAGCAATGCGCTTATAAGTCTGCATATTGGAGGAATTGGTACCAGGCAGACCATCGCTTCTCGTTGCCGACCGTTGCGTTCTTCATGGTCGCCATCGGGATCTTCACAATCGCCCACATCTTAACCCTCGTCTTCCCGAAAAGCTTCCAGAAGAACCCGGTCTGGTCACGATTAGTCGCGTTCTCTCGCTTCTTATCATATAAGAGCTGGAGAATCGCAGGATGGAACACGAATTCATTGGGTGCTCTTCTCCTCGGAGGCGCAGGCCTGGTTTACTTCCTCTCCATGACTCTCGGACCGAAGCCGTATTACTGGCCTAATACCAAGGAGATCAGCTATGGCAACTCTCCACCCATCGCCACCCGTACCGGCTTCATGGCACTTGCTTGCATGCCATTCCTGGTTGTCCTTGCTGCGAAGGCGAACCCGATTACTGCCTTGACTGGTATTTCTCATGAAAAGCTGAATATCTGGCATAACTGGGTTGCCTGGGCCATGTTCGTGCTTGCCTTGATTCACACTTTCCCTTTCATCGTGTTCCACGTATGGAAGGGTGATATCCGCGCGCAGTGGAATGACGGTGGTGTCTGGGTGACCGGAGTCGTTGCTCTCATCGCCCAAGCTTGGCTTACTTTCATGTCCATCCCTTGGATTCGGTAAGACATTCTTCTTTCGTGATAACCATTTATGCATTATTCTGACGGTGAAAACCAGCAACCGCTACTACGAATTTTTCAAATCAACCCACCTCTTCATGGCCTTGGTCTTTGTCATCTTCTTCTTCTTCCACTGCGACTTCCGCATGTCATCGTGGGACTACTTCATCGCCACCGCAGTGATCTATACTCTCTGCTGGTTGTACGCCCAATGCAAGACCTTCTTCGAACATGGCATCCGGAACAAAGCCAGACTCGTCGCTCAGTCAAACGATACCCTGCGCATCAGTATCGAGACGACCATGGAATGGGACCCTGAGCAACACATCTTCCTCCGGTTTTTAACATGCGGTGCACACGCGCTGACCGCGCACCCGTTCACTATTTGCTCTGTTCCTCAGCCCGGGCGGAAGAACACATTAGTCTTCTATGTCAAAACACGCGGCGGATTGACGGGTCGTCTTATGGCTATGGCTAGGAAGAATCCCGATGTACAGATCCCGGTTCTGATGGACGGTCCATACGGTGGAATCCCAGCCGGGAAGCTGGACGAATTCGACAAAAGCCTCATCATTGGTGGAGGCGCCGGCGCGGGATTGACCCTGTCGATGGTTGAAGACTTTACTCGATTCTCTAATCCCCAAGAAGAGAAGAGTCAGTTGAACGTTATTGTGGCAACCCGTGATCCCGGCATGAGTGCATGGTATACCCGTGCCTTGGAAGATATCGCCAAGCGACAGGGCCGCGACTCGTTAATTCCGGGAATTTCAATCCACATCCACGAGACGTTCACCGGACGGACTGGCCTGGAAACCGAGAGCAAGGAAGTGGAAGTTGAGAGCGAGATTAAGACACAGAGTGTAGAATCCAAGGAGTGCAAACCGCTCACAACGGAAATCTTCGGTATTCAGTTCTTTGCTGGGCGGCCTGATTTACGAGCACTTACTCGCCAGGTAGCAAGCCAGGATGGCGTCTCTGTTGGTGTTGTTGTTTGCGGTCCGTCATCTATGACCCACGATGTCAAGTACGCTGCTTCGGAGGTCCAGAGTCATATTCTGGCGAGGAAGGCTGGCACTGCGAGGGCGTTGTGGCTTCATACCGAGAATTTCTCTTACTAAATGTTTACATACCCCAAGTTAAGAGCGTCATTATCCTATTGCATGAATGTGAATACATATAGTTAGGTAAACAATCCCACTATCATTATCTCAGACGTGTGCGGCCACGAAACTGCCCGAAATTTTCAGCGCCGATATTACAAACAGAGCGATGAAGTCAAGTTCCTCTCTACGGATATCTACGACGTCATTAAATTCATCAGCATGCTCATCCTCGCCCTCTTCATCGTCGACTTCATCGGTCATCGTCATTCCATACTCACGAGAATAACCCTCCAAATGTCACACTGGTCCACTTGGGGGTTTACCTCATAGGAACAAAGAACATGACTCCTAAGTATATCGAAACTCACCGTCCGTCTCGGACACCTCGATAGCCACAATACTAGCCATTTTCCTCCACGCCGGGGTATGGAGTATCGGCTGGTTCATCATGCCCTAGCTAATTGGCTCCGAGATCCTTCCCAACTAAGATCCGCTCCTTCAACATGTCCGTGTCGATGGGATTCCACTGGGAATTCTCTTCCCAAAGGCTTGCCTGAGAATTCAAATTTTGGATCTAGAATGGAGATAAAGGTACTCCCATATTCAATAATTGCGTATTAATTCATGCATTCTTATTCAAGGAATATCAAGATACAGCTCTACCACTGCCTCGAGGCATTCGTCTTTTCGATAATTATCAGTGAGCCAGCGATGCCGACGATAAATGTCCTTTGTTTCGTCTAGCTCTGATCCGAAATCATGTTTCCAAACTACTGCAGTAGGACTGCTGGCAACCTGAGCCATAAATTAGTATATGTCGTTTGTCTAGGATTGCGAAAGAGTTACTACTTTAAAAGCTCGGTATTCCTCCATGATCATCTTGACGAAGTTGGGAACTGTATATGTTGGCTGCTCACGCCAGGTCTCTGGACACTTTGGAGGATCATCGGCGTCGTCCAACTCTTCTTCGGTTCCTCCTTCGTCGTCTAATGCTTGGTCATCCACCTGGTCATAGTCCGCTTCGTTATCATCGGTTCCCTGTGGAATGTCAATCAGTATTTGCGACTTGCGTAGTAAATAGAGCGAGGGGATCCGAACGAACATCCTGATTGTGTGAGACATCTATTGGGTCCGTGGGTTGTTGAGCATCTACCTTGGTGATGGTTCCTCCCTTCGTATCTAATAGGAAACAATAACCGATACGACCAATGCAGTTGGCGAGTGTAATTACGCTTTTTCCAACCCCTATCCCGAGATCCTCGAGTGAATCAACCTCATATCTATTTGGATCACATTGCAGAACGTTGCCCGTAAAGTCGACCGGAAATGTGTCCGGATAGAGCGGGAAATGTTCTCCCGGTCTATCCCATCCAATGTATGGAAGATGACGAATCAGATCATTGACAGTTGAATCCTTTCCCCTAAAAGAAAGCCACTCGTCTGTGAGCTCAGGCCAGCCGCCTTCGGGAGGCAGCTTCAGTGCCGAGTCGGGGATGTGAGTGTTGACGAGGAATTTGTAGAACGCGGTCAATTCCCGAACGATCCCATTGCGACATTGCGATCGAAAGGCAGCTTTAGATGTCCACGACTAGAAAGGCGACAGTCTATCTTTGGTGATATTTTGTAGATAAATTCAAGAATAATAAGCAAGGTAGAGCAAGACTGAGGCGGTGTTATTCTCTATAATGATGTTGGGGCTCGCCCCTTAGACTAATGGCCCCTGGAGAATTGAAGAAATGGCAGAAACGGCTATTTTTAGCTTTTGGTACTGCGCCGCCCTTAGTCGGACAACAATGTTATTCCATGCAATTCTCTTTAGTCCAGATCCATCCAGCCCACACAGCATGGTATGGGGCAAACGGGCGATTTTAGCCCCCAAAAATTGCATTGCCTTCTGTCAGCTGGAATGCCACTGGCCCAGAATGCTCCTTTTTGGGCTTAGCGCGAGGAGGGTTGAGGTTTCACACGCACAGCAACGGGTAACGGTCGATGAGCCGTAATGACATCTGTTAGCGTGACTCTTCGTTTCTTTAGAGAAGCTCTTTGCTACATTTCACAGTGCCGCTGCCGACCTTTTGTTTCTCCATTTCATCAAAAATTCAAAACTTGAATATCTTTGCTTTCCATGCTATGTCATGCCATCTTTGATGCTATATGATAGCCTTGGAACTCGTCATCAAAACCTTGCATTCACCCGGCATGAGAAAACAATGAGACACACATCACTCTGGAACATTAACAGCCAGCCGGGGCTCCCATCCCGCTTCAGCCATCTCGAACGATTCGAAGAGAAAGGCTGGTGCCACCGTACACCCGACGAGCGTCCAGTCACCCATAGTTCTCGCGTGCTGCCATTCAGAGGGCTGAACGATGGCTTGCGGCCGTTGGCCCTTTAACAATAGTATTTAGTATACTCGCTAGATGGCCAGAGGCAGCCAATGAATCATTTAGCAACTCACATTTGCGAGATCAATCCCCAAAATACTATTTCGAGTTGGTTCTCCATCATCCCAGGATAGGGACAGTTGCAAAGGGGCGCCAGCGTAGTAATGCCATACCTCAGCGGCATCTAAAACACGATGCCATCTTGAAAATCCAGCTTCGCGCTCGAGAAGATAATAGATGCAGGTACTGCTGGAGCGATTGTTTGACAAATTGCTATCGCGAAATGTCTCGATGTAGTACCCTTTTTCTGGATGCGGGGAGAGATTCAAAGCCTCAATGACTTCTTGTGCGGTATATTCTCTTGCCATATTAGTGATGGTGGCTGGCTACTCGAGTTGACGGGCACAGAACTGAATATTAGAAAAAACGTATGAGGAAAATGCCATCTCACCTCCGAAGGAGGTCGCCTTATCTTATAACCTGTCATCCAAGTCATGTGCTGTTGCGTTCCAGGCTACCGCCAAGACCCGTATGCTGACTCGAGGCGCGCCCAGACCATGACCCAAAAGGGTTTCCGAGCTATTCCTATTGATGTTTCACATTTATAGTTTTTGCTGACCACCCGTATGAAATCAATACAAATCAACAATTCTCAATAATGCTTCCGTCTCTCACTGTCTCAAGGCTTTAATTGTCCAAATCGGTGATGGAAGACCGTTCAGAAATATCAACATTCTATTAGGACTCTTTCCGTATAAAGCCTCATCGCCATTATTCACCTTTATTCACCTGTTTTCCACAGAATTGAAAAGGCTCCCACGGAAATACCAGTCACGGTTCCTCTTCCACGAGCCATTCCTCGCCATCATTTTCCCCAATGATCGTGATGAATTCTTTTGTCAATTACAGGGCTACATTCGCCTTGTCCATCTCCGCTGCCAGTTTTGCACACTGCGATTTGTACGAATCATCCGCATCATCAGGACATGTCAGGCGGATTTCCTTTAAGGCAGGTGTCTGAAGGTGTTTCCGAGAGGCAAATTCACGAAACAGAAGATCGACAGCCCTTTTATGAGGGTGCTTACCACGCGAGAATAAAGAAAGCTGGGAGACCGAGGCGGGTACAAGGTCACCAAGTAAAGACTCGAAGTTCGAGGATTCAGGTTCTGCTAATTCTGCAGCTGCGAGACTACAAATGACAACTTCAAGGGGAAGCTCGAGACTTTGCAGGCGCTGAAAGCCGCACAGTAATAGCTTGCCAAGGGGTTATCGAGCAGCGTGGTTTCCAAATAACTGGTATTGCAGAGAGTTTCTCGAGGTGGTTGCCGACCTTATGGTGAACTGCTATAATAAATCGGCATAGATCCCAATCCTGGTGCCCCTTGCTATTTCTCGGTAAATGCCAGTAGGTCAATGATTTTAGACACGGGGTGTATTTCAAGAAACCTGAAATAGCCACTTCATCGATGCAAGAGTCCCAAAGTTCAACTATTTCAACCATAGAATTGAAGTCAGAGTGCGGATATCTTGATCCGATGGCTTCGTCAGGGGGGCCTTCTCTTATGCAATCGGGGCCACAAAAAGATTGGACGCGCGGTAGAGCTATAAATGATACCGCCCAGCCTATTTCGAATTTTCTATTGGTCTCCTTGACTGTGGTGACCTGGGCAAGGCTAGGCATGTTCTTGTGGGGTGCCTGCCTAGCCCGCTGGATAACGGTAGCGATGAGCTTTTCGGTCGCGGTTGTTGGTTTTCACGCGCTAGATAGATTGAACTTTTTGAGATTTGGTAGAAGTGTTAGAACAAAAGCAGCGGCATGTTGTGAATAGCGAGCGGCGTTGAGATCTTCTTCAATAGCACTATAATATTCCTTCCAGTCAAGCTATGCTTCAACGAGGTATGGCGAATCCGCGAGAAGTCGACGCACAGCTTCATCGCGATTTTTATATGTTGTTATCTCTCGGGTGGCAGAAGCGAATCGGGTATTTAGCCAGCTGTCGCCCCCAAAGTCCGCCTCTTGAATGTAGCGGCCTACAGTTGGCTCAATAACAATCCGTGAGATCAAATTGAACGCTGAGGTTGCCGTGTCAGGAAACTCGAGTAGCTGTTGGTTGAATTTGAATGGCCTGTTTGTCTTGCAGTATGTGAAATCCTGGAAATGCCAGCGGAGGTTGTTGTAGTGCTCAAGGACGGTGTGCAGAGTGTATGAAGACGTTTGCATGTTAATGCTAGGCTCTCAAACCCCTTTGGAATGGTGTGTATGGCAATTTGATCCAGAAGCTCCGTTGGCAATTGTGTGAGCGTCGTGATCATTTTAATCGAAATCGGTGCGGTGTGGAGAGCTTCTGCTGCGGTACTGTGAGATACCATGGTAAGAGCTTTCACCGGGGAGGCTATAATAAATTCAAGGTAGCTGGAAAGAGTGTAATGTTAAATGTAAAAAAACACGATAATTCGCATATCCCCACCAATTTTGGTGGGGTGTAGCTCGCAGCCCCCTAGGCACCCCACTTGTTTCCCGCCCATGCCAAGCGGTATATGAGTCGTTTGAGACTTTCCTAATTTAACAATTTCGAGTAATGTAGAGAAAGAAACCCGGGGAATTAAGTGTACTATTTAGGAGACTCGGGTATCGATTTGCCTGCGATATAAGTTATTATGGTTGTGTACAAGCGGGAGGGGAACTACTGTAACTCCGTGGCCAACCATCGGGGTTCCCGAGGCCCGTCTCCGAATCCATGCGCTTCGCCTTTCTGCCCAACATTCACACCGCCCTTAGTAGATCACATGACCTCCCAACACCCACACTCCTACACCGCCTGGCTACTCCGAGATTCTACGTCTTTCAAACAGCAAAATCTTTCACGAAACGACCTTTACAATCGTAACAAACACTTTCTCATATTTTTCTTTCCCGTCTTACTATTAGCCATTTCACGCCAATATAATGGCCGAAGACAAAACAAAGGTTGTGGTTTCGGCTCTAGTCCTAGAATTCTCTGGACACGACGAAGTTACTCTCGACCTCTCCACCCCCGATTCGCTCAAGAAGCTCTCAGAGAATCCAGTCCAGATCAAGGAGGGTGTTCTCTACTCGATGAAATTCGTATTTCGGGTGCATGACAAAGTCGTAACCGCTCTCAGATATCTAGAGGAGACAAAGCGCCAGGGTATTCTAATCGACAGGAGCGACAGTTTTATGGTGAGTACTTATATCGTCGGCAGAGTAATAGCCATCTAATAAAGGTGTAGGGATCTTACGCCCCTAATATAGAAGGGCAGCCCGATTTTGAGGTAACATGTGAGTGATGTATCATCCCTGACCCTGCCCTACCGTGAAACTAAGACCTGCGTACTAGTTGAGGATCAAGAAGCTCCTACTGGCGCGAGGGCTTGTGGGAGATATGACGTGACGTCTAAATTCGTGGATGAGGAAGGAAACAATCACCACAAGTTTCAGTGGGCGTACGAAATTACGAACGACTGGTGAATATGGTAGCTCTAGCTTGACTAAAAATGATAAGCAGCCTCGTTTCATCAATGGTTAAAGATTTTACCGACGCCAGATGCTTCTGGGTTCTCGTTACTGTATCTGGTGTACAGAGTAGTTAACGCTACGTTACGGAGTGGTCGCGGTGACCAAAGAGCTACAAAAGAAAAGAGGGACGAAACAGGGGTAGAAAAATAAGGGTTATGAAATCATCCAGCGGAAGATTGGAGGGGTCGGAAGAATCGGTGAACGACAGATGGTGAAGTAAACTAGCAAAAAAGCAGAAATGTTAAAATCATACTGCAGGGATTCGTTGACGGATTCGCTGGTGGTTACCCATCCAGCTACTAATTTGCCGACGTGTGGCTTAAGCTCAATCAATAGTTCCGTGGGGGTTGAGATTGTTTGACACGTACAGTCAGAGAACGTCCTTCTTACCATTCGTCATGCCAATATTACCTTTCATATGACCTGGATTACTTAGACAAAGTACGGTGATACATTCATTCGCTTTCAATTTGGTGGCGTAGAACAAAAGCATTTTGGCTGGTCTTGAGGTCTATTGCTCTTTACGGCCAGTGTACGGTTAAAGCTTCATATTGTAACGCCAGAGCCTCACCCTTTCATCCTCAGTGCCTTTTGTCCAACCGAAAAGACCTTTCCTATGACCTTGATACAGATGTACAGAATACATTGCACCCACTCCAAAAACCCCCAAATGTTGTTCAGACTCCCCACTAGAGTGGGATGGACCAAGACTGCATCTCGCAATTTTTGGTAGGGAATATTTCCGATCATCACCATTTCTACGCTGCTCATGATTTCACCGCCCTCGATGGCCAAGCAGGAAAACCCTAGAATCAACCCTGTATCGCCGTCCACGACAGCTTTCATCATTCCTCTTGACTAGTCTGTTTCTAGTGCGCGGGCGACGTATGCCATTGGCATTTTCGCAGTTTGAATCCTTCTGTTGGGGAACTTTACACGAGCTTCTTGCCGACGTGCACCAGTTGAGGGTCGGTAAACACCACGTACGGGACAATGTGGTCTTGGATAGAGAGCTTCGTGTAATGAAAGCATATTAGACCGAAGGGTGCGACGTACTAGATATGCGTGAATGCCGGTAGTATTTTCACGTCGCCTATTGCCAAAATAGACGGAGACGAAGTCTCAGGGTATTCGTTTGTCACAATATATTCTTTCTTATCGGTTTCAAAACCTGCAGCTTCTGGCTTCAACCGGTCTGTATTTTGAATCCGGCCGCCAGCAAATAGAATGTGCGTTCCTTCGATGGTTTGATCGCCATTTTTGGTATGGAAATAAAGAGTAAACCTAATAATTCATGGTCTTGCATTACTGGTTGGAATGTTGAATCATGAACGTCACGACGGTTTTCAAAGACATCAATACGTTATTCCCGCCTGACTTGGCCCCCGGCTGATCGGGCCACTTCGCTCATTACTACTTTATAAATTGGCATCTTTCAATCAACACGCTATAATATGTACACATGTAGCTAGCTGACTTTACATTGATTTACTCCATTCCTAATCTTTCCGCACCTACTATGCCTAAGGCTGCGTGCGTCTGGGCAACGGAAGTGGTAATACGGGATACTGAGCAGCAGCTGGCGGAGGGGATTGAACGCAATTAAATGATTTGGTCGGTGGCTTAAATAGTTCCAGTCTCTCCCGAGGTAAAATCGCCTCATCTACTATTTGTATTTTGGGCAGCGTTTGTTTTTGCGGCTTCTTCTCGTTCGTTGATCAGTTGTACGCTTTACCGAAAGCCAATACTCAGCCGCTGCTCCGCTAGCGGTCGAGAAACTCATAAGGTACAGTTGTATTAGACTGTTGACGGCCTCCACCAGTGAAAGTGGCGAGGGCCCGTTTGGGGATGGATATTGTGCGGTGCTAGGGGAAATCGTGGTGTCATTGGCCGCATTGGTCAGCAAGCTCATCCGCCGAGCGGCAAACTGATATAGCCTCTGCCCCATGGCTCTGTGGGAATGCGCGACCTATTGACCCACTCTCTAGCAGATACTGGTATATTATTGTTTGTCGTAATGACAGGAAACGAGGGTGTGATAAATTTGACCAGGAAAGCAATCGAGGAACATTGGCAAGCATCGGATGTCAGTGATACCGAAGCCGAATACGCCATTCATTCCGTAGACGGGACCCTGGGCTACCCGCAATCAGGGGAGCGTTTCAAAGGTCGTGCGACAATTTCTGCACAGCGAGGTGGACACCCTGCTGACCAGCGTTTTGCGGTGCTACGGATCTCAGGCGACGGCTATCTGGGTGAGCGAGTGCATCATCACCTATGACGGAGTATCAACATACCCAGTCTCCATCGTGCGGTTTGCTCATGGGCTTGTGGTGCACCAGACACAGTACTTCACTGATAAATTCAGTGCACCTACATGGCGGGTAGCGCTCGCCGAGCCTATACCAGGCAGGCAGATCGAAGAGGCTTGATCAAGTCCTTGGCCCAAGCCAAATCTTCCACATCTGAGAAAGGTGATTTTGCACCAATCTTTACTGTGGTAGTAACACCTCTGGTTTTTCTCTGGAGCACTTATTTGTTTGTGAGTAAGTATTCAATATGTGTTTGGATTGCGACCTTTTTGCAGGACTGGACGAGAAGTTAGGCTAGCACTAGCCAATCTGTACTGTTTTACACTGACACTGCATCTTGCCCCTAAGGTTCACTAGTCAAAGCCAGATTTGCAGATGAGGAGAAAATGTAGCATTCTGATATGCGATTCCGTAGCAACCTTTGCTCTAATGCAAGCTATCAACTCTTTAGGACACTTTGGTGAGGTAGAGGAGCATCCACATTCGCATTTCTCAATCTAATTTTTTAAGGTAGGACAACAGTTCACCTGATTACAAGACTATCTTCCTGCAGGAAGCAGAGAAGCGGAAGCAGGCTAAAGAACGACAGAATCAGGCTGAAAATGCACCAGTCAGGCCGCATTCACGGAGTTCGTACGCCATTGCAACAGTCTTCTCTCCCGATCATTAAAAGTCGAAACACCACTTCACTCGCTCGACTATACACAAAATACCCTTAAGGGCAGCGCCTAAGGATAAGTGGATATAATTTCTAACAAGCACAAGAATTAACAGAGAAAGCATTTTGCAGGCTTAGCATCCTTCAAGTTAAAATGGAGCCCAACCTCAGTGGGATTCACCACTATAAGTACAATACTACCGGTAGTACTGGGATTAATAAAGACAGTATTGGTCAGCTATTCTTTTCCAAGGGCCGACTTACGTGACCTAAATTGAATGGCTCTCTTCCAGCCTTTGGCTTGCTTTTCGGCCGGCTTTGTGCTTGGCGTTTTCTAGCTTAGCATTGTTAGTTTTGTCTATTCATGTCTTTCCTATTAAATCTTTCCGTGAAATTTAAAGCGGAGAGCCTTCATCAAAGACGACCGTACAACCATAGGGAAAGGAGAAAGAGACAGAGCTAAAGATACATACATAGAGGCTAATGTCTCAGGCCATGAATGTCTCTCAGCGGATGTTCCACGTTCCCAGTGGATGGTAACATACCCAACCTTTCTTCTCGTTAAACCTACTCACAGAAATGCTCTATAAAGTTTCAATATCGCTTATAAATTGTCATTTTCTAATGAAATTTGATACTAAGACTGTTAGATAAGGCATGTACGGTCAAGAACATAGGATTTTGAAGCTTGTATACTTCATCCTCTATTATATTAGTTAATTCTAAAATCTGCCGAGGCTATCCGTCGGCACCAAGTTAAAGAAATATTACAAGAATGTAATATCACCCCGGAGGAAATAAGTTTTGGTATCGCTATAAAGTGATAATTAAGTAAACTTCGTAGTAATGTATATGTAGTTTGGCCGTAATAGGCCACCCATCACCGCTAGACTACGTCAAAACCTAACATGGGGAGCCTCTGTTGGTAGGATTTAAGAGGTATACTGTCTTTAACGTAAAATATACATAGGACTGGACGCTATTGTAAATGTAAAAGGACAGAATTAAAAAATGTTATACAAGGCGACGCTTGCGATAGACAAAACATATTCACCGCAAACAAAGACAAAAGACAAACTCGAAGTATATCAGTATGAATAAAGATCAAACATTCAACGATAGGTTTTCATGGTCGAGTTATCGAGTTCTGCAGGCTTAGGCTCGGAGGCTGTTAGCTCTGCAAGCTCTAGAGGAGATGCGGACGGCCTACTCGCGTAGCCATAGTAGCCCGCTGGTGCTGGGGCTGGCTGAGGAATCTTCTTTCTCAAACGTCTCTCGTAGAGGGCCCAAACAATAGACAGGAGAGCAATCACCCCGAGAGGTACGCCGACACCAGCACCAATAGCCACCTCTTTTTGGGAGCCGTCAGAGGAATTCAATTTTTTAGAAGTGTTGTCGTTGCCAGTGTTATTTGCAATCGTGGAGGAACCCGTGCTGGAGGATTGTCTGACCAAGCCATTGAGACCCGCCACATCTACAATGACCGACCCATTCGCGATCGGAAAAGGTGATGGATCGGTTGACCCAACTTTGCTGCATACGAGGGTGTCATTGCCAGAGATGACGACTGAGTTGCAGCAATATGTCGGCTCTTCATCAGCGGATGTAGTACCATTTAGGTACGGGATAAGGGCTGCACCAGCGCCTTGCTGAGCGTTAACTGATAGCATAAATTAGCATTTAGAGAAGACTAATCGTTGTCTATAGGCTGACCGTTCTAAACTTACCGCAAATTGATGGGCACGAGGTGCCCCAGCTTGGATCGGTGCAACTTCCGCGAGAAAGCAAAAAAGGCTGATCCAAGGAAAGGCATAATTGATTAGTGAGACAAATTGAGTCACTCCCGCAGCAATGTGTGATTCGGCCATCGGTATAGCAGGGTAAATCTTCTGCTTTATCACCATTGGGGTAGTAGCACTGAGAGGTAGCCCTGGCCCCGGCAAGGAAAGCCAGAAGGCTCAGTCGAAGAGCGAGGCTCTTGAGAAGAGAATGGTTCGCCATCCGGGCAGCGTAAGAACCTTGTTTCAAAGGTTGATGGGCTCTGCTGTCCTTCGAACCGAAAAGTGAGATATCGACAGGTTGAGTGCCTAGATAAGAGGGAAAGAAAAGGAAGAAAGGGGTCCTTGAGGAATAAAAGGTACTCGCTCGCACAAGCCGCCGAGAGCGAGCGGGGAGGCTTAGCTCACGGCCGATTGGACCGCTATTCTAAGGATCCTGGATCAGCAAGCGTGTCCACCGGAGGCTTGACTCCTGCGTGCTGGTCGATCATAATAGGAAGTAGAGGAAAATGAATCATAAACAATATTACTACAAGCTTTATGCTCATCTGTATGGAAGAATTCTATGGAAATCGTCGATCGGGCCAACACAGAGATCATTATTTCTCGCGTAAGTATGTATTGATAATTCATGGCTGGTCGGGCGCACTGGGTGAAATCATTTGTTGAAAACGAAGCCGCCTGTGCGAGGCGTAATGCGTAGTGTGACGCTAGTAAGAACGCTACGTATATAGGGATAATTCATGAAAAGATTGTCTGACCGCCCATTGCGGGATAGTTTGCAGTGTAGGTAGGCAAGACTTGAGAGCCCATCTATCTTGTTCCAATAAGAAAAATATGCATGGCTTAAAAAAGAAATAATAATAATATTATCATTATTATCATTATTATTAATGTGAAAATTGTTATTTCGGTCGAGTGATTTTTTCGTCCATTATAGGGCTGTCGTCCAAGGAACGGGTTAAGGGCCAACAGAGGGAGCCGCCGGTGTGGGGCCAATGCGGGCCGGACGGAGCAAATCGGCTTTTCTGACGTCTTATAGAAGGGTGGCGCAATGTCGTTCTGGTACTGTAATCATAAATTTTACCTATAGATTTATTATAACGGTAGGTGGATTGTGCTATTTCCTTTCCTGTCATGAAAATATACGAGAAGGGTCTGCAGCTGAGTTACTTTTCTTCCAATATGGGAACAACACATCAAGGATGACCAGATAAAAAATCCCAAAGAGGCTCAAAACGCTGTCTTTGGTAATTTACTTAGGAATTTACTGATGCAAATTGAAATTGCTTGGAATGATTGGAGAGGCACAAGTGCCCCGGCCACGTTTCAGCCGCCTGTACGAGGGACCGTGCACTGCATCTTATGCTCACGGTGATTGGCCTGCAAAAGTCCCACTTGGACACTAATAAATCCGGTTGCCGCCGATCAGACACCCTCTCAAATCATTAGCCTCGCTTTGCCCTAGGCCCGCCTGCAGTGTAACCAAAATCGATAATCCTGTCATTCCCCCACCCACAAGTGACCCCTTTTTATTCCAGTCGTGTTTTCCCTATCTCCCAACCGAACGTAGGATTACGTAAAAAGGTGCCATGCCTAGCGCCCGTCCACCATCATATTAAATTCTGTCCGCGTTTTTTGATGGTCCTATGAGCTTCCTACCACTCGCTTCCTATAACCGGACTGAGCGACTGAAGTCCCGTTCTCTCATTAAATATGGTGATAAGCTTTTCAACTCTTTCCTCGCGAACTTCACCAAACATCTGCTGTCGCTTTTCCCGCGTATGGCTGTACGTGCTTCTCGCGATTCTATCGGTCTTCATCTTCCACGGCATTTTCGTTCGAAGGCAAGAGTTCCTTTCATATACGCCTTCTAACATAGGATCTGATACGGCGTCCAATAGGCAAGTCGTCATTATCGGGCCTGGCGATCTGGGGAGTAACCCGCGCGAGGTGAGACCCCAAGATGATCAGTCCCCATATGCACACGAGCCAGTGGGTCTTGGCACGCTTCGCGATGTTCGGTAAGTCGCGGAGGAATTCCAGCGAATTCCCAAAAATATTTATCTCTAACTTGTTGCTACTCTAAGAGAGGATAATTTCTACCGTGGCGGGACTTTAACTTTGGACGTCGGGAGTGGTGAGGCGCACCCAAGCCCCGTGGTGTTCGATCCTTATCCCGATTACAATGGGAATGAATGGCGCAAGGAGTCCACAGGAAGCTTTCGTGCCTGCGAGGGCCCACGTGGGTACACTTTGAACCGCTGGAGTCCCGAGGACATGATGACCGTGTATCCAAGTATCCCAAAAGGTAGTGCCATTGACTGCCACGTCGCCAGGTTCCCTCGCAAAGCTAACAAGCTCGTAGATTTTCCTCTTTCTTTGATCGGCTCGTATTCAGCAATGGGAATCGACTCGTCCGTCTGCACAAACCGATATTCTCGACTTAACGCATACGGATACGAAAGCAACAGCAGCCAGGGCACCTTTGATGTTTGGCAGCCACCACGAATGGATTGGGATAATGTTCGCTGGGGGAAACTTCAATTGCAGTGTTCTGAACTAAACGCTAACAGATACGGTCGAGGCGTGACCGATATGCAAGCCGTGCACTTTCTGCCTGATAGCCCTCCTGCTTCTTCACAGCAAATTCCTCGCAGCCAGCCTAGCTCTTCTCCAACCGGCGCTCAATACAAAGCACGGTCAGCTGTTATCCTACGTGCCTGGCATGACATGGAATGGACGGAAAACCTCAAACAGTATATTCGTTCTCTTATTATGGAGCTGTCGTTGCACTCCGGCGGCGAATATGAGATCTTTATTCTGTGCCATGTGAGAGACAAGAAGATCTCACTCAATCCAGAAGACGTCGATGCCATCTGGCGCCTTAAGACCCGATTCGTACCAGTTGAGTTTGTGGATATGACTATTCTTTTCAACGATCAGATATTAGAGGCATGGTATCCTAAGATTGAGGATCACAGGTATGTATAACTGGATCGCTTCTAAGTTAGCCTTGACTCTGATTCTGGATCGATTATAGCACAAAAACCCAATACTGGCAACCAGTTCAAATTTTCTCTCAAATCTTCCAAGAGTTTGATTATTATTGGCAGCTGGAAATGGATTCCAGGTTTACTGGCCATGTTTATCACTTCCTGGAACAAGCTGCCAAGTTTGCGAAGGCACAGCCACGAAAGTACCTCTGGGAGCGTAACTCCTACTTCTTTATCCCAGGAGCTCACGGGACTTGGCAACAATTTACACGAATGGTCGAAGCTTCTATGAAAGGCCGGGGGAGTATTTGGGGACCAATAGATCTCTCTGGATTTATCCCCGTAGGCTCTACCGCAGATAACGGGCCTCCGATAATTGCGGTAGGTCCCAAACCCCCTGTTGCCTCCCCAGAAGACGACAATTATAAATGGGGAGTTGATGAGGAGGGCGATTTAATTACGTTTCTCCCCACTTTTGATCCTGTTCGCACTCGCTGGGTTTTCTCAGACGTTATAGGGAATCTTCGTGGAGATATCCCTCGCCAAGCATCCCCTGTCGCTATGGGGCGTATTTCAAAGAACCTGGCACAGCAAATGCATAATGCGCAAAGCCAGTTGGGAATCATCCTAGCTTCTGAGATGACTGCACCAACATTAGCACTATGGCATGGGTTAAAAGCAGTGTACGTTCCCCAGCCTGTCTACGTTGACGGTAAATGGACGTCGAAGGAGTTGGGCCGCATATTGAACCCTGGTGCTCCTGAAAAAATCAATGGCGGCGAAGATAGTATCTGGAACTGGGACCACCGCTGGGACCATATCCTATACCGTTTGTCCTACATGTTTTCGACACAATCTGCGGAAGACTTCTATCGAAGATGGATGGGCTTCAAAATTGATCCCCTTCAATATACGGACGGCACCTATCATCAAGATCCCCAAGGTCGGAACTGGTTTGAAACCGGTGACTTGCGAGAGGATTTGTATGGCCCACTTTGTTTCCCGTCCATGCTACTTCATCCTGTTAAGAACACCGATGTAAAGAAGGGTTCGAGCATGGCGGTCCCTGTTTAAACCCTTTGAATGAATGTATTTGTACATAGCTTGTTCGCGTAATCTTTCATGTCAACATCCGAGAATGATGCATGCTGTATTTTCGCTGCATCTACAGTCATCAGCGTAAAATATTTCGTCCTAGTAAGTGTTCGCACTTTTATCGGGCCTTTGTAAACTTCTGTAAACTTCATTTCTAAGATTTTCAGACCTAGCAACAAAATTCGCAGTATGCCCAACAGCTGGCTATTTTTAGAGTTCTTATTGAACTTGTGAAACATCAGATCATGGGTAATTTACACCAAAATATGACGGCTTCTAAGGCCAGAAAATTCCCAGCAGGCAGCCGGTGCTTGATTGCTCCAGCCTGCGTATATGCTAAGCAATAGCAGGTTCCAATGCACAAGGTAGGAATGATCGCGAAGAACTAAACACATGCGCGGGAATGACTGTTCTTATGTATCTAGTCCTTCCTACTCCACAATATACTTCTTCAGGGTAGATCCGGGAGTTGACCAGGGATTCACGGTCACCTGTGGGCTAACTGTCCGACGGCTAGGTGCAGTATCCGTATCTCTTGTTATGGTGGCCAGGCGGCCAGAAATGGCGGAGGCTGTGGGTAGAAGGAATCCGGTGCGTATAGCAACATATATACGACCACCTTTGCCTTCCACCACCTTGGTGGGTATATGCGGTAAATGAAGGTATACCTTACTAAAAATACGATAAAGGTAGGTGGAGCACATTGTTGGTGGTCTTGACAAAATGTTGGGAAGACAGTGTACAGTGCTCATGACCCCTTTATCACACGCTAAGCGGGACGATCATACCACACAGAGCGGGCCCGGCCTATGAGGGGAATTCTCTATGTAGGTACTTTTAGCCCAAGTTTTAAGCGAGGTGACGGCCGTGTCAAGTACAAGTACCTGCCCCCTCCCTGTGTTAAGATTTTCTGTGACAATTTGCCTGAGTTCACGCTAAATTTCATGTTACTAGAGAGTGCACAAGAAAGTGCCGGAGCGGCTATTATGTGGTATACAAACGGCACTGTGACTGACGAAGCCCCAGAGTACTGTTACAACTCAGCCGTTATCTCTGTCAATGACACTCTTGTGTGCAGTCGGATTGATGAAACCTGGCAAACGCCTTTCAAAATTGCGGATGGGTCTATTATTCCTGATGTCGCGGCTCTTTCTGGCTTGGTAAAGGAATCCAGCACCTCCGGCGTCGCCAATAATACCAATAACGACCATGAAACCGCTACACAATTTAAATCCAACGACTCGAACAACGATGCGGCTATAGGGGCTGGTGTTGGTGTTCCCCTTGGAGTTATTGCTCTTTTTGCCATTGGGTGGGTCCTATGGGAAAGACATATGAGAAAGAAGACACCGGGTGCGGCATCCCCAGTATCGATTGATAAGAGTTCCTATGTTCGCGAGTTGAATGGATCGAAGGCAGTAGAGTTGTATGATGGGTCGACTGTAGCATCCTACCATTGAAATCCAATACACGTGCAACAGGACTTGTTTGGATCTCGGCCCCCGGAGTCAGCTAGTGGGGTGGGGCTTACGGCATGTTGATGGGCAACCACTGCCCCAGCTTTTGTCGGTGCAGCTTGCGCGCAAAAGCGAATATGGCTGTTTAATTGAAAGTCATAACTGATTTTTATATGGCTTGAATTTCAATGACGATCAATGGGAAGCTAGATACGTAGCGCGGCTGAGATTCAAGATATGATCCATTGTCAGAAGTCCATTTAGGCTCCTCTGAGTATTTCTTCTTAGATGTTAGCCCCAGAACGGTTTGCGGGGTAGGAAGTATCGTTTCATCGACGTCTTTCTGCTCACGGAAAGGGCAATACTACCAGGACGAGCAGTGGCCATCACTGCGCCCGTCCTCGGGCGAATACTTTTCCAAGGTACCGCAGCAATACACGATCGGGGCCAGGGTGGGGCCAAATGGCCCGGGCAGATCGGCATTCCAGGCGACCATGGCGGCACAGTATCAACTAGTAATACGGTAGTGGATTCTACTTGGCAAGCTGTGTAGGCGTATTCTGTATCCTCCAGTGAATTAACAGCCGACGAAACGGTCCAAGGGGTTACGCCAGCTCTTGACGTAAATAGTTTCACTATGACGAAGGACTCAAAGAGAGATACCAGGTGGAAGATTCCGACGAGTCTTACATTTACATTGTGGTTCATGATCAGCCTGGAGATCGTGGGCTCTCGTTTCGTAAGCTGGGCAAGGGTCAAGTTCACGCGCACGTTTTAGCGTTTCGGCGGCTTCTTTCGGAGCGTATGTTGGGCCGCAATCACCCGGCTCCATGTCTGATCGACAATAATGAGTCTAAACAGAGTAGCAACAGCGGTCCTTTTAGGGGCCGTTTCTCCCGCGTCGCGGCATGGCATCTATACTCTCCGAAAGGTTTGTAGAAAACGAGCAAACGACACCGACGAAATCACAATTGAAGGTTTCAGTAGGGTGTTCCTAGGAAATGATCAGCGGCATGTTTGATTTGCTTTCACGGCAATTCAAGATAAAGCTTGAACTTATGGTTCTTGCCCCCCACAGCCAATTTGTAATATTCAGTGTGACTGGCGCCGCTCCGCTTGGATCCAATGCCTCAAGTTGAGCACAGTATGCGATGGCCATCGAAGCAAACTGGATTCCATGTTCCATCAAGAAATCTCATCATGAAACTGACACTGTCACTCATAAAGCGCGATCGCGGGCCTCCAATGTAACACTGATACCTCCACCACAAATGTAAAGAAAGGTGGATGCTCCTTCTCGGGCTGTCAGCCTCTTCGTCTCTGCCTATGCGGGACTACAAACAAGCTAGAAGGTGGGTCGTGCGGTATGGAAAAGGTTCCAGGTTGAGACGGCATCTGCCAAAATCGCCGATTATTGAATGTATGGTGTATGTAAATTCGTTGTGGTGAATAGTGATGGTATTACAGAAGGGTCATGCCTAGTGAGTTTGTGGCGAGGTGGATGAAGAACAGAGAAAGAGTAGTATCAAAACCAGGTTGAACCCCAGGGTGTGATACGCGCCGAACGATTATGACTGATTGTATATACCTACAACCTTCAGCATTCGTCTCGTTGATGTTCCAAAAGTATGTGGTTCAGTGCCTCGCCTGCAAGACTGTAACGTAAATGCGAAGATGGATGCGACGCTGTCAATGATGCAAACGAAATGAAATGAAGCGGCGTGATAGAGATTACTCTGCTGCTTAAGAGCGCAAGTGGATATCGTCTAAGGGCAGGCCCTCCTCTAACGGGACGTGCTGGTAGGAACGCAGCTTGCTCTTCTGCCGCATGCGGTATGTGCCATAGAGGACGCCGCCGACGATATAGGCCGCCAGTATGAAGATCAGCAGGCCGCCCATGTCGCGGATAAGCTTGTGGGCTTTGTAGATGGCATTGGTAACTTCCTTGGCGTTGGCGTAGGATGACTTGTCCGAGTCGTTATTGCCCATTATCTCGGCCATGCTGTCCATGCTGTCGTGGCTGTTGGCGGTGGTATCGGTGCCCTTGTTGATCGACGCGATCATGGAGGGGTCACCCGGGGTCGGGTCAGACTCGCCCAGCCAGCCGACGGCCTTCCAGTTACTCGGGATGTCAGAGCGCTGGATTCTCGAGGTGCCTATGACCTTGCCGTTGACGTCGATCGCTTCGGCGGCGACCCGGTCCATGTAGCCGTCGACGATGTACATGGTCTCGAAGTCGGTCTTGTCCGCGTGGCCGATGAATACGGGCGTGCCGACATCATAGGCCTGTGCATAGAAGTTCCACTCTATCACGTCGGTAGCGCCGTTCCAGCTTACGTAGATGATGGTGGTGATGTCCTCATCGGTAGTACCGTACACAGAAGCCATGACGTCTGGAGGCTGGTTAGGGCGGCCCACGAATTCGCCCTTATAGGCACGATAGGTAGAGTATCGGGTGGAGGCGAATCGAGCGGTCATTAAGATATCGCCGTTAGGGGCGTGCTCACTTTGGTAGCCACGCTCGCTCCAGCCGACGAAGACGTTCTCATTTGGCAGAGTCTGAACGCTGCCATACACGCGGGTTAGACTGCTATCTGGTCGGTTAACGCGCTTAATAACGCGGGCCATCATAGCCACGGTGTCGACCTCGATATATAGAGCCGAGGAGATGTTCTCGTCGTTGCCTCGCTCGTCCGAAGCATTATTCATAATAGAGATAATATGGTGGGTGCTGTTAGACGAGACGAATCTCACATCGTGCTGCTTAGAAAATATAAAGTCCATATCGAAGTCGCTTTCTAAGCCGCCTAGACGCCACAAAATGTGTCCATCTTTACCAGAGATACCGTAGATCGTATTAGTAAAGCGCAAGGAGATAATATAATCACCCGCCTCATTCTTGTCCACCGCGTTGATATAAGCATAGTCCCATCCAGGGGGTCCCATTGGCGTATCCCATACATGGAACAGATTAGACTCGTGCAGGGGAATATGGTCGAAACTCTCCCATTGCATCAGGACCTCATTAGTCGCCACATCTAGCTCGACAAACCCACCGGAGATGACCCAGCTCTCCTCCGTCGGACGTCCAAAATCCTCCATATTGACGGGTCGGGACCGGTAGGTACACGCGAGGGCCGACTTGCCGCCGGGCAGGACGTTAAACTCGTAAATATTGAAGTCGTGCAGGTCATCCAAGACCTCGACCTGCTGTTCGATCTCGTAGTGTGTATCTACAATCACGCCCTTGCCCTTGCTTGACCCGTCGACTTCCGAGCCAACAATCATGGAGAGGTGCGGCTGGTCGTCGATCTTGTTGATCGCTCTGAAATCGAACACGTTTTGGTTGTCCCACATCGGTGATCCGGCCCAGATCAGCATCTTCCGACTCCAGTTAGCCATACCCCTCGAGTTTCTGGGCACAATCACACTTACACCATCTTCATCGTAGATATACGGCCCAATCTGGTATTTCTGGTACTTCTGGGTGGGCTGTTCCGGTTCAATCTGGCTATATGGCGTAAAGAACCAATATCCGGGGGCAACGCGCGAGCGGTGGTGGTAGTTGACTTCCCATTTCAAGGCTCGGACCTCGGGGAGCTAGACATGTGTTAGCGGGAAGGAATCACCTGTCGGCGGGGGGACTGACCGTCATAAATGACATCAAATTCATGTCGTGGCGCTGTGCAACAGCATTATGCAGAGTAAAAAGCTGTAAGAACGCCAGAGAAAACAACATGGTGTACTAAGGAGAGGCTAGGAGGGTTCCCGTGAAGGGAGCGAGTTGCAGGAAAAAACGGGGAGAGAAAAGAGATGCTACAAGAGACCCTGAGCCGCCCGAACAGAAAACGAGGTGAGCATTCGGACGTTGTCAGTTAAGGAGATTCAAACAAATGGAAGGCCCGGCCGGCTAGCAGATGCGAAGGACCCTGACGAGCCAGGTGACGCCTGGGAGGGTCGAGACGGTGACCGCTCGTATTGACCGTATCTTTAGCTCATCGAGTTGTATTCAAGTCGATTAATTCTGGCGCCACTCCAACAATGCTGCAGCGCAGCAGCGCAGCGGTATAGTATTTATCTGTTATATTCTGGGTCTCTGGTCTCGGAGCTGATTCCTTGCCGCTGCACAGCATCAACCAAGAAACTGCCGGCACCGGACGAGTGACGGCGTGAAATTTTCACGTAATCATATGTAGACCTCACAGTGGATCTAAAGGGGATAAGGGTTTGCTGGGTGGGGTGAGGGCGAGTAACAGAGTTCACAGAGATACAGGGTGACCAAAAAACAAACGTCCTTCTCCACAATAATTCTGCCAGTATTTTGAAAATAATCAATGTATTTAATTTGTATCAATACCCCGTATATCCAGCTACAGTACAGAGCTGCCAGGCGTTGATTTGAGTACTACTGTACAGATTGTACGGGACGCAAATTTTCACGGGGCGTACTTGGGCTATGTATCAGCGGCAACCGAGGTCTGCGGTACAAGGATCCAAGGGATCGGCGTGGGCCAATCACAATGCAGCCCGGGTCGTCGACAGGCCAAGCAGCACACAACGTACAGTACGTGTACGGAACAAGGTACTGAAACGTATGCGCGTGGGAGCTTGGCCTCTATAATTACGAAAATAGGGTCCCCTTGGCCCCCTACTTGATCATGGAGCGCAATATGTTATACCTGCCTACCCACCTTGTCTCTTCAATACTTTCCAACCATTCGTCACTTTCTAGAGTCTCTCACTTTACCAGAATCAGTCATTTCCGCCGTATCCTGGATAAAGCACCCATTATTACACAAGAAGCTTGATAACGCGCCACACGTATAGCCCGCAATGTCTATTTGCTCCGGCCTACGTTTGGCCCCACCCTGAGCGGCCCGGTACTGTAATGTTCGCGGGATTTACCGGGTTTGAAAGAATGGAAACTGGATATCATTGGCTCAGGCAAAATCTTTTAATATGCCATACTGTAGAGGCCCCGTCAGAACGTGATAGGGATAGCTGATGTGGATCGCTACAGGCCAATTAACGTGCCGGGGTGGGGGTGTAGCGCCCATTAGGCGAGATTCGAGGCGAAATGAATTCCGATTTTCCCGTCATGGTAGATGACCGGTGTTCGACCTAGCTGCCTTTCTGTACTAACAGTGGCTAGCTGCTGCTTCACGGCCGCAATACTCTTGTGGTCCAATTTGAGAACTTATATTTTTCATAAAAAGGTGTGGTATTTGCTTATTAGCGAATGATTATGCCTTGATCAGGTTAGGCGATGAACAAGGCGTTTGCCTTCGACATCAATATTCTTAATCAGCAGTTGTGTTCGCATAATCGTGGAGTGATACTTACCCCAATCAGTGAAAATATCAGTAACCCTGCCACCAGCAACGACGTAACATTTGCCTTTATCATCGGATTGGATTTTCCTCTGACAAAACTTTCAATGAATGGATCGAAATCTTCGATCCCTTTTATCGACATTTCATTGCGGGCATCCCCAAGTGTCTTAAACTTTCCGTGGTCAGCGCCTTCATAACCTATTACTTATGCACTGTGCTCAACAGTCACAATATCCACAGTATCTACACTCTTGATCGCAAGCTGTGAAAGCTTTCAGGGACTCAGAATAATAGCCTGTATGTATAGTCTGGGCTATAGTAGTAATCTGCCCTGATCTTATTCAAGCAATTATAGAGAAAGGGCGTTGAAGGCAAAGCTAGTAAGACGTTCCTCTATAAGAGGTCCCCATGGTCTGTTATAATTACTCTGATCATTGCAAACTCTCATCATCTAAGTGTATAGCGAAAAACAAACATAAACAACGCATGCATTTTAAGCCAGCTAAATCCAGGGTTGAGCAAGCGGTTTTGGTGGAACCGAAATTACCTTCTCCTCCTCGACATGAGCCAACAGCGCCGCACCCTGCGTACTGATCCCCGCAAAAATACACACAAGCGTGGCAAATACCTCAGGCAGGAACCGTAGCACCACACTGATAACCAGCAACCCTGTGACGGGATTAAGCGACGCCCTCTGCGTGCACAGCGCAGTAACACTGTAGAAGACTCGGATCTCGATGAAGACGAGCGAGAAGGCGACGGCCATAAGCAGCTGCTCGCGAAATAATACCATAGTATTCCGATACACGCGGGGGGGGGGGTAGATACTTACGACTTTCCCTGCCCTCGTGAGCGAGGAATTCCGTCCCCGGGGAGCAATAAATGAGAACCCGGTCCAGCCAACCAAAAACCCCCACGCGACCGCCAGAATCGAAATACCTGCCCTGGTGATCGTCTCAGCCTTGTCGAGGAGTTGCTTGTGTTCCTGAAGTTTCGCGGAGTCGGCAGCTGTTATGGCCACGCCTGCGATGATGAGCATCTGGTAGGCGAGGACGGAGAGCCATTCCACTTTCTTGTTGAGGGGTTGGATGCGATAGTGTCGACTGCTGGATTAGCACTGGCCTCGTAATTGTGGGCTGACAACTTGCGCCAGGTGTAGAATGCTAGCTGTTGTGAGGAGGGGGGAAAGGCTGACGCTGGTGTCGTTGACTGCCAGCGCGCCACCGATCATGCGGAGGGTGCAAAAGAAGAATAGGAAGAGCCATCCTAGAAGGCCATAGCGACCGTCTCGGATGAGAAGGTAGAGTACTGGGAAGGCGAGGGCTACGTAGATGGCGCAGGTAGCGGCGGAGAGGGAGTTGGTCATTGTGCAAGTCAGTTCCGTAGGAATGTCACCTCCTTCGATCTACCTTGACTGACGAGAATAGCCAAGAGGCATAAGACAAAGAAGGAGAAGCGGTAAATAAGACGAACAGGCCTTGGGGTCATCAATGCAGGACATCCTTGTCGGGCATATCACTTGTCAATCTGTCAGCCGCTGAACAGACAAGATCAACATTCGGACTAATCAATCATATTGATGATCAAATGTTGGTAGGATCGGGATAGGCACCAGGCTGAAATTCCCCTCGTCCACTGTTCCCTTCGTATTGGGCATTCCTGTGAGAGGCTTGACATGAGCTTGTCCATCCTCTTGACCAGCCGGAGATAATGATAACAGCAGCCACGAGGCTTTGGCCCCTTGGCAGTGCAGAAGCCAAATTTATTGTGGGAGCCAAAATACAAGGCAGAAATAAATGGATAATGGATGGTCAGCCCCGTCCCACACTATCAAAACAGCCCTGTCGAAAGTACAGTATAGTTCGTAAGGGTCAAATCCTCAATTATAATAAGCTCAGAGAGGCTTGTATGGTTCTATCATCAGCAGTGTAAGCGGACCAGGCTGTGAGATAACTTAGTCAGATATACAAGGACTGTTGGCTTTCCTTCAGGAAGTACGGGATATCGAATAGACATTTTTTTATCATGTACTACTACTCCTTGATAGCAAGATGGTCACCCATGCGGGAGATGAACTGAAATACCAAAGGCAGTGGATAAGTATTCACTATTAATGTATATGCAAACTGAATATCACTTATAGATAGTTCAGGGTCCCACCGCTCAATAGACCGTTCCTCACCTAAGGAAGGATGCTGCTCAGAGGGACGTAGAAAATAGAATCACATTTAGCAGGGACAAATTGCTGACTTGTCACTGCTTGGGAAGGTCAGTGGAGAAAGGAAGATGATAATCTATAGTAGTATATGAATAGAGAAAAAGCAAGGATCAATGAGCAAGAGGCGAAAGATGCAGTGTCTGATTTGGAAATGAAGTGAACGTGGTCAAAATTTACAGGGTCGAAGCCAGACATGAATGGATGAGAGTGAATATCATACTCAGATCAGGGTGACTCTGCTAGATTTGTACAAAGAGAAAAGAAATAGATATCATTATACTACACAACTGACCACCCAGGGCATTTAAATGAATGTCCACTAGAACTAAATAGGTCACCATATCGGGTGAAGGCAACTCGGACATTCCAGCAGGCTCGCCGTGAAGGGCAAAATATGTTGTCGCAGCTTCCAAGAATTACTGACAAAAATGTGTATTCCAATCCCCAATGGCACCCTGAAGCGCGTTCAATGTGATAACAGGAGCAATGGCAGCGTTTGTTGTTGCACGGTGCTCGTTGGACTTGAGGGGCTCTTCTCGCGAAAGGAACAACTGCTCTATGTCGGCGTTGGTAACGGGGATATTGTCAATAGCCGACTGATATAATCCATCAAGTGTGGACATATCGAACATATGTTGTAGTAAGAGTGAGCCGTTCGGCCAATATCACAATATCAGTCTGACTATCTGACTGTCACCAAGGTTATCAAAACGTCCAGAACCAGATCCATGTTCACGCTGTCAATTTTGGAACTGATTTCTTGAATAATTTTTCGAGTTTCTCTTGAATAGATAAGTTTTGCCGACCTCATAGCATTTCTCTTGCCCGGGCGCTTGTTAGGAATATTCCCAAGAAGCGTTTGCGGAGCAACGTCAATGCTCGAATACGCTGACCAAAAGGCGGTAATCCCAGGCTCGACAACTTGATGCCTTTCAAAAAGCTTGGCGAATGCCAAATTCCTATGTAAAGATTTAGGACGACAAACCAAATATTCGATTTCTGCGGCAGCCTGTGTTTTGTTGTATTTACGGGCAGCTTGTAACCCGCTGATTCTGCCTGCGATCTGGAGTGCGAAAGCAGCGACCCCAACCTCAGCAGAAGCAACTCCGAGAGTCTCCACCATTATAGTGAGGATAGCCGTAGTGTTCAACTTGGATAAATGAATATTCTTCCTAGCAAGGTACTTGGTGAAGTAGGCTGTATGGAATAAAACTGCTCAAAATCAAGAATCTGCCTCGTGAGTTGCACTGCCTCGCCTCTGACCAACGACAGCAGCTCATGGCTGAACAGATAGTGGGCTGCAGGAATGCGTTCTTTGGTTTCTGATCACCAATCGGAGACTGTCTCTTCGCGCGCGCGAGCCCGTCAATCGGGAGTTTCACGCAGCCACATTGCGGATTTTTGGGGGCGAAAATGCTATGTTCGTGAAACGAACCTCTGATAGGAGTCAAAATTATTTTTATAATCTTGAAGCCGACAGAAACGCAATATTTTATCGCTCCAATATAGTTGAATCACCATTGCCTTTCATCCAGGCTGTGTAGTATGAGACGCACGGACCACGTGACCACATCCATTGTGGCGATGCCGGGACCACCAAGGATGTTCTTGAGTACACAGAACAAGTGGTCATCGAGTCTTTAGGCTTGCTAATTCCACCTAAAACAGAGCAGGGAGACCCAGATTTGGCCCAGTGCATGATGTCCTCTGAAGGTGACTCTTTCGCGCGCACGCCTCATCTCGCGGAAGCGGCCTCAACTGGCCGCCACCAGAGCGTGTTTCGCATATCCGCACCTGGGAAAACGCAAGATCATGTTTTCCATGCGCGCAGAGCACATCGAAAGTCCGGAGGTGGGTGTTTGAGATGCAAAAAAAGAAGAATGAAGGTGTGGTGGACTATGATGAGCCTTAGGCAAAGCGGAACTGACGTCCATGACAGTGTGATGAGCAAAAGCCACATTGCCAAAGATGCCATTAAAGAGGCGTACAATGCTTCTATTTATCGGATCAGAAAGCTTCGATGTACTATCCGTCTCATGCGATCCGAGCACCGTTTGTTTTTCATATCGCTAGACTACCTCATGAATAGCGTCGAGGAAACATTGAAGCTTGATCCCAAATGGACGCCATACGCCTTAACGCCCCCAGGATCAGTTCACCCTATGAGTGGGGTTGCGTTTCAGCATTTCATCAACTGCTGAACTGAAACAATCGCGCGACCCGCAATTCGGGATGTAATGAGAACGGACATGATACGCGTCTCATTTACAGTAAGACGCTCGATCAAAGAACAATCAATTGCGGAGACTTATTTCTGGCAGCGCGCCCTTAAACTATACCAAGCGGCCCTCTCATCTCAATTCCACCGAGACAATGTGGGCTCCCTGCTTTCATCATGCATGCTGATGGGTGTGATGACAATATGCCCCGAGCACTTCCACGCCACAGAGTCATGGGTTCTCACAAACCGACCGGAGGGCCTTAACTGGCTCACCCTTCAGAGTGATATTGGATGCATTATAGAACTCGCTTCTCCTTATATACCTGACAGCATTTGGGCCACCGCATTTGCAGTCGTTGATAAAGAAGAACGCCAAATATTCGATCAAGTGGAGCAGGGACGCGAAGGTCTTGACCAGGATCTGGCGGATCTCTGTGGTATCGATGATTTTACTACAAAGAAGAAGAATATTTACTACAGTCCCCTCAGAATCCTGACTCCACTGATGGAACTTGAAAGGTCTCTGCCGAATGCCGGACATTTTGCTTCGTTTATGGGTCGACTGGAATGCGACCTTGTTTCACTGGTGAGACAGAGTGATCCACCCGCTCTGCTAATATTGGCGCAGTGGATGGGGCTTATGTGCTCTCTAGCGGAATATCAGCCATGGATTGAGGCAAGGATCAGGGGCGAGTGTAGTGCCATTTGTATGTTTCTGGAACATAGTGCCGATCCTAGGGTGTTACGATTGTTGCGGTTTCCCTCGGAGTGCGGATACGAACTTCGCAGTCCTTGCGTTTTTTGAAGACCAAGTTATGATGCCATAAATAATATTGCCACGGATTCGGCCTAGCATTCAAAATTCCGTCCCTTTACTCCCAGTTCGTCTTCTTGTAAGACCAAGCTTGTAGCGCCGCTCAGGTGCTAGACAGAATGCAAATTGAACGCACCGAGCGATCATTATAGAGGAGAAACACACCTGAGCATGTTAGAATATCAACAAACTTTCGAACATACTCGAGTCTTACGAATCTCGCAATAATGAGATGCTTTGAATATTGAATATTCTATTATGTTGGCCACCCTGAGGCACAGTATCTGACATTCCATCTTCCATCTTTATAACTGTACATTGACCAAGCCGCCCGTGATGGATCCTCCTTTAAATTACCCATTAAGTAATAAGTTTAGTTTGTAAGCTTGGCGCGCTGGAAAGTGAGGCCGTATTTGTTAAAGACAGCACACTTGCCCGACTCCTCGAAGTTGGCCATATGTGACGGCGGCATACCCAGCAAAGTCATATTCCGATCCACAGGGTGATACTGCTCAATTGCATATCCCTTGTTCCCGCCATCTTGAGAAGATTGAATTTGGTCACTTCCGCTGAAAATTCCATGCGTCGAGGCATAAGCCGGACCGCGAATCTTCAGGAAATCAAGACTGGGATTGGGGTTTCGAGTTCTGAAAAAGGCGCCAAATATATCATGAAGAAGCTGCGAGTGTAGGATGTCCTCATTGTCGTAATAGGGAGCGACATTCTTGGTCTTCGAGTTCAGGTTGCCCCATGCAAGTAATATATCAGAAGTGTGACAGGACGCGTTGAAATCGTTGTTTGGAGAACAAATTGCCGGTACATCCACAATGGTCTGGATATGACCGTCGGTAATTTCCACCTGGTAGAGCGAAGGGAAAGCGGACAGCGTCTTGTTGAGCAGATAGCCCTGGGCGCAGGTCCATTCACTGGCTGTGACGGCAGCGGAAGCAGCGTTGCGGACGCCGTCTGGGTCGGAGGTGTTGACTTCAAAGGCACCTGACGAGATCATCTCCATAGCCAGTTTTTCGCCAAACGCGACTTCCAATACAGCATCCAGTGCGGTTTGAGTAGACCCAAGATCTGGGATCTCGCCGTCGGTGAATAGGGCTGCTTCATTGCGCACGTTAGTGAACATGGCCGGTACGCGGACGGGAAGCTTGTTGTTGGCAAGAAGCACATCGAATTGGTCATCAATCACGCCAGACCCAGAATCGTCGACCATCGGCATGAATGGCTCGGTACCAGACAGCATCTTGGTGTTGTGGAAGTAATGGTCTGCGATGCTCGCGGTGATGCTTGTAATAGCGCTTTCGAATTCAGTGGAGTTACTGATATATTTGGCAGCAGGGACAGATCGAAGGCACTTCAGGAAAGTTTCCTCGGAGCTGGTATCATCGCATCCAACTGCCTTGCCGACTGCAGGTGTGATATATTCCGAGTATAATCCACGAGGGTACCACGGAATATCAAGCGGTGCAGATTGAACGAGCGCACCGGAGAAGAGACCCTTCGCGGCTGAAGAAGACATCAGACCTACTGTGCTTTGGGCACCGGCAGATTGTCCAAAGAGTGTAACATGAGATGGGTCTCCACCGAAATCAGCGATATGGGTCTGGACCCATTTCAAAGCCATGATCTGATCGCGGATACCATAACTACCGGTCGTGAGATCACCGGTGGAGATAGATCCCAATGCACCCACGCGGTAGTTGAGTGTGACGATGATCACGTCACTACGACTCGCGAAGTTGCCACCGTCGTAGTCAATCATGGTTGAGGTCCCTTCGTTGTACGCCCCACCGTAAAGGTAAACTGCGACGGGACGAAGTGCAGTATTCTGACCCCTCGGCGATGGCAAAACTGGCGTGTATACGTTCAGATAAAGGCAATCCTCAGATATCCCGCCATTATCCAAAATGCCGAAGCTTGAAAGTGCCTGAATGCATGACAATCCCATTGAAGTGGCATCGATGACTTTGGGGCCCGTGTAGGCTTGGGGAGGCGCCAATCGAAGTTGTCCAACTGGGGGATCTGCGAATGGGATCCCCAGAAATCGGAAAGAACGAGCGTCGCGATAGCCGGTCAGACTATAGCCTTGCGACTCAATTGTAAGCTTGGTGTATTCTCTCGGGCGCCGATCAAGATCGGTTGACGGAGGAGGAGTCGACGAGCACAGAGAGGGAAGTTCAGCATCGCATGCAACTTGTAATAGCGTCTTTTTTGAGGGTGACAATGCCTGGCACTGCTCTCCGCTGGCAGGCTCGGCGGATACCCAGATTGGTTCATCAGCAGAGAGCTCATTGGAGAAGACCAAATAATCCAGCTCGTAACCGATTTCTGTCTGCTCGACAGAAGACGTAGATGACCAGGAATGAAGCCGCTCTCCAATACCTGCGCATCGTCCAGCAGCATCGTTCCGACTTAGGCGATCGTACACGAGAACAGCCGACGTGCCATTGTTCTGGGGCCCCAGATTGTTATAGTGCAGCACTTGCAGACCACCTAGAGAGTTGAGGTTTGGCGCTCCGGGCTTCGGGCAAGACTGTCCGGCAACGGTATGTCCGAGGAAGAAAAAGAGCGCTGTCTGTAATTGAAATCGCATGATGACGATGACTCCATGGGGTGAAAGCGAAAAGTGAAGGTGCCTTCAGGGGCTGCCGGATTCCCACTCGCTTAAATGTAATTGCATTGCCTGGCATTGAGCATGAACGTGATAATATCGCTTAGCGGACTAAACCCAAGCTTTTCTGGGATCACCGGAGATATTCCCTGATTTGGGCATCGTTCCTGACCATCGGAGGCGGAGGAGGCGCTGCGGCGCTTCTGGGTGATCGAGTGGAGATTAGTGTCTGCCGGAGTCCGTCTAGCGGCATCGGGCGTTTCAAAGCCAAATAAATTAATGGAAAATAAAGCCGACCGGGTCCCGTTGGAGCCTGTTCACGTGTGGATCCGCTCTCCATGTCTGCCTCTTTTGGTAAGAGGTCTTGTGTTTTATCGGTTTCTCGGATTTCTCTCTGTTCTAAATTTGCAATCAATGTAAATGACCACGTGTTCTGCCGATCTTCCGAATTTTTCTTGGCCAAAGTAATTGAACTCGGAGCCGAAAGGTGGGGTCGGCCCGGACCGTAAATTATTACATCTTCCCAACTTTTCACCGTCAACAGGAGTGATTTTGGAATGGATGACCTGGGTTGGGAGATAGCTTCAGCGAATGTATGGGAAGTCACCGACTATCTGCAGCGTGACAAAGCAGACCCCAATCGACATGACTGCACGAAAAGGAAACCACTGCAACCCCCCTTGAATCGCTCCGATGGATCTGAATTGGAATACTCCGCTTCATTAACCCCTGAAACGGGGATATAACGAAGTGTTTGATGGCTACTTTGAAGTCGACGCATAGGGAACAAAGTGAGCGATCGATCAATTGTCTCATACTCGCTTCCAAATCTGCAAGCGCCATTGTCCGCAGCCAAGAAATCCAAAAATGGGCCTTATTTAATGAAGCCAATTGAATAATGGCCATAGCCAGCCATCGAAATGGAAAATATCCTGAGGGTGGTTAATTCTGTTAACCCCAATCGCTCAATCAGTGACGCCGGCCTCTTTGACGAAACAACGGATGAAACAACACAGGCGATCAGTAAGAGATTAATATAAACGGGATTGATACAAACGGAGCAAAAGAAGCGCTTCCGGAAGGTGCAAAACGATAGATGCTGTTGTAGCCAATGTAACCAAATGCAAAAGCCTAAGTATTGGCACCCCAGCCCATCCCCAATCGATAATCTTGCGAAGCCTCCGAGACACCTCTAACCAGACCGACCACACCGTCCATGAAACCGCCCTGGCCACTATGAACACGCTCACGACGCTGCCGCTCGGCCTCGGATTCACATGTCTGAATACGGAGGATCTGTTCGTTACTCATGCCTTTCAACCGTTCAGCATCTTGCCTCGTCAAGAGAGCGTCCGATCCCCGTCGTCGACTCCACGCAGCCTGCTTGACGGCCGGGGCCCAGAACTCTCCCAGCTGTGTCTCATCGTGGCCTTGAGCATAGCACTTGATCAGGCCACTTCCGGAGCCAGGATCAAGCGACGCGTTCCACTGCGAGCGGGCGACCTCGTAACGTTTCTCCATTAACCAGATAATTGGCCAGGTGATGATCCAGAGCTGTAGGAGAACGACGGCCCACCAGACGAATTTATTGGTGCGCAGCTGATTGATCCAGTGTGGTGAGTAGATCGTGACGGAGCTGTAGCCCTTCTTGAACCAGAAATTCGTTGTGCCCTGGTAGTTCAGCGAGCGGATATGTGAAGCGAGAATGTTACGCATGGGTTTGAAGTCGAAGCCACGGAGTTCTCGGTGCAAAGTGAATCTAAATCCAAAATTAGCAAGAGATCGTGAAGTAGAATAGCAGGTATCCGTACGATTTCACGGGTGCTAAGTCACTGCAGAACCGCTTACACCACATCTGGAGATCCGCCTCTTGTTCTGAAAGACCGGCGTTCTCCGAATCCTCGCCCTCGAAAACATCGGCTTCCGACTCCAGCAGAGCGGCATCACTATCGTCCAAAGAGATAGCCTTGGCACGAGCCGCGCGAGGTTTATACCGACGTGAGCGAAGAATTCCTCCACGGAATGCCTTCTGTTCATCACCATCCTTAAGAACCCCTGTCTCCATCCAGTTCAGAGTAAGCGGCTCATCCCAACCCCGCAACATAGTCTCGGCCAGATCAAGCTGGAAGGAAAAGTCGGTTACATTATTACTGGTCTTCTTCTTGCCATCATTACTCGACTCGGTATGTGTGCCCTGGACTCCGAGTAACGGCCGCAGGGGCAGCCTCATCTGCCTGCGGATAACGCGAAAGAGCTCATCGCTGTTGTTGGAGAGCTGCGGCGCGTAGGTGACGATGCGAGCATCGCATACCGTGAAGCTTTTTGCGCCGGGGACGTGATAGGCTGAGTCGCTGAGTCTGAGGGGTTGGAATGCGGGCTGTGGAGCGGGTGCGGCTGGGAATTCGGGCTCGTCGGTGTAGGGGGGCGGTAGGTCATCATTGTCGAGCGTGTGGAGTGAGAGCGACGATGACGCCGGGGGATCGGCAGGAAGGCGACCCATGGTTTCTGGTATGATGATGATCAAGAAAATGAAAGACGCGCGAAAAAGAGTGTGGCAGTCAGCACGGAGTCAGCAAATGCAGATTGTTTTCACGTTCGGGGTTGCCAAGCCATTGTGGCTCTGGCCCAGAGCCTCATCGCCTTCGGACTTAGGACGGTGTTTACGGTGTTCTGTTTTTTTTTGGCACGTCTAGACATCTGGAGCAGACATGATCGAAACCGCTTGCAACATTCGGAGATTCTTTGGAGCGGCTCTGAAATCGCTGGTAATGTTCCACCAATGCATCACGCCCGAGCAGTTACCGAGGTATATATTCAAGAATCCGGGAAGTAGCTTGCAATAGCAGGGAATGATTTTTTTTAGAAAATGAGCAAAACTAAAAGTTTGAATTCAACAATCTTGGTCCAATTGTCTATTGAACTTGCACAATATGTTTCCCACCCGATACACTAATCTCCGCCAGACCACTGACAGGATCAATCGTCGTCTTATGTTCACGTCCATCAACCAGTACTTTCGCCGAGTTGTCTACCTGCAATTGCAACAAACCTTCAGTTGACGCCGGAACATCAAATTGAAGTGTGAATCTGCCGTCTTCAGTGTTCCAACTGGCCGAGAATTTCCCAAGCGGCGTAGTGAACCCACCCTGGGCAGAACTCAAATCACCCACCTGGGGCGCCAATGTCCAATTCTTACCCCCGGGAGCAGTTGGCTGCAGGCCTACCACGAACGAAACGAGAGCATCGACAGGACCAGTACTCCAACCGTGCGCGTGCGAAGAGTACGAGCCCTCTTTGTTGTATCCCTCGTTAGCAGTGTACAGGAACGAGCCGTCCACGTTGTATCCCTCGATCATCGAACTGCCAGTTCCCATAGGATTGTTGAGGTACCAGCCCCAGCTGAGACGGATCAAGTCGAGAGCGCGTTTTGCGTTTCGGATCTTGAAGTTGCCTTTCACCTCGTAGCTCTCGACGTATGGTGAGATTGTGCCTGGCATCTCTGGTGTCTTGGCGCCGATGGGTCCCCAGTTTGTTGAGAGGTACTCGCTGATTCTTGATGAGGCGGAGGAATTAGCACCGCCGAAGAACAGGGCCATGCTGTTGCCGTCTTCGGGGAACAAGTTGTCGGTGGGGTTGTTCTTGAACGCTCTGTTGGATGTCAGTCTAACTCAGAAGACAGAGTGAGAGCACCTACCCAACTGACGGGTCCCAGTTGTAGCTTGGAGAGTTGATCGCACTCTTCAATTTTGACGCGACAACTTCCCACTCCTTGACCAGTTGTGGCTGTTCCATCCAGGCCGCTAGCTTTGAGCCGGATTGCAGTGCGCCATACATGAGCATGTTTCCAACGATGTTGTAGCCCGAAGAATCGGCTGTTCTGCCCCAGCCAGAAGTACCAGTGACGTCCAGGAGACCAGTGTTATCGATCAGTGCAGTAATATAGGTCATTGCCTGCAAATAGTTCGACCAAATAGATCTGAGGAATTCCATATCGTTGCTGTACAGAATGTAATCGTGCGTCGCGATCATGGTCGCCAGGTGATAGCTGTCAGAGCCGAAGAAGTTGATCGGTGGGCCAACCTCTGGAAGCTCACCTGTAGTAGGATCCTGCTTATCGTTAGTTCAAGTCGAGATAGCGTAAGAATGGAAACCACAACATACCTGGTTACTGTAAAGAATATTGAGAGAATTCTTACTACTCTCAAAATCCCCAAGACCAACAACAGAAGCAGGAACAGAGATCCCCAAATCACCAGCCCAAACGGCACGATCGCGCTTCGCTCCATCCACCAAAACACTACCCCCAGGCCCCAGATCGGCATCATTCAACCACCCCTCAGCAGGCGCAGGCCACGTTCTTCCCGAGTCGGGAGGGATACTATTCGCCTGAAGCGTATAGGCACAAGCATACCAAATGCGATTCAGGAGGGGGTCACTAGAATCGAAATAACCTCCATACGCCCTCAGATTTGGCCACGAAGGCTGGAAGGTGATTTCGACATTCACGGAATCTACAGAAATATCAAAGTCCGTCGAATTGGTGAGCGTGAAAAAACTCAGATATCGGAACCCGCCGCGCATCTTGGCCAGGGGCATGGAGTAGCTGCTCGGTCCATCGGATGAGACGTTCACCAGTAACGAGCCATCTGGACCCGAGCCACCGTTTGACTCATCTGAGTTGAACCCAGTAAAGTTTTTGGCTTCTGTGAATGCGAGGCCGAATGTTCCTGTTCCGGTTGCGGTGTAGTCGATATTGACTAGACCGCCGACTTCTTGTCCGAAGTCGAAGATCAGGAGGGATCCATTCCCTGCAAGGTGGGCTGGCCCGGGATATTTAGCCAGGAAGCGGGTATCAGAATCAAGAATTGATTTGGGAGAGACGAGGCGAGAGAATGGGGAGTGCATGTTGTCTTCCCACGGACCGGGGAAGGAGGCCTCTGTTGGGCCATTGCAGGTTAAATTTCCCCAACATGCCTCAGCTGGAATATTAAAAAGCAAAAGACACAAAAAAGTGAGGAGACGCCTTGGCGAGCTGAATGAGACTGCCATTTTGCTCAATGCAGTCTACAAGGAGATGTCAGACAAGGTGCCTCGAGGCAATATAAGGACTCAATTTAGATATGATTGAAAACAGTCAATAATACGGAACAAGTAATCTGTCGCACATCTCTCGGTGACCATAACCCCGAGGTGAAGACATTCTCCGCAAATTCCCCGAATTGACTGCAACATGACGATCAATGCGGGGATAGGTCCGAGACCTGGGGCTGGGGATACATGGGGGGTCTCACCCGAACACTCGCTTATGAATGATTAGCTCGAATAATTCATATTAAACGGACATTATTATACCGGGGGTGGCGCAATCTTGCAAGAATAGTATCATCTCGGTATAATTGCGATATTGCAGTTCTAAGCGAACTTCCCAATTGCGGGCCACAAACTATCTCCACAACAAATAACTGGTGGAAATAAGAGAAGAGAAATTGTGATTGTAGTCTAGTCTTGCGAGATAGCAATCTACGACCTCTCTTTCATGTTGATCTTAACATTGCTGTTCCCAACCACTTGCGCAGACATCGTGGGCTTCGCACCCTTCGTGAAAACATTCCACTCCGCCTCAATATATCCTCCTGTAGACAACGGTACTTTACCCTTAGCCCACTCAAGACCAAGACCCTCAGCAATATCCCACGCCGGAGCAAAGACCCATTCATAGCTCTTAGCCTGCGCATTCCACTCGGTCCTGACACCAAGAATGTAGTTACTGAAAATATAGGTCGGCGCACCTCCCCAGGGGTGACTGAGACTAGTGAAAACACCAATCCCCGGGCTCCCATCTGCGTAAAGATATTCCCAGCTCGCGCCGGTATAGTATTCATTCTGGGTAACCATCTTAGGCCAGAAGACTTCCGACAGGTTCTGGATTGCGGGGACAACCACGTCGGCGGAGACATTGTACTTTATGTGAGCCAGGAAGAGGGATTCAAAGAGGAAACCTTGTGTATTGGGTGACAGCTGGGTGGTGGCGGAATTGGCAGTGACTGAGTTGTCTTTGTAGCCGATGCTGAGGAAAACATCGGATATTCGGGCGATGCTGCTAGCGACACGGTCGGAAGATGCCATTCCAGCTCGGATGGTGAATGCAGTCGCCAGGATTGCCGTGTCGTCTGGCTGGGTGAGTGACAAACTGTATGCTCCCAGGGCTTCGTTCCAGAGAGAGTCATTGATGGCAGTGGTAATATTCGTAGACAACTGGCTCCAGGTCGCTCCAGTTCCTGAATCTCCCAAGGCGGCGGCAACCTCAACCAGCTGATTCAGAGCAACTGCAAAGAGAGCGGTTGGCGCAGTCGCGTTCTGACTACCCTGCGCGGTGAACCACGATGCATCGGCACTGGCCATGAGACCCGAGGCCGGATCGTAGTAGCGGTCAACCAATGTCTGGACCAACAATTTGACACCATCCCAATTCTTCATCAAAAGGTCCTTATCCCCAGTCAAAGAGAAATAGTCGGTCAGAACAAGAAGGAAGAAAAACTGGTAATCCGTCTCCCCAAATTCGGAGGGGTAGTACACCTCGCGATACTCTGCTCCCGCTCCCATGTATGCTTGGATGGGGACCAAGCCATAAGCAGGACCAGGTGGATACTGCCAATCAAATTCAAACTCGATCATGCTCTTGACATAGTCGTAGCGTCCGCTGCTGGCCGCGATGATACGGCCAGTGTGAGCAAAGTCGCCGATCCAGATTTCTCGGTCTCGCTTTGCGCCGTCGAGGCATACGGCGTACTCGTTGCTCGCAATCGCGTACTCTTGCAGGATGTCGGTGGATGTCAAAGGGTTCTGGTAAATGACGGTACCGTTCTGCGCAGTGACCTTGACATCTTTGTAGTAAGCCTCTTGATTCAGGTATGGAGCGAATCCAAAGTTGCCTTCGGTCAAGCTGCCAGAGCCCCAGGTTCCATCCACGTAGCTGGCGAAGTTTGTATTGCTCACGAAGGCAATCTCCTGATCGTCAACGGAAATGGAGTATCCAGTCGCATTGATCATTGTCTTGATCGAGTACCACTTGTCTTCTTCAATGGTAGTCGAGATGTCGTACGTCTGTGAGGGTGCAGATGCCAGGATTGCCTGGTCAATGAGGGTGAATCCGTACCCAGCAACCAAGCTGTTCTCAGGCAGTGACGTGATGTTAGTACTGGTCAACCCTTCCTTGTTGGAGGTCAAGACGAAGTAAGCTCCGTAACCACCATTGGCACCACCAGCAACGCGCCAACCCGTTCCTCCGGCAGTGATTTTGGTACTGAATTCCAGTGTGTAATTTGCAAAGATGGTGGCAAGTGCAGAGACAGCTGGATACTGTCCTCTAATCAAAGCACCCTCATCGGACATCTCCCAAGTCGATGGTTGAGAGCGTGCATCCACACAGGCCGCTTGGACCGCTCGAGCTCCGAGGCTCCAAACTTGCTCGTACATCTCTTTGGAGGTGGAGAAACTACCGGGAAGTGACTCAGGGTTCGAAACGGAGACAGATGGTTTGAGGCCGATATTGCGAATCGTAATGGGGGTGTTCCCAATCAGAGTGATGGATTGCCAGCGAAGGCCTCCTTGAAGGAAGAAGGACTGGGTCTTTCCAGAATCGGTGATGTTGAAGGTTTCCGTGCGAAAGGAGTTCATAAGTCCGTTGCAATACAGCCTTGTCTAGTCTTAGTCTAGAAATTTTTCAGAAAAGGAATCGGAAGGCTTACCAAGGGCCATCTCCCTGCGGTAGTGCCAATCCATCATATGGCTCGGAGTATTTCAGTTGAATCTGGACTGGCGAACTTGGGCTTTCGAATTCAACCCAAGGCCATCCCCCAACCTCACTAGCATAATCGAGAGTTAAGACAGAGTTGGCCTCATCCAAGGTAATTGAGTTCCCGTCGTAGGCTTGCAATCCATCAATTGTTGGTTCGGGACCAAGGTGGAAGTACTTTGGGGAGTAAACGTCAACAGCAAGTGCCGCTGACGAGCACAATGAGACGAGTGCCCCAAATCGGAGCAGAGGCTGTTTAAAGGACATTGTTGGGAGCTTCATGCGCAAGGATTATGAGAAGCTAATTCAGTTCAGGAAAGAACAAAGGCACTTTTGAAGTATGTAAAACGTGGGGTGTTCTCCGCATTTGTATATCGCGCTTAATTTTAATCAAGTATCGGCATTTAGGAGATTATGATCTAATCTGACAGTTTCGGTGTCCTCTACCCCGAGAAATACAGGGTTGTATCCGGCGAAGCATTGCCGAAGTTAATTCGCTAGACATCGTGAATGGCACGGGCCCCGACCAGTTTATTGGCGGCACCTCCCGTCCAGTTCCTGCCCCAGGCATACAGGAACCCCATCCCAATAGGGTGTGATTACAGGTCAGTAGGGCCCTACTGACCTGAGTTCTGCAATGGGGTAAGTTATCGTATCGATCGTCGTCAAGGTGAAAGGAGTCCTATTCAGAGAATAATGGCATGTCGTCAACAGGTAAGATGAACATCTTTTCATGAGACAGTGACGCCTTGCTGTATCACGATCGACTTTTGAAAAAGCCGAACCCACTGATCATTCTAATCCAGGAAAAATTCCACAAGCCCGATGTTACTCGGGAATTTTTCTGAGGCTGAATCTGTTGGGCATCATTTATATTTGTCTCGTTAGTGGGAGATCTAGAAGCTCGAGTTAGTGTCTGCACGATTGAGGTTTGGGAATCTATCATACAGAGCACTCCAGTCTAGTGAACTTGATCTCCGATTTGAATAATACAGCTTCGAGGTTGGAAAATCTCCTGAAGGTATCGACGGATTGTCTGACAAGTGGAAGCTTCTGATGAACGGTATCAAGGCGTCTTCTATCAAAATTTCATAGGCATGATTGATGGCGGAGTCTAATTGTTCGGGACTTGGCGGGGAAACCGTCACATCCAGGATAGCCAGTAACTCTTCACGGATATAGGCCGGTAGGTTGATTTCACTTGGAGACCCAGGCATGATGTAAGTCTTCATCAAATCCTCCCATTGTGTGCCAACAAGTGTAGGATCCCGAACAATGACGCTATGTTCGGGAGATGACCAGTACGTATTGTAGATGGTGGGGTAAGCGTTTGCTTCAGAAATAAAATCCAAGGTCTCGACACAATGGTTGTGGATCAGGAAATCCAGAAAAGCATTGAATGTGTAAGGCGTTGGTGAGTGGTTGGATAGGATATTTTCCAAGGTGATGCGGGATGGAGAAGGTATATAGTCCGGAGGAGATGTTGGAGGCTGGCTGGCGTTGTTTGGTATTACAACAGTCATGATTTTCAGAGTAGATGGAAAGGTATGTGAGGTGGTTAGAAGAGCATTCGGATTTCATAAGGAGGATGGGCGGTGGCTGGGTCCCGCGTATGACTCTATGTTCGAGACCCAACAAATAGAACATGTAGCTGACTCTAGGTGACTCTATCAATACAAGACCCGAGTCTGGGCATAGACTTGGGAAGTCTAGAACCACCAGGTCGAACGAGAGTGGTTCTCGGGAACTCTCCGTCCAAAAAGCGTCATCGCTGACTTCGCATGGTGTCCCGGAACGGGGCGGTTGTCCATACATGGATTTGGAAAAATGTCACCAGGCTCAATCACGCCATGAACCACTTGGTAAAGTGCAACTCAATTCACATAGTTTTATCATTACCATGGAATCGCGTGTTTTATGTGGATTAATAATCCATTACTGGGGTCCCGTGTTATGTTATACCTCATCTAAGCGGGCTCAGTGTGGCGGTCGCGTGACTGGAGCGTGATCCTCATTCAGCTCAAAAAACCAATTAATCGCCCAGTAAGAGTCGTACGAAACTACGGAGTAGGTTAAGAGAGCGAGTTCATGATATTCAAGCCCCAGAGACGAACGGGCATCTGGGTCGGATTAAAGTGGGCCTAGACACCGCGATCATGAAGCAGCAGTCGCCCATGCCCATTGAGGAACAGCTCGATTCGCCCGGATTGAATGCATGTTCGACGTCGGTATCCTTGAGTGCTTCACCATATGTTTCTCACACGACTCTTCTCTTTATATTTCTCTCCGCTCGCACATCCTTGCTCTCGCCGACTGTCTGGGCCAATGGCGCGGAAAGTCTCCGACAATGACAGCATCCACTTGGGCCGAGGACCAACCATAAGCAGCATGGCAATACCCATCCATCCCCCACTACATTCTGTCCTTCGCAGAGGCTCTTGCAATCACTAAGCTAGTATTTGAGCAAAAATGGCAAAAGAAATACCAGCCGATGCTGAAGATAATGCCAATGGCAAACCTGAATCGTCTTCTCACCGCGCTTGGTTTTCTCTGCCAGCATGGTTAGATCACTTCAATACGCACGATTTCAAAGTGCTATTTCGCTGCTGGGTAGCGATATGGGTGTCATCTCTACTAATGTTCATCGGCCCGGCCTTGCACAGTATCGGTATCGCCACTTTCTTCGGCGCACTGTTACTCTACATTGTGCCGCCAAGTAGCATCCTGATTGTCTACCTCCTGGCAACTTTCTCCCTCCTGTTCGGGATGTGCCTAGCATGGGCTTGGGGACTTGTGACTATGAAAGCCGCCTTGGCGGCGCGGCCGGATTCGCAGACCATGGCAAAACTGCTTCAACTAAAAGAACAAGCTGCTTCACAGGCCCAGCAATCCGGACAAAGTGTCACCGCAACGGAAGAAAAGCTCATTCACGATGGCTTCATGTTCGATGCTCGGATCATTGTGATCTTTTACGTGATGAGCTGCGTCTTCGTATACGTTATGGCTCGACTGCGGGTCTGGAATCAGAAATTCGCCCTCGCGGAAATATTCGGCATCATCATCATGGACCTGTTCCTGCTCTTCGGCCCGACATCTCCATCCTGGGATTGGAGACTCGCCGTAATACTCGTTGAGCCGGGCGCTATCGGGATCGGTCTTGGTTTCGCCTGCTGTTTACTTTTTTTCCCACAGTCGACGTCATTCGCTGTTCTGGATCGAATGGAAAAACTTGTTCGTATGGGAAAGACCACATTGAATACTACGCGAGACAGATTAGCGTCGCAACCCACGGAACTGGCTCAGATGAAGTCTGCCAAGGCGAAGACCATTGAGTTGTTCAAATCTATGCAGCCGATGATAGCCTTTCTACCGCTAGATATCTCCCGTGGAAGATGGGGCGTTGAAGATGTCCGGGGTCTACTCCCTCCCGTCCGACAGGCGATGCTCGTTCAGATCGCTCTGCTCGACTTCCATATTGCTCGACAGCGGACTGAGGAGAAGATCAGGGAGATGAAGGACCAATCAAATCCTGAAAAGGGTGCTAAAGATCCGAAAAATCCGCCTCATGAAATTGGACATCGGCAGTTGCGCGAAGGCATGGATATGATACACGCATTGCATGCGCCAGAGATGGGAGACGTCCGCTCCAATACCGTGGAAGCTCTCAGAGTGTCTACCACTGAAGTATTGCAGGTGTGCTCGGAAGCCACCGACGCCATCGCCGACTGTATTCGTCTAGTTAACACCCGTCGCTGGCTCCGACGACACCCAGCGGAGAAGTTCGAGCGAGTGGTCGCTCAAGGGGAGGAGATCTTGGACCGACTACGGTCGGCCCGAAAGACCTGTGTTAGGGAGACGACGGAAAAATTAATCGAGAGCCACGAAGACCTTTTTGACGGAGGCGGAAATCTCAAGTCCCCGGAGCTCCAAGGTCCGTATGCCCTCCGAGCGCTAGTTTTGGGCATGGTAATCGAAGAAAGGATTCTTGGAGCTGCAACAGGAATAGAAAACCTTCTGGCTCACGTCCTGCAATTATCCAAAACGCGCACCACGCATCGCATATGGTATCCATATGGAATACGCTATGCCATATCCTGGCTGGTCAATGGGCGTCAGAGAGCTCCTTTATCAGGACCGATCGGGACGGGAGATGATCCCGACGCCCTGGAAGAACAAATCAAGGAAGCGCATCGGCAGCTTCGTATCAGCCGCGGCCTTGGAGCGACTCGTCGACAGGGCATGCTGAGCCGGATTGTCCGGCGGACATGGCATTGGCTTACCAACGCCGGGGGCATGTATGCAATCCGCATGGTGGTGGTGACCATTGCAACGGCTATTCCGGCGTCTCTGCCAGCGACAGCGGGTTTCTTTTACCGTGAAAAAGGCATTTGGGGCACTATTACGGCTCAGATCGGGGTCGTTATCTACATGGCGGATTTTACTTTCTCGGTCATAAGTCGAACGATTGGCACTATCGTTGGCGGCGTGATGGGCATGGTGGCATGGTATATTGGCTCAGGTCATGGTCCTGGCAACGCATACGGGATGGCTGCAATCACCGGAGTGATGACACTGGTATTGGTGTGGTGGCGCCTATTCCTGCCAGCGGCGCTACTGCCATGCGCCGTCATGAGTGGCGTGACCTATGTGTTAGTGGTGGGGTTTAGTTACGACGATGCCCATACCCAGCAATATGGCCTCCCAGGAAGGGGATATGCAGCCTTTTACAAACGTCTAGTGACCGTTCTTCTGGGGCTGGTCGCTGCTTTCGTTGTCCAGATCTTCCCTCGCCCTCCCTCTGCCAGTCGACACGTCCGCACGACACTTTTTAACACCATCCGCCTTCTATCAGATCACTACGCCTTGCTTCTTTCCCACTGGGCCCGATCGGATGATCCCAGTCCTGTCAACGTCGTTGCAGAGCAAATATCCCTTGACCTAGCAGAGTCCCTCCTGTCCTTGCAAGGGCCCATCAACCTGCTGAAACTTGAGATCAGCTTCGGCCCTTTCGACCAAGGGACGCTGTTCCGCATGCAGGAGCTCTGCCAAGATATTAACCAGTCCTTGGGCCGACTGCTGGCTCTTACGGGATATCTGCCATTGGAACTGCAGTATCGGCTTGTCCACAATGTTGGCATTCTGGATGACTCCGTCATTGATTCGGTCATGGTCGTCCTCGGGGTGATTGGTCAGGCGCTGAAGACAGGCGATCCCCTCCCTGAGCGGCTGCCTACACCTCTACTGAACAGATGCTATGTAAATTGGCATGCGCAGAATCGGAAGGCTGAGTTCAGTACGGCTCTGGTGCGCAACGAGGATTATCGTCGGTATTGCGTGGCGGTCAGCTCGTACTTGAAGTTTCTGTCGGCCATTGATGACATGGTGCTTGTGCTGAAGGGTAATTTAGGGGAGAGTCATATTGTTAATCAATGGCGAGAGGAGGATCCTTCTGTATAATATTCTGTTCGCGAGCCAGTCTCCCTTGGGCTAAACGGATCAGGGGCTTTCACTAGGTAGACAGAACTGGGCCTGATCCTGAGCCTGAGTATCCTCATCAAATCGACATTAACTCAGACATGAAAGTTCCACCCGGGCAGTGCCAATACGGCTACATGCGCATATCGATAAATTCGCGCAGCCCGGCTTCTAGACATATCCAAGTGCTGCTCCGCCACTTAGTCAAGATATAATGCTGCCTGGGGAGGAAAGTAAGATTCAATAACCAAGCCCCACTGATCCTGGAAGGCTCATTCACTAGACAAATTTTCGCAATGGTAACCCGTTATAGCACACCAACTCGCCATATCTGGGGCTGATAATACGACGTGTCCCAATCGGGGAACCAGTGCGGCTCGGACGGTCGGCACACTAACCCAAACTGGGTCAGATTTCGCGATGCCAGCCAACCGGCGGTGCAGCTTTTTCAGCCTTTATCAGCCTTCTGAACTCAAATCCACGGCGCGTTGACGTGGGCTACGAGTCAATAGTAACTTAGCACCGCTGCCCCATTTTTCGCGTGAAAAATCCTTTTTCGTCGAATTTTATTTTTTGCATGGATAGGAGGTATAAGTTGATAGGATTTCCCGGTTAAACCCTTGGGCATCTCATCACGTCTCTGCGCGGTGAAGGGACTCCCGAAATCATGTTTTTGATCTACAGGCATATCAAGAAACGGAATGAAGAGAGGCGGCTTCAGGCTTCAGTTTTGAATAATGCGGGGAATACAAATAAAACGGATGATACTGTGACTATGTCGCAGCCCCCAGTCGAGCTCGCGCCAGGGCAAACCGCGCCAGTGGAATTCACACAAGTCGAATCTACGCCTGGTGAAACCGTGCCTATTGAAACCGGGCCAATCAAAGCCAAAGAACTGAACGAGAATCAGAAAAACAACAACCTCACACCCGAAGAGGCCGCAGAGAAACGGAAAAGAAACATATACCGATGGAAGATCATTCTCGGCCTATTCAGCCCCTTCTGCCTGCAGGCACTGGACACAACGATCGTAGCATCAGCACTGCCGTTCATCGCTAAGGACTTCAGTAAGTCACCATTTCTTGATCACACTACCCGTACCAACCAAATCCCAATCCAAACTAACAATTTCCCAGACCAAATAAAACAACTAAATTGGATAATCTCCGCCTTCAACCTGACCTCCGCCGCTTTCCTCTTCATCTGGGCTCAACTAACCGACCTCTTCGGCCGGCACGTGGTGCTGCAAACCGCAGTCCTAATAATGATGATCGGCTCCGCAATCTGCACTGGCGCCCCAACATCCTCATTTCCCGTCCTTCTCCTGGGCCGCGCCCTGCAAGGCGTTGGTGCTGCAGGTGTGAACATCTCTATCCGCACGATCCTCGCTGATCGCGTCTCTCTCTCCGAGTACGCACTCAATTGGACCATATTTGCACTTATTTCTGGGGTGGGATTTAGTATTGGGCCCGTTATTGGTGGCTATTTGACGCAGGCATCATGGAGGTGGTGTTTTGCTATCAATTTGCCTATTGCGGTGGTTGCTATGGTCGTTGTCGCTGTTTTTTTGAGGAATGACTTGCAGGGTCCGGTACCGATTGTGGAGATGGAAGGTGTAAATGTCTCGACAAGGTCCGGGCGTTTCATGGCGAGGCTTTCCACTATTGATTATGGTGGTCAGATGCTTTTCCTGTGGGGATTTGGTCTGTTGATTCTGGCTTTGACTTGGGGTGGGGGCACATACTCCTGGCATTCGGCATCTGTACTGGCTCCCATCATTATTGGTGGTGTTTTGTCCATTGGTTGGATTGTGTACGAGCGCTTTATGGTGCCAGGCTCGGTTATGGCAAAGGTGTTTCCTCGTCAGAAGGCTATGATGTCGTGGGAACTACTGCGGCATCGTGATATCGGGTTGCTGTTTCTGATCAATATTTCCGTTGGGGTTGCTATGTTTGCCGTTATGTATTTCATGGATCTGTACTTTGCGCTTGTGGAAGGGACGAGCTCTGGGCATGCGGGCCTTTCCCTGCTATATTTCCTGCCTGGCTTGGGCGGTACGCATTACCTTTCATCCCCATGAGAAACTGAAGCTAACTATGGATACAGCCGGCGCTTACATGGCCATGTTCTCTTCTAACGTCTGGCCACGTCAAACCTTCCCATCACTCTTTCTCGGGGGTATAACATCCGCAGTCGGGATCACCGTCCTCGCATGGGGCGTACACGCCGGAACAAAAAGCGTGATTTACGGGATGATGGCACTAGTCGGACACGGTGTCGGAATCCGCATGAATCCGGGATCGCTACACGGCCTTGCCTATTTTCCCGCGAGGACAGCGCAGATTACCTGTCTTGTTTCTTTCGCGATTCCGTTCGGCGGTCTACTTGGTCTGACGATCATGACTACGGTATTCACCAATAAGAGTGGCGCCGCTGAGTCTGATCCGAGGGCCGGAATTAAGTGGGCATTTATTGCGATGATACCAGTGATGTGGCTTTCTGTGTTACTTACTACCTTGCTTGGGAATGTTTGGCTTTCGAAGGATGGGAGCCATGAGGTTGCTAATCGGCCTTATCTTTGGAATACTTTGATACGGAGGGATTTGAAGAGAGAGAAGAGGAGACGGGAAGAGTCTGATTTGGCTATGGAAAAGAAGGAGGATGCTGAGATGGGTGGTTCTGCGGTGGGCCCTGAGAGGGCTGAATAGGTTGCCCAATGGTACGGTGGATATACAGTGATAGTGACCTAAATTTTGCATTGAGATATATAATTATCTAGACCGACTTTTTCAAATTCAAGATACATACCCGATTGATTGACTTGCCCATCCCGTCCATGTTGAAGGTATTGGTCCGGTCACGATTCGTTGGGGTCAAGAGTCGGATCTAGTTCGAATTAGGAGATCACGGTGTAGTCAACACCGGAAGGTAAAATCGTAAGGAATACCGACATAAAACAAAACTGATCATGAATTATATATACAAGTATAAAACGGGGCTCTGTCAGCCACTTTTGCGGTCGATCTAACGGTCAACTTTTCGGTAAACCGTCTGAAAATTGACTGAGCATCCTCCGCGGCTAAGTCCATTGTCGCGATATCTTAGAAACTTTGTTTGAGTAGCAAGACAGGGACACATAACAAATCTCTAAATCATAAATAACTCTCGTTGTGTCGGAGAACAGTCAATCTGCAGCATAGTCAACAAAGTGGGAGAAAACCAGAGCCAGCCGTGATCGTTTCAACCTCCGATTTCCGGAAAATCTGTGTGTTATGCACAGAACGCGCCCTAATACGAAGCACGAATTCGGAGGATGGCCGAAAAGGTGGAGCGCGGAGAATGCTTTCCATCCTCCTCCACCGACTTGGCGGAAGACGCTACGCCCGGACAGACCCTGGATTGGCCTCAGCGACGAGAGTGGATTTCTTGGCCAGTATCTTGGCGGTGGGGACGTGGAAGAAACGAAACCAAACAAGCCTCACTGTCTAGCCTCAGACCTGTACTCGGGTGGCCGCTCATAGGTTCAGGCCGCCGGACCGATCAATCTGACGCAACCCGGTCCCTGTCAAGTCGTCTCTCTCCCACGCGAAAGCCCGAGTACCCCGTCAAGATATTCGACCAGGGGAGATCTGGCACCTTGGCTGCATCAAAGGAGTTAATGCCACAGTTGGCCTCTGGTCATATTTACGCAACGTGGGGATGGAGCCGTAACTGTCGTAAAGTGAAGTTCTCCATTACTCAACCACTTCGTTCTCTAATCCCGAGAAACAATCCGCGGCGCTCGGCCCGAGTAGGAAACGGTGGCCGACCGGGAAAGATCACCGACATATGTTTCTAGCTTAGACCGGATTGATTGCTTGGCAAAGCCGGAAATAAATGCTTCGCCAAAGCTCAATTCCCAAGTACGGAAAATCGTACATACTTCAGGGGCACCCGGGAAAAAAAGTTATTTAGATAAGGAAGGATATGCGACCAAGAGCATATTTCCAAGGTTACGAAAACCGCCCCGACCTTCGGCATTCCTTCATAAGGTGAATTAGCCTATGAATATCCCTAATTTCTCACCCCCGTGGATCCAGCCCGGTTGGAATCCGGGACGGGCAAGACACGGCAGCGCCGCCCACCGGGCCCAAACCCTAACTTTCCCCAATGGAGACAGAGAAAACAGCTAATTCAGCAGAAGGTCGACGCAATTCGAAAATTTTGAGTAGCCTGGTAATCAGACGCACCCACCAACGTGTAATTAGCCCCCACCAGCGATCAGAATTCTCACGCGGGGTCTCCACGCCCATCACTGGGGTCCCTCACCCGGGGAGTAGCGTGGTGAATATAAACCTCGAGAAGTTCGCCTCTTATAGTCTTCTTCTTTTCTAATCCAGAGTGGCCCTCGGTGATTCCTAGGCTAGACACGATGCTTCGAGGCAAGACGCTTCGCGTGGCGCAGGCGCTTCTTATTGTCGCGCCTGCTTTCATTATTTTTGGATATAACCAGTCCGGCGTTGGTCCCCTGGCTACGCTGCAAAGTTGGGTTGAAGTGTTTCCCGAGATCGACACTGTCAACACAAAAGGTGCTGTGCGAGCTAAAAATTCTACTGCAAAGGGTGCTGTGATTGCCTCTTTCCAGCTTGGTGCTCTGATCGGATCTTTGTCTTGCACTGGATTCGGTGACCGGCTTGGTCGTCGTTGGACTATTTTCGTGGGCGCTATTTTGACTATCATCGGACAGGTATTGCAGGTTGCTGCTTATGGCCTTCCGCAATTCGTCGTCGGTCGTGTTCTTCTCGGTCTCGGTGTTGGACAGTTGAGTGTCGCTGTTCCTGTCTGGCAGTCAGAGTGCACATCAGCCAAACACCGTGGACAACATGTTATCGTCGATGGTATCTGTATCTGTTTGGGTTATGCATTGTGCAACTGGATTGATTTTGGACTAAGCAAGGTCGACGGCAGCTTGCAGTGGCGAATCCCGCTCGTGGTCTCATTCTTTTTCTCCCTTGTGCTCATGACGTCCGTTTTCCTCCTGCCCGAGTCTCCTCGCTGGCTTGTCACTGTCGGTCGCGTCGAAGAGGCCACTCAGAGTCTCGCCGCGTACAAGGGTCTTTCCGACGACGACGAAGCCGTCCGTGTTGAAATCTCCGGTATCGAAACCTCCCTGGAAGTGTCCGTCGACAGCGCCTCGCTTATGGACCTTTTCAACCCAAACAAGCCCGACGATGAGCGTCTTCTATATCGATTCTGCGTCTGCATTTCGCTTCAATTCTTCCAACAAATGTGCGGTGGCAACCTTATTTCCACCTACGTCTCAACCATCTTCGAAGAAAACCTCCACATGACCAGTGACCTATCCCGCATCCTAGCGTCCTGTGCCATGACCTGGAAATTCATGTGTAGTTTTATCGCTTTCTTCGCTATCGACCGCCTTGGCCGACGCAAGATCTTTATGATCTCCGGTACCGGCATGGCAGTCTGCATGATGGTCCTAGCGATCACGAACAGCTTCGACCAGAACCATACCGCCTCGGTCGTTTCCGCTGTCTTCATCTTCCTCTTCAACTCCTTCTACCCTGTCGGTTTCCTGGGTGGAAACTTCCTCTACTGCACCGAGGTCGCGCCTATGCGCCTCCGTGTTGCCATGTCAGCTATCTCGACAGCGAACCACTGGCTGTGGAACTTTGTCGTTGTCATGATCACCCCCGTCGCACTGGACACGATTGGATATAGGTACTATATTGTGTATGCCGTGATCTCGGCTTGCATTCCGTTCACGGTCTACTTCTTCTACCCGGAGACTATGAATCGCAATCTAGAGGCTCTTAATCATGTCTTCCGTGATGCGCCCACGCCATGGTCTATTGTTTCGATAGCGAGACATTTGCTTCAGGGTGAGGCGGCGGAGGTTGATATGTGGATGAAGACTGAAGAGAAGGCGGGTGTTGAGCAGAAGGAGGATATTTAGATGATTTAGATGCCATGAATTTATTAATGTGGTTCTTGTCAGCGTGTGAGCTGTCGGAGTACGTAATATATCGACTAAATCAGAAGTGAAATGATCTCATTCTTAAATCTGGCAATTTGTATGAAGGTCTAATTGAATAAGAAGAAGCCTTATATAAGTCGTGGGGAAGACCTCTAAAATATATATAAAGATAAAGGGCTGTAGCGTTTCTATTTCTCTTACCTTCACCTCTTTTAACCAACTGGGCACTTATATTCCTACCCTCTACTAATAACTAAAGCTAAAACCTCAATCTCTAGTAGGGACGTAGGAGGGCACTAGAGACTAGATAGGTTAGCCTATCTGTCAAGATTGAAAATAATCGCTCCGAATCACTCGGCATTGCGATGCCGGCTTTCGAGGTCGTCCAGAACGAACTTACGTGGAATATGACTTGCGATACCCTGATTTGCTCCGTACTAGCAAACATTGTATCTCTGTAGAGACGAATGGAATTCATAGTCCATACAAGTCCACATAAGTTGTCAACCCATACGTAGTTGTGAATTCGAACCCGCTGGCCTTACATTCCGTTACTGTGTGGGGAATGGTTCCGATGGTTGACCCGTATTAGTAATAAGGATAATTCTCGAAAATTCCCCGAGTTATCTCCGTGCTAGACCACACGAGTCCACTTCTATTACGTGACAGCCTAATCATTGTTGAATCCGTACGCACGGAATTTTAGGGTTTCTACCTTATATTTCGTAGGTAATATAGCTACTAGGGCCTGTGCTTCCATATCTGGTGGCCAGAAATGATCAATTCGCAACTAGCGATCTTAAGTCTCTATACCTATAGATCTCGCAAGGTTTCGTCTTGACAGATACAGGGGAGTCTTCCGAACATGGAAGAAGTTGAATTGGGAAGGCAATGGATGAGACGAATCTTTCTACATCTAGGACGATCACCTGATCCAACGGAACGAGATCGCCGAGGAACCGAGTCCGAGTCCGGGTGGGCCGGCAGCCCGAGTATGCGTCAAAAGTCGCCGCTGTTTATGCCCGACTTAACAAATGATACTTTGTGGCATCTAACTTAAAATAACGAATCTTTCCGACCGGACCCAAATCAGGCCGGTTCTGTTACAAATCAGGTCCAGTGACTCTTGAAAAAAGATAAGGTTCTCAAGTGATAACTAGCAAACGTCACTCTTACAGTTTCCGAAATTCTCCTCACATTATCCAAGTCGCATTAAGTCGCACACGTTTCATAATGCCTCTTGATAGAGTCGCTGTTTTCCCTGCCTCTGGCGGTATTGGTGGAAGCACTGTCAAGCATCTTCTACCTCGACTTCCATCCGAAAATCTTACCTTCATCGCTCGTCACCCTGAGAAGTTAAGTGACGCTTCTTCTGCCGGTGCGAAAATTCGTCGCGCGGACTATGATGATGATGAAACCCTTTTGCATGCTTTTGACGGCGTGGATACTCTGTTCCTGATCTCATATGCTTCAGTTGAGCATGAACACAGATCTGAGGTAAGATGCGGAAGCGAATCCACCCTGAAATTTTCAAAACGGTACTAACAGTTGTGCGAGTAGCGTCATCGGGTTGCCATTGACTTTGCCATTCGCAGCGGAGTAAAGCATATCTTCTATGGATCTCTAGGATATGGTGGCAAGCCAGAGAACAAAACCTCTGTGGCTCACGTTATGCAAGCTCACCTGGATACAGAGAAGTATCTGGAGCACTTGTCTCGGACGAATAAGGACTTTGGTTACACGGTGGTTCGTGAGGGCCTGTACTCCGAGTCATACCCGCTCTATACTGCTTTCTTTGACCTGAAGAACCCTGTCAGTGAGATTAAGATCCCACATGACGGGTCTGGACCCGGTATTGCCTGGGTCAAGCGTGAAGAGCTGGGTGAGGGCACTGCTGAGCTTCTAAAACGTTTCATCAAGGATCCGCAGAGCTTCCCGTACCTTCAGAAGACCGTTCTGCTTTCGGGAAGCCGAGTGGTGTCTTTGAAGGAGTCAGTGGACATTCTGGGCAAAGTGGCCAAAGTACCTGTCAAAATCCACCAGGTCTCCGAAGATGAATTTGCTGCGCAGCCTCAGGTTAAGCCGAACTTCCTGTATCATGGGGTCGATCACTCCAAGGTGTGGACGACAACCTTTGAAGCCTTCCGTCGAGGCGAGGCAGCATACGTATCACCCCTCCTTGGGGAGCTTTTGGGGCGCGAGCCTGAAGATTTCCAGACTACAGTGAGCAACTCGTAAAGTTTCCCGTGGATGGTTTCTTGGAGCACACTATAACAATATTTCCGACATTGGGCTTATTCAACTGAAACTTCTCGTCAAAACACTCTTGACAAGGGCTCCCTCATGTCAATGTATTGGGAGATTATCATTTCCCTTAGTATTGACATTGGCGAATGTTATGTGAGATATCATGCAATATTCAATGGTTTTCATTCTTCAATACTAAATTGTCTGTCACTGACGTGACCGTTTCCGGCTTCCCTTAGATAAATGGTAGAGGAGGATTTTGTGGGCCCATGGGGGAAGGGTCGTGCATCCAGTTAGCTCACGAAGACCATAAGGTCCCCAACAGGGATTTGTTCTATGGGATATACCCCCGCACTTAATACCAAGCGCTTGCTGTGATGCCGCTAGATTCCGTCCTTCGGCCAAGCTTCCCCGCACACGATGTGGGGGACTACGGCGTCTTTTTGGAACCATTCACAAATGGGGTTTGGTTCCTGATAAATCGCCGCCGTTGCCGCTAAGCAGTCCCCACTTAATACCCATTCTATCCTATCAATAGGCCCATCTTATCGCCGCCATGCTGGAACCTCGTGATGTCCTCTAGGGCTACAGAGTCCATTCCGCGCCGGTAGTTTTGGCAGTGCGGCCTCACTTTTCACATTGCTACCCTTCTGATACATCTGTGCATGAACATGCCATCTCATCATAATACCTTGGAGAGCTCGGCCCCCCTACCGGCTGGCCGGACGGGACATGCATGTGTACAGTGCAGACATAGGTATGCCCCCTTGCATGTCGATCGGACTCTCGAGCACTCTCGGCAAAGCCGGCGGCTGTGCCGATGAAACAACAGCAGTCCTATAGACAGCTTACTGACAGCCGTGTCAGGAAGCAAAAGTGCGGAGGCTTCACACATGGAATCAAATGCCGGCCATGCACCACGCGCAAGGTCAAATGCAGCTTCCAGGAAGAGGTCAAGGATCCACGGCATAATCCCTACTTGCGCCTCAGGTCACCTGGTTCTTCTACAACCAGTTTTGGTCGTGCACCTGCGGTCAATACATGCTTGGAAACGGCCTCAGCAACATTAATTCCCGCTCTAACAACCTTCAGCGGAGATGTACAACCGGCGCTGACGGGAATACCGACCGGTGGCCCGAATACATCCGTGACAGATGAAGAAATACCGAAGCAACTTGATTCGCTGAGATCACGGTATATGCCTTATCTCCTACTCATCCTGCCGACTTAGTAATAACATTGTACATAGGATTGCTGATCTGGAACGGCGGCTTATCACGGCACAGAGAGACGACGCTGAGTTCATGAATACCCCGCGATCCCAATCAAGAGCATCCTTCATGCATTCTTTTGAGCCGGCGTTATCTCACCCAAACTACCGATCATCACCTATTACCTCGTAAGGCCTCTTTCCTTTGGTTCCACAATAACTTGGGCTAACGCTTCCCCGTAGCTTAGGATCAATCTCCAACTCCGACAGTCGTAGCCTATGCAGTCCCCGGGGCCCTATCAATACCGATGGTCCATTGAAAGCATTAAACAGCTTCCAAACAGATGACCCAGTCGAGTTTGAAATACACGATCCCATCGCCCGGTCGATATTGGCAGAAGGGGAGACATATGTTATATTCAAACTGTCAGTATCATGAACTGCGCTCGAAGTTAACAACTCAAAGCTAAATTATGAATTAATTAGGTATTTCACAAACTGTCATCCGAACGCGCCTTTCCTGGATGTGGACCTTGATACAGACATTGACCGGGTCCGCTCAAGTAGCATTTTACTGTTCCTCGCTATTCTCAGTGTCGGGGCCCGTTTCTGGGGTGCTTCATCAAAGTGAGTAATTTCCGCATGTTGATCAACATCCCTGGGCTAAGATCTCGCAGAAAAGCTTGCTGGCTTCACCCTCGATACCCCGACCTAGTGCACCTACTCGATGCAGAGATTATGCGAGTCACACTCCGCCCTAGAAATGACGACCAAAAGCTCGAAACAGTCCAAGCACTCATGTTGTGTGCACACTGGATGCCATTCGACGTTGCTGCCAACGGCGAACGGTTCCGATCCCGTTTTTCCGAAGGGGGTGCGTGGCAATGCCTAGGTCTAGCGATCCGCTGGGCAACATCCCTAGTACTGGAACGAAGTTGCCATATAAGTTTCCAGAGTCCTGAAACAGTGACACGAGAAGATGTACAGCGATTCCGAACAATGCTTTATCTCGTGGAAAGCGATCATTAGTGAGCACCACTTCAAGACTTGCGTTTCACGCTAACCCTTTTAGCCTGGCCCTATCCGCTCGACGCCCATCCTACCTCAATCCCGAAGTACTTCACGATGTTCTCCCGAATTTTCTCAAATGCAAATACGTGCAAAACACAGACATCCGCCTCACCTCATTATTTCGTGTCGCCTACGGCGCCCATTTTACCGGCTGCCGACCAACATCTATAGAGAGTGTCGAAGCATTCGACAAAGACGTGCAGCTAATTGAGCGCCATTTCATTTCAAGCGTGAGTGATCAATTGACGGACCAATTTACCCAGCATTTCCCATTTACCTCGCTGCACTGGTACCGACTTTCATATGCGTGTGCGTTTCTGGACGTAACGGATCCGACGCAGCGGACTGGCAAAGCGTTAACATGGGCAATTGGGTGGTCTAGCGAGATCCTAATCCACTTATCCAGACCAAGCTCCAAGGAGGTTAACAGTGGTTCTGGCTGGGCTCAGCTGGAGCCAGATCCGAGCGTGGTTGATATTTTGTCCTTCGCGATTGACCATTATTTTGTTGTTATTGCTTATGCCGCGTTCTTCCTTGTGAATAGTTGGCTGAGTAACTTGACGGACAGTGAGTTATTTTCTGACGCAGTTAGAACTCACTTGCTGACGATACCTAGTTAACCTTCGCCCTCAAGTGCATCACCTAAATGAGACAGCGTGCGAGGAAACTTCCGGTTCATTGCTCTTTCGTTTAGTAGATGTTGCTGCCCGCACACTTGAAGCGGCTAGTCCACCAGAGGGACATCTAGCGCGTCGCTATGTCCCGCTTCTGCGCGGGATGTCAGGGTTGGTACTATCTGGCAATGTGCAAGGCCAGAAGACAAGCAGTGGCACGAGTGCGGTAATGACGGAGACAAACGAGCCATCTTCAGAGCACTTGCAAAGTCAGCTGGGAGAGGATTTATGGGAAATGTGGCAACAGGCGGGTCTAGAGCCAATGATATGGCCGAGCTTGTTGGATGATATGTACGAGGGATGACGAGTCAAGTGAGCAATGTTTGACAATTATCCATCTCAACGTTATTCTCGAGCTCCACATGGGTTTAGCAACGCCTAGAAACGGACCCTACTTCAGGCTAGTAATCGCAATATTTGAAGCATTTCAAACGGACAAGGCTTCCCGCTCTACCTCTGACCCCGGGTCGAAAAGAAGCGCAAATGGCATTGTTTCCCACAAGAATGGCCAGATGATTATGGGAAGCACTTTCATGCTAGAGAAATAAATAAAGTGGGCTAAAAATGAACCAAAAGAACATTGACTTGGAATTTTCCGGTATTGCTGATCGGTTCAACTACCTAGCAAGTACACATGATAATTGACACCAACGGGATGTATACATACCAATATGCAACAAATCCAATCAAACCACTTACTTCAACTTCGCCTCCTCAACCATCTGACCAAGCTTAATCTGCGTAAGCAGAGAAAGCTCATCGTAAACATTCCACTCATCCACAATCCGGCCATTCTTATAATGATAGTGCGTCGCACCCATGACCTGTAGCCGCAGACCTGTGGGCTTACCGAGCTCCGACAGAATACCAAAGCCAAGGTGGTGACCCTCCATAACCCAACGCACGGCAACTTTGATACCGCCTTCTTCACAGGGGTTTGAGAAGATGTGCTGGGGCATGTAGGCAGCATCAGGAATGGAACCAAGAAGGGCAAGATGCTGATGCAGGACAGCAGCGGGGCCATACAGCTCTGTCATCTTGGGACCGTGATATTGCGCGTTTGGAGCATAGTGCTTCTCGACGCGGCCAAACATACGGCAATTCCACATATCGTGAAGCCACTCCAGGGTTTGAGCTTCAATCTCGTTGTTGGCGATGGAGGTATCAGCCTTCCAATCCGGGTTTTGCTGACCGATCATGCGGCGGTTCTCGCCGATATCAATGGACTCGAGCCCCTTGTCGAACAGTGCCTTAGCTGCGTCATAGGCAAACGTGTTGGGGTCCAGTCCAAGCTGTTTGATAATAGCCATGGTATCTGCGACCACCCACTCGCGATAAATCCGATTCTGATAGATCATACAGTCGGCGATGGTCCTGGACACGAAAGTCTTGCCAGTGGCGGGCCCCCAGTGACCATTTTGGGTGTGCCGACCGGAGCCGGTGACCAAGTGGGAGGTGTAGAAGCCCTTCTTATCGTCACCATCCCAAAGGACTTGCGTGGCCATACCACGGCGCTCGGGAAGAGAGACGAGGCGCTGGATAGTGTCGCGAACAACTGACTCGCGGTCGTAGATTGTGCCCATTGTGCCGTACAGAACGCAGTTGTGGGTGTAGTGGGTGTAGATCAAGCCGATATCGCGTTCGTCCCAAATTCTGTGGGTGCATCGCACAATATAATCGACGATGTCGGTGTAAATGTCTTCGAAGCCTTCCATTGAGTGTGCGCGTTTTCGTGTTGTCGGTGCCAGATCGACATAGTCGTGGCGCTCAACTTGCATAGCAGCCTTCATATTATCGGGGAATTGGGGCTCAGTGAAGTGGTGGTTATTCTTTTGGGGAGCTTCTGTGACCGAGGCATGGTCCGCACCATTTGTAGAGGGGGTCATGATGGTGGTTGAAAAAAGAGGTCAAACACAATTTATAAACGATTGATTCAAGGAAGGTGTCTTATCGAGGGACCTCAGCTTTATTAACGCGGTAAGCTATGGAACATCTCCCCGCAGTGGAGTCGGGGCTCCTATGTCAAGGGGCATCGGGCTACCTAATGCAAGGTCATTCTTGTTCTCCATCGGGACCTTCGGTGGTTACATCGGGACTCGATGGTCCCAGAACCTTCTTTCTGGAGCGGAGCTCTCCGCATCCCGTAGCCATCTAGTGATGATTTGCTAATGAAAAGCGATAGTGAAATCGGAGACAACGATAGAGTTCTTGGAAGTATCGGGTTTACCGAAGGTCAAAGCGCGGTGCCGATGGACCTTGTCGGGTTCTGCCGACATCCAAAAACTAAAGTGGAACTCGATAGAAAATGTCCGTCTTGTTTAGCGCGAGCTAACACTAACAGATACATAAATGATATCTTAAATGCGGGCCTTGATCACCGTTGACAGCTATCTTTGCGGGGTTTAGGGTACCGAGCAGTTGATTAACGATGGATGACTCCACCGCGGTCAAGGCTCCCCCAGTTTATTAGTTAGCTATCATCGGAAGGTTATGACAGCAGGCATTGGACGGTATTACGACGCCGGTCAACTTTCCTAGCAAAAGACCGTACCATTCTGAGAAAGTAATTAAATAGTTAATGCAAGCAGCTCGATAGAGATATAATAATAAAAGCACTAAGGGCAGTAAATTCAATTCTCAAGTCAACTGATCACGATACAGACATCGGAGATGACAGGATAAACCTCTATGTACTGTAATCAAGAAAAGCGTAGTGACATCTCATTAACTGGTACCGAGACCCTCTAGTACATTTGCTTGTTCCTCATCTCAATAGGAAGGAAGCACATGACAAGAGATGCAACCCAAATTCCACCGGCACCAAGCCAAAGCACACCAGACCTACCTTGGGCAATGTACTTCTGACCCGCAAATGGGGCAACAATACCAGCGACCCGACCCAGTGAGGAGAGCATACCACTTGCACTGGCACGGTATGTCGTGTCAAACATCTCAGGCGAAGCCGAATACAGCACCGCATTAAAGTACTGGAAACGGTCAGTCAATAAACCATCAAATTGCCAAAGTTGAAATTGACTTACACTTTGCATTATATATTCCAAAGCATTAAGACCAACATAGCCGGCAGTGTCCTTCACTTGGGTATACATGGCCATGGAAAGACCTTGCAAGGCGGCGGAAATGACCAGTGACCACTTTCTGCCCAACAAAGGCATCTGAATGGAAATAAGAGCGACGATGGCACCGATGATACCGGGTAGATAGATATACACGTACTCGCGGTATGTGTCGCTGACGTTGTCGGTGCCACTGTCCACATTGTTGTTGAGGAGAACGATGGGAAGGAAGTACCCGGCCAGATTGAACGACCAGTAGTTACCCTGAAGATATTAGTCCTTAATGATAGCCCGAAAATGACTCCTACTACTTACCATATATGCAACGGCAAGTAGACAGAAAGTGAAGGCCTGAAGCTTGCTGAGAAAAAGACCGCGAAGGAAGCCAAGGCTTTTCATTGCGTCCTTGAAGACTCCCTTAGCGTTCTCAGGGGTGGTATCCTGTCTGGAACCAACACCTGCAGCACGGTCAATCTCACGGAAGTCTTCCAGAGTCAACGTAGGCACCTCGGCACCGTTAAACCTGGCAATTTTGTGAAGAACATCAATGGCATCTTGCTCACGGCCCTTGCTAACGAGGAACTTGGGCGACTCGTGGAATCTGAAGATGAAAAAACGAGCGAAGAAGATTGTGAGTGTCATGGCACCGATAATGACTACCATATACCTCCAACCCATGTTGCTCGAAACGGAGCAGCATGCCTCGCTTGTCTTCACATTGGTACAAGCGGGCAGTTTCACATCGCAACGGTACCTGGCTGCAGTGCCATATGCGATAGCAGATGCCACGGTAACACCAATTGGCTGCCACATTCCTAGTAGGGAGACGAGATAGCGACGGTTTTGAGGTAAGGATTCGAGCGCAATTGTAGCGTCAATGGGGACATTCCCACCGAGACCAATACACGATAGGAAGTAGATTCCGCAAACAGCGCCGTAGTTGTACTTGCACGCGGCCTATATAAGTTAGTTGCGGCCTATGTGATGTATGTAAAAGAAACTTACCAGGAGCATACCAAAGACTGATGTTATCAGACAGGTAATTTGGAAGGCCCATTTGCGTCCAATGATATCAGTGAGGATGCCGAAACCGAAAGCGCCAATGCTGTATAAAGTGAGCCTTTGAATGAACATGAATGAAAAAGCAATACTCACGCGAGGCCTGCATTAGAGCAAGTGAAAATTAGGCCTTGCTTATCAGGCGGTACCCCCATCTCTTGGCTATGTCAAATTGGTCAGAATGCCAGAATCAAAGTTGAGCGCCGAAGACATACAATACAGCAGTGGCCATCAAACCAACGCCCTGTGCCCAGGCCAGGTCGACGAAATAGCCCATCCCACACAGCACCCAAATGCACCATTGATACTTTCCAAAGCCAAATTTATCAATTTCGGCGTTGATCAGAGCAGCCTTCCGCTCGAAGAGAGTACGCTCATCAATAGAAGCACTCTCAGCCATTTCACCGTAAGAAACGTCGCCACTTTCCTTTTCTTTATCCTTCTCAGAATGTCCAGTCTCCATCTCTGAGGAGACCCTGTTGGAGACGCAATCGACTGCTGTAGACATTGTAATGGAAAATGATTTCACAATAATTCTCAACGTCTGCTAAGAATATATTTTTAAGCCAGCCACGACGGTTGTCAAATAAGTCTCGTGCTCCCCGCAGAGATCACCTCCACGCGTTGCATCAGTACCAAGTTGCCACGATAAGAGTGGCCGATGATAATCATCGGGTAAGCCGATCAAATATCGGAGAACCCGTTACCAACTGCGTCTTTTTGCCCTTTTCGGGTACGCCAGTGGGTCCAGAGCGGCTCATCTGCGGGGAGCACTTGGTCGTTGTTGGGGATAACGAGATAAGCTGATAAGCCGCGTTTTCCATTCGTGAGATGTTCGGTACTAGGGTTTCATGTGTTTGGATGATCTCTGATTGTTTGAGCTTTTGGTCATGTCCGAGGCCAACATTGCACCGTGGCAGAGGATTGCCCAGAGCAAGAAAGCGCGTCGCGATAGTGCCATTCCCACAGACTGGCAATTGCACCATGGCCAGGTTCCGCAGGACAGGCTCAATGTCATCGATGTCCCTGTAAAATGTGGTATCCTGACTCCTTGCGAGGTGGAGATAACGGAAACAGACGCGCCCGTGTTGGTTAAGAAGATGATCAACATGGAGTATAGTTCATACCAGGTAGGCAAGCCACATGTGTCACTTCATATGATGAGGATAGAGACTAATTGATGGAGGTGATCCGAGCGTTCTGCAAGCGGGCGGCGATTGCACAGCAGCTTGTCAACTGCCTCAGTGAGGTCTTTTTTGATAAGGCACTGGAAGCTGCCGAGAAACTAGACGCCGAGTACAGAGCGACCGGCCTCACGCGTGGTCCACTTCACGGCCTCCCTGTTTCTCTGAAAGACTGTTTTAAGATTGACGGCACTGATGCAAGCATTGGCTACACGGCCTATGCCGACAGACCTACAAAGAAGGACGAAGAATCTGAGATCACGAAAATAATGCGAGAAAGTGGTGCTATTTTGTTCTGCAAGACCAACGTCCCAACAGGCATGATGGCTGGTGAGGTGAGGACTCTCGGATCCAACTGCGATTTGCAAAGCTGATCGGAAAGTAGACGTATAATGCTATTTACGGCTATACCGCCAACCCCTACAATCGGAACCTCTCTAGCGGTGGCTCATCAGGTGGCGAAAGTGCGTTATTAGCTCTCCGAGGCTCACCTCTAGGGGTTGGTACCGACGTCGGAGGATCTGTTCGAATTCCAGCCTCATTCTGCGGTCTCTATTGCCTGAAACCCTCTTCTGGTCGCTTCCCTACATATGGCCTCCAAGATGGCATGCAGGGTCAGGAGGCGGTGCGGAACTCAGTTGGACCTATGGCAAAGTCCCTTGACGGTGTTGAACTATGGAGCAGAGCTGTGTTGACGAGCGAACCCTGGATGCATGCTGATCCTGATTGTCTCCCTATTCAATATCGTGATGTGGACATACCAAAGAAGCTGTGTTTTGGTTGGTGCTCTCCTTTTTATTTCGTGCTTCCTGACGCTGACATTTCAGGCCTTCTCCTTGACGACGGCATTGTCAAACCTCTCGCTCCTGTTTCTCGTGCTCTTCTCCAGACAAAGTCTTCCTTGGAAGCTGCGGGACACACCGTTATCCAATTTAACATGTATGTTCCTCCAAAACAACATCCGATATGAAATGCTGATTTTTTGTAGCGATGATCCCCTGTACACCGACAACCTCAAGTTCGCCCTATACCGTTCCGCTGCAGCAGATACAGTCAAAAGCATCCTCGCCCAAACAAAAGAGCCTTGGCCACGTGGAATGGAAATGCTCGAAGCGATGGCGAACAAAGAGAACAAGGGCGACGATTCAAACTGTCCAGCTACAGTTACCGATCTCTGGAAGGCGCAGATCAAACGAACCGAGTACGCGAAACATATACTGAACTCATGGGCAGCAACCAAGACCAGGACAGGAACAGGTAGAGAAATGGACGCGCTGCTGATACCATGTACAGTGTGGCCGGCTTCCGAGAAGTGAGTTTCAATAGGTCTGTGTCATTATTCAAGTCGTGGCTGAGATTCCCAGATACAAATTCATATACGACAACTACACCAGTCTGTGGAATGTGCTTGATTACTGTGCGACGACTGTCCCGGTTACCCACGCTTCGTACACCGACGCAAAGCCAGAGTACGAGGGTCGGAGCGAGTTGGAAGCTAAAGTTTGGAGAGACTGTAAGTGTCCAACATGTGAAGAGGTTTATTAAAGGCTGATATCGGCAGATTCGCCCGAGAAGTTCGCAGGCGCACCTGTCGGTATCCAACTTGTAGGTCGGCGTTTGAACGAGGAATATCTCCTGGGAGTTACGCGGGCCTGTGATAATGCTTTAAAAGCCGCCAAGAACATTTCCAATGGGTGTGGAATGTAAACCATGTTTCTTGTTGGGAGGTAAAAGTAAAGAACGACATAGGAATGATTTTCATAACCCCTTCTCTCCAATCTCACAAACTGAAGTTGAAAGAGCCCATTCAGATCTCAAGATTTCTTCTGCGGTGATTCTCAGCCCCGGATCCGGATGTAACATGGCATAGACCACATTCCGACAGTGCTTTCAATTTCAGAGCGTTAGATATATTGTTCCCGTTCAACGATCTTGCCATCAGACGCTAGGTGAAGCTTACCATTTCGAGAGCCTGTATGGGGCCATACCCATCTTCTTTCAGACGACTGTGAAGGTATTCAGAGTAGGATTTCTTAGGATCAATTCTCTGCGCGCTACGCCAGGGGAGCTCGCCAGCGCGTAACAACATATAGATCATCCCGCATGCCCATATGTCTCCGGCTCGGATATCGTAGATGTGTTGATGTGTATAGCCTTGACGAACAGAGTCACGGCGACTGGAAAACCTCTCTGGAGGAAGATACGGAGTACTTGGCTCCGAAACCCCTCTGTGAATGCACAAAAGTGGCTTCGAGTTAGATTCTGCGACTTCTCCAGGTTTGAGTCCCGACGGAGACGAAGTGGAACTTCCATGATTCAAAAGTCGAACAAGTTTCCGTACTGCATCTTCATCTTCCCCAAAGCCACTCACCTTGATCGCGCTTCGGCCTGTGAGGAGTACATGTTCTGGTCGCAAATCTCCATGAGCTATACCCCATTCGTGGAGGAAGCCGACCGCACGCAAGATCTGAACACCCAAACAGTCGACCTCCTCCACGGGCAGATATTCCTTTGCTCTGGCTTCTCGTTGCAAAAAGGTATGCAGGTTGCCTCCAATACAAAATGGCATGACGAGACACAGATTACCCTGCTTGTTGTACAGAACTTCGATGATTGAGAGAATATTAGGATGAGAAAGTGGAGAGTCTCCACTTCTGTCTCGAGAAAGAAGCACCTGACGTGAGTCGGGCTTGGTTTCATGAAACACTTTGACTGCGTAGAGTTCCCTAATTGTTGCCTTGGGCATAGAAGCACGTCTCAATTTCGTGAACATAGAGTTCCGTCGAGATTTTGTTGGTGATGAGATCGGTTCAGTCGCGGCTGCTTTTTTTTCATATAGTTGAACGGTGCTAGTTTTGTTGTAATAGACTACTTTGATGAACTTCCCATATTCATCTGGAAATGATGCCTGCGATGATCTCTCCGGCTCGGTCGTTGCTCCCGGGCTTCTTTGGGCCTGAACCGCATCAGGATAATCCTTCGAGGTTCCCTGCGAACTCGAAGCAACGACAGGCACCTGGTCGCTTTTGCTTGAGGTGCTTTTTCTTGAATTAGAAGGACCCTCGGATTCCTGTGTCGACCACCCGAGCCCAGCAAAGATCTCGGTCAGTCCATCGATAAAATGGGCACTCCCCATATCATGTATCTCTCTGCCATCGTCTCTTATCGTGTGGTGATGATGTGTTGATAAAGAGCGATCTGGTGACTGGACGCGTTCGAAGGGATAATGTAGATGGGGACTGGGAGAATTTTCCTGCATGGTCTGTTCGTGTGCTCGGCGAATGTTTGACCGTCCGGAGATTCTGTACCCACGTCGCTGTAATGAAATTGCCTTTTCAGACAAATCGAATCTTCGAAAGTCGATGTATTCAGGCTTCTACGACGTGAGTTTCGGGAAGAGCTGGTAAAGTTGCCATGACTTGTGACGTCATCAACAACCCCATCATGTGACCATCATGTATATGTACCTAACGAGCCTCCCGCTTGTCTGTACTCTTCAACGAATCCACTTTTGCTCTGTGTGCATACAGACGACGATTTCTTATCAGTCCTTCACAGCATCTGGCAATCAAGTCTATCCCCTCGTGTACATTGGTCCACATGAACCCTCTACAAATTGCCCGATTCAAGGATATAGTAATGCAGAGTTATTTTTCACTGTTAATTGATCAATATATTACGTACTCCGGCAATCCACGAGATAACCACAATGACGAATGGGCAGAGTGAGCAAATTCTAATTGAATAATCCGTCTATTAGGGGCTAAAGCTGCTATTTTCGGATTGAGCGGCCGATTCAATTCCCGATTGGATGTCAGTCGCGTGGCGCAAGGTTCCGTGGAGGAAATAATTGCCTCGTACAACTTTCAACTTTCCCGCGAACTTGATCCCCCATAGCATCTCTTCAAATATTTAATTCTTTAATGCGAATGACGTGATTTTACTTTCAGTACTAATTTACACGAGAGTAAGAACGTTTGGAATAGGGAAGTGCGCCTACTCACTTGATAGTAGGAGAAAATATCTGTAACATTATGGTAGGAGACTTGGAAACCCCCTCCCCCTCTTTAAGGCGCTTGCTGCGGCTGTATGATATAATTTCAGCGTCTACCTTGAAAAGGCTAAGGCTTGAGGTATTTTCCGCCTCGTATCAACGTCGTCTCGCTTATCATGTCTCCTGCCATCGGCCCTAGACGCGATTGGTGTAGGACCTCGATGTGTCAAGATATGATTTATCCGGTCTGATAGGGAAATATAGCCGTGCTGGATGAATGTCTGGAGCTACCTCGTATTCTGACTCTAATAATCCTTATAAAAGAAATATTCATCCCTGCATGCACGTTTGGTCATATTCGTCTTCACTTTCTCCATCAACCAAGCGCTTGCCTTCCGGCATGGCCACTTCTACAGATTCCAAAAACGTCAACGACAACGGGAAAGGTGTCAACGTAGGCTCTGTTGACGGCGGAGCCTATCCATCTCGGCCCATGCATCGAGCGAGCATTTCCAAGGAAGTGAGGGCCGCAGAATCCAATACAACCGACGTGGAGTCGGCATCTGTTCCCATGGAGCTTGACGTTGACGAGAGAGACTTTCGCAAAAAACAGGTATTTCTATATTCTAAGAGCACCAAAAACGCGTTCGCTGAATTAAGGGTTACAGGTTTTCAAAGGCTGGGCTCTGGCATGGTATGTCACTCGAACATAGAATCTCACCCAGGATCAAAACTAAAACTTGAGTACGACACACAGGCTTGCTTATCAGTCTCTCGGTGTTATCTATGGTGACATAGGCACGAGCCCTCTTTACGTCTATTCCTCGACCTTCACCAGCGAGCCAAGCAAGGAAGACATTCTTGGCGCCGTCTCGCTAGTCATCTGGGCCCTGACGATCATGGTCACTATCAAATACGTTTGCATTGTGCTCAATGCGGATGACGAAGGCGAGGGAGGAACATTTGCCATCTACTCTCTTCTGTCTCGATACGTGCGAATTACCCTACATACAGTTCTCTTAGTGTGCTGACATCGTATTCAGGCTCGACTGGTGCGATTTGATCCACGGCACACAAACTTGGTACCGATGCAACGGTTCAATACAGATGATCTACAAAAGCCCAATTTGATGACACGAAATTTCCTGGAGCGGAGCGCATTCATGAAATGGCTGTTGAAAATTGTAGGAGCTTTTGGAGTATCATTGCTTCTTGCTGGTGGGTACAAATGTGTTCTGGAATTGGCAGCTGGTTAACTGGTGCAGATGGTGTTCTCACTCCCGCCCAGTCTATTCTCGGTGCTATCCAAGGGTAGGTCGATATCTGAAATGAACCCGCGATTTAACAAGTGGCTAATGGGAGTATAGCATTACTGTTGTGAATCCTGAAATTTCTTCCTCCACTGTTGTTGGCGTCTCCTGTGCAATCCTCGTTGTCGTCTTCCTCATCCAACCTTTCGGAACCAGCAAAATTGCGAGCACGTTTGCCCCTATAGTGATTATATGGATGCTGTTCAATTTGACATTCGGAATCTACGTATGCCAGTTTAGTCTCCAAAGCACCAGAAAATCACTTTGCTGACTTCATTACTTGCTCCAACAGAATCTAATCATGTATGATTCCTCAATCCTGAAAGCTTTCTCTCCATACTTTGCAGGGTCTTTCCTGGTGCGGAACAAAACGCAGGGCTGGTTACAGCTTGGTGGTATCTTGCTTGCGTTCACCGGAGTCGAAACTCTCTTTGCGGATCTGGGAGCATTCAGCCAAAGGCGAGTATCCCGTTCGTGACTGCCAAGAAGGAAATTACTGACTTATCCCCAGAGCGGTTCGCATTTCCTGGATTTTCTTTGTTTATCCGTGCCTTCTCATATCGGTAATCCTCTCCGGAAAATCGGGAGAATATTTCCGCTGATATCTTTCAAAAAGTATATCGGACAAGGGGCCCACATAAGCGTTGTGCCCAGCGCATATGCTAATCCCTTCTTCCTCACGGTTCCTCCCGGAATGCTTTACCCAAGCCTTGTCATGGCTGTTTTGGCCTGCATTGTGGCCAGCCAAGCCGTGATCACCGGTGCCTTCCAGGTAATAAGACACCATACAACCGGGCCATACAAAAATACAACTGACATCAAAGCAGTTACTGGCACAAATCATGAAATTGTCATACTTTCCCCAAGTCAAAGTTTATCACACATCAAACACCTTTCATGGACAGGTGTACATACCTTTTGCCAATTGGCTGATGATGATTGGGACGATCGTCGTAACAGCTGTCTACAACAATGTAAGTGGTTATAAAGCTATTGCTCATTACTTTCCGCTAAAACATGAACAGACCACCGCCCTTGGCGAAGCATACGGCGCTTGCGTGATTCTCGTCTCCTTCCTGACTACCTCCATGGTAGCGGTAGTAGCCCTGATTGTTTGGAGACTCCCCATTTATCTCGTTCTTCCTGTATTCATCATCTTCGCCCTCTGGGATGGAATTTTCTTGTCCACCGCTCTGAGCAAAGTACCACACGGCGCATGGTTTACTCTAATGCTAGCCGTGATCATAACATGCGTCTTCACTCTCTGGCGCTATGGAAAGGAAGAGCAATGGACAGCCGAGGAATCCGATAATGCCCCTCTATCACAGACCACCGCATTTAAGAATAACCAGTTGAGCTTACACCCATCGTTTGGAGGCTCCTCTATCACTCCAATCACTGGACTTGGGATATTCTTCGACAAGTCAGGCAGCACAGTCCAAACACCAGTGGTCTTCCTGCATTTCCTCCAGAAATTCAGCGCCATGCCCGAAGTATCCGTCTTTCTGCACCTCCGACCGCTATCGGTCCCTTCGGTTGCTCCCAGCGAGCGATACACTGTGACCCGGTGCTATACCTACGGGACCGGGCCCGACAAACAACCTATTCCCAACTGTTATCGCTTAATGGTGCGACACGGATACACCGACGAGATCATCACACCCGATTTGGCTATCTTGGTTCTCGATCTGATTCGCGCTTATGTCGATGAAACAAGTCGTTTTGATCCTGCAAAAGACGAGTCTGATGAAATGGGTGCATTGTTGCGTGCTTGGAAGTCTCAGATCATATACATTGTCGGCAAGGAGCAGCTAAAAATCGCAGCGAGCAGCAATATTTTTCGTCGGATGGTGCTTTGGGTGTTCCTGTGGATGCGGGAGTCTAGCCGAACTAAGATTCAGCAAATGAAAGTGGAGAGTGATAGACTTGTAGAAGTGGGATTTGTGAAGGAGATGTGATTTGTTGTTGCGAGATAGAAAGTATACAGATTTGCCTTTTTTTGGACGCGATGGAAACGAAGCGCACCGAGCGCATCTCTTCCCCGCCTGCCTTAAATTGTATATTTCAGTGTCTTTCCTGGGTTTCGTATCCCCCGCTATCGGCCCAAAGCTAGCTTCCGCAGAAGAAATGGTCTCGAGATCTGCGAAATTCTTCGTATTCCCTAGTTCGAGGCATTACATGATCCCTGTCTTCGATGGTGGCGATCGCTCGCATATGTTTCATCTAATTTTGAGTCGCTATATAGAACACTGAAATGACAGTCAGATTGTCTCTGTCACATAATTTTAACATTTACAAGTGAGGCGCGTTCAACGCCATCAAACAAATCAACCCGGCAACTAGTCCCGCACAAGGGAGTGTCAGGACCCAACCACCAAAGATCCAACCCAGTTGTCTCCAATTAACAGCGCCAAGGTCATAATTCATGAGAGCAACACCCATAGACGCACCAGTCAGACATTGCGTGGTAGAGACGGGCAGACCAAGTCGCGAAGCCAAAAGCACGGTGATAGCTGCTCCAAGCTCAACACTGAACCCACGCGTCGGGGACATCTGGGTAATCTTGTTTCCAAGTGCGCGTACAATATGGTACCCGTAGAACCAAAACCCGATTCCAAGGAGCAAGCCTGCAATCACCAGGAACCAGACTGGAGTAGGCGCCTTGGTTTCGACCACACCGGCATGGAACGTGCTGTACACGGCAGCCCAGGGCCCAACAGCATTAGCGACATCGTTGGAACCGTGCGCGATAGACATCATCATGGCTGAGACAACTTGGCAGTAGGTCCACAGATGCTCGACGCGATCGTCATACCGATGAGCGCGGGCGTGGATTGCACGGAGAGCGGGCGAGTCGTGTGTGACCACATCCCTTGTCACGCCCTGCAGGAGCAGCCACTTGGTATATCCCCAGTATTTTCTGGGCTCCATCCAGGACATACCACGAACGGGGTCGATGAATCGCTCAGTTGGTTCGATATGCTTCTTGCGAGGCTTGATTTCCGGCGTGGTATTTGTGAAGTCGATCTTCTTCTCTTCATCGTCATCCGGTCGCTCGGAGTGAGCTTTCGCGGTAATCTCTGGGGACGACAGTACGGAATCGGCAATTGCGGTTGGTTCCTGTTTCGATACATCTTTCTGGCCAGCCAGAACTTCCCCGTAGGAATCTTCGTAATAGTTGATCACGGCTGAGTCGCCCTTACTCGGGAAATAGAGAGGCGGGTTCTCCTTCATGAGCAGTGGGCCCAGGGGAAGGTGATAGAACTTGACGCGGGTGTCGTTTTTGACAAGACGGCGATTGAAATATGGCACGAAGAAGACATAGGCGATGAAGAGGCAGCCAAAGAAGACCCCGAGGATGATGCCGACTGCATTGCCGGCACCAAACTCCTCCAGTGACGGCGCACTTGGAGCCTCGATGACAATGAAGAGAGCCAAGATAGCACCTGTCACGGCCAGATAAAATGGAATCAAGCGCATGGCCCATTTGAATGAATCGCGTCGCTCAAGGACGCCGTACTTGAGCGTGCCAAAGATGATTGCAGAAAAGCCAGCGGCGATGAGAGGGGCAATGCCCCAGGATGCAGCCACCTGGGATACGCTACCCTTCTTCCAGCCCCAGCTAATTGACGCTTGAGATGCGAACCCGACACCGATGAGAGCACCGACGACAGTCTGGGTCGTTGACACAGGGAAGCCCACCTTGGTCGCTAACATCAACCATGTCGCGCTGCCAATCTCCGCACAACCCATAGCCAGCATAAGAGCACCGGGCTTTCCTTCGAATCTGTCGATACCAATAATACCATTCTTGATTGTGCTGGTGACTCGGGAGCCCATCGCTACGGCGCCGACGAACTCGGTGATCGCTGCCAGGACACCGGCCGTGGCCATGTTCAGCGTCCGAGCCGCGATAGAAGTCGCGTACGAGTTTGCGACATCATTGGCACCATTCCCGAAGGCACTGAAGATGAAAGCGATCGAGGTAAGGGCGAGGATCCAGTCGTATTTTGCGGTAGCTGCTGGCACCATGGCGACGACTACCCTCAGTTCCGAGGAAGGGGAGTTAACTGAGACTTGGATGCGGAAATCAAGCTCGAAATCAAGACTACGAAACAGCAAAACACCTTTATAAATCACGTCGCACAATAGCCACCGCCAAGCGCAAATTTGAATAAACGTATGTTATCTACTTGGCTGATCCATCGCTCGGCTGGATGTCATACGAAGCTCAGCCTATGGTAAATCCATTATGGCCAGCGTGCACCTGGCATTTAGCGGTTACTGGTTGAGAGCAATCCATGGCATTGAATGTCTCCTATGAAAGTAGAGAAGAATTCTCGCCGAGACCAGACGCCAAGGGCGGAGTGAGCTGGATATCCGACGATGAACGAACCTGAAGTAGATCGAATTGACCAATAAAATTAAGCTCACAGGCACGTTTATGGGGGACGAACTGTTATTGAGTGCAATTTTGAGTAATTCGTGGGTTGGGGCTCGGCGCCGAGATCTTGGAGGTCTTCGTCCGTTGGGCGGGCGGCACTGCCTGGCTTGGCGGTGTTTCGCGCTCGGTCTGGAATATTGCACGGCCAAAAGGGGCGGAATTATTTGCCACTCTCAAAATCTACCTCTCGAACAAGATCACTGTTCTCGTGCATCCGTGCCCATAAAGTCCATATAACCTAAACTGGATCGATTCTATGCTAGTTGAGGGTATCACATTCAATATTTTTGTACGAGATCCAAATCATCACGCAATCATCTCCTGCTCTGGTTTGTCATCATCCCGACTGATTCCGTGTTCCACCAAAACATCACCATGCAGTTTAAATGCCTGTTCCATCTTCCAGTAGAAGGGGCTCGAGGTTGAGAACAGTGCTTCAATGGATTCCAGCGAGCGGTTACGGGTTTCAGGGTAGACTATATCATTAGCGATGATCTTCCAACATTTAATATCGGGGCAATGCATACAGAGGTAAACAGTTGGTATCCAGATCAAATTGAGACCGGCGAAAAGGAAGTACGTTCGGCTCTGCAAAAATATTGTCAGCTTTGTCTGCAAAAAGATGACGTGCAAGCGAACCTTCAGAGCCTGGAACATGATCGGATTGACCAAAGTGGTCATGCCAACACCTATGGCCCAGCCAGTAATGCCAAACCCGTTCCCCTGAGCTCGCAAATCGCTGGGGAAAATTTCCGTGGGGATCAAGAATGCGACCGTGCCCCAGGTCGCAGCATAGCTGTTATGAACACCAGGTTAGTACATATGGACATCTGGAACTGAATGTGCCGGACTTACCCAAGGTTAAACAAAAACAACATGGCAATAGCCCCGGGAGCGTACTGCGCCGCTTTGGCGGGATTATGCAATGAGCCCTCGTAGACAGACCCAGCCTGGAGCACGGTTAGAGGGAGATCAGCAGATTCGAAGTAAAAACTTACGATTAGATTGACGGCAAATAGCACTGCTGCGCCAATTAGAAGACAGACACGACGGCCTAGGCGGTCGACGATCTGAGCGCTGATAATGGTACCGATGATTCCGATCGTGTTGATACCCCCAGCCAGCCCATTCTGCGTAAGCTGGGTGTATCCGGCTTGTTTTAAAAGCACAGGAGAATATGCAGTGACGGCCTATAATCGACCTGGTTAGCTTCAAGAAAAGAAAATCCCGTAAAATAGACTCACAGTAATACCCGTCCAGGAAGCCATAATTTGTAGCCAGACGCATAGCCAAGCTCGTCTTCCTAAATTCGGATGTATCTTTCCACCCTTGCCGATCAAGATCTCTGCAAATTGGATAGAATGACCCTTACTTTCCTCTGCCAATGTGACGATTTCAAAGAATTCCTGATCAATTTCATCTTTGGTAGCTCGGTGCTGACGAAGTTTTTCCAATAGCTCACGCGCCTCTGCCTTGCGACCCACTGAAGCGAGGTATCGGGGACTATCCGGTAGCATCTTGATGCAACAGACAAGGAAAAGGGCCGGAAGGCATTGGAAGGCAAGCAAAAATCGCCATCGCACCTCCGAGTATCCGTTGTCGACGAAGGCGAGACCGAAAGAGATCCAGTATGCGACTGAGATGCCGAGGTCTAGAAAGTGTAAGAGAAACATCTATTAAAACCTCAAAATGAACATTCAAGGGTCTTCTTACAATTGGCAATGAAAACGTAACCTAAAAATCCTCCACGGTGATCTGCCGAAGAGGTTTCGGACACCAAGACAGGGGTGATACCGGTCAAAGCTATATCACCGTGAGTTGGTGCAGGTTGGAAGTTTCGATCCTTTACTCACCTCCGGTGCCAATGCCCGTAACCACTCGAGCACAAATCATAAAGTTCGAGTTCTGAGCAGCACTCTGTAGTGCACCGCCGATCAATGCAAATATCGCGCCCATCAGCATGCCGTTAATACGACCAATTCGATCAGCCAGGTATCCTCCTGCAAAGCAACCAAAGATAGCACCAAGGTAATAGACACTGACAATGCCACCCTGGTGCGTGGTGTCAGTCACGGTGCCATCAGGCGTACCAATGCCGACCTCTGTGACGTATTTGGGCGAAGCATTGACACCACCCATGACTCCCTGATCATATCCCTCGAAGAAGATGGATACGAGGGAGAAAACTTGGATGGTGATATTCAACTGCCGCGGCGAAAGCCGCTTCCATAGCGTCGTATAGCCCATTTTCGTCGTTTCTCTGTCCCATTCCATTCATCGCAATTATCGGATGCTCGTAATTCTTTATATACATGGTGGGGCGTTCTCGGGCATTCGGGTCGGTAGTCGTTCTGGGGAAGTTCGGGGGTCGCTCTACCGGCATTTCTCATTTAGGCGTCTAAACGTTTAACAGTGCCCGCCAAAGTCATCATTGCCTGAGCTTTTACAGCTGAGTCATCGTTCGGATTTATCGGATGCTCGCGTCTCTTGATTTAAGGTGGAGTGCCCCGGACGATCGGCCTGCGGCTTATCCTGGAGAAATGCAAGATGGCTCCACCCCGGCATTTGTTATTCAAGCGTTTAGCCGGTTAACAACTTTGCACACGCTCACTTGTGGAACGGTGACATAATAATAAGCGTTTTGCCGATTACCCGTTTAGCCGCCTCACAACATCCAGCACTCTTCGTGGTTCGGCTAACCGGATGTAGAATGCGGTACTCCAGCGTATGTTAACCATTCAGCCGGCGATTGGACTTTGGTTTCCAATAAGTACGGCCGAGTTCTCGCTCACGTCTCTCCATAGACACTCCTGGTATCGACGTCAAATTTCCCATATAGAGCAAACTATGGGTTCCACTACGGTCAACGGCACTGGCGGCCATGCCTTGGACCTAACCGTTCTTGGTCTGAACAGCGGAACGTCAATGGTGAGTATTCTTGGTTGGTTTTCATACGAAGAGCAAACTAACAGTGAATGTAGGATGGGATCGACTGTGCTCTTTGCCACTTCCGACAGGAGACTCCCGAGTCACCGATGCACTTTGAGTTGCTGAAGGTAAGTATTCTCGTCAGAATCGTGTAACACAACTGACACCGGAAATAGTATGGAGAGATTCCTCTGGAGCCGGTCATCAAGAAGCGGATCATGAATATGATTCTGCGCAACCACACTTCCCCGTCCGAATTATCGGAAGTAAATGTCATCCTCGGTGAGACGTTTGCGTCTGCAGTGCACGAATTTTGCAAGGAGTACCACGTTGACATCGGTTCAATTGATGTTCTGGGCTCCCACGGCCAAACGATCTGGCTGCTCTCTATGCCTGAGCCTGGAGAGACCCGCAGCGCATTGACGATGGCGGAAGGATCATTCCTGGCCTCGCGCACCGGCATTACCTCAGTGACCGACTTCCGAGTGAGCGATCAAGCTGCCGGCCGTCAGGGCGCGCCACTGATTGCCTTTTTCGACGCCCTTGTATTACACCACCCGACAAAGTTACGTGCCTGCCAGAATATCGGCGGTATCGCGAACGTGTGCTTTATCCCTCCCGATACCCACGGTGGTGTAGACGAATGCTACGACTTTGACACCGGGCCAGGCAATGTTTTCATCGATGCAGTTGTGCGTCATTACACAAACGGAGAGCGTGAGTACGACAAGGACGGCGAGATGGGTGCACGTGGTACAGTCGATCAAGAGCTCGTCGACGATTTCCTTCGCCACAAGTACTTCGCCCTTGATCCACCAAAGACAACTGGCCGCGAGGTTTTCCGTGATACGCTCGCGCATGAGCTCATTGCCAAGGCTGAAGCGAAAGGACTTAGTCCTGACGATGTCGTCGCCACCATCACTCGCGTCACCGCACAAGCTATCGTGGATCACTACCGTCGCTATGCCCCCAAAGACCTAGAGATCGCAGAAATCTTTATGTGCGGTGGCGGCGCGTATAACCCTAATATTACCGCATACATCCAAAAGCACTATCCAAACACCCGCATCATGATGCTTGATGAGGCCGGTATTCCAGCTGGAGCCAAGGAGGCTATCACCTTCGCGTGGCAGGGTATGGAGGCCATCGTGGGTCGTTCTATTCCTGTTCCCACGCGCGTCGAGAACCGTCAAGAATATGTGCTCGGAAAGGTGTCTCCTGGTAAGAACTACCGCAAGGTCCTCCGCCAAGGTATGCAGTTTGGTGCTGGCCACGACCATCTCTCACCGGTGAAAGAGCTGGTCAACTATGTCGATGGCAAGGTGTTCGACAACAAGTGGCAATAATGGTCTCTTGAGGAATACTTACCTGAGTCACTTGAACTCTCTTGCATGGGATGGTGTAAATAGACCATATTTCGTTGTATAGATAGACGCTGGAAATGAAATTCAGGAAAATTGTACAAGTATTATCGAGGTCGATCTCGAGAGACAATATTCATCCTATGGAATCTGAACAACCTTTTTTCAACCATCGCCTGTCTGGTTAGCCGGAACTCAAACTGGATCAATAGGGTACTGTAGAGCCAACCCCACGTCGCTCCACTGACTTAGTATCAATGGTCGGCTCCATCGGGCCGGGGTTAGGTTCTGCAACTTGTACCCGAAACTTCCTTTCAGACACTCTGAACCACTGACCATGAGTGAGCATTCGCAAACATTGGCGAGTACAAGCGATTTTTGTCCAGGTCTCCATCATCCTATCACTTTTTTGCTGTAGGACTTCTCATCGTCAACTTCAGTCCTTCCCAGTTGCTTGACAGCATCCCCGTTGCCACGCCTTCACAGCTTCTCCCCGCACCTCGCCTCGCCGAGGGCGGAAAACGCCTAAACTCTCTCGCTTGCGATACCGAGCCCGACAAGATTTGGGACGAGTAAACATAAAAATGCCACAAAGACCACGAAAGCTTCAACGTATTTCTAAAGCCTGTAAGTCATCCGATATTCGAGGCGGAGTTGACTATTTGGCTTGTCTGGCGGCGTGATGCAGCTGAGTGAGTGGTCCTGAAGTCGGTCAGTAACCAATCACTCCTCTAGGTGACTTTTGCAATCGACGCAGCATTAAATGCGGCAAGGGTGACTTCCCCCTAGGCCGGTGCCGGAATTGCGTGGACTTTGACCTGCCGTGTACATTTGATCGCCCGGCAAAGCGCCGTAACACCAGGCGCAGCACCTTGACTGACAGCCAAGTTCCGAAAGCCTATCCGGAGATTACATCTGTGGCAGTTGGAGCAACATCCGGCTCTTCTATTCCTCGACGCTCACACTTTCCTGCCTTGGCTCCGCGACAGCCAGTGTCTATTGGAACCCAGTCCATTCTGGGCTCCTGTTCGCCAGCGAATGATTACGATGATGACCGAGAAGAATCCGGTATACGACCTTCATGGACAGCTTTTGCAATTAGCTGTGACCAACAGATCCAGAACCTTGTTCAGGTGTATTTCGAGATCGTTTATCCGATGTAAGATTGGAGACCTTTCGTCCCTGATAAACTGTTGACGACGTGATAGATTCCCTTTGTTTCATCGGCCGTCTTTCATCGAGGCGATCAAAAGCCAGAACCATCTCCGAGACCAAGGTCTCTTTGCTTCAACGATGGCTGCATGTGCTCTCGTATCCGGTCGAGTGCGTGACGGAGCATTGTGCTCCAAACGCTGGGACCGGAAAGAACTTATGGAACCGCCTTCAGAAGTTTACTTTGCAATGGCCCAAAACTCCATACCCGATGAAGTGGTCGCTGCTAAAGGTATAAATTATATGCGGGCGTGCGCCTTGCTAGCTATTACCAGTATTCAAAATGGTCAGATCAGGAATATGCAGAAATTCTCAGGGTTATATCATACCTTGACTTCTATGAATGGACTCTATGATGAGAAGCTCTGGCCAAAAAGCTTGAACACTATCGAAATTGAAGAGCGCAGAAGATTGGTAATGACGACCCCAAGGTGTCTTTGGTTGGTTTACTTCATTCTGACTAACTGTAATGGAAGTTCTGGTCGATCTACACACTGGATATTTATTCCACAATTGTGTGGGGCGGCGTTATTCGATATCGCGAGGCCCATTCGCTTGTGCGCTACCCCAGCGAACTCGACGACGAGCTTATCACGTCTCATTCTTATGGTGTACCGTCCACATCGCTAGGACCAAGCTGTGATAACAACGATTTTTCCTGGCTCCGAGGCTGGAACTTTACCACGGATCTCTACCGTGTTCTTGAGCATATAATCAATAGCAATCGACGCCGGCTGTATCCGGCCGAGAGAGACCCAGTGTCACCCCTCTTTGGTCCGGCACCTGTATGTGAATTGGTGATCATGGAACATGTCCTCTCTATGTACTCCGCACTACAGTCACGATTCCGAGAAACACCTCCAATCACCGGCGATATGACCAAAGATCTCTTTGGCTTCCAATCGGCCAACATCCATGCAACGATGCAACTTCTCCGGATGGTCTTATTATCTACCGAACGGGCCGGGGTGGATCGAAGATGTGATGTCGCCGAAGAGATGCTTAAGGTGTTCTCAAAAATGCCCTTAGAATACCTCAAAACGATCAATTTGCCTCTGGTGGGTTTTTCTTTTTCTTTTCCATAGGCGAAGTGAATTCCGCTGATGACTTGCAGCTCCATCACATCGGCGGCATCGGCTCTATCTTGGGCTCCGTTATGGAAGACAACTTGTCTGAGACTTCCTACCAACGGGCCCGTGCCCTAGTGTAAGTCCCGTTGACTTCGCCATCATTCAAGCCCTCTCGTACTATACTAACTTTTTGGGAAGCCTTAAAACAGCAGATTTCCTTGACCGTCTCGAAACGAGCCTACATCGCGCCTCGGGAGCTAGTGAATGCCTCCGGTACCAGGTCGGCCGCATTGACGGATTCATAGGAACATCACGGGAGCTCAATCTGCATACTACTCCAGTGTCTTCAGGCAACGCCGATGTGTGCTTAGGTACAAATACACAACCTTCAGTGTCGACAACCAATGCCCATGGTGGTCCGAATACCGCCTTCGAACCGTCGTCGGCTCTGGAGGACCAGATGTCGCTGTTTCAGGTGCCTTTAGAGCTGCTGATGGATTGGCCTTTTCCGCTGGATACCTCGAGTTCCGAGGAGTTTCCGTCTCTGGCGTTTCAGTAATTTGGGTGGTTGGCTGTCAGTAACCAGCTCTGAGGTTGATACAATGTCAAACATTTAGCGCCGTTTCATGTCCCAGGGGAGGATTCGAAGCATATCTAGGGTCATGCTGCCTCAGGTAATCTCTCCTACTTTCTACGTACACCGAAGCGCTGCTTTCGAGCAAGATCCGTCAACTGAGGAATCAGACACCTTCCTGTAAGGAGATAAACTTGAAACACTGCCTGATGGCTCCTGTGATTGGTTACTTATGGAAGTTTGGATATTTATTCCGAGCGGACCATCGGCACCCATGTTGGCGCGTAACGTGAGAGACTTGACTTTATATATAGAAAAATGAGCTAGAATTTCCACCTTTCGTCAATATCCACGATTAAGTAACTGCGTGCGTATTGGCGGGCTTGGCAGGGCTGCCGGTCAAATACTTTTGGCCGCTGTACCTGGATTGGCCCCCTCGTCGATCAATCATCGAGAAATCCGCGACAAAATACCAGGACACGTTTCTTAGTCAACAACCCTAGTCCATACGAGATAACTATACCATCGACAATGAGTTCCCTATTCCAAACTTCCAGTGAACCGACACAGAAGCGCCGAAGATCCGGAAAGGCACATTCAGCTGCTGGGAATGTAAAAATCGTAAGATTCGATGCCAGTTCGCCCCGCCTTAGGCAACAGTCTGTGCCTCTTGCCAGCGCAAGGGTCTCTCGTGCATCAGCCATGAGTACGCTAGCTCTCAAGACGCAGCCTATCAAGCCGTGGAACGGCGCAATGACCACTTTGAGGGTCTGGTGGCGCAGCTGCTACAAAACCAAAGAGCCCATTCACCATCCCAAAGATCATCATTTACCCCTGAAAGTGGACAAGGATTTGTTTGTCGATACCATAGACCCCAGGGTGATACACCTTCCCAAATCAGACAATGATACCGCTCTCCAGAGTGGTCCAATATCATCCGGCTCCCTGAGCTATATTCAGTCATTACTTCCGTCTGCTGCCATTATCAAGCAGATTCTGGATCGCAACCCGCTTTGTGTTCAACCATTTTATTTGTTGGTCTGCTCAACTGCACCTGCCCAGGTCGAACACCGGACTTCATCAGAGTCTAGTCAGCCAGTGCACGTCGCACAGAGGATCATCTAAATTGCCCTATGTTTACATTAACCGATACAGGATGTTCCAGAACTCCGATTCGATCAGCCTAATCACCAGGTGGCACAATATTTTGTCAGCGTCGTGTCTCACTATGTTACTTCCCATGATTTACTCCTCGACTCTCTCGATGGCTTGGAGACTCTCCTTCTGGAGGCTCGTTATAATATCCACGTAGGCAATCTCCGGGATGCCTAGTCTCTCTTCCATCTAGTGTTAGGGATCGCCGGCTTACTGGGTCTCTTCGGCGTTGATGGAAGCACAGCTAGATCGAGGTCGCGGAAGGTAAAGAATTATTGAAAGTGAGAAACGGTATTTCTTCCCGGGGCATTGCGCTCCATAACTATTCAGCTTTGGCCAAAAGCTAGCCTCTGTGACCCCTCCAGCAAGGAACCCAAGGACGAGGAAAGTTGTGGAAATAAGCCGATCCGGAGGATCTACGGTCTACATTTAGGCCTCCAGCTTCAGCTCCTAATTATACCCTAGGTCTGGCTTAACCACCAAATGCAAAATAATAATAAGGATATGCCATGGCCCACTGTCATTTACAGGGAGGCTTGCGTCTCGCGCACTAATTTCTGGATGGATGATCTGATCGACATTCTCATGAGCCTGGATCACCAGAAAAGGTCAAATAGTGAGCCAAGTTTACGTTTAACATAAGCTCAATATACTTATTGCTGACCACAGGGGCTAGTAATCAAAGCCAGTTACAAATATTTTCCAGGGTATCCATAGGGCTGAAAAGGCTCGAGGGTAGGTATCTCATCAAGGGTCCCAGTAAACGCCAAGGCCTTTCTCAGCTCCTCACTTCGCAGCCACACTTAGCACCTCTCGTATGTACGGGCCACTTAAACAATCAGGACAACCATAGCAATTAACCCGCCCATTCATAGACTACCCGCGAAGGTCCATGACAGATGGTAATTTATGAAGGGGCCGCTTATCCATCCAAGGTGGGCTATCCCTGTCCGTAGGCTTCTGCCGTGCGTAGCTACGAGACACGTTGGAGGGGCTATGTTTCCAAGGATTGAGGGGCTTAGCTGACCCCACACCCCCTGTCGCGGCTAATCCCCTAGGGCTGTTCACCAGTTACAAACATATCGAGGCGGATCTCACGCACAGCGAACGGCACGCCTAAGAACACATGTAACTTTTATATTTAACCACCTCAATCGCCACACTTTCTCCTTGGTAGTGACGTAACGACAACAGAGTACTTCTTCTATCCTTTACAATTAGCCCTTAAAATGCGTGGGTTTCTGGTTACAATTGGCCTCTTCGCCGCTGCTATTGCGGCAAAAAGCTCGAACTGCGCAGATGGCCTATATATGATCGTTGCCAGGGGCAGCGGCGAACCCGCGGCTGCCAGTCCAAAGGGACTCTTTCCCAAGAACTCCGCATCTGCTGGGTATCTAGCACAGCTTATTGCAGCGCAAATCAATGGCTCGGAGATTATGGGCGTGGAGTACCCTGCAACTGAGGATAATCCCCCCTATCAGCAGTCAGAGAGCGACGGGGCAACTGCTATGCTGCAGCTAGTGAATGAGTACCATTCGTCATGCCCAGACTCAAAAATGGCCCTCTTGGGCTACTCTCAGGTACGTGGCAAGAAGATTCCGTGAGTTGCTGATGAAGATGCTCACCCGCTGGTTGTCAGGGTGCCCAAGTAGTCTCTGATGTCGTTTGTGGTGGCCTTGGTGGCATTTTTAACCATGATGCACCATTATCACCAGAACTAGTCAAGAACAGCAGTAAGTATCCCTGGCGTTGTCGACGATTTGCTGAAGCTGACCCAACTGCAGTTGTTGCGATCGTCCTGTGGGGCGACCCGACGCACATTGCTAACACAACATACGATCGCGGCACAAGCGTTCACGACGGTGTAAGTAATAACGCCGTGGTCACATCTCTCGTTGCCATTTGTCTAAGACTTCTCAACTAGATATTCCCGCGAAAGAACAACACTGTGTGCAAGCAGTACAGCGATCGTATGGCATCTTGGTGCGACAAGGGTGACCAATATTGCGACGCAGGCAAGAACGAAGCAGTCCATGGGAACTACCTTCCGAAATATAACAGAACTATGGTGCATTATGTGGTTGAAAGATGGCAAAATTCGACGGTGTCCTCCACCACGGCCACGTCCACAGGGTCAACCACAAGCTCGGCAACCAGCCGTCCGTTTACTGGCGCGGCTTCAGGGCTGACTGCGGGCCAAAGCTTATACCTAGGATGGCTTCTGATGTTGCTCTCCTGTGGATTATTCTTTGGTTGAGAAATGCTAAGGCAATGGCTAATACTAGTGTGAGGATTTTGGTGCATAATCTATGCATTTATCTAGAGTTTCCAATTCAACATGGAAGCACTCTTTCTACCGTCCTTTCTGCCATCTCTGATCGCTTCTTTTCTCTCTGAATTTCTGCTATATCTCTCACTTTACCTGTCAAATTAATATTGCAATACAGGTAAATTATATCCCGTAATAGTGTAAAACGTAGCTAATAGGAGAGATACGTGAAATTCGATTATACACCTAGGACTACGGATAAAGGAGTGGAAGCTTCTGCTTGCACGACAGTAGAGTAGCCGTCCTACTTATTTGAATTTCCTTTGTCGGCTCCACTAAATATCTAATAGATAGTGGCATCCTTTTAGTGCCAAGGTTGACGTAGGCCACGGTGCAACACCCTAGGAAACACCGTATCTTCCTGAACTTGGTTGCATCTTCTATAAGAACCCTACTTCCATATTATTACGCTTATAGGTTAATCTAGCTTTCTCAAATCCTCGACGCAAAAATGAAAGGATTTCGAGTGGTCTTCATCATACTCATTCCTCTGGTGTGTCTCGGCTTCATTGGTAATTTCGTTGCTGCCGATACAGTGCTGAAAGGTGAGGTGAAAGAAAAGGGCCAAGAGAAAACGAAGCCGTTAGACGGTAGAGCATTGAAATATTCGAGCCCAAAGGGAAATCCCGAGAAACAGACTGAGGTTTAATGATTAGCAAGCTACGTCAAGTATCCAAGATTGAAGCTACACCGGAACCTGAAATGGGCTCACAGGCGTCGCTTTCTATCCCCATACCGTTCCTTTCGTTTCCGGAGCTCGTTCATAGTTCCGTTATCAGAATACGCTTCAACTGACCCTCGGTCCGGCGACGCTAAAGTGGCGCTCGCCCTAATTTCGCCCGTCTTTCTCCCCTGAAGCAGAATATATTCTATTGTCTTCACGAGTTCAGTACATACGACCATAGGGTGTGGAGAACAGGGCTTCCCGTCCGCTCAGCCGTACTTAAGCCACACGCCGGCAGGTTAGTAGTTGGGTGGGTGACCACCAGCGAATCCCCGCTGTTGTATGTTTTTGTTTTTTTGTCTTCTTTTGCTTCAAAGCGAAGGCCTCTGCGATGGACCTCCGAACTGGCGAATAGGAAAAATGACTTCAAAAATTTTGCGCTTAAGCCCGACAGATTGTCAATTGCTGCACTGCAAGATCAACGAGACTTGATCTTGTACCGAGATTATCCTCCTCGGGATAATTTAGGTCCTCTACCTTCTGGTGATCCGCTACTTGCTGTCGGAATTACGTGGTTGACACTGTGGCGTTATGGGATGATCTTGGCAGATGAGCATGGAAGCAGGGTACCGCCTCCAACCCCAAACCCACAAGCATCTCGTCCTTTTCGCAAAAATTCCATGTGGCTTCCGATCCATCAGAGTAGCAGCTCTCGTCCTACGCGGAATACGACCTCGTAGACAGACCGTATGATAGTCTTCGAGAAACCAAGTGACAGGAAAAACTAACCTCACCGCCAGATCTTAAACTACCCGCCTCACTCTCACCATTCAAGTGAAACCCCGTTTCGACCTCGGCATTGAATCCTAGAACGAAATAATTTTCGTAATTATCAGAGCTGCGGATAATCCGCAGAGACAAACATGCATTATCTATTGGGACCCCGTCGAAGATGGATTTAACCGTGGAGATATACTGCTTCTTCGGCATGAAGCCGGCCGGCTACAGCCCGTTCATTCTCACCAGTTATCTGCCAAATTCATCCATCCACGACAGGTATCAGCCTCGGGCTCTTGCTCCAAACAACTTGGTCCAGGTGACAGAGTTTATTGGAAACCGATCTTTTTTCTACCTCTTTTGGCTCCTTTACCAATCGCCAGTCCTGTGAATTATTTTGGAAAGGGGGACAGATAAATTTGTGGGGCTGGGGGACATTAGCAGGATACAATGGTAGTCAACTTATTCCAAGATCTCCTGCGATTGTCCTTCCCAGCGGATCGCATCAGTCATTGAGCTTCACCGACGAGGAGAGTGACCTCGAGGACGAAGTGATCTTATGGCCGCCTTCACCAAGACCTCTTTCACCTTCTGCTCGAGAAAATGGCGCACCGACTTTTAGTATGACCATAGCCGGTCCTGATACAATATCAATGTCAGATCGTACACTCAGTGAGAAGCTTCACTATCCCGTCACTATCACCATCTCATACGATGCAGCTCCTGGACCTTCTGATGAAAAGACCTATTACATTTCACACGTCCGTCTTCAAAAATATCGATCGCCACTACGATGGATTCAGGCTCTTACGTTAAGAACGGTGATGAATGAAATCCTCATGAAGTCAACTCTATCCTCATGTACCATGCCTATAGATTCTCTACGCCCGAGCCGCTAAATGTTGGTCGTAACGATCGAAATCAATAACCCCTTAAGGTCTTGAGGCCCGGCGAGTCATGGTCATTTACGCGGGAGGTGAGTGATTTCCCGAAGAATGCAGCGCCCGGCCATCAATTTCGGTATCAATTCAAGGGAGCTTCACCTGGGTGGTGGGATTGGGGTAATTCACAAGATCATGAAAACACTGTAGCGTGGGTCGTCGAGGATAAGCTTAACGACCCAAAAGATAACGGAGGCCGGCCTGCAATTATTGTTCTCGGTAGTAACTGGATCCAGTTTAAGTTGGTTACTTAAAAAGGGCTATTGCGCAAACTTCGAAGAGAACGAAGGTAAAACGTGCTTCCCTCGTTCAAATAGCGATTGCCGGCGTGGAGGCTCCGAAGTCACGTCGTGGTCATACATCACACTGCCCAGCCAAGGGACGGCTTGTTTTGACTGTGCTACCCAGGCAAATAATCAATCCATGTTATTGGAACTCGGGATTCACAGACATATGTCGGTAGTAGCTCGTCATATTGGCCATCTTCTCTCCATTGAGCCAATGCGAGAAAGCTGAGTTGATCGGACTGCAGCTTGTCCGTGGCGCAATCCCGGGCAGGCCTAGGAGAGTACAAAATGGCCCGCGTGCGACACGACGTTGCTAGGAGGGGGGCATAATCTGAGTTTCCATCCCATGGTTCGACCATCTGAGTTTGATAGACATTTATTAAAAACTACCCCTTCCCTGGGAGCGCTCCCCTAGGCTTGAGGCCCATCATAGCCAGCTCATGTCATCTCGAAGCAAAAAGGCCGTTAATAATGACATTGAACAAGGAGTAGTAGCGAGGATAGCTTCATCGGGTGATGTAATTGCCCATCAATATTAATAGAAGGTGTCAATTCCCACCAGCAAAGCCTCTCATCATATGCTTTACTTCTGAGCCCTAGAGACGCTCCCAAGTTCAAAAGATAAAAAGCAAAAAACATACAACAGCAGGGATTCGCTGGTGGTCACCCACCCAACTACTAACCTGCCGGCGTGTGGCTTAAGTACGGCTGAGCGGACGGGAAGCCCTGTTCTCCACACCCTATGGTCGTATGTACGGGATTTATGAGGACAATAGAATACATTCTGCTTCAAATGAGAAATAGGGTGAGAACCGGGTGCGAAGACCTCACGGGCCACTCAGCCAGCTTATGATAAACAATCAATCACATTACATTCCAAGAATTCCCGACCTCTTGGAAGCTTTTAAGCGGAACCGGGCCACAATATCACAAATTATTGCGAAGTAATGTAACACGCCTCCGAAATATGGTGCAAATATCCTCGTAAACCTCAAGATACCCATCACCTGTGACGCTGGAAGCAACAGCGGTATTCCCCGAGATCGACAGGCCCATCGACGTAGCTAGGCTACATAATTCCCCTGCATATGGCTAAAATATTAGGGTTTTTTGTTATTAAATCCACCTATGCTATTGCTCTTTTAATTACTCTCGTGAGTTTTTCTTTATTGATCTTTTACATCCTTCATTTTAATCCACCTACTGAACTAGCACCTTGGAGGAACTCTCTGGTCTCGAATCTAAGCTTAGTGACCCTAGTATGTACAGAAAATTCGTCGAAATCTTTATAGGCGCTTCAGTATTTCTCTTCGCCGCTGCTGAGCTAGAACTGGGCACATATATCGGTGATCAGTACCCGATAGCGAATGGGCTGATATGCGTTGTTCTGTGTTTAATATACAGTAATTGCACATGATACGCATCAGCCTGAGAGGTCACGCAAGTAAAGTTGTATAATATAGCCCGAAAGCATGGAGCATCAATGGCTTATATTTACGCTTGCGCCTTTTCACATGCACCGGGGACCACGCCAAAATGAGCAAGCCGCTTATATCCCTTTAGACTGGAGATGGTGCGGTCGGCTATCGGACGCTAGGGGAGGACAACTCCGCGCGATTTTAATCCTTTAAATCCCTAGGATCCACTGGCTTGCCAGCTCCACACATCATTGGCTATTATCTAAACCCCAAACACCTCATCGCATACCAGATTGGGTTAGACAGCAGCCAATACGGAACCGATTATCGCCGATCAAGCCAAGATGCGGGCATGTGCGCAAGAGTAAGCCTGCAGGTGGCCGCGGAGTATGCTGACAGCCTCGCCTAGGACAAGAGGGTGAAATGAGTGATGTCTCAAGCTAGTGAATGACACTTGAGTTCTTTTGCAGATAGTCGAAATTAGATTCCACGGGACGGGAAGTATCGCGAATAGTCTAAAAGTACAGACATGTGACTAGAGTGGGGTCTGTCTCGGCGTGCATATCTAGTTCCATAGACTACTTTGTTAGCGAGACATCTGTGCGATATGAAAACCTGATTCGTTGACGAATCTCCTCGGCGTACTGTGAGGCTGAGTCGAAAAATGAAAATGTGATTGGAAATTGGGGAAATACACCGAAAAGACAGACTGAACGGTCCCTCCCTTTTGTTTCGCTCTCTTCGCCAGGGTATCCCACTAATCTCTGTAACTTTTCATGATGAACTTAATCTTGCTTCTTAGTTTGACGTTGGGGGTAGCAGCTCTATATGCCGTTCTTGACTCAAGGCGTAGACGGGCCGCCCGTGGGCCGCTTCCACCAGGACCCTCTCCGATGCCTATCGTTGGTAACATCAAGGACCTCCCACAAAATGGCAAGCAGGATTGGGTGCACTGGTTGAAGCACAAGGAACTCTATGGTGAGTCTGTCAAAGCGGAGCAGTCACCATAGACAAAGTCACACGTCCCCTATGGTTGCAAATTTGACTCGCTGATCCGCATACAGGCCCAATCAGTTCCATCACAGTAATGGGACAAACCATCGTCATTGTAAACGATTCGAAGATTGCAACTGAGCTGCTTACAAAACGGTCTGCAATCCATTCCTCACGACCCAGAATGACGTTTGCGTCAGAGATGTGAGCTAGAATCCACGGATTTCAGAAACCAGACAGTTATTAAATTCTCACTATCACTAGGGTGGGGTGGGAAAAGGCACTCGCATTCCAAGGTTAAACTGAGCGATTCCGTGCCTATCGCAAAGCCATCCAGCCAAGCTTCGGCTCGGAGTGGGGTGTTGCTCAATTCATTCCCTTGCAAGAAGTTGAAACCCGCCGCTTTCTCTTCCGGGTTCTTAAAGAACCTGCGAATCTGTTGCAGCATATTCAAACGTGAGACGCGCATTCATATGTTTGGAGAGGTAATATCTCTAATTTGGTTCAACAGTGAGGCAGGAGCCGTGATTCTTAATGTTGCCTATGGCTACAGAGTCGAGCCTTTCGGGAAGGACCATCTGGTCCATATCGCCAATGAGGCAATGGACGAGTTTGCGAAAGCTACGGTCCCAGGTGCTTGGGTGGTGGATATAATACCCGCATGTATACCCTCCTGACTCCTTATCATCATTGACAATCCTGGCTAATCAAGGCAGTGAAATATGTCCCCACCTGGTTCCCAGGGGCTGGCTGGAAGCGTACCGCCAATCTCTGGAGAGAGCACATGTCTGTTATCGCCGACAGACCATATGAGTTTGTCAAGGGACAAATCGAGAGTGGTAAGGATAAGCCATCCTATCTCGGCGCGATGCTCCAGGCTGGGTTCCCAGAAGAAGGATCAGAGAAAGAGCTAGTTGCGAAATGGAGTGCTGCGTCTCTCTACACTGGCGGCGCAGACACAGTAAGTTATCTGCCTGTTTTCAGCTCAAGACTACTAATCTATTTAGACCGTCTCTTCTATCAGCTGCTTTTTCCTCGCCATGTCACTCTTCCCAGACATCCAGCGCAAAGCACAGGAGGAAATCGAAAGTGTGGTTGGACACAACCGACTTCCAAACGTGGCGGATCGTGCAAATCTTCCTTATATCAATGCCATGGTGAAAGAGGTCCTTCGTTGGCACCCAGTTGCGCCTATGGGTATTCCACATATGTCAACAGCCGATGACACCTACGACAAGTATTTCATCCCCAAGGGATCCCTCGTTCTACCGAACATCTGGTATGATATTCACCATACTCGATCCCCCTTTTCTTTTTTTAATCTGACAATTAAAAAGGGCTATGATGCATGACCCCGAGGTCTATCGCAACCCAATGGAATTCCAACCGGCGCGCTTCCTCGGTGAAACCCCCGCGCCCGATCCTCACACCGTCGCTTTCGGATTCGGACGTCGTGTTTGTCCAGGTCGGTTTCTGGCTGATAACGCCGTCTTCTTGAGTGTGGCTCAGTCACTTGCCGTATTTGACATCAGCAAGGCTACGCGGGGAGGTGTGGAGGTGAAAACGCCGACATTTGAGCCCGGCGTTATTAGTCACCCTTCGCCGTTCCAGTGTGATATTAATGCGCGCAGTCAGGAGCTCGAAGCTCTTATTTTGTCTGTAGAGAAGGATCATCCTTGGGAAGAGAGCGATGCGGCAGAGTTGCAAAAGGTTGTTTGATGATATATTTTCCACGGTAATTAATATCGTGGGGAAAGAAAGATAATTTGATATAAAACAAGCATTCCAAACGCCATACCATTATTCTTATCTTTTATGTAGCAGATTCTAACCTATACACAAATCTTCATCTAGTCGCTGTCCAGAACAATAACCTCCGCCTCCACATCGCCAATACTCTCCACACTGAGCGTATCACCAGCATTGACACCTGTGATAAAAGCACCATCCCCTTCTTCCAAGATAGCATCCTCGCGACTGTCAAGTTTAATCTTCATCAGGCCGTTCTTGGTCATAGGAAGATGAATATAAACATTGCGCTTCTTCTTCGAGCTGATTACCTCTCCAGCACCAACATTCCACTTGAAAGTCGAGTTCGGCGCAATAATTCCAGCACCCATGACGAAGTCCGCATGGATGGGAATAGTATCTGGAATCTTGGGTATAGCAGCAGCTTCTTGTGCGGGGGTAGCCTCAGGCCCCGCCGCGAGAGGCGACAGGATAGGCACGAACGCCTTGCGCTTAGTCTCCTCACTAAAAGTCATAGTGTGATACTGAGGCTTGAGGCCGTGTTTCCAAGGTAGCGCCCATATCTGAAGAAAATGCACCGGCTTGCTAGACTCATTCTGTTCCGAATGAGCGATTCCTAGTCTTGTTAGCTTCATCCAATAATAGTTCAAACTAGAAAGAAAACTCACCAGTTCCACCAGTAGTGAATTGCACGTCACCGCGCTTCATACGATAAAATTCTTTCCCCTGGGCTCCCTCGGAGCCTTTTTTGATCATGCTGTCGCGGTGCGTAAGCTCGCCGTTAAGGATGTAACTGAAGATCTCGGCATCTCTGTGGGGATGAGTCGGGAAGCCATTCCGCGCTGCGACGCGGTCTTCGTTGAGGACTCGGAGACTTCCGAAGTTTTGGAAGCGGGGATCGTAGTAGCTAGCAAAGCTGAACGTGTGGAATGATTTGAGCCAGCCGCCGTGTTCGGCGTATCCGCGCTCGCTGGAGCGGCGGAGGGCGATCTTGGCGTGGCTGAGTGGCTTTGTCATGCTTATGGTGTTGTTCAAGGTCTTGTTATTTATTCTTGTGGCTCGGAAATGTGACGGGAGCCGAAAGTTGAAGTGTCTCAATTAAAATGATTTTCTTCAGATCGGAGGGAGATCAGGGGTTTATATAGGTGGCCCAGAGATCTGGAACGTAATAGAAAAGGCGTTGGGATTATGCGAAGATTATAGATGGATCATCAACGGGACACTAGTCCGGATACGGTATAGCATGCTGAGGCATTGCTGACTCTCTTTTTCTAATCCGTAACCTACGCGATGTGATTGGAGAATTTCCAGGTCGATACGAACGCGTGCATGTTTGAGCTCCTTTTTTAAGCATCAGTCATGCTGATCGATGTTCGCTCGATCTATGTACATGATTTTAAAAATCCATACTGAAGTAAGGCTGAAGTTAATCTTAGCCAGCTCCAGTCTTGACACCGCGGTGTCCACCAGTGATTAAGGATGGAAAGAGATTCAGTTAATTGAAACGTAAATTGGTGCTAGAATCTTTGCATTTTGATATGTTCTGATCCAGATCGGACAGGCTTAACCTCTGCACGATCCCCCGGAAATTCCAAGACTCACCCAACCGTAGCCAATCGGCTACGAACCGGCATATTCTCGTCCATTCCAGGCTTAGGGAATCCAGTAACATCGACACCCTTCCGGAACAGAAGACAATGCGTAGATCCACCAAAGTGGAACATACCAATCTCATCACCCTTCTTGACACGATCGCCTTCCTTAACAGTAATCTCACAGGTCGAGACCTCGGCCATACCGACGCCAATAAACGCCATAAGCCCAATAGCAGGTTCGTCCGCTTCAATAAAGATCAACGCACGCGTAGCAGTCGCCGTAATATACGCCTGTGAGATAACCTCACCTTCAAGGGTAATATCCTGGGATTTAGCCATTGGGTTGCCAACGCCTTCGAATAGCGGCTCGGAGTAATACGTTCCGTCAACCACGTGGGCCTTCACCACTTTTCCAGAAACAGGGGCGTGCCAACGGTGATAGCTCAACGCACTGAGGAAAGCCTGGTAAACCGTACCACCGACAAATTGCTCAGCGAGAGCGTCATGGCCCAGCATATCAAGAACAGAATAAGGCTGAGACTTGATCCAGAACTTATCACGACCATGGACGTTATGTGCGATTCTGTAGGGCTTCGACTCGCATGCATTAGCGATAACGCGACCGTCTTCTGGGTCCGCAACCGGGCGCATTCCATCGTGCCACTGGCGAGTAAAGAAGTGATCCCACGACTTGAAGCCGTATTTTGGTGCAGACGGGTCACATTGGAACATATGATGGAACTCGAGGCTCTCGGCGGCTGTTGGGCCGATCTTCGCGACGGCCATGAGGTCACGGTGGCCGACTTCACCGAACCAGCCACGAGAAGAGGTGTCCAGCACATCGGCAGAAGCAGGGGAGCGTAAGAAATCACCCCATGCATTAAGGACCTTCTTTAACATTGCGTTGATTTCTGGGTCCAGGAACGCCGCGTAGCCACTGGGCGTGCCCATCGGCCAATCCAAGAGTGCGTTAATAGGCAGGCCGACCAGGCCCACGCGGTGAGCTTTGTCGGTCCATGATGGTGCAGTAGTGAGTAGGTGATTGAGGACTTGGAGGAAGTGATAATAATCCCGGATCTCTGGATGACCGGTTGGGTCTTGTCGGTAAGGCTTTTTGTGTGGGACTTCCCTGAGCATGCCTTCGATGAGCATGTAGACTCGGGTGTTGGTTTCGATGAGATTTTTGAACTCTTGCAGTACTGGCTGCAGTTCCTGTTTCGTGTTGTCGACGTGTTTGATTACCCCACCTAGCCATTCGCGGTGAGCGGCGTGGTCTGGTGGCATCCACCCGCCGATTCTGATGGATGGTCAGAGGAATTCAGGCTTGGGAGAAAAGAGGGCACATACTTGTGGAGGTGGTGAGTGTTATCATTTTTGGTCGACATTTTTGATAATATTGTCGAAATTGAGTGGGAAACGTTTAAAGTTCTGAAATTCAAGGAGATCTGTGAGGTCCTCTGAAAAGAGTTAATGGTGTGCAACGAAGAAAGCTTGACACCGATAATCTTCTTGGCGGGGGATCTATATAGCCAATTGGACGCGTTGCGTCATTGTGACGCGGTTAAATAAAGTAGAACGAAACCACTTCGACCCCTCAGTGCTGATTACAGCCATTGGTTGTAAAAATAGAGGCTTTTTTTACGGACAAGCCACACTGATTCAAATCTTCAAATTTTCAACTCAATTGAATTGATGGCGGGGGATCCGGCCCAAAAAATTGAATCTCGCGGTGTGATATTTGATCAGACTACGCTACTATCAGAGTGAAAGGTCTATTGCTGTGAATTATTCGTGTTATGCTCATTGTTTTCGCTGAAATCTGGGGTTATCCGAACATCCGGGGATGATGTCATAGCAAGCTACAAACTTGATTTGTCACCTGACTTAACAGGTGTAGATTCAATCATGTTCGGCTGGGCCGGATCTCATGCTACCAATACAACGTTGTGGCATGTAGTGGTGATCCTAAATTTATGTAAGAAACGTCAAATACATTTGCTGCCAAAATAGACGTGGTGGTAGAGTGCGGGAATGAAGAGGATGAAGGGATTGTGTATAGAGTATGAGGGTCATTAGACTGTTCAAGCGTCTGTTTCATAAAAACTACCGGCTACGGGGTTTTAATTGGCATTGCATCACCACGTCGTTACTTGTTCTCTGCGGTGCCCGCGTTAAACTGAGCGTTCCTGATCCATTGGCCTAGACTTCGTGAGATACACTCCTGCACCTTTATACGCAAACCCGGCTATCCTCACCAATCTCATCGCGGCGCAAAATATTCCCAGACAGTTCGTGAATAGATCGATCTCATATATTATCAGACCCAAAAAACGTCTTTTAGGATGCGCAGGACTTTGCACTTTTTCATTTCTATCCATACTCTTCTTTTTGACTGTTGCTAATTCTTTTCGACTTTTCTCAAGACTCCGCTACTTCTCTACAGTAACTGCCGCAGGTAGATGGCTTTTATCAAGGTGAATTGGTTCGACAGGATGGATGGAACACCAAATCTCCAAGCAACTGCATGGAGACGAAACTCCCATTGTCGATCGCCTAGGTTTGAAAAGAGTCATTCGTTCTGCTTCAGACAGAGTCTGCAAGCAACCCGCATAGTAGCATGTATTTGTAACGAGTTTTCTCGGGTCAATTGAAGTCTACTACTCTTACTACTACTACTAATCGGTTTGACATATCTTGGTCATTTCCCTACATATGTATGCAGTCTTGAGGATTAAGCTTGCCATCTCAAGCAGGTTTGCTTTTGGATCATGTGGTAATCTCACATGCCGATTGAGATATATCGCGACAAATACTAGATTTAAGCAGGCTAACAACTTGGAAGGATCTTGCCCCTGTGAAATCGAGCCTTGGAAGAACACCATTTCAACTTTGAGTTTGCCAATGCACATTACCTTCTATTTCAATCTTGAACCAGTTGACAGCATAATTAGGCGATTTTTCGTCTATGACTGTATTCCATTGACCATCTGTGCAAGTCAACAACATGTAGTTGGCCTCGAGAGGAAACAACGGCCCTCGATTTGTGTCGCATTTTCATACCCTCCGACCAATCAGAGGTCATGCAGGAATTAGAATTGGGACCAAGGGAGGAAGGTTGACCGCCGATGAGATCGCCAGAAGATCGCTGGCTCCGCTGAGTTAGCGGAACCTTGGCATGATTTTTACCCTCAGCGGCAACGCTCATAAGAGAAGACAATCGAAGAGGCAAACACGTGAAATTTGACGAGATCTCAAACCTTGAATATAATTTGACAACATCTATCGGCAAGGTGACCCACAGGACATTCTGATTGCCCTCATAATGTGGTCTCTTTTATTAAGCCTGCCTGGCCCGGTAGCAAAGATATCCGCTCGTGATACCGTGATTTGTTCCCTATGAGGACTTCCACGCCATGGTCTCCTTCATTGATGTGATGGACTGCATAAGTGAAGCATAGGTTGCCTCTTTAGGGCACCAGTGGGCGCTGCGAACTTAGTCTTGCTGTAGCTGTCAAGTACAGTAAACATCACATCGATCATTATTTAATATTATTCGAAGCGAATGCAGTGGACACCCCGAGGATCTACCGACCGGGCGATCGCCCGGTCACCCAACGGGGAAATAGGGGTGCTCCATCTGCATTCTTAGTCTTGGCGAACCACCCACCGTCGGCGACCCAAAGGCAAGCTGGTCCTCTCTAAGTATCAAAATGTAGCCAAATAACCTCCATTTCTTCGATTGTATGTTTATAAAAAATTCGATGACTTCCCAGCTGAACCGAGACCCCCGGCTTGCCGTTGGGTTCACTCAGTGGGGCCGAGTGAAGGCATGCCGACTCGGCGTCGGAGAGAGCAGGGTCAGGACGGGACGTACTCGGGACCTTTTCGGTGTTATCAACCACCTCACCAACTATCGGCCCTGCGGTCTTTGACCGAAGCTGGCCACTGCTTTGCTAGGTGGCGCTCTGATTGCAGGCTACAATTCGCCCAAAATTCTCATGGTCCACAAAACTCATGCGGTTGAGGCTGGTTTCGTATCGGGCGATGTCCTAATTCGGGCAGGCGCAACAGCTCAAGATGACGATAGTGAACGGACGATATTTAGCCACCGAGTGCAATGGGCTTGGAAATGCTGGGGTAGGAGACACCTCAACCACGGAGGCAGCTGAGCTCGAGTCTATACAGTCCCTCGTGATGTATAAAGCCGAAGTAGAATGTATACGATGTACTATACGTGGTGTGAAATTTTACTTCTCAACCTCCACTTGAAATTCTTAATGCACCAAATGACACGACGAGAATCACGTTGAGGAGACTATGGAGCCGGACCAGACTATTGCCCATACTTTGAGGCCCGAGGCCCGGTTGTCCCGTAGTCCCCATACTTGCAAACCCGGTGTTTTGCGGATGATGATGGGCACTGGCACTTGTACCTAATTTATATGGGCGAGAGTTCTCTCATTCTCAAATTTCTGCTTCTCCGAAGCCTTTGTCTCTTTTTCTTTCTCCCCTTCCTCACTTCATCATATTATACCCACCATGAAGACGAAACAGCAACAACAGCCAGTCTCGGCTTCACATACTGAAAATACTACGGAAAACTCTATTGCTCACCAGGAGAGCTACCAGAAGGGGTGGATCATTGGCGGTAAATACCGTGAACAATTATACGAGGACGAACACAATCAGGAACTCTACAGCCAACTCCTCCAAGAGGTGGACTTTGACCTTCCTCTTACCGTGAGCACGCCGACCCAACATGATGGTAAAAACTTTGTTGTGTTGGAATTTGCCGAGGGCGACAAAGAGAACCCTTTCAACTGGAACCCAAAGTACAAGGCTTTCATCAGTCTATTGCTCTGTCTGATGACCTTGTTCATTGGTCTCGCCACAACTGCCTATAGTTCTGGTATCACACGGATGACGGAGGATCTTGGTGTCTCTTCTGAGTTGGGACAATTGGGTCTCTTCACCTTTAACTTCACTTGTGCCCTTGCACCTCTATTCCTGGCACCCTTCTGCGAGCTGGCTGGTCGAAGGGTTGTCTATGTCGGTGCTTATGTCTGCTTCGCTTTCATGTTCATCGGCCTGTCTCTGGGCAAGAACATCGCTACCATTCTTGTCTCTCGTTCCTTACTCGGACTGTTCGGTTGCGTCGGTACTATCCTTGTCGGCGGTACTTTCGGTGACATGTATACTCCGGCCCACCGTGCCATCCCTATGGCATCCTTCGCCTTCATTGCCATCTTCGGTACCGTCGCCGCTCCCATTTACGCTGGCTTCATCGACCAGGCTCTTGGTTGGCGTTGGGTTGAGGGTATCCAGGGCCTTGCCAACATCCCCCTTGTCATTGTGATTGCCATTTTCCTCTGTGAGACCCGTGGAGGTGTGACACTGAAGAAGCGCGCCAAGATGATCCGCCAGACGACCGGCGACGGGCGTTTTGTTACCCACAATGACCTCGAGGCCCCCGGTATCAGGATGATGCTTCACAACTCCTCCATCAAGGCCATCAAGATGCTGTTCACCGAGCCTGTCGTGTTTGCCTTTGGTCTCTGGATCAGCTTCGCTTGGTTCCTGACCTTCCTCTTCCTCTCCGTCATTCCCATTACCTACCGGGAGAAGAAAGGCTGGAGCGAGGGTGTGTCCGGTCTACCTTACATTGCTCTCTGTATCGGTACCACCATGGGCTTCGGTCTGAACTTCTTCCAAATCAAGAAGTACAAGTCCGTCATCAACGACCCGGGCCGGGAGTCCCGCCCTGAGGCTCGTCTTTACGGCGCGATGTGCGGCGCCGTCTGGCTTCCAGTCGGCCTTTTCATCTACTCCTTCACCCAGTACAAGGAACTGTTCTGGCTTGGTCCCATCGTCGGCCTGACTCTCATCGGCATTGGCATCTTTTTCATCTTCGAGTCGTGCTATAGTTACACAGCAGACTGCTACGGCGAAAACGCATCCTCTGCTATTGCCGGCCAGGGTTTCATGCGTAACACCCTCGGTGCCGTGTCACCGCTGTTCGCATCCCAGTTCTTCCACAACATGGGCAGCCAGTATGCCGGTCTGCTCCTGGCTCTTATTGCCACCCTCCTCACCCTTATTCCCTTCGTTCTGTTCAAGTATGGACCTGATCTGCGAGCTCGTTCTAGACTTGCAAGCACTGTTCTCAGTTCTCAGGCGTAAGGTTTCGCATGTTTAGAATGATCAGCACTGATTGAGTGTACGAAGCGATAGAACGAGTTTAGTACATATACCGAGTTTATCTCGGCGGCATACATCCCAATCGTATATAGCGATGAATGAAATAGACGTTGTTTTAACACAATTCAAGTTGCAACGATTTTCAAATGTGTTCAGAGTGTATTGCGGTAGACTGCCTCAGGTGTCAAGGAAATCAAAAAGGCGGTAAGTCGGTTAACCACGTGATCTCGTCACAAAACCTTCAACGCCGGCAAAATCAAAGCGGCCAGCCGCGCCTATTCCCGTCTGAGAAAATTTCCTCCGCAGACACCAACCAACCCATACCCAACCAATTTATTCCGCTGTCCACACGGCCGTGATCCTTTGCGTGAGCCATATCTCAAAAAGATCTGGTTTCTGAAAATCTCCAAAAATGGCCGAAGACGCTTCCGCTGGTAAGCACCTGCACCATCCCATCAATGAACCCAAGAACCATGCTAACATTTAATCCAGCCTGGCCCATCGCCGATGAGACCCTCGCCCAGTCCCTGCTCGATCTCGTCCAGCAGGCCAGCCACTACCGCCAGCTGAAGAAGGGAGCCAACGAGACCACCAAGACCCTCAACCGCGGAACCTCCGAGATCGTCATCCTGGCCGCCGACACCACCCCTCTGCCCATCATTCTGCACCTGCCCCTGCTGTGCGAGGACAAGAACGTCCCCTACGTCTACGTCCCCAGCAAGATGGCTCTGGGTCGTGCCACTGGTGTCTCCCGCCCCGTGATTGCTTGCAGCATCACCACCAACGAGGCTTCGGATCTGACTGCCACCATCCGCAACCTGAAGAACCAGGTTGAGCGCCTGATGATCTAAGCTCGAAGCTTGAGCGTGGAGTTTTATATCATGGAGCGGGGCGTTTGCTTGTCTGCGAAGTCAGGTAAAGAGTATTTACCGGCTCCACGGCTTGCTTCTGTCTCCGCAATTTGCTGGTGAAGTCTTTAGCTAGATTTTTTCAGTCCATGTGATGCAATATCAGAACTTTTGAGAATTTTTATCCTCGTAGATTTACCCAGGTCTTGGATCGAGGGGTTACGTAGCTTGGTCAATCTGCCGTGTTGTCTGTTCCTTAAACGGACGTACGGCGGGCGACCTTTGCAGATCTGCCTTTCGGAAAATTAGCTTCCAGAAGCTGGGAGTAATGGTGCACCGTGCGGTACTTGCGGGGAATTACAGTTTCGCTTGGAGAAATGTATGCCTCGCCGACAGATGTCCCGAGCAGCACAGCAGTGCCTTCAAACTTGTGCATTAAGCACTGACAACGGCCTAAACCGTGCATGGGCAATGCCATCCCACCAATAGATTCCGTCGGTTGAACGAATCTCCCTCGAGTGGACCACACTTCATACAATTGCCGAGCACTTGATAAATGAAGCTCCGAAATAGGTTACGGGCACTTGTTATAGAAAGATGGAGACGGGAGTTAGCGCCCGCAAAAGGAACGGGGACCGAACCCTAAGCCACCACTCCTAGGTTGCCCTTAGTGCCCGGGGTGGCCTGGCTGGGCCGATCAATCTAAGCCAGACGGCCGTTCGGCTCTTCTTTACTCCTCCAATCTCAGGCTTCTTCTGTTTTAGTTTACTGTCAATTTGCACTCCATCGGAGCTCTGATGGTTTGCCGATGTGGAGCGCTCTATGAGTTCGATTGTTTTCTCACACATGGTCTGACTGGGGTAGCGGACTAATCTACGGCGGTTTGAAATATAACTTGTGCCGCGTCCGTCCGTCCTGGTCTCCAGAGGCCTCTTCTATCTCTTCCATTCTTTCTTCCCTGGTGGGTACTATATACTTATTATTTTCTTGTCCTGGGTGTTGTGTAGTTCAACCATGTTCATCACTTCTCTCTTAGCAATCGGCCTGGCGCCATTGCTCGCAGCCGCCCAACTCTCCGGCAGGGTAGGCCCAACAACCCCCCACGCCACCAAAGCCGCCCATAAAACCTGCAGCGTCCTCGATTATGGCGGCAAGGCAGACAACACCACCGACATCGGCCCAGCCATCAGCTCCGCCTGGGACGCCTGCAAGTCCGGCGGTGTTGTCTATATCCCACCCGGCAACTATGCCCTCGAGACCTGGGTCTCTCTGACCGGCGGAACGAGCACCGCTATCTGCATGGATGGAATCATCTACCGTACTGGTACCGAAGGGGGAAACATGATCTTCATCGAGCACACATCTGACTTTGAGCTCTTCAGTTCGACCAGCAAAGGTGCGGTGCAGGGGTTTGGATATGTATTCCACCGGGAGGGATCGCTGACTGGACCTCGTATCTTGCGCCTGTATGAGGTTACGGACTTTTCGGTTCATGATCTTGCGCTTGTGGATTCGCCGTCTTTCCATTTCTCGATGGACACCTGTGAAAATGGCGAGGTTTATAATATGGCTATCCGGGGTGGTAACTCTGGTGGTTTGGATGGCATTGATGTTTGGTCGACCAATGTCTGGGTTCACGATGTGCGTTATCCAGGCTGGGTGTTTGAGGTAGTGTGCTGACCCCATACAGATCGAGGTTACCAACAAGGATGAGTGTGTGACTGTCAAGGGAAGTACTACATATCTCGATCTGGAAACAATCATCTAACTCTCCAAAGAGCCCATCGCAGAACATCCTCGTCGAGAGCATCTACTGCAACTGGAGCGGTGGCTGCGCTATGGGCTCGCTGGCGGCGGACACCAACATCTCGGACGTCACCTACCGCAACGTCTACACCTGGTCCTCGAACCAGATGTACATGGTCAAGAGCAATGGCGGCTCCGGCACCGTGTCCAACCTTCTCCTCCAGAACTTCATCGGTACATACCCTACCTCACCCCAAACTTAACAAACAACTAACTTACCCAGGCCACGGCAACGCCTACTCTCTCGACATCGACCAAGCCTGGAGTAGCATGGAGACCGCCGCCGGCAACGGCGTCCAACTCGACAACATCACAATCACAAACTGGAAAGGTACCGAAGCCGATGGCGCCCAGCGCGGCCCAATCAAAGTAAACTGCGCCAGCGGAGCCCCCTGCACCGACATCACGATCGAGGACTTCGCCATGTGGACCGAAGAGGGTGACTCCCAGTGGTACTCGTGCGAGAATGCGTATGGCTCCGGCGCTTGTCTGAAGGACGGTGACGATTATACCACGTACACGACCACCATGACTGTAACCGCTGCGCCATCGGGCTACTCGGCTCCCACGATGGCGTCGGATCTGTCGACTGCGTTTAGAACGGGTATGCCGATTCCGATCCCTGCGATCCCAACTTCGTTCTACCCCGGTGCGACTCCTTATAGTTCTCTGGCGGGTGCACAGTCTACTTCTGTGTAGATGGATCCGGATATCGCTCCGAGGTTGTTTGATGCTGTTGTGTGACGGATTTTGTATAGTTTGTTGATCAGCAGTATTTCCGGATGACGTCAAGTGGAATGAGGTGAGCTCTGCGGGGAGATACATTTGTTTATCTCTTCGGGGAAGATTAAATACTCCACAATGTACATGAGTATCCCTTCACATTATAAGCAGATCCCTCCCAGAACAGACCATATACCTAATCAGGATTAGCCTGTTAATTGTGGGGGAACCCTTACTAGATCCTGACGAAAGGACGACCGTCAATCACGCCATTAAAGGATCCCATGGACGCAAGCACGAAGCCGGGAATGCTACCACGAGAGAGTTCCCCGACCCTCACCACGAGCGCTGATTCGACCACGGCCCGCTGATGCAGATTCCAACACTGCTCGCGCAAGGGTCAAAGTCCCAGCCGGGGTTGCGGGCACCACGAGTCGTAACGTAGAACATAGAAACAAAACCGTCCCATCTCTTACTTGCTTCCATTCCCAAAAATCTCACCATGGCCGCCCCCAAACCATCAGGTCAAAGAGCAATCGAGGCACCGGTCCCAGTCCCGGCCGATGGCCCCGAAGCTCGATACCGGGCCAAGGCGGAAATCCTCAACCGCGCAATCCAGGAAATCGGCATGGGCCGGTACCAGTGGCAGTTATTCGTAGTGATCGGATTCGGATGGGCGAGCGATAATCTCTGGCCGATCGTGACATCCTTAATCCTCCCGCCGGTATCCTATGAGTTCGGAGTCTCGCGACCCCCACTACTCACGTTGGCGCAGAACATCGGACTACTGATTGGCGCGTTGCTCTGGGGATTTGGATGTGATGTTTTCGGGCGACGCTGGGCGTTTAACATGACGGTCGGGATTACTGCAGTGTTTGGGCTGATCGCTGCAGGGTCGCCCGATTTCGGTGCTGCGTGTGCGTTCGCGGCATTATGGTCTATTGGTGTTGGTGGAAATCTGCCTGTGGATTCTGCTATTTTTCTTGAATTCCTGCCTGGCTCGCATCAGTATCTGTTGACGGTTTTGTCGGTGGATTGGGCTTTTGCGCAGTTGTTGGCCAATCTGGTGGCGTGGCCTTTGCTGGGGAATATGACTTGCGCGCAGGAGAAGGGTTGCGTCAAGGAGGAGAATATGGGGTGGAGGTATTTCCTCATTGCGATGGGTGGTCTGGCTATGGGCATGTTCGTTATTCGCTTTGTGTTCTTCACGATCTATGAGTCGCCGAAGTATCTGATGGGCAAGGGTAAGAACGAGCAGGCAGTGCGGGTTGTGCACGAAGTTGCTCGCAGAAACGGAAAAGCCTCGTCGCTGTCGCTGGAGGAACTGGATGATATCGACCAGGGCGCTGCGGGGTTAACTACCACCGGCATCGTCCGTCAGAGATTGGAGAAGCTGCGCATGGGACACGTCCGCGCACTATTCGACACGCCCAAGCGAGCCTACTCCTCAACTCTGATCATCCTAGTCTGGGCCTTTATCGGTCTCGGATTCCCGCTTTATAACGCGTTCCTCCCATACATCCAGCAATCACGCGGTGCCGAATTCGGCGATGGCTCGACGTACATCACCTATCGCAACTCGCTGATCATCGCCGTGATGGGGATCCCAGGCTGCCTCGTCGGTGGCATTTTGGTTGAACTACCCAGATTCGGACGAAAGGGCGCTCTCTCCAGCTCCACCGCACTGACTGGCGTTTTCCTGTTACTTTCCACGAGAGCGACGACATCAAATGCCCTCTTGGGATGGAACTGCGCCTACAACTTTATGAGCAGCCTGATGTATGCCGTGCTGTACGCTTACACGCCCGAAATATTCCTCACCAAGGACCGCGGCACCGGTAATGCGCTGACTGCATCTGCCAATCGCATTTTTGGAATCATGGCACCCATCATTGCTATGTTTGCCAATTTGCAAACATCAATCCCAGTCTATGTTAGTGGAGCACTGTTTATCGTGGCAGGTATTCTGGTTGTCCTCTTGCCTTATGAGTCTAGAGGGAAAGCAAGTCTGTGAACAAGGAATGAATTCTTGGATTCATATTCCTGCCCCAGGAATACGTCTACTTCGAGATTGGATTGAGAGACGACTTCCTTAGATAATTTTATAGAAATCTTCGAATGCATCTTTCTCTGCATTTTTCCAGATATGCAGCCATCAAGTACTTAACCATCCAAGCTGAATGCAATACCAGCTTCGCCATTCCATCCTCTTCTCTCAAACTCTTGGTGGAATTATACATTAATGCCATGCTCGCAACTTTGCGAGCCAATACAGTGCATTAAACTGACGATCACACTGTGAAAATTACAACACGTTCGCCCCAGACAAGGATATTGTGGAAGGTACCAAATATGTAAATTGTGTGTCTGAGAAACGAACAAAGAGCGTAAGTGGTGGACCTTTTCCGAGACTTTCCCCCATTTCTGCCTTTTATTCTATTTCACTTGTATCTCTTCCCATTTCAAAGTTGTCCACTGTAATATCAAATCTTCCGATGTCATCTCCCCGTGGGCGGTGGCCTTGGGATCCATCAATCTCGGCGTGACGGGCCAAGGGACCTCGCTACTACTGCGCCCACAGTTGATCGCCGAAACGCTCATGGGTCTTGCTTCTGTATCTGGTGATACTTCAGGAATTGAATGGTTCCCTCCAATAGCTGCCATTTGTCCAGATATGGAGATAAGAGCATTTTCCAGGCTCGAAGAACGTCCGTGCTTATTCGATATAGACGAAAAGCTCAGCCTATGGCGATATGAGCCGCTGTCTTTGTATGGAGGCTCTTGAGGGGTCTGCTGAGTCGAAGTGTGGACGGTAGAGATAGAAAGGTCCGACGCTTGACGATTCAACCTCGAAGACGCCTGTTGGAAGAAAGGGCGTTTCAGGAGACTATCACTCCGCTTCCCCTTGGCCTTAGGCTGCTCGCTAATCGACAATCTGTCGAACGCCGTACCGAAGTTAACAATACTGTTATTGTCAATCGTCGCCGTAAGTGACGCGGTCTCTAAGTCCTGTGCACGCTTTTCAAAGGCTATCATAGCGGCGTTGGAAACTTCCGCCCTGGATACTGGAGGCTTTTGTCGACGCAAAGGAGGTTCGTCATCCGCTTCACTGTTCGCCACGCCGACGCATTCGTCCCAGATGGTAATGGTGTCGCTTTTCTGCTCGCGCTCGCGTTGACCTTTTAGGTCATTCGGGCTCGGTACAATTGGGCTTTTGCTGTTTGGAGAAGGCGAGGATTTGCCCATTTTAAATTCCAGGTCGGCTTGAGAGCCTGAGCGTTTTCGTCGCAGGTGATAAATATGGCTTCGGTCATCTTCTGAATGGGGTTGATGCCAGCCGACCGTATTTTCCTTGTTGTAGTAGTCGCAGGTGTCAGTAATTCTAGAGTTCATAACCATTTCTTCATGTCCAGACTCTCTTTCATCACTGGAGGTATCGTAATCATAATCTAGAGGTTCCTGTGCGGCATCACCAGTGGCTAATCCTAGGAGTGTTGATAAATGACTTTTGACGAAGGGTTGTGAGAACCTACCATCAATCGTAAGCTCACTACAAAGATCAGCACTTTCCGTCACGGGTTAGAAGTTTACTGGGATACTTACGCAAAGAGCGAGTAATCAACGCGGATCGAATGGCCGTGCTCTACATGGAAACGGACCATCTCACCGGAATGTATATTCAATATACCATTCTTGACTCGGGAATACCGATTTTTCTCAAGGTTGTTCTTGCAAGAATCGATTTCCAGGCGCATTTTCTGAATTAGGCGATTAAAACTTCTCAGCTCTGGAGATTCCTGTATATTTTCAAATTCATCATGGCAGATGTACTTCTTATTGCCTGCGGAACTAGAACTCATTTTGGGAGATTGTTGAGTCTCCGCAGACAGGCATGACTCCTGGTCATTACTTGTTTTCTAGTTCCAAAGAACTGCAATCAAATCGCGCTGCTCTTGGACCAAGGTCGGAACATTGTTGCTGCTCTATACTTAGCAAGAAGTCATAAAATAACTGATAAGTAGACCTGCCTTCGAATGAGGCCTGCATACATAATAACGTTGAGTAAGAGAAGCATGGTCGACTTCAACCTTTCTAGATTAAGTTTCAACGGTTCTAAACTCGGCTCGAGCAACACAAGTCGAAATTTCTCAGTGATGTTTTGTAGACGGGTCTTTGGAGCCTGATCTGTATCCTTGATCACTCTCTGGATCCGTCCAAGGACATCCTGGCACTGGTTCAAGACTTGTTTGAGGGTCTTAAAGGCCTCCTCTGAGCAAAGTTTCCGTGATTCTTCCGTTTTCAAGGTTTCTCCAAGCTCGCGCAGAATAGCGCTTGTAAGAGCGACGTCGCTTGAGAGGCTCTGTATTGACTGGTTGGCATTCTTGGCTTGTCGGTAAAAATAAAAAGTTGGACAGATAATTTGGTACCAAGATCCGCGACCTGGATTAGACTGGCTGCGACACCTAAAGCCTCGAGACCAGACATGGCAGTTTGTTTTAGTGTAGCTATATATTGGCTTCGAGTTTTTAGGTCGTTATAGCAGCTGTCAAGAAGGCTGCCAGGTCGATGCGAGTGGATACTTAGGTAGATAGTGTTTTGAAATTAGCCCAAGAGAAGAGGAATTCCCCGAGTTAGGTCACCTCATAACGAAACTGAGAGGCCCCTCACTTAGCCCCTCATTCCATCACGTTCTTAGTCATAATGTCAGTTTCACTATTCATTTCTGCCACCACCGTATGCCGATATATCGAAAAATCAAATTAGGAGCCTGCGTTGCGATTGGCAGAGCTTCTAGAGGACTCGAGGACAATATGCGACAAGCATAGTTAGATCATATCTGCCAATTCCGATGCGACTTCTAGGCGATCAAAACAGTGATAAATTAAAACAGCAGCAGGTCCTGGAAGAGTTTCGAGAAATTGACCGTGCTATTATACTTCTCGCCGCTCCACTTTCTGTGAATGCATTGTCGCTGTTTCTAGGGTTACGGGCAGACAAGATCAGCAATCGATTAGTTTTATTTCGATCTGGAATAAGTATTCCTAGCGACCGCGATGTGCCTGTTAGGATTCTGTATTTATGATTCCGTGATTTTCTGGTCTAATGCAAAAAGGAATTTTATATGGACGAGTCAGCTAGGTTTCGTCTTAAAACTAACGGTGAAGCTGCTTTTGGTTTTTGCGTAAAAGAGACCAATTTACCACCTACCATTCCCGATATCCCACCCAATAAATGCCTGCACTGCCGTGATCGGTCCATCAAATCACAAACCCAGAGCATGTCTGGCCCCACCCCAGTTAATATAAAACACTTCCACAACCCCGTCACGATCCACTCTCCACCCCGACAATACCGGTACATGTAGCGTCCAATGATGTCATTTCCTTCCAAATCGCGACGATTCACAACATCCGTGGGCGCCAATAGGACATATTTCCGTCGTCATACACCCGCCGTTAGTCCAAGCGAGTTCCGCGATACTGTAAACAACACTCGCCACACCTCGCCACAGCGCCTCCTCTGCCAGAGATCAACGGAGAATATCCACCAATAGATACACCGTGCCACAACGATGAAATCAACGGTTGTGGATATCTGGGTGCGGCTACGTCAGGTGGGGTCCGATCGTGGCTAGTGACAGGGTATGACAGGTCGCCGTGTGGATTTGATTCGACGATGCTGGAATGGTATGTGCGTACAACTCCATATGACAGTGTGGCTTCTAGATGGACTGGGTTGCAACTCATTAGATCATGCTCTGGAACCGGTTTCATAATACAGGGCTGGGATGGGTATTTAACAGGCGATCCTCTTGCTGTTTTGCTGAGTCCAACTTCAATCTCATCTCCATCTTCATCCCTATCTTCTGTATTGAACTACCAAAGTCAACCTTGACCAAACACATCCACCTAAACACAACATGTCTCAGGAAAACAGTACGTTCCCCTAACCCACTCCACCTCGCGACAACCTCTTAACCAACTCACGTTAGGCGGCGGTCTCCTCGGCGGCGTGGGCGACACCCTAGGCAAGACAGTCGGCGGCGTAACCAACACCGTGGGTGACACGGTCGGAGGACTGGGCAACACGGTCGGCGGTGCGGCATCCGGAGTCGGCAGCACCGTGTCGGGGGCCACCGAGGGATTGGGAAACACGACCAAGGGTGCCGGCCAGACCGTTTCGGGCGCCACTGAGGGGGCGGGTAAGACCGCGTCGGGTGATGAACAGAAAGAGAAAGGTACACAAAGCATCGGTGGAAAGGAGCAGACTGCAGAGAACCCGCTTGGTTTGTAAGGGGTTAGTGCCCAACATTATGAATTCAGGTCTGTTCGTATAATAGTTTAATTGAATGAAATTGTGCTCTGATGGGCTGATATTTGATGATGCATGCTGTTATTCTGGGGCTATAGTATGCTATCTTAGTATTCAAACGATCCGGGGTTTTAGGAAGGATCTACGTCAGATGTCACTTTGTGGCTTCAGCAAGGAAGTCCATCCGATCGCGCTACTATGTAAGGCTCTACAGAAGTAAGGGGGAATTACCCTGCAGTGGTTATATTTTGAGGCTCTAAAAAGTTGATCACCGCTAGGTACAATGTTATTTGAGCCAATTTCCACGGTTCGTGTTCACCACATTCAAATTTGCCAAATAAGTAACATTGAAGCTGTTTGTCCTTGGCCACGATCATCCAGCTCGGTAACCGGAAACCGAGCACGTCCAATTCTCTAATCGACAAATGACACACTGACTCAACCAATAGCAGACCTCATATGGGACTCGAGGCGAATCTTTTCACTGGAATGTGGAGTTTGAGGCGCGTTTGAGGCGCGTCCCGAAAGGGGGTTGAATTTGCCAACCGAATCCCGTGCGGATAGAAGCGGTGATCTCGGCCGAAAATCGTCGAGTCATACCTGCGCTTCTCCCAGTGAATATTTATTGACGCAATCTTGGTTCAATGACCTGGATCAGAATAATCTCCAGATTGCGACTGTAACTAACTCGTCTACCCTTGGTTTGCCCGAAAGAGAAGCTCGATCGAGATGGCAACAAACAGTGCGCGCCAGCCCGACGCATCAAATCCAGCACAACCACCATCCGAAGCTCAGACCCTAAATGGACAGACTAATACCCAAACACCCTCGAAACACGACCGAGGCTGGAGAAGAGTAGTGCGCAACTTCACCCCATCGTCCGTACCCCTCCCCAGCTCCCAAACACCCTCTAACCGAAGGCAGATGGTTCTCCGTGACGATGGGCACGGGCATCGTCTCAATCCTACTCCACAACCTCCCATACAACGGGATCTGGCTGTACTGGCTCTCAGTCATAGTCTTCGCACTCAATGTTGTCCTCTTCAGCCTGGGCTGCATAATCAGCATCCTGCGGTACACGCTGTACCCCGAGATCTTCACGGTGATGATCAAGCACTCGGTGCAGTCCATGTTCATCGGCACGTTTCCCATGGGCTTGGCCACTATCATTAACATGACCTGCCTGGTGTGTGTACCGGTGTGGGGCGAATGGACGAGGTATTTTGCTTGGGGACTGTGGATTTTCGATGCTGTTGTTTCGGTTATGACTGCGCTGTCTTTGCCGTTTTTATTGTGAGTGTCCCTTCCTGATGATAGAGGATCGATTTAATGGTTGGTTAGGATGGCTCACGGGGGTGAGAGACCGCTATCCTCGATGACGGCGGTCTGGCTTCTTCCTATCGTTAGCTGCATCGTGGCCGCCTCGACGGGCGCTATAGTTGCCGGGGTGCTTCCCAACGAGCAATATGCATTGTGGACCGTCATTACTAGTTATGTGCTTTGGGGTATCGGATTGCCTCTGGCTATGATGGTCATGGTGATTTATCTCCTGCGCCTGACGCTTCACAAGTTACCCCCAAAGGCCGTGATAGTCAGTGTGTTTCTGCCACTGGGTCCTTTAGGACAGGGCGGATTCGGGTACGTCTATCCGTAGGGAACATTTCTTTTTTTTTCACATTCACTAAGTTGTACAGGGCCATGAAGCTGGGCCAATGCGCCCGGGATATCTTCCCAAAAACCCACACCCTGGTGCAGTCCTCTGGCGAAACATTCTATACAGTGGGCTTTCTGGTCGCGCTCATCCTGTGGGCATTTGGGCTGGTCTGGCTATTCTTTGCATCGGCCTCGATTGTTTACAGCAAGACCTTTCCGTTCAATATTGGTTGGTGGGGATTTACTTTTCCACTAGGAGTGTTCGCGGCGAGTACCGTTCAGATGGGAGCGGAGCTGCCTTCGGGTTTTTTCAATGTTCTTGGAACAGTAAGTAAATTCTGCTCGTATGTCTAACTAACTTGCTAACTTTACAGATACTCTCTGTATTCGTGGTTGTGCTTTGGATGATTGTCATCGTTGGCACTTTGAAAGGAGCGGTGTCGGGCAAGCTGTTCCATGCGCCCTGTTTAGGGGATCTTCCTGTGCCAGAATATGACAAGGACGTTGGCAAGACAGCTTGATTTCTTACAGAGGACAAACCAATAGTATAGAGCAATGATGACGATAAATTCGACCAAGTTGGCAAATGTAGTGGCAAACCCCGGATTCACGTGATGTGGAGAACGCGAATTTATTTTATTTTTTATTTTTTTATTTTTTATTTTATTATTTTCCTCCCATCGAGAGATCCAGCCCAGCGACATCCACTTTCGTCCCTGATCGACCGCCTCTGTGCCCTTCCATCCCCCGGAGGCTTTTCGTTCGGGACGTTGGACTCTGCCAGAGCGTATCGCCAGGTCGCTCCAGCCTGTCCTCCCCCTGAACCCCCCTTCCGTGTGCGCCTGGAGATTTTTCTCCTGCGCTGACCTCGGGACCGGCAGTACTCGGCCTCCGCCGCTAAGCCTCTTTCGGATTCCACCTGTTGCCTTATTGCCTTGTTGCCTTACTGCCTGGGTGACTCGGAACAAACAAAACACGCGGCGCGCTCCAGCTGGCGGGTGTGGACTTCGGACGTGATATCGTTCGCCACGCGACCGGTGGAGTTTGGATCTCTAGATTGGATCGTATTTCTTGTTCTTTTTCATTTCCATCGGTCTTATCTAGCGGTCGTGCATGCGCCGCCCGTGAAGGAAAGGTGTCTTTTTAATCTGCTGCCGCTTACGGCAAAAGCTACATCACATCATTAAAAATGATCCCATACGGGGGCCAACCATTTCACCCCCAACAGCAGCAATCTCAGCAGCAGCAGCAGCAGCAACAACAACAACATCAACAACATCAACCATCTCAAGCGCAACATCCTTTGAGTGGTGCGCGCCAGCATATTCCGTCGCCGTCGCTGGCCGCGGCGCCGAATCTGCCGCAACATGGCAGTCCATTTCCAGGGAATAAGCCGCTGTTCAGAGCGCAACCGCAGCAACAGTTTACCTCGCAGTCGCCTGACTTGCACAAGATGGCGCCGACCTCGGGTCCCTTACCAGGGTATCCGACGCCAACTAGATTCGCGCAGTTTCCTGCTCATTTTGCTCCACAAGGCTCCCCGGACTTGATGGCTAGGAATCATGATCCTATGGCTATGCAGAATTTACAGCGAGGCTTTAATCCTATGGCTCATTTACAGAGGCAACCTGGAATGAGCCCACCAACGGGCATGTCTCATCAGCATGGCATGAATATGCCATCGCCACAGCAGTCGTTTAACGGGCTTCCCCGCGTGGGGGTGCATCAGCGAGAGAACCATCCCTCTGCTAGTCCTTCCATGGCCAGTCCATCTATGAATGCTATTTACCAGCAGCGGCAGCCTCAGTCGCAACCGCAGTCTCCTCAACAGACACAGCAGCAGTTGCAACAAAGGCAACATCAGCAGTTCCAACAACAACAGGAGCGTATTCATCAGCAGCGATTGGAGCAGCAGAAACTCCAACAGCAACAGCAGCAACAGCAGCAGCAACAGCAACAGCGTTTGGAACAACAGCGTCTTGAGCAGCAACGTATAGAGCAGCAAAAACAGGCTGAGCAGCAGAAATTGGAGCAACAGAAGCGGATGGAGGAACAACAAAAAGCTGAGCAGCAGAAGCGACTTGAACAGCAACGTCTTGAGCAAGAGCGCATGGAGCAACAACGCCTGGAGCAGCAACGCCTAGAGCAGCAACGTTTAGAGCAGCAACGTTTGGAGCAGCAAAGGCAACATCAACAACGAATGGAACAACAGCGCCGCGAACAGCTCGAGCAACAGCTGGAACAGCAGAGGATGCAAAAGCTACAAGCAGCTCAAGCACATAATCCTTATCAGCAGCAACATTCTCCTTTCCCGCAACACGCCCAAACCCAGTTCCACCAATATCATCCTCAGCCCCAGCAACAGGGCCAATATACCCCACAATTGCCTCAGTTCACTCAGCCTTCTCAGCATCCTCAGCATCCTCAGTTTTCTCAGTCACACGCGCAGTTCCAGCACTATCAGCCACCGTCACAGCCTTCGGCCGAGCCACAAAGGCCCCATGTGGCAGCACCTCAGACATCTGCTGGTAATGCCGCTAAAAGCGAAGAGCAAAGCCCTGCTCCGAAAAAGAAGTCCAAGCCCAAGGGTCGACCGCCGGGGCCTGCTCAGCCCCAAGCAACTCCCCAACCTGCTCAAGTACAACCTCCAATGGGACAACCTCCAATGGGACAACCTTCAATGCAGGGCGTTCCTCCTGCCGCACCACTCAACACACCTGTCCAACCAAGTGGGCAGACACAGGCACCCGCTGCTTTGATGGCTGGCGGTGAACAGCCGGCAACACCGGCCCCAAAGCGGAAACGTGGACGGCCACGGAAAGAGGAAGTCGCGGCCAGGGCGGCTGCCGCAGCTGCGCAGGCGGCGGCAAATGGCCAACCCATTCCCTCTTCTCAACCAGGACAAGCATCCTTCACGTCAAAAATGACGCCGACCGCTCCAGGCTCTGTAAGCATCCAAACTCCCATCATCGGTCCAGACGGTACTCCGCTGCCCATGAAGCGGAAGCGTGGTCGTCCCCGCAAGGCGGACCAGATCGCGTGGGCCGCTGCAACTGGCCAACCTTTGCCACCGCCAAAGCCGAAGAAGCCATCAACAGCCAAGAAACCGACCGGCACCGGTCGACCGCGCGGTAGGCCTCGCAAGGCGGACGTTGCTGCCGCCGCCGCCGCCGCCGCTGCGGCTGCTGCAGCTGCTGCAAGTGGTGATCAAGCACAGGTGGAGAACAAACCTCCGGGTGAGCATGTGGACACGAACACAGCTCAGAAGCGCGCAGCACCGACTGATAACGACCCACGCAAGCGGCCTTGCCCAACCCCGCCGTATCCTCAGGGACAGCATCTGCCACCACAGAGCCAGCATTTATCGCAAAGCCAAGCTCGTCCACAGGGCCAACCGATGCAGCAGCCCGGTCAACCGATGCAGCAACCGCAGGGACACCACATGCCTCCGCATGCCCAGCACATGACAACGCAGCCAGGGCAGCATATGTCCCCTCAGCCTGGCCAACACCTGGCACAGCAGGGCCACCGGCCACCAGGCCAGCTACCCCCGCAGCCAAACCAGCCCATGTCAATGCCGCACATGCCGATGCACCAACAGCTCCCACCTCATCCACCACGCCCTCATCCCTACATGCAAATGCCACCAATGCAACAAATGCAACACCCGCAGTCCGTTCACGGCCACCCCCAACCTCAGCCCCAGGTCCTACCCCAAGCCCAACTCCAAGCCGGCCAACGAACCCCGGCACAGCAGGGCCGCGCACCACCAGCCCCAGCACCACAGCACCAACACCAACACACCTTCCAGATTCAGCTCCAACCCCAGCCAACCTGAGGCCCCAATCTCAACACCATATCCTGTTCCCAAGTATTTCGGCGTTCTTTCCAATCGAAGTCCTGTCTCGCATTGATTCCCCGCGCCTGCTACTTGTTTGATGGTATATCAGATATGAATTTGGTTTTTGCTACGTTGTATTTTGGCGTTTGTGTTGGCATGGGCATTTGTTTCCGTGGATTTGCTTAGCCTGTGATGAGAAGGTTATATATATTAATACTGTAGTACATATTCTAATTTATGTCTCAAGACTTAAATTTGCCCATGGGCGTGTACATCGTTATATATTGCTGTGATTCGAATATTTGAACCTTCTGTACCGATTAGTACATACGTATCCTAACTACCAGCTGACATAGGTACATATAGGACCTTGGCGCCTCGAGTTACTTTGACAAAGAGATGCCTTGCTACACCGGCTGGTCAGACTTGTCACGCCTGTTGAAGGTATGCAAGTATTCTCTTGGACTGATATAAATACCGAAAAGAAGCAATGCTTTTTTTTCATCAATCCAACTGGGTACGATCCACTATAGACAAATTCATCTCATCATAAAAATCAGACATCAGACATCAGGCATCAGGCATCACATACAATACATTGCACATTGCACATTGAACATAACACATAACACATAACACATAACCATCACCATTCCACATACTATTCCAACCCTAGAGTCCAGTCCTACTCAACAAAAGACCCCGCCCTCTCAAAATCCACCGACTCATCGAACCCCTCCAAACTCTCCTCCATCTCCCCAGCTCCAGACGGCGGGAACGAACTCGAAGACGGCCACTCCTTCAAATCCACACTTAACGAAGGCGCAATGCGCCTGATAACCCCCTCAATCAAGAAGAAAGCCCTCCGAGCAGCCGGATCCACAGACGCCATAGCATGAATCCAGAAAAACACCTTCCGAGTCTCAGCGACAGCAGCCTCGAGGTCATCTGCGGACAACGGAAGAGCCATGGGAGATTCCGTAGTCGATTTATTCGCCGAGAACGAAGCGTGCGACAATCCAAGCAGGAGGGCAGTAGTCGCCTGCATCAGGAAATGGAGAACATTCCACCAGGGCGTGAAGCGCGCAAGCCAGACCATGTCTGGATCGTCAGGCAAGATTGAGATAAGTGCGCAAGCGGCTTGGAGGCATTGCGCAGCTAGGTCGGCGCGGAGTTTGTTGCGGGTTTCGTGCGGTTGGGCGGTATGGGTATGGGGGAGACAGGGACGGCAGAGGATGATTCGTGCAGAGAAGTAGGTCATTGCTAGACAGACGCATTCGTAGATGTAAGGTGTGGAGGTATCGTCCAGTTTACGATGGTTGAGGTGCCAAGGGCCGGAGGAGGGGATAGTGAATTGGTAATGGGACGGGAGTTTAGCGAGCCAGCGGTCCATGAGCTGGGAGTATTTCTGAAGGCGGTATTCCGTTTGGGAAGCTCCCTCACGGATGCCTTCGATGCTGTAAACTTTGTTGAGGACGGCTTGGGAGATGATGGCTAGGTCGACGAGGTAGTAGAAGAAGAGGGATGGGCTGGGATCGCACTGGGATATCCAGGTGGAGGTGTTTTGGGGGGTTGGAGTTTCGAAGATTGTTGCGCGGAGTTGGGATTCGCGAGTGTGGTGGTCTTGGAAGAGGCGTTGCACGTCGGGTTGTTCAAAGTGTTCTTCTTCAATTGGGATCGGGGCAGGGACGGAGCAGAGGCTTTCGCCGACGCCTGAGGCTCGCCCGTGCATTGAGGTGAGGAGGTGTTCGAGAGAGTAGATGGACCACCAGAGGCGGCAACGGGCTTCTTTGGATGCGTTGTGGGTGCGGTCGTCTGTGAGGCGGAGGTTTATGCCGAGGGATAGGGCAGAGTGTAGGGCCATGCCTGAGAATTTGGATGCTCTGTTGACCTGTCCTAGACAGAGTAGGTAGAGCGCAATCAGAAACTCGAGCTGGACCTGCTGGAGATCGGTATGTTCGAGAAGAACATTGCTTTGCATACTCAGATGCCAGGCTCGAGAGAGGAAAACCAGATCGTTCTCATGGGAGACCTTGGTTGAACCCATGATTCTCGAGTATCGACACCCGATAGCGAAAATCATATTGAGAATCCCCAACCACTTCCTCGGCGGGTTAGCCGACATGTCAAAGAACTGCCGGTATTGGGAAGTAAAAGCCGGTTTCCTAATTGCGGTGAAATGCGGGTGAACGAAAGCCATATACGTATTGAAATATTCATCAGCGAGCTCGCGCGGCGGCACAGCGAAAGGATCGACATCGTCTGCAATGGGGATGTCTAGGTCATCGAGATGGTAGTTCATCATGGCCATGGGGATATCGCAGGCCACGGGATCTTGCAGACGTGATAGCGTTTCATTGGTACTCTCGGACTGCGACGCGGCGGTATATTGTAATCGATGGTCTTTCTCCACGCTATCCTCTAGGCGCTGCATCCACGCGACCTCGGAGTTCTTGCCGAAATAGCCCGCTGCGCGAGTGTTTTCGTTCCGGTTGACATCTTCGTCGACAAGATCCACAGCCTCGAGGGATCCGATAGAGGAGTCGGAGTCGGAGTCTTCAACGTTGATTTGTGAGGATTTACCATCCTTGTGCTAAATAAATAGGAAGCATCGTTAAAAGGCTGCCACTGTCGATGCAGAAGATGACGAGCATAGAGCGATCTCCAGCTCGCATCAATTCGATCAACATACCTTCAGCGCCTTCCGAATCCTTCGCGATGTGGGAAGCTCGCTTTCTCCCTCCAAACTGCGCAGTAGTGTTTCATACCGATCGACTCTTCGGGCTAAGATATCGAGCATCTTCTGGTCGCGCACTCGCTTCACATCTTCGTAGGTGCAGCGATTATTGTGGTAAGCACACTGACCACATATCGGTCGGACCCCGTCGCATTTTGTTTTACGAGTTCGACAAGCCTCGCACGCCCGCGCCGAGCGACGTCGTCCACGGGTAGTAGCCGGAGCAGGGAGGCGAGGGATAGCGACTTTGGAAACCGACGGATCGGGCGGAGCTGCATTAGATCGAGGCGATGCCGAAGGATTTTCCCACGGCCGTTGAGGGACAATCGGGGTGAATAACGGGCTTTGGCCGTACGCATTTTCCTGCGGAGGCGGCGACAATGAGCTCATAGACGACAGCCATACCGGGCCAGAGTTGGAACGAGCCGAATTGCTCGTTTCGGGGGTTTCGGTCCCCAACGTATTGGAGGTATTCATGAAGCCAATGTGAAACGTATCGCAGGATCATTCGAGTTGAGATGGAGTTGGAAGTTCAAACGGGTGTGGTATCAGCTTCCACGGGGGGCATCAAAATCAAGCCTCTGGACCTGGAGACACGGTAGTCCAATGAGCTCATAGCGACCGGTTCAAATTTTGCTTAGAACCGGACACCGGGCACACTCTGCTTTTTCTACTGGGCAAAGATCCAAAGGAAATAGAGTGCGGAGAAGGCAAGGTGGAATGCCACTTGCCAGCTGCGCTCGGGTTGTGGGTCGTGCGGCCCTGAGCAGACACCGTTTGACGTCAGACCCGTGGACCTCAACCACATGAGGCAACATTGAGGCAAATTATCAAATGCTAGATTAGTAACATCGCTGAACTGTTACTGGCAGATCTGCTGTGGATTCGGGTTCCATAGGGGTGGGATCGTCGCTTTTTCACGTTTTGTTGAATATGCGATGGTCCACTCCCTTGACAAAGGGATGTCGCAAGGCATTCAGCAGCCAGGTGGGTGGTGTCGCTCAGCGAGCACGTTGTCTTTGCCAAGACTCAGACTTTCGTAGCGATCGAGCATGTCCGAAAGGCCAAGGCCGGGATAATCCTGGAGACTCTGCCCGTCTTCCCCAATGCCGTGGTACTTTTTGTCCTGATTGAGCTTTTCAAGACCATCCGCATACTCGTCAAATCGATTATGACCTTCGTTCGAGGACTCCTCGTCGAATAGATCCTTGAGATCATCGGTGATAGAGTCCGAGTCGCGGATCCGGTCTCCTTGAGCCTTGGCTCGTACAGACTGTCGGAAGATGTGAAAGAGGTTGCGACCCAGCGCCGACCGGCTGGCCACGACGGAGAATGCACTTGCGAGCGAGAGGAAGTCCGGATCGAGGACGTCGAAGGATTCCTGTTCCAGCATGGTGAACAGCGCGAGGTTGATCGCGTACATTGCGAAATGGTGCGCGCGACTGACGCCGTATTCACGCCGAAGTAGTCGTGTAAGTGACGCGATGCCGTGGGCGGCAACCTGAGTGACTTCCCATGCGTTGTATTTGGACTCGGAAGTTTGTTGAGGAGGGCTTTCGGGTGTTTTGGGGGCTTCCGTGGTCGATTCTTGGTCAGAAATACAGCTGAACAAGTTGATGGTGAGAGCATAATGTCGCATTCTATAACATTAGCATATCTCATAATTTCATCCTGTGACCGCTTCAACTCACTTCAACAAAATAACATGCGGCGGCGGCTTAAATCTATCCTCAAATGCCTCGGGCAAAAGATCATGCCATCGATTCAAGCGCTCATAAAGCACCTCCCGACTCTGCCGATGCACTTCGAACTCATCGATACTGAGTCGTCCATCTGCAAACATACTGCGCGATATATCGCGCGCAATCGTGGATAGCTTGCACGCCTCATCAAAGTACAGACTCAAATACGACGGGCGTGTTTCCCGGTGCGTGGGATAGGGTCTCCAGACACACTGGTCTTCCAGCCGGTTGCGCTCGGGAAGAGGCATGTTGACGTGGGAGATGAGACAGGGTCTCAGGAAGCCAGTATGGACCATCCTATTCCAGTCAGTCACGAACGAAGGCCGACCTTCGAAAGGCATGTACGGTAGAACCCACGTATCGATGTGAAACAACCCCCAAGCCGTCCGCCGGCACGAAGAGTCCATATCCTCCGACAGGTGCTCCGGGGCAATGCGCGGACCTTTATTACCGATCAGCCCCAGTGCTTCGCCCATGCGAATTGCCTCATGAAGCGTGGCATAGCCGAGATCGTCATTTCGGGACATGGCATATCTATCAACTCAGCCATTGCCAAACACAGAACCATAAACCACCTAATCTGGAAACGCACCGTTCATACATGAAAAGCGTCCCCTGCAACGAAGCCAAAGTCGGCTGCGCATGCAACTCCCCCTTCAATCTCTCCGCCTCGGCAAGAAAAGCACACCCCTTCGACGAAATATCCCCGGGAACGACATATGCCTCCGAGAACTCCGAAAAATACTGAACAAAGCCATCAGCACCCTTCATCCACCAAGTATAAGAAACAAAAAGTTGAGATACTCACACAAGCATTACTCAACAACGCATTCACCAAAAACGGACTGCAAAACCTCGAACTCGGATCACCGGCCACCATATGCCTGAGAAAAGCCCCCTCGTCGAGAAACGCATGGACGGGATAATCCCACGTAAAATAAAGCGAAACAAGATGGCTCACCAGACCCGCATCACTAGTCACGGTCGTCCACGGATGTGCGGGCACCTTAATAGTAGCCTCATCACAAAGGTAATGAATATCCATAACCTTACTCCTGAACGCCGGAGCGGGGTCTTGGACGTTAATAATACTTTTCACGTCTTCGAGTTTCGCGACTGTTTCCGGGTCATTGTGTTTTCCGAGATCTGCGAGCGTTGTATCGATATACGAGCGAAGCTCGTGAGGTGGTGCATTTCGTCGAATGAGGTCGAGTAGGACCTGGGATTTGGGTTCGTCGGCTGAGCGGACGAGTTGAAAGAGGTCGTTGAGCAGGTCACGGTGGTAGGAGAGTTCATCTGCTGTGCGCTTTGCGGCGACACGGCGGCGTTGGTCCAGGGATTCGTCGAAGATGCAGGTTCTGTGGAAGGTAGTGCAGTTTGTGCAAGGCGGGGTGCCGGAGCACTTGCGTTTTGATTTTTTGCATGCCAGGCAGGCTGTAGAGACGCGTTTGTGGAAAGTGTTTGAGGACGAGGTTGAGGAAGAACCTGACTTGGAGTGTGAATAAGAGTGCGAGCTGTCCATTGAGGTTGAGGAGTAGGAGGGGTGAGTGAGGGTGCGTTGTTCGGTGACTGTCCTGGGTCCAAGTACTTGGTTCCTTTCCAACTTTCTTTCCAAGGTTCCGTTTAATTTGTACTGAGGTGTATGCAGCTAAAGTGTTCTCGTCTCAGTTTCAGTTTCAGATGCGGGTATATATTGCTATGGTGGCTATATGTTTGCAATGACGACGGCGGCAATGTTAACCGATTCAGCGGCGTCGACAGACTGTGATATCACGGACGCCTCCAGATGGCGGCGGCGAGGGTGTGGAGCGCATTATTCCAAGGTTGTTGTCAACTCATGGTACATGTAAAACATACCCAGGCAGACGATGTAAAGGGTGTGGGAAACAAAAGTGAAATCGCTGGAAAGCAGGAAAGCTGAAGTAGGAATGATTGTGACATATCGTGCCGGTGCAAGGTAGAGCAAGGTCAATATATGGCACCTACACAATATCTGCCGTCTTCATACTAACGGCCAATCTACCAGACATTGCCCCTGAAGGCGCATGACGTTGCCCTCGAGTCATCAGGAACGCAATCCCGCCTATCCCATTAGCCTTACGGGGTTGCCCGACTGGATGGTGCGGGCAGGTGCCAGGGCAGGCGAGGGTGGCGCCGGGGCGATACAGATCAACTCGTGTGATTGGCTGTTTCTCGAGCGTCGGCTAGTTGCAGACAATGCGGGACAAACGCTTATTTGGCAAGGAATTGAAGGGGAGAACAGGTTTTGGTTGAAGTGGGTGTTGTAGTGTACTGTATCGACGGCTAACACTTCCGGGCACGTGACGCGGAGATTTACCGATTTGGGCGGTTTAGTGTCCCCAAGGTGTTTGGTTTTGGCGCGTGGGGTACATATATACATGTGGACCTGTGGACATCTGGGCATCTCAATATACTGCGTATACTTATATCTCACGATTAGGTTCAATTGGTTGCGAATTGGGTTTGCATTGACTCGGATAGCATGGACAGCAATAGCACTTGGAAGAAAAGACCGCGATTCCCAATGCAGTCGAAGAAAGAAAGAAAGTACGCTGGATTATTGTAAAGTAATACAAGCACATCTTTTGCATACTCCATGGATTCCGTAGCCACGATGCACCTCCCAAACGACAAAAACACTCTATGCTTGGTGCTTAGTGCTTAGTGCTCCAGGATTCTCAGGCTACCCTGCACCACGCAGTTCTCCAGGACGGAACCCGGGGGAATGTCAATGGTGCTGCCCTCGGTGGCCACGATGATGACGGTGCCCTTGAGGGTGACGTTGCGGCCGAGGTTAACGGGTCCGGTCACGGTCAGGTGGTCCAACTCGACAATGCGGGGAATGCTGGCAATGCGCTTCTGGAAGTCGGAGACCTTCTTGAAGTCGGAGCCGAGCTTGATGACGGGAACACCACCGAAGCGGTTGGGGTCCATGACCAGCTGGCCATGCTCGAGGCGGTACAGATCGGACTTAACGACCATCAGATCGGAGCAGGTCTTGACGGGCAAGAAGCGGCGACGGGGCACGTTGACACCGTGGGCGTTCTTGAAGTGGCGGATGGCCGCACCGACGGCGGTCTCCAGCTGGTAGATGGCCTGGTCGGCCTCACCCTTCTTGTCAGCGGGGATGGACTTTTCGTTGGCGATGATCTCCATCTCGAGCTCGTTCTCCTCCACAACACGCTTGACGGCGCGGATGTCCATCCAGATGTTGTTGGTGTTGAAGTACTTGAACTTCTTGATGGACTTGAACTCGTTGACGTGCTCCTTGGGCACCTGGGCAATCTCGAGCAGGCGGACCTTGCCGTCCTGGTCGATGATGGTACCACCCTTGACATCGGCCTTGGTCTTGTCGGTCAATTCCATGATGTACTCGGCCTTGGAGTCAACCATGTGCTGGAGGATGCGCAGATCCACGACGGCACCCAGGTTGTCGGCGTTGGACAGGAAAATGTACTCGATGCCACGCTCGATCAGCTTGTCGAGAGTGCCGGAGTTGTACAGCGACTCGAAGACGTCACCGTGGCCGGGAGGGTACCAATCCTGCAGGGGTGAGTCGAAGCTCTTGGGGGCGGGCAGGAGCGAGTCCTTAATGATACGGGGGTAGCGGGACTGGTTGAAAGTGATGATGTCGACGTTGTGGCCCTCGTACTTCTTAATGATGGACTGGGTGTCCTGGTCGGTGTTGAAGGAGTTCATGAGGACGAAGGGAACGTTGACGTTGAAGGTGCGGTTGAGGTGCTCGATCTGGCGGACGGACAGATCCAGGAAGGACATACCCTCACGGACCTCGATGACGGACTTGGGGCCGACACAGCCCATGGAGGTACCGAGACCACCGTTCAGCTTGACGACGGCGAGCTTGTTCAGGAACTCGACGGAGGCGTCAGCACCGAGCTCGTCGTAGCCGACGACCTGCGAGGGCTGGGGAGGAGCAATGCGGTCCCAGTTGACGGAGTTGCCCTTGGCCTTGTCGTTGAGGAAGCGGCGGAACAGGGCGAAGAAGTTGTCCATCTCAGCTTCGAAGCGCTTCTTCTCGCTGGCATCGGTGACCGAGTCGGAGAGGGCGTTCAGCGCATTGCGCATCTGTGAAGCAGCCACGCTGGTGGAGGCATTCTCGAAGGCCTGGTGTGACAGGTGTCTTGTCAGCGGGGGGCCCGAGGAAGCCATGAATAAAATGCGCAAAGTATATGAGGGGATTGAGAAATGAGAGTGTATGAAGGAATGGGAGCGGAATAGGTGTTGATGGAGGAAACGAATGCCGCGAGGGCGAGGTGAAGGCGAAGATGGAAGGGCGCAACGATACAGCTCCAGAAGGAGCGACCCGTAAACACGGGAATGAAGCCGCCATCGATCTCATTCCATGCCTCTGAATCTCTCCCTCTCTACCTTTGGCATCGAGGTAAACTTAAACTTACCATGTGCGACTGGGACTTGCCATGGTGCTTGCCCTCGAAGGAGCCAGTGGAGGCCTCGTTCGCCGGGGCGCGAAGGTGTGTGGGAAGAGCCTTGGAGGCCATTATGATAGAGGAAGTCGGGTGAGTAGTATTTTTTTGGTTCACTAGGGAAGGTCAGAGGGGAAAAGTCGGGATTAAAAGGAAACGTGGCTAGCTCGATCGAAAAACAGGAGACAGGAGAAGGAGGGGTCGCCACAGCTTGTCGATCAGTCTGGGTGGAAAGCCACTCTACCACTTGATGTCGACAAACTGCCGTCATTGGCACCGGGGTGGCTGGAGGGGCAATTGGGGGCGAACAGGTGCATATTCAGGGAATTCAGCAGGGAATTTACTCACCAGGATATGATCAAATAGAGAACCGATCAACGATCCAATCCGATGGAAGGGAAGAAGGAAAGCAGAAAAGAAAGGGAGGTGGGGGAGTAACGTGATATTTATCATTGCATTCTTCTGCGTTCGGCACCGAATAGATACATGTCTCACTCCGCTATGGCTGTCGTGACTATTTCTCAAGTCTGGTCCTAGCTCCCAATTCCAATTCCAGGCCAAGTCCTATCCAGTCCCGGTCGAAGTTCCAGGCCCAGTCCCGCACGCAGGTATTAACACGGGCATTTATCCAACGGCCCGTGCAGCCAAGCCTGAGCGGTCGGGAGCCCCCCCCCCCCCCCCCAACGCCTTCATGACCGCTCTGTCTTTTTGAGGCTTGACTCCGGTGAGCTATTCTCGGCACTTGAAAGACATGTCTCTCCACAAACATATAACCAGGCCTACCGGACCGACCAGACCTGTCAGACCTAGCGGGCCTACTACGGAGGTTACCCGTATATAGGGGGTCTAGGGACTACAGGGGGGCACAACACTCACCCGTGGGGGAAACAGCACGGATTTCACGCGGATTCCAGAATGACTGGCCAAAAGAAAAGAATCTGGACTCGGCCCCCTTTTTCTACTGTGGGTACATAGACGACGCCGCCGGCCCCACTGGCGTCGCCATCAACACCCTACCGATTCGCGGTCGGGACGCTTTGCCCGCAACACTATCTGTAGATGCGGGCTAATAATATCATGTCGTGCGGCCATCGCCAGTTCCAGTTGGAGAAGAGGCCGCAGATAAGTTCACCTGATCTGTAGTGAACTGTCCCCATCAAGGCACATGTACCGGGTACATTGAACTACGTAGACACCTACATACCTACCCTGACGTAGTAGGACATGGTTACCATATTGACACATAACCGTCTACCCAAGGCACTGCTACAATACCACCTCAGGTCCAAGCAGTCTCTGCGCCTTCCACACTGAAACAAGTTCCAAGCTACAAGCCAAGCCCGGTAAGGCCCACAGCTTAGATTAGTCTCCACCGAACCGAACCAAAGCCGACCAAAATAGCGCCCGCAGGGGGGACCTCCGTAATATGATCCTAATAATCCCGTCTGGGATAGACAACGTCAATGTCATAGCTGAGCCGTCGCTCAGCTAGTATCAACCCAGAAACAAAACTGTTGAATTAAAAATAGGCGAAAAAAATGTAATCAATCAATTAAATTAATTGTCCAACTGCTCCGGAACTCCACGTCCACGTACATACGTACTTGTACAGCACGGAATTGCAGACCCGACCCACTTACTAGAGCGCGCGGTACTCAGTACTCCGTACGAGAACCAACACTAAGCTTTGGGTCGCAGATCATCGTGCTAAGGGGTCTGTGCAGACAACAGAGTTCAGGGTTATTATACATAGGAGGGTCGAGGACCCCTATTCCTCTGACACGAATCCCGAGTAGCCGATCTGTGGACACGGGCTCGCGGTCATGGTATAGGGATTAGTAACCTGAGGTGTCTGCGCCCTATGGAAGTGGGACCTATGCCCATGTGCTATTGACAGGGGTCTCAGGGGTATAAAATGAGCTCAGTTTTACTAGACTAGACGTCTATCGGGTATCATGCGAGGTACCCATTCCAACAAACCTCTCGGGTGAAGTGGCAATGTCAGCCTAGAGATTACATTCCCTCTCACGGGTATACAGAATAGATCGGGCAATGTTTCATTAGAGTAAAGTGTATGGAACATGCATCAAGGCTCATTCTTAAAAGGGGCTTACTAGGCGTGACTAAGTGACATCTACATTTTTTACTGTCCACTTGCCCTCTTACTTTCACTCTGGAGTATTCAGGATATGAAATAGGATAATCTCAACTCATTAGACAAAAGTCCATAAAACTCTGTGCATCTACCTCAAAACGCAAAGGCAAAAGTAAAAAAGCAAAAACGCAAAAACAGGATATCACATCGCAAGCCAACAAATCAATCATTCATCTTTTTCATATACGATCCTCAAGCTCACCACCTAAGCATGAGACCCACTAGCGTTGCGCTTACTCAGAAAACTGCGCCGCTTACTAGCAGGGCTCTCGGAGCCATCGGCATCAGCGGCTGTAGAATGCGAAGTCGAAGGACGAAGCGAAGAATCAGAGTGCACGAAGTTGGAGCGGATCACGACGGTACCCTCGCCAACGGGGATTGCCTTATCCTGGTCAGCGGTGTCGGCCTGGTCGGCGACGAAGAAAGGCGCTTGGCCTAGTTTGCCGTCGGAGCCGAAGGTAGAGTGGTCGAAGACACGGAGTTGGAAGGCTGCATCGGCGGTAGCTTGGACCCTGAAGGAGTCATCGAATTGGACGTCGGAGCCCTTGTGGGGCTTTGTCTTGTGGACTTCCTTAAAGCCCTTTGAGTTTTGCATGCGGACGACGACGCGGAGGTTGGAAGAGGATGGGAAGCCAGACGCGGAGACGATGGTGATGTTGGCAGTGCCCATGTCGCCGCGGCCGGTTGTGCCGGCTGCGCTGAGGCGATCGCCGTAGTTGGATGCCGTGCTGCGGTTACGGCTGTGTTCCTTGGGGGTGGAGGGCGAAGAGTCGCCGTCGACTAGGGGTGCGGCGGGGGCGAGACCGCCGGTGCGTTCGGACGTCTCGTCGACGGTGCTGGGGGCGAGTGAGGCGGCGTCATCGCCGTGCTTGTCTTTCTTGCCCATTCGCATGACGCCGTGTTTGAGGAAGGAAGCGCCGCGGACGACGTTGCCGCCGACGAAGCCGACGCCCTTGACGGGTGCGCCAACGATCTTGCCGGGCATGGCGAAGGTACCTGAGAAGGTTGACGAGCCCTGGCGGGAGCGGACGACGTAGCTAGGCTTGAAGAGCAGCTTCATACGGATGACACCCGACTTGCCGTCCAGAGGCAGAGTAATCTCATTAGCCTCGAAAGGCTGGAGGCTCTCCAGGTCGATCTTAGCAGAGCCGAGCCAATCAGCCTTGTCACCAAAGTCCCAGTCGTAGACATCGACGTGGAAGTCTGCGCCGATACGGGACTTGATGGGAGTTTCGAAGAACTCGTTCCAGGCAGGATGCAGCGTCTTCTTCTGCACCTTGGTCTTGTGGACGACCTCGCCGTGCTCGCCGAAGCGGAACTTGCAGTACGGGTCGCTGTAGCCATTGCGGTCGGCAGAGGGCAGGTCGGCGGCGTCGAGAATGTCCACGCGCAGGGTACCCATGTTGTTGATGCTTTCCCTGGGGTCCAGCTTCATCTGCACGGGAATGTAGCGACCGCTGACAGTCACCTTGCTCACCTGGCCAGAGTTGGAGCGGAGGACGAGCTCGGTTGGAGTATACAAGATGCGCTGAAGCGTGGGTAGGGTATCACCGGTCAACTTGGCAACGATGTGATCCTCATTGGACGTGTCCTTGTTGTTCTCCTTGTTGACCAGACGCAAGGTAATCTTCGAGAACTCAAGCTCGCGAACAAAGGCCTCGCCAACTGCGTAAAATTAGTGGTTGTCAACCAAATGAATTGTAGGGGTAAACATACCGTCGGTGTTCTTGAGAGTGGTCGAGTGGATCTTGGCCGAAACGTAGGCAGGGAACATGTAGTCGTCCATCAAGACCTCGAGCTGCACATTGGAGTGAGCCAGTTGGCCATCGTGGAACTTGAACACGATGATTCCAGACTCTGTTCACATATTAGCTCCGGTCGATGAGGGGAAAATGTAGATAGGGAAGATACCGTGCATGTGGAGGTCCTCAGCACTGAGATAAGTCTTAGGAATAGACTTGACCGAGCGAACTGAGGTAGCGTCTGAGTCGCGAGTAAGAGGGCGAGAGCCGTTGGTCTCGAGGCTGGCACGGCTAGTGGCGGGATCGCCGTTCGTACCATTGGGGTTGGTGCCATTGGACAGGGCCTTGGAAGTTTTGGAAGCTTTGGAAGCCTTGGAATCTACACTAGCAGACTTGGAGTGCATACTCTTGCGTGGAGCACCATCAGTCTCAGCAGCAGCAGCAGCACCGTCAGCCTCCTCTTCCTCCTCAACCTCATCCTCGGGGTTGACAACGGGGATAGTCGGGAAGAAGGAAACGGTGTAACTGATGGTACCCTTCTTGGCGCCAATGCCGCCCATACCCAGGCTACTGGTGATAAGCTGCTTCTCATCATCGATCTCGTAAAGGCCAGTCTCGGTCTCGTGGATAAAGTCAGAGGCGTTCAGTTCCACCCAGCCGAGGGAGCGGTCCTTGTTGATGGTCTCCTCGTCCATGACCTCGACCGTGAGCTTCTCGCGGGCGCTGCGGACAGGCACGTACACGACCTCGTCCCACTCGGGGTTGAGGTTGCTACGGAAAGTCACGGTGCGGCCGCGAGGAATACCAGACAGCAGAACACGAGCGTAAGGGTCTGACTTGCCCATGGCCTCCAGGTTGCGCAGGTCCTTTGCGCCCTTGAAGTGGAAGCGCATCACACCGATAGGGTCAACGTAGCCAGCGCCACCTGCAAGAGCGCCCAGAGCGACGGGCTTCCAGTTCAATGTCATCTTAGCGCGCCCATCCTTGGCTCCCTGGAGATGGAACCATTGCTTGCCCTGCTCCATCATCTTGATCATATCTCCCAGCTTGATTTGGTACCGACCGATGATGGGATCGGTCATCAGATCACGGTCATCCTTGATAATGAGACCCAGACGAGCGTTCTTGCGATCGGTAACTAGGAACTCCTTGGAGGCATTCTGGAAGATGGGGTTGTTGGTGCGCTTCAGCTTGTCGGTGATGTGGATTTCCTTGCCATTGAGAAGCAAAACAGCGTAGGGGTTCAACTTGCCAACCAAGCTCTTGCTTCCATCCAGATCCTTGGCCTGCTCGACGGTGAACTGGGCAATACCGGTGTTCATCTCCGGCGGGGGCTCGGTCTCGCCGGAATCAGTCTTGCGACCCTCGAGGACGGGGAAAAAACGAATATCGGCATGGATGGCACCACGGTTGCGGCCACTGGCCTTCACCTCGAGGTAAATACCCTCGTGCGAAGGCTCCTGCTCAAGCTTGTCCAATCCAAAGGAGGCAGTTCCCAGCTCCTTGTCCTTGCGGTACTCGTTCCAATCGTAGGGGATGATGGTCAGAGCATCAGAGAAGGAAGTGATGATGACATATATAGTCTCGTTCCAGCGGGGACTGTCATTGTCGTGGACAGTCTTGGTGCGTCCGAGTTCAGTACGATTGTTCAGAGAAACCACAGCATACGGGTCGGGAGTACCAGCGAACTTGTCAGGGTTCTTCAGCTGATGAGCACCGTGCAGAGTAACCGCCACAACACCAATGGCCTGGTCGACGGGGTTTCCGGCAAGCATCTTGGCAATTTCGATCGGGAACACGTTGGGGTCGTACATCATGGGCTGCAGGTTGTTGTGGATCTGCTCCTTGATGAAGTTCTCCAGTCCAGGAATGAAGTTGATGTCGAAGCCCAGGGTGTCACCACCGAGGGGCTTGCAAACGTAGTCGATGTCGGGCTTGTCCAGGAAGCAAACATCCACACGCTCGATGTGAGGGAAGGGAATCTGCAGCTTGACCTTGACGCGCATCAGACCAGAACAAGCCATGTCCTCAACAATCACATCCAGGCCCTTGCTGACAACACCTTTGCCAAGTCGGACCTCGAGCACAATCTTGGGGTTGATCTTGTTCTTCAGCTGGCGCGCAGTGAGATCCATCGTATCGTTGGGGGTGAAGCTGAACTTCCAGTCCATAATCACAGTATCCGGGTCGGTCTTGGGGTAGGTTTTGACGTGCTCCAGACGGGGCGGCTTGGTACCGAGGATGAAGGTCTTCAGACGCAAGCTATCCAGGAAGGCGGGAGTCGAAGTACTCAGGACCTGGTCCACGGAGCTGATAATGGTGTCGCACAGAACCGGCGCGTAGATGGGCCAGAACTTGACGAGGAAGCTGTTGATCCACTCGAGACTCTCGGTGTCGGTTTCCAGGCGCGCCTTGGACATCTCCCGATGAATGTCATCGCGGAAGTTGCGACGCACTCGACGAATGGACGTGCGGTAGTAGGTACTGCAAGCGGCCATGATCAGAAGCACCCAGCCCACACCGCCGCCCAGGGCAGCGATCAGCCACGAGGTCAAACAGGCAAATACAATAATCGCGGCATTGTGATACCAATCGCCGAAGAACTTGTCGGGCAGACGACCCTCCAGGAAAGTCTGGTGGTCGAGCAATGTGCCCTCGTCATCCACCTCGGTCTTCTCGGTGACAAACTTAGGCGCCCAACCGGTACGGTCGCGCGCCCACCTCAAATCCTCTTCTACATGAGGGGCGCCCTTCCCACCATTGGCATTGGCTTCCTCAGCCAATAAGGCATTCGCCGATCGCGGGGGCGGAAGGTCATAGTCTGCTTTCCCATCGTCCTACGTAGAAATAAGCCAATTTGAATCGCAGCATTGATCGCGAGGAGCTCCTACCTGGTCAGTGATGACGGACATGCCCTGGGGCTTCTTGTTGTGGTGGAAACCGGGCGGCAGCCGCTAGTTCGGGCATGGTCAGTATGCGATCATGTCGATCCGTTCTCCAGGGTTCATACCGACTGTGCCGCGGCGGCCTTGGCCTCTGGTGAGGCATCGGGATCGAACTGGTAGGCAGGCACGCCAGCCTCGCGAGTTTTCTCAACCAATTTCTCCTCCACTTTCTCGGGGTTGACCTGGGATTGGGGGTCCTGGGCCAGCTCGGAAGCGGCCTCAATGATCCCCTCCTGCTTCAACTCGGTCTTCTCCGTGGCGACGGACGCCATGTTGGCGGTCGGAGATTGTCGCGCTGGGCCTCCGGGTGAGGTTCGTGTGGTTCGTGCGTAGGTAGTGGTGGAGGGACTAGGCAAGACGTCGGAGTTGAGCCGTGGGGACCAATGACAGACACCAGGTACACCGAGCGATCTGGCGAGGGGAAAGGGAGGAGGAATGCCGGGCGCTTACGGGCGTGAGAGCTCGGGACTCGGGGCTCAGAGATCGAATGAAGCCACCAAGTGACTGAAGTCGTTTACAGGTGAAGAGAAAAGAGGAGAAGAAGCGAAGAAGAGAGGAGACCAATGGGTTCGTCCAGCCGCTTGCGTCAATAACGAAGCAGTTGTGGCTGGGCTCGGCAATACCACGCGTGTAATACAGAGTGGGTTGACGGTTTACCCCGATGGAGCTCGCCATTCGACTATGGGACGGCTATTACACTGGAGCCTGCTTTGGTTGGTAAAAAAAAAGGCAGCGATCATCTCGGATCGTCAGTGACGTACTCGGTAATATCGATCGCGGAGCTCGTTTGGCTGGACAGCACCCGGACACATACCGGTTGACTACGTAGAGACCACCCGTCTACCAGAACTACCCGGGTATTCAATTCGTACGGAATTCGGAATTCATATCTCCTTTCTTTGGAGATAGAAAAGGGGACCCTCGCATGGAGACCCCACCGCAGGCAATAGTGTCGCACCGCCACGATCACAGCTCCGGGCGTGTCATTGCGCGTCCACTTTCCACAGTGGAGCTGTGGCTGGAAAGGGGAGACCGAACCAGCCCTACCAGGCAGCAGACAATTACCCCCCTGATGGCATGGTATCCCCTAGGGCCGTAATTGAGGTGGTATTCGACACGGTGTGCCTTGGGGGTAACGAGATTACTCCCACCGCAACCGACTGCACTCGTGGGATACACGCCGGAAGAGATGACCGATGAAATACACGTGTCAAAGCATCGCCCCCGCCCGATTGGCAGCTCCGATCGGCCCAAACTCAGGGAAGATTCGGTGCTAGTTGTCAATTCTCCACAATGGTTCTCTAGCTTCTTCTGGCGCCGAGATAGACCTACGTACATCACTGCCGTGATCGGTGGTTCATTTGGATTGGGTTGCGGCCAGCATGATTCGATCTATCATATGCATGCCGAAATGTACCGTATGCTTTCCCGTCCGAGCCCTTGAATGCAGATCTGCCAATTGGCTTTTGGGTTATGCTGTGTGACCCCGTGGGCTAGTGGATGGTGAAATTTCTGCCGATGGGTTAAAGGGTTGGCTTGGGCCTTCTCCCATCCCGGGGGTTTGCTTTTTTGGCTGAGATTGGCCCGGTCTGTGTATACTGTAGGATCTCATTGGGCTAAACATGCAGAGTGGTTCGTTAAAATAAGATCTGAGACAATTTCTCCTACATATTCCACAATACCCTACAAGATATAACTACACTGCAAGAAGATTAATATCATCAATTGCGATACATGCTAAACTCATGGTTTTAACGGAGTGATATCTGCAGCGCAGCTCGTCACATCTTCAAATTCGTAAAGTAATGCCATTACCGGCCCAGACGGATCACACCGGCGGCCATCAGCTTCTGGATCTTCATCCGCACCTGCGAATTCTTCATGTGTTCCTGTAGCGCCGCGGGGTCACTCTTAGCCTGCTGCAGAATGCTCTGCATGACCGGGTCCTGAAGAATAGCCATGATCTAAAAGAAAATTAGCGTCGATCACTATAAGATGTAGTCGAGTATGCTCACCTCGGGGTCATTCTGGATTCGTTCCATGGTCTGCTGCTCCGTCTCGCCAGCGCGAGCGCTGAACTGCGCATCCAGACACTTCTGCTGCTGCTGCTCGATCTCACGGGCGTTGGTGCCGTCATCATGCTCCGCCGCCTCGGTGAAGGTGTCCAGGGCACGGTTGTACTCCTTCATCGCGACAAGAGCCTGGCCCTTGCGCATGTAGGCGCGGAAGAACTTGGGGTCGCGCTTGATCGCCTCGTCACAGTCCTGGACAGCACCGGGGAAGGCCATCAGCTTGATGAGCGCCGCGGCACGGTTGGAGTAGCCGCGGGGGTCATTGGGGGCGCGCTTGGTCATCTCGGTGAAGGCCTCCACGGCACCGGGCCAGTCGGCCTCCTTGAACTTCTGTTGGCCGAGCTCGCGAGCCTTCTCGGCCGCCTCGGGGTCCAGGTAGGCATCCTTCTCGGCCTTGACCTTGGCCTTTTCGGCGTTGCGCAGCTTGGCCAGAGTCTCGGGAGTGCGGTGCTCGGTGAGCGACTTGTGATAGAACTCGATGGCCTGGGTAAGGTCACCCAACTTTTCGTGGGCACTGCCAATACGAGCATAGGACTTGGCAACGGTCTTGAAGTCGGTACGCAGGTCGCGGGCCTCTTCCACGGCCTTCTGGCAAGTCTCAATGGCACCGTTGTAGTCGCCCTTCTCGAACTTGGCGGCACCGGCGTTGTTCAGGTAGGTGACGTCCTTGTTCAGCTCCCAGGCCTTCTCGTAGTGCTCAATAGCCTGGTCGAACTGCTTCTTCTTGTAAAAGTCGTTACCGATCTTCTTCTCCGCATCACCGGCCTCCTGAGCCTTGCGCTTGGCAATGGCCTCCTCATCCTCAGGCTCGGGCTCGGGGGTAGGCTCCTTCTTGGGCGGTGCGGGCTTAGCATCCGGCATGGGCGAGTCCTGTCCGGAGGGACCATCCTGGCCGAAGCTCATATCGATACCCAAAAGCACGCTCATGACCTGCAGGAAGCGAGGGTCACGGATCTCCTCGCCAACGCTGTTGGGGTTTGATTGGATCTTCTTCAGCTTCGCCATGAATTCGGGGTCGGCCAGCAGGGCCGCGGTCTTGGGGTTGTTGGCCAGCTTCTCGTACAGCGCGGGGTCGTTGAACATGCTACCGAGACCGCCGGTCGGATCACCCTGAACACCATCGGCCGTAGCTTCGGCCTGGATGGCACGCTGGACAGCATCCAGACCGGCCTTGGCCTGGGCGTTGCCGGGCTCGAGCTTCAATGCCTCCTCGTATGCGTCGTAGGCGGCCACTACCGACTGTTAGCCTCCTCCTAGCCTGATCCTTGATTATTTTACTTACACCAATCTTCCATGCCGCGGTAGGCAGCTCCCTTGCGGACCTGACCCTTAGACCAGTCCGGCTTGATGGTGATGGATTTCTCGGCATCCTCGAGGGCTTTTTGGTACTCGCCCTGGGAGCAGTAGACGGCGGAACGGTTGGAGTAGAGGATGTGGTTCTCGGGTTCAATAGCGATAGCCTGGGTGAATTTCTCACTGGAGTCTCATCAGCATCGCCACGATAAATCATCACGATAAGGTGGGGTAGCAACATACATGGCAGTAGGATAGTCCTTGGCCGAAAAGGCCTTGTTGCCTTCAGCCTTCAAAGCGTCAGCCATACTTGCGAAGTAGATACAATAACAAAAGGGGGTATTGGAAGAATTAATGAGCCAGGACCTCGGGGTTATGAGCTCCTTCGCCCGCGAGCTTCTCGAAATTTCCGCGGTAGCCCATATTGATGCCTGAGGCTGCCCCAGCCATGACACATTACAGTCTAGAACACTTCCAAAGGTTTATTCTCCAATTTCTGCTAAATATCTTCCTACTCGGTTCTTTTAGCATCTTTCATAGTATTCGTCTTATTCATTTGCGGGGTATTTTTTCACGTAGCCTACCGGGGTATGTCCTAATGTGTCAAAGTAGGCGGACAGCCACTTACAATTGTACAGTGGAAGCTCCTCTCGCACTAAACCCTTTTCGGCATCCCCGCTGCGAAAAAGTCGCCAAAAAACACACTCGACCTTCATTTTCTGACTCAACGGCGACGAACAAGGCCGACCATGCTACTGTAACCTTCTTATCCCTGCTATTGCAGTGTCCGAGTCGGTCATGACCTCTCTCACTCTCCTTCAATGATCCTGTCCTTCCTCTCGGCCAGACACAATCTCCAACCCTTCTCCAACCATGTCCGAGTCTGGCATCGGCGAGCTCGCCTCCCAGCTCTACGATGCCTGTCTGGAATCCTATGACACCAACCACCTCTTCTACCAGCAGGACTTCCTGAGCCTCGACATCATCCCAAAGAATGATCCGCAACTACTCCTCAAGTGCACCCAGCAGCTGGTCGATCAGAAATTATTGCGACTGCACCAGGACAAGAATGAGCGGCTCGCGTGGAAGATCATCTCCCGGGAAGATGCGGACAAACTCCAGAACCTCAGTGCCGACGAGGGCCTGGTGTACAATGTCATCCACTCCACCGCCCGGTCGGGCATCTGGGTGCGCGCCATCCAGACCCGCACAAACCTGCACAAGTCGATCCTCGACCGCTGCCTGAAGTCGCTCGAGGGCAAGAATTATATTAAAAGCGTCCACAATGTCAAATACCCGACCCGCAAAATGTACATGCTGGCCGGTCTGGCTCCGAGCGAAGACATCACGGGCGGCGCCTGGTTCACCGACGGTGTCCTAGACGCCAACTTTATCAACAGTGTCGCCGGCTACATCGAGTACACCGTCAGCCGGAAGAGCTGGTTTGAAGTGCCCGCCGACCGCGGTCGCACGGCCAAGCGCATCAAGACCGCCACCGGCAAGGCCGATGTCAAGTCCGAGGCCGCCGAAAAGACCTACCTGCCCTACCCATTCAACTACGAGGGCTATCCCACCGTGCAGACAATCACCAACGCCGTCAACGAGAGTGGTATTACCCCAGTGCGCTTGGGTGAAGAGAGCATCGTCCAGCTCCTCCAAATGCTCTGCTTCGACAAGAAGCTCGTTGAGCTGAACCTGAAGAACGGCACCGCCTATAAATCCGTTAAAAATCCCGAGGCCGTCAAAGAAAAACAGTCTCGCAAGCATCCCGCCGAAGGCGAAGATCCCGGCCCAATCAACGAACCCGGAAAGAGCAACGGTATGACCGACTCGCCATGCGGACCCTGCCCGAGCTTCCGGCTGTGCTCACCGGGCGGCGCCATCAGCCCCGAGACGTGCGAGTACTTCGATCCTTGGATGGAGAAGAATCTCGCTTTCTGATTGTACATTGACTTCGAATCTTCAAAACGTTCCCGTTGCATTATGCTAAGCAGCTGCATCGGGTCGATTTGAAACCGAGCCAGGGTGGACAGAGCTCCTCATCCTCTCGTCTCCCTAATGATCTACCGGCATGTAATATGCCCACGTTTGCATGGATGATGGAGGACCCAAAAAAAATGGGATTTGTGCATAGCGATGGCGTTGTAACTTTTTATTCTTTTGGCATCCGCCCGGTTACCGTCTGTCCAAATATGGAAGGCAGGCAGGTGACCTGGGTGCGGGCAAGAAAAGCATGAGAACTTGGGAAGACGTATGTCAATAAATAGACGAATACAGTACTTCCAACCCCGTGTCACTACCTACTCATTGTATATCAATTCCTATTAATTCGCCAAAGGATTTGCAAAGAAAAGAAAATTGGGCTACGCAGGAACAAAGGTAAGCGTCAGACATGTAAGATACCTTGGTATATTTTCAAGATTCTCTGTGAAAATATCGAGGAGAAAAATTCAAATCGCTTTCCAAGTTCGAACTTGATATTCTGCAGCCATATTTGGGATGCTTGAATACTTCGCATCCTATAGACGTGACGTTACTATACTGTATAGGACAACATTGTACCGATTCTCTGAACGATTTATCCAGCACCTGATACATTGAGAAAACATAAAATCCTAAGCCATCCCATGGGATGCTATGTACACGCCTGGGTATATCAACCAAACAAAAATCCCTAATCGACGCCGACAAGAAAGAACACACAAGACGGAATGGCCTTACTTGCCCAACGTCTTCCGACACTCGTCACAATACCACGTCCCAACCGGCTCCCGCGTCAACCCCACGCATTTCCAGTGGAACCACTCATAGGGACAACTATCATTATCACACGCCACCATATCCCCATGGCTCACCGTGCGACAAGTACAGTAGACCTTGGTATCCTCAGCGCCCTCCTCATCGTCATCATCATCATCCATATCCTCGTCATCATCAACGCCGCTCTTATCAGAATCCGACATGTCAGCACTACTGAGCATGGAATCGTCATCTTCGTCGCCGTCGCCATTGGGTGATTTCTTCTTGAGCCGGCTTCCGCTGGCTGAGCGCTTGCTGGCTTTGTTCGAGGCTTTGATCTTCTTCACTTGGTGGTGGGGTGCGACTTTCTTGGTCAAAGCTTTCCTGATCACGCCCGTGGACCGTGGGCCGGCGCTTCCTGCTCGGCTGGCTGCCGGTGTGCCCGGTTTGGGGGTTCCCGGTCCAATGGAGGACTGGCGTAGGTTTGATGACGCGGCTGGGAGGGTGCCCAAGGAGGCGTTCAGACGGCGTCGTTTGCTGTCTACTGCGCCGGCGGAGGACTCGCGCTGTCTTTGCTGAAGGTGCATGGCGGCGGAGCCGGTTGGTGTGGCTGGGGCGGAGTTGCGGACGGCTTGTTGCGCGGTCAGCGCGGTGATACCTGCAACGCGGGGTGTGGACTGTTGAGCGAGGCGCTGTGCAGCAGCTAGGATGGGGTTGGCGTTGCCAGAGGTTGGGTTGAGAGGCGTGGAGTAGGAGGTGGAATCGTTCGAGCTGGAGTCCGGAAAGAAGACCTTCGGCGGGTCGCGGTAGCTCGTAGTGTTTTTGTCGAAGAGCGAAGGGAGCGGCGGTTCATTCGAGAGCAGGCCTTCGTTCTGCAGGTCGCGGATGCGCACATCCAGTCGCTTGACCTGTCGGTCGAGGAGGACGCATGCTTTCTCGCTGAGCTGGATTTTCTCGCTCTGAAGGGCCTCGCAGCGGTCGAGATTTTGCAAGACGGTCTTGCTATACTGCTCTTCCTTCGGGTTTGGCGTCAAACTGCCGTTGAGTTTGATGAATTTCTGGATGCTTCCGTCGCGCGAGTTGATGGTGGCGCGGCACTCCTGCATGATCTTATCCTTTGCCTGAATCTCTTCCATCAAGTGGTTGATCTCAAGAGGCAAGTTGGCCACATCGTGCACAAACTGCTCTAGCACAGTCGCGCAATCCTCCGCTCCGTGCGCCATGACTGGACTGGATACGGATTTCTTCGGACGAGTCGCCTTCGTATGGTGGGATCGGGAGCTTCGAGGGCGCTTAGATTTGCGTGGTACTCTTTCCACCGGAGGATTCGATTCCCCTTCTTGGCTGGTTTCGTCCGCGACTGGGCTCCGTGGGGTCTGCTCGGACTTGGACTTGAGGCGCAGGGTTAGTCGTAGAATCGGGCGACGTTGATCGCCCGCTGAGTCATCCATGGCTGCTGAGTCAGAGCGTCGGTGCGGCCGGCGCTCGGAGATGGTTGCAACTGCGAGTTCTGAGATTCACGTATCCGGTATTTCTGTAAGTGGATCTGGGGAAGATCTAATTCCGTTGAAGGAGATGTGGGATACATTGACTGAAGTTGGAGATGGGAGGTGTTGGAAGTAAAGGAAGTGAGAGATTACTACTCCGTAGAGTACTTCCCATTTAGCAAACATTGCACGGTTAAGCGGCGACTAATGCAATGCAGCTTGTTTGAACTTCTTTAAATTGTCTCGTTGAAGATGAATTTCACAAGCTACAGTGAAAGTCGATCTATGGATGACTGCAGACAATATGGAAAAATCGAGGCGCCTGCTTCTGCTAGTCCCATCGACTATTTTTGACATCTCCTGGGCTGCAAAGCAAGCACATACATAATTAATCGATACCGGGATTTGACCGCGTCGGGCGATGGAAATCAGTATTCAATACTTCTGACCCGCCCCTCTCGAACATAACATTCCAACATTGTTATGCAACAGAGTATCCCATCTAACTTTTGAATTACAGGCTGAAAATATCTATGATTTTATGCAACGATCTATTTAAGCTTAGCAAGTCGCCGGTCGATGTGCGAGCCCTCATCGTAAGTCGCCTGCCGCTTTTTATGAAGGGTCTGCCAGCTCGCGGTAGAGCAAGCTTTCCCTTAAGTCCCCGACATTTTTCGGAAATGCGATACAACTCGAAGGCAGGATTCTCCGGCTAGATCAGTGCCGGAGTAGCTCCCCAAGGTACTTGAACGATTTTCGTCTCAGAGTTTAACTGTGAAGAAAAACAACGAAGTGAAACAGTTAATGTCCGAGTCAAAGAGTGGAGTGACTGCCAAAACTTTAAGTATATTTTAATCAGATAATGTCTAGATACTGAGAATCTGTTCTCGCATACTACTATACACGGAGAAGAATTCCCGCCAACAATTCCAGAAGTAAGCAAAACAATTTAGTCTATACACTTTTTGCCCTGGCGACAGGTTACAAGCCTGCAAGACTAAGCTAAATAACTAGGTAGCTGTCTCTCAATCGTGACCTCAGAATGAGATAATATCAATCTTAACTCATCTAGGCATTTACGACCGAGCAACAATATGTGTCGTGGCGGGGTAAAGCCCGGCCGATCCAACGCCGATTGGGCTTCAAGTTGAGCGATCAGCCGCCGCATTCATACCACTACTTAATGAGCTACGATAATTCAAGGAGGTGAGAGCTACCCTTTACTCATTTCCATTCAAGCAACTACGTATGCACCATACCTCATAGCATACCTCTCAGGTTCCCTCGTCCAACGGCGTGCAAACAGTGCAAACCGGCACATCGGCCTTGTTCCCGCTCCAACAATTACGCGCGTAAAAGTAAATTGGGAAGCGGACTCATCTCGCCCGCTCCTGCTGCTGCCGGAAGTCACCGTCATCCTCTTCGACCTCAGTTTACTTCAATTGACGTGTTGTCTATAGACCGGTGCTTCCGGCCAACTATCAGGATGGGCCAGGAAGCTACCCCGGCGCTGCCGGAGGGCATCTTTTCCCTACTGGATACGGATCTCTACAAGCTGACGATGCAATGCGCGGTTCTGAAGTACTTCCCGGATGTCTGTAAGTATGCCTGGTCTTCTAGTCGGTGTGTCCAGGTCTAATGCGCGGCAGATGTAACGTACGGCTTCACGAATCGGACCCCGCAGATGAAGTTGCGGCGCGGGGCATACAAATGGCTTCTGCAGCAGATGGACAGTATGTGCTGTTATTCCGCTATATACCGATCTATGCTAATGATATGTATAGAACTCGCCAATGTGCGCATCACCCCCGAAGAACGACAGTTCCTCCGGAAGAAATGTCCCTATCTCAACGAAGCCTACATCTCCTTCCTCGCAACCTTCCAGCTCAAGCCCTCCGAACAAATCGAGATCAAGTTCACACCGACGCAAGACACGGGCAGCGACGATGACGAGGGTGATGTGGAATACACTATCAAGGGCCTTTGGCTCGACACGATTCTCTACGAGATCCCGCTGCTGGCATTGACCAGCCAGGCCTACTTCATGTTCTCGGATAAGGACTGGGACTACTGCAACCAGGAGGAGAAGGCATTCCGCAAGGGCTGCGAGCTTCTGGAGAACGGTTGTGTCTTCTCGGAGTTTGGCTCGCGCCGCCGCCGAGATTACCATACTCAAGACTTGGTGATGAAGGGGTTGATGCGTGCTGCTGAGGTAGGCAAGAAGAAGGGCTGGAAGGGCGTGTTGTCTGGCACGAGCAACGTGCACTTTGCCATGAAATATGATACCAATCCCGTTGGAACGGTCGCGCACGAGTGGTACATGGGAATTGCGGCTATCACGGATGACTACGAGAATGCAAACGAGCTGGCTTTGAGATACTGGCTTGGCTGTTTCGGAGAGGGGGTAGGTCATACACTCCATATATTCAGGCTTCCAGCTAACCAGAACAGGTTCTCGGTATCGCCCTCACCGACACCTTTGGCACACCGGCATTCCTGGACGCCTTCCGCAAGCCCATCCCAGAGTACACAAGCGCCGGCGTGGGCGCGGTTACCGTTGCACCCTCTGGCGCAAACACAACCGTGGAATCTTCCACTCAGAGCTTGGCTTCTACGCAAACACCAATCTCGGCACCTGTCAACAAAAGCGGCAGTCACCCCACCAAGAGCTACGCCCAGGTATATACCGGCGTGCGCCAGGACTCGGGTGACCCGTCATACTTCGTGAAGATGGTGCGCGACTTCTACAACCGCGAGGGCATCACGGGCGGGAAGGTTGTCGTGTTCTCCGACTCGCTGGATATCGAACACTGTCTGGAATACAAGACGCTTGCCGAAGAAGCACACCTTACTCCTACCTTTGGCGTTGGTACTTTCTTCACGAGTAAGCTCCACCCCATACATTCCATTTCATGTGTGATATTAATATTTCTTAGATGACTTCACCAACAAATCCAACGGCGAAAAGTCCAAGCCCCTCAACATCGTCATCAAAATCTCCACTGCGAATGGCAGTCCAGCCGTCAAGCTTAGTGACAACCTGGGCAAGAACACAGGTGACTCTAAAAAGGTTGCTTGGGTTAAGAAGACGCTGGGATACACCGAACAAGAGTGGGAAGAAGGCGATGAGAGTAATCGCTGGACGCAGAAGGCATAATCTGTGTCATTACTTATCAGACATGAGAGATGAGTAGATGTGAGCTCTGTGAATTGTTTTCTTCGCAGACCATCGATAGAGACCGGGAAGTTGCCATGATATCCAACATTAGAAGTAGACAGAATCGTAAACAGAAGTTTTGCTGACCCACATCTATTACCTGTATTTTGCTGGAATTTGACGTCTGCGTTCACGTTCATGTACAATTCCATACATACTATCCATTAATATAGGGACGTACTAGCCAACTTTTTCTGGGTCCCAGCCAGCTGTGTCAAGGTCTAGAAATTATCAAATTATGATACAGAGCTAACCATACAATCTGAAGCTCCATTTAGTAAGGGGCTTGCGCTATCGCAGTCACCACAGTTCCTGTCTTGTGCGAGTTAACTGTCGTATAATACCTTGTCGATGTCGATGTAATGGGACATCCAATGAGCGGTTTGACTTTCGTATCGTATGTAATGAGCGCATCCGCGTTACACCCAAGCACCGACTGGATGAATACGTAGCAACTTAAGGAAAGGCCGTCACAGGATAGCGTGCCGCCATCACCAGCACTCGGAGCTGCCGCGTTCGTGTAAACACACTTCGAGTACTTCTCATCGTTGACCGTGAGCGTCGAAAAGAAGCTTACGCTTTGTGGAATATCCGACCATGCCTTCGGTTTAGGACTTCCAACACCATAATTGTACCAATATCCTGCTGTACAGACATCATTTGTCGCGAATGGTTTATTAAAGTTGAGATTATAATCAGTCTCCACATTTCCGCGGAACTCGTATCGCGATGCAGCAGCGACTGAGGCCCAGCCAACGATATCGGTAACTATCACGGTGGCGGTTCCGGTCTCCAGAGCGACATTGGTGATTGTGCTGATAGTGGAGCTAGCTGTGGAAGTCTCGCGTTGGTAAATCGATTCAGCTGCAACCCAGTCCGCAGAAAAATCCGTCGGTCCATCGTCTGCGACGTCAGACCAGATCTCCACGGTGCCCGTGATTATCGGGGCTAGTGTGTAGCCATCAAGGGTGGAGATGCCAGTTGTATCACAGCCCACAATATCTTAAAACACGAGTCAGAATAGCAGAGGAGAATGGTGGATGGCTTAAGTTATCCTACCTCTGCATGTGGACGAGCAAGAGCTGGTCGAGCTCGCTGTGACGCAGGAGGTGCTGCATGAGCTGTATGTTTTTGTCGAACACTCTGTCCAGGTTGACGAAGGATCATTATTAGGATCATTTTCAGGATCGGGGTTATTCGGGTTGTTAGGGTCCTTGTTTGGTGCTACAAGAGGTTAGCCTTGGGTCGTATCAAGAACGAAGATGTACTAACATTCAGACCCACCGCAGTTTGTGAAGCATGGGTGGCAGACATGGAAAATACTGCTGATCAGACCTGATATTCCCTCGTGGCATGATATGCCGCAGAGGATGCGATTTGTACACGTCGGGTGTGCTGGTCCATGGTGATGCGTAATTTGGCGATGCCCACTATGGTGCTCATCATCTCCTCCACCTGTAGTCTTGGAGCCACCACCCGATGTGGTTTTGGTTCCTCTAGAGTTCGTTTCTTTTCCACTTGTTGACTTTGTCGGCTCAGTGGCCTCTTCCCCACCCGAAGAAGAGCTGGTTGGCGTTGCAGTCTTCCCCGGGGAAGGGGTCTGAGTGGGACTGACTGAGTCCCAAGGGGGTGGGTAAAATGGAACGACCGTCCCAGGGTACGTAGTTCCACTATGTTTGAAAGGAGGCCAGGTGATGTTGAAGGCAGTTTGAATGATGCTGGGGGTCGGCGTAAAGACTGAAGAGACCACACCAGGCGGGATCACCACATTCCAGTACGGCACCACGGAACCGTGGTAATCAGGGATGGAGATGGTAGTAGTAGTCGTGGTCGTGATGTACGTAGTAGTGTTGATCGTGCTCCCCAAGTACACTATGTTTGTGGGAATTTCGATACCAACTCCAATTTGTGTGACGAGAGGAGGATAGACCCAAGTGCCTGGTGTTGGGAGCGTCGTTGGGGGTAGGACGTAAGTGCAAGGCTCGTTACAAAAGACATTTGTATCATCATCCGGCTCATCCCACAGCGACGGATCAATATACACGATTCCGGAATCATTACCGCTTGATCCAATCGTGTCGCCACCACTTGAGAGTGCAAGCCATGCAGCAATTTCACTGGTAAATCCATTCCGCGTGGTCGAATTGAACCGCAATGCAGGCAGGTCTCCTTCAGGAGACACGATCTCCACATTGCCTATAGTGAAGATATTGTACATCCACAAGTTGTTCGCGAAGTTTGTTTGAATCAGGGACTGTTGGCAATCCTCGTCGTCAACGCATCCTTCGTCGTAGTTCTGGAAAAAAGAATAGAATCCAGCGGAATAGATGAACACATCGGTGGAATTGAGCACACGCAGTGCCCACGCACTCTTGCACAGATCGTCTGAACAATCGGCGTAGGTCGGATCAGATGACAGATCACCAGGTTGGTAGGGGCTCAAAGCATTGGGTTGAGGCTGATAATAGGGCGTCTCTGTCTGCATATGACCCATGTACACATTTGCGGCGTTCTGTAATTGGTACTGATACATCTGCGAATGCTCGCTTGCTGTGCCATAGAGCCAGGTAGGACCCTGGGACTCGATCAGAATACCGCGACCGCAGTAAACTGTAATGTCCGTCCGGACATTTTGAGGAATACCTGAAGTACTCTCCGTTGCACCAGCATTGAGAGGGCTGTCGATATCGTGATCGGCCACCCAAGCCCAAACGTTCTCGAAGTACCCGGATGATTCATCAGTGAGATGTAGCAAAAGGAATGCCGCCATGCAGTCTTTGTCGTCTGCATTCCCCCCTGCTGGACACTCAGATAATCCGAGATCAGAGCCAGTGGTACCTCCAACACGGAAGTGACTGTCCCACATGGCCGCTATGCATATTGTCAGGACATGTTCCAGATAAAAGGTCATTGAAGTTGTGAAAGTAAAAGAGAATGTTTAACTTACCACTTCCCTGTTCGCTTTCGTGTATGTTCCACTCCATGAGGACTGCACCTGCCGTAGCGCCCTTGACTGTGAAAAGCATATCTGAGATTTCGACAACACCTTGCTCGCCTTTCTCACCGACCTGCACGAGGACGGTAGGATTACTTTCATCCTCAAACTTCGACCCGGTACCCATGATCTGACTCCATCCTGAGCCGACGATTTTAGTTCCAACGGGAACTTTGATTGTGCTTTTCACTTGATAGATACCAGCAGGGAAAAAGATGACAGACCCGAGATTTCCTGATAGAAGACTATTTATTGCAGAGGACTGGTCGCCAGCTCCGTCATTTGAGATGCCGTGATCTGTCGCCACAACAGGAGTATCTGACTCATATTGTGGCTTCGCCCGCCGATAATAGGCACCCGAGCTGTCCAGAAGTTGCGAAGGCTTGTTCGGAGCTGGGTCAACGAATCCAGTTTTCTTTTGTCCTGAACCGTCAGGAAGAAATTGATAGCCACTGACCCAGGAGTCAAAGTAGAGGGCATCAGTACTGCCGGCCAAAAGGGTGTCTCCACCGGATATGAGAACAACAGAGGCAGAGTTCTCCACCAGCAAATTGTCAAGCACGACACTGGGCTGTTGATCCTTTTCGTGTGCAATGGTGATAGCATATGGCACGCCGTCAAAATGTGAGTCTACCACGGCAATGGAGCCAGTTCCCTGGTCTCCAACACCGGAGTACTCAGTGGCATCGATAGCAATGTAGCAAGACAAAACATGGATTTCTTTCCAGGTAAAGCCCCAATTCCATATGGATTTGATGGCTGTTAAGCACGAGGTGAATCTGAGATTGATGGCCGTAAACTGCTGACTTCCCGCTAAAAAACCAATGTTTCTGGATATTTATCTTGTTAGAAATAGCTCCAAGGAGGCTTGGGGGCATGGTTTTACTAACCCGCCGGTAAATTTCAAATCAGAAACCATTCCACCACTACCGTTCTCCATGAAGATACCCACAGCCGTTGCTGACTGGCTTGCTGTAGATACAGACATTTCGAAATCGCAGTTGGTGATGGAGGTGGCCTGTCCAACTTGCCAATGGATACCAGCAGGGACGTATGTTTGGTTGCTATCAGTATTGGTCCAGTTCATGGCAGTCATATCAAAGACAAAATTTCGAATCTGTCGATAGAAATTGCTTTGATTGATATACCATTCAGCTCCATCCGCCCCGGGCACATAAAAGTCAGAGTCGATCAAAGCAATGCCGGTAAAATTCCTAGCGCCCTTAATTGTAGGCTTACTTGCAGGATTTCCAACAAACTGGGTGTAGTAGTACTGAACAATAGGAGTGGTGATCAGATAAATGCCTTCAGGGAAATATACCACAGCGCCCAGAGTGGAGGTTGAGCCACAATCTTTTCCACAGCGGGCCGGAGAATGATCCGACGAACTGAGAGCGGATACAGCACGATTGATGGCTGCTGTGTCGTCTGTTTTCCCATCACCGATGGCGCCAAAGTCCTTAACATTACGGAAGTATTGATATCCAGATGGGGCATGTGGCATCTGTTGTACAAATTATTAGCAATTCACGCCTGTAGAAATACGTAGGAGCATAACTACATACCTGCCCTTTACTACCAAGGTTGGACAGCCAGTAATCGTCACTGTCAGAATCTCGCGTGTGGATAGATCCATGCATATCAGTAATCATCGATGAATTCATTGGACCCAACACAGGGCCAGCCATTGAACCATGGTCAGGAGCGCTGCCAAAGAAGTTGTTGACATTATCCTTCATGTATGCTGGGGCCGGCTGATGTCTGTTAGTTAGAATTTGGATCATGAAAGGGGTACAAAAAATCGAGACTTACATGAGGAGACCCCAGTGGAAGAATAGGCTTATCACCAAATAAAACTGGAGTACCGAGCTTGTTGGTGGCAGTTGTTCGTTGAGTAGTTTGGGAATGATTCGAATTGCCACGGGCTGCATGGTGATGGAACCAATCATGACCATGACCATGGCTATGGCGAGCATCTGCACGGGCTATTACTTGCAAGCCGAGCCAAAGAAGGCCCGACAGCCCAAAGTTTTGGATCAGCATCGCTGCACTATCTCATCAGAAGAAGGTGTTCTTGTAATGGTAGCAGTAGCAACGATAGGCTTTAATCCTGTCCAACCTCTATTGAGGAAATACGCGGACTTATAATTAGCGGGACAGTCAAGCATGGTACACAATGCTTATATGAGAACAACAAAGCACGCTTATTTATTATCGGCAGTATCATACTACGTAAATTTGATCACAGTAACGGATCACGGACCCCATTGAGATTATGGTGGGTCCAAATTAGCGAGTTCTTAGCTCGCCTTACTTCATTTACTCCGCTGCAGGGGCTAAATCCAACATTTGAACAATACGACCCTGTCATTACCAGCGGCAAGATTAAGGTCCACAAGCCCATTCAAATCTACTAGTAAGATGTTCTAGTAGGAATTACGCTCTCGAACCCTGGAATTCTCGCCGGACCCGCCCCGTATGTTCAACATTGTCCGAAGACTCGGCACCTCGGGTCTACCTAAGTCGACTTTCTATAATATTTCCATTTGACACATGGCTACCTAAGCATTTACTCACATAGCCGCCTATCCCTTTATGCAAAGATCCCCCTACATGCGGATGTGAAAGCGAACGCACGAGCACGTTAATGTACTAGAAATACATTTTGTACACCCATGGTTTATAAAAGTCATTACGGTATTATTCCAGAAGATTTGAAATTGCCAATCCGACCTTATTGCACTATTTCCCATCAACAGATGAATCATGAACTTTTTTTTGACTTTAATCTCGAAACCACGGAGCAGGCCACTGTTTTCTCCCGGCGTAGTGACTCTTAGTACTTCCGGGCTCGGACCGAGAAATACAATCACCAATGCTCTAAATAACAGTTCCTAAGGAATTACTAAAAGAATGGTCAATTGTCTCAAATTGCAATGTCACATTCAATCCGGCCCCCATGGGAGTTCATCGCGCTAAGAACAAGCCCAACAGAGGTGGGTTGCGTGTGGATTTAGCATTCGAATGTGTCCGCCCCTCGATTTCGGGCTAGAGGCTCGAGACCGGTGATGTCGGCCCCTCGCGGATATACTCGACCTTCCAAACAGAGAATCTATGCGGTGTGAGATAATCAAACTAGTCCGCATCGTAGCTCGAACAGTTGCACCTGGGTATCTTTCGTCGTGTCCGCTCCTTAGCTTAAATTAGTTGTGGATCGTATGCAGGTACGAAGTGTAATGAATAGAGGCTCCGCAGCGACAGGGCTATTTTCTCGGAGCACTAAACTACTCCGAAATTTGAAGCCGCTAATCCCGCAAGCGATGAGACAAGAGCGATTGATGGTTCATCCAGACGCTAAGAGATGCTACCTCGGAAGCGTGGAAGGAAAGGAGGGCCCGTCCCTATCAGCCTGGCTAGACTCCATTTTAAAGAAGGGAAGACCCTATATCACTCTTCTCTGGAGGCTGCTTCTGAATTAATCAATAGCAACCAAAGCAATTCATTGACTTTCAGCTGTCATTATGCGGTCAACCAGGCTGATGCTTGTTCCGGGGCTGCTGTTCGCAGCCATGGTAAACCTCGTGGAGGCTGATCGACTACCACTTTCAAAATTGTTTCTTTTTTCTCTCGAGTCTGACGTTCCTGGTAGTTGCAGTGGGTATGGAGGAGTTACCCTGAATGCTACTGCTGATGACGTCTATACGTTAGCTACACGGTCGACTCAAGTCATGAGAGACTTCCAAAACACCGATGCGGACACACATGATGCGGCAACGCGGTTGGTTAATGCAATGTTTCTCAGTCCATCCGAAGATGAGTTCCAAACCGTGAAAAGTAATTTAATTTCAGCTCCAGGATTAAAACAACCTTGAATCTCTAAGCTAATAGGTCATAGACAGAATTGATGGTGTGAAAAATTGGATGGAGTCACGCGGCAACATTAACAACGGTCTGAACAAGAAAAAACCATATCTGTTTTGTGGTGACTCGTGGGCGATTCGCCAAGACATGGATAGCCAGATGAAAGATAAGAACGGGGAAAAAATGGTCCATGAATCGGATGGCAAGCCTTTCCGTATCAAGGACAGCAAAGACCTGAGGAAAGCCCATAAAAAGGTGGCCAAAGAGTTGGGAACAAAGGAAAAAAAGATCTATCCAGTAAGAATCCGTCTATTTCAAACCTCAATACCGTTACTAACCTTGGAGCCTCACCCAGTACTGGAGTCCCGCTATTAACGCCTATTTTTTCGATCGGAGTTATTCTGACGACCCAAAAAAAGGAGGGTGTGACTTGGAGGATGTCCTTGGCTTCACCTTCCACCATGACTCAATAAGTGGGATTGTGCTCTGTGATAAGTCGTTTACTGGAGTTCGGCTGCATCAGAAAGAGGTTTTCCCACTCTCGAAAGATACCTTCGAGAATTATGGAGGCAAAATCAACGATTACCCTAGTACAAGGATCGAAGACGTCTTACCGGCGGCTCGCACTCTATACCACGAGCTGTTCCATTTATATTGGGGTGCCGACTTATACCCAAACGGCGGGGAGGAATACAAATTTCGCAAACTTACAAATGACAAGAAGTTTACGACACAACAAGCAATGTCGAACCCGGAGAACTATGTTTTACAAGCGTCAGTATTCAAATTTTCGACGATTCTCATGTCCCTTGCTTAATCTTTTTCACCAGTGTTGCCTATGATTACACTCTATCCGTTACGACCAAGTCAAAGTTCTACCCGGTAGAGTTCTATACCGGTTTTGCCACCTATACAAAATGAACAAAAACCCAGAAGAACAACTATGTTGCTCGTGCGCCTAACCAACTCGTTATACTTTGAAACTCGGAGAGCAAAGCTGGGTCAAGAAATATGGATATGTATTCAGATATAGGATCTAGCATACCGATCCATTTTATAGCCAATCTTCATCCCATGCGTATCGGAACTTCTTGTGAAGAGCCATGTCCTCCGGACAAAGGAACCGGAACCATTTCTGATAATACACAGACATATCTTCGATTGGTTTGTTCGACCACAAACCAAATTCAATCATCCGCCATTCTTCCCATAGTAGAAAGCCATACCTCGAATAAGCTTTGAAATGCATATATTTGCCAGGTCCCCCTTCAGGATTTGAGACCATGCTGCTCCAAAACTGTAGGCCAAGCGACGCTCTTTCGAGATCCAAATATTCTTCTTCTCCGGTTGAGTCTGGGCCGAAGTCTTGAACAGGACACTCCCGATATTGACTGATAGAGCCGCCTATTACTCGCAGTCTATCCGGGAATTCGTACTCATCGCTATCAGTATCTGAGGTATCTCTAAGGGTACACCTTGTGGGGCGAATGACAATGCTTTCGCCGTCGTCACTATCTTCATTCTCATCATCATCATCTCCTTCGCTATCTTCATCAGATAAGAAATAGAATTCATTGGGTTCGGATTCACTAGACGAAGATTGTGGCCCAAACCACCGAATTCTTCGAGACCGAAGACTCAGGTTTTCGTCAGACTGTTGACAGTTTCTCAGACTGAGCTCTTGACTAGGCTCTTGAGAGTGTTGCTCACTCGATGCCTCTTCTTGTTCTTCTCCTAGATTTTCGCGCGGTTCTTCTTCTAGTTGCTCACTAGGATCAACAAGTTGGCATTCCATTTCGTTAATCAGCTGCTCTGCCGACGGCTCGGTGACGACGTTTGATACTATATCGGAGGCCGTAATTTGTTCACGAGGATTTTCATCAGGCTCTTGCCCCTGGGAAATCGCCTGCCAGGAAGGTGGAGGCTGACAGTCCCAGCCAAATTCTCTCTCCTTTAGGATAGGAGGCAGGTTGAATATCTTCGAACGTTCTAAGAGCCGTTCGGATTTTGGATAACCTCTTAGGTAATCGAGTACCATGATTATTTGCAGCATGCAAGGAATAGAGTCTGGATAATAATACTGTATTCCATTATCCAAGGAGTCTAAGGCATGGCACGGCCATCTTAGTAAGCCTTTGTACGATTCTTTTCGGAGCTGATTGAGGAAGACAAGTCGCCAAAATCCTAGAATTCCACGTTGCTCCTCAGTCCATGTTGGGATTTCAAACCCCTTAAGATAGTGGCGGTCACCCAAGCTGCTTTGCAAACATCTTTGTATACAGCCTTCAATGCATAGATGAGCGTGCACATGAACATAGTGAGCTAGCTTAATAAGCGATCTTATTTCTGATGAGGTTCCGGATATACTGCGTAGTAGTGGGACCTCGGACCAGTCGAATTGATAAAGCTGATCTTCCGGGGTACGGCATAGGAATATACCTTTCCACAGTGACAGAACGCCTTGCATAAGAGCCCGGGTAGAGGATGGAACTTTGGTGTTCAAAATAGCATTGCCAATCAAGCAGGCATGAGCATCAAACACCGACGATAGGTATGACGATGTGTGGATAAGGCTCCATAGTGAACTAAAGTCGGTCGAGTGTTGGAAGATCAGGACTAGGAGTTCAGTGGGAAGCTTTGAGAGCCGATCATGGGCCGTGTCTGACATGATGTTGTTGATCACGGCAGTATTTAGAAGAAAAGATGTAGGTAGGCGTGCCAATCTTCAGAACAAGCCCCTTCAGTATCGGCGCCGCTTGTATATATTTGGCGTCAAAAATGTCCGTAAGTGTTGAGGATTAGGCTGAACACTAGCTGGTTTCACTTTTGCTGGGGTTGATTTCGCGTATCGGATGAGATAGAGGGCACATGAATTCCGCCCACGTGTGAGTCACAAATATGGAATGGGGAGGAAAGACGGGCAACCGGAGAAAGCAAAGACAGATCAACAGGCGAAGTGAAACCGGATGTGCTTCCAAGCTTAGGGTGGAGATTTTAAATGATCTGGCGCAATTCCCGCCCCAAAATCATTTCCCTAACAAAATCAATTTTCCAATTTTGCGGCGTTCAAGACTGCCAGCCCCACGGTTTGATCAAGAAATCTTCGAAGGTCCCACCAACCGGCTCGAGAGACAATTACTTCCGTTCCGACCGCTTTGGTCTCTTGTGGCGTTCCCAGCTATCCCCACAGGGCGCGCATGTACATATACGTACATATGCGATTGTAACGTGGTGCCACAGAGCCTTACCCAACTAGGACTAAGGTTAAGGTAGACCTGGCACTCACCCGCCCCGCGGAGGGTGCAACCGACCCCGCGTATTGTCAACACTCTTTACCTGTTTAGGACACGCTTTACTATTTTAGAATAGATGATTAAGTGGTTTCACACCTAAAATATGACTTTTCTGCCTAAAACGTGTCACGTGGGGACCCTGAGGGTGACCCTCGGAGGGTCGGACATATAAGTGCCCGGCCCTCACGGTCTATAAATCGGACCCTCCACCCGCCAAGAAGAGGTGCGGGTGGAGGGTCCGGAGGGTCACGCGCGGGTGAGTGCGAGGTCTAGACACAGCTTCATCGAGGGGTCCATTCGCAGCACTAGCTGGATTTAGTGCTCTATAGCATCTCCATTTTGTCTGAAATTCCCAGACTAAACAAAGTAATGTTACATACAGTCCTCGGCTATGAGTAGATTTCCCTTGTGATTTTGCTCTCCAGTTGTAGGTTCATTTGGCTACTGTCATATTTATCTCATTCTTGAGGAAAATGAGGATGCCTAAACTTAGACTGTATCTAAACCTTTGCCATTCTTAACCCAAGGGAGGCTAGCGTGGAAAGGCGGCCTGGATGAGAAATGGAACTATATCTAATCCGGGGTTTCGTTGAATGGGATCAACCAAATCAATAGATATCACCTAGCATATCCTATTTGTAGCCATCTAAGCATGAATTTTATATATATATTAATCAGTCTTTCAGGGGTTAATACGAGTGCTTTGATCTGAATCTGGGCGACGTCGTCGACGCAAAATAGTGGACCCTAGCTAGTAGTGTATGAAGATCTAATTTCGGCGAGGATTTGATCCGGGTCAATATCGTCACACCGTCCACCACGGAGAAGTGATGCTGCTGTTGAATTCAGAATCCCAAGGACACAGAGGTGCTTAGGGTCTGTTCGTTCAATGCAATAGGCTAGTGCCTCCAGCATGCCGGTCGTGAAAACCGTGGTATGTCTATAAGTATCAGACGTTAGGACAATATTATCTCCAAGGTTAGAAGGACTATGGAGTAGATAGAACTTACACTGCCGATGCAATTTGTGTTGAACATGAGATGAGGATGCTCTCCCCCAATAGCCGGATCAGCATAAGCCATCGTTTGCCAAATCGTTTCTTGTCGTGGAATCGACTGCGAAGGTGACGCTTCCTGTCTCCAAGGTGCCAGTCTGGATGCAACTCGACCAAAATACCATCAATCACGGTTGAAGCGTCCCCACGCCCCTGTCCCTTACACTGCTGCGAGCCGGCGTGTCGCCACTCTAGGTAGGCCTGCTCGTATGTGGTGTACAGCGTCGCAACAGCCACTCGATTGAGGATCTGGTCATCTCTGATCCGATTCTCAAGTTTAAAAATACACGAGTAGGCATTTAAAAGCCTTGTCCGTCCTGATCCTTCTGTACTCGGCGCTGGTATCTGTTCTTGCAGCCAGAGACCGGCCGTCTTCCACCGGGGCAGGCTTTCTTCAAGGAATTCGACTAGATCAGGCCTTATAAAGTTCTCCGATATTTCCAATATCTCATGTAGAATCTTGTCTGGCAAATTATACTTGGTGCCTGGACCAAACAGAGATCGTAACTGCGTTGGGGCTCGGTCGCTAGAGCATGATGTGGTATAGAGAGGGTCGAAGCACTCAAAGAACGCATCGGACGAAGCAGAAGTCCGGCTCCGATTTTTACTTACTTGCACAGGCCTCCTTCGTGGTGAATTGTGATCGTAAGGCATCTGCTCCTGAGGATTGCTATGGATGGCAAAGTCGCTTGGCTGGCAGGCTAATCCAGACGAAGCCTCTGATAATTCGCCTTGGGTTTCCGGACTGATGGGATTTGAACCATCTACGACAAGTCCTAGTGCCGAGGCTAACTCACACTCCGGCCAGTGGCTGCTAGGGCATCAGGAAAAGCAACGAGTTAGATTGAAAGCGAGTGAACGAACCTTGTGGGTTGTGCCGCTGGCGGCCTTGTCTGTTGACAGAAATCCTGGGGTACCCCTTCTATTGTATCACCATTCTCGTAATCATAGTTCTGTTCAGCCCGCCTGCCATTCCCCATTTGCAGATCTAGGAGCATCGCCAGGTCCGGGGTGTCTGCCGGGTTGAAATCAATCCTGTTTATCATCGGTTCGGTGTTGGCGCTTTGGCTCGCCCAGAAGTCTAGTATTTCGATCCTGGACGCTTGATCGATATGATCGACCGACGAACTTTCTTTTGAAAAGACGAGTCTGAAGCTAGGACTCCGCTCGGAGGCCGTGACAGCATCGACCGAGATTCCATAGCCCTTTAGCTGAGTAGCCAAATGATTGATTGCGCTTTCATCGAATTCTTCCAAATACGGAAGCAGGATACTAGCGAGCTGAAGGAAGCAGTGTTTTGTCAGTGCATAGTTCAAGTTTCATATTGCCCAGGTCGTACGGGAGACTAACATGGCTATCGGCGCCGTGCCCATCCATGGCGGGCGTGATGTAGCCCAAACAAGAGCTAGTTGAGAAGTCACGAGAGAAAAATGTGGGCGCTCTATCCAAAAGACTTTTGTCCCGCTCATTAAGTTGCACGTTATTTCAGTGCATTCAGGAGGTGATCAAAACATAAGCACTTCGTTACCCCTATCACGTTCGCACTTATCACCTCATACAAAAAATACTTCAACATCGGCTGAGAATCATCGTTATATGGTAACATTCCTCGTTCAGGGGCATTACACATGTAACGTGTTTGTTCAAGGTTCTGGGGTTCTGGGGTGGCCAGTCTTGGCGGCGAAAAATAATCCGAATGTCCCACACCAGGTCACATCGGTGGATTCCAGAGCCCCATTATTCCTGAAGCTTCGCAATCGATTGGCCGGGAGTACCCGCAAGGCTAAGACTAATGTGTAGATGGCTTGGCTCTATAATGGTTCCCTCCAAAACATTAAGAAATTCAGGGACAGGAGACGGAGTTCCGGTGCTTGGGCCGGAGCATGTACGGCTCGAAAGTTCGAGCAACGCAAGTCCACTAACTCCGTATGAATGTAACACGGAAGAAGAGAACCCCTCATGAGGTTCATCTTGGACCCGACAAGAATGACAGAAAAATCTATAAGAATGAGGGAAGTCAACGTATTCAAGCTTGATTATTCAAAATACTTCCACTACTTTCTCGTCAACTACCTCTCTGTTCTTTACCCCTCTTTACAACGCTACAAGCATATTCAAAATGCTGGCTATTACTCTGCTCCTTCCTCTTGCTCAAGTAGCCATGGTGATGGCAGCACCAGCCTCTGATGCAAACACTAATGTTGCTCGTGGTGATAGTGGCTGCTACTCTTAGTGAGTGTCGCTCTCTGTATATCATCAAGTTTGTAACTGATCTCTCTATAGCGCAAACCCAGACTGTGGCATTGATGGCACCTACTGCCTATGCGCTAATGGTACGGTTTCCATTTCGCTATAAATCGCTTGCCCGAATTGATGAAATTTGACTTACACGTGCTACAGGAAACTTTTATCTCTTCAACCATGCCACCGAGAGCTGCAACCCCCCATGGGCTTACGTGACCAACTCTGAAGCTTCGCTTCCTGGATCCCACTGCTAGAAACAGAATCTTGAATGAGATAACCAAGAATTCCTCTATAGTGGAAATGGTGATTTCATCGAGTCAAGTCTACAGCGGATACAGGAACAGGCCTGGTATATATCCTATAATACATAGCTTAGAACAGGCCTCGGTCTTTTGATGTATGTATTGAAACTCAAGACCATATCCGTTTCCGAATATTGATCTCACCTACATGTATAGATAAATGTAGAAAAGCCCATGAATAATGGTAGAGATCAGGATATTTCGAATGTTGCTGTCTGTGCATTTGGTCCAGCCTTGTGGTTTGGTTGATACATGTATGTTAAATGAAGAGGCGCGAGCTGAGCATCGTAATGACCTCAGACCCACCCAGAGGCCAGGCGAGGGTCGGGCGGAGGGTGGGGGATGCTAGCCCTCAAAATGTTTTTCATAGTAAGATCTAACGTAATTCCCAAGCCACCCGGCCACCTAAACACCTACTTCCTGTTTTACACCCATTTTTTTCAACCAAAACGCCTTTATATTAAGGAACGTACTACTCCGGACTACTCTGAGTAGTACGTTCCTTAATATACATATCAAGAAAATATATCTCCTGGCGAAGGGAATAAATAGTATACTAAAATCCATCATCCCCAGTCCGGAACCCCAAATCACGATCCAAATCACCCGTAATATCATGATGCGCAGTAGCAGCTCGCAACCCCGAGTCTCTATCATCATTCAATGGAAAGGCGAAGAGGTCTTGCGCCTGCTCCCGCTCCTGGCGGTGTTCCTTAGCCTCATCAAAAGGGATATCTTTATCGGTTTCTTGTAATGTCCCTCGGAATAAAGCTTGTGTCCAGTCAATACTGTCCAGCTCGTTGGAGGGAGAGATATCTCGTTCGAGGGAATCGGACATATCGGGGAAAGAGTCGAAGTCGATAGAAAAGAAGTTGAGGGGGTTTGTGAGGGTGCTTGTTTCGGCGAAGTGGTCGTCGAAGTCATTTGGGAATGGGCGTCGTGTTTCGTCGGATGGTTCAAAGACGGAGGTGGTGCTAAGTTTGCGCTGGTCTTCGTGTGTGGGTGGTGTGGGTTGTGTTCTTGCGCGCGGGGTTTCGGCGGTGGACTCTGGGGTTCTTGTTGTTGAGTGGTTGTAGATTGGTGGTGTGGGTGATGCGAAATTGTATTTCATTATTTGGAAGAAAGTGTTGGAGTTGCAGTTACCAGATTGCATCTTTGTTGCTGCTTCGAGGTTGGCGAATTCGATGTTGGCCGCTGGGTAGATGTCTTTAAGACAGTGCAGGACTTGGATGCAGCGGTGGAAGTTGGAGATGCTGCTTTCCCGTACGGCGGGATTGTCCGACATTGAATTTGATAGATGGGCGACTGCGGCTGGGAGGATTACCGTCACACCGGATTGGGGTAGGAATCGGGTAAGGTTGAGTTGGTTGAGGCCTTGAATGATGTGTGTGATGCCAGCGGCGGCTTCTTGCATCTTGGAGCGAGCAATACTGCGCATCTCAAGGCGAGACTTTGACTGGTCTTTCGAGAGGGCTGCCCAGGGTCGGTGCAGCGCGCTAGTAGTTGCATGGAAGAGCATGCGAAGCATGGCGCCGTGCAAGAGGAGCACATCCTCGCCATCGCGGAAGTTGCTTTTCGATTGCGGGATAAACTGGGCATCTTTTGGAAGAGCGCTCAGCCACGAGTCAAGTTTCTGAGTGCATCGTGTAAACTCAGACTCGGAGGCTTGTCGAGGGACCAATGTGACGGTGGTGCGGTCAGTAGCTCCGAACTGGCGCTGTGATGGTGCATACTGCGCAAAAAGCACTCGGCCGATGCACTGACAAAGCTTCGATTTCTCAATGAACATGGTTGCCAGACGCTTCTGATGGGACACGTCTTCGAGCTGAGGACAGCGAAAGAGACGCACCGCACTAGGTGAGAATGGCTCAAAGTCAAAGTCCTCCATCCTGAGCATTGGCACATTACTGGTTCCCTCGTTCACTTGTAGTGGACGTCGCATTCCCATGGCGATCAGGCGGTCTCGAGAGTACATGCACCACCAAATGCGAATTCGCAATCGTCGAGTCCGTATGTCCATATCGCTCGACGCGGGGTCTGTATTAAGTCCGATCGAGTGTGCTTGTGTGTTGCAAATTCCGATCCAATCCCAGATGTCTCGCTGCGGGCTGTTTTCGGGGTCGGACCAGTAGGTCATCAATAAGAGTGTTTGGAGAATGACGATGCGATCCTCTTCGCAGTCGAGGGAATAGAGAAGCTAGGAAGTAATTAGCGCGGGGTTCTCATAAGCACATAAAGTGAGCATACTCTTAATCGAGTGAAGAAGGCATTGCGCGCGCTTTTTCTAGTCGAGTAACCCGCGGCTTGCAAGTGCTTCAGGTCGATAAAGGCCGTCCCAACAAACATAACCGCCTGAAACAGAAGAATGCTGACGTTCCCATTTGGATCGTTCTCCGCCACACATCGTAGGAACTCCTGTAAATTCAGCACGGGCATGAAACTGTGCACCCACTGGATATACGAGCGTAGCAACTCATTGCGCAAGCCACTTTCCGGAATCGAAAGCGCCTCACGAAAACGCAAGAACTCCAAGTCCTCGGAGCATATGCGATCTGGCAGCGGCTTCAGAAACCGTGGCTCCTCATCCAGTATGGCAGTCAATGGATCAAAGTCAGGGTCGATCAGGTCCTGGACGGCAGAGACCATATTGGCCAGGGGCATCGAGCTATGGACGGCCGGATCACCAAGGGTGCGCCAGCCGTTCAGCGGTTTCGCCTCGGACAGCCATGGTGCCTGCGGGTCGTAGCCTTGGAGATGATGTCGCTTCGTCGCAGGCTCGCGAGAGTCGGCTTGCTGCAACTTACGCTTCAGGGCCAGCGCGTTGCTTGGAGGAGAGAAAGACATCGCCGTTCATGCAGGGCTCTGTCTTCGGGTATTCATGGTAGCAAGGTTCAAGTCCCACGAGCACGTCAATTATGCAAGCAGATTAGAGATCGACACTGCGGATATCAATGACGGCAGTTCAACCAAAGGCGGTGTTCGGTCTGGAGTGTGGGGTATTTGCGGAGGCTTACCAAAATAGCGGGTTCCCTGATGGAAACAACGTGACGTTCAACAAATCCAGCGCAAAGTAGAAGATCGATGTTGGTAGCTCGGGAGAAGCAGTCCTGCTATATAGTCCCCACTCATGTTTGTTGCCAACTGCCGGGTGCCACTACTGGAAATTACCTAATTTACTCAAATGCACTTTGTTATCCCTACAGTCCATGTTACCAGCTGTATGCCGCATCACTATTGTCAGGGTTAACGCATGTCCGCAGCAATTGCGCCATTGCTGATTTGTTGGAAACAAGGCGCATTTCACCTAGTGAATATCAGAGGTCAAATAACATGTTTCTCAATGGGTTTCTTCATAGAGCATGTTCATCTAGACCACAGAATACAATCCTCAAGCGGCGGAAAGCCGTATGCAACCTCATCTCTACGTATCTTCTCCCACTTTTTATCTCCTATGATGAGAATTACATACACTAATTATTTGGACGATCCGGATGTGACTCCGTTAGAATGGGCTGAAATGGTCTCTCCTGGACTATATGACAGAATCTCGTTTTCATCAATCATGGAGCAACATATTTGGAGCTATAGTGAGAGAAAAGGGCATCACGCCACGGAAATCAATTATTGATTTAAGACATGGCTGGGAGGCTTTGCGGTACTTCAATGCAATTCCGGCAAGCTGTTGAGGAAACCACTGCCCAGATGACCAAGGCTCAGCTCTTCCATACCGAAGCTAGGGACTCATCGCCTTACGAGATTCGAAGGCAAGTTCAATGACAGTGTCAAAATCCTGGTATTCATAAAAAATCACCCGGGGAGCAATGCCAAATGCATGCACGCCCAACAAACTATTATACAGAGATATCGAGAGCGTCGAGCGAGGAGTGTCTATCCAACATGTTTCCCTTGACCGACGCCAGTATGCTTCACAAGGTCCAAAGAAATGATTCGAGCCGATCCGAGGCTGGCGATGGAGTTGTTTTACATACTGTGACGAATCAGATTCCATTCAATGGGAAAGGACCGGGGTGGTGCGACTTACGGAGGAAGGAGGAACTCGCCGAGGCTGCTATGGAGGAACGCGACACCGGCCTAGAAGATGTCAGTTTCACGTTTGCGCATTCAAATGGACTGCATGGACGTACTCCGAAGACCAGGAGACTGCGGACAATAGTGGTGTTCTCGGGGGAGGTGGCCTCATCGTAGATGGTGCTCATGAAGCCCTTCTGGGGGCGACCGTTGTTGGAGACGACGACACGGTTGGGGGCCATTATTGCGGTTGATGAGAAACTGGGTGGAGAGATAGGTGGTAGAGGTGGTTGTGTCGAAGTGATCGGAGGTCGAGGATCGAGAAATCTGCGGCCGCCGACCGCTCGGCGTCACTGCGTTCTTGGCGTGCAGCGTCACCCGTACTTCTTTTGCGGCGCGCGCATGGCAATGCGACTTCACCTGCTTCGTTGAGGATTGTTTCTGCTTCTTCTTTTTTCTTCTTATTACTACAAGCTCTGTCTTCCTTTGAAGATTTCTCTCTGAAAACGGCGCTGGGCGACGCGACTATTGCGAGAGAACTTCCGCAGCCATGACGAGTGTCGATGAGCTCTTCAAAGTAAGTACCAGAGATCATACCTTGGTCCGACTTGATATGCTGACAAGCCAGAAACCCTCCACTGCAGGAAGCTCTAAACGCAAGTTCGAGCCCGTCCAAGATCCCAGTACGCCCTCCCATTCCGCGAACGCTCCCGCCACAACGTGCTAACGAGACAAGATGAGCTATACAAAGCAGCCAAGCTGGGCTCCAATGGCGACGTGAGGTCCAAAGGCAAGGAGCCCATGGTGGAGGATGAGATGGAGGATGATGGGGAAGCCGGTCCCGAGCTGCCACCCGACTTTGGCGAAGAGGATGTACCAGACGACGAGGAAGGGCGCTTCTTCGGCGGAGGCATGGAACAAAAGACCGCCGATGCGATGCAATACATTGACCAAAATGAAGAAGAGGAGACTGCGGTATGCAGCCCTTATGAACTCCGAATTCTGTGATATACTGACGGGAACTTTCAAACAGCCAGAGAAATTCGACGCCGCCTGGGTTCGCCGATTTGCGCTAAACTTCGAGAGAAAGATATCCAAGAATGCGGAACTCCGTGGGAAGTTTGAAGGTGATCCACAAAAGTGAGTTCGCCGCTGGTACACCGTCGATTTCAGGCTGACTGATTGCGACAGGTTCATGGCATCCGAAGCCGACTTGGACACCGAGATCAAGGGGCTGTCGATTCTGTCGGAGCACCCTGAGCTGTACGAGGAGTTTGCCAAGATGGGTTGTGTCGGCTCGTTGATATCTCTGCTCTCACATGAGAATGCGGACATTGCGATTGACGCCATCCAGATTATCAGTGAGCTGACCGATGAAGATGTGGAGGCTGAACAGGAACAGTGGGATAGCTTGGTCAATTCCATGGTGAGTATTGTACCTAAAGCAACTTCTCAAGTACGATACTAACAACTCCAGATGGATGCCGATCTTATCGAGCTCTTGACACAAAATCTCGGTCGTCTGGATGAGAGTTCAGAGACCGATCGTGCTGGAGTCTACTATGTGCTGGGTGAGTTACTTGACAAGTACACCGTCTGGCGAAAGCTAATCCATGCAGGTGTCCTGGAGAACCTCTCCTCCCAGACTCCGCTTGCAGAGAAGATCGGGCAAGACGCTACGGTCTTGCCTTGGATCTTATCTCGCATTCAAAAGAAAGAGACCCCTGTGAGCCAGAACAAGCAGTATGCCGCTGAAATCCTGGCCATTCTCCTGCAATCTTCCTCAAAGAACCGGGAGAAGTTTATCGGTCTCGAAGGTGTCGACATCATTCTCCAGCTTCTCAGCGCATACCGGAAACGCGATCCCGAGAAGGACTCCGATGAGGAGGAATACGTGGAGAACCTGTTCGACTCTTTGGTCTGCCTCGTTGATGAAGACTCAGGGAAAGACAAATTCATCGAAGCGGAAGGTATTGAACTGGGCCAGATCATGCTCAAAGAGGGCAAGTTTAGCAAACCGCGTGCTCTTCGAGTCCTCGATCATGCACTCGGTGGAGCAGGAGGTGCTCCAGCTTGTGAGCGATTGGTTGAAGCCGCAGGATTGAGGACGGTATTTGGAATGTTCATGAAAAAGGTAATATTGATTCTACGCCTTGCGGTATATCCGTTAACAGCTTGCAGCAAGAGTCACAGAACATCGAGCACCTTTTGGGTATCTTTGCCTCGCTTCTCCGACTTCTGCCTGGTGGTTCCGCTGCGCGTATTCGAACGCTAGCCAAGTTCATGGAGAAGGACTATGAGAAGATTGAGAAGCTCGTAAAGTTGCGGCGGGAATATGCTGCTCGCGTTTCACCTGTCGAGGAGGCTATTGCAAAGGAGCGCAAAGGCTATTCGCCAGAGGATCAGGAACTCATGGCTGGTGAATGGCTGTCACGACGATTCGATGCCGGTCTTTTCTCATTGCAGGTTTGTATCTCTCGGCTTTATTGCGGAGTTTGAGGCTAACGTATGGTGCAGACTATTGATGTTATCCTGGCATGGTTGATCGCTGAGGATGATGGTGCTAAGAAGAAGATTGTCGCCCTCCTGGCAGACCGGGATGAGGACCTGTCACTGGTTCGGGGTACCCTGCAAGGTAAGTTTAGCCCCTATCCTGCGGTACACGAAGCTAACTGGTATAGAACAACTCGACGGGCTCGAAGGGGAAGAACAAAGCCAGAAGGATTTCAAGGATATGCTAAGCACCTTGCTGCAGTTCTTGTGATTAGGCTCGAATGTGGCCAGCAATGTAATATATTGATCAATAAGATTCCTGCATGCTGAGTTCTTTGAATAGTGTTGTGTAGATTTATTTGACTACATAAATTCTTGACCTGGCCCCAAGTTTTGTAAAAATGCTTTTGTCTTTAGATTTTTCCTCCTTATTGTCCACGGCGCCTGGGTGGCGCATTTGGTGGAAATATACATCCCACCTGGGTCAACACTCAACCGTGTATTTGATGGCCGAAGGTACGGTGAGAAGCAGCTGCACAGAATTTTGAGGTCAAGACAAGTTTTAAAGCATATTTTCAATTGATTCCTTTATTCTCTTCACGCAGGCGACTCTAAAACCCATCGCATCACGTGATTTTATCAATTATGTAGCACGTGACATCCCCATCGGGCTAGCGCACCTCATGGCGCTGAAGCATCAAGATCCTTGGAGATCAGTCCCTTCACCCTGCTACCGCTGGGCTTTCTTTCTCATCCCACCGAGCCCCTCAGGTTTCAGGCTGCCCACTCATCTGCCTGTGCAGACTGCAGATACCGATTCTCCAGTTTCTGACAGGCGAGTGTTGCAGCGCGTTGGGTATTTCTCACGCAACTGCCTTCCGCGGCCGACGCGCTTTAGCGCCTCCCTGCGCTACCTGAGGAGCATTCTTTCTCTTTCGCACTTGGGGCCCTTTCTGGACCTTACCACCTTTCACCATGGCCGACTACGACGAAGCCTACGAAGATGAGTTTTACGATGATGGGGACGAGGGAATCACCTCGGAGGATTGCTGGACCGTGATTTCTTCTTTCTTCGACAGCAAGGGTCTTGTCTCCCAGCAACTCGACTCTTTCGATGAATTCATCTCCTCGACGATGCAGGAGCTGGTGGAAGAACAAGGACAGGTGGTTCTCGACCAAACCCTCCCACCCGCCGAAGACGAAGTCGAGCCGATCGTCGTCCGCCGCTACGAGCTGAAATTCGGAACCGTCATGCTTTCGCGACCATCCGTGACGGAGGGTGACGGAGCGACTACGATCATGTTGCCGCAGGAGGCTCGTCTCCGAAACCTCACTTACGCGAGTCCGCTGTACCTTGGCGTCACCAAAAAGATCATGGAAGGACGAGAGCGTCTGGTTGCCGATCCCGAGGACGCAGAGGGCGATCTCGAGGAAGACCGCAAGACCCGTGGCACATACCTCCAGTGGGAGCAGAAGGAGCTCCCCTCGGAGCAGCAGAAGGAGGAGCCGGTGTTCATTGGCAAGATGCCCATCATGCTCAAGTCCAAGTACTGTATCTTGAAGGACTTGCCGGAGCAGGATCTCTACGCGTGGAACGAGTGCCCCTACGACTCCGGTGGTTACTTCGTTATCAACGGAAGTGAGAAGGTTCTCATCGCTCAGGAGCGAAGTGCCGGAAACATCGTGCAGGTGTTCAAGAAGGCTCCCCCAAGCCCGACACCTTATGTTGCTGAAATTCGAAGTGCGGTCGAAAAGGGATCGCGACTTCTGTCTCAACTTGCGCTCAAGCTCTTCTCCAAGGGTGACAGCGCCAAGGGTGGATTTGGCCCTACCATCCGATCGACTCTGCCTTACGTCAAGACCGACATTCCTATCGTCGTTGTTTTCCGTGCCCTCGGTGTTGTGTCCGACGAGGATATCCTCAACCACATTTGCTACGACCGCAATGATACCCCAATGTTGGAGATGTTGAAACCGTGTATTGAGGAGGGCTTCGTCATTCAAGACCGAGAGGTGGCTTTAGATTTCATCGCTAAGCGTGGATCTTCTCAGTCGAACCTGAACCATGAGCGCCGTGTGCGGTATGCCAGGGAGATCATGCAGAAGGAGCTGTTGCCGCATATTTCACAGAGCGAGGGCAGTGAAACCCGCAAGGCCTTCTTCCTTGGCTACATGGTGCACCGTCTTCTTCAGTGCGCCCTCGGTCGCCGTGATGTTGATGACCGTGATCACTTCGGAAAGAAGCGTTTGGATTTGGCTGGTCCCCTTCTGGCTGGTCTGTTCCGTGTCCTTTTCACCCGAGTCACCCGTGACCTGCAGCGCTACGTGCAGCGATGCGTTGAGACCAACCGGGAGATCTACCTCAACATGGGTATCAAGGCTGCTACTCTGACCAGTGGTTTGAAGTACGCCCTCGCAACGGGTAACTGGGGTGAGCAGAAGAAGGCGGCCAGTGCCAAGGCCGGTGTGTCTCAAGTGCTGAGTCGCTATACTTACGCCTCTACGCTATCTCATTTGCGCCGTACCAACACACCCATTGGCCGAGATGGTAAGATCGCCAAGCCTCGACAGCTTCACAATACTCACTGGGGTCTTGTGTGCCCTGCCGAAACGCCTGAAGGTCAGGCTTGTGGTCTGGTCAAAAACTTGGCGCTTATGTGTTATATCACCGTGGGTACTCCCAGCGAGCCCATTATCGATTTCATGATCCAGCGTAACATGGAGGTTCTCGAAGAATTCGAGCCTCAAGTTACACCCAACGCCACCAAGGTCTTTGTCAACGGTGTTTGGGTTGGTATTCATCGCGATCCATCCCATCTCGTCAACACCATGATGTCCTTGCGTCGGCGAAACATGATCTCTCATGAGGTCAGCTTGGTCCGTGATATTCGTGACCGAGAGTTCAAGATTTTCACGGATACTGGTCGTGTGTGTCGACCTCTGTTCACCGTTGACAACGACCCCAAGAGCGAGAACGCTGGCTCGTTGATTCTGAACAAGGAGCACATTCGCAAGCTTGAGCAGGACAAGGAATTGCCGGCCGACATGGATGCAGAAGACCGTCGGGAGCGCTATTTCGGATGGGATGGCTTGGTGAGGTCTGGAGCCGTGGAGTTGGTTGATGCCGAGGAAGAGGAAACGATTATGATTGTCATGACGCCCGAAGACTTGGAGATCTCCAAGCAGCTTCAGGCCGGTTATGCGCTGCCAGAAACTGACACGGACGACCCTAACAAGCGTGTCCGTTCCATCCTCAGTCAGCGGGCACACACCTGGACACATTGCGAGATTCACCCCAGTATGATTCTCGGTGTCTGTGCCAGTATCATTCCGTTCCCCGATCACAACCAGTCTCCTCGTAACACCTACCAGTCTGCCATGGGTAAACAAGCCATGGGCGTGTTCTTGACCAACTTTGCACAGCGCATGGAGACCATGGCGAACATTCTATACTACCCCCAGAAGCCTCTCGCGACAACCCGGTCGATGGAGTTCCTGCGTTTCCGTGAGCTGCCCGCCGGCCAGAACGCCATTGTGGCCATTTCCTGTTACTCTGGTTACAACCAGGAAGATTCCGTCATTATGAACCAGAGCAGTATCGACCGCGGCCTGTTCCGCAGTCTCTTCTACCGCACATACACAGACTCGGAGAAGATGGTGGGGTTGACGGTTGTGGAGCGCTTTGAGAAGCCTATGCGGTCTGACACCATCGGCATGCGCAAGGGTACTTACGACAAGCTGGACGATGACGGTATCATTGCTCCTGGTGTTCGTGTGTCTGGTGAAGATATCATTATCGGTAAAACCGCACCTTTGGCCCCCGAGGCCGAGGAGCTCGGACAGCGCACCAAGGCTCACACCAAGATTGATGTGTCGACGCCTCTGCGAAGCACGGAGAGTGGTATCGTGGATCAGGTGTTGGTCTCGACTGGCGGTGACGACCTCAAGTTCGTCAAGGTCCGCATGCGTACCACCAAGATCCCTCAGATCGGTGACAAGTTCGCCTCTCGTCACGGTCAGAAGGGTACTATCGGTATCACCTACCGACAGGAAGACATGCCCTTCACTCGGGAGGGTGTTGTTCCCGATCTGATCATCAACCCGCACGCCATTCCCTCCCGTATGACAATTGCTCACTTGATCGAGTGTCAGCTGAGTAAGGTCTCTGCCCTGCGTGGATTCGAAGGTGACGCCACTCCATTCACCGACGTGACGGTCGACTCCGTTTCGCGTCTACTCCGCGAGCACGGCTACCAGTCGCGCGGATTTGAGGTCATGTACAACGGCTACACCGGTCGCAAGATGGTGGCACAGGTGTTCCTGGGTCCGACCTACTACCAGCGTCTGCGCCACATGGTCGACGACAAGATTCACGCGCGTGCCCGTGGTCCAACCCAGATTCTGACCCGCCAGCCCGTGGAAGGTCGTGCCCGTGACGGTGGTCTGCGTTTCGGAGAGATGGAGCGCGATTGTATGATTGCCCACGGCGCAAGCGCTTTCCTGAAGGAGCGCCTGTTCGACGTGTCCGACCCCTTCCGCGTGCACATCTGCGACGACTGCGGTCTGATGACCCCTATTGCGTGAGTCCTTTCCCCTCTTTCGTATATTGAACCTACATACTAACTGTCACAGCAAACTGAAGAAGGGCCTGTTCGAGTGCCGCCTGTGCAACAACAAGCACCGGATCTCACAGGTGCACATTCCCTACGCCGCCAAGCTTCTGTTCCAAGAGCTGGCCTCGATGAACATTGCCGCGAGGATGTTTACTGACCGGTCCGGCGTGTCGGTGCGGTGATCTTTTGTATTTTAATGATTTGCTCAAAAATGCGTCGTTGGACTTTTGCGGCGTCGGGGATCTATTCAACGAGCTTTTCGTCTGGTCATACAGATAGTCATACATAGTGCAATTATTTTTTGTATTGCTTGAGAGCTAGCGTAGCGAAGCTGGTAGTGTAGTCCTGATGGGCCTGGCTATGAACCACCACCATCTCCACCCCCCAGGACAGGGATTCCAAGCCTCCTACCGATTCCGTGTAGCGCAGCCCCCGGGAATATGCCTCGTCCGATCACATTTGTACACGTCTGCCCTGCGGAGTATTGCCGCTGCGCCAATCATCGCCCCCGCTCGGGACTTTGGCCCGCGTGGGCTTGGATCGCCGGGTTGCGCATTCCATGGATAACGCAAGAGCCTCAGCAATCCCATGCGAGTCCAGTCCCGGCTTTTGCATTGACCTTGGACAATGCTGACGGCGTTGGCAGCTTGGCACCCGGCACTTTATCTTGCGGGGTCAGAATCATCCCGCTGACCGCACTTCTCGTGGACTGTGCGCGAGGCATTCTGGACCAAAACAACTCCTCAAAAGGGAAAGAGAAAATGCCTACAAGGTGCTTACCCGGGTATAAAGAAATAGATGTCTAGGAAGACAATCAGGCCCACTTACGCTATCTCCTCCTCTGGAACGAGCCCGGCCAACACTCCCTGGGATCCACGATAGGACCTCGAGCATGCAGCTGCACCTGGCATTGTCCCGATCCCGGGCTCTGCAGGTCGACTGCAAGTTGCACCGACCACCCTGCCAGAGGACTGTCATCCAATCCGATTCGATCATCTCCATTCACCCGGTCTCACCGCGAGCGTCAAATGCGGGATCATCATTGGACGGAGACGACCAAAGCAGCCCGTCACTGCGCAACACACTGCGCAGCCAATAATTGACCGGGAATATGCGCCCACGGCCATAACCAACACGATTCTGCAGCGCTGATCGATTCGATTTCCTTAAAAATGGCCATAACCGCCCAGGCGCACTCTTTCTTTCTTTTCTTCAGCGAGCGTTTGTTGTTAGATCTGCCCATTCGAGTTGAATCCTAAGCACTGGTTGCTAGGTTCTTTTTCTTCTTTTACACACTACTATATTCTTAATTCACCCTTTTTACAGCCACCCCCAACAGCCACAAAACCCTTTCTGAACACACAGTACGAGCTGCGCTCTCTGTGTTGCACATTATTCTGCCTTGCTCGGATTTTACTCGACTACATTCAACCACAGCATTCCTTTCGTCGCCGGTCGACGTCTGCCTTGCTGTTTCAGCTCTACCAACAAATCCTTCTTAATCTAATCTCGCTCGGATATAATCTTTATATTCTCGTTGTCGTGGAACCGGTTTCCATCTTCAAGAGTGAATCTACAATCTAGCAACCAAAACTCCGGTAGTTTTTGTTGTTTACCACGAATTTACTCTTTACGCTTTACGCTATACATCTACGACAACCCTTATTTTCGTGATTCGCAACTTTCACCATGGCCGCAGTTCAACTCAAGTTCTCCCTGCGGACCTCGTCCAACGTCAAGACCGTCCACCTCGTCGGATCCTGGGACAACTACTCTCGCCAGCTGCCCCTCTCCGCCGAAGACAAGCCCGGCGCCTGGGTAGGCAAGTTCCGCTTCCAGACCTCGATGCTGCAGCTCGGCGGCCGCTACTGGTACTACTACATCATGGATGGGTACCACGTCAGTCACGACCCCGCCGTCGAGTACACCGTCGAGCCGACCACCGGCCGCAAGCTGAACATCCTGGATGTGCCAGGCGGCAAGCCAGATCGCAGCTCCCACAAGTCCCGCCGTGGCTCGACCAACGTCGCCACCGGCCGCGCTCTCTCGCCCTCCAAGATCCAGCACCCGAAGCCGTCAAAGCCCTACGCCTCGCGCCAGCTCCGCGAAGCCGAGTTCGCTCCCACCGTCGACGACCTGACTCGCCGCTTCGCCGGCTCCCGTCTGTCCGACGAGTACTCCTACAGCAACTCCCCGCCCAGCTCCGCCGGCTCCTCGCTGTCCTCGCGCTCCACAGGCTCAACCTCGCCCTCTTCACTGTCCTCAATGAGTGATCCCGCCGTGCAGTGCCGCTGCGAACGCTACGGCATCACCCGCAAGGGCGACCGTGTCAAGCTCGACTGCGGTGGCAGTCGCTGCGGCTACGTCACCGAGTCCTCGGACGCTTCCTGCTCCGAGTCTGAGGATAGCGACGAGGAGTACCGTCGAGCCCGCAGCGGTGCCCGTCGCCAGGGTATCGTCGTCCGTCGCTAGATGGCTCTCCGCCCCAGATTTATCGTGTAGATCTGGATTTTCAAATACGCTTCGGTCTTAGTCTTGGTCTTGGTCTTGGGAAATCGGTCATCATGCATCCTTGCTTTTGCTTTCGAAAAACAATAAAAAAGAAGAAAAAAATAGCCCTTTGCCACGGGTGAAAAGGCTTCACGCCGCGGCTAGGCGGGGACGATAATGCAGAGAGGAGAGAATTGGAGACGAGGAGAGCAGGAGATTCAGCCATCGATGGACCCCTCCGATGCACCAGACAACCATCCACCCTGAATCCTGATCCTGAATCCTTCAGAACAAGGACCCAGTCCAGGTGGACGACAAGCTTATCTTGCATCTTGCACCCTGCATCCTGCAAGCCCTAAGAAAAATGACACTGCCGCTCTGCAGACCCCATCCGGGATGCAGCCTTGCGGTATCTTCATCATGGAATTTAATTCATGCTGGTACCGGCATGAATCGATAGCTTCTAAATGAGATATGACCGAAATTCCTGGTGTCAAGTCCAATTGTAGTTTGTAGATGTTATCAATTAGTATCATAATTGCCATTTTAGATCGAGGGCCTGTGATGTTCCCTTTGCGGTTAGTTTTGCCATTTAGGTTTGGCGCCCACATACGCCGTCACTTAACTTCCCCCGTCCCGGCAGTTGTGGGAAATAAGACACTTTACTATCCGTACCATATTCTCTGACCGCCTCCTCGATCAAGTAAGCCAAGGGTACATAGTAAGTGACTATCCTCTATCACTACATCAATCTTTCTTTTTTCTTTCTTTTTATACATTATTGTGTACTATTACATCTCTGTACTCACTAGTATCGGTTTGGATCTAATCTTTACGTCGCTAAAGGACACATGTCGAAGGGGAAAGAGAAAGCGTCAAGAATGGCGCAAAAGATCAATGCATTCTTGAATATAGAAATCGCGGAGGGATGAGGCGCAGCCAAGCATTAATTAAGGTCTAGATGCACACATAGTTATATAGTTAGCCCTATTAGATAGAATTAATGGGACATTAAGAACCAATTTTAAGATAATTATGCCGGCATTAAAAAAGGCGGACAGAAAATGCCGTACGGGTAGCAAATGAATGTTAATTCTTTCAACCCCCATCACCCCCCACTTAGCATCTCACCTGAGCAGTCTGATGCATTCAGCAAGCATCACCTAAGCATGGGATGAGCTGCTCGCAGAAGCTGCCTGCATTCAGGCAACATGCTAGCCACATCCACATAGAATTGTCGCTCTTTAAACTACCGTCAACTAATCACGCTGGCCTCAATGAGAGTATTCATACTGGTACTCAGGCTGCCATTCACTGCGCCACAATGAACTCTGCTATGTAGACAACCAATCCATATCGTGTTTCAAGCTTAAAGCTCCTGGGAATACGTCGATTCACGGTCTCCGAATCAGGATTTGGCACCAACAGGTAAGTTGGCTGAGTCGTAAGCCTTCAACTCTTCCTGGGACCAGGCCGCCAAAGTGGATAGACAGTAGCAAAGCGAGGAGTTAGTTCCATGTGTGAGTGGCCATGACACCGGTGCCCAGGTGTATTTAGTATTTTCCAAAACCTGAATATAGAACCACTGGCCACGAGGGAACCATGGAACTCCACAGCGGGAGAACCGTGGTCGTTACCCCACGATCTCTAGTTTGTCTGCAGTAGGCCTTACTTCCCCGCTCATTAGATTTTCTGAAAGTCCTAGTTCAGTGGTACTCTTAGCTTTGAAGATTCGGGACATGACGACAGATGGGATTTGTGGTCCTCGTTTGCAGCCGACAATCGCATTAGGCGAGTTGAACCATTTCTGCACGTCATGACACTGGGGAAAAGGACGATCAATAGTCCCCTATCCATGTTCACTGGCTCTTTTATTCATGTGACCCTTCGGTTATGGCGTCACGAAGTCTTCGCAAGGAACGATCGAGTCATAGTTTGATCAGGGTAAAAACATGGTCGACAGGCATATAAGCCTACAGCTAGTATCAATCCTTTTAGATATTTTCTAGAAATATTGGAACTCAAAATTACTTTGACCCCAATAATCTATTGAACGTCCCGTTTCAATACGTTCGTATAATTCTCTCTGCTACAACAAAATACCATTTGTCATGTCGAACTTCATACACAAAGTCAAGGATGCCATGAGTGACCCGCATGACAGGAATACAGGCCGCGGCTTCAAATCTTCCAACAAATTCGACGGTTAGTTATATACTATGTCCAGGCTGAAGCTAATATCACGTCGTGATTCTAAAGTTTCCATATATAGATACCGGCGATAACTACGGATCCGCTAACCCCCCCGCAATGAATCAAAACCCGAACCAGTACAATTCCGGTGGCATGGGCACCAACACTTATGGCTCTGGCGCTGGCTCTGGTCCCGGCTCTGGCACTGACTCTGGCTTTGGGTCTGGTGGTTATCAAGACCCCAAGTTTGACGGTTGGTTTCCGAATCTTCTTTTTCTTTTTCTTTTCTTTTGGCGCCCATTTATTGACAAGTATAATGTATAGATACCCGGAACACAGGTGGTTCGATCAACCCTCTGATGGGGAACAGGGCCGGTAACACCGGCTCCGATACCTACGGATCGAACAGAATGGGTGGTGATGGTCAAATCAATGCTGGCCCGCATGATTCGAAATTGGCCAATAAGTTGGACCCTCGCGTCGATAGTGACCTAGGTATGTTGAATCTCTTTTGTTGATAAGAGCCCGTGGCCCTGTTAGGTATGATACGGCACTTAGTATGTCGTATTCTCGCATCCGGATATCTCTTCCATGTGCCTTCCACTGTATCCCACGAGCCATACTCAATCTTACACTCGTGACCAGTTTCTAGAGCGAGAAAGCTAATTCAAGTGTTATACAGATAACCGCGGCAAATTCGCTGGAAACACCGCTCCCCAAAACACCGGCGGTGTTACTGGTGGATTTAACCCCAATACTGCAGGCTCCATGCAACAGCCCGGAATGCAAGGTTCCGACAACCATACGACTAGCGAGGAAAACTACAGCACCTCCACGCAGGAGCACAAGTCGCAATCCTCTACTAGCCACACCACGCCCGGCCAGATGGGTTCCCAGGCCCAGCCAGGCCTTGGCGCCGGTGGTCAGACAAACTTGGGCGGTGGCCAGCCAGACTTCGGCGGCGGCGCCGCACCTGGTGGCAGTAGCTACAACGACAACATGTCAGGCATGAGAGGCCCAGCTGGTGCTCAAAACACCGACCCGATGAACAAACTTGACCCTAGAGTCAACCGCTCGAACGAGCAGCAAAACACTATCGGTAACCAGCGGGGAGCGTACTAGGCCAGTTTAGTTCGCTGTCGTGATTTGTGCACTATCGTGATTGTCTGCTGCCGTGAGTGATTATCTGAGTTTTAATTCTATCTCTTGTACTGCCTTTCATTATGAGAATGAATACCAATCTGAATATTTCGTTCAAGATGTGACGACCACAAGTCACTTGTTCCAGAAAAGCGGTGTCATATCATTTAGTATAAGGTACCGGAAATCAAGGCGAGAATTTATCCTGGTGGTTCTTCGCTTGATTGATTTTAAATAAGCCTAGCAGCTGTCAAAAACAGCCACCTTCGAATTGTGGTATGACTATTTTAGACTTCTTAAGAACGACCAGGGGTGGAGCATGGATCTAATGAATTATCTAACGAGAAAAGTGGCCAAAGAGGACAAAGCAAGGTTGAATACAGTGATTGGTAGTCTATTGAGCACTTTCCCGCTCACAAAGTAGTTTGCCATTTGTATTCTTGATATACATCGAGGCAACTGAGCCGGAAGCCAGAGATTTATCTACAAGCTGGAGCGGATTCGTCCGGCTCTGATATGTCTAGCATAAACCCTAACGCCGAAGGCAAAACACCAGCCTACACGACGCAAAACTACCATGAGGGCTTTTCAACAGAGATAGACGCACAACCACTTGAACTCCTAGCCCAATTGCTGACTATCAACCCCAATAATCCTGCTACACTTGATCCATTGCAATCCCATATCGCCATACCTATTGCCGTTCCGCAACAGTATGAAGAGCCTCTGTACACTGCTGGATATGAAGACTGGGCATTGCAGGATGCTGATATAGGTTTCTTTGAGACCTTAATGGGAATGACCGGAAATTATGGAGGTGACAGCACTGATTGCTCAGCATAATCGAACCAGGAAATTTAAGATCTCACACACTTTATACTAGTCATCGGCGGGCGTCCCTGGCGGTTAGAGAGCTGAGCTCACGGTTTTTCTCTACGCTGCAACTACCGAGTCTGATTAGTCGTACTGAATTTTTGTTAAATTCGACGCTTACTAACAGCATTAGAATCAGCACAAACGGCTTTATATAATACCTGTATAGCCGTTGCTATAAAAGCGGTCGTAAGCAGATGTTTTCTGTCTATACTAACCAACCTACAGACCTACAAACCTTAGCATACAACCTATAACGTATATATACCCTTATTCTTCAGACGCCACAGTCATTACAAATTACGGCCCCCAAACGATATGAAGCTCGTTTTGTTGATTTCCAGCCCGTTCACGTGACCGTGATCCGTGGTCTATTTAGAGTGGTCTATTTAGAAACCAGAAATCATCCGTCGCACTTAGCTACCGTCGAAATCAGTCGCTCGCCCACATTGCTGAAGCAATACTAAATAAATCACCCTTCTTGAGTCTTCATTTTTGCCATGATCAACCCTCAAGACAGATTCTGGTCCGAGGGCCAGAACTACCGCGGCCCGAGCGAAAACCCCACTACCGAAACCTATTGCAATGTCTGGGATTGGGATCAACTGCGGATGGTCAAGATCAAAGGCACCGCCAAGCTGTTTCCACGAGAAGAGGATATAGAGCTCTCGATTCTGGCGCAATTCGCTGATTACCTGTCGCCGGAAGTCCGCGCAATTACAGTCGACGACGACGGGCTCCTTACTGGGGTTTCGACAGATCCGGAAGAGGACGATACTCTATTTCTTGCGTATCTTCCCTTCTCGCTCTGTGAATCACTCGCCGATTGCCGTACAATTCAGCGCTCTAAACTCCAAGAGCTTGATCGGCTTGGACCCTTTGTTGATCTCGTATCATACGAAGACGAATCTGGGATTTCTCAAAAGGTTGCTTTCAAGTTTAACGTCTTGAATAAGCCTCTAAGGCTACAGATGGCCTGGGATGAGCTCAACCTTCTGAAACTTCTACCGCCACATCCTAATATATTACCATTTGACCGCGTTGTTCTTGAAGACGAGGAGTCTCGGGTGATTGGATTCACTACAAAGTTCATCCCGGGTGGAACTCTCGCCAATCCAAACATACCTTTTCGATTTGAGTGGCTACAACAACTTACTGAAGTGGTGGATTTTCTCAACCTGGAACTAGGAATCATGCATCAAGATATTGCACCCCGGAATCTGCTTATCGATCCTAACTCACATAAGATTATTCTCTTCGACTTCGATCGGGCTGCATCCGGAAAGCAACGCTTATACGACGGTCGAGATGATGTGAGTAGCGTCGTATTCACACTCTACGAGCTTATCACGAACGATACGTCCTTCTCGGGTATCCCCCACTGGGATCGAAACATAGATATGGTTCAAAGTATCTCAGAGTGGACTAGAAATCGTGAACTGGATTCCGACGTATCGAAATTCCGCGACTTTTTGAATGAATGGGTAGCAACACGAAGATCCGACGGAGACATGGAACGATATCTCAATGCACCACACCGGCTTACATGGCCGGAGCTACCTGCAGCGCCTGACTACAGTGTACCATTCGAGATGGGCATAACCTGGGATAAAAAGCCAAATTGGGTGACGGGTCATCGTTCCAGACACACTGCAATGACGATGGGACAGTATTGCTTTCGCTGGGAGAGACCACCACAGAGCCGCTTGTTGAAAAAGGGTAAAATAGAATGAATAGCTGATGTTGGAAAGCCGCGAGTGGAGGACAGTGCATCACATATGGACTCTCCTTGCGCAACCCATGATACCTTAAATCAACATCATCGGTCAAATCAATTAAATAAACAATTTACTAAAACCCTATTCTTCAAAACACGCAATTAACTAGCGACGGATTTTCCCAGGCGGAAGCCGCGCACCCCGCCCGGAAAAGCCGAGCACTGAATCCGGGGAATTGCCGAGTATAAGTACCCCCACATCCTAAATCTCGAACCTCAACATAGAACCACACGCCATGTCTCTCGAACCCTCCCTCACGGTACTCTACAAAGAAGCCAATGGCAGCAAAATTACAACAGACATCTACCTCCCCACGACCGACTCAACCGAGAAAAAGAAATACCCAGTGGGTGCGTTCGGTTATCGCACGCGGTCCGCTTAAAAATAAACACATTTAAATCTAATCATGTCTAATAGTAATCAACATCCATGGCGGCGCCTTCATGCTCGGCCACTCACGCATGGTCTCCATGCCGCAGATAACCGACTGTCTCGAGCGCGGCTGGATCGTGCTGGTCCCAAACCACCGCCTGTGTCCCGGCGTGAACCTGCTCGAGGGTCCGATGCAAGATATCCGGGACCTGCTGTCGTGGGTGCATGACGGTCACCTCGATGCAGTTCTTCGGTATGAGGGGCCGTATAGCGCGGACTTGGGAAATGTAGCGGCGTTCGGGACATCGAGTGGAGGGACTTTGGCGTTAGGGTTGGTATGTTAATCCCTTTGACTTTTATGCTCACATGGCTGTGAAAACCTAATGAGAACAGGGTTTCAACGTTCCCAAACCCGTCAAGGCGATTCTCTCGCTCTATGGCGCTGTGCACTTCACACACCCGTTCTGGAAAACGCCTCTGCCACATGTGCAGGCTAAATTGCCGCCTAATCTCGAAGACTCATTCCTCAGAAAAGCATACGATGAAATGCCCGTTCCAACAGACAGCTCTGTCTCGTTAGAAGGACAGTCCGAGTCCGGGGCCTCGAAGGGACCGAACTTCTCACGGCCGCGCGATGCATTTGCTTTTACGCAGATCGCATCGGGGAATGTGCTGGCTGCTATTTATCCTAATTCAAAGACGAAGGACCCTACTTTTCAGGCCGTGGACCCGGTGCAGAATGTTGGGTCGGAATTCCCGCCTACCTATATCGTGCACGGACTTGCTGATACGATGGTGCCGATTGATTTAAGTCGGGAGCTTTTTGCTAGGTTGAAGAGGGAGGGCGTGAAGTGTGGAATGACGGAGGTTCCGGATGAGGAACATACTTTTGCTGCTATGATGAAGGTTGGCTCGAGGACTTGGTGGTTGCAGAGGGAGGGCTTCGATTTCTTGGAGGGTGTTATTGGGAAGGGCACCAAATGAACATAATATCATATGATCAAAGCTTGCCGGTTTTCAATACACCTTTATTTCAGACTGCGATGGGTTCCAAAGTTTGTATCTTCTTTATTGCCGCATTGTTATGTTGATGTTTGGTACTAACCTAACTTATATTGCTGTACGATGAATATTAACCATGATTTTAGATCCAACCACAGGATACATTCAAAATTTGAAATAGTAAGACTCAGAGAGCCAGGCAAGCTCAGAAATAAACGATCGCGGCATAAGTCAGAGCCCCATAGAAGAGAACATGCTAATTAGGTTATTGGGAATTATATGTATCTTGCAGGGTTGCGAGACTCGCTTACTTTGAGCTTTTTGCAAAGAATATTCTCAAATAATAACAGTATCCAGGAATGACTCTGACAAGTTGGTACGATACCACTGACAAGGGTCACTGAGAAATAAGTGCTCCCAGGTAGATCGAGAAACAATTCATGAATGTACATCGGGAATGAATGACAGTATCGCTTGCTTGGCACGCGGGGCTCCAGACTCGAGCCAAACCCAAAAAGGAACATTCTGCGCAACCTGTATCTGAGCCGCAGGAATCTGGTGAAACACCAACCACTGCTTATGATCAACGCTGTGTGATTTACTCCGACATCTTGACCGCGTCGCTGCCATTTAACACACACCACCATGTCGGACTCCTATATTCTTATCACGGGGGCAACCGTAATCTCTATGGATATATCGAATGGAGAGACCCTGAATTGCGACATTCTAATAGAAAATGAAACAATCAAGGCTGTAGGCCGAGACCTTTCCCTGCCGAGTGACGGGAAAGTGGTCACCATCGATGCAAAAAACTGCATTGTAACACCGGGGTTCGTCAACGGTCACCATCACATGTGGCAGCATCTCCTACGGGGTCTCACGGTTGACTGGTCTCTTTTTGGCTATTCCTGCCATCTACGGAGCGTCTACGGAAGTTTGTACACGCCTGACGATGTCTACTTCGCCAACTACGCTGCCGCATTGAGTCTGCTTAATAACGGCATCACGACGGTCCTGGACCACTGCCACGTTATAAACTCGCCCGCCCACGCTGACATGGCCGTGAAGGGACTGAAAGATGCTGCTATTCGAGGCACGTTTTGCTACGGGTTCTACCAGAACCCAATAGTACCTGGGGATCTCGCCAGCACTGCGATGGATCCGTTCGACCAAGCCGCTCGAGTCGATGATGCTCGCCGTGTGCGCCAGGAACATTTCTCGAGCAACGATGCCGGCAGTGCACTTCTTACTTTCGGGGTTGCATTGAATGAGCCGCCAATGCAGCCCAAGGAAAAGAATATCGAGGAGTTGGTCATCGCGCGGAAGCTGGGAGCTAGGCTCGCCACTGTACATTCTTCCGTGGTCTCCCACGGGGGCCCAAAGGCTGAAGTCGTCTAGCAGTTTTCTGATGCAAAGTTGATGGGACCGGACATTGTGTTCAGCCATGGGGCTTGGATGACAGATAGCGAGCTGGCTGCGGTCCGGAGTTCTAGGGCTGGTATTGTCAGTACACCTGATACAGAGCTGCAGATGGGTATGGGAACTCCCATAGCATGGAAAGCGGCTGATCTGGGCTGTCGGACGTGTCTTGGACTTGACATTACGTCGAATCACGGTAATGACTTTATGGCGCAGATGCGGCTAGCACTTCAGACACAAAGGGCTCGCGAACATGACCAGACAGTACAGAGGGATGTCCGCAGGAAGGCAGCGGACGTTTTACGTATGGCAACGCTGGGCGGGGCAGAGGTCATGCAGATGGAGTCGTTGATCGGTTCTATCGTTCCGGGCAAGAAGGCTGACTTGGTTATCTTCCGCTGTGACGATATTGACACGGTGCCCGTTGTGGACCCTGTCGGGACCGTGGTCTTTCATGCGGCGCCGGGGAATATCGACACGGTTATTGTCGACGGAAAGATTGTCAAGCAAAATGGTCAGCTTGTGGGTGTTGACTGGCATTCACTTCATGATCAGATAGTAAGCAGGTCCCAACGACTGAGGGACCAAGCAGGACAAGTCGATATGGGCGAGTCGGAATCTATATTCCATTCCCTGTTCGAGAAAGCCATGGAAGAGTGAGAGCACCAATTAATGTATCTGTGCACAGGCAGCGAACGCAATATTTGATCTCAGATGGAGTTTGTATTTATTTCGGATTTAAAAATCAAATACGCGGTGGACAATACGTGTGGTCTTCTGTACCGGGATGCTTCTACATACAACACGATCTGAAGGACAAGTACGGCTTCATCAGCAACTACAAACGGACAATTTCTCTAGTAAAGGGCCACTTCGACTTTATCTTCTATAAACTCTCAAAACATCATATTACACCAATACTCCCACTCACTCACATACAAAGTCGCAGAACCAGTCTGCAAATGCAGCACAAAAGAAAGACGCTCCAGAGATGTGAAATGACCATGTACTATACATTGCCGTCCATGACTCATATCCTAGTTCTGCCGGAGAACTAGATCGTTTCTTCACAGTCAGATCCTCGGACTCTGCGCCCGGCAGAGTCCCCGAGTCGTGACTCAATGCGATTGTATCCAGACATCGCTCGTTATCCATCGTAACCATTTCATCGGACTCTTCATCAAGAAGAGTAAACCGTATTCGTAAACCGTAACAAACCTTCAAAGTCCAAAGCGTCCTCCAGAGGACAGGCTCAGCCGGTGAACCTAGCGATGCGACTTGGAACTCTCATACCCCGAATCCGGCCAACGACCAGCGTCGGGCGAAGCAGAGCAGCCCCGCGCAGAATGTCTCGGGCACACATACCCCACCAACACGGTCTTTTCCTGCACGGCGTGGCCGCGCTGACCGTACGCAGAGCAGGGGTCAATGGAGTGTTTGAAGTAGATGCACTTGCAGACGGAGTAACGCTCGACGACTTTGTAGCACATTTTGAAACGGAAACCTTGGAATACGACGGCGGTTGAGAAAGATCGTGACTGCGACTGTGATGGTGACGGTGACGGTGACGGAGTTTGAAAGACGAGGTGAAATGTGAGGGAGAGTATTAATGCAAAAGAGCGAAGGCGTCGAGATCCAGCCCGGAATTCGAATTAAAAAACAAAAACGAGTGCGCCGAATGAATGATGAACGGCGCAGAAAGAGAAGGTCGGTGGAATCATATATAAAGAAACCCAAGCAGGAAAGCAGTCGGAAATGCCCCTCAGTCGGGACGTGAGGAATGGCAGATCCACAGCCAAGGAAGATACAATGTAGCTGCAAGGCATCCCGCAAACGTCCAGCCCTATGAGAGCCCCAGGCAGAAAGCAAAAAGGCAACGGAAAAGACCGACGGGTCATTGACGAATACGAGCTTGTCATGGTGCCGATCCACTTGGTCTGTGATCCGCGAGTCTCCATTTAGTAACGGGCGTGTGCTAGGGTCGGGGATGCCGAGGATCAGGGCACTCGGCTAGGGTCGTGTTGGTATAGTGCCGAAGGAGTCATCGTCATCTGGAGATACCTCATACCTCACGTCAGAGGCTCTGTGGCCGTGAAGACGGTGAGAATGGCACCAAGCAGGAGAATTCAAGCTCGGGATTTGCTGCGGGCGTCGGTGCGAGGCTGGTGCGAGGCTGAGGGGATCCACCGCGTTCTACACTAGAGAAATGATTTCATCGGGCGCAACTGCGCCTCGTTGTCTACACCGTCTTACTCGGCACCGTTCTCATAGTAAAAGACGCCGTTGATGAACTTCATACTTGCTGTGTAGCGGTGTCCATGATCTTTGTTCGTGTCCGGAACTACGGGAGAATGGCCTAGGCTCCTGCGTTCAGCTGCTGACGCACTGATGTGCGTGAACCTTGGGGACATAGGGCTGAGATCCACCGTAAACAGGAACCGGGAAACTCCCGGCCTGAGGCACCGGACGCGTTCCATGGTGATCGTCTATGACTCTTATCAACTGTCATGGCACGTCTACGTAACCATAGGCCCATGACTCTACCTGACTGTAGGAGAGGTAATGTATACCAATCACACAAACCGGTTTGACGATCCCTGAAATTAAGATCTACAATCGTATTCAGGATCACCTGAACAGACGTTAAATGCTAATGCTGGCCTCACCAACTCCATTAATCATACAAGTCCCTCGCCCGGGGCCCTGGTCCATTTCAGCTCCCTTAAACGGCCCCCGATGACCCAAAGCTCAATCCCTTAGCCAGACCCAACCGCAACATCCGCAGCACATCCTCACCCCGAGTACTCTCCGGCAGTCCGGCACGCCAGTCCCATCCACGTGCCCGACCCGCGTCTTTGTCACCGGGTCGAGGGACGAGGACACCTGAGCTACCAGCTGAACCGGGCCCGGAGAACATCTCGTTTCCGATCACCGAGAATGTGGAGGCTGAGAGGTTGGAAATGGATTTCTTGAGAATCGTGCTCGGCGATAACGATGCGCCTTCAGGGGGGTTGTGGTAGCCCAGCAGGGTCGAGCGGAAACACTCTTCGCATTGGGCGAACACACGTGGTGTCACGGTTTCCAGGTCCTCGACTGCGGAGAGGATGGTAAATTGTTGGGATACGGTAAGGATCGGGGTTGGTTCTGGGTGCCCGTCAATATTTGGGTTCCGTGTGCATATCGGATCGTACTTACGGTTGACGAAGATCAAGGCTTCGCCGAGCAGTGCCAGGAGTCCGTCTACTTGCACGGCGGAGTCGCAGCTCGGATCGAATAGGCCGCCATAGATGTTGTCTGCGGCACTGCTGATGACGGCTGCGAGGGCCTTGGCGGCGGCGCGACGTCGGGCAAGAGGCTTGAAGCGCGGGAGTTGGCCGTCCTGGAGGTCCAGGGCCTCGTCGCGGATCTCGTAGTACCGGCGCAGGGTTGCGTAGCCACTGAGGTAGAATTGGAGAATTGCGGCGGCTTCTTCGTCAACGGATGCAATGGAGGTCAGACAGGCCTTGGGGTCTTTGATCAGGGAGCGAAGATTGGCGTCCAGGTCGGCCGTCGCGGGGTATGCGCGGGAATGGACCAAACTGTAAGAGATCAACAAGTCCACGACCGACTTGACCTTGCGTCGGTGATGCGCCCGGGCATAGCAGATAAGTGCCAGGCCGAAGCTATCGGACTTGGAAGCATTCGAGTCACCGAATCGCTGAGATCGTGAGCAATTGCCTTTTCATCAATATCACGAGAACATACCTCGGAAATCTTGCGTCCGGTCTCTTCCAGTCCCAGATCCGAGCACAGCATGACCAGCTTATCCATCTGGGCCACATTGTCCAGAGGCAGCTTGTCCACAATCTCCGACACGGCCTTTCTAGTAGCGCTGGCATCGTCGAGTCGGCTCAACACCTCCAAGGCCATTTCCCAGCCTTCCCGAGTTCCGGTCTCATTTTCGATTGACCCTCGATCATTCAGACCAAAGGCGTAGCTGCGCATAATATCAACTCTGTTGAGTTCGCGAGTGGCCGGCCCGGTGTCCTGTCCGTAGGATAGAACCATCAAATCATTGTCACTCAGGCCAGGCATCTTCTTCGAGGTTTCAGCCGATGTGAACCAACCGCCGAGACATGCCACTTCTGTAACGGCAGAAGCAACACACTGTGACCACGACTGCATCAACTCGACAACACCCTGAACATTACCCTCAAACACATTGGCCAGACCAACCTCCACGCTGTTCATGGTGTTCACGCGGAAACCAGTATTGTCAGATGGCTCGTTGGTGGCGCTGCTGAATGCCAGATCCAAACGACGGAGATAGGCATCGCGCATGTTTCGATCCACGGAACGAATATGACTCCTCGATCCGCGCGAACGCTGGAAATCATTGCTGGCAGTGCTGGCACGGAAGTCGACTCCGGGTGCACCACCATCATCATCCTCGCCATCCCACCAGGCAGTCAAGCCAACGGTCGCCTCTACCCAGTCTTGAGAGTGGGCCTTGATAGTGGCCGGGTCACCGAGAATGATACGGTAAAGGGATCGCAGGCTTTGATAGATGCTCCAAGGGACACGACTCTCTGCCATGCGCGCGGATTGGCTAAAGGAGATTGGCTTCTGACCAAAGTTCGACAAACCAAAGTTCATGGCCTGGAAGCCACGATTCTCTTGCACTGGGGGAGCCTGGTCCCTCTCCTCGCCCTCGGCGAAGTCCTCAAGATCGTTGACCGCAGCAAGGACTCGCTTGCGGTATTGGTTCCAATCAGGACCGGTAATATCCCAATCATCGTCTTGGAAGCCGGGGCAAGAGTCGAGGAGCGAAAGGGCTTTGTTCACGCAGCGCTGGATATTCTGCAGTTGGACGCCTCGGTAACCCGGTTGTGGCAGGCCATCCTCGAGGGCTGATCGTGCGTAGTTGAAATCGGCAGAGCGAAGAATCTCCGCAGCCTCAGCAAAGCGGCCGCGAAGGACTGCAGAGTTGATAATATCCCAGAAGTTTGATGAGGCGGTCGGGTTGGGCTCAACGTAGCGAAGTGCTTGGAGGTCTTTCGCTTGGGATGCGTGGTTGCCGTTCAACCAGTCGAGCAGAATTTGAGGCAATGGCGTGGCCACGACAGATCTTTGCATGGCCTTGACCATACTGTTATGCCCGGTTCGAGCTGCAGGATTGGAGGCGGTGGCGATTGGGTTAGAGGCACGGCCGGGATGGTGAATTTGTAAGAGTAACGAGGCCAAGAAGCTTGCCTTGACCAAATTCGGGGCCTGTTTCTCGGGGCCAATGCTGGATCCAGAGCCGTATGGCCGGATAATCCCACTGCGATCCGCGCAAATATCCCAGGTTGCTGCCAGTTTGTTCGCAGTGTAAGACAGGACGAGATCAAGATCGAGATGTCCGTATTCAATATCTCTTAGCTCGTCGTGCATTCGGCCGAGGGTATCCTCCGTGTTGATAATCATGTCAGCCGGCTCGTCAACAGCAGCCGCGCGGGATCGGGAAGCGAGGTTGTGCAGGATAGAAGGCATTGCTGAGGACTTTTTCGGGGAGAGCTTGGTTTTGCGAACGGGTGACGGCTGCGCCCAGCGCTCGTCGAGCTTCGGCCGTTTGGCATCAGTAGGGTTTGTGTAGATCGGCTTGCGCTGGCCGAGCGCCGAGGACTGAGCTGGTAGCGGGTTTCCAAAGTTGGAATCCAAGAAGCTGAGACGATTCGAGGGTTCACGAGCACTCATATCCATGTTTTCCTCTGCATCCTCCTCCTCCTCGAGCTCTTCCTCCGGTTGCATCTCCTCCTCGCCCTCTTCGTATTCCTCATTGTATTCGCTCATCTCTGACTGCCCAAAGCCATTGGATTGGCCAAAATTCATGGACTGTCCGAACGCGCTTACATTAGTCGAGCCGAAGCGGGACTGTGATGCGGCGAAGGGTTTGGAGGCAGGCGCGCTTGTTGTTTTGGGATTGCCAAACTCAGATCCAAAAGAGGAGCCGAAAATGCTGTCATTGGTGTTGAAGCCTCCTGACTTGGTGAAAAGAGAGTTCCCGAAGCCCTGTTGTGTTGAATGCGACTCGATCTGAGAGGTATTGAAGAGGTTCGATGTCGGGTGCCCTTGGGGCGTGAACGAGTTTCCTTCTGACGGAGGAAGTCCGGCGGGGGTCGTCGACATGTTGCTCCATTGTGACTTTCCCTTATCCGGTGTAGAAGGCGGGCTGGAATCGTAAGGGACTTGGAAAGTCATTGCGTCGGTGTTTGCTGACGGAGATGGAGAATCGATGGTGTCGACGAGGAACAACTTTTTGGGCCGCAACTGCAGAATGAGGGCAGCAATGGCCCAGGGGGTTTAATACGGAGAGCGCAAGATGGTGGAGAAGGAATGAGTGGCAATGCGGCAAGGTCAGGCGATGTTCATCACCGAAGCGCACGGTGTTTTTGTGATCGCTTGCTTTCACCTTCGACGCGTTCGAAGCCCGCGAAATTATGTATCACGTGGTATACTGGGGCCTTGGGGATAAGGTGTCAAGGTATCGCGTCGAGATTATAGGAAATACCATGTAGAAGAACGTTGAAAGATGTCTACAAAGAGGTCAAGAAATACGTACGCAGCCACTTATAAAAAGAAAGAGAAGTATATGTTATAAGAGAGTAGCGATACGTTCTCTTATATTGTAGTTTTAAAATGTGGAACTATGGTGAGGCTGCGAGGCACTTGTAGCGATGCCACCCAGAACAAGTACTTTTCATCCTATTACGCATCTGTCCACGCTCAGAGCATCGATCGTACGGATTTATTATTGATAGGAAAGTAAGTAAATAGAGAGAGATATTCAGATAAAAGCGGTGGGAGATGGCAGATTAGGTGCTTCCATGTTGAATTGGAAGCTCTAGATAAATACGTAGATTATGCACCCAAAGAACTAATGCTCGAAAAGCTTAATATTTGGCTTCGAATGCCTAAGCTAATGCCTAAACGGCTATTAAACCGATCAAGAATTTTTATCCCAAAAACACCCACAACAATCGCGGATCTTTTAAACAAGCATCATCGGTTAAATCATTGCTTAAATCTCGGTCAGAAAGCCCACTAACGCCTACAAAATATGTGGTGGACTAGGTTTTTAAGGTATGTCAGATAGCAATAAATAATATACGATTATTGAGATTCTGGGGCAAAGTAGTGTGAATCATGTCGATGATTGCTATGTTTACTCTTATTATCATCCTTGGCTTATTAGGAGCATTCACAAGCTATACTGCCCCATACGGGATACTTCAGCCGTTACAATCATGTACTAACATGACCCACACGGAGTCTTATCGAGTCTACATCACTAATTATAACTACTAAACACTTATCTTGCTATGTGGAAACTCCCACGTGGGAAATATCGTTTGGGTGGCGGACCCTCACGGAGGGAGGGTCCGTGATAAATGGTAATTTATGAAAGGGGCCGGTTGCACCTAGCATAGGCTGTCACTACTAGACCTCAGCACAGCCTACCCATGGGCGGATAAGTACAGCCCATTGTAGCCCATGGAAGGCTGTGCCGAGGTCTAGTCACTAGTTAAATTAGCGGCACTGATCTGCACAGTTGGTCTACAGCCACAAAGCAACCCCTCTGGTTAAAGCAGATTTTCCCATTTTTCTACGTCGCCGGAACGCAAACTCCTCTGCCAGATTTCTTTCGCCCGCCATGAGCCTTGACGTGAAGAGCTGCTCTGAGCCGCAACACAATTCATCATCAGGAGAAGAAGAAGTTGTGATTCTTGGCTGCCGGAAATCGGAGCTCGCCCTCGTCCAAGCTCGTTCGGTCACATCCATGCTGGGCCAAACACTCGCCTGCTCTCCCACCTTTCAAATTGCCACTGGCTGTGCCGTTGGCGATGCCGATAAGCAGACGCCCTTTGCGGTCCTCTCCAAGCTGACCGGTGGCTCCGATATTGGTAAAAGCCTATGGACCAATGACCTGGAATTAGGCTTGGTGGCAGGCAAGGTTCACTGTCTGGTGCACAGTTTAAAGGACATGCCGACCACGCTACCACCGCATTGTCTCCTGGGCGCGATCCCCGAGCGGGAGGACTGTTCCGATGCTGTTTGTATAAGGTCCGATCTGGAGTTCACATCTATCGATCAATTACCCCCTGGTTCCATAGTGGGAACGAGCTCTTCCCGGAGGAAAGCGCTGGTTCGGCGGAATTGGTCTCATTTGGAGGTTGTAGAATGTCGCGGCAATGTGTAAGTGATGAATGTTATCCTTTTTCCCTGAGAGGTCGGTCCTTTCTATTACTCAATGCAATCTTTGCCAGCGCAAACAGCTTGATTCTTGACTCTAATAAAGGACCCTGCATATACTAGAGATACTCGTCTTGCTAAGTTGGACGCACCTTCTTCCCAGTTTTCATGCATTCTCTTGGCGACTGCAGGACTGTTACGCCTGGGACTCGGCCATCAGATCACTCATCGACTGGATGCTGGTATATTCCCTTATGCCGTAGGTCAGGGCGCCCTCGGGGTCGAGGTGAGCACGAGCCGTCCAGACATACTCGAGCTGATCCGCCATGTCGACCATAAACCAGCGCGATGGCGCGGGATGGCAGAGCGAGCGATGCTTCGAAGCCTCCAAGGAGGATGCTCGTCACCAATCGGCGTACAGTCTTCCCTGGAGCCCGTAAGAAAAGAAGAAAACGGATTAACGGAGGACTCACAACGAGACCGTAGTGATAGCAGCGGCGGCAACCTTAGCTTGCGAGCCATGGTTCTTCATATAGAAGGAACGTCGGAGATTGTTGCTGAGGACGTGGCCACCGTCCGGTGCGACGAAGAAGCCGAAAACCTCGGTGTCTCCGTCGCGAGCATACTTCTTGCCAAGGGGGCGCGGAGCCTAATGCCCAAACAATTCTAGATTTAACTTTCCACCTGGAACGGATCTTGGGGGTTGAGAAGGATGGGGGCAGCCTCTTTACACAGGTCTTGACTGACATGGAAATGGTCCTTGCAAACTCTACAAACATGTACAGTAGAACTGTCTTACAGGAGGAGCAATGTAACGACGTCGCGGGGCCATTCTTCAACTTCGGTTTCAACCAACTCTTACTACGAGAAGCGTTACTTTCTAATCGAAACCTCGGCCGCTTTTCCCTGTTTCACTATTCTCTCAACCTCGGCCGCCACCTCGCTGCGAGGAGTGAATGAACATCCGTGGAAGAGGTTTTAGCTGAATTTCTTCCCACTAAAAAATATGCGGGAAGAGAGATGAACTTACAGGAAGTCCTTAGGCTCTCCAACAAGCGAGCTGGGACAAGCATTGTACGTGTCCGGATGAATATCAACAGGACCTGGAGCTTGAATCCTCCATCCCAGAATGAGGCAACCGAGAATGCCGTACATGAGGTGATTGGCAAGATGGTATCCAACACACGCCCGAGTGCCCGCCCCGTATCCACAATGTCTCATCGGCGAGCCAGGGGCTCACTTCCTTATCCACAAATCGTTGCGAATGAACTTCTCGGGCTCGGGGAAGGCAAGCGGATCAAAGTTGGCCAAGTCATATAGAACCAAGTGTTAGCCGGCATGGAGATTCCGTTGTCGGTGACCACCGGTATGATATTGGTCTGGGGGAAGCCCATGGGCACGACGCTGAAGTAGCGGAGGATTTCTTGCACCAGACTCTGGAGCTGGCTGGAAAATGATTGTGCTCGTTGGAGCTGCAGCAAGTTGCTCAGTAACGGCCACCCTCGGACTTGAGGGATTCCTTTGGTGTTGTCCTGGGGAGATTTGAAAAGGCTAAACAAGAGAGAGACAACAAGGAGCAAGGCGCCAGTCGCCTGGAAGCCTTCGACCCAAGTCATAGCGACCAAACTGGATCTTTCTTTGTTTTCTTGGATATAGGACGAAGAGGCAGGGAGAGGGAGATACAGCTACAATCATCTTCATCAGCCTTGATGTGTTCGGCAGCCCATATGTATAGATGGATCTATACTACAGTACAATCAGGCGGTCTCTAGGAGGGCTCGGAGTCTCCGATCTCCCTTACTATTACTACTACGTCTGCCCAAGCTGGTGTCCGACTTCGAAGCCCCGATCCAAGACAGAACGGAGAAAAGACGTTAAGAATGTCATCATCTATCCGAGTTTGGCTGAATCAGTCGACTGACTGCCTGCCTGCCCAGCATACGACGTGTATTCTCAGGCCACAACAATAATGGTAGACCCCCAAATCCATCGCGACGAAGTTTTAGGCCGTCAGGTAAATGGCCTACCGGGGAGGAAAGTGGCCAAAAGTGTCTTCCAGTTCGCGACGCCTCTGGATCTGGTCATTATTGCCATCAGCGGCCTCTCCGCTGTGGTCGCCGGAGGCCTCAACCCTTTCCTTACTGTAAGTCAACTTCCAACAAACCCCGTTTCTGTAATAACTCCTCCCATCTGGACTAATCAATCTACCTTACGCAAACCAGGTGCTATACGGTCAACTCGTTGGCTCGTTCAATGGTTTCCAGGATGGCACCATTTCCGTATATGATCGTTTTGGTTAAAAAAAAGCAAATTAAAAATATAGAGGGTGGGCAAATGCGCCGCTCGATTGGGAATTACGTTACATCGCTTTTTGTCATAGGCTAGGCCTTATTCGGAAATTAGGCCACCCATGTTAAAGGGGCAAACCACGGGAGGAAACATCACGGTTTTACAAAAAGCCACGCACAATCGTGACCTTCTCGCCGTTACCCCAACTTACTCCGTAGCGTCTCCGCATAAGACACTTCAATGGCCTTCTTTTCGCGAAGATAGGTCTTTACATGACCTAGACACCTTGCAAGGCTCCATTTCGGCTCCTCCCGCCCCCGTTTCCCAGAATATCCAACAGGCAATGGGTTGCAGGATTGGAGACCTGGCGCCCCAAAAGCTTAACCGCAACGAATTCTTTCCGATTCGTCCCTATTGGATGTTAAATAATTTCTAAGATTTCTCGGGTCAGCTCGTATTTAGCTCCTCGCTAAGGGGAAATATCGAGGGCCTCTCCACCAATCAAAGATGGGAATTATGACCGGGCTGTGCGCAGGGCAACAGGGCGCTGGCAAGCCCCTTCGCATCCATAGCCTCTATAAAGGTTAAGCACAGTCCGTAGTCAGAATTCCTCAACACCCTCAATCGTTCATAATTACCCATACCTAGTCCATTTAAGACTCGCCATGCCTTCATTCAGAAATCTTCTCCTTCCCATAACCTTCTCTCTCGCGGCCATTACAACGGCAGCCACTTGCCCTCAGAACTGGTTAGAACAAACCGTATCTCAGGATGATTCCAAATGCTGCTATGGCAACATGGTAATGGACGACAACGATACCTACTGCTGCGTTTACAACTTGAATCCGGCCCTGCAACCAAGCAGCGTTTCGATTGCGACTACGACAAACACGAACTTTGAAGATAGTTGGTCCACCGCCGATTATTGCTTCACTAAGATTCCATTCACTGCGAGTAACTACTCGGATCTGGTCTCTTCGGCATCATCGAAGGTTGAAGCTGGTGCCACAGCTATTGCGACCAACGAGGCCATATTTACGACCGCAGGGTCAACCTCAACCTCAACCTCAACCTCAACCTCAGGCACGAGCTCCGGCACGAGCTCCAGCATGAGCTCCAAAACAAGCCCGGGGTCCGCAGCTACCACCTCCAATGCAGCCATGCCGATTGCCACAGCTCAAGAAATGGTGCTCGGCGGTGCCGCCATAGTCGTCGGTCTTTTCGTGCTGTGATCTGAAATGGTACGAGAAGTTGTTATTACTACCGACATTCTCGGTAATACTCGGAGATTGGCGCTTTTTTCTCATATCTGCGGGTGGCTCCGGGATAGAAAAACTTGAAATATTGAAGAAGAAGCTTTATAGTGGTTCAGGACCTAATGGAAAGAACTTTCTAATTCTATTATCAGAGGCTACAAGCGGTAGAAAGATCACACGCAATTAAGTTTCAGTGGAATTCTAAAACAGATTATTCCCTAGACACTCACTCTTTGTTTCTCGGTCTTATCCTCTGTTTCCCATCCGAGCGCGACAAGTATTTGTTAATATTATTTTATAACTATGTTGATACAATTGAATGGCTGACTATGTAGACTATATATGGGGGATCGTGGACAACAAGTCGATCGAGATATAGGAAACTGGAAGCAACGCCCCCAGTGAAATGAACATTAGGATAACATTTCCCTACCGTACAGTCGAATATGCTGTGAAAAGCACTAGTCATGACAAGGGCCACGAAAAGCGGATTCTGTCCATCACCACCTGATATGAGTTTGTTTTTATCGCCTCACTCACGATAGAGTTTCCAGTGAGTCCAAATGCCCACAAGATAAAAAGAGCAGAAGAAGAACATCGTGACGAGTGAGAATATCCGCCATATTATCTGCTCAGCCTTAGTTAGGAATGTAAAGTTCTATCTTCCTTGAAAATTAGCTTCGTCAGAGAACGAAGGTAATAGCCAGAGTGAATGTAGTGATGGCCAGCATCTTGGGTCTTAGCCAAAACTTGAGTTGAACATTTCCTTCGACGGTTTCTTTAAACTCCACGACACTAAGTTTCGGTATATCTTTTCAGGATTTCGATGCCAACATCATTGGCAAGAAATTAACTCCTGGGCATGGTATGAAGCTGCCTTAAAGATGGCGGCTCGGAGCTCGGCCTCAAGAGGCGGGATGGTGAGCCAGATACCCTGCAAGGCCAATGGAATCTTCCCAGAATTCCTGTCAATCCATTTAATAAGGAATCCATTTAATAAGGGCAGATTCACCCAGGACACCCAACACCCAACACATAAATAAAACCCCCACTTACCGAAAGCGGAGCGCAACACGAAACCGAGACCGAAATGCAGTCGCCTATGGGGTGAATTCCGAAAAAGAGCCGGGGTTTTCACACCACGACCCGGTCTACAAGGTCCTCGGTGTCAAGTGGGTCATAAGCTGCGGCTTATTGGCGGGCGTAGATTAAGGTTAAACTGTATCTAGTAAAGGGTACGAGATATACGAGATCTACCCGGATGAACCAAATGCATTCAAGATACAAGGGGATTAGGTAATTGGGGAACGGTGTTGCCTGTCTTACCTTTTCCAAAAGATTTCAGGATTATAGATAGAATAGAAGGGGAGAGATTTGAATGGGTTGGGGTATTTAAGCGGGCTGGCCGCTGATATCTTTTGGTTCTTTTCTCAGCTATACACCATTCCCAAGCCAAGCGCAATGTCTTCCCTGGATGGCTGGACGGCGTACGAGTACTGTTCCTCCATGGGCGCGGCGGTCCTCTTCGTTATCCTCCGTCGTCACGCTGCTGCGTACGTATCGCCTCTTCCGCACGCGCACGTGGTTTCTCATTCCGCTGGTTCTCGGCGGATACTATAAGACTTCCCAAATATCCTTTGCAGTGACTTCAATACCGAGAATGGGATGTTTCAGTCGAGACGGTTGGGTATATCGGGCGTGCGATGTCCGCTCAACAATCCCCTAATTGAATGACGAGTCCGCATATCATCCAAAGCACGCTGCTTCTGGTTGCGCCGGCGTTATTCGCAGCGAGCATTTATATGGAGCTTCGGCGGGTCATCATTCTGGTGAAAGGTGAGAGGTCTGCGCTGATTCCTGTGAATTGGACGACGAAGACTTTTGTCGCTGGTGATGTAGTGAGTTTTCTGATGTGGGCTTCGGTATGTTTTTCTCCTCGTAGTCCCTTTCCAAGCTACGTGCTCATCGTGTATAGGAGCCGCGATTATGGTCACCAGAACGAGTGCCTCTGGAGGAGGTAACTTCGCAAAAAGTGGCCAGAATGTCATCATTGGCGGCCTGGTGGTGCGGATCGTCTTCTTCGGCTTCTCCTTGATCAGCGCGCTGGATTTCCAGCGGAGGTTGACTTCGCATCCTACTGCAGAGGGTGGGGCTGCTCATACCCCCAAGCGAAAAACTTTGCACGCTTTGCACACTTCCAGCATCTTGGTACTTGTTCGGTCCGTCGTTCGTGTCGTGGAGTATATAGAGGGAACCGATGGATTTCTCATGAGCAACGAGGTGTTCATTTATGTGTTTGATGGGTTGTTGGTGTTTGTTCTCATGGTGATTTTTGTTGTAATTCATCCGAGCGAGGTCAATTGTCTCCTTGGGCGGGGGGAAATTATGACGATGAAGGGCGGGTTGAGCGTCTCCGAGGGGTCGATGTTGGTGTAATGCAAGCTGCGATAGAGGATGTCGGCGTGGAATCGCTAACCGTTTGTCGTTTGTGACCTCCTCAGCTGATATTTTTTGTCGATAGATTTCAATGCTTTATCCGATTCATGATAAAGTATCGACCTACTCGATGTAATCCTCACCGAGGATCTCTGTCATCGCCCAATGAATCAGCGGTCTCCACTGATCGTCCAAAATCGCCCACACGGCTTTCGCAACCCGCAGACACCACTCGTCAAAGCACCAACGATGCTTCAATTGCTGCAACAGCACGCCGTAATACGCCACCATGACGAGTGCCAATGGCTCGCGCTCGCGCAACAGGTCCAAGAACCGAGGCGGCAGCTTGATCGCCCACCTGCCCGCAATAACAGTCGAGGTTGTCCCGCCGTAAACCCAGCTCAGCATCTCGGCAATGTTGTCAATCGTGACGGTGTAGGCATCTGTTTCATGCTGCGGGTCGCGGGCACGACAGGCTTCGTTGGCTTCGTAGAGGTGCCTGATGGCCGTGGTCGCATTTTCTGGTAATGGGGCGGGTTTATCGTCGAATTGGAGGATTGGTGCGAATGTTCCGTCCCTGAGGAGGTCGGCTGGGGACCGGATCACTTGTTGGATGCCTCGCGTGAGGACTAGGACTTGGTATAGGTCGTCCACGCAGGCCCACGGGTCTTGGACGTCTGGTGTGTGAGGGAATCCGAATGAGTAGACGACGACGATGCTGGCAAAGGCGAACATGGCTTTGGAGTTTCCTTCGTTAATATCGCCGAGAAGCTCGCGGAACAGTGCTAGGGCTTGGTTTTGGTGGACCACGGCTCGGTTCAGGTGCGCAGCCCGTCGCGAGGGCTCAGGCACCGTCCGAGCCAAGTGGAGCGAAGACAGAGCTAAAATGCCGTGCATCAGAAACGGGTGCGAAAGGCCTTCTTCCGGGACCGCGTTCCGCCAGACTGCATCTGTGCGCTCATCGCGGGAGAGCGTGTGGAACGTCGCATTGCACCATTGCATCATCAGCTCCAGGTCATGAAGGTTCAAAGCAGCGGGAGGAGCAGCAGCCGTGGAGCTGTCACCGCTTAGCCGCCCCAATAACCCGAATGAGTCGGACCCGGGGCTTCCCGGTGAGGGGTCACCTTGGAGGCCACTGTCGGAACCCGAGGCCCGCGACGGCACCCTCGTCGAGGGCTCTTCGTTCGCCCAGAGCAGCGAGGTAGACGAGCCATACTCGCATTCCGAATGGCGCTTTTGACAATTGGAGCACGTCGGCCTCGCCTCGTCGCACTGAAAATATCAGCGCAGGCCAGGAAGTGGTCCGATGTGAAATGCATACCTTTACTCGTCGCCGCTTGCATTCCATACACCCGTGTCGGGATTTCCGGTGCGGTCGTCGGAGCGCCATGGTCGTGAAACGGGCTTCATATTCATGGCCTGAGTAGACGGAGGCTCGGCACAAGCAAAAATAAGAAACGAGATTAAGGTACGGAATTAAGAAAATTTCTCCTGACGAATGGAGCAGGGACGTAGGCAACAGGATTCACACGATATACTCCCCGAGTCCAGGATTACATAACGAACCCTGTCGATCAATCCGCGAAGCTTGTCACCGTCTGAAACATTGTCTTGCCTGGTCTGCACTGCCTCCCTTGGTATTAAGGTCCAGTTTTCAGGGTCCACGGAGCTAACCGTCTTCCAAGCTTTTTTCCCTGCTTCTACGGTTCGATCCACTCATGATTGGTTAAGCGAAATTGAAGGTTGGCTAATCGTGGGACTGGTATACGCAAGAAAAGTGGGAAAACGATATATAAGAAGCAGATCCATCCTCTCCTCCCCCCCTCCCCCTCCACCGTGATTCGTTTCCTCGTATAATCCAGGTTCTCGGTTGCTTGGCTCTTGGCTGACTCTTAGCAACCCCCACCCGCACCGCCCGCACCGCCAGCACCAGCGGCCGCGCCATTTTTGCTGGCCCGTCTCAGTTTCTCGCGCAACGCAATGCCCGTGATCAGGACCATGACCGAGAATCGTTCACCGTAGTCTGCATGAACGTCCAGCTGTCCGGTTTTCTTGGAGAACGAGCCGCCCGACGAGAAAATGGCCACCACGTTCCCGCTCGGCTCTTCGACCAGTTTCAAATTGCCAGAGTGGCTGCCTCCGAGCGAGCTAGTCTTCTTCCAGGTGAAGCGGCGTTGCCGGCCGTCAAAGTTCATGCAGAAAGCGTATTTCACTTTGCGGAGGCTTTCGCGGCTCATGCGCTCCCAGCTGACCCCAGGCGTTGTCGGGTCACCCAGAGCAATCTCGGTGTCGGATGAAAAGTGTCGGAATTTACAAACCCCCGCCACGGGTGCATTAGTATCCGGGCCGGCGTGGAACGTCAGATCTGGTTTTCCCGGTCGAAGACTTGAGTTGTCCACGTGAAAGGCGTGCGACCCGGTGATTTCGTAGTCGTGGCGCCAGACGCCGTGGACGATGTGGTACTGGCTCGAAAGACTTGTCGTGTGGGATTGCATCGTTTTGTTACCCAAGGGTTGCATTTAATTTGAGATGGTTAGTTTTTCTTCGGGTCAGCCGTGGTTCTTATATGGCAAAATTGCCAGGCGCGAAAATAAACGATGACCGCAGGGCTGAGCCTATGCGCCCGGTCCGCTAGTCCAACCTGGTTTGGTCGGGCGCACGATGCGCCGCATGGCCTCAAAGACAGCGATCTTGCTGGCAGTGCAGGGCGCTGCGCCGACCAACCCGTGCGGCCCCCACTTTACGGTGGGCTTCAGATGGGGTCACGTGGTGACTATACAGACTCGGTGATCACCCTCGGCCCAGAATGACTGGCATGACTAGTATGACCAATGGCTGTGTTCAATTGTACAAGGTTGAGACAGATGATGGCCGTTACGATGTTGCCCGATATTGTTCAAGATGCAGGGATAGCGCTCGGTGACTCTTACAGCTGGAACCCAGCTGTGAGGACGAACTGTGCCGGACTCCGGGCATTTGAGTTTGTGTGTATTGGGACTGAAGTCTCTATTACGACGATCACTAGTAGGGGGCCAGTGCTGGCAATGACTACCAGCTAGTCAAGTACTTGGTTTTTATACCAGTCACATTTCTCCTTGAAATCTGATATGAAGGTGGGGTTTCCAAGACTACAATAAAGAAGCCATTTCTTGTCTCTCAATCTTGCTGAGCGTGTCATCCACATCCGCCCCAAGTCATCCGCTCATATCAATCTGTCACCGTGAGCTTCCATAGACTCGCGTGGCAGATCAATGGGCCTAATGACAGTTCTAATTGACCTAGTACACATGGCGGGCAGTCCTACCAAAATCGCCCAATATCATCATGTATCTCGCTACACGGTCTATAACACCAAAGTTCGCCTCCAATAGCACGGTTTAATTAAATCGAACCCGATAATTGGTCGACCGCCAAAGTTTAGTGTTTAAACTAAGCGACATGTCTTTTGCTTAGCTCGCAAACACCCCTGGTTCTCCGTCACGATCTACTATACGAAAGATTCTGAATCACTACGGTCTGAAAAGTGGAAACCAAAAAATGCATTCCGCTAAGGCCTGAGTCTGAGGATATTTCGTATGTAATTTATGGTAGAATCTCGATTGGCGGCCAATCAAAATTGTTCATTATGGAACGTGACCTAGACACACCACGAAACGGATACTTAGCCATTTCGTCTATTAGCGCGCTTGATGAAGCTCTAGTTCTAGTCTACGAGGCCGGAATTATATTTTTGCAAGACAACGCGGGATTTAACATAGCCAATCATACTCAACAGTGGTTTTAAAAATTCGGGTATGCACGTTATCGGACGGCCGCTGCACTCGCCTGATTTAAACCCGATTGAGGTCGTCTAGGCACTTTTTTTTAAAAAAAGAAAGCCTTTTAATCAATACCCTAGAAGAGCGAAACAACGACGTTGATAGGTTGATTAGGGATATTTCCGGGCAGCGTTGATGGATTCATGGGATTATGTAGATCAGGCTAGTATTAAAAGTTTAATTCGGTCAATACCGCGCAGGATTAAGGCTGTGCGTGCTGTGAGTTTGGTATACGCGATATTAGTCTTAAAAATAATAGGTTTTGCTATATGCGATATATGTAAAAAGCAAGCAATTTTGATAGATTTTGGTCAACCCATTTATATTTGGTTGTAGTGGGTTACACACAAAAGTTGGGAATCTCGGGTGTTAGCAGACTTGTTACCTATGAGTGTAATCACTACAATTGTTACACCATCAGCCGCACACTTTTTGAAACACCATTGGTAAGCTCGTATGACGCAAGGGTTATATTGTTGATCATTGCCCACTGTCATCTTGCTCCGTCCATTCGGAATGGGGTGCGGCGTAGTTAGGCGTACAGCGGGGTCTGAGCACGGGGCCTGAGCATGCGGCTGGAAAACGGTGTCTCACAGTTTTATTTTTGCTTTTTGCTTTTGCTTACTTTTCTGGTTCATTTTACTCGTCTTTTGGCTACGATATTTGGCAGTATAGGCATCATGGAGTCATCTACGCCTACTTTGAATGTGGTGATTGTGGGCGGGGGTATTGCCGGGTTGACGCTTGCGCATTGTCTGCTCAAGAATGGCATTAATTTCGTGGTTCTTGAGTCTCGGGGGGAGGTTCATGCTCAGGATGGTGCTGCGCTTGGGATGCTGCCTAATGGAGCAAGGATTCTTGATCAGTTGGGGATTTTCGATGATCTGATTGAGGGGGTGCAGCCACTTCGGAAATGCTATTTTTGGTCTGAGGATGGTGAGCTTATTGCAGAAGATGATAGCCCTGTGGAATTTGAGAAGAGGTAAGAGTACTGACTGAGTTATATTCTGAGTTGTTTGACTAAGCCTTGATAGGCATGGTTATTGCTCTGCTTTTATGGATCGCCAGCGCGTTCTGGAGAAGTTGTACAGTAAGCTTGGAGATCATCGGGACCGAGTCTTGGTTAATAAAAAGACCATCAACGTCGAGAATCTTCCAGATGGTATCCGTATTCACTGTGCAGATGGATCCGTGTATGAAGGCGACCTGGTTGTAGGAGCCGATGGCGTTCGAAGCATCGTGAGACAGTCGATGTGGAAGAGCATGGATGAACACGGTCTCCAAGCCGAAGTCGAAAAAGAGAAAACAAGTATATCAACCCCTTGCCAATCCCTCCATTCTTCCTTGTCATAAGCTAACACACATAGCAATGATCTCCGAATACAACTGCATCTTTGGCATAGCCCCCGCAACTCCAGGACTGAACCCAGGAGAAATTCACCGAACCTACGGCCAAGGATACTCTTTCCTCGCCGTTATCGGTAAAGAAGGTCGGGTTTGGTGGTTCCTCTTCACGAAGATGAGTCGGAAGTACAACGGGTCAGAAATCCCGCGGTTCAAACAGAGTGATATGGACGAACATGTTCTTCCATATTTATCAACACCGGTAACTAGATCTGTGCGTTTCTCGGAGATCTATGAGAGGGCATTTTTCCGGAATATGCTTGCTTTGGAGGAGTCTTTGTATAAGCATTGGTTCTATGGTCGTATGGTTTGTATTGGAGACTCGGTACATAAGGTGCGTCTTTCAAACTCTCGCCGTCAGTCTTGTCATTATAACACTTTCACAGATGACCCCAAACATGGGCCAAGGAGCCAATTCCGCCATCGAAAATTGTGCAATGCTTGCTAACTATCTTGCAAAATTGACCAAGTCTCCTGCATGCAAACCCGAAGACATCCGTCGCTGTCTACAAGGCTGGCAGACAACCGTCCAGCCACGTATTAGCGGAATCTGGTATTCAGCTTGTGATTTGACACGCCTTGAGACAAAGGCAACACTCAAGCACAAGGTTTTGATCTATCTGCTTCCGTACTTGCTGGGTATATTCATTAACAAATCGTCTGCCCTTATGATTGGTGCGGCGAAGCTGGATTGTTCGCCTCCTCCGGCTAGATCACAACAGGGTACTGTTCCGTTCAAGGATTTGACGCCATCGGAAGAAAAAAGAGATAGTGGAAGCAGGGGCATAGTTCTGGGTGCTCTACTCGTCGGCTTTGTTGCCGTTGGCTGGAACTGGAGAAGGCTTCTAGTTTGAGTTCAATATATCTGGTGATGAAGGGTACGGCAGCAGTCCACCCCAAACGCCGCCACCAGCAACACGGCGATCGCGGAGGGTAGTGCGAGGAAGTTCATATAGATTTGCAGCGCAACGAACAGTCAATTTTCGTCCTGTTGGGGAGTCTGAATAGCAGGCAATAACCTGCCCTCCTGTTTCTCACGCGTATGGATAGAAATATCGCGAATAGTAGCATAAGACGCGTAGAATTCTGGGTCCACTTGATACATCGTCAAGCTCTTTACAGCAAAATAATTTTTGGAATTGAAAAGCTTTTGTGTTTGATACAAATTTTAATAACTGCTTGCTGCATTATTATGATCATGGGTGGCTAGGTCCCAAATCCTTACAGGGGAAGGAAACATAAGTCTCCGATCGGACGTACCATATATGGTTCCACCCACATGCCACTAATCAGCAGCATCACAACCCCCGTGATCCAGAAACGCCGCTCCACCACTGGTCCTCGGATAATCCCTGCATTCTTTTGCCCGGTGTAGACAGTCTGGTTCACAGTTTGATTGGGGTGCTGCGAGAAGAACCACGTACTAGCCGACCCATTTTTCGCCAAAGAGCCACTTAGTCCAGGTGGGACGACAGAAGGATCTGGTGGGACGGTCTGGTCGGGGATAATGCAGACAGCACCCTCAGCTGATGGATCCTTGCAGCGACCTTTGTAATCAACGTTGCGCTGCGGGTCGCTGCTATTGAAGTATGCCTTGAAATATTCGATTGTCGTGACGGCATCTTTCATTGGAGGACCCTGAGACCAACCGACAGCGCCATTGCTCCAATGTTTGAAGAACATAGCAGAGCTGGAGGTTGGTATGTCGTCGATGAGATCCCATAGCCACTGCCCGTCGAAGTAGAAGGAAACCCGGTCCGGCATCCAGTCGAAGCGGTATTCGTGGAACTCATCAGTCAGCGAATTGGGGAGGATGGGTTTGCCGTAGCAGGTTGTGTTCGGCCGTGAATACTCGGTGAGAATTGACTGATCTGAATGGGAGATGAGGTTGATGGGTGAGGACGGTATGGCTTGGCTGGAGGTGGTGTAGTTGATGTATTGGTAGGAGAGAAGTTCCACGTCGATCTCTTGAGTGTCATTGTAGTACTGGACCAGGCATCCGTTAGTGGTAGGACCTGATGGGTAAAGAGAAAAGATCTCACAGAGAAGACAGCACTGCACGTTCCATTCACTGGAGTCAACTTCATAGCGGCGCGGAATGAACCGTAGTTGAGATCTCTCCGAACTGTCCGCATCTCAGCTGAGGGCACCAGGCCGTTAGATGGAATCCCCCCGCGAACCCAGAGCTGCAGACCCGCATCACCGCCGAGTTTGCTCGGACTGGAGAGTGTAGAGTTATCTTTGAGAGGGTTGGAGATGACATTGGCGCCAGTCATATTCATTCCAAAAGGGCCGGCATCCGTGCCATGTGGGGTCGCGTATTCCTGAATTTGCCAGTCCGTGTCATGGAAGATATCCTGGATAGTCAGGAAGTCTGACTCGATCAGGTCGGTAAAGACCTGGTGCTGAGAGGAAGTGGAGTTGACCGAGTAGCCACACTCACACATGGTCGTAACTGCGACACGGTTAGACGGACAGACGCAGGAGAGCGGTTGATTACCTTCCGATGTCAGCCATAGCAGCAGAATAGCTGAGGGCAATAAAAAGTAAACGTTGCCACAGTTCAGCATTGCAGGGATTCGAAGAAGACAAGAACTAATCGAGGCCAATTGCTTTATCATATTGATCACAAGAAAACTGAAGACTGCAGGAAGGAGAGAAATGGAGAAACAAGAGAAAATGGTTTAGAAGTAATTGAGAGATACTGGAATAATCGTGTATATTGAGCACCTCGGCGACAATTTACTCAGTGTCTATGTACTGGACAGCTGCTCTCAGTCTTTGCGGGGGTTTACTTCGAATTGATCATTCTGCGGATCCAACCCCTTTCTTTCCTTAGATCTAATATATTTACTTGACTGGTTCCAGTAACCACTGATCTCGAATCTGCCAGTCTATGGTCCATCAGCTCCCGCATAAAGAGCTTACTTTGTGGAGTGCAGGATAACAAGGTACTCAAAATAGATGGTCGTATTTAAACCCCTCCTGTCCCAGATCTTGAATTGTTTCCCAGCTGGCCTCAGTCTAAGCTATCCAACTGAATATTTTGACCTGATATTTTTACTGCTATATACAAAACGACAATAATTGGCAATTACTGACAGGTTTTACAGCTTCGCCTGCGCCTCCCCATTCTGCAGCACATATCTATACCTCGCCTTCCCCTCATGCATGTCAACCAACGCCTCATTAACCTCCCCCATAGCTCTCTTCTGAACCCACGGCAACACCCTCTTCTCCTCCGCAAGCTTCAGCATCTGTCTCAAATCCTCCGGTGAACCGATACTCGACCCCGTAACCTTGACACCCTTCTGAATCAACGAAAAAGCCATAAGCGGCGGCAACGCATCCTCCGGTGCCCCAACCTGCACAAAAGTGCCATCCCGCTTCAACAACCTCAAGTACTGCGCGAAAGGCATATCCGGGCCCGAAACCGTACACAGAATAATATCCAGCGTCCTCGAGTGATTCTTCGCCCACCCTTTCTCCTCCCCAGTCGCGATGAACGCATCCCCCCCAAGCCCCTCCAATGCATCCGCCTTCTTACTACTCGATCTCGAGATCGCAACCACCCGATCCGCACCCAGTGCCTTCGCAAATAAAATACCCATATGTCCCAGGCCCCCGATCCCCACAATACCAACCGTCTTCCCAGGCCCGGCGCCGTACTTCTTCAACGGTGCATAAACAGTAACACCACCGCAGAGCAACGGCGCTGCCTCGGCAGAAGGCAACGCATCAGGAATCTTCACCACGAAATGCGCCGGCCCCCTCCACCGCTCCGCAAACCCGCCGTATGATTTCGACTTATCCGCATACCGCCCGTTATAAGTCCCCGTCATACGGGCACAGTAGCTCTCCTGGCCGTCGGCACAGGCTTCACAATCGGGCTTGAGACAGGACATGCTCTGCGCGCCGATGCCGACGCGGTCGCCGAGTTTGATGGATCGGGAGGCAGGAGACGAGGGCAGGGTTGGCACGGCGGAGCCGACGCGCTCGACGATTCCGATTATCTCGTGGCCTACGACGCAGGGATAGTCGGCTGGGGCCCAACCTGAGCGCAAGGTGTGGATGTCGGTGCCGCAGATTCCGCAGTGGGTTACGCGGACTTCGATGTCGGTTGGTGTAAATGGTTTCGGGGTGAATGTTGTGTATGTTAGAGGGCTTTTGGCGTCGTGGGCGACCCAGCCGTGGAAGTCTTTTGCTGGTGCGGTCATTGCGGTGGTGTTGGTGTTGGTTGGTGATGTGAGATGTGAGGTTGGTTCCGAGGTTGAATAGAGAATGGCTATGGAGACAAGGGATTGAAGAGATTGAAGAAAGGAATTTAGAAATACTGAGGTCATTGCAAGCTCTCTGGGGATCTACGCCGACATCTGAAATATGCGGAGAACCGACTGAGCCGAGGTTCAAAGTTCGTGGCAACACCGAAATTATGCGATTGAAGCTAAATCCAACATAGACCCAACTCCGTATTTACAATGCCCGCTCGGATATGTACAGTATTAACGTGAGCAATTTTTATCCTTCACCGCGACATTCCCATTAGATCTTCCAGCTCGTCGCTGGTGAGTGTGCTTCGCCGGCGGCCTCCCGATCGGCTCGATGACTTCTCGGGTCTGCTACGTTTGCGAGTTTCCTGCTCTTTGCGCGTTTGCTCGGCGTCGCGAGCTTCACCTTCGGCCGCGGCTAGTTTCTGGCGGACGCTCATTCGTGGTTCGGCGCCATTGGCCTGAGATGCGTTAGCACTCGACTGCAAAGTGGTCGTTTCACGATTCCTTACCTGGCGAGTGGGTTTGGTATCAGTCTTCCGTCGCGATGGTCTGCAGGCCACAGTATTGGACTTGTAGGCCTTTATCTGTAGCGTCTCTTCATCATCGGGGGCAGTTTCACACGGTGATCCCTGTAGACCAGGTGTGAAAGACACTTTGCGGAGTCGCTTGGGCCGGGCGTTATCACTGCGCTCTTGCAGGGCCCGCTCAGAGCGCTCGGGCACCTTGCGGAGCTTGGATCGGGTTTGTGTAGCTTCTGCTTCCTCAGGGACTCGGTCCTCAGACTCGCTCATCTCTTCCTGTTCGTCTTCCAGGATTGGTGAGATGTTGTTCTCGGCCCTGCTGACCATGCTTTCATCGTCGGCGGAGTTGAAGCTGAGATCAAGATTCATGCCTCGCTTTAGCTCCTCCACCCGCACCCCGTCGCCGCCATCAGCAAGACGCCGTTGCCAACCGTCCATCATGGAAACGGCCTGCTTCCACCGGTTCTCCATCTTTTCCCAGCTCTCGCGAAGGGACTTGATCTCCTCGTCCCGTACTTCAACCTCTTCCAATGGCACGAAGGAGGGATTGGTGAGCAATGTGCGCAGGTGATCCAACACGGTCTCCATGCTTGCGGACAGTTCTTCGCAAGACGTAGGAAGCGTAGAGACAGGCCCCGACGCCTTATTCGGCCCAAGATTTAGGGACATCCCAGACACCTCATCCTCGTCATTCTCCTGCTCAGCCAGCGGCAATCCCTGTAACTCCTTCAGTGTCCCAACAGTGTTTCGGGCAAGCTCAATCAGGGTATCGTTTTCGTCGCTAAGGTTCTGGCACAGCACCGTCAAGAATTCGGTCGTCTCCTGCTTAAGGCTGTATCCGGGGTCATTGATATGATCTCCGCCACTGGCTCCGAACCGCGACCGGTCTGCGCCGGGGTTAAGGTTGATAGTCGTGACACCCAATCCTTCCCGCTTTCCCCTTTGTCGCTCGGCCAGATGCGACTTCAGCTTTTGCATTTCGAGATCGCGTTTTCGGATGTCGTTGGCGCACTGTGCACGGACTGTTTGAACGGTGGTCTTCATGCGCTGCACTTGTTCCTTCAGTCCTCGGATGGTCGATTCGGCTTTGGACATGTTGGACTTGAGGTTTCGCTCCTGAGCCTCTGCGAGAGCGAGGGAGCGGCTCAGCTCGGATGCTTTTGTTTTGAGTTTTACCTGTAGCAGTACAGACGGGTTAGCAAGCTATTTGGCCCCTCTATCCGCCATTCACGTACAATTTCCATAGTCTGCTCCGACTCGCTCGCGCGCAGCGTGCGAATGGTCGTCGCCAGGTTCTCACGGTGCTCAGCTTCGCGCTAGAATATTGTTAGAAGCAATGCGATTAACAGGAATCTCATCGACTGACATCTCTCCTCAAAACGAGGTCATTGACCAGGTTAATAACCCGCGCCATGGTAGCTTCAGTCCCCCCATCTTCATTATCAGGCTGCGCAAAGTCAATCGGATGACCAGTCTTCAGCAATCCTCGCGCCAGCAATATATTATTGACATAAGTCGAAGCGGCCTGCAAGTTCTGCGCCTCCATGTCGTGTTGTGGAGCTGTCGCAAGATCCGAAGATCCAAAACCAAAGCGGAAGAAAGTAAACATGGGCCGCTCCGGATACGCACAGCGACCAGTCGCGCAGCAACACGTTCCGTGCCTTAACGCGCTCGACATCTGCACCACGAACCTGCAAAGTCGAGTTGATGGAATTCTGGAACAATGCTGTCTGCTGTATCTGGCCCGCATCAACGAGGCCAGAAACTCTACCAGAAGGGCGACTTCAAGGCAGCGATCGAGGCTTTTGGCGAGGTAACTCCATCAACCATCCTAACCCAAAATGGCAGCTAATCACCCATTCCAGGCGCTGAATCACAAAGACGCCGATGCAATTGGCATCCTCGATAACCGTTCTGCTACATACTGTAAATTAGAACAGTATGACCAGGCGCGCCGAGATGCAAAACATATGATTAAAAATGCCAAGGAGGATGAGCGAGTAAGTGTGATTCTCTAGCATTTCCGACTACCAATCTAACCATTTCCAGGGTTATCTGCGCTGCGCCAAGGTCCTTCTGCTGGAGGGAAAGCCTGAAAAGGCCTTGGAGATATATGCGTATGGCTTGAAAGTCCTCCCGAGCAAGCATCCACGTCGAGAGGTTTGTTGCCTTGTTCCACGATCTGTGATCGCCCATACTGACGGTGCAGATGATGGAACTTCTACACAAGAAGCTCCAGAATCGCATGATGCTCAATCGAAAAGACCCCTTCACCATGCTCCCCCTTGAGATAGCAGCCATGGTGATCCAGCATTTCTCCTTCAAAAACATCGTGTGAGTCCTCATTGGCCATCAACGTTTCAGCAAGCTCATGCCCGTTAGGGCAATTCTGCGCGTCTGCAAGGACTGGGAACGCTTCTTCGGCTCCATGACCTACCTTTGGATGGAGATCGATTTGTCTGGGGCTCGGGGAAAAGTGCCATGGACGGCAGTCCGGTCATACATTCGACGCTCAAAGGCCATGCTCACCCGTGCCATCATCAAAAACCTCGCTACACCTTCTACACCCAAAAGCATAGAGTTCCTGAGCAGATGCCCGCGCATTGAACATCTCGAGCTGTGGGTAGACTACGACTTTAAGGAATTCTTCCAAAAGTTCAAAGGGCACAAACAGCTCAAGAGTCTTACCCTTTCGCCTGACATCTCAGTGTCACACGACAATTTTGGTAGACTTCTGGTTGAACTCCCGCGACTTGAACGCATTGCTCTGTGGAACGTTAGACCGTCGTCTTTGGCATTTATTGAGGGTGGCCACTGGCCTAAAACTCTACCTAATCTCAAGAGCATCACATTGGCCACTCAGCAGATTCCGACGCCGCCTATAACCGTTCCCGGCGTGCTTCTGCCCAACCTTCTCGTCGTATGTGTTGTTATTCTGTTCGATTTGCTGCGCTAACGTGTACCCAGGACATGGAGCCTCGCGTGTATCCGAATCTGGAAGAGCTTCGGCTTGATTGGGACCCACCAAAATACCAGCAATTGTTCTTACAATACTACGAGGATTTCTATCCACCACTCCGCCGTTTGGATCTTCGTGGAATATGCATTGAACGGGATACATTTGTCCACTTGCCCACCAGCCTCGAGTACCTCTGCGTCCAGGGAGGGAAATCCACGCCCCAGATTTTAGATGAACCGGAGAGTCGTTTAACAAACTTGAACACAGTCATATTTAGCGATGCGGGCTTCGTAACCACGGAAACACTCGTCACATTCCTCATACTTTCGCATGGACCAATCCAGACAGTGCACATTGACCAGTGCTTCAATGTGTGGGCCTCCCATCTTCTACTCGTCCTGAACAGTCAGCATATCAACCCCAATTTTAAGCTGTCTGAATTGAGTCTCTCTCACATGCGTGATGTGAGTGATGCTTTTGTGCGAACCCTCTTCGAGAAGCTGCCTCTCCTCAAAGTCCTCAATCTATCACACACGCGCATCACCGGTGTCACCATCCGGATGTGTGCTGATGCGAGGGCTAGTGCGGATGGAGTCAAGCTTGATCGGCTGTTTGTCCGAGGCTGCGAAGATGTATCTTCCGATGCAGTAGCCTATGGACGCGAGCGGGGATTGGAGGTAATAACCTGAATCTGCCGTGGGGGCGGATCTTCACTGCCGGCCAGTGAATGATCCATAACCATGATGACCCGGTACCTCTGTACCTCTTATCACGACATCAATAGATAGCTTAATACAGTTTATCAACCCGTCATTTACACGTGGAAACCAATTACGAAATGTATCCTCAGCCTTGCCGATGCACAATATGGGATCTAATTTAAATCCATCATGTAGTTCTTTGCAAGAGCTTTATTCGTTGCCATATACTGCATTAAACATAAACAGTACCAAATCTATTCACACGCTTGACCCTCTAAGTCCATTCAGTCTGACTCGTGCTCAAAATATTGCCGACCCAGCTCTTCCGTCTCCATAGTTAATTCTTCCACGAATAGAGAGCTCAAGAATCCGAAAGCTCCAAACGCAGCTAGTTCATACCAGATTGTCTGCATGGCGTCCTTGTATGCCTCTCGAATGAGGTCCCGCAGAGCAGGGGAGATGTCAACTGTTCGCAAATGGGGAATAAAGCCCACGGCCTCACTGGGCTTTTTCAACGATGCCAAAGAAGCAGGCAATGCGATATCGTGAATCCTGTTGGCGAAGACACTACTGAATGTAGTAGCACCGACCGCAAGACCAATAAGAGCACCAAATAGACGGAACGCCACCATTATGCCCATTGCGAGCCCCTGGTCCTCGGGTGCAGCACTGGCTTGCATTGGGATTGGAGGGACGCTGAATATTGTGCCAATGCCAATCCCTGCAATCACCTGGAAACTTGCAGTCATGGCGGGAGAGGAGGATTGGTCCCACAATGAGAAAATACCACATCCAACGGCGAGAAATACCCATCCAGTCCAAATTTTCCACCTGTATTTCCGGAAGAAATCAACTGCAAAGGCCGCAATTCCTGTAAAAACGAAGACCACGCAACAGAATGGTAGGATCGAGATAGAGGATTCGAGCGGTTTTTGGAGATAGACCGCTTGGAAAAACAGTGGAAGATATTGTAGCAGTGTATAAAGCACGAAGCCGTGGATGAAGCTTCCAAGAAGGGTCATTTGCGCCGTGCGTGAGCGGAAGATACGGTAGGGAAACATTGCGTCAGTCGGATAAGACTCGTAAAATGCAAACCCCACTAAAATCAAAACACCAATGACCAGCGGGACTATAGTTCTCCACGAGCTCCAAGGGTACATATTCCCAGCCCAAATTAGTGGTAGGGCAAAAAGAATACAACCGGCCATAAAGACTAGCATTCCAATCCAGTCTATACGGCCAAGCTTGGCGCGAAGGGGCTGGTCAATGGGCGTCAGACGCATAAAGAAGATAGCCAGAAAGAGGGCAACGCCAATCACAGGCAGATTAATCCAACCGATCCATCGCCATGTAACATACTCACTGAATACTGCACCAAGAATGGGGCCCGCGATACATCCTGCGGCCATTGGAAGGGACAGTAATCCGATATACACAGCCCTCTCTTGCAGGGTAGTGATATCGGCGATAATGACCTCACTCAGGACATCGAGTCCTCCTCCACCCAGTCCTTGTAGCACACGTCCTACAATCAGGACTGTCATGTTGTGTGCGACGGAAAAGGCGACAGATCCAATACCGAATAGCGTAAAAGCCGCGTAAAGAGGGATCTTACGGCCAAAATTTCCGAGAAACTGGTATAAATAGGCTGAATGACCACGACTGCTACCGTAAAAGAGATGTTGGCCCAAAAAGCGGTTAGAGTCGTTCCCGAAAGATCCTCGGTGATGGCCTATTGTGAGAGAAAAGTCTTAGGAGAGCTGAGTGGGCGTTTGGAATTAAGGGCTGGGTATAGGATTACAGGGATTGCAACAGCCAACGTGGTGGCATCCAAGGACACCAAAAATACCATTAACAGCAGAGCTATAAATGCAAGAAAGAATGACAGAGGTTTTCTCTTGCGGCTCTGTCGTCCCGCTTCAGGATCCTAAAAATAACAGGAATTTTTGTTAGAATTTGACAACATATATAATATAAGATATAAAGATTATATATAGGATAAGAAAAACTGAATTTAATGCAAGGTTAGAAAGTAGGACCTTAAAGTATATATAATGTACGAAAAATTAGTGATATACTAGTGAAAATATGTCTTGAGACCTACGACCTAATATTAATTATCTACCGGCAGGCAGGAAAATAAGTAGGGTTTAGGGTGGTAGAGTTAGATAATATAGTACAATTTAGACATTATCAATATAAAACTAGGTATAATAGCTGATCGGGACCCAGGATTTTCTAGGTCCCGCTCAGGTGCTGGAGCTGAGCGGGACTCAGAATTAGTCAGAAATTCTCTGAGTCCCGGTCAACTTTTTCTGGGTCCCGCTCAGCTAGGACCCGGCATGGATTCACAGCCTATCGATTCACGGGCGAAGTATTATAAATTTGGGCCGAAAAATGTCGGCCGAAGAGAGTGGGTCCCAACCAAACATCAAGCTGAGTAAAAAAGCAAAGCCCCTATAGGGCCAACAAAGGGAGGGGGGGGTCTAGACCAGATTAGGTTAGGCTTCGTTTGATGATCAGCAATCCCATTTACTACAGCTGCTCAGTGCAAAGGTGGTTGTTAGGAATTGAAAATATCCCTTACAAATCAATACAAAGCTTCAATATCTACCGTCATAAGCTGATATTGGTGGACTTGTTATTAAGAACACTCTCCTCGCTAAGAAAACAGGTAAGCGCTACAAGAAACTTCTGCCTCGAAGATATCAATTTCTAACAATATTCACGGCTTTAGAAGAGCTTCACTTTCCGCCTTTTTGGCCCTCCACCTCCCTCCGCTCCTTACTATCTCCATTTCCAGAGGACGGAAACCAAATTCCGTTCCAATTACAGTGTCGACACTACACCCATCTCACCTGAAACTGGAATTTGTCTTACAGTCGCTGCGATGGTAGTAATTGATGACAAACACCAGGGATTGGCTGGAAGGAACCTGGAAGAGAAACGGCTGGACGAGTCAGGATCTAATAGTCGCGCAGAAGACAGCTACGATGATGAAAACCCGACACCACCAGGAAATGACAATCCTCCCCTTGCCGAGCCAGAGGCCCCGCCAAGGGACATCAATGGCTGGAAGTGGTATTTGACCTTGGCGTCTATCCTAGCATCTACATTTCTCTATGCGCTTGACGCGACAGTTGTCGCCGATCTCCAACCAGTGATTGTTCGGGATCTCGGTGGTGTCACAAAGCTTTCATGGCTCAGCGTTGCGTTCCTGCTGAGCGCAACGGCCACGAACTTGATTTGGGGCCGTGTGTATGGTCACTTCAATACAAAGTGGTTCTATATCTTCCACGTGGCTCTATTCGAAGTCGGCTCTGCAATCTGTGGTGCAGCCCCCTCCATAAATGTCATGATCCTCGGTCGCGCCATTGCCGGCGTCGGTGGATCCGGTCTTTACGTGGGCTGTATGACGCTTATTGCGATGACTACAACTATTTCCGAGCGCCCAGTTTACATCTCCTGTACTGGATTATCATGGGGTCTGGGGATTGTGCTGGGCCCGGTGATTGGCGGCGCTTTCAGCGAATCCTCGGTGGGTTGGCGATGGGCTTTTTATATCAACCTCTTCATCGGCGCTGTCTGTGCACCTTTCTACCTCTTCCTGATCCCCAACAAGGATCCTCGACCGGGTGCTTCCATCAAAGAGCGGGCTGTTGAGCTTGATTACCCCGGTATTGTCATTCAATGTGGAGCTTTGACTACATTGATTCTGGCCATCAATCTGGGGGGCATCACTTACCCGTGGAACTCTGGTCGTATTATTGCTATGTTTGTTGTTGTGGGAGTCTTGTTTATTGCTCTGGGTTTCCAGCAGGTCTGGGCAATTGGCACCTCCCCGGCCCGTCGCATCATTCCGGTGCAATTTTTCCGATCGAAAATCGTTCTCATCCTCTTCGCTGCCTGCGCCTCAGGGGGCGCATGCGCCTTCATCCCTATCTATATGATTCCTCTCTTTTTCCAATTCACACGCAACGACATTCCGCTCGATGCAGGTGTGCGGCTTCTCCCATTTGTGGTATTTATGGTGGTATTTGTTTTTATCAACGGCAACCTGATGGCAAGACTGGGCTACTACATGCCCTGGTACTTACTGGGTGGCCTGCTGGTCGTGCTCGGCTCAGCCCTCATGTACACCGTTCGTCAAGACACTTCACCGAGCTGGGTTTACGGCTCCAGCGTTCCGCTGGGTGTTGGCGTTGGCATGTTTCTGCAGGCTTCATTCTCAGTGACACAAGCCGTCGTTTCGCCCGAAAATATTGCGCCCGCCGTTGGGTTTATGACCCTGGCGCAGTTCGTGGGAATCACTATCGCTCTTGCCATTGCCAACGCTGTTCTTTTGAATGGATGTCTTGACAAAATTGAGGCTATTTTGCCCAACGTACCTTCGGCCCAAATTCAAGCTGCCATCCTAGGTGCCCAATCAGACCTTGTAAAGGATCTGTCCCCGGCACTCAGGACTCGCGTGCTTGATGCTATTGTCCATGCTATTGGCGATACTTACATTCTTACCATTGCCGGTGGCGCTCTTGTGGCTGTATTGAGTTTGCTGCTGCCTCGAAACAAGTTGTTCGGTGTAGCGAGTGGCGTTAATGCGGCATGAGACAATGTATTGGTTGACGACACTTAGACCCCAAAAAGACTTGTCTGTTTCCCATTGTATTCCTTTCAACTTCTTAAACTAAATCCGAGTTATAATTCTTAGCTTTAGTGGTTGTCCTCCTGGCTGTGATACTTTTTAGATTCTTAATTCTTTTTGATGGTTTTGTCTCGGATACTAGATTTTTGAAGAATGAGAAAGTAGACTTGATTTGAAAGAAAAGAGCTTGAATATTGCAGACCTGTGTTGCTAGTCTGTTGATTCAAACCGTATTTCCTTATTGAAAGCATCGTAATCTAGAGATGTTACTTGATCTAGTTAACTTAGTCATAAGAGCCCCAGACCAACGCACACCCAGAAGATTCGAGGTACTAAAATCTTGCTATATTAACTACAGTGACGACGCGTCATAATTTGAGACCTGCCAAATTCAAAGTTCAACACTTGGGCCACCTATCCACTTTCTTCACTACGTATTTTCTATTTCCTCCTCTTCAGCCTCAAGAAACATTGATCCGCCCTGTGAACAATACCATAGCTCGCCTTTGGTGCCGCCAGAGCCGCCAAAACCGGAAGAAGATCGAAGTTCCAAATAACAAGCGTTACTACCATGCGCATCTCTAAATATGCGAGTCGACGACCCCAACAGCTGCGCGGACCCAAGCCAAAGGCAATCTGAGGAGCTGCGTTCGCGTTGAATTCAACCTCATCTTCCCCAGAGCTTGTTTTCTTGTACTTGAGCCAACGCTCCGGGTTGAATACTCTCAGGTCGCGTTCATCCCAGTTATTCGCCTTGGTGGTTTTGCTACGCAGCTTTTCGTCGACAGAAAGTGACGGTGCATGGAATCCGGGCCCGTTGGCGATCATGATAACATTGGTACCTTTGGGAATATGATGGCCGAAAACTTCAGTGTCACGAATGGCTTGTCGCGCTACACTCGTCGCGTGCAACCGAAGAGCCTCTTCCAATGTACCTTCTAGGTATGGAACTCGCGTTTTGTTCAGCTCTGCCAGTGAAGGAGGGCGTTTTTCTGCGTAGGCATCTGCATATGTGGAAAACAGCGCCTCTCGTAGCTTGTTTTGAATCTCCGGGTAGCGGGTCATGTAGATAAAAGACCAAGCAAGAGTGGTGCTGGTTGTATGTAGACCGGCGATAAATTGCCCAGCAATCTGGAAGAAGACGCATTATTATTTGAGTAGAAATTGACTGGTACCTAGAAGTAACAAGAGTTTTAGGAGGTGAATAAGGAAAGTAAGCATATCTCACCTCTTCCATCATGGTAGTATTTTCATAGTCCGGGTTTCGGCCCTGCTTTTCAGCAGCTTTTGTTTCACGCATTAACATATATTCAATCGCAGTTTTGGTTTCCCCTGTCGCACGGAATCTAGCCAGGGCACTCTGCACTTGTTCCTGGACAACGCATCTCTTTACAGCTGTGACGTTTCTATACCGAGACGTCTGACGCAGCCACCACATAGTAAATTTTGGTGACATGGACTTGGTCACTTTATCGATTGCATCTACCGTCTCATAGAGCGCGCTGATGAACGGGTGGTGTTTTCCTTCTGGGAATTCCACCTCTCCAAGGGTGCCAACTTTGACAGTTGAAGGGTCAAGCTCGGAGACAGCCTCGACTTGAGGGCCAAGGGCAGTATGCTCAAAATGCCGATCGAAAACAAAAGAAAGCATACCATCGAGGGCGCTATGATTCAAGTCTTCGTTGACGTCAAAGGGCCGGTCATTTGCTAGGCGAGCCTTTTCCTGCCAAAAGTTCAGGAGATGAAGCGAGTTGTCGTACATGACTGGGCTGACGACATTATTCAGGAAGCTCGGACTCATGAGGTCCTGCAACCATGATCGACTTGTCTTCCAAACTGAACCAGTCTTCATACGGGCATGAAAGCCGTCCAATGGGCCCAAGCCGTCAGTGATAAAGTTGGAACGGTCAAACTCCGGCCGTCGTGTCATGATATCCTGAGCCTCGGCTGAGTCGGCGAGGAGCACCCAGGGCTTAGAAAATGGCTCCACGAAGACCTGACATAGTGGGGTTTGTAGTTGATTGACTTGCTTGACCAGCCAGACATTGAGCTCTCTGCTAACGCTGACCTCTTTCATCATGTCGGGGGCATTTCCTAACAGTTTCCGTGCGGATTTCTTGTTGTATGGAATCCCCGGGAGGGGGTGAGGCATCATCCGCCAGTATAATGCGAGAAATGTCGCAAGCACGGCAAGAATTCTCCATGGGGTTAAGGCTAGACTACCACTGACTAATTGAACTGTTTCTGAAAGTGCCATCGTGGTGATTTTTGAAGGGAATATTGAATGGAAAAGGAATTAGAGATGGGATTGGTGTGCAAACTCCAGATACTTATTTCCATTCAGAAGGTCCAGATAGGACAAGGCTCTGTGGTCCTGGCTGAAGACACTCTCATCAATTCATTTCAGGTGAGCGTGAAGGCCCGAGGAGGGGGATTCCTCCCTGTCCGGCTCCCTGTCCGAAAAGGCCTGCAAGGATGGCCGGTGCACCGACACATAGGCCGACGTTTTTCCCTTGGCCGAAACCCCTCCCGGTATACACCTAATTCAATAGGATACGCCGAAAACCTTCGGCCGAAGATGCTGACGAATCCGTCACCCCTTTGGCTTCAGCCCCGAGCGCCCGAAACCGTATTCATCGCTAAACTCCCGTCGCAACCAATGCTACAGGTGGAATAAAGTTCTGATGGACATCTCTATTTCGTTATCAAGCTATTCGTGTCATTGCCTAGAAAGAGCCACCCGATTGTCGGGAATATCGATACATGGGCCTGCGTGCCAAAACGTCCTTATCAGCACCACCCTCACTCCTCCACGCTTCGATGCAAGACGACTGGTGAATACGACAACTTCCAACTCACAGGAATACGAGGAGTGTTTACGAATCAGGAACACTGATTTGATGCCCACGACAACATGAGTTCTCCTTCTGTCTTTTTGAAAAAGAAAAGAAAAAGAAAAAGAAAGAAAGAAAATATTAACTGGGCTTGGGACGTGATAGGTACCAAAAAAGTACTAAATTGAAAATAGCCCTTGATTTATGAGTTCTCACAAGACGTCCATGGTGAAATGGGAATAAATTTACGCGGTGAAGAGTTCTTGAGAGCCACAACGGACAAGATCATAGAGCTCAAATATTTGAAGCCAAAGCATCCCAGTTCATATTCATATCAACATCAAAAGCCGCCATCGAGACCAGCTCAGCCAGAGAGACTGTGGGATCCGACTCTGAATATTCTGGCAAATCAATTTCAGCCGAACTTCCCCCTGTTCGAGAGAAAGCTCCGTCGTCTGGCTTGGAGGGGTTTTCCATTTGCGAGGCGCCGTTGGCCTGTTTGGCGACTTTGCCGATCAGCTTGACAAGGCTCTGTGCTCCCACGTCTGCCATATTGCTGACCTCCGCTAACATTTTGAGGAGTTTCAGTGCATCTCGTATAGCATCCATGCAGTCCGCCCATGTCAAGTTTGCCATCCCGGCCGAAAGAGGATCCATTTTGGTGATCCTTGAACTGTGGTTTTCGACATCTCCCGGGAAGCTTTGATCCATGCATAATGATACTAGAAGCACTGCAGCTTCGAAAGTGGGTTGAATGATCCCTGTGTACCGTGTTTGAGTACCTCCGATCAGGGAATGTAGTCTGGATACCCCTTGCAGAACTTGGAGTGCAGCACCTGCCAGAGCCTTTCGCTGGGATGAGAGCAAGACTTGCTTGTACTTAGGAAGATGGCTCGCATCCAGCAAAATGGCCGGCCGGAAATTGTAACAAAGAGACTCAAATATTGATATGAATAAAACCTCTCTTTGCTTTGCAAGCATCGGAAGTCGTTCATCCCACTGCTTGTTTGGCTGGAGAGCAAAAGCGGATGGCAGCGTAGTCAGAAATTTACCACATAAGCTTTCATATCTTTCTTGGGCAACGACGATATCATAAGTTGACCCTAATGTTGGACCCATGCTCCTCCAGAAATTGGCCAGGCGAACCTGAAGGATGCGCTCAGTGAATTCCTCGAGGCCATGGGCGTCATTGATATCGGTGCCAAGGCGCATGCGTGGCATGTTCTCCGGCTGTATCCAACTGGGTATAGTAGGAATACGGTCCAATTGTCGTGATAAATAGCTGCAAGGTCAGCACATGCCATTAATCAGAGGTGCCACGGCAAGAAAAATATATCCTCGGCCACTCACCTGTCCCATATATAAAGATTGCAGAATATCCTGCGGCGAGTTTCTTTCTCTAACTCACTCATATCCGGAACGTCTGAAGAAACATCTTTATCTGCCCCAATCCTTTGAGCAACCTCTATCGCGGACCGGAGTGCACTTTGGAAGTCCTTCATAAAGCCCTGACACTTCGCCTTTAACCCAACAAAGGCCAAGTGTTGTACGCGAAGAAGGCTTCCCTTAGGATTGAGACGGAGACATATTTCTGCGAGACTGTCAGCAGCTTCGTCGCACGAGTAGCGAATATCCGCCAGTGACATATCCCGGATCCTTTCAATGGTACATGACGGAGAGGGGAGATATTCAGTTGTATAAGAGCATATTCTCAAAATGAGAACCGCGAATTCAACCTCAAAGAGAGATGATGGAATTTCGACGATCCGCCAGCGTTGGTATTCGTTTAGAATCCATGGAATATGAACAAGCTGATCCATCCTAGGCATCACAGACGGAGTTGGTTAGATATGGCATTCCTGGTATAGTTTTTGGGGTTTATCTGCGCTACTTACCAGTTCACTGCGCTCACGAAATATTTCACTAAGAAGTCCAAGATTGGCCCATCAGGAATCTTGTCTAGACATTGATGAATCTCCGAATCACATTGACTCAACGGTGCTTGACGGTTGCGATTTTGGTCCTCTCCATCCCATTGATTCACCTATTGATAAGATATTAATTTGTTAAAATAGTGCTCCTCATTAAACCTTATCAGGTTATGGAATCATGAATAGACTTACCATCCGCACAAGAGCTATCGTGTTGCTTTGACTGTCTTCAGAATAGCCGAAAACATCCGTTAGAGACGAAGGCATGGCACTGCATGTCGGACTCCTCATATTTTCTAGCTCTGAAATGGTATCGAAAGAGAAGAGGCTCACGTTTCTATTTTGGGAGCTCCTTTGGTCATATTCATTATGGCGGTTGCGGGTTTGCAATAGCGGGTTAGAAGGGGGTTGGGTGTCTTCTGATGGATAGTATGCGCAGTCTTCCGGGCGACGGCGGCGGGTGCAGTGGTTACAAGGGTATTGACGATTACACTGAACACGTTAGGGGGCTTGTCCTGGGATTCCTATCAGGACCACGTTGATTCTTTCACGAATACCTTTTGCTTTCTGGTGTAGCAAGGAATGCAAGAGGACACCTTGCGTTTTCGCGAGGGCTGCATCATGGGAGCAAAAGCTGGCACCTGTGGCAATCTACCGGCCTCGGTCCCTTTGATCTGAAGATCCTGTGCTGTCGAATCCCTGAAGTCGTGATAGTGGTAGGAAATAGGAGGGGGTCGATGTCCCGTCCTTTGTGCTTACATCATTGTGGTCCCCACGTCTAGACTTCAGCAAGGACCGGGACCAAGGGCCTGCGCCCCCCGGACGCCTGACCATGGGGAGGAGGCATTGGTGGGGCAGGGAAGATAGGTGAATTTGCGGAACGAGCCGAATCCGGTAGTGGGTGTGATAATCGAAATCAACCCCCATACCCCTGCAACGTTCGTAGTCTGATTCCGTAGGCCAAAAAACAGAGGTGGCGACCGAGCAGGATCGGCAAGTCACGTAATAACACACACCTAGCAATCAATCAATCAGAAGCCACCATTCTGAGGACCGGCCCTGCTACAAAATAGCCCACCTGAAACCCTCTCCAACTCATATATTGCTGGACTCCGTTCCGCAATTACCACGAGACGACACGCCAGGGGTAGCATTTCGCCATTGTCCTCTATCAAATCGCAGAGCGAGCCCATTGATCTAAGGGTGTAAGATGGATTCAGGGCTGTGCTAACGGGATGCAAGTGTAAGGAAGCTCTACCAGTCGCAAAATTCCCGCAATGTACTTTTAAGGCCAACCTCTCTTATCTGCAGAAGTTTGGGGGCGAACACGGGGCAAGGTGTCATCCATTTATATGGGGGTAATCCTTTCGAAGAAAGGCCTGGTCTCGGGTTCAACGCCAAATGTGCTAGCAGATGCAGTAGTGGAACTGCTTGAGGATCTGTCGTAGCCATATCAGGACTAGCCTGATCCTGTGTTTAGATAGCTTCTTTTTCACGCTCCAGCTTCCTTCCTTGTCAATATCACTACGTTCTATCTCGTTCCCTTTCAGCAGGAACCAGCAGGACCCCGGTGGCATATACGCAGTATAGCTCAAATCGCTTGAAGATTTTTCTTTGATAGCACACCGTAACTTTAAAACAGATCCTGGGCCCGCACTGACCGCGTATACTTACCATAGTAGGGTACTACTACCTAATTAACTTGGCGGCTCTGCAGGGCCTTGATTATGTTGAGGGTCAGATCCCATCATTGGAGGCTTGACTGCCGGATCGACGTCAGCACGGCTGCTCACAATTCGAGTTTCACAATATCGTGTATTCTAGGGAGTTCGTTTACCTCGTAGAGTGCCTTCTCAATAGGGCGCCTGAAGGTACGATTGTCAAGTAGCCTTGGCAGCCATATCCCAGATCTCGAAGATTCTCTGAGGCTGACCTTGAGTTCACTTAAGACCTGACATAGTTCTCCATGCACTCTCGCTTCGGCAGTTATAAAAGGAAAAAACGGGCTGGGAAGGGTGATCTTTTTCTCCAGCTGAAAGAGCTAAACGTCTAGGCAAGCTTTCAATATGGAAGACAATCGTAACCCAAATACCAATTTAGCTAGAAGGATTTGTTGCTCAGGAAACTTCCTAGCGCTGCAAATAGACCTCGAGGAGACCCATCAATCCTTCCGGGTAGAAGTTGCGAATTTCATACCGTTCATCTGCCTCCTTCAACAGTGCCGCGAATTCAGACTGGGTTCGTAGCTTTCCACCAAAGCCCACTAGCATTATAAGGTCTATCTGGCGCAACCCCCGCTCGAAATCGCGCGTCAATGTCCCCTGTGGCGGCAAGACTAAATCATTTATAAGTAGTGGGGTAGTGGACTCCGAACGCTCAAGCCCCGGCACTAACGAGCGGAACATGGTGACAACGTCGCGATCACTCCAGTTCAATGCACAGGCACGTAAGATGAATGCTGCGGCACCCCCAACCGGCTGTGGGTCGAAAAAGCTGTGCTGCATGAAAGAGACCCGATCTCTAGTTTCATCAGTCAGAAGCGCCTGCCCGGCCGCGTGCATATCGACTGAGTCTTGAACAATAAATTTGAGGCCAGGGAAGCTCTTTAACGAGATTAGATTAGTCAAATTCCACAGCACGTAATTCGGAGATCTTCTATTCTTTCTTTTTCTTTTTGAGTTTCTTACCTGGGCCAGAGTGATGGAGACCTTGCCACTTCCACCGCCGACATCCACTACAGTGCCCTTGAGCTCATCCCATGGAAATGCTTCTTTGAGGGCATTGATGTTGAGATTCACTTATGATGGGTCAAATAAGCATACCACAGAGGGGAATCGATGAACATACATTTTGCCCATCCAGCCATGGCTTTGGCAAAGCGAATGGATCGTTGAGTATCCTTTTCATAAAATTTGAAGATGGGAATGCCATGCAGTGTCGCAAATGGGGTAAGGGCGCTGTCATACTCGAGCGGCGATGCCTTCACATTATCAGCAGTGGCCGAGGCAGCCTTCAGCATTTCGTCCAGGCTGTTACATGAATACAATTGTCAGTACGAGATAAATATCGATCATCCAAAGCTCTCATAGCAGGTGATATTCCAAAAAAATATGGGTAGACATACGTGTAATGCAGTGTTGAACGAATTTCTTCGTCCACGTGCAGGAGATAAGAACTGGGGTTGTGCGCAATAACCCCCGGGACTGGCTCTTGGAAAATGAATTCTGTGACTAAAAGACGGACAATACGGCATGTCCGATCAAAATCAACACCGGCCTTTTCTGCCAAGGCCTCAATTGAGATTTGACCTTCGAGGGGAACGATCTCGAAGAATCCAAACTCTAGAGCCACTTGGATTGCTGCAAGCTCGTATCCCTGGCAACAAAGCTCACGGAAGTGGCGTTTTGGACCTTCAACAAGGTAATTGAGATCTTCAAGACATCTTTTGAGTTTTCCGTATAGCACAGCATATTCGACCGTGTCGGGGTACCTAGAAGAAGTAGCTGAATCGGTGGGTTGGTCATATCCGTTGGCTTGTAGGTACTCCGTAATGTCTTTCGTCTTTTGAGTTATGTCCTCGGCGAGTGCAAGGATAGTAGCTTTTTCAACTCTCTCAACACGTGTTCCATTAGAATTGTGTGACATGGTTAGATCTTTGGGTCTTTGGGAACTGGATATGATGTCTGGAATACCGAGGAACAGAGGTGAAAGCAGCATCCAACCAACTCTATCTAGATGTGCCTAGATCAAACCACGACTTTATACATGAAATGTACCAAGTAATCATAGCTCCGGTTTTTTCACGCCACAGAGCATTCATGGCGGTTGGCAGCTTGCGGAGTTTCCGGCCTCGGTTGTTCTTCTGTCCGCCCCGTAAGCTGACGACATCGGCTAAAGATCAGATAGGCCCCGATATTTTACGGGCATGGATGCCAAGCAGGGGCTCTTATGACATGTTTATCTTGACGAATAAGACCAACGTAGAACAATTGTCGTTCTCGCTAATCGGCCAGTGCATGTAGGATTTTCATCACGTAGGATCCCGGACACGCGGCCAGCCTCGTGCATGGCAGACACCCCATGTATGGAGCCCTACTACATGGGTCAAAGCTACTAGTGGAATCCTTTTATCTCTGTTATCGTGGGCCTCTATTTTCCATTCGGGATTTTTAGTCGACTGACGTTTAAATTCAAAGTTGCTCGTCGCCCACCCCTACTTAGGACTCAATGGCCGATAAATTTCGGCCGATATTTTGCGGGCATTTGCTATCAACTTAACAGCATCTCCGTCTTAATATTCTGCGGGTATTTGTTATCATCATCTTAACGGCATCTCCGTCTCAATATTTTCGGGCAAGGTAGCTCCTTCTCAGCGTCACTTGAAAACCTAGACATTTGAGAAACTAGACTCAAGCACTATCAAGCTACACAAGGTTTCTTTACTACTATTGTTGCAACCCTCCACCACCAGATATGTCTGAAAAGCATGAACCAGAGCCGATCGCCATTGTGGGCATGGGTGCGTGATTTGAATCTTGAAAATACTTTGAATGATCACTCATGTCTGTTTCAGGCTGCCGTTGGGCAGGAGGCGTCCGTGATACTCCTGGTCTCTGGGAAATTTTGATCAACAAGCGATCTGGCTACCAAGACTGGGCCGAACCTCGCTTCTCGGCCAAAGGCTTTTATCACCCGAACCCAGAGCGTCCAGGGACCACAGCTGCTAAGGGTGGTTACACTGTGACCGAGGATCCTCGTCTTTTTGACCCCTCGTTTTTTGGAATCTCCGGTCTTGAAGCAGAAACTATAGACGCGTCACAACGCAAACTTCTAGAGGTGGTGTATGAAGCCTTTGAAAGCGCCGGAGATACCTGGGAGAGCGTCAATGGAACACGAATGGGAGTATATGTTGCCGACATCTCATACGATAACTCATATGCACAAACACGGGACTGGGAGTATGCAAGGCCACATGCCACCACTGGCGTCTGCCACAATATTTTGAGCAATCGGATCAATTACGTTTTTAACCTATCCGGCCCAAGGTGAGTAGCACCATTCCTCAGGTATTCCCCCCTCTCTAAACCAGAAGCTAAATTATCACAGTGTCACTCTTGATAGTGCTTGTACGTCAGCCTTATATGGCCTTCATATGGCAATGCAAGCCATTCGTGACGGAGACTGTGATTCCGCTATTGTGGCCACGGCCAATTGGATTATGGACCCAGCCATGCAGATAGCCATGGATAAGCTAGGAGCATTGTCCGGCACATCCATGAGTCACGCATTCGATGCTTCTGCGGATGGCTATGCGCGAGGTGAAGGATTTGCCGCCATATACCTAAAGAAACCGGAGAAAGCCATGAAGGATGGCTCTCCTATGCGCGCACTGGTTCGTGGGAGCGCTATTGGCGCAAATGGCCGTTCAAGCGGCATCACCCATCCCAGCGGTTCTGCCCAGGAGGCAATCATTCGGAAAGCGTATGAGAATTCTGGTCTGGACCCCTCACAGACACCGTTTCTTGAATGCCACGGTACAGGTACGCGTGTCGGTGATCCCCTTGAAGTTGAAGCGGCTGGGAAAGTTTTTGGACCTGGACGATCGGACGCGCCTGAGGACCGCCTACTCATTGGATCCGTCAAGACAAACCTGGGCCACACCGAGGGAGCAGCAGCTCTTGCCGGGATCTTCAAGGCTGTTCTCGCCTTGGAGGCTGGTGTTATTCCGCCTAGCATTGGAGTGAAGACCCTGAACCCCAGAATCGACTTCGAGAAAGCCAAGGCTGAAGTTGTCACTGAGGTTATTCCATGGCCTGAAGGAAAGCTACGACGAGCAAGCGTCACATCTGCAGGCTTCGGTGGTTCAATTGGACACTGTGTCCTTGACCATGTGAATATTTTATATCCGGATTATGTGAAGCCAGGACTTCTGGGCACCACAACGCTAAATGGCAATTCTACCGAACACTCTGCTCCCAATAGAAATGGTATAACACCTGAAAATGGGTCAAATGGACATACTAATGGTCATGCAAATAGCCATGCAAACGGCCATGCAAATGGCAATGCAAATGCTATTGCAAGTGGTCACGTCAATGGGAACAGCAACGGAAATACGACAACCAAGCACGTTTCGATTCTCCAACCTCAGACAAAGGCATCATCGGATGCTAGCACTCGCCAACTTGTGCTTTTACCGTTTGCAGCGCATAAAGATGCCTCTCTCAAGTTGAATATTGAGGCTCTGTCTAGTGTCATTGACCGACACTCCTTGGCAGATGTTGCGTACACCCTAGGACTCAAACGGTCGAAGCTCTCCCAGCGAACCTTCCGTGTTGTTGATAAAATCGACCCCGCGCAAGGGCTCTTGAATGACGTTCAAAAGACCTTCACAGCTGCGCCGGAGACAACAGCCCTGGGATTCATCTTTACGGGACAGGGAGCCCAGTGGCCTGCTATGGGTGCCGAGCTTTTCGAATACAATGTATTCCGCATTTCCATCGAATATTTAGACAGTATTCTTTCGGCTGTTGCTGGAACTCGACCTTGGACTATTGAAGAAGTGTTGTCGGGTAAGTCTGCGCCCGACCTAGTGCAAACGAGCGAAGTTTCGCAGACAGTATGCACGGCAGTGCAAATCGGCCTGGTGAACCTGCTCGCATCTTGGTCTGTCTATCCTTCTGGAGTGGTGGGTCACTCTTCGGGTGAGATGGCAGCTGCATATGCTGCCGGTCGTGTCAGCGCCGCTGAATCCATTACAGCTGCGTACTACCGCGGCCAGGCTGTGTCTCAGAACAAACAACACGGTGCGATGCTGGCTGTTGGTATGAGTCTGGAGCAGGCTGCCAAGTATCTTGAGGGCATTGAGCAAGAGGTTAAAATTGCTGCCATCAACTCCTATGAAAGTCTCACTTTGTCCGGTGAACAAGAGGCTGTCGAGAAGCTCTCAGCAGCACTCAATGAAGAAAGAGTTTTCAATAGACTGCTCAAGACCGGCGACAATGCTTACCACTCACACCACATGGTCGCACTCGGTGGAGAGTTCGAGACTTTACTCTCGGAGGGTCTGGCCCGTCTCCAAAGCCTAGGACTCCTCGAAAAGCAGGATCGATATCCTTCCATTCCATGGGCCTCATCAGTCACACCCCATAAGGAAATCACTGCAGATAGCGTCCCGGTAGCTTATTGGAGATCCAATCTTGAGTCTCCCGTTCGCTTCGCAGATGCAGTTGCGAACTTAGTCCAAGACGAAAATTTGAATATTGGAGCTCTGGTAGAGATTGGACCGCACCCCGCCTTGAAAGGCCCCGTGAACCAAATACTGAAAACTCTCGGGAAGACTCTCCCATACACCGGGTCCCTCACTCGAGGAGAGGACAGTCGACGATCCATTCGGCAACTCGCTGGGTCGCTATTTGGGATAAATGCAAAGATCAATTTGGCCGCGGTGAACGCCACAGACGGTACCAGTCACGATAAGCCGGTCCTTATACACGGTACTATGGCTGTCGACCTTCCACCGTATCAGTACGGCTATGGACCAGTGAGCTACTATGAGAGTCGCGCTAGTAAGGAGTTCCGCCTTCGCAGGGTGCAAAGGCACGACTTGATAGGCGCCAAGGTAGCGGGCAATGCAAAGCTTCGTCCTCAATTCCGCAATGTTCTCAGGATGAAGGACTTACCCTGGCTTGGTGATCATCGTCTAATCCCAGACGTAGTCTTCCCCGCAGCTGGCTATATGTGCATGGCTATGGTTGCCGCCTCGCAGCTCTATGAGGAGTTCCCAGATGCACTACCCATCGTGGGCTTTTCTCTTCGCAATGTGGACATCAAGACAGCACTAAAAATCCCCGAGGATCAGCATGGAGTGGAAGTTATGCTGAGTTTGGAATTGACCAGTGGAAGCGCTGCAACGTCTCCATCCTGGACGAGGTTTTCTGTTAGCTCCGTCACTCGCGATTCAGAGCAATGGACCGAGCACTGCACCGGCCAGGTCAAGGTGGAGGTCTCCAATATCGTCGAAGCCAGCAAATTGAGCCTGGGGACCGAGTCTCGAGCAGTGGATTCGCGAGCGTGGTATAAGACTTTTGCATCCATCGGACTCGGCTACGGGCCTGCTTTCCAAGCACTCTCAGCAATTCGTGCAGCGCCCACCGATAATCTGGCGTCAGCCAGTCTCGGCCTGGAGACAACAGCTGGCATGGTCAAAGGAGGCGAATCCGTGTATCCAATCCATCCTGCGTCATTGGATGCCATGATCCAGCTTGGCCTGCTTGCGTGCCACGGGGGACAAATAGAACGGGCCACTACGGCATTTGTACCCATTCATTTGTCGGAGCTGTATCTATGCATCGGCAATAATGAGGATCGGAGGACCGCCCTCGCTCATGGAGAGTTTCGGGGCCAGCGATCTGCCTACCTTCAGCTCCAACTACAGAGCCAAGCAGGCGAATTGCTCCTGAATATTAAAAATCTTCGCTGTATCAGCTATATGCTGGAGAACAAATCGCCCGAGGGCCGCAGCAAGGCGTACACCAGTCCATTCATGCGTATGGTTTATAGACCTGACTTCCGTGTGTTGAGCAACCAGCAGGCACGCGCTTTTTTCCCACCTCCGACAGAGAACACCTCCAGGGTCCCGATTTTGGCTTCTCTTGAGAGTATTGCTGCGTTCATTGCTGTTGATGTATATGAAATGTTAATCAGCGAGGCTGGCACCGAAGGCACTGAACCGGATGCGTCAGGAACTTTGGAATATTACATCTCATGGTTAAGAAAACTTGTTGATGAATCTGGATCACCCGAGATGATCGAAGCAAAAGCGCTGCCTCCTGCGCAGCGTGCTCAAATGCTCAGAGAGCTTTACGGAAAGACCAGTGACATACTCGAAGCGAAGGCTCTTTGGCGTCTGCATGAAAGCATGTCCGATATTCTGCAGGGCAAGAGAACCGGCGAAGAGGTCCTAGCGCAGGATGGACTATTGGCCGATTTCTTCGATGATGCCCTATTTCTCACTGGTGCCTATCCCCAGATCACAGAGCTCCTTGGCAGCATCGGACATGCTGAGCCTAACAACAAAATCCTGGAGCTGGGGGGAGGACGGGGACGTGTGGCTGGCTTAGTGCTAGATGCCCTTAGCAGCACCAACGGCATCAAGCGTTACCAGGATTACACCGTGACAGACAAATCCGAGGCCACACTCCAGAGGGCTCAAGGCCAGCTTACCAGCTACCAGGATGTCGAGTTCTCTGTGTTGAATATCGAGCAGGACCCACTTGAACAGGGGTATGAACCAGTCTATGACGTGATTCTTGCCTCGCAGGTCATCCACACGGCTTCGTCGGCTGTTACTGCTCTGAAAAATGCCAGGAAACTACTGAAGCCTGGTGGCAAGCTCATTCTTGCTGAGGTCACAGGAAATAGCGCTTGGGTCGGGCTCATCGGCGGTGCCCAGGCTGGCTACTGGCACGGGGTCGGGGATGGACGCATTGACAGCCCATTCTTGGATATCAACGGGTGGAATGAAGCCCTTAAGTCCGCTGGGTTTTCAGGAGTAGATGTGTCTCTGGATGATTATCCATCCCCGACAGTGCATTCGAATGTCCTGGTTTCGACTCGCATCATCCCAGACACCTCTCCTTCGTCCGGGGAGGTCTGGCTGCTCCATGGAGAGATAATTCCAGGCCTTTTGAAAGAGCTCGCAAATAAGCTGGGGAGTCGCAACTTGGTCACAAAGACAGTGCCGCTAGATAGCGTCCTGACCAAGCTGCCTTCCGATGCACGAGTGATTGCCTTCTTAGATGACGAGAACTTATTGTTGGATGCCAGTGACTCTACCTTGGACATCTTCAAGTACCTCACACACAACACGGCTAGTATGGTGTGGTTGACATCAACTGGCATGGCTCAGGGCCGCAGCCCCGATGGAGCAGTGGTAGGAGGCCTCCTACGCACGATCTCAACGGAGGCACCAACAGGCCGCTTCTTCTCTATCGACATCGATGCGGATCACTTCAATGTCGGAGAAGCTGATACAAGCGAGCTGATTCGGACTCTTGTGGACAAGGAACAAGAACTTCAGCGGCCGAATGATGACCAAAGTGAAGATCGCGAGTTCGCCTGGCACAGTGGCTGCCTGTGGGTGAGTCGGCTGGTGCCCGAGGCTGCGTTGCACGGATATGCAGAGCGCGATCAGATGCCACCAACTCACCACGCCCAGCTCTTGCCTCTTGACAGCCATGAAGCGGTGCGCGCCGCCTTTGAGACGCCAGGAATGCTGAGCTCGCTGTACTTCAAGCCTTACACCGAGCTGACCCAGCCTCTTCCGCGGGATTCGATTGAGGTCAAAGTTGCCGGCGTGGGCCTGAATTGGAAGGATCTGGCCCTCGCAACGGGTCGCTTTGATATGAACAACCTTTCTTCTGAATATTCGGGTGTCATCACCAGCGTCGGCGCGGAAGCAGCTTCTCGTTTTGCCGTGGGCGATTTGGTATATGGTCTAGGCGAGGGCCACTTTGGCAACTATACGCGCGTGCCTGGTGCCCTTGCGCAGAAGGCGCGTGATGGAGACGATCTGCTCGGGATGGCTACAATGCCGGTCGTCTTCATGACGGCTGTATATGCATTTGAGCATCTGACACGTCTGCGCCGGGGCCAAAAAGTTCTGATCCATTCTGCGTCCGGTGGTGTCGGTCTCGGTGCAATCCAATTGGCACAAGCCAAGGGGGCAGACGTTTATGCCATGGTCGGTACGCCAGAAAAAGTGCGCTTTTTGGTCGAAGAGATTTGCCTACCGTCTTCGCATGTATTAACGCGTGAGCCGGAAGAGTTGGCGCGAGCCACCGTTGCCACTGATGGCTTTGATGTGATTTTGAGTACAGCCCAGGATGACGGGTTGTATGAATCCATCAATGCGCTTGCCCCCTTGGGCCATCTCATTGATCTCAGTCGATTGGATGTCAATGGTGCCAGGGAGATTGGTCTGGAACTGTTCCAGAAGAGTGCCAGCTTTTCGTCCTTCGATCTCGCTCGGCTGGTGCGCTGTGACCTGGGGCTTGGAGCTGACCTCATGCAAGCTGTGGATGAGCACTATCGGGCTGGCAACATCCGTCCCATTCATCCTATGACAGTCTCAGATATCTCTCAGCTGGACCAGACGCTTCTCGGTTTCTCTAAGGGAACTCATGTTGGTAAGCAAGTCGTGAGCTTCCAGGATTCCAACACACTCGTCCGGATGGTGCCGGCATCCCCGGCGGCCCGATTTGACCCCGAAGCTTGCTATGTTGTCACCGGCGGTCTGAGTGGTTTGGGACGGTCGATCATCCAATGGATGGGCAGCCGAGGTGCTCAAGAAATTGTAGTCTTGTCTCGTCGTGGTCCTCAAGCTCCAGATGCTCAGACACTCGTCGATGCTCTATCCAAGCGCGGGGTGCGTGTCCACCCTGTCGCCTGTGATCTGAGCAGCTCGGAGCAGGTTGTACGTGCCATCAACGAAGCATCATCTATTCGACCCGTCAAAGGGATCGTTCACTGTGCGGTTTCCTATCAGGACATTTCCTTCCACAAGATCTCCCCCGCGGGCTGGCGTGATGGTCTCGCTGCCAAAGTGAGTGGAACATGCAACCTGCACGAGGCCTCGAAGGCTCTCCAACTGGATTTCTTTGTCATGACTACTTCAATCCTCTCCGTCCTCAGCTTCGCAACTCAGGGTGCCTACACAGCCGCCAACAATTTCCAGGATCAGTTTGCGCGCTATCGCAGCCGCCATGGCCTTCCCGCTACAGCCGCCCAGTTCGGATTGGTCAACGATGTTGGTCACCTTAGCGCTGATGCCCTGACACTCGACTTGATGACTCGGAATAAGGTTCTTACCGTGCCAGAAAGCTACTTCCTTCGCCTTCTCGAACCAGCGTTCCTCGGCGATGTTGGCTTGCAATCCACCGGGGCTGAAGTTGACCCATTAGCAGCTGCGACATATGTGACCTACATGGACCCGGCGCACATGGCCCAGAAGGAGCGAGAGAATAGCGAAATGGGAGTCCGCAGTGCAGCCCAGCCACGATGGTACGGCGATGCGCGGGTATCGCACGTAATTCGTGGATTTGAGGACGCGATGCGCCATAATCAAGGAGATGAGAACACCGCATCCACCGGAGACTTGGAAAGTGGAAGATCAGCCACTGCACGAACTCGGCGCGAATTTGATGATGCAGTTCACAAAGCAAGGACTACTTCCGACGGAAATGAAAAGCTTGAACTGCGCGCCTTGGCGCTGCAGCTTACCTCAAGTTCAATTGCCACCACAGTCGCGACAATGCTGCTGATGGATATATCAGCTGTCAATACGGCTCGCGCTGTGTCTGATCATGGCGTGGATAGTCTGATTGCGGCAGAGCTACGCAACTGGTTCCACTTGGCGCTGAGATCCAAAATCAGCATGGTAGATCTGCTGGATCCACGTACCAGTATCAATGCCTTGGCAGCAAAGGTGGTTGATGCTGCTATGAATTTTCAAGGGTGAATGGTCGGGAAAGAATCATCGCTGCCATCAGATAAATCCCATTTATAGACTAGTAGAGAATTGCTTTTCAGGTTATATGGAGTCAGAACCAATTTAAGCACAACTATGCTGTTGATTGAGATAATTTCTTTCAATATATTACTGAGCCCGAGGGTGACCAAGCGAATGGCAAGCCATCTAAATTTTTCGCTTCCGAGGTTTCACAGCGATGTGGGATGGACTTCAAGTTGCAGAGACCCTACGACTTGAGATACTAAGCCACATGACCAAATATTTAATCCTGCTATATCCGATAAAACTTGATGCTGCGATTGTTCTGTCAACACCCAGACAAAAGTCTGAGCGAAGCCAACGATCGTTTGCTGGAGCGAGGTATCGCCGTGTTGGTAAGCCGTCATCCGGATTCGTTAGTCGCGATAGAGATCTGTATGTGGTGGAAACAGATCTTCCGGTTCGATATCAGTGTTTTGGAAATGATGGGCAAAGGGATGTGGGATGTTCTAGCAAAACATGGGATTAGAAAACAGCATGGAGTAGGGTCTGTGACATCTTATTCGTTTAGTGGCTACTTATTACAGTAATATTCGAAATCAGATTTACCTCTACACTCTTAGACTTTCATTCCCCAACCCTAGCTTCAAACACGCTAGTCTAATTTTAGCCATTCCCCAGTAATCCCTATCAGACTGTATTGTCTTCCCTGGTAACGACTGGAAGACGCGCGTGACGCGCGCCTCGGCCCTGAAACGATGAAAAGAAAAGGGTGGTAAAAAAGTAAAGATTAAGAGAGTTGAGTTGGTGAGTCGTAAAATCAACATGTACGTCAACCAAGATAGACCAACGAGGAAAGCCATCAGAATGATTAATGCCCGTAGAGCGGATATTTGTTGAGTGTGCAGGGATTAGAATATGGCAGTTCAAACAGGGATGTGTTTCCAGCACAGGAGAAAAACAAGGTAATCGACAAGCGGGGCACAGGGGTGGTTGGATGGTTGTAGATAGACGCATTTGGCGGCCACAATCATAACAAGGCCGCTTAGATTACGTCATGGAACAGTAACACGAAGGAGTGGGAGGGGCACAGTTGGTTGGTTGGTTGGTTGGTTGATGTCATTTATACTGACCTCTCGCAAAAGCGATATGTAGGCTACTACAACTATATATATCCTTGTATGTACATGTGTCGTGCACCCCTTCCTAAACGAACTTACAGGATGACAAAGATGTTGGAAATCCCCCTACGGCAAAAAGCCTACATGTAGGTGCCGTGGATCATCTCAGACTTATCCTCAACCAAAGAAACAAACGTTAGTCCCCACAATAGTTCTGCCGGCATTTCATGTATGTACATGCCGGCAGAACTATTGTGGGGACTAACGTTTGTTTCTTTGGCACGTGAAGCACTATCGAGTTTACCTCTCCCTCCGTCTCCAGGTCCTCCCAGCAGGGTTGACATGCTATAAAATGCTTCGCCAATCTTCCCCCGAAGCTCTTGCCGCAGGTCTCTGAGCGCAGGACAATCTAGCAGAACATGTGTGATACTTTCCGCTCACCGCACACGCACAGGTCGTCGTCACGGAAGCGGAAGGAGGGGTACAGTTCGTCTCGAAATCGGTGCCACTACTTACACTCTGCGGTTGTTTCTCAGACCCACTTGCCAAGATCCTCTAGTCTACTTTGGGATGTTTGGCGGATTACCCCTATCTAACTATGGAGACGATTTCATATTTTGTAATCGTGACCAGGACTGTAGCCTGTTGTATTCACCTGTATTGACGATACTCCAGACACCTCAATGCCAATCTCGAAATTCATCGTCCCTTGCGCTCTGCCCCACTGCACACCGACATTTAGGGCAGGAGAAGGTTTCTTAGCATTCATATTTGTATTTCCCACTCCCCAGTGGTTTGTAGAGGTCCTTTTGATAGTTTCATACTCAAGTTTCATACAATTTGCGACATCGGTTATATCTGCACAGTACCGTCACAATGGGGGCGGGGCCTGTTCACGAAAAGAGAACCCTCGCGCTTTATCTGGCCTGGGTGGAGGCATGGTGCTCTGTCCGGGAAGCTCAAGCGACTAGTCCGGTGTTAACTAGTATGACGCTTGATGAAGTCTGTCAAATTTTCCGAGAGAAGGACACGAGACTTCCTTCGCTTGAGACAATTGAAAGCGCCGTGATCGTATTCCGAGAGCAGTTTAAACAAGGCAGAATCACCCTGGGCGGCAGTCGACCACCCTCGAATAATCAAATAAATCTTTTGTCTGAGAACTACGACCCCAGAACGCCTTGTGAATGCTGTGGCATCGGCCCCACTTGTGCCTCTTTCGATACCGACTTTGAGACCCTTGCCCAGAATTGCCGATGCAATGCGATCCAAAAGATGTTGGAACTAGTCCGGCTGATAGGTGACAAGCCAGACCAATGGAATGGCCATGGCATTCTCACTCAACAAGCTCTAGAGAAAGCCGCCGTCGAACTGGCACTGTCAAACACCGAATGGCAGAAACCTATAGACTGTCATCCGGGCTCCTGCAAATCCTTGCCAAACGTTTTTGCCCCCGATCGCCGACCAAATCCTCATTGCGACACCCCGGCAGACGTACATCATGCAATGTATCCAACATTTGAGCATATCAAGCTCTGCGCAGACGCTAAATACTATTACTCGATTGCTTGTGGAGGGAGTCTTTGCGATGAGGGTATCTCTAGAGCTCTGGCCGACATGGGAAACGATATCTTGATTGCCGACTACTGCGAGGCTGCAAACGAAGAGAAAATCGCTCTTCTCCAGAAAACCGGTGCAGCAGCGGTGTCCTTTCTCCGACTATGTAATATGGCTGGCTTTATAGCAGACTGGCAGTTTAATGTTGTGGCTGCCAGTGTGCTGCAATTCCGTGCCACGGGCTACTATCGGGACCATGCGCACCCTCGATTACCGCAAGGGCTTTTTGGGTCTAGACAGACAGGGAATAGTGTCCACCGGCATATAGACCTTGGCTTCATGGTAGAGATTGTGTGCTCCTCCCTTGGAACGGGAGAGACGTTCGATAAGCATGTTTATTTCGACATTGTTGAGGCCTGCGCCTTACTCAACGACCTTGTCGATTTCCGCAGCGACACTACTAGGAGACAACGCGAAAATATTGTGTTGAGGGGTATCCGCAAATCCGTATGCCGAAGCTTGAACGACCAAATCTACAGGTGCTATCAGAAAGTACTGGTCAACGTGAGGAAGCAAAAGGTTTCCGCACTGGTCATCATGGCCTTCTGCAACTGGTGTATTTTGGGCTCGCACCATAAGATTTTCGAGCTGCTTCGCGGATTTACAGTTAACCCAGAAAACCCACCCTGCAAATATGATGGGCTGGAGTTGTATGATCAACTTGTTGAAGCTCTTATTCCATATGGGACCTTACGGGAGCATGGCCCACGTCTTGACATGACGCGTGCGGATCTAGACAAACTTTATTGTCTGTACAGGGCGGACTCCGAGACTCATATCGCCTGGCTGGCTGATTCCACGCGTATTTTACTCGACCCTCGCCATTGTCGGCCAATCGTTGACGCAATACATTTTGAGTGGAATGGATCGATCGGGGACTTGAACTATTGCCCGTGATATTACATTTCCCAATTTTTTGGCTTATCTGAGTGACTATAGATAGAACGCGTTGATTTTTATCCGTGATATGATAGAATGTCAACTCAATCTGATTTCAAGTAAACACCCAGATTTTCACTTAGATAACCGCGTGTTCGCGGGTTAATGACGATTTCTTTTGAAAGTTCTAGCCACTATAGGCCGTTCACACACTTTCCCGATATGACTCATGTGATATTGGCAGTAAGGTATCGTCAGCAAGGTACCGTCTACGCGCCGATACAGGAAGATTGATATTTCATATCTATTTTATAGTTATATGGACGTGATGCCTAAATCGATATTACTGAGGGCCCCTTCCTCCTATAAATGCCTCACGAGAGTCAGTTGCTTGCCTCTGTAGGTAGCTCGTCGTCTCTCACGCAGTTAAGTCTCAATTTCTTCCTCCCGACTTCCCTCTGTACATAGAATCTACTACAATATAGATATATTGCCTCCCTATAAAGGAGCGCGGATGGGCCCTATCTGACCCTACGGTCTATGACCGCAGCGACAGGTGACCCGTTATGGCCAAACTACACTCTTCTTGCTCCTCTTAACTGAGTGAGGTCACCAATAAAATGCACTTTCTATTTTTGAGGGGTTTTAAAAGCAAATCAACTTCAGCCCTATTACACTGTAGTTGTAACCTCACACACCGCTTGTTCTCGTTCTGTGGCAGGTTATTTAGACGTGGGTCAAGCGAGACCGCCACCTCATTTAATTTCGGCGTCTCCACGCCACATTCTGATATAGATAGTTTCTCTTTCTGGACAGCCTGCGTTTATGTTACTACCGTGGAATTCTGAGCTCATATCTACATGAAACATTGCACCCCTTGGAGCACCTTGCTGCAGCGATGTCTAAGATCTGGCAAACTTCAACATCAGCACCTGAAACTCCTTACGTATATGACGTTGCGATAGATATTGCTAGGAACAGGCCCTGCTAAGCACATTGGTGAGCGGCGCGGCAATTGGACTTGCATGCCAAATCGCTGCAGGCTGCGACACATCGGTTGTTGGCTGTGTTGCAGATGAAGTATGGGAGGGTCAGGGGGTACTGGGAGACGTTGGGGGAGACGCCATTGCTGCAGACGCAGCTGTAGGTGAGAGTTTCCTGTATCGAGATAATTCAGTCAGACGGTGGTTGATAGGGTTTGGGTACCAAGGGATTCTGAGGTTTACCGCGTCACATGTACTGTACAAAGCAGCAATTAAATACTGAGACCGGTAGCAGATTGCCATTGAGTTGTAAAAAATGAACTTATTTTCAAACCAATTTATCCTAGTTTAAAGAAGCCTTCGAAGAGAGAGTAATTTTTAGGGCTAGTATTTCCGCGAGAAAATGAGCAAAAATCATTAGTTATTCAGCGTAGATCGGTGCGTGCCGTAATGGGTGCGTGTACGGCAAAGATCATCGGTTGATGTGACGGCTCGGGTTCGGACCCGCTTACTTCTAGGTTCACGGCCTTGAAGATTTTCCTTGTTTCTAGATGGCTCAGCCGCTTCCCTGATAGATCTCCGGTGATGGCCTATTGTGAGAGAAAAGTCTTAGGTGAGCTGAGTGGACGTTTGGAACGAAGGGCTGTGTATAGAAATAGAATTACAGAGATCGCAACAGCCAACGTGGTGGCATCTAAGGACACCAAAAATACCATTAACAGCAGAGCTATAAATGCAAGAAAGAATGACAGAGGTTTTCTTGCGGATCTACCGTCCTGATTCAGGATCCCTCGATGCTAGCGCCTTTGATACACCCTTTCCTCCACATCGTCGTATTCGGGTTGGGATTGAGTTTGTAATTTTACTAGTGCGCCCGGGGAATATTCAGCACCCCGTTATGGCTGATTTCCGGGCCCCGGCTGAGCGGGTCCCAGAAAAAGTTGACCGGGTCCCAGAAAATCCTAGGTCCCGCCCAGCAGTAGAGTGCGCCAAAACCCACAGAACCGCAATTGTTTTGGTTTTGGCGCAGTCTAAGAGTAGTATTTAGCGAATCCTAGTAGAAGGAATATAGAAAAATAGATTGAAACTATAGGGACTAGATAATAATAGGCGAATAAGAGGGATTGTTATAAATAGCGCTTCCCAGGGACGCCAATCTAATCGGCCCATCTAGGCACAGGGGTAGAATTAGAAGAGATTAAGGAATGGGAAGATATGTGTACAACCAGACACAGTTGAACCACACAGAGAATTCTTTACGCGAGTGAGACCGATCAAATACGGAGCAATTGCATTCATAAGAATAATGATATGAAGGGAATTATAGGAAGTAACGCTCGCGATTTGGCTACGGATTCCTCACCTCTAGTGGGAGCGGTGAGAATTCTGCGCGTCGGTACGCGTGTCGATAGTCAACGTGAGGTTCCACCATTCTTTCCCCCGCAATAAGGTTTGTTGTGGCCTTGCCGTTAGCGTTTCTTTACTGTAGCTCCATCTCTGCTTTTATTTCTTCAATGTTCTAATGTCTCCCGATCCGCACCCGGACCTGGGAATGCTCGGTCGCCGCAATGCGAGACACAGTGTCCTCGGACGCGCACAACTTCCATAATGACCCCTATGCAAAACTACCATTGCCTCAGAATCGCCGGTACATTGAGCTTGACGACTTCTCAAGGCCCGGATCGCCCACGCCCGTCCTGAACGGCAACCTGCTCTCTGCTTCTGGCAAGCGCCGGTCCAGAGTGTATTTCCCTAATACCCTATGGACACGTGCCTTTTTTGCAACGGTGATCATCGAGACGATCGCTACCGTTGCGATCGAAACGTAGGATCCCGCACACCGCCTATCGCGTCACTGCTAACGTGTTGTGAAAAGCTGGGTCTTCATCAATATCTCCCAACACCTCACCCACCTGGGCAAAACCGACGGCTCGCTGCGTCTCCGCTCCTTCCTCGGCCTCTACATCTTCGCCCTCCTTTACGAACTCGGTCTCTCCTACGATGCGCTGCGCCGCAAGAATACATTCCAGCTCGTCGGACTATGCGTGTGTAACTTGGGTCTCTTGACGTATGGAATTATCCAGATTTCAGAAATCAAAGACACGGTTACCAAACTCGCTAAGAATGGCGTCCTTAGCAACGACATCATTGACAAGTATCATATCGAGCTTTTGCTTGTCCCGATTATATTGGGCGTTGCCGCGGTAGTCATGATGGGTATTACCTGGAAGTTGAGGGCGGAGTTCTCATGGTCGATTTATAAGGATATCAGTGCGGATTTGAGGATGAATCGGAGGTACTATATTTATCAGGTTCGAACCGTCTTCCTTTCAGGATCGCTGTGATAATTGTGGCTGATGGTTTCATCGTTAGGTATACATCGCCCTGCTGAAATTCGACTTCTTTTTCATTTTCGGAAGTCAGCTTCAGGTTCTCCTCGCCGTGGGTGTCATCGATGATGATTTCATCACCAATGCTGCTATGGTTCCCATTGCCATTATGGCATTGGCCTTGGCTGCGCGCTTCTGTCGGAATGAGAAGACCAAGTCCATGGCTTTTCCGATAGTAAGTCTTCCGTCATCATCTATCTTTGTTTACAATCTAACTCTCATAGATCTGCATGTGCGGTCTGATTGCCAGTCTGGTCAAGACTCTGCTGAAGTTGTACGGCACAAGCGATAATGATGGATTGAGCTCTTACCAGGTCTCCTTGGGCTTGTTTGCATCAATAGCTATCTTGTTGCTGGTGTTCACGATCGTCAACTCGGTTCTTTGTATCCTTAACTTCAACAAGGGGCTGAAGGATCATATTGATAACCTCCGCGGGGGTAAGCCGGTTGCGGATCTGGAGGGCGCTGCAGCCCAGGAACCAAAGTCACGCTTTGTATTAAACTAAACACTAAAAGATAACTTCTGATGATTTATTCCAAGGGCATATGACGGTTAATAAGAAATGTGTGAATGGATACTGATTATATCACCCACGAGCCAGCAATTTAATCTCGGCATATTACCTACGACCATACCATACTTGGCAAATGGAATCCATCATGAAATTGCCAAATCAAACAAGGAAAGTCGTAATGCTCTATACACAAAAAGAAAACTTGAACATTTTTAAACACCACGCTCCTGGCACCATCGCTCAACTTCCTTGGCCAATTTTTCTCTCTGGTCGCGCACAAGCTCCATCATAGGCTCAACCTGCTTCCGGTGCGAGGCAATCAAATCCTCATGTCCTTCCACAATAGTAACACCCTCCTTAGGCGCAAGGTGGGTATCATAGATAGTAACCATGAGATCCATGACGGCAGAAAGCTGGTTGGGAAGCCACTAGAACAATCCGTTAGTAACTGCGTAGAAAATGTGACTGGATATACTCACAGTAACGATGGGACTTCCACCAGTAGCAGTAGGGTGAGGCGTGCGACGAATGATGTACTCGCGGGCAAAGAGCCAGTGGCGCCAGCGGAAGCTGCGAACATGGTTCAATGTCTTCAGGAACAGAACGGCTGTCTCGGAGTCTTGGACTGCGTATTTCTGGACGCCGATCTCCTCGGACTTTTCGCGAATGTAGGTAAGGAATTCACGGTGGGGAAGGGGGCGGTAGGCACGGAACTCGTGGAGGATTTTGGTTAGGGGGGTTGAGGGCATGGGGATCTCGCAAAGGTGGTCGAGAAGGGGAATCTTTTGGTTGGTTAGTTAACGATTAATACAAAGTGAAGTGGAATACATACGATGCTGTCGTTGGCGCCACTCTCGCCGCGGAAGTGGAGAGGCTTGTTGTCTTCGACGCCATCGTAGATCACGCCGTTGGGGAACATAGATTGGTTGGTGATTCCGAAGATGAAGACACGGAAGGAGAGGTACTCGGATGGCTTGGAGTTTGCCCACATGGCTGTATGTTGTGTTAGCATATTTCAATAATAGTGAAGAGGCGTTGTTGAGATATCAGGTTGAGGATGACATACTCTCCATAGAGGCCTCGATTTTCTCCATGGCGCGGAGGATCTCGCGGAAGCCATCGTTGATATCCTCACGCTGACCATGCTGCTCAATGTTATCAACCACACGTAGAGCACCGCTGATGAGAGCACCGGTCTCCTTGACCATATCAACATGGGTCAGGATGAAGCCTGCCTCGGAGCTCTTGGGGTCAAGACCACGCTCGAATCCACGGATCAAACGCAGGTTGGAGTACTCCTCCAGGCCCTTGGAGTGGTCTGCAAGGGTATAGTTGAAGAGAGCATATGAGGCAGCATAAGACATGAATGGAGGAAGGTCCAGACTAAGTTAAGGGTCAGCAGGGTTCAACATCTATACACATCCGGAGGGGGTGGGTATGCAAGAGTATAAGATGGAAAGGCAAGGACTTACATCTGAGCACACAGGTACATAGGACGAGCAACACACTTGGGCAAGAAGTCCCGACCAAGTCCGTATCCTTTGTCCTCATTCTTGTTCCAGTTCTCCCAGCAGGGCTCAAGCAGGTACGACGAGGCCACGAAAGTGTAGTCCCGGAAGACGGCAGCGATGTTGAACTTGTCCGGGGAGCCATCAGACATAACAAGCTTCTTGACCTCATCAGTCAGATCGGGGAGCTCCGTCTCGACAACAGGCCCAAGCTCATACGTTGCCAGTAGACCGGGCTTCCCGTCGAGCTTGACGACAGGAAGGCGTTCCACTAGAGTCTGAAGAGGCTTGAAGACCTCGGGGAGTTCTGTAGGGGCAGTGGCATAGGGCATGAAGCCAGTAGAGGTAGTGATAGTGAAGGGGTCCAGCCCATGGGACATGGATGAAGGGTCATCATGGACATGAGGGAACTTCTTCAGGGTAGTAGGGGAGGGGTAGGGCACTTGAGTTCGAGTCATGATGATAGACGACGATGACCAATTATTTGGGACAAATAAGGATCAAAGGTTCAAGTAGATGGATGGTAATATGTGCCACAGGCAGGGGGGCGGTAGGTATTTAGGAGTATGAGGGCTTAGACCAAGGTAAGAGACTAAGTCAGGAACCAAGGAAGCAAAGGAAATGGGCCAAAAAAGAAGAAGAAAGATTTCAGGCTTCTTTGGAGATGAAAGAAGAACAGAATGATCGAGGATTTGGGCGGGAAAGGAGGCGATTCTTATAATACTCAGAGGCCGGTATCAATTCCGGCCTCATTCCCACCATTACCAAAGAGAACGCAACATAGCGTGGATCCGGTGACATCGGGCGTTTAGCTTTGTTCGAAGGTTCTGCGAGGTTCTGCAAAGGAAAAATGGGTCATGCATAGACACCCTACGTCAAAAAAAGAGATTCCAGCATCACTAACAGTTCAAGATGTTCTATACAGATGCCCAGCGGAGAAGGGCAGCCAGGGGTCACGGGGATGCGCTAAGCCTCTTCCAGCAGTGTATAAAGAAGCCGCAAAGTCATCTTTACCAAGGATTGGGGCTCTCCGTGAGTAATCAATACCCCATGATAGGTCTCTAGATGTCTGAATGGGCAAATTTTGCCACGTTTGTCCGAGAATAGGGGCAAATAGACATGCTTTTCCTCACAGAGGTCCTTTTGTTCGCTCTATATTTCACCCAGTGCCAAGACTTGGCGCCCGGTTCCTGGATTTCTATTGGATGATAAGGTACAGATAGGCTTTATTAGCGCACGGAGGCCGGAATTCAGCCGGCCTCCGATTGTAACCGGCCTTGGGTGGGTGCGTCGGGCGGATCCGGTATCTTCTGTGCATTGTACAACATGGCGATTTTACCGACTGACTATGACTAGTATATAGCCTGAAAGCTTGATATTGTTCAGAGTTCGCTTTTCAAGCTCAATGGATGCCTTTGAGATATCTCTTTTCCATTCCTTACATTAGTTTTCGAAATCAGCTATACCGTCATACTGTTACTATGTACTTGGAGGACTCTTCGTACGGGAGTGATAGTATTGAAAAATGCGTGACCCCCATCCATCCACTCATGAGGGATGAAGCGTTCAACATTCCTCGTCAAAGTTTAGAGCGGTATCCTCCCGAACGTGGTCCAAGTCTAAATGTTCTATCCAGCTACTGTACCAGTCCAGGAACTCGACAATGATGTCGAATCTCGGCTTCTGTCCGTAAACCGTCACCAATTCCAGTTTGGAAGTCAGCTCGCACTTCCAAGCATCATGCGTATAAGCCTCCACGGAGGATCCTTCGTAAAGACAATCGCGGCCAGTTGCCTGTATGTTCGCGGGCGCCTAAATCCCCTCCATGATCGGTTGGTCACAATAACCGATCACGAGGACAGGTATGAGGTCTAGGTGTCTTCAAATGGCAGGTCAGAGGCGGAATCGCGCAATGGTGCATCCGTGGTTCTGCAAGAAATGCCCCGCGCTTCAGTTGCCTAGAAGACCATCGCTGGACTGCAAATGTCCCGGTCCGTCCGTCAAAGTCGTCGATCCGCCACCAAAGCCATGGCTACGGGAATACCGTCCTGGTGTTTGTTGGTTAAGAATGCTCTCACCAGGTGTATCTTGAATGCCTAGCGCGTTCGGAGTTTGGAGAGGGGTTCGCTGTTACGACAATATGCCTCCATCGCACTCCAAGGCCATGGTGGAGAGATCTGCTTTGATTTGTACTTACCACAACTTTCTTTTGTTTTCGCTATCGTCGACCGTAATAGCCCGGGGCTTAGTGAATAGAACTTGAAAGTATGTTGTTAAAATAAGCATTACGTCAAAACCGTCCTGTCCTCTAAATACGCTTAAGATACAGCGGTGACGTAAGATATCGACAGCCTATAAAACTCATCCTTTTACCTAGTTAGTCCCGGAGGATCAAACTTCAGAATCATTCATTTCATTGACAATGTCTTCTGCTTTGGTTACAGGCGCCACCGGTATCTCCACATCTTTGTCAATTAAATCTGTGAAGCTAACAATATGAACAGGCATGACCGGGAGCGCCATTATTCACCATCTGATCAAAGATGGCTCCTATGAGAAAGTCTACTCATTCTCTCGGCGCAATCCTGGTAACCAGCACCCGAAGGTCCAACATGTTCCCATGGACCTTCAGAGCTCGGTAGAGGCCATGGCACACAGCCTCAATGGAGTCTCTGCAGAATATATCTACTTCTGTGCTTATCTCGCGCGCGATGATCCAACGGAATTGTTGCATGTAAACGTGACGCTTCTGAGCAACTTTCTTCAAGCCCTCAAAGCTACTGGAGCCGACAAAAAGATCAAGCGCTTTATCCTCACTTGTGGCTTCAAACAGTACGGCGTCCACCTCGGACAGGCCAAACAGCCTTTCCTGGAAGACGACCCTCTGCTGGAGAATATAGAAGGGGTCAGTTGGCCTCCTAACTTCTACTACGAGCAACAAAGAGTACTTACTGAAGCCGCCGCCAAAGGCGGCTGGGAATGGATCGCCACGCTGCCCGAGGACGTGCTTGGGTATGCGCGGGGAAACTTCATGAACGAGGCCTCCTCCATTGGGCTCTACTGTGCTGTGAGCAAAGCTTTGCCAGGATCCGAGCTGCCGTTCCCGGGTAGCAAGGCCAATTACTTCACGTTCAACTGCTGGACATCGGCAAACCTACACGCCAAATTCTGCCTCTGGGCAGCGAAGGCCCCCGGCGCAGGCAATAACATCTTCAACGTGATGAACGGCGACACAGAATCCTTTCAAAACCTGTGGCCTCATCTGGCTACCCGATTTGGATGCAAGATCCCAGACCCGATGTTCCCTAACGGTGGCGTGCTGAATACTAAGGGGTACAGCTCCTACGAGTCGTTGACGATTCCCCTGCAGAACAGGCCGCCTCTCCAGGCGAGTGCATCGTCCCTGGGTCTCTCGTCGGATCCTTTGGTGAAAAAATCCCCCGAACTCTTCCTCCAGGTGGACCCTGAGAAGTGGGCGCGTCGAGAGGACGTGAATGAGGCTTGGGCTAGCCTGAGAGACAAGTACAATCTTGACCAAAAGGCCTGGGATGAGGCAACCTGGGATTTTCTAGTTTTGACCATGGGCCGGGACTGGAGCTGTGTGGCGAGTATGAGCAAGGCCCGGAAGCTAGGATGGACAGGGTATGCGGATACGTGGGAGGAGCTGGAAGATACCTTCCGAGAACTGGAAGAAGGGGGAGTATTACCGCCCGCAGAGCAGCTCCGTCGCGACTTTTAGCCCATTTTCTAAAAGTTTCTGCGTAGCTCAAAATGTATGATTTTGTTTTACATTTCTTAAATTTCCATTTCAAGTCAATTCAACCCAGAAAGTTAGTCTTCTCATCGGTAATACCAGTAGGATACCAATAAATGGCAAGTGGCAATAGGCTGATGTTTCCTGATTAACATCATGTTGATGTTGTAGGGATGATGCAACCAAAAACATCCAAGTCGACGTGGATGATGTCACGCTTATTCTCGATCGATCGATTATCTCCCGCCACATTCAGCAGGCCAAAGTGCTTCTGAGAAAATAAAGCGTCATTTGCTATCCGTTAGGTTCCAAGGTTCTCCCATTATTTGGTTGTTATATATTGAGTGCGTTCGTCCTATCCCGAAATCATAAAGGATCATGATCTAGTGAAAACGTCCTCAACAATATTTTTCTATCTGCTTCTCGCAATGTCAAGTGCCGAAAAGAACCCACACGTCTTGCTGACGGGCGCCAATGGCTTCGTGGCCTCTCACGTCCTGGCGATCCTGCTGAATGTGGGCAAATTTCGTTCGTTCTCCTGGATGCCAGCTGGCTGATTAACCAGTAGCGTGGATACGCCGTGACTGCAACGGTGCGCTCCCAAGAAAAAGCGGACGATATCATCAAAACACATCCATCTTGGAAAAACAAAGTGAATTTTGCAATCGTCGCTGATTTCACGTCAGCAAAACCTTTCCACCATCTCTTCAAGAGCCCAAAGACGCCTTTTAACTATGTGATCCACACGGCATCTCCTTTGAAGTTCGAGGTGTCTGATATCCAAAAAGAGATGATCGAGCCTGCGGAAAAGGGGTAAGATGACCGTCAAAACGTTCCATTATGGGTTACAGCTCACATTTCAAGAACCACCGAGATCTTAAAGGCTGCGCACCAGCATGGTGGTACCGCGTTAAAGCGTTTCGTTCTCTTGGGAAGTGCCGTATCCGTGCTTAACTCCTTCGAAGACATGTCCAAGGAAGGCAAGCCGTACACGGAGGAGGATTGGAACCCGGTAAAGATTGCTGGCGTCTGCTTGATTAATATATTCTTTTTATCTGACCCGGTACAGGTGACGGCTGAGCAAGCCATTGACAGAAATGATCCCGTCTTGGGATACAACGTGTCCAAGACAAGAGCCGAGGCTGCTGCATGGAATTTCATGAAGCAGAGTACTACCTCCTTTGACCTGGCCGTAATCAATCCGGACATCATCACCGGTCCAATGATTCACCCGATCTCAGGCCCTGAATCTATTAATCAGACCAATCATTTTGCCATAGCGAGCTTTATTGATGGAACTCACAAGGAGATTGAAGGTGTAACCTTCCCTTTCTACCACTTTGTAAGTTGTCCACCAGAGCTTACATTCTTGTCGTCTGGCAAGATGTAAACTGAAACCGAGACAAATTGGCTCCTATGCTTACATACATCCAGGTGGATGTTCGAGACGTGGCCCGGAGCCTTGTAGATGCGCTGGAAAACCCCTCGGCGGCAAACCATCGGATTCTCCTCATTTCAGGTCTCATATCACCCCAACTAGTAGCCAACGCCATCCGCAAGAACTTCCCTGCTCTTGCCAGCCGCGTCCCCAAGGGCAATCCCCCCCAGATCTTACCTCCTGGAGTTCATCCCACGGGATGGGATATGCGCGAGAGTCTGAGAATCCTCGCCGACGGTACCAAGGAGGGTAAGTGGGAGTACATTGACCTGGAAACCAGTGTCGTTGATACTGTTGAGTCGATGATAAAGAATTCTGTCATTTAGTAATTCTGTATTGGCGTTGTTTATGCAATCTCAAAGCTTGAGAAGTCGGAATCTGAAAACAAGTACATGTGACGGCGCTTTTTACCGGCCCGAGCGGCGAGAATGCATAATGCAAAAAAGAGCACCATTGGTTACAGAGTAGGCTCATGTCTACTGTAAAAGTATTAATTTAAATACAGTTGTTCGTGCATTTTCATGTATATGTTTCTTTATCTGAACTTTCGTCTTTCTTCGAAAACAATACAGATAGTTCTCCTCTGCGAGTCATATAAGTCGCTATCTCCGTCGATATTCTCTCAAGCAAAGACATTATTTTCGTGTACGAGTCTTCAGACGGAAAGCAATTTGCATCAACATAGAAGTTTCCAAACGCAGCTACTGAGCTCGACCCTTATTCTTTAAACTTCGCCTTCCAATGAGCCAAAATGCGTCGAAGACCGCGATAGAATGGCATCCTGGGTTCAAACAGCAAGTGCCCCGATGAGTCCTTTCGTCCAAAAAGTGTCTTCAAGGAAGAGAATATCCCACAGTCATTGTCAAAACCGCTTGGTCGGAGCCTGAATCAAGGCCCAAGAATGATGCTGCGCGCTGGTTATTACTCTCCAACAACGAGATGCAAGCCGTGATCTCTATCCACGTGGATCGCAATGAAGCTATCACCACCAAGAGATGGGGTAAGCAAAGCGACCAAGCTATTGTGTAAGAGGAGACTTGCATCTTTCTCTCAAACAAGCTCAGTGCAGTTTTCTGGTGGAAACACCGGCCACATCTTTCTTCCGATATAATTTATTCGAGAATAGAGGCGAGTTGTTGTTGTGTTATAATACATCAGGGTATATCGTACAAGACACCATCTATATACACGTGCATCGCAGAAGATTCAAACTCCTAAAGCCAGCAGTTAGCAAATAATCGGCGAAAAGACCTTTGTTGGTCCCGAGGATGGATCAGCCCACCAAATATGCATTCCGGCAGCCCAGTCGACCACACGGACAAGGAGCCAGCTCTCACAAGCTTAAGTCCCATATCATTATCCCTAATTATTCCCTCCTGGACTATTCCCTGCTGGATTCTGATTGTCCGTGATAGCCGTGACGGTCTGGAGCTTAAGGTATTCCTCTTCGAGTCGTTTCTGCATCTCAAATTCGGCCTGGCGTTCTTGCCGCACGCGTTGCTTTTCCATATCGCGCTCAACACCTCTGTGCATAGCCTGTCACACATCGAACCATTAGCAAACTAACACCAAAGAACCAGAATCCCGGTACATACCGCCCTGTCGTTTTCTTGTGCCCAGTGCACGAAATAGATAATGCCCGCAGTGCCCAGCCCAGTGGCTGCCAGGGTCAACTTTGATGCGCGAGACATGGCAAAAGACACAGTCCAACACAGTGGAATTAGGCAATTGAATGAAGAATCGCAGGTCGAAAATGCGCGTGGATTATCGGGTTATCGATGCGGTCGGTGGTGGCAGAATAGCCCCACCGCCCTGGGGGGGGTCATGCGTGGCTGATCGAGCTCGAGCTCCGACCTCTCTTCACATCCCATTCTTTCCCCACGTTTCATCACACTTTAAGAGGGTTCTCGAGCAAACATGGTGAGATTGCTGTCGTGCAGGACTCCAGGTTGTGTTTCAGTCGCTAATATCCTAGGTTGTCCAGTCGGCTCAGAACTCCGCGGGTATTCAAACCCTCCTCGACGTACGTCTGATGGGTGATGCGGTATGCTCAGTTGGTACTAATTCAGACTGTAGGCAGAGAGAGAGGCACAGAAGATTGTTCAGCAAGGTATGCGTCATGCGATTCCCCTGTTGTCTGGCTTGGACCGTTACTGATACTCGATCATCTACAGCGCGCGAATGTACGAGATTACGATTCCCCGACCACCCGAATACATGACCTAACGTGATTTATGACAGACCGCACCAAGCGGATAAGGGACGCCAAGGCCGAGGCTCAGAAGGAGATTGAGGAGTACCGCAACCAGAAGGAAGAAGAATACAAGAAGTTCGAGGCTGAGGTGAGACACCGCTCCCCGGAGGATCAAAAACGATATTCCTGGAATGCTGTCCCTCTTGAGAACGGTCTCGCTGACATGATTTCCCAGCACTCGAGCGGATTCAAGAAGGCCGAAGACGATGCGAACGTGGAAGCCGAGCAGAAGCTGAAGGAGATTCAGGCTGCTGGCAAGAAGCAGGGCGACAAGGTGGTATCGGACCTGATCAAGGCTACGACCGACGTGAAGCCCGATGTGCCTGAGAAGATTGCGGCATAGAGTTGACTATTTCGTTTTCTGCTTTTTTTTCGGCTGTCACTAGAAAGATGCGCTTTCGTGGCTGCTCAGCGATATCCATTGTTTCGGAAATATAACTTTCATTTGGGAGGCTATTACATAGAACAGAGTCCACATGCATTGGCGTGATTGAGGTGTACACGTAGGAATCGTAACCTAGAACTGTAGTCCATTTCCGAACCTTGAGCTCACGTCTGGAACAAATCGGTTCTTTGCTGATTACGAAGAATTCCATCAATAATTTTATAACACTTTACAACGGCGCCGAGTTATTTCTCCACCGCATGGCGAAATCATAGAGGTATAGATCGACCCAACACTGCTGATGCCCCGGGATTGGGAGCCTGAGGCATCCAATAGATGTTCCCTCTGCGTCATTCTGTGACGCTACAACCACGTTGCGCATATCAAGACCATGGGATATGCAGGTGCTGTCCCAAGAATAAGCAGGAAATCGGTAAATAGTCACCTCATATCACCGCTCACAACACGTCAAGCCTTCCACGCTACTCCGCGGAACCCCAAGCCCATCCTCGAGCCGCGTCTAGAGGATCATGGCCGAGTTATCCGCGACGAATACTCCGTGCTTCGAGACAACTATGGTCCGTATTGAAATTTGATCGCATCTAGCTCCTTTGACTCTGCTCACAGTTTCTATAGCTGCCCCTAAACACCCCGTCGTCCTTGCTCATGGCCTCCTCGGCTTCGATGAACTGCGCCTAGCTGGTCGGTTCCTCCCCAGCGTGCAATATTGGCGTGGAATTAGAGAGGCACTTTCAACGCGAGGTGTCGAAGTGATTACAGCATCTGTGCCTGCATCGGCGACGATAGAGGAGCGCGCAGAGGAATTGGCGCGTGATATTGAAATCGGGGCGCGGGGCAGAGATGTCAATATCATTGCACATAGCATGGTAAGTATTCTTATAGCTCCGATTCATGCTACACAATATTAACAGATAATTAGGGGTAAGATGTCATGGCCAAAACCCTCAATTCAAGATCTGACAGAGGACTAGTGGTCTTGATTCCCGATACATGATCAGCAGACTCCGTCCACAGTTTAAGGTGTTGTCGTTGACCACCATTGCAACTCCCCATCGAGGTTTGCCGGCCCTGGTTAACTGCAAACCATCCATTTGCTGACGATAGGATAGGGTCGTCCGTGGCGGATTACGTCTTGGACCAGATTGGAGGTTTGTCGATATCCCTAAAAAACCATGTTTTCGGAATGAAGACTTACGAATATCCAGCCGACCGTCTACCTCAAATCTACTACACGCTCAACCGGATGAAGGTCGAAACAGGTGCATTCTCCCAACTAACCAGGAAATACATGTCCGAGACCTTCAATCCCAACACACCCGATGTGGACGACGTTCGGTGCGTACCGGTAGTGTCATCGCTATGTCTCTACTAACAGCATTGGTAAACAGATACTTTTCTTACGGTGCAACAGTGCAGCCAAGTATCTGGTCTCTCTTCCGGCTCTCCCACAAAATCCTAGCCCAGATGGAGGGCCCCAATGATGGCTTGGTCAGCGTGGCGAGTAGTCGATGGGGAGGTGACGAGGGTTACAAGGGGACGCTTATGGGTGTCAGTCATCTTGATCTGATTAATTGGACAAATCGGTTGAAATGGATGGCCGGGGATTTGATGGGGCATCCGCGCAAGTTTAACGCTATTGCGTTTTATTTGGATATTGCAGGTAAGAGAGGCGATACTCCAGGGCTGGTTTGAGGTGTGTTGGCTGACATCGTGACACTAGATATGTTGTCGAAGGAGGGTCTTTGATAGTTGACCGGTTGTTGAGATACCCAGTATTATCTTTTGTACTTTTAGCCAGATTCTGTTTGATGTATATATTTGCGCATAAACGGTCTTGCATTTCTTGGCATTCATTACCTAGGTACTTTGGCTGTTAAGCCCTGGTAAGGTCAAATAGATCTTTGACGACGACGATATCGGACAATGGACAATTTATGCGCACAGAATAGAGTATGCAAATAGGCTCCACTCGACATGTCGGCTGTCGGCGATCACAATGGAGCAAAGATCGTCCGGCACAGACCAGATTTTGTTTACCCCGTTGAGAGGCGGGAACAAAACGTCGACTGATCTATGTTTCCACCACAGTTATACGTCATCTTCTATATCTAGGGATTACTTATTTTAGGGCGGGGCGCAATTGCACCTGCCATAGGTGCCGGCCAAGGAACGAAGGAACGAACCAACGATGAGATGGAAATTCTGGTGCCTGGAGAGACTGCCGTATCGTCAGCCGAGGGTTTCGGATTTAATTTCTTCAAGTAGGGCTGAAATCAGGATTCTCTAATGAGAAATAAATAATAGAATTTAGATAGAATACGCACTCTTTCCATCGAACATTTGAGGCTATATTCTTTTTTTTTTAGAGAGGGGTGATCGGGATCTAGGATCTACTTGAACCGAGATCGTGAGACATTCTGTGTTTTATTTTTCGCGTTACCAGGGACCAGGCTCTTGAGTCCAAGGAAGCAAGTGTGGCTGAGTGCATTGAGGCGCAGCTTTCACTCTTATAAACTTGAGTTGTTGTGGCTCACTGTTTCATACAAAGAGGGTCGTGGGGGGATCAGTTGATCGGCCCGAAAAAAACGTCATTCTGGTTCCTCTCGCATTTAATCCGCATTCCTCCCTCATCAAACATCGCGTCAGCTCCCGACACCCTTCCCTCGCCAAACACGCCTCCAGAGGGCTTGAGCACCGTCGCGACCAGCTCAGAGGCTCAGCTTGACCGATCGGAGGGAATACGGAGTCCGGGGCCCCGGGCGCTCGCCGCTATGTCCGCGACAATCGTGCTGGACAGCCAGCACACCCACTACACAAATCTCGATTTCCTTTCGGGCAAGGTCATCTTACATTTACCTACCGAAGCCGCCATTGGAGGTATCCAGGTCAAGCTGGAGGGCGAGAGCCGTACCAGGCTGTCTGGTCCTCGCAACCCACTCAATGTGAACTCGGAGAAGAAGCGCACGGAGCTGGAGGTGCACAAGGTAAGAAACAAGGGTGGATAGTCTGCTTAGATAGCTGCTGACCAGTACAGATCCTTTACAAAGTTGAAACCGTTTTCCCCACGGCGGCGGTCATGCAATCCGGATCGCCCGCATCCTCCTACACTTTCGCGTCGGGATCATATGAATATCCTTTCCAGTTCAAGGTCAATCCGCCCTTACAACGTGCTTCAAGGCAGAAGCTAACATCCGCCTAGTTTCCTTTCAACAATGCGTGCAACCCAAGCAACAGCATGCTCACCAATCTCAACTTCAGTGGGCTGAAGGTGGAAATGGCCCGCGATAGCAATCGCCATGTCAAAAAGACCCTTCCTCCTACCTTCGGCGGTTTCCCTGGTATGGCCGACATCAAGTACTTTGTGAAGGCTACGGTTATCAGGCCACAATTCTACAAAGAGAACATTCGAGCAGTGGGTATTAATTCAATCGCAGTATATGTCACCTGGCTAATGAATCCTACAGATTGTGCCATTAAACTTCCTCCCCATTGAGCCGCCTCGGGCAGGAAACCCCAACGAGGAAACATATGCTCGACGCCAACATCAGTTCTCCAAGTTTCAGGAAAGCCGGAAGAAGAGTATTTTCTCAAAAGGGACTAATCCGTTCCGAGATTCCTCGGAGCCTCCGCGTGTGTCTGTGGACGCTCGACTCCCGAATCCTTCTATCCTCACATGCAACGAACCTGTTCCGCTCCGTCTCATGGCCAAAAAGCTAACAGAGTCGTCGGACATTATCTTCCTTGAAATGCTGCAAATCGAGCTGATCTCTACTACCAAGATTCTGGCGCATGATCTTACTCGGAATGAGAGTGGCTCTTGGGTCATTATGAGTCGCAGTAACTTGGGAATACCACTGGGCAAGCCAGAAGATCCTGCGGGTACTGAATGGAATATCGACCCGAAGTTGTGGGGCAATCTGCCTCTACCTAACTCCGTGGCTCCGTCGTTTGAAACCTGCAATATTGAAAGAGCCTACGAGTTGGAGGTGCGAGTTGGCATCACCCACGGCACTGCTAGCAACATGAAGGTACGCTTTGATCAGCCACTCTCACAGCCACTCTCACTTACAATGTACTGACGTTTTTAGCCCCAACTCATTGTCCTTCCCTTGCGGATGCCAGTCAAGGTCTACTCTGGTATCGCTCCCCCCCAGGCCCTCCTGGATGCCCTAGCCGCCTCAGCACCACAACCATCTCCCTCCAAACCAACCGGACAAAAGTTCCCCACGGCCACAGACAGCAGACCTACCATACCACCACGGCCATCCGGAATTCCAGTATCAGCGGAGTCCGGAGCCGCGTATGATGACGCACCTCCCAGTTATGAGGACACAATGGCAGAAAATTTAAGCCCGGTGGATGGACCACGCCGCGAGTATCACCCACCAGACGCCAGCACAGTGGAATCTGGAACTGATGCCAAATCCCCAGTCCAAATGGAAAGGGTCCGTGAGGGCGGGCGCGGCGCAGAAGGTTCCGCGCTCCCCCGTGAAGACCGCCGCTCGTCCTCCGAATCCTTTGACATGCTGCCCACCACTCCGCCTGAATCTATTTCCGGATCGCCTCCCGCTTCGCCCGTACGACGCCCTCAAAGTACCATGAAGGTACCCCGGAACCCCGCGGAAGAGGAAAGCCCGCCGCAGTACCAACAAGTCGCGGATAAGCAGCTCCAGACTCCGAGTGTGAACCGCCGGCCTTCAAATACCAATATGCGTTCAATGAACCTGGGCGTGCCTAATCGGAAACCCGTTCCTCGGAGCGCAGACAGACGATCCTGATATCTGCTTCGTGGCTATTTACACGGTTCTTGCCTGGAGCTGGAGAGCACAGACAAGCTGCAATTCCCTCGAGTGATCAAGCTCAAAACACCCAATTAGGCGAATATTGCGCACAAAGTACCACATCATCTTTGCGGTCGATTGTATCCTTATACCCCTCCTCAATGATATCTTTAGAGCCTATAATTTGGTCATCGGGCTTTTGCGTTCGAGCATCACACTCTCAGCAGTAACTACATAATACATTGTGAGAGGCAATCTTACATTCTACTCAATCTCCCTCCCAGTCTTAAAAACTCGTATGCGACTTTTTGAGTGCTGTTTTCCAGATGAACTATTATCTGGCCAGGCAACTTTGATTTTCCCCCTTGGTGTGTATTATCCTCTGCCGTAAGGAGTCAAGTCACGGGTTGACATAGTGACAAAGATGCTGAAAAGGGATACCGAGGAAGATGCCCGTAAAAAGGTCTAGACAAAGTCTCCAGAATACGGTGAGAATAAATGATCAGAAAGAGCTATAGATCGTGTTGTGTCGATCAGTGGCGCCTAAGGCCACCATCCAAAAGAGGTTAGTGCCTGCTCCACGCCGAGCTCAGTTCTTCGGAGCTGCACGAGGCAGTTTCTCGATTTCCCCACGTCCATGCACCTCGTATGGTACTCCCCACGATCTTTTCTCATATCTCGGAACACTAGACATCTTTTGCGCGCCTCTGTTGTGCGCGATTCCTCCACAACATCCCGCACACCGCTGCTTTCAAAGAAGCTGCAAAACGTCGCGCTCAAACCATCGACAATTTCTCAAACTGAATACCACCTCCACTTTCTTGCCTCGATGATCTAGCGCACGTCCCCGGCACCATGCGCCTTCACCTAGTCATATCGCGGCACGGCTTACCGGTCACGCGCATTCTGTGGACCACCTCCTCCTCCTCTGCGGAATATGGAGTCCATGGCGCTGCATCGGCGGCCGCGATAGCTTCGACTCGCGCACCGAACATTGCCTTTGCGAACGGTGGATACACAGTCGCACAATTACTAGAAGATGTGAATGAGGTCGTGCCGCTGGAGACGGAACCCAGTATGTTCGACCCGGAGTTCGGTGGTCAGTGGGGATTGGAGGATTACGTGGTTGAGGTGGGCGGATCAGAGTGTCTTCACTTCATGGAGGTCGATGGATTGCTTCGCGAGGGAGATGAGGTTGTGTACGTGCCCCTGATTCAACGCGTCTGGCGCGTTTTTTTGTTTGACATGAATGGGACAAGTTACTAACGTTCGCATTGCAGTATTCGAGCTCTTCAATTATCAGATCTCCGGGCACGCCGACTGTGCGGTCGACATCAGATTACGGCTGAGGGCAAGCATCTCATTGATGGCGTTGCATTCGGGTCTCCGTTCCTGAAGCGCGGTACTTCCTCTCGACCTGCGATTACTATTCCTCCTAGAAAGAAGCGTCGCACTGCTTTCTCCTCTGGCTGGGACTTTGGGCCTGATTCTACACTCCACTATGAGGGTGCCCACGATAATTCCAATGCCGATGAAGAGGGTGACGGGGAGTGGCTGCCACCGGGCGACACTGGCTTTGGAAAGGAGCTCTCCATTATACCGGCGGATCATGAAGTATCCGACATGGGGACTGTCATCAGGCATCACGTCGATCATTCAGATGGTTCAGACAGCGAAATAGACGCCTCTGACCTTGATCCTGAAGAGGACGATCTGGATACTGAGCTCAAGGCTTTGAAGGCGGATTTCGAGGAGCCCGAGTCCCAATTTATTGACATCAGAAAACAGGCGCAAGTGCCTACTGGCCCTGCATTGCGCTCTAGTCTGATTGCCAAGAGGCCCTCGTCTGCGGACAAGAGACCAAACTCCTCGGAATCAATAGTGGGAGCCTCGTCTCTTTCCAGCAAGCGGTCTCGCGGGGATGACTCTTCTCCAAAAGTCTCAAAGGCTGTGAGATTCAATGGAGGCCAATACGCACCTGAAGCTTTGGGATCTCAACCCCTGCAGCCTGACGAAGATTTTGCTGAAACCTCCGACTCCGAGTCAGACTCCCCGTCCTCGAGTGACTCCAGCGACTCGAGCGACTCTTCATCTGAGGAAGAAGACTCATCTGATGAAGATGTGCCGACAGTCAACGGAGCAGCCATCAAACCAGCCACCAGAGCGGAACGCTCCCCGTCCAGCTCTGAAGACGATTCCAGCTCCGACTCCAGTTCCGATTCGAGCTCCGAAGACGAAGAAGCTTCCCCACCCCCAGCTAAATCGAACCACGTTCCCATTGTGAACCCTCCTGGCCGTGGCTCTGTGCGGACCAAAAAGAGCAACCATCGCTACAAGCTCCGCCGCCGTCTTTCTAAGCTGAAGGAAATCGGCCTGCTGCCTGCTGAAGCAGATTTCGCCGCCTTGCATGAATGGGAGGAGGCAAATGGAGGCTGGCACTTCCCCGATGAGTCCAGTGTCATGTCAACAACAACGACCAAGGCACAAAAGCAGGACCAAGAGCAGCTGGATTTTGAGGCAAGGCGGCAGAAACTACTCCGGGATCTCGCTTCTGGTGGCGTTGATGTGGATGAGACTTCTGAAAAGGAAAATGTCCCACCTAATAAATCAGTCGCCGCAGAAGAGGCTGTGCCTGATGAAGCTGATGAAGCTGACGAACCCCCTGAGGTGGAGCCTTCAACTCGACGCAAACTTGACATCGCCAGTTCCAAGCGATTGCTCTTCGGATCCTTGGGAGTGCGCACTCCTAAAAACAAGGAAGAGGAAGAGGCGATGCGACGAAAACTAGCTGCTCAAGCTAGCACTGTCCATTCCCGACGTCAAACCGCAGAGAAGCAACCCGTTGAAGAAGAGGAGAGTGACTCAGATGTAGACTGGGAAAACAAGCTGGTCATCAAAGCTACCGAGTGTATTTACGATGATATCGAGCTGAGTTCACCACCATTCCCCTTCGAGAACCGCTGGGACGCAGATGCGGATGCGATCATTAGACAGCGGAATGGCTGGGGAAAGAAGCGAAAGAGAAAGCAGAGAATCCAGGTTTACCAGGAAAATGAAGACCAGGAAGAGTATGAAGAACCGAACTATGAATGGCCCGCCTACGAGGAGGGTATGGAACTCAACTATGACGAGGAAGAGCTTGCATTCGCTGAGAACAAAATCACTGGTCCTTCCGACGACTTTCCCACACTTCCTGCGGATCCGAGTTCTGTTCCAGATTTGGTCGAATCCGAAACAAAGGTCGGAGCAATCATCGCATTCCGACAGCTGGACATGTCCAAAGCGACAAACTGGCAGCCCCGAATGTCCGAATACCGAGTTGCCGAAGTTCACGATGTCTTGGATAATGGGATGATCAATGTGCGACTAGCGGTGCGCGACCGACGACCAAAGGCAGAGCCAGTTGACCCGGAGGACGACGGGCCCCGAGTATACGACAAATTCGAAATGCCAGGATTCGAGGACGACGAGGAAGAAGATGATGGCTATCGCGAACTTGCATTTGCAGAACTCAGCGATTCAAAGCTTCTGCGGCCGGCGCCAGCAGTCATTGACGGCGATGGCGTGGACAAAGACGCGCAAGAAGGTAGCTTGTCAGTGAACTGAAATCGGTTTGTTTTCATGCGCTTACCCGTTCCAAGTGTCTCTGTAGTCGAGGACTCCATGCCGAATGCCCAGATTCTCGCTATCGATCCGGCGGATATGGATCTCGATGAAACCACGTTCGTCACCCTCGTGACCGCAGCTAGTCAGATTGGTTCGCCAGCGAGATCGGATGTGCCATCTGTTCAGATACCCGGTAGCGTGCGGCTTCCACAAACGCAAGGCCATGATGCAGACGATGAAAACAGTGACACCCATGCCGTGCCCTCTCCTTCGTTCTCTGGGTTCCATTCGGCGTTCTCGTCTCCTGGAGCCAGGCTAGGCGGCCGTTTCGACGGCCTGATTGAAGAAACGAATCTTGATGGCCACACTCTGATTGAAGAACCGTCCGCTTTCACTCTGATCGAGGAACCATCCGCTCTGGATAATTCCAACCAGGACCACTTAGCCCTGTCCTTCTTATCTGTCAACCAATTCGTCTCCGATCAACCGTCTGAAAGCCAACATCAAGATCGCCAAGTCGTTGACGAGTCGCTTCTGGCTGCGAATGGATCTGGCGGCAATGACTCGCTGCTGTCTGTAGTGCCTCCCCAAGAAAACAGCCTCTCCGGAAAGTCGAGGCCCGCTCGCAGCCCCATTACACGGAGCCCGAGCGGACAAAAAGCAAACACACCCAAGGGCACGGCCTCCTGGGAGAAACTTCTGGACATGCTGAGAACAGGAAACCCAGAGCTGGACAACACGGATCAAGATAAGGATGACGAAATGAACGAGGACAACGAAGACAACGACAGCCTGGTCCATAGCGAGCAGAGTCTCCGTCTATCACAGCCATCTCCTCCATCCAGCTCGCGCTCTTCACGCAAGCCGCCTACTAGTGCCCAGCGACCGCAGTCCCCAAAATCCAACCCAGAGCCATCTGAAACACCGGCGGGTTCTACGCGCTCCAAGAAACCCGTTGCTTCTCCCCCGCCCAATGGCTCACAACTATCAGAAATTATTGATCTGACGTCCAGTCCATCGGCAGGACCCAGCCAGCCGAGCCGAATTGCAAGGAGCGACAATTCTGACCGGGTATCCAACGCAGACACTCGTCTGTCGACGGACACGATGCAGCGCGTGGAAGTGAGCATCAGTCCGGCGACGAGCAAGGCCAGCAAGAAGAGCAAGAAGCGATCGTCGCGAAAGTTCTAATCATTCTATGTTCTAAGGCATAAAGCCTACATGTATCTACTAGTCATTCTTTTGTATCTATGAGAGGCGTCAAGGCCGGATATCACACATAGCATCGACCACCAAATATGGACGTTCATTATCTGACACAATCTGCAAGCTGTACTACATCATCACTTTATGTCCAAAGTACCTAGCTGTATCAGGGTAATAGCTGCATAGCTTGTTAGCGACCAAGCAAAAGGCAGGATTCGGTGACAAAAGCTGCCCTCCGATTGGCCCATGCCGCTCTCACCGTGATGTCACCGAACTATATCCCGCTTGCACGTTTAATCGCCTTGGGTATTCGTACTTGGTATGCATTACCTGTCCAATTCCTTAAATAGTGCTACCTCCGTCCCCTGCTAGCCATGCAATTGACCTCAATGCCCCTCTCACTCCCCCGCTCCCTGCCACGTCCACGTCTACGCTCATCACCAATCACTACAAGTGTTTCACGAGTCCGGACCTGTCGGTGTGGCTGTCGCTCAGCAAGTGCATGCTCGTGTTCCTGCTGTGTTCATTTCCCAGCTTCCAGATCCATTCCCGGGGGTTTAAATCCCAGTGCACGTCCCCAAGCTAGAGCTCTTCACATCCCAAGCTTCACGCGCCCAACAACAGCCCAAAGCTTATTAAGACTACACCTCCTTTCAAATCCCCAAAGAACCATTTCCACAATGTCCCAAGAGTATAAACTAAAAGACATCTCCTCCCTGGCCTCCGTCTCCCCTTATGAGAAGCGCGAGGTCGAGGTCGAAGGTATCGAAGATGGAAAGGTCCTCCTGTTAAACCACGACGGACAAGTCCACGCCCTCAGCCCGCGCTGCACGCACTACGGTGCGCCCCTCAAGAACGGCGTGGTCACGCCGGATGGCCGGCTTACATGTCCCTGGCATGGCGGTATGTCCCTTCCATTACCTACGTCGGTGTATATCTTGGGGAAACAAGAACGGAAATGCTAATTGTATAAAGCATGTTTCAAAATCTCATCCGGCGACGTCGAAGACGCACCAGCCTTGAATGCGCTGAACAAATTCGACGTTTTTGAAAAGAACGGCGCCGTCTACATCCGCGCCACCGAAAACGATATCAAATCCGGACAGCGGGACCCTGTTCTAAAGTGTGCTGCCTCCAAGGCCGAGGAGAAAGTCGTCGTCATTGGAGGGTTCGTTCTCCATCCCTCCATCCGTTCCCGTTTCCTTATAAAGGAACCTCACTAACACAAAACAGAGGAAGCGGCACCATCAGCACCGTCCAAACCCTCCGCGAACTCAAATATCCCGGCTCAATAACCATAATCTCCACCGAGTCCGACTACGTAATCGACCGTACAAAACTCTCGAAAGCCCTCATCCCCGACGCTTCCAAGATCCTCTGGCGTCCAAAGGAATGGTACGAGCAAGCTTCCATCGACAAGGTCGTCGATGAAGTGACATCCGTCGATTTCAAGAATAAATCCGTCTCGACGAAATCGGGAACCAAGTTCCCGTATACGAAACTCGTTCTTGCGACGGGCGGTATACCCCGAAACCTCCCACTTCCGGGATTCAAAGAGCTGGGCAACATCTTCACGTTGCGCACCGTCGAAGATGTCCAGAAGATTCTGGGCGCCCTGGGCGACTCCAAGCGCAAGGTGGTTGTGATAGGAAGTTCATTCATCGGAATGGAAGTGGGCAACGCGCTCAGATCCAAGGAGCACGATGTGACGATCGTCGGCATGGAGAACGCGCCCATGGAACGAGTCATGGGCGCGGACGTCGGGCGGATCTTCCAGCGCAATCTTGAGAAGAACGGTGTTGTGTTCAAGCTCTCTGCGTCCGTTGAGAAAGCCACGCCGTCCGACGATGGGAAGACCGTTGGCGCGGTTCATTTGAAAGATGGATCCGTGCTGCAGGCCGATGTCGTCGTTCTGGGCGTTGGAGTCCGTCCGGCGACGGATTTCCTGGGTGATGCTATCAAGCTTGAGAAGGACGGGTCTGTCGCGACGGATTCGCACTTCCTGATTCCTGAATCCGAGGATGTCTTTGCTATCGGTGATATAGCCACGTTTCCCTATAACGGGCCTGGAGGGAATGGGGCCCCGGTGCGGATTGAGCATTGGAATGTAGCGCAGAACTCGGGGCGGGCCGTTGCGAAGGCGATTGTGCATGCGCAGCGGGCGCCTGTGAGGTCTGCGTCGGTGAAGCAGTTTATTCCGATTTTCTGGAGTGCGTTGGGCGCACAGTTGAGGTATTGTGGGAATACGGTGAATGGGTTTGATGATGTTGTTTTGAGGCAGCCGGAGGAGACCAAGTTTACGGCGTTTTATACCAAGGGGGAGACTGTCGTGGCGGTTGCTACGATGGGGATGGACCCGGTTATGAGCAAGTGTGCGGAGCTGATGAGGGGTGGGAAAATGGTGTCGAAGAAGGAGGTGAAGGACGGAGTCGATGTTTTGCAAGTCGGTGTTTAGTTGGATATGTTGGAGTAATGGATAGCTCAAGCATTGATTGCATGTACACGTTTGGCATTGAAAATGAAACTCTTTTGCCCGGAACGCCCGCCGAGAATGAAATGTATGAAGGACATGTATACAGCTCTATTTCTCCTTCTTCTCCTTCTTTGACTTGGACTTCTTTTCTTTCTTCTCTTTCTTCTCTTTCTTCTCCTTCTTCTCTCTCTTCTCTCTCTTCTCTTTCTTCTCTGTCTTCTCCTCCGGCTCGATCTCCACAACCGAGACCTCTTGCGCAGCCGGTGTCGCCGAGATGGGAATCACCCGAGTGGTCTTCTTGGTCGGAGAAGAAAGGAACGATGGAGGCAATGACTGGCCCTGGTTCTCAGCCTGTACAAGCTTCTCCTCTTCCTCCGGGGTGAGCATCGTCCCCTCGATACTCAGGAACCCGCGGTCCCGTTCCGAGCCTGGGATGATATCTACGTCGACAACGCGGAACCGAACATTGCCCCGCACGCGGTGCCCAGATACAGACTGGAAGTGGCCTGTGGATGCCTCGCCTTCGTCTTCGCCGTCAATGTCCAGATCGCCTGCAGCCACTGGGGCGGGCTGGAAGAGTTCCTTGGCGGAGTCGAAGCCCGGTGGTGCGCGCCCGGTAGCGGACTCATCGTCTGTAGTTGCGTTTGCTGAGGTCTCGGTTTCTTCGGCTTCTTCGCCGGGTGGTACCCACCGCCAGTTTGTGGGGAGGCGTTTGCGTTCAATGCCGACGGAGAACAGGTTGAAGACGACTGCGCCCAAAAAGCCCTCGGATTGGACGTTCACCCAGCCTTCGAGGCTCTGGCCTCGTCTGGGGCGGAAGATTAGGAAGGTTGCTGTCAGGTAGACGTACAGCACGCCGTACTCGTCGGCGGTTTTGGCGAGCGTCAGAGGCTGCGGGTTCGGGTCAGATGAGTTGCGGGGTTTAGATGAGGGCGGGTGGCTAGAAATTGAAGCGTTGGAATAAGCCATGACGATACCCTTCAGCGGGGGATAGTAGGTCAAGAGCAGCGGCGAGAGGTGCTCTGCCATCAGCGAAGCCAGCGCATGGGTGGGCGAGATGGAGATGGGCGACAACGGCAAGTACAGTGTAGCCGTGGCGAGAGAAAATGGGGACTCGGAATGTTCAGTCGAGGTCGATGTCGAGGCTGTCTTGCTGGATTTGTCTTTCTTGCTCTTCGTCTCGTCGGTCTGCTTGCGCTTCTTGGACGGTGATGCATCCTTGTTCTTTGATTTGCGCTTGCGCTCGTCGGTCGCCCGGGGTGAGGTGTCAATTTCCATTGCGTCGACAGCCATGGCGCAATTGGGGCTCCGCAGAGCTGTAAATTATGGTGGATGGTTGATCTTTTTTATGGTTCGAAGACTTCGAGAAACTTTTTTTCTTCTTCATTTTGCGCAGAGAAGGGAAGGCGGTGGAGGCGGGCGGTGACGCAGTTTAACCGCCCCGGTTTTGGGGGCGAGCATCAGCCAGCTTGGCCTCAAAGAATCTGGGATTGGTGATTCCATTCTCACAGTCATGGCCTCGGTGCTCCATTATCTCGGGTGGGCTGTCCTGCCTAATGTATGTGAAACCCTCGATGTGGACGTGTTTCTTTGTATACTGACAACCGGTATAGTACGCAACGGCGCTTCTCCAGACTGTTTACTATGGCATTACTGTTCGCGCCGGCTCCCCTCGCCCTATGCCAGGAACCCCGCGTCATGATCTCCATCGTCGCCGTATCTTTATTTTCGTGGTCACGAGCTACCTCCTCTACACGCTGTACGAAACCTTCCACCAAGTGCAGGTTGCGGGAGACTTTTACCAAGCGCTGGGAGTATCACCATTCGCCGATGAGCGCACGATCAAGTCGAAGTTCCGCCGACTAGCCGCCCAGCATCACCCTGATAAGATCGGCCCGGACGGCGGCGCAGAGGTATACTTCATGTACCTGCGTCAAGCTCAGGAAACGCTCGCGAACCCAGTCAGGCGATTCGCGTACGACCGCTTCGGTCCCGACATGCTCAGCTGGGGTGAGCAAAAGACCATGGGCGACTTTATCACCGTGTCATTCACCCGGTCTCTTGTCCCGCATTACGTCGGTGGTTTCGTGACCATGCTGGTGCTGAACTGGCTGTGGTGGGCCAACTGGGGACGCTACGTGAGTGATGAGACCCGGATTTTTTTTTTGGACAGGCACTAACGGTTCTACAGTGGCGCTTCTATACCTTTGCCGCCATGCTAACCCTTGAACTCGCGCTTATCACCCACCCCCAGGCCGTGTTCATGCCCGCGACCTATCTTCCCACATGGCTACGGGCCTGGATGCCAGAGCCGGCCTTCCACCTTCTCCCCTTCCAGACATTAACTCTGGCCCGTCGCGCCTCCATTCTACTACACATCTTCATCTCCCAGATCGCTCCGCCAAGCGCCCGCGCACCCGGCGGTGGAGACAAGATCTCGCCGCAGACCATGCAGCGAATGGGCCAGCTGGTAGTAGCAACGCGCCAGGCAGATCTCGAGGCAACGCGGGTGCTGCAGGTCGGCCTGGCGCCGTTCCGCGGTGATCGCGAGAGCGTGTCTGCGCTGCGTCGCGGCATGAAAGAGGGGCTGATTTTGGGCGGAGTGCGCTCGAGTGCCGAGGTGCAACGCGCCGTCGCGCAGGTCGTGGAACGGCGCAAGATGGAAAGCCAGAGGAAAGTTGATTAGTGACGGGAGTCGCTTAGATGACCTTGTTGTAAATTAGACTTTGTACAGGACCAATACAGGACCATGATTCGATCAGCGGAGCACAGATTTCGGATGATCAAATCCGTTGATCTGTGGCGTATTACGGGTTGTAAGAGTCAGGCGTCAAAATATTCTCATCTCGCCTCTGGCCACGGTGGCGCCAGGTCGAGTCGGTCATCTGAAAGGTCTTGGTGACGGGGGTAAAACTGCAAGGCTCTTGAATAATACTGTACAGTCTTGGATCAGGCCATTGCGAAACTGTCCGGGACCACTAGCGAACCAATTTCGGGACTCGGCGGAGACAGGAATGAGATCCATCAATCGGGGGCGATCAGGAATGTGTTTGGCAGTACACACCGTGCCAAGTATATAGAATGGTTGATGCCTATGAATGATAAAGAAGAGATCCCAAAAGACGTGTCAAAGGAATGGATATTCAAAAAGTCCCCAAAAAGGTATCGAATACAAGTATAGAAACGGTGAAGCAAAAGTCGGGTTCCTTTGTCGCAGGCGTAACGGTACGGTAACCAGTCCCGTCCGTGGCCACCGACGGGCGTAAATACCGATACGGTAACAACGCGAGGCCTCACCACGACTCGCACCTCCTGTGTCTCTCTCAGAAGAACCTTCGCTATCCAGAAAATTAAACGAGATGCTATCCACTGCCGGGACACCCATCCCTTTCCCCCCTTCCCGCTTCCCTCCCTTTCCATCTCGACTCTTCCCCTCTCCCTCTCCCTCTCCCCCTCCCCCCATGATCCATCCAACCATCCAACACTTCAGCCTCGTGAACATTTGAAACTATCTACAGCTGAAAATAGCCTGGGCGGTGGAAGACCACGTCACGATCGCCGCCCCTACGGCTCATCATCCTCAATCCCTTCCGAGACTCTACCCATCGTCACATCTCCAAGGCCGACTTCGCGCCTCGCTCCGACATCATGCCTGCTGCCGGCTCTACCCCCAACGGTCGCTCCAAGGGCTCTAAAAATACACCCAGCTCCTTAGTGGTGACCCTTAAGCTGTCCCCGGACATGCTACAGTCCTTCATGGACAATGCCACCGACCGAAAGCCCTCGAATCTTTTCCCTCCCGGCAAGGGTCTCGAACGTTCCTCGCCGGCCTCGTCTACTGAAGTCCCGGCCGTTCGTCCTTCCTCTGCGGACAATGACTCCAACGCCGATGCGAACTCGACCCCGGCCGCCGGTGCAACTCCAGCCGCCGATACCCCGCGCCGGAAGGGTGTTCCGGGTCCTAAGCCTGGCAACAAGCGCGCAAACGGGCAGACCGAGCCCACCGCACGTGCTAGAGGTAGACCAGGGCCGAAGAAGAAGCCGCGACTGTAAGTCGTACCCAACGCAATATGAGCCGAATGACATTGACATATAACAGGGAAGAAGGTGCCGATGCTGCCAAGTTGCCGGCCGCAACTCGACTGGGACCAAAGGCCAACACCGGCGCTATCAATGCTGGACTGCGCGCCCTCGACCGTACCGGAGCTCCCTGCCGCAAGTGGGAACGCCAGCCTCTGAAGCTGAGAAGCTTCACTGGCGTTCTCTGGCAACTGCCTTCCTGGCGCGGCCACCACCTGGCCAAGTCTGAGTCCAGCGAGTCCAAGGTTGCTGCCCTTGAGAGCGGCGATAGCGACACGAAGGCCGGACTTACTGCTCCTGGTACCGACACCCTCAATGGCAGCAGTGCTGTTCCCAGCGAGAAGAGCAATTCCGGTGATGGAGATGTCACCCCCGTTCCATCGAACATTGTCGAGCCGTCGTCGCCCGCCATCGCTATGGCTGCTTAATGTGCATGAGGTTGTATATTAGACTCTTTCGTTTCTTTCTTTTTTTCGTTTCTTTCTTTTTTTCGTTTCTTTGTTTTTTTTTTCACTTTTCTGGATCATACCTTGTTTTGGCTCTGGGTTTTTATGAAATGGCGTCTTCTGGAAAGTGGATATGGCTACAGGTATGATGGCATGGTCTCGCATGTTGCCTGTCTGGCACAATTTGTTTTGTTTTGCTGCGCTGGGATTTTGGGCATTCTCTTGTATTATAATTCGGGATATCTTGGGATCGGATTCACTTTATTTTTTATCGGACTGGAAGACCTTTGCTGTGATAGGATCATAGCACATGCCAAACTTGTTCTGGTTTCTATACAATTTACCGAACTAGAGACCGAGGAAATATTGTAAATGGCCTTGGATATGTGGATGATCATAACTGTTGCTCGCGTACTTTGACTATCATACTAGCATGAATAGTGGCCACATAAAAAGATGTCAAAAATGACTGAAGGAATAAGCAGTGAATTTCAAGCCATTGTGAAGAGGCCGGACACATCGGGGAGGGATCCTCGTGACAACACTCTCCCTCCCCTCCTTTCCTAGCTTAACCCGGATATTTCCCCGCAGCCTTCAACGAGCCGTTACTATCTTTCTTTTTCCCTTGTTCATGCTACGCTAACTTCGGTCCCGACATCGAGCCCTCACCTCTGTTCGGGTGTTCGTGGCTGTTGCGGCCTTCGCTGCTTCCGGTCACCAGATGACCCGCTCGTCTCGCAACGTTAGCAAGAAGCCCTTCAGCAGAGAGAATTCATCTATTTTTGCAGATCAGTTTGGGTTGTGAAGCCATCCACGGTCATCGATTTGGGGTGGGCGTGACCCGCAGCCATGGCCGACGTTCCTTTCCCCGGTGGAGCTCGAGGAGCTCCAACATACGGCATCTCATCCGGCCAGCGCCGCTCCTCCTACGCCTCCGTCGTCTCGGGCACCGCTTTCTCTCCCCCAATCTCAAGCTCGTTCTCCCATCTGATCAACTCAAATCCCGTCTCTTCCTACCGGCCGCCCTCCCTGCCCGACGGCCGACTCCACCGGGTCCCGTCCGGCCTCGATGCCGATATGCAGCTCAACCCCGCCTGGAGATCCAACTCATCTCCTGATTCCCTGCCTTCATACTCCCGCAAGTATGCCAGCTACTTGCGCCCGATGGAGTTTAACTCGGGCTTCGGTTTGACCGATGGGCCGGCCTTCTTCACCCCCTCCTACCTCCGCAACTCCCGCTACATCTATCGCCTCGAAGCCGCCCATCGAGCTAAACATGCGGCCCAGCAGCGCGACGCCTCCTCTACAACTTCCACTTCGAATCCTCCCCTCTCTACCTCTTCCAGCAATGTCCACCTCCCCCGCATGGCCCCATCCCATCGTGGCATGACCTACGAGATCATCGAGAAGGAACCTCCGACCACCGCCGACCCCCTCTCACCGCTGCCGACCCAGTGGAGTTCATCGGACAAATACGCCGGTCTAGAGCTATCGAACGATTCTCTCGATGTGCGATACACGGGTCCCGTGCACAAACACGACCATGAAGCTGCGGCGCTAAGGGCTGATAACCCCATGCCGCCACAATGTGGTATATACTATTTTGAGATCAAGATTGAGTCCAAGCCGAAGGAAGGGTACGTTGTATGGTTTCGTGGTAATCTACGGCTTTATACTGATTGATGGTCTAGAATGATCGGCATTGGATTCTCCAGTACCAAAGCTTCGGTCGAGAGACTCCCGGGCTGGGAGCAGGAATCCTGGGCCTATCACGGTGATGATGGGAAGTCCTTTTTCGGCGAGAGTCAAGGACAAGGTCGTTCATATGGGCCGACGTTTGGCGTTGGAGATACCGTTGGATGTGGAGTAAATTTCTCCACGGGGTCAGCATTCTTTACTAAGAATGGGGTGTTCCTGGGTAAGAGCCCAATCAACTGCCAAGTGATGCAGAACTGACAGAACTAGGGAATGCTTTTCATGATTTGCGCAATGTGAAGCTGTATCCATCTGTCGGGATGAAGAAGCAACCGCCCGTACACTTGAAAGCGAACTTTGGACAGGAGCCATTCGTATTTGACATTGACGGCATGGTCAGGGTATGTGTCGCAGTATGTTTCAAATTGTGATGCGAGAGCCTAACGATTCTACAGCAAGAGAGAGCATCGATTCAATCAGAGATCAACAGCACGAGTACCGACAGCTTACAGCCAGGACTGGACGAGTCCACGCTCCTCCAGGAGCTAGTTGCCCAGTTTCTTGCCCACGATGGTTACGTGGAGACCGCGCGTGCATTCGCCGGAGAGGTAGCCACCGAGACCGCAGCGCTGCAGAATGGACAGCAGGAGCCGCTAAAGAAATACGAGGTGGAAGAAGACCGCGAAGCCATCCAACGTAACAGTAAGCTTGTCGTCCACTCGTGGCAGCTACAACGCTAACAAAACCAGAAATTCGCGCCGCAATCCTCGACGGTGATATCGACAAGGCCCTCAAGCACACAAAAGCATACTACGCCAACGTCCTCGAAGACTACCCTCAAATCCACTTCAAACTCCGCTGCCGCAAATTCCTCGAAGTGATGCGTCGATACAACGAGCTCTCCGCTCCCCACGTCTCCTCCAAAGGCCATTCCACATCCGCCGGTATCTCCGACGAGCACGCCGTCTTCGATCAGGAAATGGAACTCGACGACGGCTGGGCCGCAGATGGAATGGACACCGAGGAACCAGAGGCCACGGCGCAATTCAACGAGCTCCTGACCGAGGCAGTGCAGTACGGCCAGCAACTCCGCATGGACTACCCTTCTGACGAAAACGGCGGCGACAAGAAGATGCTCGATGATATTTTCTCACTCGTAGCTTACTCCGATCCCAAGCGCTCTGTGCACGGACATTATCTAGACCCCGCGGGGCGAGTGGCTGTAGCCGAGGAACTGAACTCGGCCATTTTAGGTTTGTCCCATTCCCCATTCCCCTCTTTGCCTGCTTTGACTCGTACTAATCTGATCTGTATAGTCTCCCTCGGGAAATCCTCCTCTGCAGCCTTGGAACGCCTGTACCAGCAAACGGAGGTCCTAGTAAACGAGATTAGCGAAGACGGCGGCGCTGGGGCGTTCATCAATGTTCGGAATGACGTTTTGCTTTGAGCTTTGAGATTTGAGAATTAATCTGGCGCTGGGCTTCGTTCTTATGGGTCTGGATCCATTTGACCCGTTTTGACTTTTTTTTTTTCTTTTTTCTGCGTGATAGCCAGAATGTTTGATTCGGTCGAGACCGCTCATGCCCATGCGTATGCTTCTATTACAGCGGTCCCTGGTCTTAGGAGAGAATAATATACCGGTCCCTTTATCTGATCGAATGGGTAAATTTAGGTACCTGAAGGGATGGATCCCATGCTGGTATGGGTATGGAATGCGCCCATTCTGCCCTCACCGGATAATTCCCCGATCGTTGCCAACTCTGTAATCAAAGAGGCTGGGATTCATATTTTCTTCTCTAAATTCTGTATTTTACTCTAACCCTCCTCCATCTCCCAATATAATCCAAAATAACCCAATATAACCTCATCGGGCAATCTGTGTACCCTTACATAATCAGGCACCGATTGGAGCCCATCTTACTCATCCATCAGCTGCCCGACTCCAAGGGAGCTTCTCCGCTCTGCCGTGCGACCTGTACACTGCATCCGCGCCAGTCAGTTAGAGAGATCCCTGTCGCTGGACAGCTCGCGGATGATCAGTTCCCTCCATCGCTCCCTGAAGGGGCCACATTCCAGACATGGATTCCCATCCGCATACCGAGGACCGGGACCTGTTCCCCAGCATTCCCACTCACTCCAGCGCACCCGCGTCTCTGCGTTGCTGCTGTGGCCGCCAGGACTGTGCACTGCTCGAGCATAATAACGTTGCGCTTGAGGGGTTGGAAAAGGATCTTGCAACGGCTGCAAGACTAGGTCAGGTACGTGATGGAGATTTTTCTTTTTATATGCATCTAGGGTCACATCTTATGGGTTGGTGATCGGCGGGAACACGGTGTGTGGTGAGGCTGGCTGAGGACTGCACGTTTGATTCATCATTTTTTTGGTCATTCCGGAGGTATTGCGAAGGCTTTTTTGGATTTCCCTCCTACTTTCATTCTACACTCATCTTAGGGGCCACCCATGACTTGCTCTCGTTCTATGGACTCGCCCGTCCTCATCCGCTGTTTTGGCGTTCGTCATGGCCTTGACTTTCTTCGATTACGCTCCCACGGGAGACTGTATCGGGTCCTCGTCGCTGACCTTTTCTTTACAGGCTCTTCTCCATCGTCATGAGAGTTACATGGCCGAGGCGGAAGAGGACCGCCAGCGGCTCGTGGATAGTGTTGATGCGCTAGAGCGCGAGAACCGCCAGGTTCAGGCTGACAATGCGCGTATTGTCGAGGAGAACCGCTCGCTGCTGGAGCAGCTGGATGGTCTGAATAAGGCTGTTGCTGAGTCCGATGAGCATGTTCAGGCCTTGACGCTTACACTGGAGACTACTCAGGCTGAGCTGCGCCGGTTGACTGTTGCTGCGTCTAGGGCTGCGGACCTGGAGGCGCAGTTGGTTCTTATGGAGACGGACCAGTCGAGGTTGCAGGACACTTTGTCTTCGGTGCAGGAAGATGAGAGATCGGCCGTGCAAAGGTGGAGGAATGCTGAGACTACGTTGCGTGATCTTAGTGATCAGGTTGAACGCATTGAAGCCGAAGCTCGGGAAGAGCGTGAACGACATGAAGAACTTGTCGAACGCATGGAGCGCAAGCGACTTGTGGAGCGGGAGCTGGATAATGCGGCTGGGCGTCTGAAGGGTGCTGCAGCTGCATCAGAGCTCGGCCGGAATCCAGGTACAAATGTGGTCTCACGCTTCGTCAAGGATATCTTGCAGGATAATGCGAACTTGCAGGTGGGGATAATGGAACTGCGAGAAATGCTCGAGAGTTCGAATAACGAGGTGCAAAACCTGCGTGATCAAGTCCTGTCTCACCAGCCGCTGGCCGGCATTGGTGAAGATGAAAACGCCGAGCCTTCTGCATCTACTACCCTGAGCGAGGAACTGGAGTCGAAAGAGCGTCGTGTGTCACAAGAATTTCACATCCACCACCATTATCATACCCCGACATCATCGAAAAAGGACAAAGCCACTCTCAACCGTCGCGTGAAGAAGAAACGACCTAATCTCGGAAGCCCTGCGCCTTTACACTCTGTCATGGGAACCCACTCTCCTCGACGCTCTATCCATCGCTCTCAATCCTCCGGCTCATCTATGAACACTATCCTGTCTCAAACATCCGTCTCAATCCCACCGCCATCTTCTTCCCGCCGCTGGTCGCTGCAAACACCCCCAGCAGACTCATTGGCAAGCTCTCCGCAATCCGCGTTCCGCGCATCATCTATATTTGACCGCATGGATCATGGGTCCGAATTCTCCCAACCTACCAGCCCCGGCAGCACCGTCTTCTCTTCTCCTCTGATGGCAGCACGCAACTTCAAAGGCTTCGACATGCCAATTCGGCCCATGGGAGGGCTCGATACCGAACCACCCGACGATTCATCCGGTCTTTTCAATGAAGATCAGTACGACCGACCAGCCTACCTCGATCTGTGCGATGGGGTTACTGCACACCCTGCCATCCCCGAAGAATCCGAGTCATCGCCATCAGGAGAATACTCCCAGTCTATTGCAGGGGACCCTCAGTCCGAAAATGTCTTCGACATGCAAATGCAATACGCACCTCTCCGAAAGTCTGCATCGCACGATAGTCTATTGTCCGTAGCAGGAATGGACATCCACACACCCACAACCCGCCACGCACGCATGGGCGATTGGCACCCCGGCATGCGCATCCCCCAACGCATGGTCTCTCCCTGCATCGCGCTTGTCTCGACCCCACCCGTCCTCTCAGCACCCATCATCACAGCAGACCGCGCAAAGGCACCCGATCAATCGTCTCGCTCGCTGCTAGCTTCCATGGCCGCAGGAAACAGCCTGGCCTCTGAATCCGCTTCCATCGGGTCGACAGATAGCACCAGCTCCACCGCAACCCCAGTCCCACGCAAGTCAGCCACTTTGGGCCGTCGCGTGGGAGGTTGGGTCCTTGGGCGTTGGGGCATGGCGCCTGTCTCATCAGATGGGAGCCAACCTCCACCTATCGAGTCACCAGCTGGCTCGGAAGCTCCAACGCCAACTCCGAATGCAGCTTCAACGCCGATTACAGCTTCAACGAATAGAAACCCCCCACCCCTCCACTTCAGGTTCCCAGGCGTGAACCAGAAAGGCCCCATAATGGGTCTCCGTCCTCCACCTCAACCCCCTATACGCATTCACCCGCAGGATGTAGACGAGGACCTCTTACGAGAAAGTCTCGCCGAGTGAAATTACCTGCACATTGAGGAACTGGCTACTATCCCAGTTCTGTCTCTTGGATATTCTCCCGCCCTATACCCTGCATTTAATCCCGATCTACAATGGTTTTTTTGGCATATAGTTGCGCGCGTGGTGTTTCTGATCTATGATACCCGAGACATTCCTTTTTTTCCCTTGTCATGTTCTTGTTGATTATACAATCATACAATCCTAATATATACATTTCTATCTTCATTTGCTATCGTAACTCCATGGTCTGTTACAAGTTATGCAAAATGGTGGTATGGAGTATATGACCCGCACCCCCAAAGCCAAAGGAACCCAGTCATGCATAGTCATACAACAACTCAAAAGCAAACTCCGTCAATTCAACTGGGTATTCATCTACGCTCATAATCTCATAACAACCAACCATTCTTTCATCACGCTCTCGAAATCCTAAACGTCCGAATGGGAATATTCGTCGAATGAAAGAACCCCGACTGCTCCTCCGCAGGCGTAGACTCAAACGGCAACGCCTCAACGCTAAAAGCATTCTCCTCACAAGCATTCGAAAAAGTCCGGAACGTATCCTCATTCCGCAATGTCGCAGCGGTAATGAACTGACTAACCCCGTAGTTTGAGAAGAGGTCGCGCACCGTTGAGATGAGGAGGGGGACGAGGTCTGTGTCGTAGACCTGGGATTGTTAATACAAAATCATGTTTTAGGATATGGCGGCATTGGGGATCGTACCAAATCAGCACCGAGCGCAGCATCAAACTCCAACGGCCCGCCCCCCGTCATCGAAGACATCTCATCCGTCTGTTCCAATCTCGTCCCCCAATCCCAAACAGCCGGATAAAACGGTATATCCCCATCCGCCTGATTCAGTCGGGCACACGTGCGCATGTTCTCAATGAGAAACAGCTCACGGTCCGTCGCAACAACACCCCGAACACCAAGGTGCCGCGCACAGAATAGCGAAAGGAACCCCGTGCCCGCGCCGAGCTCAATAATCCTTTTCCCATGGACTAGTGCTTCACCGGCTGGTGAGGCCAGGAAAGAGCCTAGATGTAGCGCTGCTTCCCATGTTCTGTTACCTGTTGTTCCACCGGAGAGAATCAGGCCTTGGGATTCGAGTATTGTTACGTTGCGCTCCCGGGTCTGGGGTGATTGGAGGGGAGCTGTGTATTTTATGGTTGAGAGTTGTTGGGCTTGTTCCAGGGCGGAGGGTTTGGGTTGGACGACTAGGTTGCCCCAGGCGTCCATTAGACTGTCTAGGATTTCCTGGGGTATATGTTAGATGGGAGGTCAATTGGTGTGGAGATTGTGGATTGTAAAGTTAGCTGGGATTCAATGGGTTCCTTACATCTTCCTCCGGGTCTGTGATTGATTCTTCGATCCGCGCGAGTATCTGCTTTAGAACTCGTGTTCGGTACGGCGTTGGTGGGAGTGGGGTGAGTGTCTCGTCGAACATGTGCTCGTATAGGGCTTGCTGCACGGCTGGCTGGACGAGGACATTGCCTGGTGGTAGCGCCAGAGTTGGTGGATCGACCAGCTGGAAGTACTGCACAGCTAGTGTGCGAATCAAGTCAGCCATGGCGAGTCCACCGTACAAAGTGGAAAGACTGAAGATAATTCGAGTGTTCGATAAGAGAGCATTATCGATAAGAGATAAGGCGAGGTTGACACCTGTTAAACCGGGTGTCGATTCCGCCCTAATGTATGACATAAGCGTACTTAGGTCAGCATACCCTAACTGGACTAGCGCCACCGCATAGCCGAGCGCACCGCACGAAAATTGAAAGTCGACATCCACTCCTTCCCATTCCTGCATCACCACTCACCAGCACAATGGCCGACACTCCCGTTACTCTGCGGACTCGCAAGTTCATCCGCAACCCTCTGCTTGCCCGCAAGCAGATGGTCGTGTAAGCTCCCCCTTTCTTTTTACCCCGGTGGACGACAATTTGAGGAGGAATCGAAGGATTGGCACACAACAAATTCAACGCCCACACGACATCACACACGACATACACGAAACGAAACGAGAAATGGGGAATGAACAACTCGAAATTAATGATCGCGCGGCTGACATCTCTGATTTTCCAGGGACGTCCTCCACCCCAACCGCCCCAACGTCTCCAAGGATGAGCTCCGTGAGAAGTTGGCCGACCTGTACAAGTCCAACAAGGACCAGGTCTCCGTCTTCGGGTTCCGCACACAGTACGGTGGTGGCAAGAGCACCGGCTTCGCTCTGGTCTACGACTCCTCCGAGGCCCTGAAGAAGTTCGAGCCTCACTACCGCCTGGTCCGCATCGGTGCCGCCAACAAGATCGAGAAGGCTTCCCGCCAGCAGCGTGCGTTCCACTCCTCACTAAAGTGTCACTGTCAGACTCGATCGAATCTAACTCTTCCACAGGCAAGCAACGGAAGAACCGCTCCAAGAAGTTCCGCGGTACTGCCAAGACCAAGGGCCCCAAGAAGAGCAAGGACTAAACGTCTCACCCCGCACGATAATACATGGTCCGATGGATGGTATTGGCATGGCGAGGATGACGCTGGTCTGGTGGCCCGCCTGTTTCAGCCCTGGTTTCTTCTGGAATGGGTTGTGGTGTGTGTGGGAAGGGTGGCCTGCGCTTACTTAGAAGCAGAAAAAACAAAAATGTTCGGACTCGGCCATCTTTCCTGGAGGCTGTGTGAAACCCCCTTATGTTGTTAGGATCGAGTCTTTGGATCCGTGGAGCTCGATGATCCCCCCAAAAGGCGTCGTGTTGTTTCTTTCCTCGTGGTTTGGATCATCGGTTTCGAATCAGCGAGGGATATGAGAATCCGGGCTTCGGCTGTTGCCCCGGGATGAATTACATATTTTTTGTTTCTGTTCAGTTCTCTGTTCAGTCGTAGTGTAGCCCCCGTCTTACTTTCTGGAATATGGACATGGACATGATGCCTATCCACATGAAGCCTGGAGGGGAGCACAAAAGTCCCACGAAAATCCGGGGTCGGCTTAGGCTAGATCCATGATGTGTACTTTGTACCCTTTGTATAACTCATCCACCTCACTCGCTTACCAAGGGCTCCAAATCCCGACAGAATCTCCTAAGTCTGTCCTTAGAGAGAGAAAAGGGTAGATAGCAGGGTTAACTGTCATATTAAGGAAATTTGCATGTCTCAGACATTGAAGTACCGGCACCCTTATTCCTCCTTGGTATCACGATAAATCATGTTCTTGAAAGCATCAGGAACAGGCCCACCAACAACAGGAGTTTTATCAACAATAGCCCTGATCTCCGCCTCCTCTCGGTCCGTGAGACTAACATTGAGCGCACCCATATTGTCTTCAAGATACTCGATACGTTTGGTACCAGGGATAGGAAATATATCATCGCCCTGCTTCAGGAGCCAAGCGAGTGCCAGCTGAGACAAGCTGCAGCCTTTCTTATCGGCAATGACTTTGATTTCGCCAGCCAATTTGGCATTGTGCTCCCGCGCCCCATCCTGGAATTGAGGCATCCTCAGTCGTCGTATATCAGTGTTATCTCCGACGGCATTGCCTTCGCTGAAAGTGGAGGTGAGGATCCCTCTACCCAGAGGCGTCGCGCATACGATTGCAATCCCGAGCTCACGGCAGGTAGCCAGAGCATCGGTTCCCTCGGGACCCTCGATCCCACGTTCGAAGAGGGAGTACGCGGGTTGGTATGCGGCGACGACTCCAATCTTGACTGCGCGACGAAGCGCTTTAGAGGAGACCATCGACAAACCGATATGTTTGATCTTTCCCTCGCTAAGTGCAATAAGTCAGGGTTGTTCCTCTGGACGCCACCTTGGTTGGATTGACATACTTTTGCAGTTCCACAAGAGCGCACATGGTCTCTTCAATAGGTGTAACCTCGTCCACATTGTGCACGTAGTCTTATCGAAAAGAGTCTATTAGCAGACGCTATTACCTGAGCAGATCGGCCTACACAAAAGAGGATATAGAGATATAGATATATTCTGCCCCTGGCCAAGGCTCACATAGATCAATGTAGTCGGTTCCCATTTTCTTCAGCGTTGAGTGGCAAGCTTTCTTGGTGTACTCGGCGGAGCTGTTTATCTCCAGGGTCCCTCCGTGAGTGACATATCCGAATTTGGATGCGAGAAAGATCTGATCACGCTTTCCAGTCTTCTTAAACCATTGAGCCAACAGCTCCTCGTTGTCACCATACATACTTCAAATAACCGGTGAGCTGGGTGAAAAAAGAACCGCAACGACGAGGTAGTGAGAGAACTTACTCAGAAGTGTCCCAAAAGGTTGCTCCTAGTTCAACCGCACGATCAAGGAGGGCGAAACGCTGGTCATCCTCAGGCAAAGTTCCGTAGCTGGTAGAGGTCATGATCATCAGACCAAAGCCCATGGCTGGGACCAAAGGACCGTGCTTGCCCAAACGGCGAGGGTTAGTGAATCTGGAGGCCATTTGAGTTGTCAAACAGATTCGAGCCGAAGAATTCAGGTTGAAGAGTAGACACGAAGGGGATTTTATATCTAGTAGTCCCCGTCCTAACGTCCGTCTATCCCCTATCTCCGAGTATATTAAACTATCACTCGATGCTCCACGGGAATACAGAAGGCTTGAGAAGGATAACGTCGCTGATCTATAGACAATTTTCCGAACGGGCCAATAATATTTAGATCGATGCGTAGGCCCCGAAAAACTATTCGAAATCCCGAGCGGACGAATCACGGCGCAGCACGCCTGATGCGACCCCACAACGGCTCTCTGGTCAAGTCTGTCGCGACTACTATGTGTGCCCAATCAGCGGTGAAAACAGCCCTGTATTACTACCTCTGGCAATGTGTTTGGGAAGCACCTGATCAAATAAACATCAGAATGACAAGGAACAATGAAATTCCGGTGGTGACTCTAGCTCATCGCCAACCACTGCCACATGCACTCCCGCTAAAGTCCAGCATCCTGGACGACTCCCACGTCTTTTGCCTAACTTAGCCTTTCAAATTGGCGATGTATTCCAAGAATGGCTGTCGTACTTGCAAGTGAGTCTAAAAATGTACCTATTCGAACTATGGCCCGTTGGGGCTGCATAGCAAGACTGATATGGCGCTAGGATCCGTAAAGTCAAGTGCGATGAGGTGTACCCGGCTTGCCACCGATGCGCGTCGACAGGTCGCGCGTGCGGTTGGTACAGCATTTCGGGGGGAGGAACGCAACTTTCACGGCCTAGAGTCCTTCCGCCCTACGGGATCACCGTCCCACAATCAATAGATACATTGTGTCTTGCTGCGAGCGCGGAAGAGAAGCAATACCTTGATTGGTTCAAGATCCGAACAGTGCCCAAGCTTCCAGGCACTTTCCTGTCCGAGTTTTGGTCCCACCTGTTATTACAGGCTAGTCTAAGCGAGCCTGCAATCTTACATGCCAGTCTTGCGCTTAGCGCTGTGCACAAAACGGACACTTTGGATACAACAACCGACGAAAGAGCCACAATTGACCAGTTTGCCTTGCGTCATTACGTCAAGGCAATACATTATTTGAAAGCTCACTTGGCAAAGAAAGACAAGGTCTCTTTTCAGGTTATTCTCATCGCTTGTGTTGTTTTTATCTCGTTGGAATGCCTCCGTGGTCATCTGGAGTCCGCTCAAGCTCACATCGAGAACGGATTAAAAATAATCAAAAAGGCCAATTCAGTCTCCGAAGACCGTGACTGCTCAGTTATTACAATCCAGAAGCCCACGGTGGCAGATGATTGGATCGTAGAGGCGGTTTCCAGGCTGGATATTCAATACAGACTGTCCCAGCAATCATGCTCGAATACTCACCCATCCTTTCAAAGAGACGATGGCAGTTCTATTCCTCAAAAGTTTCGCTGTTTCAAGGCAGCATGGAAAACCTTAGACATCTTAACAGACGATGCGTTGCTGCTGAGCAGTACCGGCTGCCAGCTCAAAGAGGGGGACTCCTGCCCAAGCCATCAATCCCGCATTGAACAACGAAAGAAGTTACTGAGGGCACTTAGGAGATGGCTAAAGACATGGAAATGCTCCCACGAGAGCCTCATCCAAAATATGCCCAATATTATTGGAAGGAGGGGAGCTCAGATATTGACCATACATCACACTATGACGACAATTATGGCCGAGTTATGCCTGTGCTCCGAAGATGAGATGGCTTATGACTCCCAAATCTATCGTTTTGCTCACTTATTGGATGAAATTCAATTGGTATCCGATACTAGCCGAGCCGACCACAGTTTCCCATCATCAGAAATGGGTCCTGATGAAATTGTCCATTCGCGCAGCTCGGTCATGGACTTGGGCTGCATATCACCACTGTACTATCTCACTATGAAGTGTCGGGTTCACCGAATAAGACTTCGAGCTATCGCACTTCTTGGAAGCTGGACCCATCGAGAGGGTATTTGGGATTCAGCAATAGCGGCATTGGTTGCACGCAAGGTCATGGAGCTTGAGGAAAGAGGCTCTTTCGGTGACATGGCATCTATTTCCAATAAACTGTCTAGTTGTTGGGGATCGCAGGGCCTCACAGAGCCGATTTTACCCGAGTCTCTGAGGATAGGTGGGATCGAAATGGTGCTATCTGGAAACCCAACACAGAAAATGATTCTATTCGGGACGAGGCACGAGAGTAGGAATGTCAGGAACTGCCTAGCGGAATATGACATGGCCTCTCGGACATGGGTAGACATATAGTCGTGCGGTCAATCTCATCTAGTCCCCATATCTGTGCGATGTAGTATTTAACAAAAACAAAGAACCGATTGAACGATATGTCAATGTCATTTGATTATCACGAGACGGAAAGCATGAGAGATAAACTCCCCATTAACGAGATATTAAATAACAATACATATATCCTACCCTACCTCAACCAAATCAAAACAGCCTTCCATTGAAACAAAAGTAGCCACTCAAAAGCCCCCGTCCTTCGACTCTCACTTGTCCGACACATCTTTTTTTTCATTTTCTCATTCACGTGCTAGTACGGCAGAACCTGAACCTTGGGAACTTTGAAAACAGAGTTGATATCAAAATAACCGCAAATTAAAAAATAACCGGCCGGTGGACAAACTTCCTCGGAACCTCGGGATTGGGATATGGCAGATAATGAAAGAGATCAAAGATAAATATTATAGAAACCGCCGTACACATGCGGAGGTAAGGGTGTGGGTATGAATTTGGGTATTAGGTGAATTGGAATTGGAAATGGGATGAAAAGAAATCCCCGCCTCCAATAGAAACAAATAGAGTAATTGATGTGGGACAAGCTTGATATTGGGGATGAGGTTTGATGTGGTTTGACAGGTTAAAGGCACGGTAAAGCAAAGGGGAGATTGAAAAGGGGAATCAAAAGGAGTAAACAGGGACCCTCGCATCAAGCACATGCACAAATTACAGGAACAAAAGTAAAAAGGTAAAAAGACACTAAATAAGCCGCATGAAGCGAAACATCCAAGACGAGTTGTTTCTGACGGGTCTGTTGTCCTCGGCCGGTCCGGTTTCCCCCCGACAGAGCAGCAGGGGTCTACATGTCGTATCCCAGAGGGATGTGAGGTTTTTCTATGGGATAAAATCGGTATCCACGTGAAGACTGACTAGTAAGCGCCCTGGTTACCCAACGGCGAGACTGGGGGCCGGTGGACATTCTCGACCACGGACCGGTGGTATTCTGGCAGTGTGTCTGGGAGGAGATTGAAGGAGAAAGCTCCGGGTGGGTCTGAGTGCCTCACGCGCTGATATGAGAATCCGTTCATTAAGCGGTTGTCGCTGTCGCGGCTCTTCTTTTCGCTGCTGTATCCGTAGATTTCGGGTGTGCAGTCGTTGATCATCGCGAGACGCTGACCGGCGCTTTGTTCGCGGGAGAAACTGCGGCGAAAATTCTCGTTGGGTATACATTTGTAGTCGTGGTCGAGTGTCTCCAGACCTGCGAATGACGTGGCGGCACTGTTTGCGGATGACGGCCCTGTAGCTGTGGAGGATAGTGGTCGCGTTGTTTCATTATTGGTAGTGGGCATAGGGACGTATGGGAAGAGGAGCTCTGGGGCAGTGCTGGTATGGCTACACTTGGGGGCGTTGCGTGGGACAGTGTGTATCCGTTGATCGGGCGTGGTGTCGCATCGCTGGTTCCAGAAGTTGTCCTTAAACTCGGACATTTGGGCAAGGTTTGATTCTGGTGATAGCACGTTCAGACTTGCTGCATTGCTGGGCAACTGCTGGCTGTGGCAGGTTGGAGTTGGGAGTGTCCGATCTGTCCCTGGGCCATCTGCCGAAGAAACCGCAGTCATGGCAGTGGCGGATTGGGAAATTTCGTTTGGTGAGATTCCTTGGCTGGGAAGCATGTAGGAGGAGTAGGGAGATTGCGTTAGAGAGTTGTTGGTCTCCAGATCAGGGTAGATGACTCCACTGGTCTGTCTGTTGACATTGAACATAGAATCCCAGATCTTAGGGCTCCATGGTGACGCCCCATAGTCAAGAGTAGACCCAGATGGTGCACTGGGGAGCATGTATGCTGGAGACTGGCTATAGTTGACCGACTGTTCGTTCTCGTATGGGATCGAATCCACGCCTACGGGCCTTGGAAAGACGTGAGAATCGGCGCCCAGGTCAAACTCGTGGGTCCGCGGGAAACCAGTCATGCGGGCTGGAGACGAGCCCATGGAGAGCATGTTGGGCTTTCTGGAAGTCTGAGATGTATACATTCCCCCAAGATGAGATGGTGCTATCGCTGCTCCTGGGGGAGGATAAGGGAACTGGCTGAAGGTACCCAGACTCTCTGACTGGACCTTTTGAAGCAAGTCAGTTTGCATCACAGCCTGGTCCGGAGATATACTTACTCGTAGGAACTGGCAGTCCGTGTTGCCGGCACTACGGCAGTTGGAACAGCCCTGGCCGTCACCAGTGTCGCCACTGCACTTGATCTTTCTCTTTCGACACCGGCGGCACTGTAGATGTGTCAGAACGGGCTTTCCAGGTTATAAAGAATGGAGTGTACATACCGCGACGGGCACTCGACGTCGCTGGGGGTTGCGCAACTTGCTATCCACATCGGCTGCAGGGCTGATACAACCGGAAGATCGGTCATTCAGTTCGTGCTGGGCCATGCTGCGCATAGACCGGGCCATGAAGAGGGAAGTGTCATGTCGGGGCTCAAACCCGGACTGTTTTTCAGAGTAGAAGGAGTCCATTGCTGCCATGAGGTCAGCACGCTTACACAGGGCACAACTCAACAGCCCAACTCACTCGTCGCCCAGGAGGCTCAAGGTAGAACAGATGTTCCTAGAAGTCAATGACGGTCATGTCTGGGAAAGGGAAACGCAAATGAAGTAGAAGAGAAGGAATGTCTCTCTGGAAGTAGGGTTCGATTTATGGCCATGTTTTGGTAACAATCGGTGTGATTGCCTTCATCCCCCCCTCTGGTATTTTATTTCGATTTTGATTTTCTAGCTAGGCGTTTTCCCTTCTCTACAATCCTGGGGACAAGGCTCCTACACCGTAAAACCCCGGGGAAAAAAGTACGGCCCTTCAAATGGGGCCACCGTTTCGAACATTTCCCTTCTGCTTGGTGTACCCAGGGGAAATTATATGCACGGAACCGTGGTGCATCCTAACCAGATTCCTCCCTGACGAAAGGCAGCACGGCTCCGGCGTTTTAGAGGCGTTGTTTCACAAAGTAACGTCACACGGGACATTACCTGATGGCCATGACGAGAACAAGTCCAGACGGGGAGATGAGAGCCCTCTCCGCTAGAAATGTTTCAGCCAATCTTCACCTATTTTTTCCCAGGTTTTTAGGGCTTTGTTAGGTTCTGTCGGACTCTGCTAGACCCAGATCTAGACCCAGTGTAGGGGAACGGAAGACCGCCGCATACGTTTGCAGCAAGTTCCTGGTGTTGATCCGGCACTGCAATCCCGTGGATCGATCAAGATGTGAAAATGTTTGCTCTTCTCATGGGGCCGGTCGAAACGCTGATTGGCGTGGCTGCTGCAACTCCATCGTGCCTTTTCCAGGTGCATCAAACAGGCGTCTGCTCGGAAACGTTGAGGCATTCCAAAGGTCTCGGCCTGTGTCTGTACTGTCTGTACTCTTTGTATTCGCTCGTACCTTGACGAGGTCTGTGACAAGTGAGAAGTGACAACGGTAACAAACGCCGACCTCTCAGGCTGTCTCGGGCAGCCATGTCTCAACCCAGGGCCCAACTCCCAAACCCCCAAAAGCTAGGCAGCAAAAATAAAAAAATGAAAAATGACAGGTTGACACCTGTCATTTTGATCAGCAAGCGCCTCCTGGGATCTTGACCCCGCAAAGCGCGCTTTGGAGCGCGCTTTGGAAAATCAGTGCCGGCAGTGTCTTGGTAGCGCTGCGCCCTGATCGACGATATGGATGAAGTCCGTTTGGGCGCTTTTTTAGCGCGCTGCAGCTAGATAGAAAGGGAAGGGAAAGAAGCAAACCCGGCGAACCATCAATCGAGGGCAGTTCGGAGTAGATCTGAAAAGGGGAGGGAAGAGGCCGAGTATGCATGACATTCGGAATGGGGAATAGGTTTGTGGGTGGGAAATGTTGAGAGAGATAGAATAGCTACACAGGTCTCCGGTCTTGTTCGACTTGAGAGTGAACTCTTGGCTTGTCTCCGGGAAAGATACGGGCCTCCAATACACATTCAGAGGCCATGCGCGACATTCAGAGAGTTGACTCCGTGAATCTGAAGCAATCGCGAGACGAGATCTCAATGAAGACCGGGTTCGCCATCCCTGGTCAAAAGAGACTGGGGAAAGCCTTCATCGGCGCTCCACGTGTATGGGAAGAGAGCAATCTCTGGTGAAATGCCGCTGCAGGAGGCCGCCCGTTGCCTCCCCGTTTTTGTGCAACGAGGACGAGTCATTTGTAGTGACGGTGAGACCTCGTGCCAGGAAGGAAAAAGGGGAGGTCCAAGTCTCGAGAATCATCATCTCCAGGACTGCAGCAGAACAAACAGAGATCTTTGATCCATAAGGACACTCGGAAGATATGCCGCCAGATTGACAAGTCCAGTTACACAGGCCCCGGGGACGATCATCCGAAAAAGCTCCTGAAGGCTGAAGTTGTGTGTGACAAGCCGGGCTGATCAACATATAGGCATCGGACATCAATAGTCATGCGGTGGATACCTATCACTGGAACTTCGATGGCACTTTCAATTTCCTAGCTTCGCTACGGTTGAATATTTTGATTACCCAGGGTCTTCCTCTCACTCTCACCCCCGCCCCCTTCTCACTCCCCTTTGTTGAGCAAATCAGGGGCAATTGATCAGATGAAAGGATGGACCTGGTAATTGGCTGTAAAAATTCTGATAATATTTCTACCTGTTTTCAAAGGGATATTTATGCCCTTTCTTTGGGAGCCCCTATCTATGAAAAACGCGTACAAAAGGGGCTTCTTTCAACGCTACTTAATGATCTATGAAGCAGATAGATAGAAGATGCTTGGTAAACAGTTCAGCTGCTGTTGAGGTCTTTATTCTGACCATTCAGCAGCTCTTCGGGCAGAGGAAAGACGGACGGGATTCAGAGATATTCCGACCGGGATTGGTGCCTTATGATAAAGCCATCCAATTCTCAAAAGGCATCCAATTCTCAACACCCTTCTCTTCTCTTTCCTACTTTTCCAGCCTCGGGTGACACTAGCCAGCCTCGTATTCGGAATTCTCTTTACTACCAAGCTTTCACTGGCCAGAGTGATGCCCGAACCACTAGCAGAGATGCCAGAAGTATCGAACGCAAGCGCTCAAGAGTTCACGAGAACGCAAGTAAGCTGCCATTCCGGGAAAAATCACGGCTAACGGCTTTGTCATCTAGCCTCCTCCCGCTCTACCATAGTCCTCTAGTCAAGATCCGCATCAAGCCTGGCGAACATAAATAGGCCGAATTTTCTAGCTGATGACCATTCCGGAGTCTGAATTGCGCGTGGATATCGCCCATTGTTCTCCCCCCTGCCAGCCATTCTCGCCAGCGCATACTGTGAGCAATCAGACCAACGATAAGCGGAACTCAGCTTGTATCTTCACTGGCAGCGACCTAGTCATCTTGAACTGTTATCGACTTCCTCAGAATCAAGGAAAATGACAAACTCAAATTGTGTCTTCACTGGCAGTGACCTGATCAAGCGGGTCCGTCCGCGCGTTTTAATAATGGAAGAGACCAACGGGTTGCACGAAAGATTCAAACCTGAATTCAACTGGATTATCTCGAATTTCATATAGGATAGATATCGCCGGCGTTGTAATCACCGTCGAAAAGGTCTAATATAGGGTCACCAATTTCGGCGTCGTTTAGGAGGAGCAACCCTATATGACCACTGTTGTATAGGCAGCAGTAGTTTGCTAACTTGCTTGAGGTGGTTGCTAGGTAAACACCTTTTCCGAATATATACCCGTTGATTGGGGCTTCTGGTGATGCAATTCGAAGACCCTGGCTTAGTATGCCACCGAATTCGGTGCTGCGTGAGCTATGCCAAAGAAGTCTGCGGTCGTTATTCTCGACCTTCGTATAAGAAGAGGTATTGAACCGATTATTCTCGCCCTGACGCTCGATTCGGAAAATGTCGATCACCTAGTATTGGAGGTTGTGGGTTGCACCACGTGAGTTTAAAAGATAATTGGATAACTTGGTAAATTCGCTCGACTTATGATCAAGTCGAGTCATTTCTTCCATGCCCGAGCTCTAGAACTGACGATCTTGGACTTGTCGGAGAAGACCGCGAAGTCAACACTGGGATTGTGCGGGAGTTATGCGAGAGCAGGGGCATCGAGCGCCGTTGTCCGGTCATCCCCACACACGTCTTCTCTATGTCACCCCAGAACTCAGCCAGACGGACAATTTTCGCCGCAATCTACAGATGGTTCAACCGTCTTAACACGCCCTCTTGTCTATCGTTTCGAGTGGCCTTGTGTTATAGTCGATGGAGATCCCTCCCTCTTACTCTAATACTCCCTCTTTCTCTTACACTACCGTATAGACTAAGAGCGCTCGCGCACTCTTAAGCTTAGGAAAGGACCCCCAGTCTGCAAAAATTGCAAGAACGAGGGTACATATAGATTGCATACTGAATGGAGAAGGCTAGGGAATAATAAGATTTAACAGGACATAGGGTCAAAGAATACAAGGAGAAGCGAAAGATCGACCTAAATCATATCCATGACAAGCTTCCGGAAGAGGCGTAGGTCATAATAAAGAAAGCCAGTGACGATAAGGACATTTAGGGATTTCGCGACGTAGAATAGCCTAAATCCTACCTTAGCTGATAAGGGGAGAACCTACTTCCCGAGGTTATTTGGGCGTTGAATAACATCGAATATATCCTTTGACTCTAGAGTTTTAATCTCTAAAGCAGCTGCTCTCAGGAATCCTTCGCCTAATAGGTGGTTAAGCATCTCCTTCTAGTTCCGCGGCTTAGGTAGCAGATCGTTAAGATATACTCTAGATCGTGGTGCATCGGTCAATCTAGCAGCAAATGCTGCAAAAGTGATGCTAGATTTTTATCGTCCGGATCGTGGTTTATAAGGAAGGTAAACCATTCGTTATTATTTGTTGTCTTTCGCTTTCTAGCTCCAGAAACGATATTTCGTTCCGAATATCTCTATCGATATCCCGAGGTACCAACATAAGGGTATCTCCACCCTTATCCTGTTTTGCATCGTCCGTATCGCAAATAACCGACTATTCCGGTGCGGCGGTCAAAGGAGGAGAGAGGACGTCGTCGGGCACAGAAACGGTTTCCCAACACCCTTCGTTCCTGTAAGCGCATCTCTAATTTTGAGACGGTTGTTTCGACTCTCAAACATCACAAATTTGGTACGATCGTTGCACATATAGACGTTATAACCAGAGTCAATAGTCCAGTGATTTTTGAGAGAGTCGTGGCTGGCCTGCTGAATCCGAGATTTTCTGAGATGCTTCGAGCTACACCGCAAATGCTATATCGGAGGTGATTTCGGTCATATACGTATCCTTAGATGCGGCATCCTCGTTTGATTTTGCATTCTCTTTGACTCTCTGTCGCTTGGGTGCTCCGGAAGCGTTGTGAGAGCTGCTTTTCTGCTCTAACCAGGCCTTGTACAGTGCCGACCGTTATTGCCTTCCATATCCGGAAACATAAGACTAGAAGGCTCCGTGCAAAGCAAGCAAACTAGGCGTAGTCACAACTCGTTCACCAATAGTACCACGTACCTCATGCAGTTCGACACACTCGTATGCCCAATCGCGGACGAAGTTGCCCCGTTCCCTGATGCGGGCGCGCGCTTAGGTGATGCGGTCGCGAAACTCCTTGTTACCCCTCAACCCTCACCTTGTCTGATCCTGTTGAACGGTTGAGTTTCCAGCCTACCGACACCTTCGAGTCTAAGTGACATATTTATATTTCTGCCCATTCACCGTGACCTTCGCGGCATCAATACCAGCCATTTTTCCTCACAAACCCATACGGAGAATGGAACCGGTCCCCGTGAGAAGGATGGCGTCTACAATATCACTTGGGTGCTCGAATTCGGGGTTCCAGATCGGTCTGAACCATGGCTCGGTCGTCAATAACTTCCACCCGTCCATTGAAGGACCCAAGGAAAAGGACCATAGAACATGTCTTGAAAATCTGTTCGTCACCGACCCGGAAGAGGATCTCAATATGTGGAAGCGGAGGAAAGGACCTCGTACCTCAGGGACCTTCAGCTGGTTCTTGGAATCAGTAGAGGTCATATCTTGGTTTCGGCAGGCAAAGGCCGCAACCAATATAGAACAAAACGTCATGTGGCTACACGGCAATCCGGGAATCGGCAAATCCACAATGGCCATGATGCTTGCTGAAGAATTACCCAAGAAGGGTTATTTTTCTAGAACTGATAGTATTCTCTCGTTTTTTTTCTGTGATTCCAGCTCTGAGAATCACAGAACGGCAACTTCTGTGTTACGAGGTCTCCTGTACCAAATCATTAAGAAACATCCATCGTTCATGGAACAAATAATGCCAAGATATGAAGCTCAGGGAAAGCGTCTTTTCACGTCATTTGACGCACTTTGGGCGGTACTAATGGACTTCGGCCGAGCGTTGAACGGTACCGAGATATACTGCATTATCGACGCTCTCGATGAATGTGATACTGAATCGCAAGATACACTACTTGAACAAATTCATCAATCATTCAAACAATCGAATGAGACCAGTCTGGTCGCATGCAAAATTCATTTTTTAATCATCAGTCGTCCGTACCCCGAGATCCAGTTTTTTCTATCCACCTTTCGATCTGTTGATCTCGGCTCGTGCAAGGAGATAGCCAATGACTTAAGAGCCATGATTCAAGATAAAGTACAGGACCTTGCAAAGCGGAAGAAATATCCTGAGTCTGTTATGCAGAAGGTGCCACGAATATTGGAAGAGAAGGCGGACGGAACATTTCTATGGGTTGGAATTGCCTGTCGCGACTTGCATGGGATACCTTCAAGCAGGGCAGTTGAGACGCTACTGGCTAAGCCTCGTGGATTGTATCCTTTATATCAAAATCTGCTCAGTGCAGCGGTCGAGGCCAACAACTCACATGATGATTCACAACTGAAGATGTTGTTGATAATAGTCACATTTTCGTTGCGACCACTGAAGATAGCGGAAATAGCCGAAGCATGTCGATTATACTTGGATGAGGATATCAGGACTCGCCTCCAGTTCACCAAAGAGGTCATTGAGTCGTGCCACTTCTTGATTGTCATCGATAAAAGCTACGTGCGACTGCTGCATAGGTCTGTCCAAGATTTTCTCATGACTGAGATGGATAATTTCACAGCTGTGAAATCCAATCTTGTTCTGTCATATCGCTGCATTGAGCTGATTTCCCAATATTGTCGGCCCGGTATGGACAAGTCAGTTATGGAGCCGACTTACGGATTTCTGGGTTATTCTGTACTGTATTGGCCGAAGCATGCAAGCTTGGCCGAAACAGAATTTACTGCCCTTGAAGAACATGGAAATTTCTTCCAAAACAAGTTCGAGACATGGAAATGCTGGCTGGAAAACTATAACCATTTGAAAAGAGGATCATGGGGTGCTTTAGGAACAGGAATATCTGTCAGTCATGTCGCAGCTCGATGGGGAATTATACCCCTCCTCTTGACCGCCCCTCAAGGTGCATGGGAAGACAACGATGACCACGGACAGTCGCCACTGCTCATTGCGACTGAAAACACTCAAATTGAAGCCATGCGTGTCTTAGTTCATTCTCAAGTGCGGTTGGATTCTTTAAACAACAAGCATCAAAACGTACTTCACATTGCAAGCATGAATGGTAGCTTTACTGATTATGATATGGTAAAGTCTCTACTCAACAAAGGGGTCTCCCCATATATCTGTGATGAAGGCAACATGACGCCTTTCCTCTACGCAATTGGGGACCGACGTACAGAACTTGCTCAAACCTTTCTCAACTATGGCTTGAACCTGGAATCTAGGGTTCAAAGGCGGTCGTGGCCCGGACGAATCACAGTGAGCAGCTTACCATATGGAATGGTTAAGGGCCAGGATGAGAACATGGAATCCGGGCTAACAGCACTCCATTTCGCGGCCCTCAATGCATGTACAGAGATGGCTGTCCTCTTGCTTCAGCGTGGGGCCGATCCTAACGCTTGTTCTGATTTTGGAGACACTCCTCTACATCTTGGGATTAGGCACGGGCTTCTTGGCCGCAGGAATGATGATGAATGGGAGGTTGGTCGGTATGCCGTCGAGTCATTGACTGACTTCATTGAGGATCATGAGGGTTCGGAAGCTTCTGATATCTATCGAAACATCAGCAATACTAGGATACGCATTGTTGAGATACTCCTCGAAAGCGAATCTATCAATGTCAACACGGCTAACAATCATGGGGACTATCCTCAACATTTGATCGACTTCCATCGACCTCAGGCGTTGTCTATCTTGGAAAAGCTTATGGAAAATGGAGCCGATGCATTACAACCAAACGGAGATCGTCAGACGTGTCTTCACCTCGCTAGCAAAGCAGGAAATCTGGCCGTGGTTTGCAAACTCGTGGAAGAAGGTCATGATATTATGTTGGAGGACTCCCACGGTCGCAGCCCATTTTACTATGCAGTCTCCAGGGGTTGCCTGGATATCCTATCTTTGATGTCAAAAATCTGCGATCGTGTGCTTCCAGAGGTCTGGAGCTCCCTTGACCACTTTGGCAGAACTCCGTTACATCATCATGTTGCATCTGTTTTTTGCTCAGCTGAAGTCATCAATTTCCTAATTCAAATTGGCTGCGATGTTAGTCAGTCAGACAGGGCCGGAAACTCACCCTTGGGCCTCTATGTGAGCTCATTTCACCTATCAATTCGGAGCAAGATATTCTTTTTGCTTGTTCAGAAAGGTGCCGATCCGCACTGGATGAATGAAAACGGACAAACGTTAGCACATCTTATCATGCATCGCCAGGGAGCAGATACCACGATCCTTGAGTATTTGTTTACCGTGGGTATAGATCCAGCTACCAGAGATCTTGATGGGAGAACATTAATGCATCACGGAGCTCTTCATGGTGCTTTTACTGAGGATCTGATGAATTTTCTTAATTGCCAAGGTGTCCTAGACCATTATCTCACGGCCACCGACTTCACCTGCAAGACTCCTCTCGACTATGCGAAGGAGATGGTTCATCGAGAGACACACGGAGATGTGTATGATGACCCAAGATGGAAAGAATCGTTGAAGAACCTGAATGCAACATTGCCATCGTGGTATGAATTCGTTTCGGCTATAATCTGTGCTAAAAAGCTAATATAAAGCAGTACTAGTGAAGGTGCGAAGTGACCAACGTTCTGTGTATTTAACATGATTTCTCGCTTGTCTCGCCGTCGTATGTGTTGAAGTAGATGGCTTTAGCTCATTTTTGCTTCCCTTAAATGCGGGGCTCATAGCAAATGGGCCCCACTTCTCATTCTCTTGCATGTTCGTTTCCCGCGATGACGACGAGGTTCGTTGGGTTCTCGGGAATTCAATCTAGTAGAATAGTGCACCCGCAATGATGACAACTTGCGGCCGGGAAGTGAGCTGTGACCTCCTTCCAAGACAGCTTCTTCTCACCCTTCAGCGTCACTCGCAGGCTATCTTCGGGGGTAGAATATCGTTGGCGCTTCCGAATTTTGCTTTTTTTAGTTATGGATAGCTACGAGGCCTTGCTAAAAACTTTGGAACGAGGCGAAGATCGGTTCTGTATATAAGCACAAGGTGGCGAGCGGGTGTCCACGGGTATGAACGTGAAATAAAATGTGGGGTCTGACCCCTGGCCCTCGTTAGTGAGAATAGCTCGCCTAACAATATCACGGCTCTGAGGTAGCCCAGGTGAGTGAATGGAGTGGCATGACAGTCGCGCTTGAGCGTACACTTTCCCTGTCTGTAGCTTGGCAGCCCCCAGGGATTGGATCATAATAGGGGCCAGTTCAGCTCAAGCGCCGCAGGAGCACAGATAAATAATCATCTTACGCTGCTAAGAATCGGCGTTTCTGGCCACTTTGTAAGGAGGTTGGGGAATGCAGTTGCTAGTTTGGGAGGGGTATGAACGAACGATGGCATGGAGAGAGGGGTGGTTATTTTTGGACACGTAGCAGGACAGTACATGACTATACAGTTCTATACTTTCAGACTTGTTACCGTCTAAATCTGGAACAAAATTTTACATACGAACCTTTCTATATAAGGCTTAGCGTATCATGTGATTAGGTTTTGAAAGAACATCTCCGTGTTTCTGGATATGGAAGGCAATAACGGTCGGCACTGTACGCTTGACCGGGTTTAAGCGCCTTTTCTGCGCGCTCGATGCGTTGCGCATTCGGCTTGTAATGAAATGAATGCTCTATAGTTTCAAGTGCTTTCTAGAGACCTCCGGCTTGATACAGAAAAATGGCATTAAGAAGCAGTGTTTTATATATAGTAACAATCACTCAACAAAGCAGGTAGGGGGAGAGGACCGAGCTCTGTCGCTAGAGTCCTGGCCAGCCAGCATTCAAAGAGCCACTGTAGCGGGAGAAATGAGTATGTCTGCACCGGTACTTTCAACTGCGGTAGGACATAGTCGTTGAAAGTGACGAAAGGCGCCTGGAGGCCGGGTCTTCCACATTTGGAACGATAGCTTGTGGATCTGCCTGATTGGCCCGAGCTCCGCGGATCTCTCGACGTGCGACCTGAACGGCTCTCTACTCGTGAAGCTGTTGAGCTGGCGCGAGTTAAATGCCAAGATGAGTGCGCTACTGGAAACCTCTCTGGGTGACATCGTCATCGACCTGCTGGTCGATGATTCCCCGCGCGCCTGTGAAAAGTATGTCGTCGTCCTTCACCCCGGTCCTCCATCCTCCCACTAACCCGTTCCTGTCCTCTCCAGCTTCCTGAAGCTGTGCAAACTCAAGTACTACAATTTCGCCCCCGTGCATAGCGTCCAGAAAAATTTCTCCTTCCAGACCGGTGATCCCCTGGGCCCCGACGCCCCCGAGAGCGATGGCGGCTCCTCCGTCTGGGGAGTCCTGGGCGGCCCTGCGAAAAGAACATTCCCCATCGAGATCCCCCCGAAACTCAAGCACACCGATCGCGGCACTGTGAGCATGGCGACAGTACCCGCGACCAACGATCCGGATCAGCGCCTCGCCGGTAGCCAGTTCTTGATCACGCTCGGGGATAATTTAGACTATCTGGACGGGAAAGCGGCTATCTTTGGCAAGGTGGTTGAGGGCTTTGATGTCCTGGAGAAGATCAATGAGTCCTTCATCGATGATCGTGGTCGGCCCTTGAAGGACATTCGCATCCGTCATACAGTTGTGCTGGACGATCCCTTCGATGACCCTCCTGGGCTGGTGGAACCGCCTGAGAGTCCCGTGCCGTCGAAGGCGCAATTGGATACGGTGCGGATCGCAGATGATGAGGATCTAGATGACGATATGGATGAAGAGGCTATGGAGAAATTGCGCCGGGAGCGCGAAGCTCGTGCCCAGGCTTTGACTCTGGAGATGGTGGGTGACCTTCCGTTCGCCGATGTCAAGCCTCCGGAGAATGTCCTTTTTGTCTGCAAACTGAACCCGGTCACGCAAGGTATGCTTGAAAGACAGCTTCTCGACATCCTTGGGAGTATGCTAATTCGATGATAGACGAGGACCTCAATCTGATCTTCAGTCGCTTCGGCACCATCCTGTCCTGCGAGGTCATTCGAGACAAGCGTACGGGTGACAGCCTGCAGTATGCGTTTATCGAGTTCGACAACCAGAAGGACTGCGAACAAGCCTACTTCAAGATGCAGGGCGTGCTGATTGACGACCACCGCATCCACGTTGATTTCTCCCAGAGCGTACGTTCTCCCCTTCTTTTTCTAGAAGCTATGCTAACAACAGACCAGGTCTCCAAGTTGTCCGAGAGCTGGCGCAATGCCACCGTCACCAAGCGCAAACAGCGAGGCGGCTTCGGAGGTGTCGCAGACCTCGAGCAGAAACGCCAGTACCGAGGGTCCGAATACGATCGAGTAGACGAGGACGACGATTCCTACGGGATGGTCTTCGACAAGCGCAAACAGAAAGACCAAAAAGACCGGCCATCAGGTCCCCCTCCTCGTCAGCGCAGTCCTCAACGAGACTCATATCGTGATCGACGAGGTAGTCGCAGTCCCCGCGGACGAGATTCTCGAGACAGATACCGTCGGCGATCGTACAGTCGAAGTCCACGAAGAGACTCACGGCGTGACCGGGACCGAGGACACCGTGACCGACATGATGATCGCCGACGATGAATGTTTCCAAATGATTAAAAAGTGTATCATCAAATTACTTGGCTAAATTCGGCAGCATGTACCACAGTCCTGCGTAAAACCCCTGGTTGGCAAAATCCGGATCGGGCCCCGCTGAGGGGCGCGCGGCAAATGGTAGCGAATAAATCAGTGGACAGGTCTCACTTACGACTGCTACTAGTGCTGGTCTCAGTATTATGATTTGTGTTGAACTAAAAATAATACGCGGCAGTGCGCGACACTTTTAGTTTAGTCTGCTGGTTGCTAGTACATTTTTCGTTGACTTTACGGTGTAGAGAAAGCTGAAAGCTTCACCCCGCGCTTTATTTACCCTCCCCCCTTCCCTCCCCTTTCTTTCCTCCTTTCTTCCTTTCTTCATCTCCCCACACCTTCAATTCAAAATGGCCGAGGCAATTAAAGAAACCGTCTCCAACCTCATCGGCAGGTTCTCGGGCTCCGCCGAGGAAGCTCCCCGCGAGCCCTCGGCCGAGGAGTTCCAGCAGCTTCAGAAAAAATATGACGATGCCGGCCAGGGCCACGTCTTCGCCTTCGTCAATGAGATCCCTACCGCCGAGAAAACCCAGTTATTCCACCAGCTCGCCAAATTCGACTCCACTCGCATCAACGAGCTGGCAGAGACCGCCCTCAACCCGCCCAAGACCGAACAAGCCGCCGCCGCGACCCTCGAGCCTTTGCCCGACTCGGCGACCGCTTCCATTCTCGACTCCGACCCCGCCGATATCAAGCGATGGTACGATGCCGGCCTCAAGCAGGTCGCAGAGAATAAGGTGGCGGTTGTCTTGATGGCCGGTGGCCAGGGTACCCGTCTGGGTAGCTCTGCCCCCAAGGGCTGCTTTGATATCGGTCTGTTGAGCCAGAAGTCTCTCTTCCAGCTCCAGGCTGAGCGTATCCTTAAGCTCCAAGAGCTGGCTCTTAAGGCTCACGGTGGCCAGTCCGCTACCATTCCCTGGTACGTCATGACCAGTGGACCTACCCGCAAGCCGACGGAGGAATACTTCGCGGAGAAGAATTATTTCGGTCTGGATAAGAGCAATGTCTTCGTTTTCGAGCAGGGTGTGCTCCCCTGTATCTCAAACGACGGCAAGATTATGCTGGAGAGCAAGGGCAAGGTGCGTGCAACATGTTCTGTTTCCCTTGGAACTCAAGCTAATACAATCACAGGTGGCCGTCGCTCCTGATGGAAACGGAGGTATCTACCAGGCCCTCATCACCTGCGGTGCTCGTGAGGACATGCGCCGCCGCGGTATCCAGCACATCCACCTGTACGGTGTTGACAACTGCCTGGTGAAGGTGGCCGACCCCGTGTTCATTGGATTCTCAGCCGAGAAAGACGTCGACATTGCCACCAAGGTGGTCCGCAAGCGCAATGCCACCGAGTCCGTCGGCCTGATCGTCCAGAAGAACGGCAAGCCCGATGTCGTCGAGTACTCCGAGATCGACAAGGAAACCGCCGAGGCCAAGGACCCCAAGCAGCCCGACGTGCTGAAGTTCCGCGCCGCCAACATCGTCAACCACTACTACTCCTTCCGCTTCTTCGAGTCCATTGAAAACTTCGCCCACAAGCTGCCCCACCACGTCGCTCGCAAGAAGATTGGCTGTGTCAACCCCGAGAACGGAGAGGCTGTCAAGCCCGAGAAGCCCAACGGTATCAAGCTCGAGCAGTTCGTGTTTGATGTCTTCCCCATAACCCCTCTGGATAAGTTTGCCAGCATTGAAGTCCGTCGCGAGGAGGAGTTCTCCCCGCTAAAGAACGCCCGCGGCACGGGCGAGGACGACCCCGACACCAGCCGCGACGACATTATGAAGCTGGGCCAGCGGTGGATCGAGGCTGCCGGCGGCATTGTCATTACCGAGGCCGATGCATTTGGCGTGGAGGTGTCTCCTTTCATCAGCTACGTATGTGATAGCCCTCCTATTCATTTTCACGATCAACAACTAACACACATATAGGGAGGAGAGAACCTCGAATTCCTCAAGGGACGGGAAATCAAGGCTCCCGCGATCTTGGAGAGGGAGGAGTAAAAGGAAAAATCACCCATGACTAGAATATTTTTGCCATTTTTGGGCCTGTACTGGACAAATATTGGAAACGACGAAATGAAAGTGCATTTTGATCTGCGAAGAGGGTTGCATCGACATAGTTGAAGCACTGGAAGTAGCTTTTGGCGTGGAATGTAGGGGTCCAACAATGGGTATTTTCACCTATGCAGAGAGAGAGGTAGCTTGTCCAGCTAGCTATAGCTATAGCTTATGATTATTAAATATACGACACTTCAACTGGAACATCAAATCGCAGCGCGGTAAATCAGCAACCTTACGCAATACGGAAAAGCCCGGGAGCTAAACTTTTGACGAGTTTGCACCCACTTTCCCTCCGCGGCTTGGGTTCTTTCTGCTCACAGACTCTTCATTATTTTCGAGGTGTGTTGCTCTTAAGGTCGAGTTGTCGAGTTGGTAAGTTCCAGTTCGTCATTGTGTGCGTTGGGCTTGATTTTTGTTGCGTCCCACTTTTTCGGAGGGTCTTTTTTCCCTTTGGTGGGCTGTGATGAACGAGTGAACGTGTGAACGTGCTTATTTTTCTTGCCCCAACTTTTTCTCCAAGGTTCTCAATTTTTTGCTGACAAGGCCCTGGCTTAGTTTGATTGACTAGTGTCTGAAGTGTACGAAGTGTGAGTGAGAACCTTGCCGACGCTCGCACGTTTCTCCCCCACGGATCGACGTTTCCCCTCCATCCCGGGATGCCGATTTTGGGTCTGCAACAACGCTACAATTTTGGGACTTGGACGGCACGTGGTGCTTGACGATTACACCGTGGGAATGTTGCTCGACTTGGGATCCCATTTGGGGACATGGAGGGGCAACCGATACGACGTGGAGCTTGGGCAGCATAGGACCTCGGACTGACGATGTGGTAGATATTCGAGATGATGTTGTCCCGTCGTGCGTGCTACAAGTGTGGCAACATTGGCCACTATGCTGGTTAGTTATTTTGGATTTCTGGATCTCGACATTCGAATCAGTCCCGCTAACTGACGTAGAGGTCTGCTCGTCCTCCGAGCGTCTCTGCTACAACTGTGAGTAACGCCTTTCTCTTATGTGAAGAAAAAAAAATACTAACGGTGATATCATAGGCAAGCAGCCTGGTATGTCCATCCAGCTACACGTCCGTGTCACCGTACGTGAACAGCGAGCTCATAACATTCAAAACAGGACACGAGTCTAGCGCTTGCCCTCGTCCTCGTACCACCGAGAGTAAGGCACCCTCGCCCGTGTTCAAGACACCTTTCTAACTCTCTGCAGCTAAGCAGTGCTACAACTGCCAGGGCCTCGGCCACGTCCAGGCTGACTGCCCCACCCTGCGCCTGAACGGCGGTGCGAACGGCCGCTGCTACAACTGCAGCCAGCCCGGCCACCTTGCTGTATGTCCAGCCTTTCCGTCATGGCGTGACGATTAAACTGACTTTTTAGCGCAACTGCACCAACCCCGCTGCCCCCGGCGCTGGCCGTCCCACTGCCCCCCGCGGTGGCTTCCAGGGCTTCCGCGGCGGCTTCCAGGGCTACCCCCGTGCCGCCACCTGCTACAAGTGCGGCGGTCCCAACCACTTCGCCCGTGACTGCCAGGCTCAGGCTATGAAGTGCTACGCCTGCGGCAAGCGCGGCCACATCTCCCGCGACTGCACCGCCCCCAACGGTGGCCCCCTCAGCTCCGCCGGCAAGGTCTGCTACAAGTGCGCCCAGGCTGGCCACATCTCCCGCGACTGCCCCACCAACACCGCTGAGGCTGTCGTTACTCCCACTGCCGATGTCGTTGCCGAAGCTGCTATCCCCGGTGGTGCCCCTGTTGCGGCTGTCGCTGCTGCCGTCGAGGCTAGCCCCGAGGTTGGCCCCGAGGTTGGCCCCGAGGTTGCCCCCGTCGCGGCTACTGCCCCTACCACCGCTGTCGCGTAAGCGACCTGTTTGAGAATAACTACCTAACCTATGTCTCACCGCCGTACCATTTCCCCCTCAGGAATGCCCGGAGTCCCTTTCTTCCATTCTGTATTACGGTCACTTTCCAAACGATCCCCTGGGATTCTTTCTTCTCTCCGGAGTCTCTGCACCTGCACCCTTTCTTCCTTTGCATATATTTGACCAACTCCCTGGGTCATGCCCTTTCCATTTTGTTTTACTTGTCTCTTTATTTTTATGTATACGACGAAACAAAATTTTCCGTTTTGATTCACGAAGCCCTACCCCCCTGACTTGATGAGCAAGTCTCATGATTGGCGTCTTGTCTATTGGTTCTCCCACGGATGATCTATCTCGATTTGATGAATTTCTACTCTTGATTGCGGTTTTCCAGGCCGAGGAGAGAGAGGAGACGAGAGATGATGTGAAGAGGTTGAGTGTGGTTGCAGAGAAATGGGATCGAAGTGTGTTGGAATGGGGCCTTCCGGTGGGAAGATTCCTCGGTGCTGAGAACATGAAAACGCAAATCTTATCTTCCAAAGTTCATTGTGCTTGTAGTGGTGTGTAGTCAAAGGTTCAAGTGTTACTATGTCCTGACCGTCGAGCTCGTGACTTATCCGCCATCTTTCTCTTCCCACGCCCCATCAACGATCACCAACGCCACAATGCCCGGCTCAGACCCTGGTGATGACTTTACTGTCGATGTACGGTTTATTCCAATTGATGTTCTGATCTCAGGGAGCTAATCTGCAAACGAACAAGGACTTCATCGTCGACATCGATAGCATTCAATCCCATGGCATCGGTGCAGCCGACATCACCAAACTCAAAGCCAACGGGTTCTACACTGTGGCCGTAAGCAATCAATCAATAGTTTCGCGTCCATAATCTGACAATGACAGTCCGTCCATGGCGCAACCCGAAAGACGCTGCTGAAGATCAAAGGCTTCAGCGAAGTCAAAGTCGAGAAGGTCAAAGAAGCGATTCAGAAGTGCCTGGTAACTCTCCTTGGCCTCGTTCGTACGAGCAAAACATATTAATGTTCCTTACAGCCCTCAGCATCAGGGTTCATGACCGCCATGGAACTATTCCACCAACGCAAGAAAGTCGTCCGCGTCTCAACTGGCAGCAAACAATTTGACTCCATCCTCGGCGGGTAAGCCTGAACCCCCTTCCCACCCACTTACTCAATTAACAAAACCAGAGGCTTCCAAAGCATGAGCATCAGCGAAGTCTTTGGCGAATTCCGCTGCGGCAAAACCCAACTCTCCCACACAATGGCCGTCATTGCACAACTTCCTAAAGCCCTTGGCGGCGCAGATGGCAAAGTTGCCTACATCGACACCGAAGGAACCTTTCGCCCCGAGCGTATCGCGCAGATCGCCGAACGCTTCGGCGTCGACCCAGACACCGCGCAGGAGAATATCGCCTATGCCCGCGCTCTGAACAGCGAGCATCAGCTTGAATTGCTCAATTCGCTCAGCCGCGAATTTGTGGTTGGAGATTATCGGTTGCTTGTTATTGACAGTATTATGAATTGCTTTCGCGTTGATTATTGTGGACGTGGTGAATTGGCGGAGAGACAGCAAAAGTTGAATCAGTTTTTGATGAAACTGGCGCATATGGCTGAAGGTAAGACATCTTTCCTATCTACGAAGGAGTCGATTGACATGTTGCTTTTTTCGCGTCGGAGTGATTGGTTTGTGGATCTGGGCTGACTTGTAATGTCTTATCAGAGTTTAATGTATGTGTCTTGATGGTAAGTATACCCGGCTTCTGCTGATCCGCCGGATTGCTAACTTGTCTTAGACAAACCAGGTCCAAAGTGACCCTGGTGCTAGTGCACTCTTTGCTGGTGCCGATGGTCGCAAGCCTGTCGGCGGACACGTTCTTGCTCATGCGTCGACGACTCGGGTGCTGCTCCGCAAAGGCCGGGGTGAGGAGCGCGTGGCAAAGATTCAGGACTCGCCCGGTAAATAACTTCCAATTTCTGTATCATTTTTACTGATTTTGTTACAGACTGTCCCGAGCGAGAGGCTATTTATGTTATTACCAACGGGGGTATCAGTGATCCTGATAAAGTCTGAATGATGAGATGATCCACCAACGGAGGAAGGTTCGAATGGGAACACCGCATATTTATAGGCATCGGTAAATATTTTTACAACAGATACATGATTAGATTCTATCAGAGATACCCATCATTCATACAGTTCATACAATCCATCTCAAGCCCTAACCATATAGAACACTCACCGCCCGCAGAGCCGCCCACGCCATGCGGCAAAATTGCACGCTAAGCGCAAAACTTCAAAAAAAGTTCCAACTCACTCCGCAAGCCAACAACCATCCCCAAGAATGAAGAAAGACACTGTGGAAGTGGCCGGGTACACCACCCTTCCACTGCAACTCCCCTCCACACAAACCATCAAAACACCTGCAACACACTACCTCTACCTCCGCCCCCACGAACCCAGAGTCCCGGACCCAGACTCGTCTCGCTGCCTCTTCATCGTCAACGTCCCAATCGACACAACAGAAGCCCACATCCGCCACCTGTTCGGCACCCAGCTTTCCGCCGGCCGCGTTGAGCGCGTCTCCTTCGAAGATGTCCCCGTGAAGAAACGCGGCGTCCCAGCCGCTACGGAAGGTAACCTGGCCCACCGCAATAAAAAACGAAAGCGCGTCACCGCCGACGACCTCCAGTCCCAGTTGGACGATATCTGGCTCCCCTCCACCTGGGACAGACAGCTCCAGAAGAGCGGCGCCCACGCTATCGTTTTCTTCGCCGATAAACCCTCCATGGAATCAAGTCTGAAAGCCGCCTCCAAGGCTGCTAGAAAGGGCACAACCATCGTCTGGGGCGAAGGTCTCCCTTCAGACCGTGTCCCGGCCCTCGGGTTGCCCCGGTACATGGCGCACGAGCGCATGCGGTATCCGGACCGCGCAACGATGCTGCGAACCGTCAACGACTTTATGACTGTCTTCACGCAAGTTGCTGAGGCGCGGAAGCGTGAGGAGACTAAGCGGTTGGCTGAGCCAGATGAGGACGGTTTCGTTACTGTCGTGCATGGGCCGAAGCTTAACTCTGTTGCTCGTGAGGATGAGATGAACGAGTTGGTTGAGAGGCAGAAGAAGAAGGCGGAGGGCTTGGAGGACTTCTATCGCTTCCAGTCTAGGGAGAAGAGGAAGGAGAGGCAGAACCAGTTGCTTAGACGCTTTGATGAGGATAAGAGGAAGTTGCGGGATATGAAGAATCGGAGGGGCAAGATTCGCGTGAGTATCTTCTTTTCTTGTGTTTGGAAGGGATTGAGCTAATTTTTTGAAACAGCCGGAGTGAAGCATGGCATCAGCATGGCGTTTTGGGAGTTCTGCAGGGCTGTTCTGAGTCCTTCATTATGCAGTAAGTTTGGTCTGCTTTTCTTTCAAATCTTTGTCAAGTTGTCTCCGAGATGAGTTCGCTGGGGCCAGTGTAGCAAGACGCGCTTAGCTCGCTGTCTGCCATGCCAACAAAAACCAGCGTTATACCAATCTTCTCACCTGTCTGAAATGGAGTCGGCTTCTGTTGGAGTCTTGTCTATGATTTGAGTGGCGGATGCTGATGATTTGCCAGTGATGAGTTACTGTATTATCTAGGGGTACTGTGAATACAAAACATGAATACCAATGGAAATAGTCAATCAAGTCCAACTCCATTATCTGGGGGTCGATAAATCCCATCGAGTACAGTAGAATTCCCGCACGGACCAAGGCTTGGCATGGCATCCCACCCGAGCTTGTAATCCAACCCATCTCTCTGTACACCTCGAGCTTCATTGAATGACCATGGATGTTCCAAAGTTTGATTTTCTAGCTGCAGGATATCGATGTACTACTTGTGACTGCCCCACCTGAACGTTAACCAGTGATACCCCACTCGGCGACAGCTCCAAGCTCCAAGCTCCATCATCAAAGTCATCCCGATATATCTCTTGGGCGAGTGTATCTCGTTCCGGGATTCATCATCATCTTTCCCCTTCTCTACTCATATCGTCCACGGACTTCTTTATCCTATGCAACCTCCATCCATCTATCCAACCTCTCACATCTACATACCACCCCCAAAATGCCCGCCCGAGACCCAGACTCCGACTCTGACGTCGAATTCGAAGACGTTCTCCCTCAATCCAACCAATCCAACTCCGACCAAAATGGCACGCCAGCCCACCAAATATGGACGCCAACTCTGACCCTCCCAAACCAACTACCCGACCCTGTGGCACCAGGCTCAGAAGACGAAACCCAACTCCGCGGCCGCCTCACCACCGGCCTGGAGCGGATAACCTACCGCCAAATGAAAGCCGACATGGGCATGGACGCACCCGGTACGCCGCATGCCGACCGCCGCTACGAGAACTTCAAAGAACTAGCCGATGACATCGAGGGCATGGTCGACATGCTCTGGGTATCTGCAACACGTAAGTCCGCAATTCCAATATTCCAATTCACCAATTCACCCACACCTATTAACCTCCATCTAATGAACACGACTAATGAACACGAAGCGTCAATCCAAGTAGAAGGTCTAATCACACTAGCGGGGATTCTCGAAATGGCACTAAAATCGTACCCCTTCGATCCCGAATCCACATTGGGGATCCTGCACAAATTCGACCGTGTTTTCGAGGCTCTTTGCACGGGCGTGCATCCGCTCACTAATGAACCTATTCCCGGGGCTCGGGATCGTTCGCAGACCGTGACGCAGACTCAGAAGGTGCGGATTCGCAGTCTCGCGGAGATGACTAGGAATAAGCTCTTTTCGATGTTGCCGGACGATGAGGAGGATGAGGATGTTGAGCAGCCTTGGTTGATTGAGGTCACGAAGGTTTACGATCGGACTCTGATGCTTTTGGCGGATGAAGGGGGTGTTGGCGATGCGGAGTGGAATTGGAGATGAGACGGTGATTGGCGGTCTGGCGGTGTTCAGAGTTTGGGTTCTTGGAATTTGAACTCTGCTTTTTTAGCTTGCATTGAGAATGTGACATGGGTTCTTTAACTATGGAGTCGGATTTATTTTCCTGGAAGTTTCGATTGGTATGTGAGGAATGAGGAAGTATATCTGGGGGCTTTTTGATTGACGTGTATGATGGTCAAAATACCTTGGGCACGGTGTATGTATTCTGGAACTTAGAGCTAACTTAATACCCGAAGGTCCTATACCATTACTTGTGACATACTAGTAAGCATTCCCACAAAAGATAGTCGAAACCTTATGGGATGAGATGAACTTTACATGAACAGTACCTAGGTAAGGATTGATTATGAATCCTATGACAGTACATTCTCGATCAGATATGCGACAAGGGTCCCACCACGAACCTTCTAGAAAACGACGAACCGGCCCAAAAAAAGAATGCAGTGGGGTGAAGTCAGTCAGGTACACGGTCTTCGGGCCCAGTAAGTTACCCAGTGTAAGGCGCAGTATGCACGGAGACCGGTGTATGCAGAATACTGTGTATTGAAGGAAGCGAGCCCCAGCACGCTCTTTGGATAGAGCGTCGCGAACTAGTGTGGATTCGAGCCCTTGAATGTGGAGCCCCCTGGGCCTTGGGGGCTCAGTCTCGGGCCTGAGCCACCACGTACGATGAACCGAGTCTTTTCCTGTTTATTCAGTCTCTTCGTTTTCCAGGTTTCTGCTGTGATTTTGCTGCACTCTCATGACGGTGATGACTGGATAGCTAGCTGTGCATGAAGGTGCGAGTAGGGCACGGTGGGCTGTGAAGCTGCGTTCCATGGTTCGCGCAATTATTAATATGCCCAGGGCGAGCGCGTTTTCCGTGTACCTGGCGATGAGCTTTCGTGTGTGTTCTCGGTACTCTCCGGCGAACCTAGGTTATCTATTGTAATGCATGGCTGCAGAGTCGCCGAATCCACATAGGTTAATTGCCACAAGGCTCAGATAAATTGAGACAATGCAACCGAAAGCAAGGGTAAAGTGCCGAGGAATACGGAGCGGAGTACGGACATCGGGCATCACGATCAGCGCGCCCTTGCTCAGGGCAAAGAAGCCCGAAAACACGCGACCCAAGCGAGATTCCAGCTGCCTCCAACTTTCCGGAGTTAACAGCAAATCTGAAATCTCTGCGTAATCGCGATACGAGCCCGAGCCCGGCCAATCAGGAACACAATCCGATGAACGGTCCCGTGGTTCTGGTTCGGTGCTTTTTACGTGACGCGTGTGACGTATCGATCCCTTGCCTTGGGCTTGGACATGGATCTGAGAAGTAGAACCTTGCTTCGAGAAGGTAGAGCTGCAGGTCATAGTAGTACTACGTATGCAGGACCTACCTGGGTACGGGTACGGAGTAGATATGAAGAGGGTACGGGACGGCACATGCATGTTCAGCGGCATGTTCAGCGGCATGTCCAGCGGTGGAGCTTAAGCCGTTTGTCTGCAAGTTTTCAGCCGGTTATCCGACATCGTCATTGCTGCCAGGCTCGTACTATATACTGGATCGTCACACGCCCAATGTGACTACAGAGTAGTTCACTCCTGAATTACATGCCGATGTACAATACTAGCCGATCGCTCACTGCACTCTACAGTCTGATTCGATGATCGCAATTACATTCGATAAGGTCCACGGGCGCTTTTTAGACTAGTCACATTACATTGCAAGGAAGGCGACAGCTCGGTCCTTGCAGCTCACCCTTCACCCTTTTTCCTACCTACCTTGCCTGATAGTTTACCCTAGGGTAAGTACTTATATAGCGGGAATGCACTTGGGGTTGCTCCGCACTGTAGCAGGACAAGTAGCGGGATATGCTCACCCTAGATCTGCATCCCCAACTTCACCTTCAAGTACTATGCAGACTCCTTAGCCCTAGGCATAATCCCGAGATCCTGGAACTGTGTAAGATGGGCGTAGCCCCCGCATATATGTGATATCACGTAAAATAACGCGGATACGGTACGGCGTAACGGGTCGTACTCCAGTAACGGGCGAGCAGAGCCCACTCTCGTTTCCCCTCCCTCATCAGAATCTGAGATTTCATTCTTCATCGCTTTTCCCCTCCTACACTCTTCCCCTTTCCTATTGTTCCCACGGTTTGCGGATTTCGTTCTTGCGCCTTTTCGGGAGTTCTGCTTTTCAGACGCTCTGTTTTAGTTTCTCGAGCTTCTGTTTCCCCTTGGTGAGTGATCCTCGTCCTGTTCTGCCCCCGCCCTACCCAGCTCCATGGCGCATCGTCATTATCGCCTGTAATCATCCTTGCCTGGAACGATGAGCGCCGCTGTGTGCGCTCGTCACAAAACGCCATTTGGGTCCAGTTGAGATCGGCTTTTTCGGGCCCGCCAAGCGTCTGTCGCTCCGCCTTCGATCCTCCCTGTCGCTCGACTCCCCATCATCGACGCCCTTCGCCTTGGTCGGAAATCCTTTCGCAGGTCGCATCGGTCGAATGGGCGACGGGTGGAGCGTTGCGTAGATCGTCGCAATTGCCGGGGCGCCGAGGCGCTGAGACGCTGGGACGCTGGGACGCTGGGACGCTGGGACGCTGGGAAGACGGAAACGGCCGGCGCATCGGACCCATCGCTCCAACATACGCATCCGACTCGCTTTCGACCACCGTCCTGCCCGGTTTTCCTGCCCTGCCCTGCCTGTCCCGGCGACGACTCTCCGATCGGCTGCGCTGCGTTCCCCGAACAAGCTGGTCTTGGCGATTCCCGGCACTTCCTAGCGAGATTCATCGACGGGCGATCTTCGCCTGAAATCGCCTCATTTCCGCCCTCTTTCCGCCCCCAATCTTCTTCAGCTCTCTTGTCCACTCTGCATTTCCAGGCGCCTTTTTTTGGGGCTGTTATTTTCTCCCACTAGCCTCGGGAATCATTTCCAAGACAAAGAAAGTCTAACGTTTTTCTTCGGCACACAGATAACATTCACGTCCTTTGTTCCTGGGTTCATCACGAAGTGTGCTTGATCTTACGGTCTTTCCTTAACGACTCCACGAAGTTTCAGTCGCAGACCGTTTTATATTCTTACGTCGATTTTTTCGGATTTCGCTTTTCAAGATGTCTTTCCAGAACTTCGATTCTTTCCCCAACCAGGACCCTGCCAACGCTGCCGGTGCCCCGGCTCCCGCCGACACTGCCATGGCTGGTACTGGTGAGGGTGCTCCCTTCCAGGGCCCCCCTTCCGGTGACGGTTCTGCTGCCGCCGTTCCCCAGCAGGGTGCCGATGGCAAGACCACCCTCTGGTATGTTTCGTTCTCCAGTGCTGTTCCGCCAGTATCCGTGCACGATTTGCTGACTCCGCGTTCAGGATGGGTGAGCTTGAGCCTTGGATTGATGAGAACTTCATCCGCAACCTGTGGTTCCAGATGGGCGAGCAGGTCAACGTCAAGATGATCCGCGACAAGTTCTCTGGGTAAGACTGAACCGCTCAAACCCCATATCAGATACCTAGGTCCTAATGTTGGTAGTAGGAGCAATGCTGGATACTGCTTCGTCGACTTCGCTTCCCCCGCCGCCGCCGCCAAGGCCCTCTCTCTGAACGGCACCCCCATGCCCAACACCAACCGGGTCTTCAAGCTGAACTGGGCTACCGGTGGCGGCCTCGCCGACCGCAGGTGAGAAACATCCACTATCCAAATGGTTATGACCAACTTATACTGACTTTTTTCCAGCCGTGACGACCGTGGTCCCGAGTACTCCATCTTTGTTGGTGACCTCGGCCCCGAGGTGAACGAATACGTCCTCGTCTCGCTCTTCCAGAGCCGCTTCCCCTCGTGCAAGTCCGCCAAGATCATGACCGACCCCATCAGCGGCATGTCCCGTGGCTACGGTTTCGTTCGCTTCTCCGACGAGAACGACCAGCAGCGTGCTCTCACCGAGATGCAGGGTGTCTACTGCGGCAACCGCCCCATGCGCATCTCCACCGCTACCCCCAAGAACAAGGGTCCTGGTGTCGGTGCTGCCAACATGGGCATGCCCGGCCCCGCCGGCATGTACCCTCCTATGGGCGGTCCCCCCATGGGTTTCTACGGTGCTCCCCAGCCCATGAACCAGTTCACCGACCCCAACAACACCACCGTCTTCGTCGGTGGCCTGTCGGGCTACGTGACTGAGGATGAGCTTCGCTCGTTCTTCCAGGGCTTCGGAGAGATCACCTACGTCAAGATTCCTCCCGGAAAGGGCTGCGGCTTCGTTCAATTCGTCCAGCGCCACGCTGCCGAGATGGCCATCAACCAGATGCAGGGCTACCCCATCGGTAACTCTCGCGTTCGTCTGAGCTGGGGCCGTTCCCAGAACAACTCCGGCCCTGCCGGCAGCCCCTACCGTCCCGCTCCCCCACCGCCTCCCATGTACCCCTCCATGGGCATGCCCCCGGCCCACCAGTATGGCGGGTTTGCCCCGATGAAGGTTAGCAGCCACCCCGGCAGCCCGGCACCAGAACACTCTTGAGTTACAGGCTCGGTCGGCTGACTCATTTCTTCTCTCTCCAGTAAGCGTTCCTTTGATTGAAAGCACCAGCAGGAGTTGTTTGCGTCATTCCAATGATGGATCCTTTGTGTCATGACAAATTTGCTATTCCTGAGTTACCTTTTACCGAGTCTTCGCGCTCTTCTATAGCTCTTGATGGGCATCTTTCTCCTACTTCCCCGTGCTACGCATTTCCCTGAGCGCTTTTATCTTTAGCAAGATCTGAGCTCCCTTTTATTTTCCCCTATGTTCACCCGGATCTCTTTCCTTTCTTTTTTTTTTTTTTAACCTTCTGTATTCCACCTATCCCCTCGTATCTGCTCTTTTTCCCCCCTTTTTTTCCTTTTTTCTACTCGATGTCCCTCTCCAAACCTTATGCTATGCTGTTATTCTTTTTTCCCCCACGATTTCTCCCCGCCCTAGGGGGTCCTGTTCGCGTGTAACGAAAGTCCGTATTGTTCATGCGTTTCTTCTTTACTCTATACTCCTTGGGCAGGCATTCTGCGAAAAGTTCCATTTTCCCCTTCCTTTTGTCCGTTCCACATCGAGCAGCCAAATTGAAATATGTTCGCTGAGTTGTCTTTCTTTTGGTTGTTAGACGGCTTGTACAACACGCTCTGCTTTGCGTTTGTCGATTCTGCGTTTTGATGTCTCGCCTCTGATGTCGGTACGACTTACTGTAGCTACGGCGGAGTTTTGCCTTTTTTCTGCATTGGACCTGAGCTTGGCCCGTACTGTAATCTTGGCCTTGGTGCAGTGCGTCTTGTCGGCGTTTTGCCGGATGATTCCCCCCTTTCGCTGAGTTTGTCTTTTGAGGGTTCGAGAATTTTATCTTCTGTGATCTGTGTCCTGTGTAGTTTGTGTAATGATGTTCTGTAGTGCCGTGGTACCCCGGTGTATGGCTCCTATACATACAAACTGAAGTACCTAATGTGAGTACTATGTAGATTGCTCCTTCCCTCAACACACTCCTTCCGCAATGGATTTCAAGTAGGAGCATCTGCTCCCGAGATCCCTCGAGCATCGCATCTCTACATCCCAACATCGTCCACACCGTCACCATGCGTTACGAGAACTGGGATGTTCTCCTCTTCCCCGAGGGCTCCAAAGTCCCCGTCCAGGAGTTCAAAACACAATGCTTCGTTACCAGAGACACCGGATCTCCATACCTGCAGAACCCAACCATTACCAGCCCGTCTTCCTACTACCCCGTTCAGGGGAATTTCGGCCAGCTTCCCGTTCTGACCACCTTCGTGCCCAGTATGGCCAAGGACAGTCCCTACCGGTTCTCCATCCACAGCTGGGAGAAGCCTCGTCCGAGTCGTTTGATTGAGGGCATGATGCAGCCGGATGATATTCTGATGTACGAAGCGCGTGTGTTTGTCGATGGTGACTGCGTTGCGTGAGTACCAAAGCTCGGAACCTGATGGGACTCGGGGGCTGATGATACCAGTGGCGGTTTCTTCAGTCAGAGGACTCAGTGGCCGTATGTGATGGGTGAGCCTTGTGTTTCGCTGTGCTTGTTCAAATATTCTGACCTGGGCCAGACCTCAGTTCTGTCATCGACCGCGACGGCAACCAGGACATGCTTCGCTTTCCTGCTTTCCACCGGGAGATCCTGGAGCAGCGTCATTGGGATGCTGGTGATGTCAATGGTCGGATCAGACTTGTTCTTGCGGAGGGTTTTTCTCGTCCACTTCGCTCGCCTCCTTTTGAAAGGGTCAAGGATACCATCGTGTTCTCGTTCCAGCATGCTCCTCTCCGTGAGTCCAAGACTGCACTTGCACACTGGACGGGCTGCTAACATGAACAGATATACTCGAGTACTCCAACATCGCCTGGCCCAACCCGAGCATGTGGGCTCATTCCCGAGCCGGCTTCAAGTATACCACTGGCTCCTCCAGCGACTCAAAAGCGCCCGATGATGCTCACAGCCACTCTCCCACTAAGTCTGCCTCGGCTGGCTCGAGTTTCGCAGCAGCCATGAGCAACCATTCCAGTGGCCCGCACCACGTCTATAACGCCTGGGCTCCGAACCGTGCTTTCCCTTTGCCTGTATGGCAGCATGGCTACCAAGACTCTCGATATGTGAACCATCACCGGTTCCCTGAGCCGTTCGCTGAACCAGCCCCATCTTTCCTCAACGAAGCTGGCTGGGGCCACCGTGGTGCTCGGTCATCTCGAGAAGATATCCCCATGCCCGATTACTCCAGCTCTGCCAGCAGCCGCGCCATCTCCGGCGGCACTGGTATCAGCTACGACCAAGTGCACATGGACGATGATCAGTACAACCTGCTGATCCAGGCCCTCACGCCCACTAAATCCGGTGGTGTGCGTGCACCATCCAATACCCCATCGGCCACCGTGAATGCAGCAAAGCTTGGATTGAGCCCCAGTGGGAATGTGAAGAGTAAGAAGGAAACGTTCCAAGATGATACTCAGGAGACGCCTAAGAAACTGGTCAAGCAGGTTGTCAAGGATGCTGTCAAGGAGAACAGCCGTGAGGTCTCGGAGGAGATGGATGATACCTCTATTTCCACGTTGTAGGGCTGCGTTCTGATGGGTTTATGGTTACTGGTTATTGTGCTGGAGTGCTATGCTGGAGTGTAAGATATTCTTAGGACGCGAGTACATGATGGGATACGAGGTTGAGCATGCAATGCAATGATTGACTCAAGTGCCTCTCAATCCTTTCAGTAATACAGAAGTGTTCTGGCACGAGCACCTTCTCAATCAGGACGTGCAGTTCTTTGTTGACATTTCACTTCTTCTCTTCCTTTTCCCTCTTCCCATCTTCTTCCTCCGTCCCCAATCACCTTTTTTCGTTTTGCGTCATGTTTTCTCCGGTTCGAGCACGTTCCCTGTCTGTTCAGGCTCCTCTGCCTCCAGAGGCTCCGCTTGCACAGGCTTCTCAGCCTATTCAGGCCCTCCCGTCTGTTCAGGCTTCTTTGTCTCCAAAGGCTCCTCAATTTGTTCTGGTTCCTGAGTTTGTCCAGGCTCCTCAATCTGCTCAGACTCACCAAGCTTCTCAGGCTCCTCAGCCTGTGCAGGAGGCTTCTGATACTAACTTCAAACAAATCTTCCCCCACCTCATCTCTACTCCCCCACAGGAGCCGGCTTCAGCTGCCTTTGTTCTGGCCTCTCGTGGTGATCCATTCACAAAGTTGGAAGAGGGTCAGATCTTTGAGTCAAGTATCATCACCGCGGGATCGGTAAGAAGTACCTCCCGCTGCTCAAGGCAATCTGGCTGACACTGCAAGGCTCGTCTTGGCTCCCTTGATATCGAAACCATGACGGCAGGCAATGTCCTGTTTACTTTTGGCATTCTGGGTTTCATGGCTAACCTGAGGCCAATCTTCACCTACAAGTATGGTTCTGATGGGAAGAAGATCGGTGTTCGACTCTCCCTCTATGGCCATACTGTGGTGGTTGAGCCTTCTGCGTTGGATGCTCATTCTATGCGCATCATTGCTTGCCGTCGTGGTCTTGCGAAGTTGCGCAAGTTTAACCCGGAATGGGTTCTGCCTCCCCAGCCTATGGAAGGTCCTTCTGGGCCTGCATGGAGCTGGGTACAGCTTCTTTACGGTGAGTCTCTCTGCTTCGCTTGCTTTGCACTCAACAATCTTTCGGGGATGGACGGTGACCATTGGAAGGCTCCCTTCAATGGTGCTGACTATGAATTAGATTTCTGCAGTGACCAGGCCTGGTCGGCCCCTGGTTATAACGGGAGTGTCCTGGATGCGCAGTACTTCTGCGATGTCCTTGTGAATGGCCAGGTTTTCCGCACGGCTCGGCAGTGCGCCACTGCAGAGGAGGCTCAGAATACGGTTGCGCATATTGCACTGCATCAGCTGTTTACTGCCGAGGAGCTCTTTGGGGAAGGATCCATTCTGCCCGCTGATACTCCTCTTGATCTTCCTGCTGATTTTCATGCTCGTCCTGCTGGACCTCCGCTGCGACCTATCCATGTCAACAGCAGAAATACTCTGCTTGATGTGAGAGAGCGTGTGTCTCACCCCCAGGTTCAGGGATTTACGGTTGCACTGGAGGATGAGCTGCAAGATTTGATTCTAGACTCCCATCCGAAGCGTGCACAGGAGCGTGCCCAGCGTCCCAAGCCCTCGAAGATTGAGGGTCCCTTCCAGCCCCAAAAGGTGAAGAAGAGGAAGGCGAGGAATAAGAACAAGAACAAGAACAAGAACAAACCTCCAGCCGAGCAACCCCAGCAGAAGGCTAAGCCCGTGGCCCAGCGGCCCCAGAACAAGGCCAAACCTCCAGTGAATCAAGACCGTACCAAGTCGAACTCGAACATGGTTCCCTTGAGGTACAACCGGCTGCCTCTGCTTGAGCAACCGGATGTCGCCGAAGACAAGCTGGCCATGCTCAAGGCAGTCCAGGCGGGCTTGAATGAGCTGCACGCTACAGCTTCATACTGGCGCTTGCTGAACAGTAAGTGTTGAACTTGGCAGCCCTACATTTATCGGTTTCATACCACTCATGACTTTCATTCCGTTGACCTGACTAACAACACTATTATCCAGAATTCTGCGAAGTCCTGAAGATCGAAGTCCCTAAAATCCGTCAGCATCAAAACTGCAATGACAACCCCAAACGTTCCCACCTGATCCGTGCCTGGTTTGATGGAAGCAACCCCTACCTCAGCAGAGCTAGTCCCGTGCATATTGCCGACATTGACCCAATGTCGGAGAATGCCGCACACGCCCTGGGTGTTCAGAAGGTCATCGTGTATCTGCTGAAGATCCTCAGGGAGGACGCTGAGATCGATGTCTCGAGTGAGGCGTACCGTGGACAGCTGTCGCTTTTGCGTAACTTGGAGCTCGAGATTGAGGATCGCTGCTGAGGTCTTTGCCGAAATGGGGTTGACGGCGTTGGTTCATTGATGTCTTTGACTGTCTTTGGCTGTCTCACTGGCTGTTTGACGTGGCGTTTTATTTCATGTTCAGGTACTTTTACGGCTGCGTTGAGGACTGAGACGGTTGATAGGATATGCATTGTGTCTGGCTCTTGAGTCTGAATGTACAACTTTTATTCTTTACATGGTATCACACCACACGCCTGGTGGAAGTAGATCCAAGATCGACAGCAGTCTCGCCAGTTATTCTACCAAAGTCCGTCATTTAGAAAACATCGTGTTAAAACTCCCTAATATCAGGATAATTGAACTTTGATTGAATCTACTCCCGACACAATTCACGCTATAATTCAATCCCAAACATGAAAAGACAAAGCATTGCGAGAATCCAGTTCCGCTAAGTATCCAACAGCACAACACCAGACAAGGTAGTATTCACTCGTCCCTATCCCATCAATCGTAAAGCCCTAAGTCCAGGTCCCTTGTCCTGGCATATATCCCCCCTATAGAACCCCTCGGATCGGTTCACTTTTGGTGAAGTATTCTCGACTCAAGAAATCGAGATGAGCAAAGCGGAAAGGAAAATGGGAAAGGAAAAATGATTCAAAGAAAGCAGCGTGGAGCTGGCCATGGTAAATGTCGAGCCAAAGAAACATGAAATGAAGGTCACAGGAACAGGGCATGGAAAAGCAAGCAGGTCCCGTAGCAAATAAAAAAAGAGGAAAGGGAAAAGGAAAATAGCGGAGAGTCAAAGCTGAGATACTGACATGGAGGGTGCCATGAGCAAGAATTAAGTAACCACACGGGGAATAAGGTAGTAGTAATAGAAAGAGAGAAGAGAAGCGGAAACTCGTAGGTCACAGTGCAACTAATCTTGAATACAGGGATAATTTCTCCCCAGCGTCGCAAGAGGCTGGCTTTCAAGGGGGATATGGTAATGCTGACCAAAGTACACGAACGCCAATCTCACTCATGCGCGCGCATATTCAAGAGTGGGAAAACGAACAAGGAATAAACAGAGGCGAGAATGGAGAATCGAGTATCGAGTATCCGCGGAGAGTGCAAACATCAGAACGCATGTAAATCGAATCAAATGTACACAAAACAAGGGTATATTGGGAGGTGGAACACCTGAAGAGAACCGTCAAGACTTTTTCATCATTCAAAGACCGTCGCCAGCCCCAGTCTCAACACCGTCCGTGGAGTATGGCAGGTTGGGGTCGAAACCGAAGCCAGTCCCGTCGGCATCGGTGTTGAGGAAGGTGTCAAAGTCGAAGCTCTCTAAAATGTCGGGGTTGTCCAGAGCACTGAAGTCAAGGCTGAAAGCATTGGTCTGTTGTGAATGTTAGCAATCGATTCATAGTTTTCGGTTTTATACGGACGTACATCAATGTTGTTAAGATCTTGGAAGGGTTGCTGGCCCTGGTCAGGGGTCGGCTGGGCCATTGGCTGCTGAGCAGGTGCCGAGGTCGGCTGAGGCGGCGCGTTGGCATTTGCGTTGGCTCCGCCCTTGTTAAAGGATTGAGGAGGGTGAGGCGTGGCGGGAGTAGACGGAGTCGGCGTTTGCGCGTGCTCGGTCGAGTCGTTGGACGGGGTGGCACCGGCTGCGTTGCCTGCATTGGCACCCTTGTTGCCCTTGGCTGGCTGCTTGGGCTTCTTCTTGTTGCCCTTGGGTGCTGCCTTAGTGGCCTGCTGGGGTGTGGGGGGTGCATTGCCAGCAGTCTGAGGAGATGGCGGCTGGGTGCGGCCCGTGGGACCCGCACCGGGTGGCGCTTGGGGCGGAGGCATGGCGCCTCGTTCCTGAGGCGTACCCGCCTGAGGCTGCATCGCAGGCGAATGCTGCGGCATGGGCTGACCGGCCTGCCATTGTCGATTAGCGGCATTGGCAGGAATCGGCTGACCCATCTGGGGCCCGGTGAAGGCCGGGTTCGAGCTCGGAGGACGCATTCCTGGTCCACCGGGGAAGAAGTTAGCAGTCATGTCGGGTGGCATCTGTCCACCGTTGAGGTTCATAGAACCCGGTGAGCCGCGGTTCTGCATATCGCCGGCGCTAGGCGATCCAGGAAGACCGCTCTGGGGCATCTTAGGCGTGCCCCGCTTCATTTGCTCGCTCGGGTTGGGAGATGCGCCGGTCCTGCTACCTTGCGGGGAAGTACCTGGCGGCATGCCTCCCTGTCCAGGCATCGGCTGGCCGTCACGGCCGGCCATGGTGTCCTGCTCCTGACGAGCCATCATCAAACGCCGCTTGTTCTGCTGTTCAAGCAGCATGAGCTGCATCTGATAGTCCTGGAGAGCGTGGTTGCCGTGCTGACCGCTAGGTGTCTGCATACCACCAGGACGGACCTGAGCCATTTGACCGTTGGAGTTGTAGTACTCGGGGTTCATATACATTCCCCCGCCATCCGGCATCGGCACTAGATCCGCCTGGTTCTGCATCATGCCGGGGTTCATCATACCACCGTTCGGAATACCCTGGGAATTTGAAGTTGAGCGCGAGTGGTGAAGGGCCAAGTTTTGAGCATATACCTGCATGGATTTCTGTTGGGCAGCCTGTCCCTGGAACTGCTGGAACTGCGCTGGGTTCATGCCCCGCATTCCGTTCTGCATCCCGTTCTGCATCATCAGGGCCTGCGGCGTGGACTGTCCTGGCATTCCTTGTCCCTGTCCGCGGCCGTTGGGTGCCAATTGCTGTCCGTTCTCGAGGCGCGGGCGTTTCGATGGCGAAGGAGCATTGTCAGCGGATGCAGGTGACTGCGGCCGATTCCCGTTCATATCCATATCGGACTGCTCGCGTTGCATTTGCTGCATCATTTGCATTTGCTGAGTCTTTTGCATTTGTTGTTGGAGTTGCTGTTGCGAGCTAAAGAAAGAATATTGTGTCAGTATCACACCTACTACAGTGTTGTTGAGGTGAAGCATACAGGCCGGCGGTGTTATTCTGCAGCACTGTCTTCTGCAGGTTAGGAGGGACCATGCCACCGTTGCGTCGCATGTTCAGCGGGACTTGGCCAGGCATCATTGGCTGCTGCCGCATGAGCTGATTGTGCTGCTGTTCCCGAAGGCGCATCATGTTCTGTCGAGAAATTAGATACCAACCTTTGGCATATTTGCACTGAGAGCCTTCCCCTCCTCACGTACCTGGGTGTGTTGTAGGTATTGTCTGACATCGTTCTGCGAACCCTTCCGGCGTTGGGCCCAGAAGAACTCCCAGAAGAGACTGAACCAATCCAGAAGGAAGGAGGAGTTGCTTTCGTTGGGCAGGTTAGGCCGGGGAAGATCATCAGGGATCTTAATCTTCTCGCCGTCCTTGCCGTCGGTCATCATGGAATCGGCATCAATGCCGTTCACTCCGCTGCCAGGGCTAGTCTTGGGGCCGTTGTCGGTGTTGATCTTGATCGATTCGTCTTGGACGAGGGCGCGAGCGCATTCGTGGTAGCCACGTTTCAAAAAGTAGTCATAGATATAAGTGTTGAGGTTGGTGATCATGAGCTCGGGTGTGTTCATGTTCACATTGCCGTCATTTCGAGGGGCCGTGGAGCCGTTGTTCATCATCGGGACACCGCCGACAGGGCCTCCAACCCCTGGGTTCATCCCACCAACGTTCATCTGGTTCATGGTGGCGAATGGTGGAACTGCAGCCACCTTTGCCTAAATTCTGTGGGACGATTCAAGTCGAATGTTCGGGCAGTTCCGAGCGCGCATCCACCGACTCAGGCGATCAAGCCTAACGCGGGGTGGAGGGAGCAACGCGTGGGAACCGAGCGCGGCGCCGAAGCGGTGAGCGTTTCAGGGCTGGGATCAAAGCCGAACGGGGCTCTGATATACGATCCCGCGTGGAAGGTATCCGCGCAAGTGTAACTTCGATATCGACAACGATGCTGTGTTGCGATCAAGATGTGTAGAGGCCGGAGAGGTGTGTGCCGGGAGTCTAGCGAGCCACGCGACTAGATAGGGAAAGAGTCGAAAGATCTCGATAACGCGGACGGCGCAGAGGGCGTCGCGGCGTATGTTCCGACGGCTGTATTCTGATAAGGGTCAAAAAAAGGCCAGACTCAAAGAAGACCCGTAAAGGTAGATGCGCGGTCGATAGGGTTTGGGCGACGACGGAAGTACAGGGAGGCGGGAAAAGCGCACAGGCGAGGAGGTTGGGAGGGCGGCACTGCCAGACACGCCCGATCGGGCAGATTCGCAGAAAGAAAAGAAGTTGACATGCAATAGTAGAAGACAGAAGGGTAAAGAAAGGGAAAAGAGAAGCACCAGGGGGGTCAAGCAGCGAAGAGAGTGGATCTTCTTACAGTGGAAGGGGAGGGAGCCGGGGGGTACGGGCGGACACTGCGCGCTCAGCGGGAGAATCGCTTGCTCGGAACGGATTAACTCGGGAGCCCGGGGCTGGTGACGGCGCTGTCAGGCGTATTTCTGGGCATGCACCTGTGGGCGCATTGAATGTGCTGCTCGTTTTGCTGGGATTCAAGTCGTGAACAGACGGGGTGAGAAGAGTCTATAGCAGAGAATGAAAAAGAGAAAAGATTCCAAGGTGGTGGCGAAGAGGAAACAGCGCGAGGCGAGAGATATGGCGATATGATGTTATGCCGCGATGGAGCCCTGCGATGGATCCCAGCGGGAGTCTAAAAAAAGTAGGGTAATTTGGGATTCCACGTAACAGAGATCGACGATCGAACCAATCGGAAATCCAGACCAAAAGATAAATGGCCTTGGGGAATGGACGGTGGGAAGAGAAGAAGAGAGAAATTCGATCTGTAGGAAATCGAAGGGCGGAGGGGCGGAGATCGCAGTATCAAAGATACGGTAATGTTACACCCACGCCGACACTACACCTCTTCACCCCGACTCGGTCTCCCCTCATAATCCAATGATGCGGTGTTCAGGATTCAGTACACTTATTACATCGTAGCTAGGGATATTAAGGCTGGCCGGCCTTTACTGTCTCACCCTGTCAAAGTCTAACTTGGGTCCTGACCATGCCGATGATAAAACGCGTGGCGGGGAGCTTCCTACATAGCGATAGATCACAAACCCTAAGGTCTCGGAATGACAACGACAGGTACAGAACTTTGGAAAGCGCCGGATGGATGCAGTTGATTAAATTGGATTTCGCCCTGCAATTCCCTAATAGTGTAGAAAGCCTAAACGCCGATCTGGATGCACTCGATTTTACTCCTCCTCCGGCGGCATCTCATCCTCGATGTATCGTACAAGTGAGACCCGCATCTCCGTAGTGTCGTCACCTCGGAGCACGTCACTTACAAAGTGCGCCTCGATCTGCATTTGTACCTGGTGTCCGGGTCAGCGATCGGACCCAGCGCGAAGGAACCCGTCCGGCAGGGGAAGTTACCATCTCTAGTGCGCCACGAAGCACACCGCAAAGGATATTCGAAAACCAGAGCTCGTCCTGCGCCCGCCCGTCGTCGGGAAGCTCCACAAAGTCCGCCAGGGGGTTCTCGTCAAAAATAAGCGAGAATTGGTTGTTGTCGCTCGCCCAATTGGTGACCGTCGGTGCGACGTTCAGGAAGATCTTAAAGCCCACCTGATTGGAACGTCAGATATAAGCTTGTTCCCTCGTCATTCTGGGTGTACACACCTTTGCAATCATATCCGCTGTGTCTCGGAAATTGGCACATCGTCCCACCCCGGATTTGGCCAGGAAGTCCTCGATCAATCGCATTCCGATATTGTAGCCCATCTTGTCCAATTGCTGGTTCACTTGCTGGTAGTCACTGTCATAGTCCTGGCATAATTGTGCCACAATGGTGCCGTAGGTTAATGTGACCAGCTCCGCATTGACTTTATCGATTCTCGTTCTGGTGGAGAAAGATGGTTAGACTGGTGTGATCGGGGTTTGTCGCAGCCGAATCAAATGGTCGTGTTGCTTAAGCGCTATCAAAAGAGGGTCTCGGGGTACTAACTTCCATATTCTGTCAAGTCTCGGTCAGCACAGAGCATTCATGCGACATTGGGGTAAACTTACTCTTCTCCTATTCTGGAGGCCTTTGTGGTTGACATGGCTGCTTCGGTGGAAGAGGAGCCACGGAGGTAATGATCAGGGGAATGAATGACAGTCTCCGTGCAGGCACAGGCAAATGCGACAGTCGATCTTGGATGTAGTTTTGATTGCGGGGAGTGCGAACTGCTGAAGCTGGCACCGTACACAACTCGCGTTCACCGCCCGCTGGTGGGATCATCGTTCTTCCAGCGCAAGGCCTCGTCTGGGATTCTCTGCACTCTGCCACGACCACTCTCGAACCCTCCATTTACTCGGTCTCGGTCCCTTTTTTGCCGAGGGCGTTTACGGGTTTCTATTGCAATCATGTCGGGAGAAAAACGCCCTGCCCAGGCGGCCTTCGGGTCTGCCAACCAGCTCGTGGTCAAGCGAAATAAAGCCGACGCCGACCTCAACCCCGGCACTGCAGTGGTCAAGGGCTCGTCGGCACAGAATGGAGCTCTGATCCAATCTGTATGTCACTCTTGCTTCCTAGTCGAGGGCGATTGAAATGTGGAACGCCGGCTAACCTCGTGTGCAGATTCCTCGCACCAGTGGACTCGATGCGCCTATCATGGAGCTTACAGGTAAGATGCGCTCTCAAATAATTCGAATATACGGTCTGACAATTGAATTAGGTCACTCTGGGGAAGTTTTCACAGTGCGATTTGACCCAACCGCACAGCATATCGCATCCGGCTCGATGGATCGATCCATCTGTATGTTTCACCCGTTATTGCGAACCCGCAGAACCTTTCGCTGACCTCCCGTCCCATGTTCTGATAGTGCTCTGGAATACATACGGACAATGCGAAAACTACGGTCAATTGATGGGCCACAAAGGAGCAGTTCTGGACCTACAATGGGCACGCGATTCTCGGGCATTGTTTTCGGCATCAGCAGACACAACACTCGGAAGCTGGGATGTAGAAACTGGCGAGCGTGTGCGCCGTCACGTCGGTCATGAAGAGATTATCAATTGCCTTGATATTAGCAAGCGGGGGCAAGAATTGTTAATCAGTGGTAGTGATGATGGATGCATTGGTATCTGGGATCCGCGACAGAAGGACGCTCTGGATTACCTCGAGACGGAACTCCCCATCACGGCGGTGGCTCTGTCTGAGCAAGGGAATGAGATCTACAGTGGTGGCATTGACAACACAATCCATGTCTGGGATCTGCGCAAGAAGGCCGTGGTCTACTCGATGGCCGGACACACCGACACCATTACCTCGCTACAAGTCTCACCCGATTCGCAGACCCTCCTATCCAACTCGCACGATTCGACTGTCCGGACATGGGATATTCGGCCCTTCGCTCCGACCAACCGGCAGGTCAGAACTTTCGACGGCGCCCCCGTGGGTCTGGAGAAGAACCTCATCCGCGCCAGCTGGGACCCCAAGGGTGAGAAGATTGCCGCCGGGAGCGGTGACCAGAGTGTGGTGGTGTGGGAGGCCAAGACCGGCAAGCTTCTGTACAAACTGCCCGGCCACAAGGGAACGGTCAACGACGTACGATTCTCGCCCAACGATGAGCCAATCAGTAAGTACTTGACCTGCAGATATTGGGGAGCTCTAACTAACGGGTTGCAGTTGTTTCTTGCTCGTCCGATCGAAACTTGATGCTCGGAGAACTTGGCAAATGAGCATAAGAGATACCAAAAACCTGTAATAATGGATAAGCGGGCGTTGATTTGATCACAATGAACATCTAAACCTCTTAAACTGCGACATGTACACTAGTGCCCCAAGAACTTTGGAAAGTTTATTCTCTTGTTCGACTTGGTCCTTCCATCACTCCTTCCGTCTCCGCCTCTTCACGCCTCAACTTGACTTCAAACCTCTTCCAGCACTTTCAGCTGTCATTGTCGTTATAGCTCCACAGAATGAGATGGACCCAATTCAGCCAGAACCAAGACCCATCTTTCGGGAGGGAGTTATTCGAATCAATGACTTCCTCATGTGGGTGTTTACCCTGATGTGTAAGGACTCTGCCGCTTTTCAGATGCTGATTTGCAAGGACAAGCTGATCAAATGGTCCAGACCTCTTCATCGTGATACCTATCCAGTTCAACGGTCCTTTGACACCTTTTGATGACCTCTTTATCTATTTCTGGATGGTGGTCACGACCTTCTGGGGCGTTTCCATGGTCCTTCGAGTTGTGTCGTCGCTTTGGTATCGAGAGTGGTCATGACAAAACTTCATCTTACAACGCACGCTCTATCTGGATGTGAAGATCGCCAGCGAGTGCTGCGGGTATGTCACTGGAAATACGTGACGCTTTGACTTGGCCAGCATGTCCATCAAGCACTGTTAAATTGCATCAATTGGAACAACTTATAGTCTAATAATTTCTCAAATGAGCACCCGAGGCTACAATGGCTAGCAATAGCTTTCTTTCCTGCTTATTGAGCCGTCGTAATTGACCTTGACCGTAAGTAGTTGTATACTCCAAGGGGGCCGGGGACTTGGCAGATGATGCAATCCGCGAAAAAAGATTACCGCTTATCTGGCCGCACCCGCTTCCCCCGACCACCTCTCATTCCACCAGCCCTGGGTCCATTTGATCTCTCCTGGGGGAAACCCATTTCATCCCTGCGCTCTGACAGACACTTCCGTCTGCCCTTCTTCTATGCCCTGCGGCTCGCTCTGGTGATGCGCACGCGATGTTGGAGCTTACACATGTTCAACCCTCGACACGCGTGCACGATGGTGGTCTGGGCCGTCCTACTGTCGCTATGGCTTACCCTGGCGCATGGGATGCGGGATCATCAGATTAAGGAACTCCGGTACGGTTTTGTGTGCTACCTTCAGTTGTCCTGACGCTAACCTTTTCGCTCGTTCCAGGCAAGAAACTGAGCGCATGTTCTACCATGGCTTCGAGAACTACCTTGAACATGCTTTTCCTGAAGACGAATTGCGCCCGCTTACTTGCGGCCCCTTGACCCGCGACGAGACGAATATGGAGCATAACGATGTCTTGGGTAATTATTCCTTGACCTTGATTGACAGCTTGTCCACTCTGGCCATCTTGTCCTCGAGTCCTGAGAGTGGTGATCGGTCTTTTGTACAGTTTCAAGATGGTGTGAAGGATTTTGTTCGACTATATGGAGATGGCTCGCCCGGTCCTGCTGGTCAGGGAGAGAGGGCGAGAGGGTTTGATATCGATAGCAAGGTACAGGTATTTGAGGCTGTTATTAGAGGACTCGGTATGTAACGGAACTTCCTCGAAGATTCATGACTAATGGATTATCAGGCGGACTGCTGAGTGCACATCTTTTCGCCATTGGCGAGCTTCCCATCACCGGATACGAACCCTCGGAACGAGATGCTGCCTTCGCAGGCGCATGGGACAAACGCACATATTCGAAGAAGGATCATGGCATCAGATGGGGAAATGGTTTTGTCTACGATGGCCAACTCCTTCGATTGGCTGTTGATCTGGCAAATCGTCTTATGCCGACATTCTATACAGAAACCGGCCTCCCGTACCCTCGAGTCAACTTGCGACATGGCATTCCATTCTACGAGAACTCTCCTCTGAATGTGAAGGCCAAGAAGGCCAAGAAAGACAAGCAAAAGCCCAAATACTCGTTTTTGGCTTCCTCTGACGAGGTCACGGAGACCTGCAGTGCCGGTGCGGGTAGCTTGGTCCTCGAATTCACCGTCTTGAGTAGGCTCACCGGAGATGGGCGGTACGAAGAATTGGCCAAGAGAGCATTCTGGGCAGTTTGGTCCCATCGGAGTGAAATTGGTTTGGTTGGATTCGGCATCGATGTGGAGTCTGGAAAATGGGTGGGATCGTACTCCGGGGTAAGTAGACAGATCAGAAAGAATGGAAATGGCAGGCTAACGAAAATGATAGATTGGCGCTGGAATTGACAGCTTTTATGAATATGCCTTCAAGTCTCACGTCCTGCTTTCCCAGGGAGAGCGGCCCCCCTTCAATTCGGAGAGTCCCTGGGGCAAGCTGGATGAATACTATCTGCCGTTGACGGATGACCAGCACTCCCCGGATTCATTCCTCCAGGTCTGGGAAGACTCGCATACGTCGATCAACCGCCATCTGTACCGAGGCGAGGGCTATCAGCATCCCCATCTCGTTGTCGGAGACGTGATGACCGGTGCCACGCGCGCATTCTGGATCGACAGTCTGAGCGCATATTATCCCGGTCTGCTCGCGCTCGACGGCAAGGTGGATGAAGCTATTCAAATTCACCTCTTGACTACTGCAATTTGGGCACGCTTCTCTGCTCTTCCTGAGCGATGGAATGTCGCTACAGGAGATATCGATGGTGGCCTTTCTTGGTATGGAGGTCGACCTGAATTCATCGAGTCGACCTACTATATCTACCGCGCCACCCAGGATCCTTGGTATTTGCACGTTGGTGAGATGGTTCTCCGCGACCTCAAGCGACGTTGTTGGACGAAGTGCGGATGGGCAGGCTTGCGAGATGTCCAAACCGGTGAGATGATCGATCGGATGGAGAGCTTCTTCCTTGGTGAAACAGCAAAGTACATGTTCCTCTTGTTTACCCCGGAGCACCCGCTGAACAAGATTGATGCTCCGTGGGTCTTTTCCACTGAAGGCCATCCTTTGATTATTCCGAAGAAGACCACCTCGGCTCAGTCCCGTCGTCAACGGCAACCATCGCCGGCTCCAAGTGACATCGAAGGCACCTGTCAAGCAATCCCGAGTATGAACTTTGGCGTGTCATCAACTGCATCTCGCTCTGACATCTTCCACGCGGCCAGCTTGGCACGTTTGCATCTCCGACCCGGTCGTGGATATGGTGGTCCTATTATGGAGAACTCACCTGATCACCCCAGTGTGTCGGTGTCTGATCTGTCGTCGCCGACCAACTACACATTCTACCCATGGACATTACCACCACAGCTCATCCCGTTCAACGCCACCAGCGCGCCGATGGCCATTCGCCCAACCCTTGACATTTCATTCCCATCTCTCCCCGGTGGAGTCAATCTGGGGTCCGGAGCCTTGGAACGAGTCCGAGATGGCATTTTTGTCAAAACAATTGGAGGTCTGCGGTTGAGTATGATTCAGGATGTCCCACTTGCAGGCTCTGTCGGAGCCGAAGATGATGGATACCGGGTGCAAGTGGTCAACAACGTGCCTCTGGGAAAGGATGAGAAGGTATATCTCTCGCGCCAGGTCACCTTTGACGTTGTCGATCCCTATGACCCCAACTTCACCCGAGTCCGCGACACCGCCATGATTGACCTCGTCGTTGACGTTCTCGCAGAGCCCAATCGCCGACAAAATGGCTCAGCTGCTCCTGGAGCTGAACAGCCTGCATCAGAAAGCTCAAACCATCAAGAAGATTCAGAGCTTCACCTCGGCCGCCGCAGACCTGCTCCATCCGTCGACGAAAGTTCCGTCGTCGACCCGCCCGACTCCACCGTAAGGAGCATGTTGTCGAACCTGGTCAATTCATTTTCGTCTCTGCTCCGCGACGAGCCTAGCGAGAACGCTCCTCTTCGGCTCAGTCTCCCTGCTGCTCTTCCTACGGGCCTTGGAGCGGGCCCGCTTCCCGACGTGGACGACGCCCTCACCCTGTCAATGTTCGGCAATCCAACTACCAGCCGTCTCTCTTGGTCATCGATCTACTTTGCCGGCGACCTTTGCAACGAGCGTATTCTCCGCGACGTTGCGCAGAGCCACGAGGTTATCGTCATCAAACGCGGGGGCTGCACCTTTTCCCAGAAACTGCGCAATATCGCCGCCTATCGATCCTCGCGCTCGTCGCTCAAACTGGTAGTCGTCGTCTCATACGATGACGAGATCCCAATTCCACAACCCGCAGAAGCTTCAGAGGAAGACCCCGAGGCACGTTCCAGTACAGACGGCTCCCAACACCCTGCTCCCTTTGCCGCTCTCCGTGCTGAACCATATCTCATTCGACCCCATCTGGATGAGACCCAGATGACTGCTAGTGGTATCCCGCGCAGCAAACCGGTCAGCCTGCTAATGGTCGGTGGCGGTGACGAAACTTATGCACTTCTGCAAGTCGCGACTGGCATTGGCATCAAGCGACGGTATTCAATGCGCTCTCGGGGGGTGCCTATTTCAAACCTGTACATCATCTAAACGCATTATATACCCGGCGATAGTAAAATAAATCAATGCATGTGTCTTCAATTCAAAGTCCACGTTTATTAAAAGGAGATTAGGAAATTACAATCCAAGCGTTCTTCACTCAACCATAAAAACAAGACCAATCTAAACAAGGGCCATACATAACCCAGTTACGAGCACTGTGGACAACTGTGTAATTCATTCAATTTCTATGTTCTTATGTTCTGAACAGCATTTACTCAAGAGCAATGCACTCAATCTCAACAGGCACACCCTTGGGCAGCTGGTGAACCGCAACGCAGCTACGGGCAGGCTTGTGCACGAAGAACTTCTCATAGGTGGCGTTCATCTCGGCAAAGTTGGCCATGTCAGTCAGGAAGACCTGGAAACGTCAGCACCACAGCACCTTCTTTTGGTAGTTTTGTCTTTTGTTTCGGGTGGCTTACGTTGACCTTGACGATCTTGGACACGCTGGAGCCGGCGGCGTCCAGGATGGCCTTGATGTTGTCGCAGCAGGCCTGGGTCAGTTCGCCGATGTTGCCCTTGACCAGGTTGGCCGAGGAGTCGGCGGGGATCTGGCCGGAGACGAAGATCTGGCCGTTGGCGCGGATGGCCTGGGACTGCGGTGGGTTAGTTGGTGTTCTGTGGAATCCGGGTGGTTTGTGTTGGGGAGTGTTCATGATTCGGGTGTGATGGTTCTCGTTGGGGATTCAGGGTTCTCATCGAGGGCAGCTCGTAGAGGGTGCGGTAAGGGGCTGTAGGGGAAAAGTATCTGGATTGGAACGTACGTAGGGGCCAGCAGCTATAGAAGCATCTCCGTTAGCAAGCAATCGTCGAGGGCGGGAAACGCAGCTCCAGCTCCAGTTGGGTTACCACTTACGAGGGCAAGCAGCCGAGGCAGAGATGATGGACATGTTGGAAGACATGATGTTAGGAATGAATTGAGGACGAGGTAAAGTGACACGGGAATCGAAGGTACGAGCGAGAGCGTGAAGACGAGAAGTAGAGCGCAACATGGTGGGATGGTGTTATAACGAACTGCCGCCGGGCCCCGCTTTGTGGTGGGGTTGCTTTGGGTTTCCCGCGGACAGTTACGTCGTCGGGAAAGTAAAGGCGCTCTAAGGTGCTGGAGATGGATACTTGCGGCAATTCAGGTAATGGAATGTGGCTAATTGATTCGCTATGATACATGAAAGCTAGTCGTTTCGTTTCGTCGTGTTTCGCTTTGCGTCTGGATAAATATCCCAGATGAGGTAACCAAATACAGGTGTAGTACAATGTCATGATTTGCCCAATTGTCCCAGTTGTTGCATCAGGCTGGCCGTCTGCTCGGCTGAGTATCCAAAGAAGACGGGGCCATTGAAGATGACATGCCTTGGGATGGAGTTGACGTCGGGCTTTGTCGTCTCGGCCATCTGGGGGCCAGCATCGCCCGTCTTCCCCGGGGCGATCTTGTCATCCTTGGTCCAGTCATATGGCGATTGAGATTGGTTGCCATTACCCCAGTTACTCCAGGGCGAGTCGAGGTTCGGTGTGAGTTTGGGTTCGGGCTCGGGTTCAACTGCGGGTTCTGGCTTGGGGGCATCGTGCCCGAACGGACAACGGCCGGCCGGTTTGGCCGGGGTCTCCGCCGGCGACTTCATAGATATGTCGGTGTGGTTGGCATCCGAGGGTACGGGGATAGATGCCGACCCGGGGAAGGGTACTGAGGCGGAGGGTTGTTGAGTGAGAGGAACGGGGATACCCCAAGGCCTGCTCGGGGATTCACCCACTCGAATTTCACGAAGCGGACGGTCGAAGCGACTCTCCCGGTTGTCCTCGTCGTTCGGCCCAGGTGTTTCTGGATCCACGTTCTCGGCCCATTTCTCGACCCGCTCTGTTGGGGCGGAAGGGGTAGATTTACCCTCGCCTTCGTCCTCGTCCTCACGCTCGACTTCGCCGTCACCGTTCGTCTGACGTTGCGGCAGGAAGGCCTGGTGTTTGGCGGAAAGACCACTGATCATGTTGATCAGACCGCCGTACTTGGCGTCCAGCTGGCGCATGTTCTGGGGATCTCTTTGGTATCGCTTCACGCAGATAGCATGGCTCCGGGGGATTTCATGCTTGTGTTTTTCAACGTATTCCGCAATTTCCTCCGGCGAGTGTTTGTCCAGATATCGAATCGGGCAGCGAGAAACGGGACACCGGCCCGATGAGTTGACAGATGGATCGGCAGACGGCGTAGTACTCGAGCGTCGCTCATCTTGCTCGGCCTTAATCGGGTCCAGATCATCGTGTCCACAGCTATCGACTCGGATCTTGGGTCCATCCATCTTCCCACTCTGCTCGCTTCCTGGCCGCGGCGACGTCGGTTTGGAAAAGGGACAGTGCAGGTTACCCTGGGTACCATTTGTAGTGAAGTCCTGCTCCAGCGAAGGGTCCGGACCGCGTGCAAACATGCAGGAGTTGACGGAGGATATTTGGGAGAGACCATCTTGGGACCGAAGCAATGCCTTGTAGCCCTTGACTCCGTTCACGATGGCCCGAGTGGCATTTTCGTCTACATTTTGGTGTGAAACGAGCGTCTTGATTACTTCCATTGAATTCAGCGACTGTTCTTCGACGCGGGGCTTGTGCACAAGGCCTAGACACAATTCTTTCTGTTGATCCAGTAACCTCTGTTGCACTTCCATCACATGCGGTCTATCTTGGGGAGGCACCTGCCTGGTGGCGTTGGTGTACTGAAGAGAATGCGAGTTAGCATCCACGTATGATCCAGTTGTCAAAACAAGTGAAAGGAAAATCTCAATCAGATAATACATGTTAATCCGTCACCGCCACAAATATGTGACTACTGATCTAGAGCTAATCAAAATTTCTCATCATTTGAGATGGGGGGGAGGGGAAGGTGCAAGAAGCAAAGAGACAGAAAGGGGTATTTACCTGTTTGAAGACCTCCTCGGTATGTTGCTTCAGTTCATTGTGTCTGTGGGTAAGCCGATAGAGTGTTAGTAGGAGGGCATCGAAAGCTTTGCCCACGGCCTGCAGCTGGTCCAGATGCGGATCCAGCTGCGCCTCCTCGGCGAGCGGAGCTGGCGACATGTCGCTGTGTAGCAGAAATAATTACAAAAGGTCGGAGAGCTTCATTTAGCATCAAGAGATCTCGACTCCATGGGATGGCGCGAAGACCGAACGAAGGATGAGGAGAGAAAGAGAAAGAGGAGCAGACATTTTAAGCTGCCTCCTGATGGGGCGGTTTCGGAAAAACAATAAGCGAGGTGGCCCGTGCTGTGTCACGTGTGTTCCCGATTGGGAATGCCCGAGTTCCCGTCATGTATGTGCATATGGCTGCCACGCATGATCTACACGTCGGGAATTATATGCGGTGGTGTCATCATTCTGGTCTATCCTGGATTTCAGCAGTTGCATGCTATATAACTGCTAGGCAACTGCTGTGGCTGTCCCACACCGTTGGTGGGAATTTTGATTCCGAGCAGCCATCTCGACAATATATATTCCTTTATAGATTCGATCCATATTTACATATCTCGAACTAGTTTGGTATACTCATTTTGAATTTATGTGGATAAAAAGTAAGGGAATCGTCGAAAGTAATGCCGATTATGATCAGAATGAATCGATTCGGGACTGCCGACAACTTTATCTCGGACCGATCGGGGACCATTGTTCTTTAATTTGTAGCCCGCATCTAGTCGATCCCGATATAGACTTTGATCGTTTTCGTTGATGAATCCAATTTGGAGAAACCCTGCCACCAAGCCCTGCCGGGCTAGCTCAATCGGTAGAGCGTGAGACTCTTAATCTCAAGGTTGCGGGTTCGACCCCCGCGTTCGGCTATTCCTACAAATAACCTGAGATATTTCTTTTTTTATCCGGATCGGACTTCTTCTTTATCTTTCCTTTTTTTTTGCCGGTCATAATTAAACTCAGATCGAGATAGATAGGGTGCAAAGGTACCCGATTACCCCTCATTTGTACGACCGGGAGCGAGATTACCCCTCCATGCCCTGCAGAACAGACTTCCTTGTCGACGCCATCAACGGCCCCTCCAGTAGAACCCCTCACTAGTGTTGCATGTCTGCATCAGACTACTGGAATGGTTACAGTGACCAGTTTCAAAACAAAGATACACTGCTCTTTACAGTCCGTGATTCGCCCGCCACTGCCTTTGTAAGATGTGTCAACCCTACAGGAGTCGACGCCCATCTCAATGGTCGATGGTCTGAGACCGACCATCGCCGGGCTTTTATCCGACCGGTCTGGAATCCAGACCGGGTGTCGGATATGAGTCACTAGAAAGTTCGAGGCAGCACCACAACGCAGGAGAACAGAAGCTGGTTCGTACGTGATTCGCAGATCAGTTCTTTGTAGGAACATCGGTGCGCTGCACCAAGCGTCGAGGCCCGCAGCGGGACCTTTCCCCAGCCAGACACACGTCCACCTGTCCTTAGCTGCATGTGCAGATTCTAGAAACGCGAATTGCGTGACGGTCAAGAAATTTACTTACCGATTGACTCTACGTACCTGATTACCTCGTACTTGTCCTTGGTTTCTGGCCCCATCGATCTGCACTGACCGCGATTGTCTGACCGCTCCTATCTCGTATTGAATGCCTCCATCTCACCATGCCCAGACCTCTGTCTGTAAGAGACTCGAGTCTACTCGAGTAGACTCCAGTAGACTCGAGTAGACCCCGGCAGCATAGGGACAATACATTGAGATGTAACGATGCAGACTCGCCGGGTAACGTAGGTCAAATCGAGGGGCAAACTTATCTGCTTATCAGCTCTCGTCCCGGAGACCGGTAATTTTACCTACTGAATTTCATTTTTTATTTTTAAACCTTTCGTCTTTTTTATTCCCCCTCCTTCTCGCTCTCGTCCTCTCTTTTCTCTCATCATGTCCCAATCCACCGCCCCCGATGTCTCCGCCCAAGTCGCCGGACACCCCTCCTCCCATCCCGCCACCGCCGCCGAACTCGCCGGTCTTAAGGTAAAGCTGCGCGGCGCTCTTCGCCAGTTCCCGGACTTCCCCTCCCCGGGCATTCTGTTCGAGGATATCCTGCCTATCTTCGCCGACCCTTCCCTGCACGAGGCTCTGATCCGTTCCCTCGAGCTGCACATCCTCGAGGCTTACGGTGGCCAGAAGCCCGATGTTATCGTCGGTCTTGAGGCCCGCGGCTTCCTGATCGGCCCTAGCCTGGCCCTGCGCCTCGGCGCCAGCTTTGTTCCCGTGCGCAAGCAGGGCAAGTTGCCCGGTCCCTGTGAGACTCAGGCCTACGAGAAGGAGTACGGTCAGGATTTCTTCCAGATGCAGACCGGCTCCATCAAGCCCGGCCAGAAGGTTATCATCGTCGACGACATCATTGCCACTGGTACGTGAGATCTAGGTTATAGGCAAGATGAATCACTGCTAACAATGGATATAGGTGGCTCCGCTCTCGCTGGCGCCCAGATGATCCAGAAGATGGGCGGCGACCTGCTGAGCTTCATTTTCATCCTCGAGCTCGAGTTCCTCCACGGCCGCGACAAGCTCCCGGCCCCCGTTTACACTCTCCTCTCCGGTCAGGCCTAATTGCGTTCAACTGGCACGCCGTGAACGTGTGACCAGCGACCACCGATATTGGTCCACTTTCGAAGACCCTCTCAAAAGTTTGCTCGCGCAGTGGGGGCGAACAGCCCACCCTGCACCCGGATACAGCCGCTCCCGAACCGAGTCGATCCGACGTCGTGCGGTTTGTTTTTGTCTGTTTATATTGTCTCCCCACTGTGCGCTGGAGTAGAGCCGGGCTCTCACCCACTTAATGAAAATATTATCCCTACTTATAGACAGATACCTCGAATTGTTTGCTGTCTTATGTTGATAGCTTGGCTCATTTCAACTCCGTGCTATGAATTCTAAACCCGGGCTTCGATCGGGGATCATCCACGGATACCTCGGTACAATTGCTGCTCCCTTTTCAAGCTTCAGCTCTAGCTCTTTAGCTCTTTAGCTTCTAGTCTGAGATCTATGTCATGCAAACCCTACTGCTTAGGGATAAACCGCCTCAGAACCTCTTCCAGCCAATCCCCGGGAACTCCAAGTGCCTCGGACTCCCGAATAGCCCGGTTCATCCTAGGGATATACTCCGCATTGGGAGGACCGAGAACCACTCGCTCCTCATCCACGTACACGAGCGTAGGCACCAATTCCCCCTTCCCCGTCTTCAGCGGATGATCGTCTCCACCGATCCACTCAACAACCTCCGCTGGGAGATACCACTTATTGTAATCCCCATCCCCTTGCTCTCGGGGCCGAATATCAAGCCCGAGCTTATCCCCATCTGCTTCGTCTGCTCGGTGGTCTACGCCTTCATACCCGTCCAGAACGAGCTCGTCGCCTGGATCCATCTCGTACAGAATACCGTAGACGGCATCTTCCTTCCCGGACCTAGGGATCTTGCGCGCGACATCGCTATCTTGAGCTCCGATGCGCATCCGAGGCGGTGGAAGGACGTTGGCGTACCCCGCTTCGCAGATAAGCCAGCGCCATTTGGGCAGGATGGCGATGGCGAGTGGTTTGCTGGATAGAGCGGGGTTGATAGTGCAGCGCTTTTTCATCTGTGTTGGTGATAGGTTGGACCCGTACGCGAAATACAGGTGTCGTTTGACCTCGGGCTCTGGCTCTGGAGCGAGAGGTTGCCCTGTGCTTGGGTCATGGCAGACTGCTCGTGAGACTGGGAATAGTGTTTCTGATGGCGTGTTGAGGCCGATGGTGATATGCATGTTGGGGTTGAGTGAATGCGGGGAAGTGTCTGCGCCGGTGGGTAAATTATATTGAAATAAGGTTTTCCGGGTACGCAGGTCAGGAGAAAATGCAAGGGCGAGGATTTTGACTTTGCTGGGTGATTAAAGGATTGACTTATCCAATGTCCCTCGGAGTATGAAATGGGAAGTTGAGAGTTGTGAAGCTCCGATGTCGACATCGGTCTCCACGCAGTGACTCAGCTCCGCAACTTGCCGCAACTTGCCCTTGAATTCGAGAATTGGAATATATATACAAGATCTATAACCCAATATGATACATTTATTAACTACATACACACGAAGCATAGTATAAATGTTGTATTGCTCATCCAGTCGTATAAAAGTGCAGGGATATTACGAGACACATGCGCGGTATCAGGACCTTCAATCGCTGGAAACAAAAAAACAACAACATAATGCAACAAAAGAGATTCGGTTCAACGTTTGGGAATTATCCCGCTCATCCGGCTTCCTGCACCGGCCATCAGACTCTGCTTTACAATGGCATCTGCGGCAGCAGCTGCGGCCAGTCTTTCCTTTTGACGACTGCGATCGCGCAGATAACCGGTTGCCTCGGGCCGCATACGCAGAATGCGCAGGATCATGTCGTCGTTGGGCTGGGCTTGTTGTTCTCTGCGCTTCTCCTCCTTCGCCTTCTTCATGGTTCCCAGGTTGCGGGACACCATGATGCTCTTAGCGCGCCGGGCTGCGGGGACGCCTAGTCCGCCGTGACCCGGCCCGGTGGCGCCGAGATGTGCGGGTGCAGAGATGCGATTGCGATTGGCTTGTTGGTGGCTGACAGTCGCCGAGGCCATTCGCTCAGAGGTGCGGATCAGGTTATCCGTGGGTTCAAAGTAGAAGAAATTCAAAGTCTGAATCTCGTGGTACTTGGTGGATTTCAGAATGTCGATGGAGACACCCCCTGCTTCACCAGTCTCATCATCGACTGCGTGGAAAAAGTTGAGAAGTAACACGAGCCAGCGTGAGACAATATCCACTTCTTGCATTGTCAGGGGCTTTTGGTGCGACGGCTTATCTGAGAGAGGTGGAACGAGCAGGCCCTCAATAGTGGCGAGAACCTCCTTCCACAGACGCGCCATCACCATTCTCATGGCTTCACCGGTAAGTGTCTTGTTCATAATGGCAAAGTTGTCGTTGAAGTAGTTGAACAGTGGATCTAATGCGTTCTCAATATCTTCCTGTTTTGGTCCAGTGGAGACCTGTGGTTGCCCTCGGTTTCTGTTCAGGAAGTTGGAGACGGTCGACATGCTGAGCCCACGAGAGAGCAAGGATTTAAGCGTTCGGCGCGACAAACAGTGACTGATATATGCGGAAAGCTAACAACGGAAGATTAGTAAAGAATGGCTCGGCATTTGCGAATAGAGTTTGCAAACCTTCTCAGTGATTCTCCGAGTCATATCTCTCTCTGTCCGCTTCAGGGTGCGGAAAGCCTTGCCGAAATAGAACTGGATGTCGTCGCGCTCGCCTTCCATGCTGACACGCAGAAGAAGCCGTCCTTGAGTGTCAAGATCGAGCCAGTACTCCCTTGGCAAGAAATCGCTGAAGTGGACCGGGTCGAGCTTGATTGAGGTTCGACCGACATAGTCGTGATCGCCCACCGCATCCCAGTCCCAGATCGTAGCGATGATGTTTAGCGGGCCCTGTGTCGTGATGTCCACTGCATCTTCCCAACGGGGGTTGAGGTTGTTGTAGATGATACGCGTCTTTGCAATCCGTTTTTGATATTCGTCGGTCAGGACGACGTACGGATCACTGCCGCCATTCATGTCGCACGCCTTCAGGTCTTCTGCCTCCACGACCTTGATCGTGAAGACGTAGGTGGTGGATTTTCGTACCTTCTTCAATTGCGGAGGTGTGTTCTTCGCGATGACATCTGCGCATCCATCCACATTGATGTCACCTTCGAGTCTGTCCAATTGCGCAATCGCATACTCGATGTTGTTCAACTTGACCAAAGACTGTTCCTTAAATTAGCAATGGAAAATGACCAAATGCATACTTAACACATACCTCCGAGGAGAACTGGAAGGGCTCGATCTTCTCCTTGTTCGTCCAAGTGTCTTTGGCAAATTGCATGAGCTTCTCCTGAGTAGTTTGGTTCAGTGCTGCCTCTTGCTCCGGTGTAAGGCGGTCCAATTCCCGAGCAAACATCTGCTCCAAGGATTCACAGTACTTCGCGACACCTTTGCCGATCGAATTGGACAGAGCTGTCATGAACTTCGCATATTGAAGATCATCGTCCCATTCGAGCTGCACAAGATTTTCCACCACCTGGTTGAATGATCGGAAAATATCAATCACTGATACACTGTGGCGGTTTTCTTCCGGAGCTATGTCCGTTGGTTCATTTGCGCGGACCTGGAAGACATCTTGCCTGATGGCTTGGTTGACCCATTCCATGACGCTCTGGTCTGTCAGACGGAGCCATCGCCAGACAAATTCTTCCAGTAGGCTCTCCACGTGGAATGGGAAAGGAGTTCTGATATCAGTCAGTCGAATGTCAAAATGTGACCGGGGCTTCCAATGGTTCATACTCAGGTATCGTTTTCACAAAGAGAGTCCTGATTTCAGCAAGCTTTCGGTACAAATCGAAACCATCCTCGATGGCGATCTCTTCACCCATGGATTTGGCCTGATCAATGATCCGGATGACCATTTCATGCGCATCTTCAGCAAACATGGGCAGAACATTGAGGCAAAGTGTGGTGTAGGGATTGACGCTATCCATTGTTAGTCCGACTACAGCCACGGAATTACTGCGATAACATACCCCATGATCTCAGGGTTGTTCCTGTACCGCTTTTGAATCTTCTGCGCAAGTCTCGAAATTGCATCACCCAGTTGGATGATATTGTCCACTTGCCAAGATTCCTGATCGATGGGAATTAATTGACCAAGAAGACTCTGGTACTTCTCAGTCGCCTTTTGAGCAAGGCCATCCTGCACATATGAGCAGAATCGATCGATGTCCTCCGGGTCTTCTGTATAGTTCGGGTCCATCTGGATGTGATTCTCCAAAATGTACATCACAGGCCCAATGGGCCGTGGCTTTGTCTCAAAACAGTCCATCATCACATCATAAAGTTCTCGTAATAACGCTTCATGGATCTTGGAAAGAAGCTGCTGCATCGTCTGAAGATCATGCACAGTCCATTTGCGTCTGTCAAAGACGGAGGATGCTATGAAACTGGTTCGCTTTGATCGGCTCTCGCTAGGTGGTGATTCCTTCACAAAAGTAAAGGCCGAATCCAGAGTATTGAGATCAATCTCGTTGTCCACAAACTTGGATTGAACGACGTCGAGGAAGAGAACAATGCGGGAGAAGTTGGGAATCCGCCAGCGGAGACAAATCTCATTAAGCATTTCAGTGGACTGTTTCGAAAGCAGCTTCATCGATGGCGCCTCGGATGTAGCCTGAGTAGCTTCGATTTCCCGATCGCGCATGTCATGGGCCAAGGTCTGGGACAGGATGAATCTGTAAACGGATCGGGGGTCGGATGGAATGAACGTGTACGTATCCGACTCGTCCGAGTCACCATCAGTTCCTCCTAAAGAAAGAGAGCCGAGATCGACAGGTGAGTCAATGACATATGATGTTCTATCTGTGCGGCCAGAAGATGTCCTTGATAAGTCCTCGTCGTGAGAAGCTGGATTAAATTGAGGTAGAGATCCTGGTGTGCTCTTTGCAAGTTCTGGATTAGATTGCACAATCGCAAGCATCATCTGCGAGAGATCGGGCCCTTCGCTTTTCTTCCAGGTTTCATAAGCATCGTCCGTTTCAAAGTCCTCCCTTGATAAAGTCTTGCGGGTTTGAAGGTTGAGGTGGGCCTGATAGGTCTTGAGATCCTGCAGCGCTGCCTTCTCGGTCCAAACAGACTTGTGTTTATCAATTTCGGATTGAGCCTGGGACAGTGTCATTCCAAAGACCTTGGCCACGTGCTGCACAAGAAGCATGTCTTTGACATCATAGCTCAATGGTGCCACAACCTCGGTGGTTGATGCCATGCCATTCACCTCCATCAAATCTTGGTCCTGTGACAGAAGCTTGTTCTCCAGTACTGACAGTCGGTTTGCCAGCTCGGGGCGATCCTTGGCCCAGTCATTGCTCTTCAGAATCAGGGCAAGGAGTCGCACAAAAAGAGCAACATGCCGGTCCACCATAAGCTTCCAGCCACTATCGTCGTGTTCCTTGCCCTTGCTAAGCTCCTTGATGGCGTTTGAGTAGAAGATAAGGACCAGATCTTCGGCGCGCCTGTCTTTTTCCATGCGCTTGCGGAATGAGTCTTCTTTCAGGACGTTGAGAAAGACGGCGAACGTGCGCACCACTAAGTGATCCTGGTATTCCTTTCTCTTCTCTTTACCCATTAAAACACCCGTTAGGCGTTTTTCCAGCTCGGACAAGAACCCATGCGGAATCCTCGTACTCTTGGAGTCTCTGACTAGCGAAAAGTCACTCATTAAATCATGGATCGACGTAGACGCCCGCTTCGGGCGCGCAGGCGCGGACGCGGCGGGCGCATTTTGAATGCGACGCGAACGAGGGTGCAGCAGGTAGGAGAGGTAGGCTACGCGGAGGGCATGGTTGCAGGCGACGTTGGCGTTGAGGGGCCGGCGCCGGGAGACAGAAGAGTTGCGCGAATGGCGCCCTTCATTCTGGATGCTATTGATCCGTCGGTTGACTCCTCGGGACTGACTGGAAGCTGTCGACATGGGGCGCTCGGGGGGTGCGTGAACGATTCGAAGGGACAGCAGGACTGCGGGACCATGGATGGTGAAAGCAGACCACCGCGGCGGAAGAAGCCTTGAACTTTTTTGCTCCCTGGTGTCTCAGAAAGGGTGGGAACACCTTGGCAGAACTTAGGGGCAGAGGGGAGGAAAATGTCTCGAGTGTTTATGGAGAAGAAAGGAGGGGGGAAGAGATGAAACCCCAAAAAGCTGCCGAACCAACTGACGTAGGCGCCCGCACCGTAAACAATGCCCTTTGAACCATGAACCAGCACTTGATTCGTTCTGAAAGCCCAGACTATTCGTGCTCCTGCGGCAACTCTGCTCTCTCCCTTGGGCGCGATACCGAGGTCATGCAAGGGTGCATCATATAACAGGGGTAAGGCGATGATATTGTGTTGTGGGCTACTTTCAAAAATAGTAGATATCTTATTATTTCGACATATTTAAAGACACTTGTAAGAAGATATCGTGACAATATATATAACACTGTCCAAAAAGGCGTTTTAAAAAACGAGTTTCAAAAAATGTCTTGAGAGATTTAGAAGGAATAAGAGAACAAGGTGTTTTGGCCAACTTACAATATCTTCTTGGACCCCTTGTATGTATTCCTACGAATTCTGCGAGCAGCGCGTACGGTTCTGGTTGGTGAATTTGCTGGGTTTTCGGTCCCTTGAATTGTCCTAGCTCTTCTACGGATGTTGCAACGTTGTCTCCTGCTGCTGCACGAGGGGAGCGGCGGCACCAGCCTTTCCCAATGGTTGGAATGTTATCAAATGAAATGAAATCGGGTTGGATTGTGGTCGGAGTTCTTTTCTTGGACTGATTTAGCATGTATCGAAGAGCCAGAAACACTTTCTCGGCCAATCGACAATCAGACCTTCAAGGGACGCCGCATATAGGAAACAATTCGTACTGGTATTTACACAACAACAAAAAGAAACGCAGATGTGAATCACCACTTGTCCTCACCGGACTTGCGAGCCTAGTCAGAATACGTTAGTGTTGGAGTTCAATAGCGGGAGGTTCTGGAGTGGATGTATGATAGGCGTACCGGCACGGCGTGAGCTCCTCCGAGCTCCTTCTCCAGACCATCAGCATAGGTCTTAGGAGCACTGGGCTTGTCAGGGTAGTAGAGGCTGACAACGCCGCAAAGGCCCAGGAAGGTAACCACAAAGACCCCCAGGTGGAAGAAGCCCTTGCGGGAGGAGACGTGGGTATATTGCTCGGGACTAAAGACACCGAGAACCTCGTTGTCATCGTGGACCGGCTCGCCGAAGTTTCGCTTCTCCTGCGCATCCCACCAGCCGCCATAGGGATCTCTGAAAGATCGCTTCACGCGGGGAGGGTTCTGGTAGCCGCCATTCTGTCACACACAGTTAGAATACCGTCATTGCCCCATCAGAGCGATGGCACAGCGGCCATATTGACGCCGTACCTGAAGAGGGTCTTCGATTTCGGCAGCACGGAGGGCCGCGACTTGGGAGAAGGATGCGCGGGGGGCAATAGCGTGGCGGGCAGCAACCTGGGGCAACCGCCGGGCTAAGATCCGTTGGGACAGCATCTACGATTGGGAGTCAGTAACAATGAAAATAGCAGGATCAGATCGGTCATGATCAAGTGGGATACTAACTGCTCTGCCAAAAGACCGGAGAAATCAAGGGACGGTGGGTGACAGGAGGGATTGAGGTGAAGTGACAGGGTTTCGATGATGGAAACGGAGGTTTGCGGCATGGATGCCTGAGGCATCAACAGGCATCCAGGCGCGGCGCGCTTACAAGTCCAAGTGTCGTTCCCCGACGAGAAAAAACCATCATCACGCATTACCCCATCCTGCCGATTTTTCCGTCCCCATCCGCGCCAACGTGCCGATAAGCATGCCAAACTTCTGGTGGCAACTTGAATCGATCATATCTACCCGTTGATGCCCATATCGCCTACTCCAAGCGCGCCATCGTTGCGATAACTGGGGTTAGCTACGCAGAAGGCCCCTGTCGTCTGCGGCTTAAGCCATGCAAAACGGCAGCCCCAACGGCCCATCACCCCAAGATGAACTCTTAACGCCGGTACCTGATTCTCCACGTCGCGAAGATTCGGTCTTGCAAAATCCGCCCGATTCTGGCCCCTACGACTCGATCCCTTCCGACCCGAAAGACGAGCCGAAAGATGACGAAGCTACACACGATCTAGACGGCCCTCCATCTAAGAAGCGGAGACTCACAGACACGACTCCGTCGCGCCGCTCGACTCCCCGACAATCCTCGCCGCCATGGAAGAAGCCCGGGATAGAAGGACCAACCTCATTCGTTGTTGAGGGTCGACGCCGATCAGGGCGGCAGAACGCGCTCCCTCTGGATCTGCAGCCTCAGTCCGATAAGCGACAGACACGCGCGGCGCAACAAACATATGTGACCAAGAACTCTCGCAGCGCGAAACCAGCTACGTCCTCACCGTTGGCTGTGACGCAGTCGCGTGCCGGTCTCAACGGTAAGCTTGGTGGCAAAGCAGCTGTCAATGGGTCACCTCGGACTGGTTCCACCAAGGGCGTCGCCAGTAAACAACAAAAGGTCTCGCAATCACCAATGCCTAAACCAACACGCGCGCGAGCGGGATCTCGGAGCTCCGGTATCTCGCAGCGCCCTCGTCCCAGTCTGAACGGCACCAGTCCACGTCAGCTTCGCGATCGTCCATCCCTTTCGAATACCTCCCCTACGGCTGCCGGCGGCTTGGATGATACCAATGGAAATGTTGAGGAGGTGGAAGGTTCACAGGTTGTCCCGCGGCTCCGAATCAAAGTGAAGAAGCCAATTCTTCCAATCCGACATCCAGGACACGTGTCTGGCAAGAAATATGACTCTTTCAGAGAATGGTTGGATCGCGAGGATGCTCCAAACCTCCTGTCATCGGAAGAGGCTTTGGAGGAGGCCCTGCGGCGTCGTGAAGTCTTGAATGCAGTTAAGCCTGGTGGCCCATTGAGCGAGGAGGTTTGCTCGGCATATATTACAGACCAGCAGGAGGAACCCCCGCCTCAGTATTCGCACCAGGACCATCTGGTGAACCACGCATTATACTTTCAGAAGCTTCTGGAGAAGGAACAAAAGCGCCATCGGCAAACGGCTAAGCTATTTGCGCAATGGTGTGCCGACGCTTATCGAAAACGCCATAAGAACCCGGAGGACATTATTCGTGAGCAGCAAGAGGAAGTCCGTGGGAAGCGCAAGCAGCTGGCCAAGGATCTCCAGAAGATGTTTGATTTAGCACGCGCCGAGATTGACCGCGCCCGGCTGGCCCGTTGGGAAGAAGAGCGCAAGGTGCAGGACCAGCAGGCTCTTGACCGGGCCATTAGGAAGTCCACGATGCTTTTCGAGAAGCGCCGATCTGAAATCCTAGGCGAGGTTCCCAGCGATGCTCCAGCTACGAGCGACGATGAAGGTGACGTGGACTCTGCATCGGACTCTTCCGGGGAAGATGACGAAAGTAACATGTCCGACTCGGAAGCTGAATCTGACGATGAAGCCAATGTCGATGCTGATGCTTCTTTAACCGCCGAGGAGCTTCGATTGAAGTACGCCAATCTACCCGTCGAGGACACGGACCAGATGTCCGTGACTTCAGGAGCCACAGATCCCAATGCAAGTGAAGCCGTGCCAGACGAAGCTGATTCCCAGGCAGTTTCTGGGGATGCTCAGTTAGACGACGTCGATTCTGTGTTGATGGATGATAGCGATGAATCTACCGACATGGACGATGATATGGGTGACAGTGACGGCGATGAAGAAGAAGGATCGAGCGAGGAAGAATCGGAGGAAGAAGGCGGTGGATCTGGCTTGCTCGGCTTCTTTTCGTCCAAAGATGCTGCTGTGCCTGAAGGCAAAGGGGAAGAGGAGGACGACGAAACCTTCGATGTCGAGAAGTACCAAGAAGTGAAATCACCAGAAGCTGAGGAGATTGGTGTCGAGGATCCCGATGAGGTTTCCCTTGTTCCTAATGGGATGACACTCGACGATGGAATCTCAGCCGAGGGCACACCTTTAGAAGTTGTCGAAGCCTCCGAAGAAACTCCTGCTGGCACTGACGACGCATCCATGATCGACACGCTCATTGAGGATGGACCTATGGAGCCCACTGCTGTTCCAGAAGCCACGGAGCTGACTGAGGATGTTGTCCTGTCGGAGTCCGTTGATGTCGAGTCCACACATGACATGCGACTCAGTGGAGAGGTATCCAGCGAGGCCTCTCCCGGAACCTTCGCCACCAAACCATCTGAACCCGAATCTGTCTCATCGTACGAGCCTGCAATCGAAAAGGCACTGCAGACCAGCCATTCTCCTGCCCCCGGCTTAAAAACCCCAATTCCGCATCTCCTGCGCGGTACTTTGCGTGAGTACCAACATTACGGTCTGGATTGGTTGGCTGGCCTCTACCACAACCATATCAACGGCATCCTGGCTGATGAGATGGGTCTTGGTAAAACCATCCAAACAATTGCCCTGCTTGCACATCTTGCTGTAAACCATGGTGTCTGGGGTCCCCATCTGGTTGTTGTCCCCACCAGTGTCATGCTCAACTGGGAGATGGAGTTTAAGAAATGGTGCCCGGGTTTCAAAATTATGACATACTACGGCAATCAAGAGGAGCGGAAGTTGAAGCGAAAGGGCTGGACTGATGACAACGCATGGAACGTGCTGATCACTTCGTACCAACTGGTTCTGCAAGATCAGCAGTCCTTGAAGCGAAAAGACTGGCATTATATGGTTCTGGATGAAGCGCATAACATCAAGAACTTCCGGTCGCAGAGATGGCAGGCTCTTCTCACGTTTAAGACTCGCGCGAGGCTGCTTCTAACAGGGACACCGCTTCAGAACAATTTGACCGAATTGTGGTCTCTCCTGTTCTTCCTGATGCCCTCCGATGGCCCCGGTACCGGCGTTGAAGGGTTCGCGGATTTGAGGGACTTTTCTGAGTGGTTCCGGCGGCCGGTGGAACAAATTCTCGAGCATGGAAGGGAGACAATGGACGATGAAGCCAAGCAGGTGGTCACCAAGCTTCACACTGTTCTCCGTCCCTATCTCTTGCGTCGAATGAAGGCCGATGTCGAGAAACAGATGCCCGGCAAGTACGAGCATGTCGTTTACTGTCGACTGTCCAAGCGCCAGCGCTTCCTATACGACGGTTTCATGTCGATGGCCCAGACGAAAGAGACCCTTGCCTCTGGCAACTTCCTCTCTATCATCCACTGCCTCATGCAGCTCCGCAAGGTCTGCAACCACCCAGATCTCTTCGAAACAAGACCTATTTCCACCTCCTTCGCAATGCCCCGGTCCGTGGCTCTTGAATACGGAGTGAAGGAGAGCCTTGTCCGGCGTCGGTTGCTGTTTGATCACCCTCTTACCAAGGTTGACCTTGATTTCCTCAACTTGGCTCCCGTGTCCAGGGAGGATATCTCGCGACGACTCGCCGATGACGGTATCCGCCTGATGGCATTTGGACCGTTCAAAGCCCTTCGTGAACGTCAATACCAGCGAACCAACTGGAAGATGGAGTTTGACGGGTCCAGCATGGAGAACATCCTGGAGTCCCTAGAAAACGCAGCCCGGAAGAGGAGAATGGCCGAACTGGAGCGATGTCTTTACTTTGAGTCCAAACGCCACGGTCGCCGGCCTGTGTACGGCAGCAGCTTGATCGAATTCCTAAGAGCTGGGACCAAGGAGCACGCCCTCGCCAATGCCCCCTTGAGGAAACGCAACATGGCTGACTGGCTATCGAGTCGGTCGTCAGTCCTTGCGTCGATGATCCTGACCGTTGAGGAACGTTCCCGCGACATGGATGGCTACGTACAGCACTTTGCCTGCGTCACCCCTGCTGTCGTCGCCGCTGGCATGACGGAAGCTGCGTTGACACCCGTTGAGACACGACTTTTGACCAACACCTCCAAAGACCAGCCGTATGATCCCTTCCATGAAGCGCGGATGCGCTTGTCTATCGCGTTCCCGGACAAGAGACTGCTGCAATACGACTGTGGCAAACTGCAGCGCCTAGACAAGTTGCTACGGGACCTCAAAGCGGGCGGCCATCGAGCCCTGATCTTCACACAGATGACGAAGATGCTCGATATCCTGGAGCAGTTCCTCAACATCCACGGACACCGCTACCTACGTCTCGACGGAACTACAAAGGTCGAGTCGCGACAGATGTTGACCGAGCGTTTCAACAGCGACCCTCGTATCCTAGCCTTCATCCTGTCCAGTCGATCGGGCGGTCTTGGTATCAACCTCACGGGTGCCGACACAGTCATCTTCTATGATCTGGACTGGAATCCCGCCATGGACAAGCAGTGTCAAGACCGTTGCCATCGTATCGGGCAAACGCGCGACGTCCACATCTACCGCTTCGTGTCCGAGTATACCATCGAGTCCAACATCCTCCGCAAGGCCAATCAGAAACGCATGCTGGATGACGTGATTATTCAGGAGGGCGAGTTCACCACGGACTACTTCACAAAGTTGGACACGCAGGGCTTGGCCGAAAGTGACGAGCGAGATGGTCACGACGAAGCCAGCGCAGCCATGGATCGGGTCCTCGGTAACCGTGTCACCACCGGGACCCGTGCCTTCGAGCAGGCCGAAGATAAGGAGGATATCGATGCGGCCAAAAATGCGCAGAAGGAGCTGGAGCACGCCGACGATGGCGACTTCGAGGACCGCAGTGCCTCACATGGCACGCCCGCCCAGGTCGGCACACCACTGGCCGGGGCCGGGCCCGACGATGGTACGCCCGCTCTTGGCATCGGTAGTGAGCCCCAGCCTAGTCACATCGATGACTACTTGCTTCGTTTCATGGAATGGAACATGCGAAACGAGCCCCTGGTTCTACCCCGGGACAAAAGCAAGAAAAAGTCCAAAAAGGGCAAGGAGCATCACCTCAAACGGCGGCGCTGAGACCGTCACCCTCAGCCTCTTACCTCTCCTGGAAGGTTGCATATTCGGGGGTTAAAATTGGCAGGGACTTCCCTGTCTTCCACATAAGCTCCACTCAAGCGTTTCACAATTCAATTCTTTTGAGTCGGGCTTTTGAGTCGGGCTTTTGAGCCGGGCTTCGGGTACCCAATTGAGCTGCACTTCGCATCTTTCGTTAATCGGTACCGAACTTTCCTTCCTCGCCTCATGGCGTTTTTGACCCCTGGCCATGTGGTATGTGGAGTCTTCCATCTTCTGGTGTTCCTTGCAATAGTGTCGAACGAAGTGGGATAGGAAGAAGTGGAAGGAAAGAGGACAGACAGTGCGAAAGACATGAAGAAGAGGCCTGAGCTGAGAGCTCATCTCATCTGTACACTACTGGAATTTATTAGCGTGTTTGTTTGTTTTTCCTTTCGTTTTTTTCTTTTTGTATAATGCTGTGTTAATATCTACGTTGATCTTCTTTTTCTCCACCGATCCACTCCACTGCATAGCGCAGAGATTCTCATCCTTTCCTTCTGGGGATTGGTCACGGCGGTTCTGTGCTTCTACAGGCTGCTTCCTTAGTAGGAATCCTATTCCAGAACGGCTCCGGTCGAATGCGTTCCAGCCTATCCTGGTACCAGGCTTTCGATAGAATTCCCCCTCTCGACTTAAAATCACGGAGAATATACTACTTTTGGTATCCAGTGGAACTTTGCTCTCCCCGACACGATGGATCGACGACTCGGAGCTGCTCGGGACCCTGATCTTCGTTATCAGACTTTCTGGCTTCTGCACTTTTGACCCCGGTCTTGGAGTATCACGGAGGCAAAGAAGGGTCCGTGTGTTCACTCTCGTAGCGAGGCCCCGTGTTTTAGGTTCCTTGATTTGTTTGTTTCAGACCAGGCCCCGGTGTATAGCTGGATGGGTTCGAGTTGGAGACAGGGTGAAGCATTACCATGGGTGTAGGTTGGATCAATGGCAGGGTAACTTCTAGGCCAGAAGGATATCGCAGCCGGGAGTACGGATAATCCACTACCACATGGAGGGAAACCAGGAATACCTGACGATCCTCTCGGGGCTCCGTCGATCCTCCCCCCTGTATCCCAGTCTCGGACGGACTGCCGAGAACCAATGCCGAGTTGATCTCTCGCCAAGCCATTGGACGATGTTCGTCAAACACGCCCCACCTTTCGGGGACCTAAGTGGGGCGGGTGAAAGTGAAGAGGAATACGACAGAGGCCTGGGGTCGATGGAGACAGTTGGAGTAAGAACCATAATGTAAACCTTGTTGCAAATCCGGTTTCCACGGTTCACGTTCTGCAGAGGATGTCAAGTGAATCCAAGGACCGATGATTTCCCCGCGATGAAATGAAGAAGTGTTCTCGACGGGGCTGGAGAAGATGCAAATTATTGCGAAATGGAGATTCCACTGGATCCTGCGCGTGATGTGACTGGAGAATTCACCGTGCAGGGCGACATTACCCGGGACCTGCACCAATGGAGATCAGAGGTGCGGAGATCTCTTAAAAATATCGACCGGTCTGATTGACCCGGTTTCATAAAATCGACGCAAGCCGGTCACCTCATTGGGTCGGCGAAATGGCGCGAAAAGACTGGGATTAACAATGGCCCGATCGGAGGCAGCCTAGGCGCAGATTAGACGCAGTCGGGCTGTGCCAAGAAGAAAGCCTATGCCTAAATGGCTAATTGCGGTGTCTGGTGTCTCAGCGCCTCTACATCTCCGCGGCAGTGTGTGAGATCTTTGATCGTTTATCGTGGGCGCAAAACGCCCCAGGGGTCAAAGGCCCCGTAGACCCAACCCCACTTCGCCGATCACGCCGCTATAGCCTGCCAGTCAGCGCAGACGGCAAGAGGCGCCGCTGCGGTTTGGGAACTTTCTAAGCTTTCGACAAAAGAAATCTCTAGGGTTTCGGGGCTTTCGGCCGGTGGAAACTGGGAAATGAAAGTGGACAAACTGGGATCAAAGATCAACTCCTCCCGTAGAACGAGCCAGGGTAGCGATGGTCCCAGAGCCCCGGCGAGAAGGCAACCCTAATTGTGGTGTTGCATTGTTCTATACTTCGATGAAAAGGAAAATATTCCCCTGGATCCAAGGTTGACAGCTCGTAGATTGTGGGACAATATGGAGGTCGAACACCCACATGAGTGGTTGGCGGTGGGTGACAAAAGCACCTCTACGAAGTGGCGACAGGACCGAGCTTCTGGACTTTTGCTTTTCGCGGGAATCTGCTCACCCCAGGTGAGGCGTATGTACAGTATACCGGCACTGCGGGTGTGAGGGAGGCTCTGTCCTGACTGGGTATTTGAGGTCGATTGTGGATATCTACCACGTCCACTATTGAGGACCCGGGAAGATCTCGGGCGATCCACGTCGTGATCGATTGGCGCAACCACGAACTGGTACCCCACTCGGAGCGTCATTATTGGTTTTGTCCGCGAGGAGTCGGCTTCCCACGAGACGGCACACCCGCCCCGAGAGCTTCCTAGCGTCTTCGCTCCTGGGAGACTCCCTCGATTGACCGCAAAGGGGAAGTAAGCACCGGCAGCAAGCGCGGCAGCAAGCGCGATGCGATATGGATGAACAAGCTCGAGGGAGGCGATAGGAGGGGGAGAATTGACAGGGTCCAAGGCAGTGAGTTCACCGTGCCGTTGTTTCAGAGGTGTAGGAGGTTTACCGTATTGGGGCACCAGTATGCCATTTCCAAAATTCGGCTCTGCGCACATGTCGAAATTCTATCGGAACGAAGGTTTGGAACGCCCAACGGCTCTTGTTTTTCTTATTTGGGAAGTTGTCCGGTGAAGAGTCCACTCCAAGGCACCGCGTGAGGATCCCCGATCGGCGATGATCGGCGGACCTTTTGGGCTTCAGAGCCAGCCGAACGCACGAGTGGAACCCGTTCGGACTGGTGGAGAAGGAACGTGAGGAGAGAACCGGGCTTATCAGGCTGCGGAGCTCGATCCACAAGGCTAGCTCGGTACCGGAGATCCAAGTGTGCATCACCACATGACCGGGATAGGCTATCCACGTTGTGTAAGGTCGTTGGTTCCAACCTGTGTACAGGGGTAGGAAGCGGAGGAAGAGCAACGAGCAGTACACCAGGAAAAGGATGGATAGATCAACTCTCGGCGGTTTCTTTCAGTTCGCGCAGCAAAAGCAATGCCGGGTGGCAGATGACCAGTCGAATCTGGGCCATCTCATCCATCGCAGGGGAGGGGTTTCATTCACGAACGCCGATGCGCCAAGGGCCGGACAGAATTGGAGGTTGATGGTGCCATATGTCAATGACCCACAATCATGAGGATCCTCGGCGATCCACGGACCACGTCAAGAATCGTCATGGTCAATCCCGGAATGATCGACCATGCGTGGAGGCCGCGGGCGCAACGCACTGAGCGTTTGGTGACAGGCCCGTCTGGGAGATTGGTGCCGCAGCCTTGGTTCCAGACTTGTTGAGTCTATATCGCGCCTCCCCGGACCCTCGGTTTCCACTTTCACTGCTCTACTTAACCCTCTTTCCTCCCCATCCCCTCTCTCGCTTTTGATTTGTACCTCTACTTTACTTGGAGGTATACAATCACACACTCATTGACATCCTTCATCGCCTATCAGAATGAAGACTTCCATATCTTCGGATGTGTGGGAGAAGAAGAAGGCCTTGATCGCCAAGTTGTACATGGAGGAGGAATGGCCCCTCAAGCAGGTCATCAAGCAGATTCGTTCCGATGATTTCAATCCTAGGTGAGTGCGATCGTCGTTCAAAGCTCCGGTTCTTGTTCTGATTCCGATCCCAGCGAGACTCAATTGCGAAGTCGTTTAAAGAAATGGCGAGTCACCAAGCCGTCTCGCCAGACTCGCAAGCAACCCCAGAGATCAATCTCGGGTGACGACGAGTCTGAAAGGGATATGAAGAGTACTTCGTCTGTCTTGTCTCACAATCGCATGTCTCCCGCCGCCAAGGAGATATCCAGCAAGCGTTCGGACTGGCCTGCACACCCAGCCTACGTCTCGTCCGACGTGCACTCCGTGGACCATCAGAAGTGGAACGCTCCCTTTGCCCAGCAGTTGACGCGCACCCTGTCGAGCGAGCACGTTCTTGCCTCGGACAGACATGCCGTCCACCCTTTCTCGGAGTACAGCCCGACCACCGCCTCTTTCGAGCTGCCCGCTCAGACTTCTCCCGTGAGCGAGAGCCTCATGCTCAACGCCACCTCTGCCGCGACGCCTACCTACACGGCATACCCTCTTTCTCCTGAATCCTGCATTCCCAGTCCCGGATCATCGACTGAGCCCGCATTGGCCCAGTGGCCTCCTCGCACCTTCTCGGCCGACATGAACCTCAACCCTGCTCTGCACCCGGGTCACTGGTACCAAATGCCGTTTGAACCCATCACTCCCCCGGCTGGCGTGCCTCATTCTGCTCCTCAGGCTCCTTCTGCACCTCTCTACCGGGATGAGGTGTTATACCGGGATGATATGCAATACCGGGATGAGATGCCCATGGTCGCTCATCACGGCGTCTATCCTCCTGAATTCGTTCACTATGGAGAGACCCCCGAATACCTCGGCTACGATTCCAAGTCTTGGAAGCGTGGTATGTCTCTACAGTATGATTACTACAGGAGGCCCGACCACGAGAAGAAACCCATGCCCTCTTATGGTTACCCACCCGCGGGCATGGTGCCGCTACCTCCTTCCCAGTGTGCACCTCTGGCGTCGTACATGGGCCAGGATCCGATGGCGCAGAAGCCCCCTGGTGTGGGATACTAAGTGGATATGTGGCATATGATACCTTTATACCCTGTTTGATTTTTTTGATTTTTTCTATGGGATCCTATGAAAATGGGTGGCGCTTTGTATCTAATAGATTCTTTGGTGTACAACATACTCGGTGTTGCGTTGGGAGGTCGCTTTGTTTTTGGGTTTGCGGCGTTGGCACGGCTTTTCTCTTTTGATACCTCTTTGTGAATTCGTGTACTTTTTGAAATTCTGAAGAACACTATGATATGATTTGTCTTACTATGTTATCTACATAATCAATGGTCCAAATAACCTTCATCGTTGATCTACCTCCCCGTTGCCAAGTCTTGCTTTATCCGACGTTGAACCTCGGCATCCGGCGCGGGGAAAAACTCCCCAAAAGCTTCCCCAATCTCGCTTCCATTGTTCTCCATCTTGTCACTCTCCATTATCATTGAGCCCTGTTCCTTTGTTCCTCTGCAGGGCAATTCAGTCGCAAACGGTCATTCTTAAAAATGCGCGCTGTCCAAGTCAGCGAATATGTCAAGGTGCGCGACTCCGCTATCTCCGATACACGTCCGCCACCCACCACAAAAGAGCTCACACACAATACAGGGACCCTTAGATCTCAAGGTGACCGAGGTCCCGACACCAACTCCAGCTGCAGACAAATACCTGATTGAGATACATTCAGCCGGTACCAACTTCTTCGACATCCTTCAGATTCAAGGCAAATACCAGCACCAGCCTCCCCTCCCATGGGTCGGAGGTGCTGAGTTCGCCGGAACCGTCACTGCGGTGCCAACCTCCTCCAACTCCCCTCGGTTTAAAGTCGGCGATCGTGTCTTCGGCGCAACTCAGGGTGCATATGCTACTCATGTTCTCGCCACCGAGCAGACCCTCCTCCCCGTCCCCATGGGTTGGAGCTTTGAAGATGCCGCTGGTTTGTTCGTCACCGCACCCACCTCTTACGGGGGTCTAGTCCACCGCGCCGGCGTCAAGGCCGGTGACTGGGTGCTGGTTCACGCTGCGGCCGGTGGAGTCGGATTGGCCGCCGTGCAGATAGCTAAAGCCATGGGCGCGACGGTCATCGCCACAGCGGGAACGGCGCGCAAGCGTGAGATCGCGAAGGAGTTTGGCGCGGACTATGTCATTGACTACACCGATAAGAGCTGGCCCGAGGAGGTCAAGAAGCTTTGCGCTGCAAACCGGAGCGGTAACGGCAAGGCTGGCGTTGATATTGTCTACGACCCCGTGGGTATGATCGAGACTAGTTTGAAGTGTGTTGCATGGAATGCCCGCTTGTTGGTTATTGGTTTCGCGGCTGGCAAGATCGAGAAGGTCGCGCTGAACCGCGTGCTGTTGAAGAATGTCAGTATTGTTGGCTTGCACTGGGGTCAGTATGCCAAGTTTGAGACCCCGACCGTCGGTACTGTCTGGCAGGGGATCTTCGATCTTGTTGCGCAGGGAAAGTTCCGCGGCACTGCGTTCAAGGATGAGAGCTTCAGTGGCCTGGAGAGTGTGCCCAAGGCATTGCATGCGCTAGGCGGCCGCGAGACCTGGGGTAAGGTTGTTGTGAACGTGGTGGGCAATGAGAAGGCCAAGAGCAAGCTCTGAAGGAGCACTCTACGGATACAAGAGTATATACGAGAGAAATGTATGAATGCATATTGATTGATGAAACGTGCATAGAGTATAGATTTGGATGTAGGTGCGCAAGGAGTCATGCTCTCGTAGTAAAATACGAATTCTTCCGAAGAAGAGACCGAGCAAGTGTAACATGAACTATGAAGGCCCTTTTCTTGCTCTAGCAACTCGAAGCAAGAAGAGTCGAGGTCCCCTCTGACGAGGTTCTTCCGACTCGCAATCCAGCTCCAGTCGGTCACGGCCACAAGACGTGGCGCTGTGGTGACTGTCCAATGAAGGGTCCGTGGATCGTCCGGGTAGGACTGGGACAGCTGGATTGAGGAGTTGCGGCGTGTGTTATGTTTGGCGTGGGGGAGTGATGAGAGAATACGGAGTCGATCAGGGGTAAATCGGTCCTAGCAGTAGTCAATATAGACGGGGGTAAGTTGGATGACATGCAGTGTATGGCGCAGAATGCATCATCAGATTCTGGCCAACATGCAGTTGAAGCACCGGATGGAACGAAGTGAAGGTGAAGATGGAAAATCCAGTCAACGCGGGAAAGGCCTTCGCTTAGGGATTAGTCATCACGACTAGTCCTCTGCCAGCTAACTACCCAAAGAAGGAAGTTGAAATATACAACCTTAGTTGTGTAGCTGAATGCATGTATAGCTGGATGCATTTATAGCACGAAAATAGATCAATAATGGTAGCGGATATTTGAAGAGTTCCTTGGCTTTCTGTAATATGTTGTTGCGCTGCGAATGTACGGGCTAGCGTAAGGTATGAGCCAACTATCGCATGCTCTATCGCTATTGTCTAAATTTGTTAATTACCTAAATAAAAATATGGCTTCGGACAATGCATAGAGGTTTCTAAAAAATAGTTATGCTAATTCTATACTTCCTTCTCACGACAGTCCAGGCAACAGATGCGGGTGGATATCACTGGCTCCAAGAATCTAAAGTTCCCATATAATGAGCAGGTTACGAGACAAAATGCGAGCAAACTTTGCAGGTGAGGGGTGCCTTAGTGGTAACCATCATACAAGACCCTGGAGTTGTAGCCCAAGATTCTCGCCCTCGCACAGTGGGGCTGGCCGCCCCTGAGGCTCACATCCGCCACATCAACAAATCATCCACACCCCAACAATTTATCCAAGTCATAGCTCATGCTATCTCGGGCATCCGATGCCGGGGCCTTAGCGCAAGGCCAGCTCCCCTGGCTCGCTGTCATCCCCCCTGAGATTCTGTCGCTGATTCTATCGTCTCTTTCCAATCGGGATCGAAAGTCTCTGCGACTGACATATAAAGTGTTTGAGGAGATCACGCCGTTATGTCTCTCGCGTATGTTTCTATCCGCTAATCCCTTGGATATTGAGGTGTTACACGCTGTCGCAGACCATCCCAGGTTTCGTCAGCAAGTCACAGATAATCTGGGACGATGCGCGCTTTATTACAACACCGGCCCTCTCAGAAGACGAATGGTTCGATATGATAGAGTGTGGAATTCAAACCCCAAAACCTCGACCCCCAAAGATTGACCCTGAATATAATTGCCCCCGTTGGTTCGTAAAAGGGTATAAGGAGAACATCGATTTTATAGGGCAGCGAAAGAACTTCGACCGGGATCTCCCCCACCACATCGCACGGCAGAAACAAGTTGATGCATAGATGTCCCTATGAGATTGCTAGAAACTTTATCAGAAGTTATTATAGCAGCAGGATGAGGCCATATCTTCTCGGCGTGACGAGAATGCTTTTATTTATGCCCTTGACCAATTTCCAGCCCTGGAAAGAGTCACCGTTACACCCGCGGCACAAGGGTGGCTTTATTCTCCCCTATATGAAACGCCTACGATTAGGTCGCTGCCTTACGGGCTCAACTATCCCATTCCGCGAGGATGGCCTGGAGCGGGTTTAGAGATGTATCCGGATCCGATTCCATGGTCAGAGGCGCCAGAGGCATATAAAGAGCAATGGCACGGGGTTCGAATTGTTATCCGCATTCTGACGCAATACAAGCACAATGTCTCAAAGCTAGGCTTTGATTCAGTGTCACTCAGCACCGGCATCAGTTATATGACGTTAGAACAACCGTGCGATGAATATGATCACTTCTTGGCGATAACGAAGCGCCCGGGATTCAGCCACTTAGACCTCTCTTTATTTGTTGGTGGAACTGGAACCTATATTAAGGTAATAATCGTTGGCCCGAAGGCTCTACGCCTTAAGCCACCAATCAATGAATCTCTGGCTTGGCTGAGGCCAATGTTTCTGAGTCTGCGTTCACATCCAATGATCAACCACCATAGCCTGTTCTCCCCCAGATTACCAACCTGTCTATTACGCACTCACACTTCTCAACCGGGTCACACGACGCTCAATTGGTGTCCACCATATTTTCACCGTATAATCACCCTGTCTTTCTCCTTTGAAGCAGAATAGGTTTTATTGTACCGAATAACCCAGCACATACGACCATAGGGTGTGGAGAACAGGGCTTCCCGTCCGCTCAGCCGTACTTAAGCCACACGCCGGCAGGTTAGTAGTTGGGTGGGTGACCACCAGCGAATCCCTGCTGTTGTATGTTTTTGTTTTTGTTCTTTGTTCAGCCTGACCCTAGCGCCTTCTACTAAGCGCCTCCATACAAGCTGACAGGTGCCATTGTTGATGCAGACGACGTGTTAGGCAATTTCACTATGAACTTGGCATCCTGCAATACTTCTACCGAAAGCAGCGAAAATCTCATGACGCTTATTGATTACGCATGGTCTATTGATGCCGGCTGGAACTGAACTTATCCGGAAATTGATAGACGTGCACATGAAGAGAGAATTTTGTCTTGAACATAGCATTATGACATGCTGGACCCTCAGAGCATACGGTGGTTACGAAAACTGTCTCTTTTCCTTCAAAGATGAGTGGTGTACATTCCAAACTTTTCAGAGAGAGAGAGAGAGAGAGAGAGGAGGGGGGGGGTTGGTGAAATCATTTACCCTGGGCCGTCGCCAACGATATGCAGGATACAACAATCATTACAAATATCCGTGTATGTACATATAGAAACCCACTTAAACAGTCTCCGTCCCCTGTCAACTAGTAGGTTTTGTTCGGTGCACTTCGTCTAAGGTCAAATCATCATGTCTTAGTCCACCTCAACCTTAGTAGCTATTGAAACAAGAAATCGTTGACAACCGCACTCGCGCCTTGAGGGTTAGCCACATGAACAAGGACCTTGCCCCTGGCACGCCCTGAACGAAGTCTGTCAAATGCCTTCACGGCATCCTCGAAGTCATACTTGCTATCAAACTGCAGCTTAAGAGCTCCTTTCTGAACTAGTTCTCCGAGCTTGACAGTGTGCTCCTGGGTATTTTTAAAGAAGAAGATGACGTACTTCCTCTTTCCACCACCTAAAAACGAAGGCCAACCCACTCTTCCAACAAAAGTAGTCAAAGCCGAGGCCCCAACCTGCATAAATACACCGCCAGGTCTTAAGAAATTATGACACTGGAAGTATAAATCCGACGGCAACCCAATATGATCAATAATATGATCATAGACAATCCCCTTCTTCTTTAATGCCCCAACAAGATCACCAACTGCTGTGTAATCAATAACCTCATCGGCCCCAAGCCTATAACACAACTCAACATTCTTCGTCGAACAAGTCACGGCAACAAAACATCCTATGTACTTAGCAAGTTGGATTGCAAAAATTCCACACCCTCCAGATCCACCATTAATAAACACCTTATCACCCTCCTTCACATACCCATCCAAAGCCTGATACGCCGACTGCGCGGCAATACCTAAACTCGCCGCATCATCAACATTTACGCCCTCAGGAACAGGCGCAATTAGTTTTGACGAGATAGAGAGGTACTGAGCAAGTGCACCGAACTTCACCGGCATACTATGACACCCGTAGACAAGCTGGCCTGTTTTGAAAGGCGCGCCTGGGCCGGTGCTCACTACGCGCCCGCAGAAGTCCATTCCGGGGGACGCGGGCATACCGATAACCAGGTGGCGGACATGCGGGCCCATTTCGGGAATTTTGAAATCGGCTGGGTTGAGCGCGGTTGAGAGGACTTGAACGAGCACCTCGTCGCCGTTTAGAGGGGGCGGGACGCGCGCGGACGAGTCCAGATACATGTTCTTCTCCAGGCCGGAGGCTGTGCCGCTGTAGAGCCAGGCCTTCATTGTTGAGGGGGGTGGTGGTAGATCCATTTTGGTGGTTGTGGATAAGGAGGTGTTTGTGTACAGAATTTTTGGCTTTTTCTTGGAGCTTGATGCACGGGCCGATTGGTGTTCACCGCTTTGCGAGGGTATTCTTCGTAGGCTTCCTATAGCAATGTCAGAAAATATCATTTACTGGCGCCCTTAGGAGCACGAGTAGGCAGCAGTGCGGTTACCGTCAGAGCATATCAAAGAGCGCAAGGCAAGGTAAGATGGAATGGGCCAACCAGCTTCAAACATTGGGGTGAGCGATCGGGTTGTTAGTGACCCGCTCAGGGCGGGTGACTAACATCACCTTGTGCTCCGGGAGCAGGTAACTTCTCGAGGCGGTAGCCTTACTGTCAACAATATTACAGGATGAAAGTGTGATTAAATGCCGTGGCGAAAATCATTGATAGAAAATAAGTGCACGAAGGCACCAATAGGGCTTTAAATAGTTGAATACTGCCTTAAAAGGCCAGGAGACCCGCAAGTGAGAAGGGGTGATTGCATATTAGGTTTGAATCTTATAACCTTGCCCTCACTTAACCCCATAGTCTATATCTCTAGTCAATATAGTTCTCAATCTAATTCTATTCTAGCAAGTCTATCATTGAATCCTCAAAACACCAAGATCACTCCAGTCGAAGAGATCCGTAAGCCTCGGCTTTGTCTAGCGCATCGGCAATGCGCGATCCGTCTCCCTCGAACAGCATCCCGTCGTAAGTCATCGCGCCTATAATGCAACCGACAATAGGGGCGAAGAGGGGAACAACGAAATAGTAGTTGGCCGCCGTAAACACTTCTGGGCCATAGATGATAGCAGAGAATAATCTCGGGCCAAAGTCTCTAGCGGGGTTAAGAGCCTGGTATTATTAGTGGAATTTCATAACCTGATGAGCTAGTGAACCTACGTAGCCGGTCTGCCAGCCCAATGCCGCTCCAATCATACACAGGAGTAGAAAGAGGGAGAGCTGCGGAGCAGGAAACCGATGGGTGTTCCCCGGGTCGAAGATGCTGAGAGAGCCAAACATCAGCACAGCTGAGCCTAGCAGCTCAGAAAACACAGCCTCCCAGTTCGACTGGAAGAATGCAGCTGGATAGGTGGAGAAGATGCCCGCTGAATGGTGACCGCGCGGGCTCAGGATCGATCCGCCGGGAATGGTATATTCGGGATCCCAATCGTTGATGGCCGAGCGGTAATTTATATACACGATCGCAGCGCCGACGAACCCGCCCAGGAACTGTGCAACCAGCTTGGCCGGGATGCTTTTCCACTGTCCTGCAGATGGACGCACAAAAGCCATGCAGAGAGTCACAGCCGGGTTGATGGTCGGTCTGGGATCAGACAGATAGCTAGCTAGGCAGACGGCAGAGGCCCAGGCGATGTTGATGGACAACCAGGTGCCGTACTGGTAATCGGACAGCAGGCATTGAGCGACGACTCCATCCCCGATGACGATGAGCAGGGCTGTTCCGAGAAATTCAGCCAGATATGGCTTCAGTGCCCGACGAGGAATCATTTATACTGATGATAATGATTTTAATTCTGTCTCCCCTAAAATCCTAGCCCCCTGAGAGGGGTTTTGATATAAACAGGAATTGAGGACCGTGACGTCATTTAACTCGGACCTACCTAATTCGGGATGCCGATATCTTCTTTATCTTCATCTCGAACCTGCCGACGGGCCTTCAAAACGAAGGCGGAGGGCAAGATGACTATGCAGATCCTTCAGCTACTGCGTAGGTACCATTCACGGGTTCCGAATTTCGTAAGTCCTTTAGCTATTTAACCTCAAACGTTACTCCGAAGTCCGATGCCCTTGATATTTATTATATTTTCTGTGTTTACTACCCGATACACATTGTAAGCAAGGACCCTAACAAGGTTTAAACTCCCCAACTAGAGCTCTGCAGGGTCTGCATATCCTGGCCAATCATCAACTGCACTCCTAACATGCACTTTCAAGGAGAACAATAGACAGGGCTTAAGCGAAGCCTGTGCTGATCATCCAGCTCACGTCATCTTTAGACGAAGCGGCAGCATCGAATTTCCTCCTTCTTCCGTTAAAGAAAACACTGATCATAACCCGAAGCCAAAAATTCTAGCGAAATGGCTAACACAAACAACGTCCTTGGAAGTCTGGGTTTTCTCTCCTCGAGCGCCCCGGATTTGCCTAGGAAAGACCGAATCTATTAGGCTCCCGCTCACCACTGACGGTAATTGCGTCATATTTGTCTCCGGTTACCTAAATGGCGGTCTACCGCCATTATCCCCTTGTCATCCCCTGTTGGCTGGTAACGATAGGAGACGGATATCCTATTACCAGTAGCTACATCAATTTTCTGAATGACCGAAGAGACTTGGTGTTTGTAAATTCACGAGAAGCTTAAAAGATCAAAATACAAACTGTCTTTTTATTCTCTCACTTCATATATGTTTTCCATTTCCAACGTTGCCGACCTTACGCAACCAAACAAGAGCGACGACCAAACTAGACACGTTCATTGCAAATAGAAACCAGAACGCTGCACGGTATCCTGACAGTAAAGATTCTGGACTTTGTTTGTCCTCTGCTGAAGATGTTCTTTCGGTGATGCTATTAGAAATTAGGGCAACCAGAGCCAGACCAATGGTTCTGCCGATTTGTGAGACGGTATTGAACACCCCAGATGCTAGACCTTGAGTCTCAGCGGGAAACATGCCCGCAATGATGATGTTTGATGCGGTGAAAAGAACGTCTGCGGAAACAGGGTTCATGCACATGGCGAAAAATACATAGCGCCAGTACGTCCACGCTGGATTCACGAGCGCCATGAGAAGTGGAGAAAAAGAGGAGATGACCGTAGCTATGCTGATAATAATATTAGCCCGGACACGATGCAAGATCATGCCTGTGATGACGCTGACCCCAAAGCCAACAACGGAGACCGGGATAAATCTCAATGAAGTATTGAGCACAGACAATCTCTGCACATCTTGGAAAAAAAAGTTAACGACTTGTTCAAAAGCGTTGAAGGAACCCCAAATCATGAAGACAATTACACAGATACATGTAAAGGCAGCCTGCTTCCACAATGAATTCTTGATCAAGGTAGGCTTAGAGCGGCGCTCCTGTCGGCCTTCCCACAGGACGAAGCCAAGAAGTAGGACGCCAAAGAGGCATAAGAGCACAATGGTGGCCGCTTCATGAATATTGGCTACATCATCGGTTATAATTCTATCAGGAGAAGGTCCAAGTCAGCAACCTCCTCTTTATCTATTTCATTAATGTGGATTCAATATACGCTAAAGCATAAGATAACAGAGCCAATGCAGGGCTTATAATGAAAGCTCCCACCCAGTCAATGCCAAACACCATACGAGTCCACAACACGCCTCTTCGGCCTTCCTTGTTCCTGGGCAGCTGCCACCACGACAAGAGAAAAGCCGGACCGTTGGCAATGGCCGCGCTATTGAAGCCCCAGCGCCAGCCAACAGTGTCGGCGAAAATACCACCGAAAATGAGTCCGACCCCAAAACCAATTGGCTGACCAGAGCCCATCAAAACAAGAGCGGAATTTCTGAGCTTCCCGGTGGGAAGGTGCTCCGCGATGATACTCATGGCAGATGGCAAGCAGAACGATACCGCCACGCCAGAGATAGCTCGGAAGATAACGAGCTCGGTACCCGATCGCGCAAGACCGCTGGCCATGGAGATGATGCGGAGGAGAAAACACCCCAACAAAAATAGTACTCTATTGCCCACCGCGTCCGACATGGCGCCAGAAATGAGCAGTGTACATCCGGTAGCTAGAGTGTACATCTGAACTGGCCTGAGAAATCCGGTACATGTTAGTTGCCTCAGCTTCAATGGTATCTTCCATGAATTTAAAGGTGTTTAGAGCTCCGACGGTACGACCCAGCTTTGAGATCACATACCATAGCTCCATTCCAGGGCTCAAGTGTAAATCGGATGAAATCTGTGGAACAGACACAGTAGCAAGGCCACCAAGGTAGGAGCTGAAGAAAGTGATGCAAGATATGCAAAAAATCAAAATCACTATAGGGGCGTTCGTCGGTCCCGTTCCCTCATTGCTATCTGGGTGAGCATTATCCTCCGGGGCTTTCTGCTCCACACGAGGTTGGGATTCACTCCGATTGTCCATTTTAGGTTCAGCCAAAGTTCCATTTGTTGCCGATGCGGCCGACATAATATGGAGTGTATTGAGGTGCCTTGGAAGAGGCCCAGTCGTGGGCGATATGGTCGGCAAGAAGGGGAAAGAATTTGGAACTCGAGGGAAGCGATGTTGAAAAGCCTTGTAAGCTACCAAGCGTCCCGAAGTAGCTACGGCCACAACATGGAATTGACATCACAGATCGACTGGCAAAACTTCTATAGCGCAAACGTGGAACCAGAACCCTTCTCGAGACTCGATCTCCGATTGGTTGCCCACATTTATGTTACTGATTTGAGAGGCCTTGGCCGAGGTTGGGCTGCCGGCGCAAGTTGCTTTAGCAGGTTCATCTGGCCGAAAGAGAAGCCTTGGCATCCCGTCACTTCTGTAGATCCTTGTGGCGTAGACTACCTTAATAGGCTTGACGTTAAGCTTCACGAAGGCCGAGGCTTCCTACATATGGAGGAAGCCTTATCCGGCTCTTGGTGTAACATCAAATTGAATAATACCGATTGCAGCCCCCATCTGCGGGGCCTTCCTTTGGGACTCTGTCCGGTCCCCGACGGCCATCAGGTGGGTCATGCATCTTAGCGGAGCAGTAGATGCAGTCAGACGGGACTGATCCGCTCCCGTTCTGGCCGTGGCCAGCCAATACAATTCCAATTCCAAGCACTCTTACTTTCCCTTTCCTGGTGCAGGTGTAGGTTTTCTCACGCCATCAACAGTCATTGCTTCTTTTTTTTTTTCTTTTTTTTTTTTTTTTTTTTTGGTTTTACTGAAAACCCAAGATGACAATACAGTATGAAACACTTCGGTAAAATCTCTAAGAGTTGATGCAACCCTGGAAGAATAGGAGCGCTTTATTCAAAGAAATGACCTTGTAGTATGGCTACGTCTGGATCAGATCAGTGAGCTGATCTGTCAACAAGATCTATGGATACTACTGGGTTGTGATTAATGACCATGTGTGGGATCTAACTACATTTCCCCCCCAATATCCGGGGGGCTTTGCTTGTAAGTCGCCCGCATCCAATCCCGGTCTCCATGGCTGTTTTTTCCGACAGATTATGTACATCACGTGTCACCGTGGAGAGTAAGTGCGTGGACGAAAGCAGATGAAGGATGTGGATCTATAGATTCAGGGTCCGACTCGGTGATAACTCAATGTTCATCTAAAGCTCACTTTCTATCCCAAAATACCGAGCGACTTCAATCAGACCTGAGCCTCCAACTCTAACCCAAAAATCGACAAACCCCTCTTCTCTGGCTCGTGCAACGTCTTTACTATCCCATGCTTCTTCCAACTCTCTCTCGATATAGATTGTCTGAAACCCACACTTTTTGGCGGCCTGCAAGTCCTGAAGATGGGCTGCGACAAGACAACATTGCGAATTCCTGAACCCGAATCTGCGAGCAGCACCATGATAAGCCTCTGGCGATGGCTTGTAAGCAGCTAGATGCTCCGCACTGGTAATATGCTTGAATGGCAAAGAAGTATGTTCTTTTAGGTCCTCGAGGAGCTTTATATTGCCATTGGATAGAGTAGAGGTTGAAAATCTGGTGTTCAGCAACGAAAGGCCTGGCACACTATCAGAGTATGGGTCAAGTCTATGCCAAGCGAGTGTCAACTTATTGAGATCGTCCTCATTAAATAAATCCCGGAGAAGCCATTTGATGAGAATCTTTTCCAAAGAAACGCGATTGTACTCATCTACCGAGACAAAGGGTTTAGATGGATCGTAAGTGTTTCCAAAGTTCATATATGATTGATGCCATTCCGCAGAGATCTCCAGCCAGCTCGAAATGGACATATCAGAGACACGTGCTTGAACATCAGCACTTAGATGTCGACTGTGATCTTGTATAGTCCTTTGTGCTGCGGCGTTCAGTTGGTTTGCGATGCAACGTCTCCATTCCACAATTGTCCCCAAGACATCGAAAAATATTATTGAAGGGGAACCAGCCTGTGGCATCTTTATCGAAGATTCTTTGAGAGATACCAACAAATGAAGGCTGTTGTATAAACTGTAGACTATACCTAAAAGTATAGCTGATTCGTCGTCAGTTACAGAAACACCATGGCCTCAAAGATGCCTTACAAGAGAAAATGATAACTTTACCCTGAGGAATTGGTGTAAAAGTAACAGATACTATCAAAATGGGATAAGGCTTTTTAAAACGTCGATATGACTCAAAATCAACTCTTTCATTAACCTCGGGATTGTATTGCTTAGGGTCGCATGTGATTGGGAAGTGGAAAATCTCAACAAGGCTCTCGTACTTCGGAAAACACTAAACGGGAACGGCGAGACGCTGAATTAAGCATCCCGCAGTGGGTCTTTCGGCCTTTTTCAAATTGGGTTAAATATTCCTCGATCTAAAGGATCACTTACAATCAATGCTAGTGCAGTATAGCTGGGAAAGGTAGTACCGTACCCCCAAAATTGTATTCAGTCTAATTGAATTCACAAAGGGAGACGGTGCTATCTCGGTCTCGTCTACAATTGACACATCCGACCGACCGGTTCATCTATCAGCAACAGTGACCTCCACTGAACCACCCCCGGACGACGGGTTCCAGGTGTCGGCCCAAGTTGTATCGGGCCACCTGGTCGAAATTGGTGGGTTGCATCATCGCAAACGAAAATTTAGTGCTTTGCTAATCTACTGCATGGACGCGCCACGGAATTCTTTTGGGCTGTTCGTTGTATGGGACTTGTCGCCCTGATTATGGTTCTCATTATTCTCGCGCTCTTACGTCCGAGGCTTCCTCCCCGCAAGTCAGATCCACTTGTTGAACGAGGAGCATTCAAAGAGCCAGCTTATATGCTTTTCACCCTTGGGGTATTTCTCCCATTTTGGACACTGTAATTCGCTTTCTTCTACGTATACTCTCGAACTCTATTGTCGATGCGTGACGCTGACCAGATTTCCAAATTTAGGTTCAGGTTTATGCGACGGAAAAGCCGCACCTTTCTTATTCAGCTGCCGTCAACCTTATTATCGTCATCAATGCATGCGGTATTCCAATTCGCGCGCCCTGCGGATACTTGGCCGATCGATGCATTGGCCCACTTAACTGTCTGATTCCCTGGATAGGACTATGCGGTATTCTAATTTTCTGTTGGGCCGCAGTTCATACTGTCGCCGAACTCTATGTATTTGCCGTATTCTACGGTCTGGTCTCGGCAGCCGCTATGGCTTTGTTCGCCGGTACTGTACCTTCCTTGACTGAAGACCTGAACAAAATTGGAACTCGAGTTGGAATGGCGCTCACGTTGATGAGCTTCGGACCCTTAACTGGCCCTTCTGTCGCGGGGGCGCTGATAGTTCGGACGGGAGGTAGCTATCTTTCTGGACAGATCTGGGCAGGTGCGGCCTTGATTGTAGGAGTGTTGACTCTGGTTGGGGCGTGCATCATTATATATGGACCTCATCTTCGAGTGAAATTATAGTGTCCGTCGAAAAAACAATACTTCTCATCCAGTCGTGAGCAATGAGCATATGATGGGGTCCACACGGTGGATGAGCGAAATGTTGAGGAATCAGCCTTGTTATACCGCCGAGAGCTCCTACAAAATACAGTCATGGCCAGGTCCATTCGGGTATTCCAAGGTTACACGTGGCGGGCGCCACTGGCTTTGTGCGGGTGAGACATGACCCACCTGGGGAAATGGCTGCCTTTTAGCGAAACTTGGGTGCGGAGCAGCACACTGCGGCTATACCAGGAAAGTGTTTCGAGCAATCTAAGTGATTTTTTCGGCTAGGTTTCGGGTACCCACCCTCGGACCAGGTTGAGAAGGGGTTGGGGTGCCCATCAAGGGCCTTGCGGGGGTAGACTCAACGCAATGTCGATCTCTTTCTATTTCGTGTCACTATTGTCACAGCGCCTAGGAATTTACGACGGCATCATGTAATCCAATTGCAATTTGTGGGGTTCTGATCATCGCACAACTGAAAATGCCTTGGAGGCTATCGAGCTCACGAAAGGTAGTAGTGGTAGTGGACCCGCCAAGACGTACTATTGCCTAAAGCGTGACGCTCTAGCTAAGCCCAAACAAGGTATACCCCCTGTTAGCACTAAGTTTGGCACGTGAAAGCCCTCGCCGTATATATAGTGAAGCCTCGTTTCTTTCTCTTGTTTTATTTCTTTGCTTTTCTTTGCTTTCCTTTCTTTCCCTTCTCCCATACTCAGTCAGGTACGTACGCTCACGTCGCTTTTTCCTACTACCCCGTGACATGATTACACATCCACACATATCCGATATTCATGAAGGATAAATCCAACATAATTAAGCAGACATATGAACTGTCCCCTCCTTATCTGTCATTTATAATATACAGAGAAGCGCTCGACTAACGATACGCTAGGAATAGTACAACATTGACTGGCTTGAACGTCTAGTGGAAATGTCCACATGGCCTAAGATATTGATCGCTCATCAGGCCAGCGACGAGAACCACCTGTACACGGTGCTGGCTACGAACCTGTTGTCGCATGACAGCAACGCCGAGTATCCTCAACCTACTGTCAGACACCAAGGGTGTTGGGTGACGTGCAGCCCTTCACCTCGTAGATAACTCATAGGCTCTTCCTCCTCTCTTTGTCCTTCTGTGCCAGACAGGACGACTCCTGTTTTTCATGGCGGCTGTGTAATAGCCATAATATTTGTCGTTAGGCCACCCAGAAGGGGTATTTGCAAGGCAATGATGTCCCGCATGGCATCACCTAGACATACCTTTAACATTACAGACCAATTATTTGGAATCCATCCATCGCCAGCGTTACAAGCAACCGGGAAGGGTTTTGGCAGCATTATGGATAAATGACGGCCTATCATACGGGGCGCCTGCGGGTCGTGGCGAGGTCTACAGTCTGACTGCGGATGTAATCAAACCCCACAAATTCGCCACAAGATTCTGTCGGTTTTATCTTGCTCATCTGGCCAACAAGACATCTCGGATAGCCATCTCTGTATTGAGATATGTAGCAGGTTGAATGGGAGCTGATCAACGTTGTACCTGGATTTTGATTACATCTGCAGTGAGGCTGCCACGTGCTGCCCACGCTGCCACCACGAGAAGTATTAATCCATCGTCCCAACACCTTGGCGAGGACTGTTGCCCAGTGCAAGCCCACTGGGGGAGCTACTTATATTGTGCTGAATAATAAAAAGTAATTTTTTCTCTTTCTACTTCTGCGCTGTCAAATGGACTTGAAAACGGAAAATTAAAATGCGGCTCGCTCTATACTTTGTTTGAAACCTGTTGCATCAGCTTAGTCCAATGAGCCAGAGCCCTGTAGGGGGACGACTGGTTAGTATCGTAACAATAGACTTCCTGAATTAATTTACATCGGCTGTTGAAAATTTATTGAACTATATAGAAACGATCACAGTTGACAAGAAATGTTTCGACTCGCATACATGTACTTGCTTTATAGTCGTGTGAACAGGAGGGGTGGCAATGTAATTTCTCTCGTCGGTGGTACTGACATATTATCCTGGTCGGTCTGTCCTCCAGGTCTGAAACGTAGGGCACGGGTGCTGGTATTCGCGCGTAGAGGCCAAAAAGCTAGTGGCATGAACTGGGCTGGCGTCGTCTGCACTAACATTCTGCGGCAACTGCTTGAGTCTGTCGTAGGTCTGCTTAATGTTTTCAAAAATGGATCCCATCATCGAGAATAGGTCTCTATTCTCCAATGTGGCGTGATCACAAAGCGATACACTTTTGAAGCGTCTGCAGAATGCGTCTAGAACACAATCTAAGTCAATGGTCTTCCGGGCAACTCGAACATCCCAGTCACGAAGCTGGGGAATCCCCACTGTCAGTCTATAAATGATAGTGATAGCATATATCATGCCAGACCACTGTATGTAAGAAAGTCTGCCGTATTCAGATGTTGGAATGGAAAGGAAACTCTGAGCAAGCTGCCCCGCCGATTTCAAACAGAGAAAGAGAACTTCAAGGCGAATTTGAGACGTAAAAGACAAGCTCGTTGAATCTTTCAAAGATTCAGTCTTTGGCCGCATTTTCGTTGCAGAGATATTGACGAGATCCATCTCGTAGACATGCATTACAGCAACCTCACAGGCCAGGTTCATCCCACCTATGGCACATTAGCATCGGTTCCATTGGATTTCAATCAATTGAACTTACTTGGTTGCTGACAGATAAGTGGAAGCGAGTGCTTCCACCGCTTGAATTCGGCTTGAAAAGATTGAACCTTCATTTCAAGATCTAGGCCATTCATGTGGTCACGTATAGTGCTTTCAACAGTTGAAAGACTGCGGTGATTCACCTCCGCCATGTTTTGAAGCTGGACTAGTGGTAAAATCAATGCGTCCGTTGGATGCTCCAATTCTTGACCCAACGATCTCGCACATTCAATCATATAGTTTTGAAATTGGATAATGTTTGGCTTCATTGTGACCCAGCCGGTGCTAATGACGACAGCTTTAATTAGTCATACACTTGATGATAGGTTCATTAGGAAAATGAGGTTCAAAAGTCGAATGCCTTTCTTTGGGGAAACTACTTACATGTTCGCAAGATAAAAGCATCCTAGGTATGCTCGGCGGGCTTCTCAGCTGAAAAATTCATCGTGGCTCGCTGAAGGTGTACAGGCTTTGCGATAATGCATCAGTCGAAGTCCTATCTTCCTATCCATTGCCTCGGCAGGTCTGAGGTTCAAGCCCATGTCATCAACCATGGCAGTTGCGATATGGAGTAGTTGGTTGAACTGTTATTTCTTGGGAATATAATAAAACCGATACCTAAAATGAGCATTGGTTAGCAGAGTTAAACCAAGAGTGTTTAATGAATAAAGTCTACTCACCAGGCCAAGTATACTAGAATTCCATTCAGGAGATCTAGACTTCTCTCATTGTGAATCATAATAGTGTGGAGAGCGCAGGTTCTAAATTTGTCACCAAGGGACTTTTGTAATTTCTTGTCTGAAGAGGTCGCTGCCGTCAATGCTGCCACTAGGGTGAAAGGCTGTTCTTTACACATTGTCAAAACAGTAGCGTTCCTGGGAAACATGAAAAATGGAAAGTAAGAGGTCATGTTGCGAAACCGTCTGAGGAATCCTTCAGCAGCCTCAATAGACAGGCCACACTCAAGCAGTAGTTCAGGGCAGGATATGCCTTTGATTTTCGGATAGCCAGCCCATCTATAAAGCGGCCAATTGAGGGTGTTTGAGCTTGTGCTGTTGTTATGGCTGCTGCTGGGCGTGGAATCTCGTTCCCCGTGGCTAGAAGATGAACTATTGGTAGACAAGCCAAGTTCCAGAAACTCCACCTCACTCTGTGAAGGTACTTGCCCGTGAATCGGTTGAGACTGACTAGTGAAAGCAATCAGGTTATCGACCTTCGACTCCAGCGTACAAATTCGGGCTTTTGAGCTATGCTTTGGCCTGTGTTGTCGAGATTGCCGCGGTTGTCGCTCCAAAAATACACAAACTCTTTGGGAATTCAGACACTTTAGACACGTGTCAAGTTGAGAGCAATTGAAGTTCGGGGTGTGAACAATTAACCGGTGCATTCAGTCCAGCATGCTTTGACGCATCGATCAAGCGAGGAGATTGTACGCCAGTGCGGGGTTGGTACTTTTGTCCCCGCTTATCGTAAGAAAAGGGGTTGAGACTTTTACCCCCTCACTACTACGTACCACATCATGGACCCTACCGAATTTGCGAATCGTTCGAACTATGCGCGGGAATTGTGCATCGAGTTTCTTGGTCCTGATGAGTTCGATCACTGGCCAATAACCCACCGAAGACTGTTTGAGGATGTACAAAAGCTCGGCGGTACAGAATTCAAGTCATTCGTTGAGACAATAACCGTAGATTCAATTGAGAAGCCATGGAGAAGAACAACGACAACGCGTGCTAGCCGCTTAGCACAGGTGGCAAAAATCAGTTATCGCGAGAAGAAAAACGAAAGCGGATGGAGATATGCTGTTGAAAACGAGATAATGTACCGATTCTCGGTGGAGGTCGCCTGGTAAGGAAAAACACATATCAATCCATCTAACTATCACTTAAATATTTTGTTACAGCCCCCATTGTCGCAACAGGCTATGGGAATCCGAAATACCCGCGGCAACGGATAGCATCCAGAAGCAAGCAGACTCACTAGACGACCGACGCAAGAAACGCAAGCCTTGCCGGTGTCCAAGGGCCCGAGGCGATAATCGGTATGTTTAAACTGATAAATCAATATGTTCAAGTTCTTACTTGTTCATAGATATGACGGCGGAATCAATATGCTTTTTTCGGATCGAGCAGAAGCCAGGATTAAGCATAACCCCCCATTGAAAATATCTACCAATCCAGTTAAATTCAAGTACTGGGAGGCCCCTGACCGCATTTACGGATTGCGACAGACTGACAATCTACGACTTCTTCTGGATTCGCCAGATAAGCGGCATATGGAAAGTTCCAACGTTATTCTGCGTGAATCCTTAGAGCATAGTCCATTCGGTGCCGAACCTGAACCGCTACTTTTCCCATTCTTGATGATAGAGGCCAAGTCTAGCAGTGGAGCAGATCGAGCTGAGGTACACATGCAGTCTGCATTTTGTCTTCGACGTTTGTTGAAACTCCAGCATGATCTTGTGGCTGCCACAGGAGAGGAAACACAGTGGGCTAGTGGGCCGCTCGTATGGTTTATTGGTACGCGTGGGGAGCAGTGGGACTTGTACGCGGGATTTGTGGAGGAAATTGACAGCGGGATCATACGCTATGTAAGCTGAATCATTATTTGCCATAGATACCTCCATGGGAGGCAATACTTACTTACCGTCGACAGCCTGTTATTGATCTGTGGAGTGGAGATATTCGCTGTCTAGATGGTGCATTGCAGCTTCTGCTGATTATTGACTACATCTTTGACTGGGCCCGCGATATCTACCGAGACGCTATTATCAATGAGCTGAATACACTATCGACTGGAGAAATCAGTGACAAGGATCCGGATCTCTTTTCTACTATGTCCCGGCGAATGTCGCATATATCCAACTGGACAAATTTTCCTGATGGCAGAGAATCCACACCGACTTCTTTCCTTGCTGAATCGCAAGAGATGGGCTTCTTGAATATCGTTTTCCAAGAGGGTGTGATCCGAGATGCTTCGGTCATCGAATCACGTTACTTCTTGCTCCAAATTACTGAGGATGACATCGATATGTTTCTTCTCTCGTTTCCATCTGCACAAGAGGCTCAGGACTGGCTTCAAAGTGTGTTGAAAATTCTCTCAAATGCTTGGAGAGTATCTTCCAAAACCATCAATGCCATAGAGAGCATTTGGACAGAGAAACCCAGGCCACCCCGCGCGAACTACCGCCAAGAGGAGGTATTCTATATTAGTGTCGTGATACTCTTGTTCATGACCGAGAATTGGGAGCCTGTAAGACAGTTGACTTGTCTTGCCATCTCCGAGGGCGCTTTACAGGTTCTCTTGGTAAAGGCCGGATGCGACACAGCCTTCCCCTTTGACGGCTGCCCAGAAGTAGGAGAACTGAGTATCCAGAGTATACTTGAGCGCATTTTGAAACAGTCAATTTTGGATAATCTGACCGCAGCAGTATCTATGCTTTGTATGTCGAGTTGCTGTTATAAGGAAGATCGGACGATACCGTATCATCTCCTGGTGAAGAGGTCAAGCGAGCTCAGTGCTGGGTTTCAAATCGATAAATCACCACATTTAATAAAATTGGTGCACAGCGTCTATTTGAGTCACAAAATTGGACAAAGAGAGCCAAGAGACCCCTATATCTGCTTTTCACGACTTCAAAGCAAGCAATATATTGAGTATAGAGGCGCAACTGTTGAGATGTGACCTCAACTTCCCCGACTAGTCGACAGCGAAGATGGAGGAGTTCTGGTGGATGGAATTATTCACCGGAATGACTCACCGAAGCGTGGACTTTTTGTTTTTGGTGAGCTACCAGACTATGAGAGCCTGTCCAGCTTCGTCTATAGGGTATCAAGGGACGGTGTCTACTTCAAAACCATGCAGCTTGGTCCAGTTCTACCTTTGGCAGGCTTCTTTCGTCACCTCAATAGCCCCATTAGGCTCAAACAAGAATGGAAGGATAGGGCCGATCCGTTATCATTTCTGTCCTGGAGAGAAAAACTAGAAAACATGGGCGGCCTGCAAGACCACCAGTCAGGAGGAAGGCCATCATCACCCATGATTATATCCTCGGATGAGGAATAAGACAGAACATTTGAAGTAACCATGATCTGAAAATGTACCGGAGAATGGGATTGAAAGCAAGATGCAGTTGAGTGGGCATCTGGAATGGTGTCCAGGGCGGCAGCAACACAAAAGCTGAAATTGATTTGAGTCTTATGTTATCATCTGTCAGATAGGGATGGCTGAGTACGTAGATATTTGTAAAATGTAATATTAGTCCCATGGGATAAATGGAATATTTAGGCGACGAAGGAAATTGGCTAACCTGACCGTTAGATATAATTGTCGCAGGAGTCACTCTTCGAGAACAAACAAACCACTCCAAGCTCCATTTCATTGAATTTTCAATAAAGTTTACTCCGTGCCCGGCACAAATGATGCTGCAATACAAATATCGAGAGAGCTCTGCACCTCTGCACCTGGAGGATATACGAGAGAAACTTTGAGGTTCCGACCATGAAGTTCCATACGGACGTCATACTGAATTTCCCAGTATCTCCTCCCCTTTCGGCCTTTCAGTGGGATGGGATACTCCTCTTTCCACCTTGTCAGGTCTACGCTGACCATTCCGGCGTCCTCACAGCCTGAATAAATATAGGAATTAATACAGCTCTGCAATGACCAATCATCCCACATAATGAGATGAAATCCACTCACCTTTATTGTTGGGGTGATCCAGTTTGTAGTGGTCCTGAACATCATCGGTCACTGAATAATATAGGCGCTGCGAAAACTCCCAATCTTCGTCTTCCTCGATAATTTGAGACAGCCTTTCGGTGAAGGATTCATCAAAGCCAACTACTCGTCCCTAAATATAGGTTCAGGTGTCAACTGGAATTATTCCACTTAATCTGCGAAACCATTGACATAGGAAAAGGACAATTAATAGTATACCCACCTTTTTAATGACCCAATTGACACAATCATGGATATAGTATCTCCCATCCACGGGGTTTTTCTTCGGTCTGGCATCTCTATGGGCAGCACACTTGCGGTCCAGTTCCTCAATTTGAAGAATTCCGATATTTGCCATGATGTGGCGGGAAGGTCCATAGCGCTTGTCTGCAGCACGATAAACCGCTCCTCGAGAAACTAGAGTCTCTGCCTCCCTGAGATAAATGGGTTAGATGACAGATTCCATCAGTCAAGAAATCGATCGTACCCATCCGGTTGATAAATGAATCGCATACTAGACGGGAATTTGTCTTTCAAGAAATTTCTCAACGTGGGTGATTGGGAGAAGCCTCCGACCACGATCACTTTCTAAATTACCCAGGACTTTCATCAAAAAGAGTCCTAACAACGTTCTCAATCCTGGGTGTCTTTACCTGTACAGACTTTTCTTGTTCTTTAGCTGCGTCAAGTTGTTCTCGGATCAGCTTCCCAATCCCGTCGAGACTTTCTTGGAACCAGCCAGCCACTTCACCCCTAGGAAATGTTGACAAGTTAGCATGGATTTCAAACCCTATTGAAAGGTGGTGGAGATCATAAGAAGGGGGTATTACCACCCTATTTTCACCCTATTTTTTCCAAAGTTTTTGGACTCATCTGCCTCCAAGCCATGAACGATAAAAGACTCAGACCCATTAAGACCTTTGGAAGTGTCAAACACCCTTTTTAGACCTCCTTCAAAATCGGGGAGAATGCTATGCAGGAGCTGTTCCTTTGCTGATATTCTTTTTCGTTCCAAAGATTCATTGTTCGCAAGGAGTGCTGTGAAATGACGCTCCATGGCTTGATTCACATACACGGAGCCACAATTTTCTCCTGTAATAACGGTAAGAATTAAATAGTTGAAACTGAGAGAACTACCTACCAGCGGGGGGAACAGCCTCACTGAATCGAAAAGGGCTTCTGGAGTTGATTGTGTAGGTAGTGACATCCTATGCATCATTGTAAGCTCAACACAATTATACATAATCAAGAGAAGACGCCAACTAACCACAGTCCCGCCCCCAGCATCACACACAAGAAATGTTTCTCCTGTCTTGAATCCTCGCTTATTAGCCTCCATATAACGAATCTTGACTCCTGGTCCAATACATACGGCAAGCGTTTTCGCACCAACCAGCATCTCAAGAGCGAGAGCCGAGGCCGCCTCGGGCTCATTGACAAAAAATAAATCAAATCCTTGACCGAACTTGACTGCTTCCACGGCTTGTTTCAAGATCTCCTGTAGGGTCCACGAGGCCTTGAGAGGCCAGCCAGCAGGAACAGACAGAGCTAGCTCGACCTCGCTTGTATCTTTGAAGCTTTCATACTCAACTAACTGCGTTTTGGTGTGCCTGAGAACCTCAATCAGGTAATCTCGAATCACGTCTGTCACATCCTTGTTCAAGGCCACTAATGTTTCGCTTATTTCTGCGTATTGTGCCGCCTTATTTGCTCGTCGACCGAAATGGGGACCATCTGGCAAACATGTATCTCTTCCTTGGGGGTTCTTCTTGGATAGCCAATCGGCTAAAAAGAGCTTTGTCAGCCTAATGGGCCTATGGGCCAAATTCAAGTCTTCACTGGACAGGACCTCTTGTGCTTTCTCCCGGGCTCCATATCCCCAGTAATATTCCTGGTCAAGGTACAAGCTCTCGTTAGGGACCTCGCCCCTATTTTGGCCTGATGCTGCATTTGGCCATCCAATGACTGATCTTATTGCATCCTTGGAGATTCCGTTTGCTGGTCGTTTGCCAAGCTTGAATTTGTAGTATGAAACCGAGGTCATAGTGGTCCCGAAGTCGATCCCTACAAGAAACGTTGGCTTTTGTTGCCGGTCTTTGCCATTCGGGTGACGCGGATTGCGAGAAACTGTTGGTTGATCTCCGACCGTGTCACTGGTGGAGCTTGAGGAAGTGGCGCCTTCATCATGAGCGGCCGTGATATCCTCGAATCGCCGTTTTCTGTAAGGTACCGACAGGCTCGCCTTAGGGGGCATATTTGCTTGGAATATTATGCTTTCGGAAAAAAGGATTGCCAGGGGAAATATTTATTTACGTTCACGATCCAACGCCAGGCTACCGTGGGGGCGATTTCATAGCCACAATCGGTGCATGCGCTAGCAGGGGTATGATTGTGACCAAGTTGGCAAAGCACCGCCAACACAACTCAGCTCAGGAAACGGCCCCCCACCCTCTCTCCTGACTTTTCCCAGCCCCCTTGAAAAGTTTTCAGCCGTCAATCAAAGCGTTGAGCGTACGACGATTGCCTCCAGACGAAATAAACGTGCTTGGTTCAGATGACTGTCTCCGACGCAAGTCAATATACGCGTGACTCTTCGATTAATAGGTGAAGAAGTTTCCGGGTGATTCTTCCTGTTCGCCATATTCAACAAGTCTCAAAATCTTGCGAGGGATCAAGATGAGCTTAGAAGTGCGCGTATCCGGTGGTGGATCATCGCGCTCGGTATCCGTCAGTTCCAACCTCAAATTGGCAGATCGTTGGCATTACGACTCCAGTCCACCGATACCGGATCAGAGTGACCACCATCCATATCTCATTCTAGACACCAAACTTCGTCCCAGAGCAGGCACTCGCGGGAAACACTCGACCCCGGTGCCTCATGGTGCGCATAGGCTAAAAAGAGAGCTCTCAGAAGATTCTGGTACAAGTTTAGTGTTGGCCAAGAATCGAAGAGTATCTAAAATCAAAATTCAGGTACGCAGATCAACTAGTTTTGTGAAATCTGGCACTTCAATACTAACCAGTAATGGCTCGGTAGCCTTGGCAAGCTGAGCGGGTCGGCGACAGCTCGCCGGGAACCTATGAGGCAGATGCGAGCCAGCCGAATACCAAAAATGCCAATCGATCCCACGATATATTTAGAGGCCCCAATACACTTGATATTTCGATACCCAGAGTGGGCCCTTCTTCCGAGATAGGTTTCCTTAAGCGGAAGAACGACCTGCTGAAACGGGAGAACGATCTCCTAAACATGCACCGTGACCGGAAGATGGCAGCTTTGCAGGAAGATGTGAGGAAACTCCAGGAAGCTAATAGAGAACTCAACACAATGCTGGGCTACTATAGAGATATGAAGAGAGCCAGATCTCACGAATCAGGAGATTTATCAGATGAGGTGAAAGAGTTGACTGCAAAACTCAAGCAGAGGGACGAGCAGATCGACGGAAAAATTCATCAGATCGCAGCGCTTGACGAACAGCTTAGCGCTCAAGAAAGACTTTATAGAACTCTCGAGGATATGAAGTTTGATTTTACTTGTTCTTCAAACTTTGCAAAAGGATTGGCCGAGCTTGAACGAGGGACACGCCGTATGGGAAGCTTTCTTGCGCAATGCCTAGCAAATCATGAAATCCAAAAGCTACGCAAAAAGCCACGAAGAAAAAAAGAGCTCGGCAGTTTTATCAAGGGTATACTTGGGAAAATAAGCCTCTTGGTCTCGAGTCCAATCGCCGCGATGCGTGCATTAATATTTGGTTTTGTGCGCGATCGAATCTTCTTTTCAGACTGCTGGACAGCTTTGCATTTTGAGGGCTATATGCTGCGGGAACTACAGCGAATTATTCAAAAGGCGGGTGCGTTATTACAAAATTCTAATGAAAAGTTCCGACTCACACTAACATTTGAAAAAAAACAGCCCCTCCTGGCACTTTGGAATCACTTCACAAAGTCTCTCTTGAGACAATGCTCAACAACAACCACCAGTTTGAGCATTGTTGGATCCAAAAAGAAGTGGACGATACTCAGTCTCACTTTCTGGAGCTAATTGGCCCATTGCTAGATCTTCAGGAGCTCGAAGATATCAAAGACCAGATCAACAGAGACTTGGGGATCATTTTCACAGATGCTTTCAAAGCCCGCGCTCGGTTTGTGCCACCTAGGGGGGTTAGATATGAGCTAATACAGTTCAAACCCGGCGATAAGTTTGATCCTGCTTACATGCAGGTACAAGGGGCTACATCAACAGCAATCCATGTCCCCTCCAATGGAAGTGTCTACCGGATTAAAGCATGCATCCACGGTTGTCTAGTTGAACATTCAGTCAAGAAAGAGCCTTCTGATGCCGAAAAACTCCTAGTACTGAGTCAACCTTTAATTGCTGATGATGAGGGCTTCGATATTACAGACAGAGGAATTCTGAAGAGTGATAAGGCAATCGTTATCTTGGAGGACGAAACTGTACCATAACAAAAATGTGCAGTAACCAACACCTCAAGGACTAGGACTCTTGACGCTGAAGATTTGCGCTATTTCAGATATCTGTATATCCCGGGGGCTCAGTCTGTTCTACTGTCAACGTACACACCCCTGTCATATTTCAGGCCCGATAGAATAAGATTCTTCCCATCTGGGTCATTGATCACTGCTACAAAATGTTCAGTACGACCACAAACAGCCATAGCCTTGGAACCGTACGATCGGAGGCACCTTAATTATCCACCGGTGGGTGCTTATATCCAACCCCTGTTGTTGGAACTCTGAAACTTTTTTCTACTGATCTGCCTAAGCCGATTGGCTGAGATTAAATGTCTTAGAGCCTACAGGGCGTTTATCGTAAATTGTCCATCATTCTAAGCAAGCTTTGAAAGCTAAAAAGGGATGTAATTGATGAATCCATTCAGATAGACACATGATACATACGACCATAGGGTGTGGAGAACAGGGCTTTCCGTCCGCTCAGCCGTACTTAAGCCACACGCCGGCAGGTTAGTAGTTAGGTGGGTGACCACTAGCGAATCCCTTCTGTTGTATGTTTTTGTTTTGCTTTTGTCTTTGTTCTTGACTCTCTGTTCAACCCTGCTAGAGGGTAACGAACTATAAAACTTTCGGACATTCGCTGCCTGATTAATATTTGAGATACTTATCTCGCAAATATGATGGACTGGGTACTGAAAAGAGAATTACAGTGATATTCGAAATCAGTTTTATCTTTGTTCTCCCTCACACTGTTTCCCAGTGGCCACACCTGACATGAACTATTCTAAAGGTGGTAGTACAGTATTGGTAATAACAGGCCACCTCCAAGCAAACCCAGGTGACGGGCGCTGAACTGAAAGCTATCTATCTCTTAAGGCGTTAATAATCAATCCAAATTTGTATAATATTGTCCGAACCTGCACAGGACAGGCCAGAACTAGCTTTTGCCAAGAAAAAGCAAAAGTCAACTGAGTCAAGAGTATTTTTAGATCCGAACATGAACTATGGATATTCTGACTCGCTGGAATTCAAATCAGAGGGCAAGTGTCACGTAGCTCTTGGAGAGTCTAATCAGGTTTGCCGCAAGTCATCACGGTAATGCCAAGAGCCCCTTGAAACCCCGCGCTCAAAACCTGGCCAGTCCGCTCCGAAAGGTCTTGGCATTTTGTCACGTCAATTATCCGACTGCAGTACATCGAAACTATGCTCTCTCTGTGGTTGTGCTACCATAATTCAAATTACTGTTATATTCAATACCGAACATCCTACCTAGGGGGGTATCGAAAGAGTGCCTAGAAAGAACCCTTAATTAAATAATTTAGTTGAGCCAATGCCTGGGCCTTAGTAATAAAGCACATAAAATTTTAATATCATTTGTGCAAATTGTAGTGCAAATTACTTAGGCATGGCCATTCAACAATGGCTTTGCTCCACTTAAAACAAATAAAGAAACAAATAAACTCATCAGTCAGTTGGAAATTTTCATAGCCTGAGGTGATCAAGATTTTTTGTGGTATTTTCTGATATTAACAATAGAGTCAAGGAGTAAGCCAAACCCTAACATAACTAGCAGCCAATAGACATGAGATAGGTAGCAGGGTAATCTTGGTAAATAGCCAAATTCCCTTTTGCACTGGTTGCACTGGTTGAATGAAAGCTTCCACGGGATTTTACCGCTGTCAACGATGCTACAACAATGAGACCTTTTATGGTTACCAGCGGATATAATACAGACCTGCAGGCAATTACTGAGGGGTGGACTAAAATTATATCGGTGTGGTTCGACCCAGCACTTGGGATCAATTCGATAAAGTTTGGAGATAATAAAACCACCGGGACAAACAAGAATTGTTAAGAGATGATCTGAATTTATAGTGACTCATCAAATATACATGGACAAATGCTTGCAAGGCGGGCGGAAAGGTACTCTAGTACGGACTAGTGCGTTTGAGATGGGGCCTTGGGAAATTAAAAGAGAGAGAATGGAGGTAAACCTGATTTCAAGTATCATTGTACAGAAATTCCATCTGAATGAGCGCTAAAATTCCTCAGGAAAATGCAGAGGCAATAAGAGAAAACAGAGCATGTTTGGCTGCGTCATTAATCTTAATTCATATCGTCATGATGAAGTATGTTGTGAAGCTTGTGTCTCGCTCAATGATGTCTCTCACCCATCTGTACAAGTGTCGTCCATCCCTGGCAGCAGGTTCGGCTCATGCCGTGTCCACACCAACAGCACGAAGGTGGTGTCAAAGGCATCCCAGCCGCTGCTTGAGTCTGGCGACTGGATTGCAAGTCTTCGTCGAGACTCTTTCTCTCTGTAGTCAAATCTCGTCGAGTGTCAGGCGGGTCTGAAGACAGTAACGATTTTCTCAGAGAGGCTTTGCGACGGGATGAGTTTCGGCGAGAGAAGGTTCGTGATAGAAGAGACTCGGAGGGGAGTCGTTCGGGGCATGCGAGCTTTGCGTATACCTCCGATGGCATGTCGTGCCAGTACCTGCAATGGCAGCAAATGACAAACAGCTTAGCAATGAGTTGCTCTGGCAGTGGTGCCTTGGCCTTTTGCTTAGGTCTTTTTCGCAACGTGAAGAGAGAGATATCATGAGCAAGCGGCGCAGTGTTAATTTGCGAGGCCATATCATTGGAAAGCCGTTGATCTGATGTAGAGCCCTCCTGTGTCGGCGTCAATAGGGTTGTCTCTGACTGGGCTTTAGCCTTTATATGATTCCGGAGGGCCTTGGAGAGGTCGAGTACTTCTTCATCGGCCGTATCATAACTTGCTTGCGAAGAGCTTTGCGATGATGCGCGGCTGCGTACTGGTGGATTCAAGCATCTCAAAACGGGTTTGCTCTCTGGGACCTCTTCCGTATTGCACTGATTTTGTCCACTGGGTTCAGATGAGGGATTGGCCGGTGCGTCTGTTGTGACGCTGGCTTCCTTTTGGCTCTCAGGGTTTACTGACTTTGGAGAGCTGTTACCGAGAGAAGAATTCCGGCCTGCGTGTTTAATCGGCAGAGGAGGTCCATCATTGCAACGTGGCTTGGCTTCTTCAGAGGCCTGCGTTGGCGGGGCATCCTTCGCTGTTGATGGTGGTCTTGGGTGCCAGCTTTTCTGTTGGCCACCACTGTTCCCAGACGGGAGTGCTGGTCCTAGAATGGACTGCTGGTGCTCACTGCGACTAGTATTCTTGGGATAGCTCTGAACAATCTTGGTGGGAGAAACGGACACCACCTGTCGACTTCTTCCTCTTGACTCATCATTCTGGCGTTGTACCTGGATTTGTAATGGTGGTGGAATGATTGACGGGTCCCTATTCTGCACTTCCGGAGCCCTTGATATGTTATTGTTCTCTGTTCCTCCGGGATCATCAGTTGTAAACGGGCTCAATGAGAGCGGAGAGGATTTGAAAGACTTTGGGGTTGCCTGCAAGCCAGGAGAAATTCGGTTTTTCTTGTGATGTTTGCTTTTCGGGATTGCCGGTGTCGAAATTGAGGACTGGAAGGACTTGTATGGGCCTTGCAGAACCTCTGGTGGTACAAGATCATGTAGTTGGCGTGCTGTAGTGACTCTGGTAAATATGGCGTCAGGGGCATGCAGGTTGGCTTCACTTTGCGCCCGATCCCTTGAGGGCATCTTTGGGCGCGTCATTATCGTTCCCTGCGAGTTTGAAATAGCCTTGTTCCCCACGGGTCTTCTGTCATGCCTGAGCGTCGCAGTAAATGTCTCGCGGTCCAGGTCTGCTGAAAGCTCCGTTGCATGGACGTGTGGCTGAGGTTGATCCTTGCGTGAAACATTCTCAGATATAAGCTGACCCATCCCACTGATCCCTGGTTTGTAGGCCGCAATCCTTGGAGGGCCCGAATCATGGGTCCCATTACTCCTCTGCCAGGCTTCAGCCATCTTCCAGTTCTCTCGGAGGTCGTCCGACTTGGGTGAAGAGTGAAGGGCATGAAGTGCGTGAACTGTTCGTTCCATCTGGTGAGATGGTACCAGGTTGGTTCCATGTTTAATGGCCAGCTCTCTGGATACAGCAGCACCGAAGCGTTCCGGAAGTGTCAAGGGCAATGTCGGAGGAGAATCGCTCGACTGACGCCGGGACTCCGAGTCTTTGGAGTTTGCGCGCGACCGAGATGATCGTCGTGATCTCGAGAAGATTCCTGAAAAGACACTTGACGATCTTCTTCCTTCTCTATCCGCACTAGATGACCGGCTTGCGCTGTCCAGTGGCTGTTTCTTCGTCAAGCGGCGGGAATTTCGGTCGAAGACGCCCTGGTCCAGTTTGGACTGGGCCTCTTCCAGCCTGAGGAGACGCTGTCCGAGCTCCTTTCTCTCGGCCTCCAGTCGTTTGGTGGCACGTCTCTCTCTACGACCACTGTCCCATGTAGGAGACTTGCAGATATCTTCAGCGTTACGCTTCTTTGCTTCGGAAGCCACCTGCGGTGACGTAGGGTCCACGGAGATCACAGGTCGGAATGGGGGAGTTGAGTGAGGAGTGGCTGTAGATGGCAACCCCGAGTTTTGAGAGTAAGTAAATGAGCTGGGTCTAGTCTCATCCTGCCCATATTGTACGGGCGCCTCGGGGCTGATGGTCGCCTCTGACTTCTCGCGTCCATCTTTCGGCTGAGCGAGCACAGCAGACAAGCCAAACTCACTTTGAACGCTCCTACGTTTCTGGAACCAGTAAGAGTGTGCTCTGGCAATGTCTGAAAAACATACCTTGTCTGAACGATCGACGCTGAAGACTCGCTGGATTTGCTCCGAGATGGAGGATCGACGTCGGCCGGGCGGATCGGCCATGGGGATGTGATGACGAAAGGTTGAAAAGGAAACAAAGGAGAGCAGACACTTAAGAGCTCTCCCCTCTCTGTACGAGAGTTGGCCAGTCGGAATCAACAAAAGGAATTCGAAACTCGCCACTGCGGTGCATTTTGCATTTTCCCTTCGCACTTGAACTGAGACCTGCAGGTCGACTATTCTTAGCCTCCCGTTCCGCCTTTGTGACTTCTCCAATTATTATCTCGCCTTTAAAGGACTAGAAATAGTGACTGATTTCCATTCTTTTCTCTAATTCTACCGATTCACACGATGAATCCAAACCAGGGTTCCCCAGCGGGCCTTCGGTCGGGTTGAAAATACATCGACACCGCAAGCACTATTGTGACGCTTGGGAGGATCCAAGACGAGACCAACAGTGTCAAGAATGTCACGGATGTCGCAAACATTGAAAAACATCCAACATCCCTGGGACGACGGCGCGAACCCAAGGATCTCACTCGGCACAGCCCCGCTTGGCACCGTGGATGTGAACTCGGACGCGACAACCTTAATTCGGCCTTCCATTCACATCTCGACTTGCAGTCAGGCAGAATCGACACTCTTCCAGACACGATGGCGCACCACAGTGACACGCCGCCGCCGAGCTACGAGGCATCGCAATCATCTTCGCGCTTCCCTGTCGACGCACAGCAGCAACGGCAGGATGATCTGCCACCGTATCACAACTGGCAGGAAGCCGTGCCGGATACATCGACCTTCCCTCCGCCGCCCATCTCGGGCTACTATTGTTCAGGAGCAGGGAATGCATCCAGTGATGACGCACAGCGGGCTCACGACTTCTGCGACAATACACCGCTCTGGATCCCCGAGAGGCCCTCGCCGGCGGTTTATAGCTCTGTCTGCGAGTATGACATACGACCTGTGCAGCAGAGTGAGTTCGTCGGAGAGCTTGCTCCATCGGCCCGTGGCCGATGGCAGGGAAGAACAGTCGACCGGAATGGAGACTGCGTGGCCTTGACACATCTGCCTCTTTATTTCGCCGCCGAGGACTCGCCCTTCATCAGGGAAAAACGTAAGATGATCTATTTTGAAGTGAAACTGCTAGGCCTGCGTGCTGGTCCTGGGAATGACTCCAGCGGGTTCTCCATCGGCTTCGCAGCGGGGCCATATCCCTCTTGGCGATCCCCTGGTTGGGAAAGGGGCAGCTTAGGAGTCTTTTCCGATGACGGATGTCGGTTTGTAAATGACTCGTGGGGCGGTCGTGATTTCACAGCCCCAATCCATGCGGGCGAGACCGTCGGGTTGGGTATGTTCTTCACGCTTCCTGAGAACCCGCTCGCCATGGCGGATGCGCTGTTCGAGGGCCGCAAGAAGTGCAAAGTGGAGGTCTTTTTTACCCGCAACGGGCAGCGGGCAGGAGGGTGGAGCCTGCATGAAGAGACGGATGAGGAATCCGGTGGGATCGAAGGCTTGGAGGGTGACTTTGACCTGTATGGGGCCATCGGGCTTTTTGGCGGTGTCGATTTCGAGTCCTACTTTGACCCTGCAGCTTGGCTATGGAGAGCCGAATAGATCCGTATCCCATGCAGGTCTACCGTTGATGCCAAGTCTAGTAAGAGACCACGAGAGGCCGTAGGGCTGAGATTGGCTTTTGGTTACGGGCGTTGCTGCGATTGCTTCTTTTGCTGTTCCTACGATGAATAAGACATTTCTACCATACGCTAAAGCATTTCGGTTCAATGGCCGTCTTGAGAGAACGGGTGGTATCAAGTACCCTTGACCGACGCTGCTGTTATATCGGGGGCGGCATATTGGGCACAGGGGTACGTACATCGTTGCATCGCCTATTTCGATGGCCTGCCGAGGATCAAACTACGCACATGCAGGCGCCTGCACGGGTCTCACTTCATCGTGCATGGTTCTAGAAAGGCAGCGGCCACACACCTTCCAAGATTCGGCCTGGTAGATGCGCGCATTAGCGGCTCGGGGGAAGCACCTGCTGCAGTTCCGTCATGCAATACAGTTGTTGGCATGGGCGATGAGCAGGGGCATTCCTTTGGCCGCCAGGGCGGATGCCCCCGTTAATCAAAGGTGCATGAAAAGCCGAAAGAAACTTGACGTCACGGAAGCTGACCCCCTGTCCCGTTTCGGCGTCCATCGTAAAGATTCGGGATGATCGGCTCAAATGGAACTATGCGACAATTGCGAGGTCGTGTTTGCCTTGTGAATACGAGGCATTGTTGACGAGGCTACGGCTACAAAGTCTGGTAGCGAAGGCCATGGGGGCAGTTCCACACTCGACTCGGGTCATGATATTGAATTCACATTCTCAAAGCAGCCTCATGCTTCGCGTCCCATTCTATCGGATAGCGGCCTGTGCATAGAGCTGGATGTTATTCCCGGAAACGCAATGGCCGCATATCCAATGTCGGAGATGCGCACTGACGAAAGCAGTATCTGGTCTCGCCGAGGACAGGGGGTTTCGGTGATCGTGAGCTGACTCTACATGCGACCTACGGATGCAATTTTTAAAGAACGAGTGTGATGATAGTCAATAGATCTCGCAATTGAGGTATTCTCCTTCTACTCTGCACATAAATGAAAGACGAGGCAATTGAAGCGGAAGAAGGGGAATGCCTTTCCAGTCCTGCGTTACCACGCGAGACTTAGGAACTGATTGCGCAATAGGATCATCAAGTGATCTCTTCTCGTTAGTTTGAGGATTCGTGTCCACATTTACCAGTCGCTGATGTGAGGTGGAAAAGTACGTCCATGAGTCGTAGTCCAACGTTCTCGGTGTGGATCTCCCCGTATCTGAATTACCCGGAGAAGTGATTTAGTCCTTTTGAGAACGCCAGTGGGGACTGAGTTCGGTGATTAACCCGGGACTATCCTGAGACGGTTGCAGTAGAATGCAGCCGAGCTGCAGCTAAGGGAAGGGAATATTGGACCAGGGTGCAATAGTCAAAGAAACCCCCGAGGGCCACGGTCGCATCGGACTGTACACGGAATAAGTCCTGAGCCTCCGGAGAACGGATGGGATCTCGCACGGGACAGTGCGCGGATGGGGCCTCTGCAGCTGTTGCAGGTGGAGGACGGCCGTTGCCACCAGATCTTGCACCAAAACAATCCCGTGCATCAATTTGTAATTATGGATGCTGACACGCCCACGACCACGTCGACCATGGTATTGTGGACTGGTGGACCCGAGAGGGGTGGAGTTGCAGGGCAAGGAACGGAGTCCATGGAGAGAGTTTGGGGGGAAAAGCAGACCGAGCACGGTTCAAGTCCTCTCTACGATCCACCGTTACGCTCGCGCTTGTAATGTACTACTCCCAGCCCCACCGGCCGATCTGAATGGCGTTCCTGTGTTCTGGCTTCTCCAGCCGCTTCCCATCCCAGAAAAGGAAACAGGAAGAAATGAGTTCGGAGAGGGGGCGTCTGCAAATGGACGTGCTGCGAGGTTACGGGGGCGCCATTCGCCGTGCGATACTGGCCGACCCTGGCTAATCGGCTCGTCAGCGCCAAAAGTGCTCATCTGGGACGAGAGGGGAAAGCCCGTCTGATCGACCTCCAAGCTGCATGTCATCGCTCTTTTCCGTTGGCCCGCGTCCTGTCAACCCTGGATGGTGATATAATGTGTGCATTCCGTCTGCATGTTGCCCCTCTCCCACTGTCGACCATTGTTTCATCCAGGCTTGCCCCCTTGGTTTCCGTCTGTTCGAAGACAAAGACTGGGTACTACTTCTCAGGACGGGCCCGGTCGCTCCCGGGATTTGAGTGGGCTCGGAGCTATAAAGGTGGAGCTCTGGGCAAAGACTGGACCGGGGAGTCCGTGCAGCCGAGATACGCGTTTGTTTCACTCAGAACATGATGTGCACGGGCGAATCGGCCCTTTCGTGGTTCGATTCGGCCGAGCATCGAACTGCAGAACCCGTCGAGTGGCCAAAAATGGAACGGAAAACATCTCCACTCCAGGATATGCACGTCTCGTAGCCGTGTGAGGTACTGTACATGGGGATTATTACCAGCGAGAGAGGGGGCCCGTTGCGTCCGTTGCGTCCGTTGCGTCCGTTGCCACTTGGAGAATGCAACGGCCTGTGCTGCACGGTCTTAGCGAAACGGTGCAAAGTGACAAAGGTACCAGATTGCGTGGACCGCGTTGGATGTTCGGGCAACTTGGCGCCTTTTCGTGTACAGTACGGGCTGTGCATGTCTGATCTCTGCAATATACTTTCAGCCGATCGACCTCGACCGCATGGTTGATAAATGATCTTCCGTATTGGGCCTGCTGCAGACTGCCGGGGCCCCGCTAAGGCTGGCGGATTCCGGTGTCAGCACGGGGCTCTCTGCTCGAATTAGACGCCAAAGACGGGCGCGAAGCGGTTGTGAGCCAGAAAGGAAGGAGTCTAGTAGTTTCCGGCGTCGAGGAGCCTCTGGGAAGAGGGGGGGAACGCGGTACCAATTAGTTCCTTTCGGGGTGTTCGGGGTGGCCGGGGTGTCCGGGAGCTATAGAGCGTATTACGGAGTAGGTTGTTCAGCATAAAGTGTATTATAGCGGACCCTTTCCATTTACCTTTCTGGTAGCCCGTGGTCAGCATAGCAAAGCTAGTATCGCATAGAAACTCCCACGGGCACGGGCCGAGAAAACAATTCCATAGTCCGCACCGAAATGCTTTCTTTACCCGCCACCCACCTGGGACGCGTTAAACCTTTTGGGGGAAACTATTCGGACGCGAGCACATGCTGATTCTGTTTGCCTGCTGATGCTTTTTCCAGAGCTCAAAACTGAGTGGCCCCAAGTGTCACTTTACAAGTTTCCCACTTTGCCTCTCGGGTGGAGTACGGAACACTGTATGTAATTTTTTCCTTTGCCTTCATCTCGGCCCCACTCAAGCTTCGAAACGCACCAAAGGCCCCCAAGACAAGACTTAGTTCACGGTTTTAGTTACACGGCGTGTGGCGATCGCCGCTAGGATTCCCGTTTCATTCATCACGGTCTTTTTAAGCGTCGCACCCCGGTTGCTCTAACTCTCTCCGACTCTCCGAGTGGGTTTCGATCGCGGCCTTCTGTCTTCCTTCGCTGCACGTTAAATTTAAGGAACCCGTCTTGTACCACAGGGCGTGCGAATCACGGTCGATCGATATCCAGTGATTGGCAACCCGGGGCTGAAAAAGTTACGGGGAGGGGGATGTTCATTGCGCTAGCCAGTGACGAGCCCATCGCGGCGCTAGCCATTTGTCCACGACGGTCTGGGTTTGTCGATGATCTGGGTTCTTCCACAAATCACTTCGGTCCGATACGGGCTCCATTTTTTTGGTTCTTTACTAATTCTCCCCGAGTATGGTAATCCTAGAGTGAAGAGCTAACTGGTGAAGATTCGGGGCTGAACGCAAAGCTACATACAGCTAGACAATCCAAATCAACAATCAGTGTGGATCACCGGCTAACCGACCGTGCAGCTGCAAAAAAAAAAGTTTCCCGGCTATGGGCTGGGCACCAATGAAGGAGCAGTGACTCCGTCCGAGTGCAACCGCTCTAGCAAGGTGGGGGGACCATCTAAAGAGGAATCTCGCGTGCATCACCGGAGAAGTTCTCCTCGGTCCCCATTTGTTAACACCTTCATTTCCACCTTTCTGCCGCTCTGCATGCCACGGCGGAACTAAAGTGACTCTAGTCGATCGCGATTTCGTACCTGCGACTGGAAGAACGACCCGTCAGAGCCAATGACTTCGAGCTGGTTGCCTGGGAATGGATTCCATCATGAGATGCGTGGTATAAACCTATCGGGGTAGGAGAATGTTGTATGGACGTCTTGAAACGGCGAGGAATGGACACGCGCCACTGGCCCCAGCTGATCTCCTGATACTTTTTTGCATCCACGGATCCATGGATCGCAGCGCGTCCGTGGCCGGGTTGCCTATATATATAGATAGGGATGACGGTACGTACATGTTTTCGCACCCGTAGGAGGGTAAGCTTTTGCCTGGAATGGCGCATGATGCGCACAAACCGGAGCTGGAGCGAGGTGAGAAAGGCAAAAGAGCATGAACCCCTCGTAATGTACAATCCGGTTACATTACCGAATGTACCTTACCCGGTGTCTCCACTCCATGTCACTTTGCCTGCATGGGCCGCCGCCAATCCCTCTCCACTCTCGAATGCCTCCATCTAGATCCAGGGTCTCTGACGCACGAGGCAAAACTACACCTGCAGCACACTCAAAACGACAACGGGACTGGGGCACCTATTTTAAATTATTTATTTTCGTTGGCGTGGTACTTTTTTATTATTATTATTATTTTCCTGGCTCAATTGTTCGCGGATTAGTATCAGGATTGTCATCGGTAGGCATGTGCTCTCCTACAAATTAATCTCCTTCCACTCCCTCCAAGTACCTATTCTTCCTCTTTTTTGTTTTCGCTTTCCCTCCCCTTTCCCCTTTCCTACTTTGGGCTGGTTGAGGAAGCTGTGTCTTCCCCGACATTCGTTTGCTTCCTGGCTCTTTACTACCAGCCCACTCTCATCGGCATCGCCGATTGACTTTAGTCACCCCCCCGTTTCAGCTCGTGGAGGTATATAGTCTATGTCCTATATGGAACACGGGAGGCTCTTCGCTAACGTTTCGTTGTCAAATTACAGATTGACTAGGAAACCTCCCGGGATTGGTAACCAGAGAAATCAATCCCGAAAATGGCTTTTCCTTTCCTGCGAGCTTTCGTCGCGCTATTGTCAGTTTCCCCGCCGGGTGATGCCATTCCCCTAACCGTACACGAACCACTAACTCTCCAGTAGCTGCTATCGCTACTTCCGCCTCGTCGTGAACTTGATCTCCTTCTGGTCATTCCGGCCGATCCCGCCCCCGGAAACCCCGAAGCTGACCAGTCAAGATGTCACGGTAATCATTCCTACGCTGGAGGGATGTGGCGAGGAATTGGTCGAGACGATTCGATCCATCCTGGAGAACCAACCCTACGAGATCCTTCTGGTGACTATCGAGGCCAATCGGAAGAGGGCCGAGAGGATGTTGAGTGCGATGCCGGCGTCCAAATCGAGAATTCGTCTGTTCACGGTCACGCATCCCAATAAGCGGCGCCAGATGACCAGAGCCATTCCGGAAGTACGAACCGCCATTACCATTCTTGCCGACGACGACGTGAGCTGGCCGTCTACCGTCCTGCCGTGGATTCTGGCCCCATTCGAGAAGGACGACCGTTACGGAGGCGTGGTGACTTGCCAGCGACTGCGTCGCGCTGTCGCACCGACCCTCTCGCAGCGCATCTGGGGATACCTGGGCGCTCTTTACCTTGAGCGACGTAACTTTGACTGCGGGGCTACGACCAATCTGGACGGCGGCTTGCCATGCATGTCCGGCCGTACGGTGGCTTATCGGACCAAGATTCTCCAGGACGAGGGCTTTACCTACGCGTTCACTAACGAGGAATGGTGGTGGGGGAAATATCAACTAAATGCAGACGACGACAACTTCATCACTCGCTGGATGGTCTCGCATGGCTGGGAGACTTATATGCAGTACCACCCCGAGGCGGAGGTGCTCACCACTCTGGAGGACAATCCCCGATTCCTGAAGCAATGCGCCCGCTGGTCTCGAAGCAACTGGCGGAGTAATCTCACCAGCATGTTCCACGAGAAGCACATCTGGTAGTAAGTGAAACCCTTTCCTTTTCCCCTGTTGGGCCAGCTCGTTCCTCCCCCCCCCCCCCCGATCGGTTCCCACTTGCCCCCCGAATCTCCTAAGGCCGACTAGCCGTCCTCCCCGAGCAAGACCAGACATGAAAAGTCCTGTTGGTCCGCTGGAAAAAGCAGAGCCCGATCGGACATCTCGTGCAACCGGAGAGCCTGTGGGTGATTTCCAACTCGGGAAGGGAAGAGCGCTGCATTATGCACGAAAGTTGCCTCTTTTTTTTCAGCCGCAGCTAACCCTTGTCTTTTCTTCCCTGTGCCAGTCGTCAACCTTGGAGCGCCTATGCCGTACACTTGACTACTTTGTCGCCTCCCGCCCTCTTGGGGGATCTGCTGTTGGTCTGGCTATGCCACAAGGCGACCGTCTCGTGGGGTGATGCCCTGCACGACCGCGCCATGACTTCGCTGTATCTGTGGATATTCAGCAGCAAGTGGATCAAGTTACTGGGTCACTACATCCGCTATCCGGTCGACGTCTTCCTCATGCCCGTGTCTATTCTATTCGGATATTTCCACGGTGCAATCAAGATGTACGCGGTGATGACACTGAATGTGGTAAGTTGTATCGTATTTTTTCGCCATTTCGCGCCATTTTTTTTTATTTATTATTTATTTTTCCATTTTCGCCCATTTTCACTGGTCTGGCAGGGGGTGGGCTGGCGAAACGTCGCTCGCCCCTCCCTTCCCCTATGACACGCTAGTATCACGACGCTTTGATCACGACTCCTCCTTCCTGCATCTTATCCACTGTACTTCCCGCCCGAGCCATTTTTGTGACGCGTCGCTTTGATTCGCCTGATATTATTTCCGATTCCCTCTTTCATTTTGATATGCGTCTCCTCTTCCTGGATCTTCCCTTGGCTGACCGGTTTTGTTCCTAGACTACTTGGGGTAGTCGTGACGGCGCCGATGATTATGATGCGGAGCGTATGAAGAAACTCACCGATGCCGATCGCAGAAAGCAGCCCTACTACCCCAGCTACCTCACCAAGTAGAATTCTACTTGTGGGATCTTTTACCGGAGACGATACCTGTTCCCTTCGCAGATAATAACATGTGCTCTGCGATGGCGGGGATCACAGACCACAGGTCTCCGAATCGGGGATTTGGAGAGTTTGGACTGGACGAGCGGTGCTGGTGATCACTCCAGCGTCCTTTTCCCTTTTACGATGAAATGCCGTGACGACCATATTTTCGACCCATGTTCGACTTGAAGTGTTGCTTTGTGTTTCGGTCCCGCTTCTAGATGCGTCCAGCGCTTGATTTGATTCTATGCGTTTTCTTTTTTTGCCCGTGGCTCGAAATTACAAGTTTCGAGCCACCTTCCATGGCATGGATCGAGGGGAGTCCTATGTTTCAGGCCGGCTTTGCAGCATCCCAACAGCTGCAAAGACGAAGACCCAGTTTCCCCTCGTACCGGCCGTGAGATTCGACGGAACTGATGCGTGGTACCACATCGGCGGTGCCGGCATCTTCTATCTCCCATCTTCAATTTTCCTCTTCTCTGCCACATGATTGGTTTTTCAAAAATGGGTGGCCAACCTCGAGCTTTGAAGGTTTCTTCATTTTTTTTCTTGTGTAAATTACAAAAGCATGGGCGGATTTCGTCGTTTTGCTCTTGATTTTTTCGCGCTTTGCATCTCGATGTGCTCCTCAGCTGGCTTGATTCCCCCTTCTGGTGCTATCATTTCGATGTTTGTTCGTTTCTCTGGGCTCTAGATGCAACATGGAGGTTATCTTTGACCGTTTCCTTTTCTCTCGAATTATGTTGATAATTCCTAATCAGCTGGAACATGCATAATGGTCATTTCATTCCCGCATAGGAAGCAGGCTTCAGCTCGAGACCGAATTGGGATCATCGTACATAAACATCCAGACATTAGCGTTCAGCCCTGATGCAATAGTGCAGTAGCCTTATCCCCCCTCCGAAACCTGAGCAAGTGGTTACAGCCCGGTCAAACTCAAAGAACCATTGCGTCAATTTGGCGATCAGGTGCCGCTGAAGGTGCTACGGAGAATCCAAGGGTAAGCGAAGCGCGGGCCAGGAGATCCTGTGAGTGGCGATCGGGCCGAGACTTCGAAAAGTTCCGCGTCCTCCGCAACAACCTCCAACCTCGAATCTGTGCAGCGTTAGATATGGCTGGCCTTCCTCGAGCTGCATTTCCCTCGCAGCTTCTCGCCCTCGCACGACACAATGCACCCTTGTGTCGCCGCTTTCACTCCTCGCCCTTGAGGGCCGCCGTCGCACACCCCGTCACTGCCCATGGCCCCCCACCCAAACCTCCTGCGCCATCGCCGGATTTCAAGAAGAATGCCGAGCAGGTGAAAGAGGCTGAATCTGCACCAGCAAGTGAAACACAATCACAACCCACGAGGGCTTCCGTGTCACTGAAGAAGCGGTTCTGGAAGAATGTTCACGTCCATGGGAAGCCCGGTAAGTGTTGAGCTGTCAATATGCATCACTAATTACGAACTGGCTATCTAAGACCGTGGACTGACTTTTAATTTGGTTTACAGGCGAGTACCAAGTACTGCTGGACAAGCGACCCGTGAGAACGCCCACCAAGGAAATCCTCACCATCCCCGCTACGAAGCCTCACCTAGCGTACGCCATCGCTCTGGAATGGGATGTGATGACCTCTGCGCAACAGGCCCTGAAGAGCCATCTGATTCCCCTGACCTCCCTTTCGGCGCGCGCGGCAGATATCTTTCGGGAGGATGCTCAGGGCGATAGCACTACCCGCGAACAGATCATCACGACTGCCATGCGTTATTTGGACACCGATACTCTCCTCTGCTGGGAGCCAGAGCGGACGAATCATGTACTAGACCGCAAGGTTGGCGAGGAGAAGACCGAGAGTCTTCGAGAAATTCAGATGAGGATTGCCAAGGATATCATGAGCTTCCTGTCTACCAAGGTCTGGCCCGGTCTTGAGATCGTGCCGATTCTTGACACGGAGAGCATTCTGCCTTTGTCCCAACCGCAGGCGACCAAGGACAGCATCCGCACTTGGGTCTCGGAACTGGATCCTCACGACCTGGCCGGTCTGGAGCGAGGCATTCTGGCCTCCAAGAGTCTCCTGGTCGCGGTGCGCCTACTGGTCGAGTGGAGTGAAAACTTCCGTCATCTTCAAAATCACGAGACCAAAAAGTTTGGTCTTGAAGATGCCGCCGAGGCCTCGAGTTTGGAGGTGAAGTGGCAGACGGACATGTGGGGCGAGGTAGAGGATACTCACGATGTTGACAAGGAGGACCTGAAGCGGCAGCTAGGAAGTGTTGTCATTCTGGTCAGCGGAGAGACTCGCTAGAGTTGGAGTTGACCATTGTACTATAGAAACTGTATACCATCAATATTAGAGTCCTGTATACACGAGCGGAGCCGAGTAAACTGTCAGCCAGTTGCCAAGGCGGAGTAGTGATCGGCGCTGCTTTTGCCCCCCTCCCCCCCCGAACAACGCGGCCATTACGCTTTCCCTCAAGACCTCGCACATTGATGCCTTTGCAATAGCACTCGAGTACAATGTCCGACAGACCTGAAGGGTACGTTATCCCCACTGTGCATGGACCCATGGTTCATGAGCCGCGGCGGTCGGTGATGACAGCACGCCCTCCGTTGGGACGAGTTGACTGGGTGCTGGCCCTGTCCTGATTTACATGACCAGCCAACCTGGGAATAGCTAGGAGATTTACCTGTGACTAACATGCCCCTCTCTCGCAGGCACAAGCGCTCTCGGAGTGCGCTAGCGCTTTCCCTCCTGTATCGCGATAAATCCAAAGGCGAGGACAAGGAGGACGACAACACCTCAGTCGCCTCCGCCTCCACGAATGGCTCCTCTTTGACACATACTCGCAGCTTCAGTCGCAGTCGTCGCAAGCAAAATCAGGACTTGAATCCTACCTCAGTCCCCGAAAATCCCCTCGAGCAGGTTGCTACCTATCAAAGCTACCAGGGCGCGGACACGATGGCGCAGGAGCCATCGGTGCCTCAGACGGAAGGGGGGAGCCTGTCCCTCGACCAGTCGGTGCGGACGTTCCGCTTGTTTGAGATCCTGCGCAGTGGTGATACCACCGCCATTGCCAAGGCTATCAAGGAATCCGGGGATACTCAAGTGGCGAACAGCTTGTATGGGACCACAATCCTCCATCTGGCTCTCCAGTGTGCAGAGCCCCAGGTGGTGGAATTCGTGCTGTCGTCGAGCGAGGAGTTGGATATCAACGCGCGGGACCGCGAGGGGAACACCCCGCTTCATCTCGCTGCTCAGCTTGGACGTACCTCCTTGGTTCGGGAACTGCTGAACCGGCCCTCAGTCAATGATGCCGTGGTTAACTACAGGGGTCAAACGGCTCTCGACCTCGCCCGTACGCCAGAGATCTTCCAGCAACTCCACCTAGCCCGGTCCCTCTTCATTGACGGTAAGACTCAGGAGATACAAGCCCTGATCGCGAAAAGGCAATATGATGAACTGGAGAAGCTGCTGGAAGAGCCTCGCGCGGAAGGCATATTGGACGTCAACAACCTGGACTTGGTCACCGAGCGAACGACCTTGCAGTCTGGCGGCACTCTGCTGCATGAAGGTGCTCGGAATAAAGATGTACAACTCATTGAGATCCTTCTGACACATGGTGCGGACCCTTTCCGACGTGATAAGAAAGGAAAGCTGCCCCAGGATGTTACCAAAGACGACAAGACTCGGGCGATGTTGAAGAAGTCCCCGGCCGCCGCGGTTGCTCAGCGAGGTATCCAGGAGAAGGCTATCCTCGGAAACAGTAATGCTCAGGGCCTGTCGGGTCGGGTGTCCATTGGCGAGGCACCTCTGGCTGGTAAAGATGCCCGGGAGATGCGTGGCTATCTCAAGAAATGGACCAACTACACAACCGGCTACAAGTTGCGCTGGTTTGTTCTCGAGGACGGTGTTCTGAGTTACTACAAGCACCAGGGTAAGTTGTGTTTTAAAGGGACTTGTTTGGGCGCTGGTCTCGTTATGTCGACTTGATCTAATTCTTTCATGCAGACGATGCCGGTTCCGCTTGTCGTGGAGCAATCAACATGAAGATTGCCAGACTAAGCATGGATGCTCAAGATAAAACTCGGTTCGAAATCCACGGCAAATCATCGGTGAAGTACCACCTGAAGGCAAACCATGTTGTGGAGGCCAAACGTTGGTTCTGGTCTCTGAACAACGCGATTCAGTGGGCTAAGGACGAGGCCAAGGAGGAAGAGCGCCAACGTTCACAAAATGCAGAGGTTCTTCGCCAGGCCAAGATGGACCAGTCAAGTGTGAGCGGAACACCCTCCGAGTCTGGAGTGAGTCACAAGCCCAGCACCAAGGGTCTTGCGCCTCCCTCTCTCGGAGTGCCTGGCAGCAGCAGTAGCGTTAGGCTCAGCACACACACCTCCCGAACCACGCTTGAGGTCACCCCCGAGGATGAAGCAGGCTCGGCTTATGAATCGCTCGATGCTCCTAACGAGGTGAACAGATCGATCAGCCATGTCACCTCTGGGCCTGAAATGGATGATGATGACGATGACTTTGGCGACTACGCTTCCAGCCGTGAGATGCCTACCGAGGACAAGGATGCTCTCAACATCACCGCACAGTCCGCGAAACTCCAACTGGATCTTCTGGCGAATGTGTCTGCTTCTGTACAGGCAGAAAGGTCTAGGAACCCGGATATGACTATTGCGGATCCAGCACTTGAGCAAGCCCTTGGTGCCTATGAGGGTGCCGTCAGTAGCCTCAAGGGCTTGGTTCAAAACCTTCTCAAAATTTCACGAGACCGCGATTCCTATTGGCAATACCGGCTGAACCGAGAGGAACATCTTCGTCGGATGTGGGAAGAGAGCATGGCGCGCGTCGCCCAAGAGCACGAGGATCTCCAGTCCAAGATGGGCGAGTCCGAGGAAAAGCGGAAACGTACTAAGCGGGCTCTAAAGGAGGCTCTGGAGAATGCTACCGGTAGTAGCCGCGAAATCAGCGGTCCAAGCTCTCGCATGCCGGCCGAAGACCAAGACACCGCGGAGGGCCAGACCGAGGCCTCGGAAGCTGACCAGGAAGGAGAGCAGCCAAGCGAGGCAGCGCGGCCTATTCTCCCTCGCAATAGGTCCGGGAAGTCCACATATTCTCAGATCAGCGGCCTTTACGACTCGGAGTCGGACGGTGACGAATTCTTTGACGCCATCGATGCCGGGGAAATCGAGGTGGAGGATGTCACCAAGGTTGAGCCTAAAGAACCGGAAAAACCGGAAGATGAAAGTTGTCAGGCTCGTAATGATAAGGTGGCTGTGATCAAGCCCTCTTTCAAGGGTTATGAGGAGCCCGTACGAACGAGGTTGAAGATGGACAATGATAATAGGCCCAAGATCTCTCTGTGGGTAAGTAATTTTTCCCCCTTTATTTACTTTGGTCCGACACTTACTCACTGACCTTCTTTTTAGGGTATTCTGAAATCCATGATTGGCAAGGATATGACCAAGATGACCCTTCCCGTCTCTTTTAACGAGCCGACCTCGTTGCTTCAGCGAGTCGCCGAAGACTTGGAGTACACTGACCTTCTTGATATCGCTGCTGACCGAACCGACTCAATGGAGCGTCTGGTTTATGTGGCCTCGTATGCCGCAAGTGAATATGCTTCGACGATCGGCCGTGTTGCTAAGCCATTCAATCCCCTGCTTGGTGAAACTTTCGAGTACGTGCGGCCAGACAAGGGCTACCGATTCTTCGTGGAACAAGTCAGTCATCACCCGCCGATTGGCGCTGCGTGGGCCGAGTCACCCAAGTGGGATTACTGGGGCGAATCCTCCCTCAAATCCAAGTTCTACGGCAAGTCCTTCGATATCAACCTTCTCGGCACGTGGTTCCTGAAGCTGCGTCCAGTCACCGGTGGGGAGGAGCTGTACACCTGGAAGAAGGTCACATCCTCCGTTATTGGCATCATCACTGGCAATCCCACCGTGGACAACTACGGTCTGATGGAGATCAAGAACTGGACCACTGGAGAGGTCTGTTACCTCGACTTCAAGCCGCGCGGGTGGAAAGCGTCGTCGGCCTACCAGGTCAGCGGTAAGGTGGTCGACCAGGACGGCTCCCCCAAGTGGAGTATCGGCGGGCGTTGGAATGACAAGATCTATGCCCGCCACACCCCCGGCTTCGAGGCTCCGGTGTCCGGTCAGGATCCAGAGTCGGCCAAGACACTCTTGGTGTGGCAGGCCCATCCTCGTCCCACCGGCGTGCCTTTCAACCTTACTCCCTTCGTCATTACTTTGAACGCCCTTCCTGAAGGTCTGAAGGATTGGTTGCCTCCGACTGACACGAGACTGCGTCCCGACCAGAGGGCTATGGAGGATGGCGAGTACGACATTGCTGCTAATGAGAAGCACCGGGTCGAAGAGAAGCAGCGTTCTAAGCGCCGGGAGCGTGAAACCAATGGCGATGTCTACAAACCGCAGTGGTTCATACGTGCCACTTGTCCCACCACCGGCGAGGATTACTGGGCTCACAATGGCAGATACTGGGCCAGCAGAGAGGCGCAGGACTGGAGCCTTTCGGAAGATATCTTCTAAGAGTAGGAAGTGGCTTGATTTTGAGATGTTCGGCCCCAAGCATGGGGAATTTTTGAATTGTAACTTTGCTTGTACAAGACACTGCAGTGCTCAGAAATACACGGTAAAGGATGAGCACTTGTTGATATTCAATGTGTATTCTCAGCGGACCTTTTTATCCGACGTACACAAGCGTGAAGATTGGCCGCTAGGAAATAATGTTGAGAGTTCTTTCCATGACTGATTTTGAATGGCTCTTCAACTGCGTTGGACTAGCATTCTCGTATTCACAAGACCGCCTATGTCGTTCTTTCTTAGTGGCCGCTATCAACGCTGATGAAGTCTGCAGTGAAATCGAATCCATGTAGCTCCACAGTCACGTGCACGGATACTTGAAGGAAAATCGACCGACCGAGGACTCTCCATCTCACACCACCACGAACTCACATAATGGCAGGAGGATACACCTGTGTCCAGTGCCTGCATGTGCTCCGACAGGGGGTCCGGGTTTCCGGTACTCCAGGTCGCCTGCAGAGCCTGGTCAATTCGCGACGGAAGTGCGCTGTGTCTCCGTCGTGGATCCGCAGCTTTGGCTCGGAGCGCAACAATCGCTCTGTGGGAGGAACTACAACCGAGCAGGGGAAGAATGCCTCTGGAAAAACTCCTGCTAAATCATCGCCTGCGCCGTTTGCGCAGCGAGCGGCCTCCACGTCAGCCGGTCCCTCCGTCGATACGCGAGCTCTGTTGAAACCCAACAACCTGTTTCACTCCTTCTCGAACTCCCCCTCGCCTGCGATCCGCCAACGTGCCGCATTCATTAAGCAGAATGCTTTCTGTCCTCACCCAAGCCACCAGCAGACCCGCGCCCCCGTCTCGCCGCACGACCCGGAAGCGAGAAAGACATCCGACGAGACCAGTCAGCCGCCGGCCCATTCGCACTTCGAATGCCCCGACTGTGGTGTTCCTGTCTACTGCTCTGAAGGCCATTGGATGGACGACTTCGAGGCTCACCTCGAGGTCTGCGAGACCATGCGCCAGATCAACGAGGATGACCATGATCTCCACTCCGGCCGCTTCTTCCCTGAATTCTCCTACCCGGGCGTGCAGGATGACAACTTTGTGATTAACATGACCAATTGGGATACCTACATGTATACTCGCGAGTTTGATGCTATCAACTCTGACCGTTCCATGCGCCAGGTCACCCGCATGCTCACCTACCCGCAGACCATTGCGAGTGTCTTGCATGAGTTGAGCCCTTACAGTGTGCGTGGAAATAACCGCTTGACAGCTGAGGGATTGAAGAGCATGACCGGTATGTTGAACCAATTGATATCCTCCTCGCGGTTACACGTGAGATTAACTAATATTTTTTTTCTCTTTTCTACATAGCCCTTCGATACTCCCTACACCCGCCCAAGACCGGTGAAGATATCGATATCAAAGGCCTGCGTCTGAAGGCTCCTCCAGTCCGGATTTTCATTCTGGGCGCGCGGGCCGAGTCCTCACTGCCCCGTGAGGTCTGGATGCAGCTCTCCTACATGTTCCCACAATCTCTTATTCACGTCATCTTCATCGGCCCTGAAAGCATGGCCAATCGGGATTCCGAGTTCCCGCTGCCCCAGCGCACCCCCGAGAACCCATTCGGCGGGATCGTCGAGGACCGCCTGGGTGGCCAGATGAAGATTACCACCTACGTCGACTACTTCCACACCATGTACAAGGCCCAGTACTTCCAGCCCTTTGACCCTTACCTGGACTGCTTCATGCTCTTCCACCCGGGTCTGGGCCACCCTGCCAGCTCGCACGAGTGGGCTGAGACTCTTCCCCAGCTCCTGGAGACCAAGGTCCCCGTTCTGTGCACCGGATACACTCAGTGGGATATGGAGCGCGATATCAACTGGGTTCATGACAAGTGTGCAGGGGAGTTTGATATTCTTCTCGAGCCTGGGGAGAACATCTTCCGCAGTCTGCGCTGGGACTTGAACGACCTGGACCCTCATGATGTTTCGTGTGGAAACTGGGGTTTGTGGGCGTTCCGCGGCAAGAGGTATGTCTTTGCTCGACCTTTCTCAAATGCAAGTTTGGCCTGGTTGCTAACATTCGCAGATACGAGGCCACATTTAAGGCGGAGTAGGTGCGGCCACCACTTCCTGTATGATATAGTTTTTTGCTGGGCTCCGGTTTTTGTTGGGATCCATGTAGTAGATAGGCCATGTTTAGTCCTCTCCTCTGAAATTATTGAACCATTGAACTCCGAACGGTAGAAGATTCTCTGACCCATTTGAAGGATTGAGAAGGCTTGTCCGTCACGAAAGTAGAAGGTGATCTACGAGTCTCCAACTATGTCCACTACGCGTACTTGTACAGACTATCACATCACGGAGCAGCAATCAGTTCAAATGTTGCAACAAAGTACAGCAAGTCCTACAAGCGCTCATCAAAACAAAGATGACATCCAAGCCCGAGCATAAGATGCGCGCATCCACGTCGGTATTAGTTCAGTTAATTCCAGGATCAACCAAAGAAGTAAACACAAAATTAGAAGACAAAAATCTCAGATGTCGTAAAACGGGTTGAGAGAGAAGGGAAGAGAAAAGGGTATAGGCATCAAGAAGGTCGGAGAACACATCACAACAACCATGATCGTCGGAGGGGTATTGAAAAAAGGTATATCGAAAGAATATATAAGAAGAGAAACAAGCGGCCCTGGGGTTCAATATGAGAGAAATTGAATGTGGTAACCATCGGTCAAGATGGTTAGGTTTGACAGCACCGGGGCTGACTGGGGGATCCTCAGGATCCTTGCGCATACTGTTTGCGCGAACTAGTCGATGGCCTCATTCTTGATTATTTAAATCAGGATGAAACCAGCAACAGCCATGGCACCAGCCGCCACGACACCGGGGAATTGGAGCGAAGCGGCACCGTTGGCCCGGGTAGACGAAGCCGAAGCAGGGGCAGCGGTGTGGGTGGAGGACTCAACCACGAGGGGAGTGCTGGTGGTCTTTTCCAGAGAGGTGGAAGAGCTGGGAGTGACGCTGAAGGTCGCGCTCGAGTAGGGAGTGCTGGTGCGCATGGGAGTCGAAGTCGACGAGGACGAAGGAGTCGGAGTCGGAGTCGGGGTCGAGGTCGGGGGGTGTAGCCAGAGGGCACCAGAGTCAGAGTCTTGGTGATGGGCGCAGCCTCAGCAGCAAACGCGACGGGGGCCAGGGCGGCCGCGAGGAAAAGGAAAGCCTTGGTGAAGTGCATGTTGACGGTGTTTCGCGTTTGTAGATGGGTTTGTTTATTCGAGATTGACGAGGGTCTGGTAAGATCCGCAAGGGTAAAGAATGAATGGAGCTGGTAGAAAAGAACGCGACAGCCCGTGTCAGGGATCAAACGAATGGCACTGAAATCAGTGAAGGAGGGAAGATCTGAGGGAAATGAAGAGCGACATTAAGGGAGGCCGCTTATCCATTTGGGGACTAGCGGGGTCGGACTACGTAACCGCGCGACGGGCGGAATGCGATGCTCCACCGAGTGAACCATGACTTTACACATTGAGATAGAGATTAAGCAATTTTATTACCAGCCTGAAGGGTATCTAGAAATCACAAACAGCCACCCAGTCGTCGCCGAACTCTTCAAATAAGCAAGTGCAAGTCGTATATCCGTACAGCTCGTATCAATATCAATATCAATGCCGTCTCGAGGGACGGGAGCAACCCATAATCACGAGAACAGGGCAAAGGATCATTCAGATCATTTAAAATATCCACACGGCGGTAGTTACCAGGGCTGCAGTAACCCAGTATCCGCTGGCGTGCAGCAAAGTCTGCGCAGAGGCCGATGCTCCCGATGAGGAACCGTCCGCAGCGGTGGTGCCGTTGGCCAGCGTACCGTTGATATAGATCTTCTCGGTGCCGTTGACATCGACCACGTGGGTATTAGTGGTGTTTCTGGGCTGGGTGCCATTGAAAAGGTCTTCGTAGTAGGTGCTGTTGTTGTTGTCATCACAGCCACACTCTTGATACTCCTGGCACACGCAAACCACGGGCATTGATTCATTGCGGTGGTTTTGCTCGTCCTCGTAGTAATAAGGGTGATGGTACGGATAGGCATAGGCACCGTATAGCCAGATGCCGGGGAAGAAGGCCAGCGCCGCGACTGGCAAGAGGAACGGCGTGATCCCTAGAGGAGACCTCGAGCCAGCGGTGTAGGGTGTACGTGCGCCACCGGCATAGTATCTGTCATGCGTCTTAGTCTTTGACGACTGCTCGTGACCGTAGGAGGAACTTGAATCATACCTTCCACCGCCGTAAGAGGCCTGCGTGCCAGATCCTCTGCTTGTTGAGCCTCCCCGGTTGCTCGTCGAAGCGGAGGAGCCACCGCGACTGCCACTCGAGCTATCGCCGCTACTTCCACCTCGGCTCGAGCCTCCCGAGCTCGAGCTCGAGCTCCCGGAACCGGAACTGGAACTGCCACTACGGCCTCCACTTGATCCTCCGGAGCTGCTGGAACGCCCTCCTCCTCCTCCACCTCCGCGTCGCTTCTCCAAGTCCAGGAATTCACCGTAGACAGGCGCGTCATCTCGCTCGACGAGTGCGGATGATTCGGAGGGGATGGTGAGGGAAGAGACCCCCGTGGAACCGAGTAGGAGTAGTAATGTCGCCCAGGTCAACTTCATGATGTGAATGAGAGAAGACCAAAAAAAGACAATGCGAGGAAAAAGCAAAGACGGGGGTGGAAAGCGATCAAATAAAAAGCTTTACCCTTTGCGCCTCCCGCGAGGCTGAGTTCCGCCCTGAATCCAGAGCGGAGCGCACAGCCTCCTTTTCAGGGCCCCAGCGATCCGAGTACGAAATACGTCATGGTATATGTATGATGTGACGCTGCGGACGTGGGGACGTGGGGACCCGTACGATCGAACCACTTACATTATGCAAGATGCAATGCAAGATGCAAGATGCTTGAAGATACAGGGTCTGGGGAATGAGGTTAAAGATGCCAAGTAGCTAAGCCGTGTGCACGAGGCAGTGTGCAGTCTCGTATCTTCGACTCATCGAACAAGTCCATCGATACTCAGCCCCCAAATCATAGTCCATACATTCGCATTGCCTTCGTTGACAAAGCCTCACCACCCGCGAGTTTATTTGTGCTTTCATGGCACGGCCACACGCCAACGTAGGGACCGAAGAAAGAGAGCCGGTGGGCCTAAACACCCTCTCTTATTCATTCAATATCTCTTCCTACGCAACTCTTTGTTTTTGTTTTTGTTTTTGGTATTCATTTGCTTTGATTTTACACGGAATCTTTCGAGTGTCTCGTGAAAAATGTCAGATTGGTAATATATCTACCGTTTCTTCAAAGTACGATATCTCGTTGGCCCCCCTGCAGTACTGCTGGGAGACAACCGTGTAGCCGAGCGTTATGGAAATGACTTCGAACAATGTAGCTACGGTCTGTAGGATCCCAGGGGAATACGCATCGTACATAGTGCAGAGGGGCATTTGCAACAAAGAGTTCGGTTGATCGTCGGCGGTCGGAGGTCGGAGACTGGCCCGAGTACCTTTGGCGCTACTCGGTCTTCTCTCTCTTCTCCCGCATTCCATCGTTCACCTCTGCGCGCCATGGTGCGCCCGCGGGGTCTTTCTAACACGTCCGACGTTTCCTCGGTTCCTGACCAGGATCAGGTCTGCTCCTCTTCTATCCCCGGTGGACCCCGCGCCTTGTTAACTCGTTCTTAGGAGCTGGGGAGCATGTACGATTACTTGGCCAAAGTCATTCTTCTAGGCCCCAGTGGCGCCGGCAAGTAAGTCGTACATGCTTTTGATCACTTGGAGAGTCTCGTGGCTGACGCTCCTTGTCGTAAACAGGTCCTGCGTGCTACACCGATTCGTGAAGAACGAGTGTACGACCACACCCCCCGCCCAGTTGTTCACGGTCGTTAACTTTTGCCAGGGCGAGTACTGTCCTCACAGACAATCGGGGTCGAGTTCGCCTCGCGCATCGTCAAGCTAGGTACCGGCTCAAGGCGAAGACGCATCAAGTTGCAGCTCTGGGACACTGCGGGTACCGAGCGATTCCGATCCGTTTCCCGCTCCTACTATCGTGGAGCCGCCGGCGCCATTCTCATCTACGATGTCTCCTCCTATTCTTCCTTCGCCGCCCTTCCTACCTTCCTCATGGACGCACGAGCGCTGGCCTCGCCCAACCTGACGGTTCTCTTGGCTGGGAACAAAGCCGACTTGGCTGATGCGACAGCTTCCGACCCGGACGATGCGGGACGGCCTCCACCGACTCCGTCGAGTACATCGAGCAGACAGTCCTCTCTCCCCTTTGATGCCACCGGCTCGGTGCGCTCAGCCAACTACTTGGGCTCCGGAACCAGGATGACCGCTACCTTTGCCGAGGGTCGAGAGGTCAGCCGAGAGGATACGTCTCGCTGGGCGGCGCAATCGAATATCCCAGTGGCCGTGGAAGTCTCGGCACTCACCGGTGAAGGGGTGGAAGAGGTTTTCCAACGGTTGGCCCGCATCATCTTGACTAAAATCGAGCTCGGTGAGATCGACCCCGACGACCCGCAGAGCGGCATCCAGTACGGCGATGGCGGTCTCTATGGCCACGGAACGAGCGACGCCTCGAGCATCAGAAGCAGAGCCACGCTGGATGACAATGCGCTGCCCCTTCACCGCACCTCGCGACGACATGGTAGGCCTGGACAAGGCTGGAAGGGTGGCATGAGGGAATGGGAAGACGTGTTTCGCCTGGGTGGCTCTCAATCTCGGAGGAACCGGGGTTGTTGCTAAATGCTGCGCTGGTCTTTTCTTTCACTTTTTTTTTTTTTCCCCCTTTCGTTCAATGCTTTGCACGATACCCCCTTCTGACATTCGTTTTTACCCCCATAATTGTTCTACAGATACTCCTTATTTGCATCTCTCTCGGGCAGGATTCCCCTGTGAGGGAAATCAAACCACGTTACTTGAAATCTTTCGAGGTTCAAAAGGGCACAATCAATCGGACATATTCTCTTTTGAACTCCATTTCTCATTCGAAAAAGCACCTCGCGAACACCACCCATCATTTTCATCAGACATTAACCTGGGCTTTACGCGTCGATGCCCGCAATCAGCGTCTTGATGCCCTTTCCAGCCTTGACTTCCTTGAACGCCTGTTCCGCCTCCTCGAACTTGACGGTGCCGGTGATGAGCCGCTTGACATCCACCTTTCCGGTCGAGACCAGCTGGACCGCCAACTTGTAGTCTCCGCTGCCGTAGCGGAAGCTGCCCTTGATGTTCAGCTCCTTAGAGCAAGCTGCCATGATGGGGAAGTTCATCTCGCTGCGGCCCATGCCACCCTGCACGTACGTACCGCCGTTACGGAGGACGTGAATACCCGTGTGGACGGAGGGCTCGGCACCCGAAGCGTCAATGGCAACATCGGCGCCGCCGCCCAAGTCATTCTCTCGCTTCAATCGCTCGGCATTCTCCGTCGCCGGCGCCTTGCTGGGCATAAAGGTGGAGGTCACTGCATAGTCCTTGGCAAAGTCCAGGCGAGGCTTCTGGATGTCCACCGCGATCACCTTAGAGGCGCCAAAAGCGGTTGCTACCGCACAGCACAGAAGGCCCACGGGTCCGGCACCAAAGACGACGACCGACTGGCCGGGGCTGACCTGTGCCTGTCGCACGATGTGAACGGCCACACTGAGGGGCTCCATCAGGGCACCCTCCTGCAGCGAGAGATGCTCGGGGAGCTTGTAGCAGAAGTCCTCCGGGAGGACATAGTATTTGGCCAGGGTACCGTCGTAGGGCGGGGTTGCGGCAAACTCCATGTTCTCGCACAGGTTGTACTTGCCACCCTTGCAGGGCTCGCATCGACGGCATGCGATGCCGGGCTCCATGGCGACTCGGTCGCCCACCTTCAACGAGGTGACGGCCGATCCGACCTTGCTGATAACGCCCGCCGACTCGTGTCCCAGCACCATGGGGTCCTTGACAACAAATGAACCGATCGAACCGTGTTCCCAGTAGTGTACCTGTCACAAGCGTTTCGGTCAGCTTCCCTTCGGTCGCCCGCATTGGGCCGGGCAACCTACATCACTACCGCAGATTCCCGTGTACTTGACATTAATGATCACATCGTGAGCGTTCTTCAGCTCGGGAATTGGGCGATCTTCGAACTTGACCTGGTGGATGCCCTCTAGGACAAAGGAAAGGTTCTACATCCCGCTACGTTAGCAAACAGTCTCCCGGGGTCTATACAACGGACCTCAACCTACCTGAGCCGTTGCGGTAGCCATGTTGGATAATGTGAAAGAGCTTGAGAAAGAGAAAGATCAAAGAGAAGAGGGATGGAAGGGGCTTTAGATAAAAGGCCGGCAAAATGTGTGTAATGAACCGAGCTGAGCTCCCCGCAGTTCTGTGACCACGTTCGGGCGACTTTCCCTCGGTGGATCCAATTCGGATTTTAACCGCGGGGGACTTTTACCCGATTTTTGCCTATGTATGTCACCGCGACGCCACGCTTGTCCGGCTGCCCTCTGGCTGTGTTCCAGGGGAGGGTTCCACGTGGATCGTGATGAAAATTCTAGAATTGAGCCTGGTATGCTATGTATGCTGCGCCCCTATGCCATACAAGGGTTGTAGGTCCAGTATATACCACCGCGCACGAGCTATACCAGGGTTGAGATGCACGGATCCAATTGCATGATAGAATGACGGATGTCCATATTAGCTCGTATTAACTCATGGCTTGATCCAGATACCATGATTAATATCCCACGAGGTATTGAATGTATCGGAATCATAGAAAACAATCTTTCGGCCCGGTCGGTCTCGACCGCCAAGACCCGATGCGGAGGTGACCAGCTCTGCCGAACTTCTTCTGCTTTTGCGCATCGTCACATCTCACAATGGTTCGCGCATCCACACCAGCCCTTCGTGGGGCACTACGCTGTGTTCGATCTCGGCCGGTATCTGCTCTGTCGCAGCAAAGAGTATTTGGAGCCTCCACCCGGTGTCTGGCAAACGACAAGCAGGCGTCCTTCAAGAGCCAGCTCTACGAGAGCACCCAGCAGCGACTCAAACGCGAGCGGGCCGAGCAGGAGCGGTTCGCCCAGTATCAGCCTCAGTCAGCTGGCGGTCGCTATGCTGCCTTGATGTTCGGTGTGTCCCATGGCCCCGATCCCGGTCCCGATCCCGATCCCGGGTCGTCGCTAACTCGTCTCTAGCTTTGGTCTTCTTCTCGACCGGTGCATACTACCTGGGCTCCCTCAAGCCTGCCTCCCTTCCCGAGTCATCGACCACCTCTCTAGCAGATCTCGGTCCGCCGAAGCACAATGTGTCCCCGTCCAACCTGCAGGCTGCATGGACTGACTTTGTCGAGATCTTGGGTAAAGAGAACGTCTCTACCTCGCCGGGCGATGTGGAAATGCATTCCGGGTCAGACTGGTCATCCTATACCCGCAAGGATGATGAGAAGCCGTTCTTGATCCTCTATCCCTCGACCACTGAGGAGGTGTCGCGCATCATGAAGATATGTCACCAGCGAGTGATCCCAGTCACCCCGTACTCCGGCGGCACGAGCTTGGAGGGCCACTTCGCCTCCACGCGTGGTGGTGTGTGCATTGACTTCCGCCGCATGGATCAGGTCTTGAAGCTTCACAAGGATGATTTGGACGTGGTCGTGCAACCGGCCGTTGGATGGGAGGAGTTGAACGAGGAGCTGGCCAAGGATGGACTTTTCTTCCCCCCAGACCCCGGCCCCGGAGCTATGATTGGTGGTATGGTGGGCACTGGCTGCTCGGGAACCAATGCTTACCGCTACGGGACAATGCGCGAGTGGGTTTTGTCTTTGACCGTGGTTCTCGCCGATGGAACTGTCATTCAGACCCGACAGCGCCCGCGCAAGTCCAGTGCAGGCTATGACCTTAACAAGCTCTTCATTGGAAGCGAGGGCACTCTCGGACTGGTGACAGAAGCGACGCTGAAGCTCACGGTCCGACCTCAGAGCCAAAACGTGGCCGTGGCTAGCTTCCCCAGTATCCACAGCGCCGCTCAGTGCGTCACCCAAGTGGTGAAGGCCGGCATTCCCTTGGCCGGAGTCGAGATCCTCGACGATGTTCAGATGAAGTGCATCAATGCCAGCGAGAGTACAAGTCGCCAATGGAAGGAGTCCCCTACCATCTTCTTCAGGTTCACGGGGACGCCCGCGGCCATCAAGGAACAGATTGGCATGGTGCAAAAGCTTGTCAAAAACACCTCGGGCAAGTCCTTTGAGTTTGCTCGAGGCGAGGAAGAAATGCAGGAACTGTGGAGCGCGCGGAAGCAGGCCTTGTGGAGTGTGATGGCGATGCGTAGGAGTCCCATGGATCACGTCTGGACCACCGACGTAGCGGTGCCAATGAGCAAACTGCCCGACATCATTGAAGCCACCAAGGAGGATATGACCAAGAGCGGACTGCTGGCTGGAATCTGCGGTCACGTCGGAGACGGTAACTTCCACGGTAAGTTCCCTGGACGTCCGGGATGCGAGGTCTTTTTCTAACTCAAACTAGCTATCATCCTGTTCAACGACGGTGAAAGAAAGGTGGCCGAGGGCGTGGTTCACCGCATGGTCAAACGAGCCGTGGAGATGGAGGGCACCGTGACGGGCGAACACGGCGTCGGGCTTGTCAAGCGAGACTATCTCGCACACGAGTTGGGCGAATCTACGGTGGATGCCATGCGCCGGGTAAGTCTGCAGAGCCGCATCCATTTGTTCAACAAAACTAATGCCTTGTGAACTCTAGTTGAAATTGGCTTTTGACCCGCTTCGTTTGCTTAACCCGGACAAGGTTGTTCGAACTGAGCAGCCAGCGCCGGGTGAAGTCAAGGAATGGTAGTCCTTGATATCAAAATCTGATTGTACATAACATTCTAATATTATTTCGACGGTCCACATGACCAAATATCTACGTTCATAAGTACTGGGCAGTTCTCCGAACCTTGGTCTGGGAGATAACAGCTTGAACACCTCAAGGTAAAGCACTATGGTAGATGTTTGACACGAGCTATCTATCTGCCTCACAGCACTTCTCGGTGTTCTAAAAGCCATGTCCTATCTTATACTGCCGATTCAGGGAAATGCCTTCTGTAATATGCAATGTAGATAGACACCACGCCAACTGTCAACAAGTCAAAGGCGGAGCTGCTTGATTCTCTGTATATCGAACCGGGAAAATAGGGATTTCACTTAGTCCGAATCCTCTGATCCTGACCGACGATGGTGCCTATGGTGACGATGCCGGCGTCGCTCTTCATCGCTTCCACTGCCGGAACCAGAACCATTGCTGGAGCGTCGCCGGTGATGGTGACGATGGTGCCGCCGCTCACGCTCATCACCAGCGGCTTCGAATCGCTGGCCATAGCCCTGTTCCTGGTAGATTTCACCTTGGGGCCGGTAGCTAGGCTGCTCAAACTCCGGTATGCCACCGTACCCTGTTTGGTATTCCCTATGACGCATTTTCGATCAGTATGGATGGCCAACCGATGTAAACCAGATGGTAACTTACTGCTCAAATCCTCCACGAACGTAGGCACTCTGTTGCATGGATCCGAATGCCGGCTGATGAGGACCGTAGTCATAACGCGTTTCAGTGCGCTGGTACTCAGTATGACCAGTCTCATAGGTCTCTTGTCTTTCTTGCTGATAGTAAACTCCGTTGTCCTCCCGTTCGTATTGCCGATACTGTTCGCGATGGTAACCCTGCATAGGAGGATTGGGAGCATACTCAGCGCGGGGGTATTCACTGCCAGGGTAATCATTTCGAGGCGCAGGTCGGTCACCGTAGTATGTCGTTTCGCTCTGATACTGGTAACCCTCCGCGTGAGGAGGGAGCGCGCCACCATGGGATTCCGTCTCGTGATGTTCGTGGCGTTCCTGATGGTGACGACGCCGGCGCCCGCAGCCTTCATCCTCGTCGTCACTGTCGTGCTTCTTGGGCTTAGGACTCTTCCGGTCGTCTGAACCACCATCATTGAGGATCATCGCACCCACGCCGCCGACGAGACCACCGAGAAGGCCACCCAAGGCACCTCCTCCTACGGCCTGGGAGGCGATATTTTGGAGACTGATGTCATCGGACTGGAAACTTCCGGCGCTGGCATTGTGGCCCTTGGGCAGAGTGAGCGGCTTGCCACAGCCGTGTCCGCAATCCTGCACGCCCTCTTTGTGGTTTTTGCCATCGAGAACGCCATCGCGACTCAACTGTTCACGAAGAGAGTCACGTTTCTCGTCACTATTCTCACTCCACCATTGCACCACCGTGGAGAACATGGTATTCCGCATGTCGATCGCACCATCGTCTCCGTGCTCTCGCTGAGAGGGGTGATGGAAGATACCAGTGATGATTCGGTTCAACGTGCGGTCAATGTCGACATCTTCGTCATCCCAACACTGCATCAGTTGAGGCACTGCCCACTTGACACACTGAGAGGCGACCCGTCCAGCAGGCTCATTGAGGACGTTGGAGAAGTGGTCCTTGGAAAGCATGGAGTGGGTGGGGTTAGACGAAGAGTCATCATTGAATACAATGTGCTGCTGCTCCCGGCTACTCTGAATCATTTCAGAAGAGCCGGTTTCCAGTTCAGCCTTGACCTGCTTGATGATGGGGAGGACGTAGGGGGCGAGGATGGAGAATACAAATACGGTAATCTGGTCTTGAATCTGCTCGATTAGCTCCGGCAGCACCGGAATCTTCTCGATAGCCTCATTGATCGCCTTCAAGAGTTGATCATGCCACTCAAGCACGGGATAGATCTGCTTCTGGACATCATCCAGGTAACGAGTCCACTCCTCGGGCTCACGGGGAGTAATGTTCTGGTTGTTCTGGCGTGCATCATCCGCTTTGGCCTTGAAGTCATCCATCTGACCGGCCTGGGCATCACTGTCACCGATCAGGCCACTGGGGATTTTGTTGAGCAGGTCCTGGAGGAGACTTTCCGAGGGGCTGTCACTCTCCGACTCTGTGATGACACCTTCCAACGACTGGAGTTCGGACTGCTTGGTCTTGTCGGAAAGCTCACCGAGAACTGAATGGAAGAAATCAACGCCACCAAAGGTGCCAGTGACGATGGGATAGACGGAGTCTTGAGCCCCCGGCAGTTCAATCGCGGTGTCGCGTCCAACATGAGGGAAAACGTTTCTTTCACCGATCTCGATAAGAGCGAGCTCGATATAGTTCGAGTGAGCAGCGTAATCCTCGAGACAGTGCAGACCAGTACCAAGCAAGCGAAGTGCCTCGTATAGATCCTCATTGTTGCGTGATCGGGCATAGCGACGGCCGAGCTGGATGGAACGACCGAGGACCCGGCGGATCAAAGCGGCGGAAGTGTCGATGTCCAGATCCTCGGAAGCGATGTACGCTTTAAGACCGGTGCGCGGGTCGATAGACAGCTCCCGCTCTTCATCCACGGGTCCACGGAGACGACGATCATAGCAGCGCGCATCTTCACCCTGGGCATAACCCTGAGGATTATCGATATGCTCGGTAGGTTGATAGCAACCAAGACGCTCGGCGGTAACCTCGAACTCCCGAGTTCCGTATCTACGTCAACCCGATATTAATCTCCAAGGTATGCAATGGCAGAGACCACAAAACATACCCAAAGCTCATGAAGCCCAAGACCCAGATCAGAATGCGAATGGCCTCGGCACTGACGTATTTGACGGTGCCCACGTCGACTGCCTGACTGTAGTCGCGAAGCCAGTTTCCAAAGTACACTCGCTTCACATCGAGCTTCCCAAACTTGCGGCCACCGGCCACTCGAGCCAGGAAAAGAAAGAGAAGGGTATCCTCGATGTCTCCATGGCGCCAGTTCTGGCCTTCAATACGAGAGAGAGACGCGATATTCCCTGCGCCGAAGCCGTAGGCCTGACCGGAGATCGCGAGAAAAATGAGAAGAGAAAAACGCAGCTGAAAAGTCATCCCCGTGATTACAAGCTGGAAAGCTGGAGGGTCAGGAGAGAAAAGAAATTCCATTCACTATTTCACGCATTATGGTGGGGTGACAACCATTACGCTTGGCCGCAGCGTCTCAATAGCTCCGCTGTGCCCGTCCCTTGGCTCTTGGCGCCTGGGTTGGCATGTTCAGCCCGAGAGATGCGTAGAAGATGCTCTGGGATGGCCGGGTTTATAAGGAACCGGCCTTTCGGCCACAGGGTCAACCAGGGTCACTGTTTCATGATGACTGGGGGTAAGGGGGAGTAGCCAGGGGAGTGAATGCAACTTAGGTGAGATTGAGTACTATCGAATAAGATTGGAAAGACATCGGAAAGGAGAGCCGGCGTGAAAGAAAAGAAAAAGGTTCGAAAGTAGAGAGGGAAGAGAGGACGAAAGAGGAAGGGAAAAGAGTCAAAGATATCTTTCGCCAGGTAGACTTTCCATCCGCATGCGGCCGCGTTCCCCGTCTTCGGCTTCGGCTTCGGCTTCACCGCTCCCTTTTCTTTTCGCGTTCTCTCCTCACGCTCTCCTGTCGCTTTTCTTCCTCAATTCCCAACGGACTCAAAGCCTTGTCTATAACCAGGGGGCCCTTAGTGCTTATGCGTATCGGACATGCGCCGTAACCCACGGTCCTCAGCTGCATGATTGTTTCCCCGCGCTTACTCTCTCTCTCTCCACTGCGTTGCCCGATACTCTCACTCTTTCGGCCTCCGCTCTCTTGAATACGGTCTTTCCAGCCTGCTCGCCGAGTGCTCCTTCCTGTGACCCTCTCCGCCTTTCTCATCCGGTACCGCCGCCGACGACAACCATGCGTGCCGCGACTCGGTCTTAAGTTTCTTAGTTCGCTACAGTTAGGAGGCCGTTGCCATGGCACGCACCGACATTCACCATGCCCGGGAGCCGGTCCCCCATGTCTCAAAGGGTCGCACGTCTAGTGGCTCCACGTCTTTGTTACGCTCCGAAAAAGATTCCCGTTCCGCCTCGCATGCGGGCATGGATGGCCGATGGGTTCCCAATGATCCCGGGCTGGGGCTGGCCCCTTCACATCTAGATATAGATGCCTCACGCCAGCCTTCTCTGTTTCCGGAGTTTTCTGAACAGTCATATGCCCCGGAGTACGAAGAACGCGGCCGGGTCCGCTCAAATACCACACCGAACATCACCCCGAGCGAACCACCATGCGCCTTCGAGTCCACCCACATGGTGTCTCCCACGGGGTTGCATGAATCTCCCGATGGCCACGACTATCGCTCGCAGAAGAGCAAGCCCGTGAAGCCAAAAGTACATATCAAACCGATGCTACGGAAGATGTCGCGCGACGAGGCGCCGTCAACGTCCATTGATCTGTCTCGGTCATCAACTGAGCAGGAGGGACTAGGCATCTACATGAATCTCGATCGGGATCGGCGACGCAGTGACTCGCTGACCGGGGTGACGTACCGCAGAACGCCGTCCGGTCTTCACAATCGGTCCATCAGCGGGACATCCCAATTCTCGACGGCAACTGGCTCCAGTGTTAGTAGACGGGGATCACAGTACGTGCATCCTATGCGCCCGACGCCGCGTGCGTATACGCCGCCTTTGAGTCAATCGTATCAGACATCGAGCAATGAGAGCGACCAGGATAATGGCAGCCCGGAAGTCGAATCACGAATCCTGACGGGTCCGGAGACACAGCGCCCCGCTCATGCTGCCTCCGGGCCAGTCTCACGGCTCTCTTTGCAGATTGAAAACGACTCTTTTGCTCAGGTGGTCCCGAATCAATCACAGACTAATGTAGCCAGTCGTCCGTCCTTTGGTTACTCCCGCGATACTGGGAGTACCTTGGATACCGCATCCCCGATCTCTCGGTCCTCTCTTGACTTTGTCTTCCGTTCTCGCACACGGACCAGCACAGACCCAGTATCCCGGGCGGCTACCATCCAAGCTGCGCGACAGGCATTTGAGGAGAAAGAAGCCGCCAAGGCTCGTCGGCTTGAGAGACAGCAGACCAAAGCTGAAGAGAAACAAACGTGGCGCCGCGTGAAGCGCAATCAGTCCGAAAGCCCGGACTCTCCGGCTATACAGTCTCGCGAGAGGCTCTCGGAGAAACCGGCACCATCGAAGGAATCGAAACACCCGGAATTGCGTGATCAGCGACCGCCCACCTCGTGGAAATCACAATCAAAAAGCACTTGGATGCTTTTCATGACGTGGCTTCGCACGCGGGTGTTCAAGATTCGCCGCAAGCTCCGAAAGCTGAGCTAAGCTGAGCTGAGCTGAGCTGAGTTGGGCTGAGTTCAACCGAGTTTATTCAATTTGCTTTTTCCCACGGATCATCCTTGTTTATAGTCCAATCTTTGAGCGATCTTGTCTATGTTCTTTTGGGCATCTTTGCAAGTTTTTGTGGATTTTTTTTTTACAGCACAACCTGGCGTATGGCTTCGGCGTTTTGAATATTCTTGGATGATTTTAGTAAACTCAATGGAACATCATTTACACATGATTGTCAAATTAACACTTCGCGTTCGACGTTGTTTTTGGGGGCGCTCGTGTAAGCGGTATCACGTGGCACAAGAAATGCGCGACTTGTCGCTCTGCGCTGCCGTCGTTTTTGCCCTTGTAAACGCTACGGCGCACAGCAGCGACAACAAACGTCTGATAAGACAGCTCCGTTGCTCCATACGTGGGATCCTTTTCATCCCAGACGCGCCTCCATTTGGAGGAGCGCGTTCGCCGCCATGGTCTACGACTGGGCTGGCAAGCGGGACATCTGCTACCAGCTGTACATTCAGGAGAAAAAACCCCTGGAGGAGATTATGGAGTATATGCGGAACGCTTATCAGTTTGCACCAAGGTGAGCTTTCGGTTGGCTCTGATCTGATGCCTACCCTCCAATTTCGCACCATACGAGACTGACTATGATCCGCTCCCAGCAAGCGCGCGTATCAGACCCAGTTCAAGCGATGGGGATTTCCATCCAAACAGAACCCAGCACACAAAAATGTCGAGCTGGTCGCTCGAGTCAAGGAGCTTTGGGAACGGAACACGAACCAACGCGATATGCTTCGTCTGCTTAACGACGAGGGGTTTGATATCAAGGAGCGCGAATTGATGCGTGTGCGGGCAAAGAACCGCTGGTTGCTCCGAGTCCCCAATGGCATGAAGGCACAATCCCATGCCGAAAGTAGAGCCGAACAGCCTGAGGATGAAGGTCTTCTTGCACTGCAGCAGGAAGTCTATAAGCAGGATGATGCCTTTGATGGCGTTGACTCTCTTCCTCCCGAATGTGATCCATCCGCCACCCCCGGAGGCCCAACGTTAGCCGCTTTGTCTCCGGAGGTCATAGCAAAGCGCAAGGAGCGTCTAGACCACCTGAAATCGGAGAGTGCCGAACGATGGGCTTCCCGAAAGCGCCGGCGCCGCACTCGTGGGTGGGCTGGGTTGCCAGCCGATCCGCCTGGACCTCCTCGCTTCCCTTCGGAGACGACGATCGACGAGAGTAAACAGTATCTAAATCTGGACAATAATATGTACCGCCAGCTCAGAGATCATTTCCAAAGGATATGCGAAGAAGCGGGTTTCATCAAGAAAACCATCGCTGGCCCGGAAAGATGGCAAGCGGCCAAGGACAAATTGATCCAGGAGTCTCCTCATCTCCAGCAGGTTTTCAATGCCGAACCCAATCAGCGCGATGCGAAGGCTCTGGCTCTCGACGTTGTCTGTATGGATGTCACCAAGCGGATGAGAACATTGGAGCGGCGAATGACCATCGCCGAGGCGAAGAACGTCCTGGGTGTTAACCCGGAGGAAAGTCGCCAGATTCGGAATGCCTTCTACGACACTCTCAAAGCAGATCATTTCACAAGCAAACTGGAAGCGGGCGATGAACACTGGCAGGAACTGAAGGCACAATGGATCCGCAACTCAGCATTGCTTCAACGAATCCTCGAACCAGGAACGGCCGATCCTGAGCACACGGCCCGGTTAAAAGCTTTAGAGGTCCTATGTCGTGATGTGATGAAGCGTCTCCGTGATGATCAAGCAAAGCGGGATCCTGCTCGCAAGCGATCTACCCCACGTGCCGATTCGCAGAACCCGGCGTCAAATGGCCCACCGTCAGGCAACATCCTTGACAACGGGATCAATAATGGAATCAGTACCCTTGCATCTCAGGCACTTGCAAGCGCCCCGATCAGCGCCAGCGAGATCGGTGACATGCAGATTGATCCCTCTTTGCTACAGGCAGCTAACGATCCGTCCTCCTTTTCAGCTAACGCACAGCACGAGGCGGGCAGCGCCTTTGAATACATGGACCCCATTTTGCATACCACGTTGCTTCATACCCCCGTTTGGCTCCAGATCAGCTCACACACCCAGGTCCAGGGAATACCGGCCAAAACTTGGGTGGAGAAGCTAGCAACGCGGTCCGTTGAAGAAATAAGACAATTGATCGCTGCCAAATACCCTTACACGATCATCAGCAAGATCGAGGGTATCGACAAGGATGAGCATGGAAACGACTCTTCTTTCCACATTGATGAAGACCACGAATTGGATACTTATTTGGCCCAAGTTCACGGAAGAAAAGCATTGCTCGTGTTGACGTTGGGGCAAATGTAAGGGTATCCAGAAAGTGTCCGTACTTGAGTACCTTGGCCAAAGGCTGTGTAAAATTCCATCCAAGATAATCTACAAAAAATAATGCCAATTTCCCTCTGGATGTCTTCATTCCAACCATATCTGTTTCAAATTGCGGGTTATGAGCTCCGCCCTGAGAAAATAATATGAGAACTTTAAATTCAGGTATAGATACCGTATAGTCCCAAAACGCTTTAATTCACATGTACATATGGCATCGACGCCATTCGATTCCTGTAGATCTCAAGTCTAGCTGGAGCCCAAAGTTTGCACGACGTTCCTAAAGAGAACACCAATAGAGGGCAAGGAGAACGATGGTGTTTCGCCGAACACGCCGGCCAGTCCTTTACTTTGACCGGCGGAGGTCTCTTCGTCGATAGCCTGGATAGAGGAGAGAGTACCGCGGCTGAAGATACTCGCCAGTCCCGAGTTCAGGTGACTGGTCACTTCGTCAGGCTGCAGGCTCTTTTGGGACGCTTTATCCAGACAGCCAAGCCGCTGCACGCTGGCCGTAGCATCCACGACTATGTAGTCGCCGGAGTACGTATCGGAAAGAAGAGCGAGTGGACAGCTCACCAAGGTCTCTTGGAACACCAAGTCAAGAGACGGGACATCATATATCTTGATGTGGAAGCGGGGTCTCCGTCGTCTCTTGTGCGTGTTGCCCGAGCTACTGTCCGTGCCTCGGGTAGCAATTGCAAAGGACTGAGTCCTCGAATTTACCGCAAGAAGAGGCGGATTCCATGTATCAACTGAATCGACAGAGTCGGGTAGCTGAATTGGTTTGACGACATCGTCGACAGTATCCCAAACAGACACGGATCCTGTCGCGGCAACGATCAAATATCTTCCCAGGAATCTGACTGAGCAGGGCTTTCCGAAGAACACTCCCGTCCGTCGGTAATGAACGGTACAATTCTGGGCATTAATGAGTAGAACAAGACCGTCATTGGCGCCCGATTTCGATGGCAAGCAGATAGCCATCACAGAGCCATCCTCGGAGAAGCTGATAGAAGCCGATTGCAACGGGGCATCTGCACCACCGAGGCATCCCGTCAAATCGACGGAGCTTCGACACTTCCAGGTATCCAGGTGAGGCTCGGAGAGGTTTGTTTTGAGGCCACTGCGGTGTCTGGTAGTTGGGCACCAAAAGCGGACGATGGAATCAGTTCCAAGTGTCGCAAACTCATAAGAGAAAGGACGAGACGCCAGACTGAGAACGGTCGATGGACGATTTTCAGAAAAATGAGGTGCATCAATCCTAGTTACCAATTCCCACATATCAGAGGAAGCATTCCACTTCCAAAATTTGAGGAACACCTCTGATCGCAAAGATGCCGAGTCGCTGTTTGAGCCACTGGAAGCAATAGCTTCGATATCTTGAGGATACGGGGTCCAAGTATCGACAGTAGCTAACCACTTTCCATCATGCATGATATCCATGAGCCGAACGTCAGGTGCGACTATCGCAGACCCTTTAGGACTGATATTCAACGTCGTGGTGTTGGTCCGCGCCAGAGCCTGGCGAGAGATGTGACTGTTGGCACGAATATCAAACGTCTGCAATACAGCAGAGTTTGATCGTTGGGAGCCTTGCTGACTGGAGTGATGAGATGCAGGCACAGCAACAAGGAGGCGCTCGGGGTGCTGCGGGTGCAACGCTGCAACAGCACCGAAGGGCTTTCTTGAGGAAGGATCCTTGTGGCCGCCCACCTCTGAAGCTAGCTGCAGTCCGGTGACGTTGGCAGAAGGCTGCATTTCTCTGGCAGACAGGATCATAACGGAGTTGTCGGCCAACTTCACCACGTAGGAATTGCAACTTGGCGAGACAACGACGTTGCAAATCGGAGACGAAAGATGGGGCAGGAACTGCTTCCGACCAGTATCCAGCTGCCAAAGGACCAAAACCGATTCCTGACCACCCGAAATGATGTAATTGCCTGGGGAATGTCGGGTTAGCATCTGTTTTACCGCGCTGAAGTGACTTGGAACATACCATCCATAGACCATCGCACCGTGCTAACAGGGCCTCGGTGCCAGTGGAGCTTTCTGGGCGATGACTTCTTGTCTGCATTGCGACCAAATAGGGTGTTCAAGATATCCTGGTAGATTAGAATAGACCCACCACTCTCTCCTACTACCAGATCAACTGCCTCCGGACCTTTCGTGGGAGAGCTTTCCCGGAGATGAAGACTGGTCGCCGTGACCGGGAGGGTGGCCTCTCTCCACGTATACTGGGCAGATTCCGGGTTTTCAAGTTCGGACTTGGTTGTGGTGCCCATGAAAAGATGAGTGCCATCACTGGCAAAGATGACTCGTCCCTCATATGCAACTGCGATGGCATTAAGGTTCTCATGGGTCTGGAGAACAGTGCTGCCCACAGGCTTTTTCTCATTCAGTGCATTGATCGAGATTTCCCGTTTCCCATCCTTTTGGGTTCCAATAGAGAAGTACATCGCAGAGTTTTCATCATTCTCGATCGACGGCAAATCGATCGAGACGGCCGGAAAGTTTGTCCCCCAGCGGGCGAGTCGCTTCCCAGAATCCCAGTTCCACTTGGTCACGAAACCGGAGGTGAAGATGTAGAGGATATCTTGATCGGCGGGACAAAGTTTAAACCCAATCACTTTTTGGCCGATTTCCATCTGCAGGGTGCGCAGCAGACGTGATGTCGAAGTAGAAAAGACTTGGACAGCTGTGTCAAGTCCCACGAATAGATATCTATGATATCTATGTTAGAATGGGCGAGACTTTTCACTTTCTAAACTAAAAATGAGGCACTCACGCTTCATTCGCAGTCAAAATAGGGTCCAAATTGCTGTAGCGACCACCCACTGGGCGCGAGAACGACCAAGGCACAGAGCCCTTCCGCTTTTCCATTGGTTGGGACGTGGTATCGCCACCAGATGAATTCGCAAGCTGAGTCTTTTGGTCACCGTTGCCTTCGGAGGTTCGGCGCCGTTTAGCTCGTTCATCACCGGATCGCGATGCCTTTTCGGCGGCATCATTGCCCCGGGCTCGTTTTTGGTGCTTTGTCGATTGGCTTCCAGCCATTTTTGCGGTCTATCAGAGTATCTGTAAGACCGTTAGGCTGAAAATGGGGTATGGATCAGAGCAAGTCTGTCCTGTGCGAGGCTTCGTGCGGACGATCGAGTTAGATAGGCCAAGGCAAGTGGCATCGCATCTTTTTTTTTCGCGGGAGAAAAATAAGGCGGAGGTTGGTGGCAGAAAACAGATGCTTCGTTGACCGCCGTCGCGGTAAAAGTTTGAAAGGCCTCACCTCACTAGCTTTTCACTTCCAATCCTTGCTCCTTACCCTCGGCCACAATGATTATCCCCGTGCGCTGCTTCTCCTGTGGAAAGGTATGTGACCAATCCCCGTACAGTCCGAGCTCTCGCTGAACAACAGACTAGGTCGTCGGTGACCTGTGGGAGCGTTATCTGCAGCTGCTGGATGAGGGTGTTCCCGATGGGTATGTAGAAGAGTCTTGGTTTCTGCACGGTACTTTTTTGACCGTTTCTTCCAGTGATGCCATGGACACACTCGGCTGCCGACGATACTGCTGCCGCAGAATGATCATGACCCACGTGGATCTGATCGAGAAGCTCCTCCGGTAAACATCCGCAATCTCGAGCTTGCAAGCTGCTCGAGGACTAGGCTAACGGTTTTCTCAGATACAACTCTGCTGAGAAGGATCGGTCCAAAGCCCAGGTGTAATTGGCGCATTTGCTTCTTTCGTGGATCATTACATGCGATCTAATGTGGGTCGGAATTCAAACTCCGCTCTGCCTCATTTACACCGACAACCCCGGCGCATATTCCTGGCCTACCCATCACTTGATATCACCGACATCGACTGAAGGAGACGAAAGAACTGCGGAGCCATCGGGGGCCGTCGGGGGCCTTTCGCCGCTACTTCCGCCATGGTTTTCGCGACTGATTGAAGCAGGGCGCAGGAGATTGCTTTCTTTGTTTTCGGGGGCCTTTCTCGACAAGGGTGAAGACTGGATTTCTTTGAGCGAGAACGTACTCGTCATTCTCGCCAACATGCATTTGGGGTGGCGTTGCACACGACACAGGAACTGGCGTTTTCGGTTATTTTGGTAGAGAACAAACCCGAAATACAGGGCATTTCACCAACGCAGCTTGTCGTAACTCCAATCCGTCCAATTATATAACATCTTCCCAATGGGAATCTCCTATTCTGTACCGGGTCCTGGTTTTTTGATGGTCGCCGATTGGGAGTTGGGAGCGCAAGCGCCCAGCGACCTCAAAGGGAATAGTCGGGGTCCGCTGCGCGACATGCGAGTGGCCACTGAGGGGCGGGATGCATGTTCGTCACGCCCCAGGCGCCTAGCTCCATGTGCCTCGGGGCCGTCGAGAGGAGACGTATAGGAGAGCTCCATTGGAACCAACTGACCGGTGCCCAAGCTGTTGGAATACCGGGGCCAATCCCGTTCTGTACGCCTGAGCTCGTCCCCGTCTGCGCGGGGGCATCTCATTTCTCTTCCAGCCTTGATCTCGTCAAAGAGGTAGACAAATTCGCCCACGAGTACGGCCATGATGGCCGTCAGGTCGCCCTTGTCTATATTATCGTATCGCGACACTTCCAGTCCGTATGACGGGCCGGACCATATGTAAGATGTCATGCGCCCCGAAGATCCCAGTTGCTCACGCGTATACAGGTCTCTTGAAAGACCCCCCTTTCCGAGCGCGAGGAATTCGAACTATTCGCCTTCCAACTCGGATCCGATAGGCGCAACGGATGCGCTAACAGCGACTTCTCCTGGACAGCACGATGCAGAGACCGATGATAAGGCCACGGCGACATCAATTCAGGGACCTGAAGAGTCGCAGCCTGCACTGACGGTATGTCCATATAATCATGTCTCTCCAACAAGCCGAGAGCATTTATCAATGTGGTCGCTTTGTCCGAGTTGGTAACTGACTCGATCAGATCCAAACCGGACACTCAGAGCAATTTGGGGCCAGCACAAGATCAGACGAGGACGAACCCCCTCAATCGGTCATACATGCCCCGCCTGGATTTGGGGAATTTGTAAGATCCTTCCCATACTGCAACACATACGGAGACTTCTCCAGCGCATGGAGCTAATTTTTGAGCCCCAGGCAAATATGCAAGCTGATGAGACATGTGAAGGGGACGAAACGCCCTCGCCGGGCTTGGAGCATATCCAATCGATAGAGCTGCCAGAAAGGCCCAGAAAGGTGCTGTAAAGCGCGGTCTTGAAAATTCAGGCGTACTAAATCTTTGGATGTTGCATAGGTCGGGAACAGTCCCATATCACCACCTGCTTTGACAACCGACGTCACGCCTGCGAAAGACTGGTCTGAGAGAGCGACGCCACGCGCACAGACAAGACATGATTTTGAGGAGTCCGAACAGCGTACGCGGTCAAGCAGTCTAGAAGGTACCCAGCTCCATGTTAATTGTTATCTTGGTGGATCCGCTAACTATTCTCTCAGATATCCCAGAAGGTATACCAATATCAAACCCCTCCGTACAGGGAGATGTCTACCCACCGGGGCAAGTAGGCTAATTCGACAGCAGGTACTTTCGGCAAGAAAGAGGTTGAAATCAGTGCTCTGCGAGCAGCCCTCACCGAATGCTGGACATTGTGCAATACTCTGGCTGGTCTAAGTTACATTAATCGAGAACGGGTTTTCCGATCGCACGAGGACGAGATCCAGGAGGATGCCTGGAGGTCCTGCTGGAGGCTGTGCCAGAAGTTGTATGACACGCGCGATGATGATTACGCATTGCAGGTCAACCCGACTCTCGATCTCTGTCGAGACTTCTGCCAGGCTCTTTTTGAAGTCCGCGTGTGCGAAGACGGTCTCGCGGATTCGGTCTTGCGAGTGAGTTTTGAGCTCAACAACCACCTTTTTAATACGCACGACCGCAATCTCCCGGATGCCTTTCGTGAGCGAACGTTGGATTTCTATATAACCCTATGTCATCGTCTTATGAAGCAACGAACGCGTTTGACCGAAACCGATTCTCTGCTCAGCGCCTGCTGGACACTGGCTGAGATGCTGTTTAGTATGCGTCAAAGTAAAAGAGAAGGGAAAAGTCTGGATGAAGAAATCCTGGGGTCTGCGGTGCAGGCTTGCTGGGAGCTTTGTGACATCTTCCGTGAGGGCTGGACCCTACACAGCATGCGCAACTCGGACCGAGGAACACCGAGACCAAGCCAAACGACATTTGCCCAGGCATTCCAGCAAGCGACACAGCAGTCCGAACTTGATTTTGCGGATGGCGTGCTGGGTCAAGTCGGAAATCCTGAGACACCAACGACGATCTTTGAAGACACGGCAACCGTTTCCCCCGATGAAGCACCAGTCCCCAATATCCTCGTCCTTGGGCATGGAAATGGACATGGACATGCCTCACATTCGTCGCGATCCAAGTGGCCCTCCAGTGCATCGAGTATCTCGGGGAAGAGTCGGTCGTCCGCACAGACCACTTCGTCTGCCAATACCGTGACGACTATATCAGAGGATCCCAATTTCACCCGACTAAAGGTACTTATTACGAAGGCTGCTATCAATAGTGGCTATCAACGAAGCGGCCCGCAAAACATGTCCTCGTTCGTAAAGTCACTTCCCTCGGATGCTTTTGGGTCAGTCCCTTGGCAGACATCGTTATTGAGGAATTATCGAAAGCTGGTGTCGTTTGATCCGGCATTCAGGAACGCCGGATCCCAGGATCGCGTCAGCGCCATCGAGGTAGCACGTGCATGTCAAGCAATGGTTCAGAGCGGGCAGTACTCGTGGCTGCGGGATCTCTACCGGCTCGTCTTCGGTTTCCATATGGAGGAGGCTATGGGCCGGAACGGGGTGATCATCCAAACATAACGAGGTCATCTCCCTGTCCTGAGAAGCATCCCGGGGGCGGCACCTATTTCCTTTCTCCAACTGTGGAAGCACGAACCGCGTCGGAGCGAAGATGAAGACGAAGACCCAATCTCTTGAGCTTTTTTACTCGATAATGGAACCATATTCAACGACAGCGGCATCATGCGGGAGTAAATTGATTCCCTTTCTGAGGGAGTGATTTAAACTAGAACGGTAGCATTTTTGTTGCGTGCCTCGTAGTGCTACTCATCACAGAGCATCCTAGTACTACTGGGTATAGGTCTGCCGTGCTCACTCGGAGCAATCCCAAGTGGTTTACCCTCCAGGGCTTTTTCCTCCCTCTCTCGCACTCATTTTACTTCTCTTCGTTGCTTCGCCTTCAGATGTTGGTTTGCCAGCTTTGTACCTTTTTAAGAAAGCAGTGAACAAGACAGTGGCTGCGGCCGTTTCTGACGGGCCCGCCTCATCAACACCCGGCTTGGGGACCGACTCGAGGCTCGAGCACAACACGGAACGAATGAACGGCCCGGAATGTTGACGTTGCCTCCGAGTAACCAGACTCGGTCTGATTCCGCGCCGACACTCGGAGTACATGTTTGGTGCGACGCTCCGGGGTCCACCTTCTCATGGCCTCCGCCTATCAAGCCAGGTCGGTCCAAACTAAGCATCTGTCGAGACTGGGCAAAAAGCTTCAGTCTGCCTCTCGGTCAACCTCCGAGCCTTCCCCACCCCCACGAAATTTACCTCGTGGAGGAGTGAGGGGAGCCCGGGGGAACCATCCTCCCTTTTCTTTTTCAATTCCTTTCTATTCTCCTCCATTCACGGGAAGTGCGAATCTCCTTTTGATTGATATCGAGAACGTTTTCTTCCACCATGGGAATTGCCACACTCAGAGGAAGGTCGCTCGGCCTTGTCATCGGCCTCGTTGGCGCTGTCGGGTTTGTTCTACAAGGGTATGACCAGGCCGTTGCCAACGGGCTGTTGACGCTGGGCTCCTTCATCGCCGTCTTTCCGGAAATTGATACGGTCAACACCAAAGGAAGTCAAAAGGCACATAACTCCACTATCCAGGGTATGCCTGTGTCCAAGGACCGCTGAGAGTCAGTGTACTGACATGGGTGAACCACAGGAACGACGGTCGCTATCTATGAAGTCGGCTGTGCACTGGGTGCCATGACATGTGTCTTTCTGGGAGATAGACTTGGTCGTCGCAAGACTATCTTCCTTGCAGGTTGCATTGCTCTTGTGGGCATCATTATCCAAGCCAGCCCCTTCTCACTCGGTCAGCTCATTGCCGGTAGGGTCATCACAGGTACATATATACCCCGTCCCCGATGGTAAGAGGAAGAGAAAGGGAGAAAAAAAAAGCAGAAAATCAACAGAAAATACTGATGGGTTTGACCTACAGGCCTCGGAGTTGGTGGATTCACTGCTACGATTCCAATGTATGTCTCTGAATCATCTGGAGCAGAGGCTCGTGGACGCATGGTTTTATTAGAGGGATGGTTCGCCATCGGTGGCATTGTCTTAGCTACATGGCTAGAATTCGGTCTCTACTACGTTAGTGACAACTCGGTGAGTTGGCGCTTCCCGATCGCCTTTCAGGGCCTCTTTGCCTTGGTTGTCGTACTATGCATCTTGCTTCTGCCCGAGTCCCCTCGTTGGCTTGCCCGCTCTGGTCGAATGGAAGAGGCAGCTGAGGTGTTGGCTCGCTTGGAAGACGTCCCGGTCGAATCCGAGCACGTCGCACAGGAGCTGGAGATCATCCGACAGTCGTTGTTTATGGATGAGGTCGATGAATCCGCGGTTTCTACTTCGCCCTTCGCTCTGACCAAAAACCGCCACTTGCACCGTACTATGATCGCCGTCGGGGTCAACATTCTTGCGCAGATGACCGGCGTGAACATCATCACCTTCTATTCCGATACCATATTCCAAAGCGAATTACACTATTCTGGTACTTTGTCGCGGATCATCACTGGATGTCTCCAGATCTGGCAGTTTTTGGCTGCTGGCCTAGCGGTCCTGCTTATTGATCGCCTTGGACGTCGCCCACTGCTGATCACGGCCGCTGCTGGCATGACTATTGCACAGACTTGTCTCGCTGGGCTATCTTCCGACTTGAGCAACAAATCCGCTGCCGGTGCGTCTCTTCTGTTCTATTTCATGGCCCTCTTCTGCTTTCCCATCGGCCTTTTCCTTGTACCATTCATGTATGCTGCAGAGATTGCACCATTGCGTACCCGTGCCAAGGTTACTGCCATGTCAGCAGCAGCAAACTGGATCTTCAATTTCCTTTTGGCAGAAGTGACTCCGGTCGGGTTTGCGACCATTCAGTGGCGATACTACATTGTGTATGCGTGTATCAGCGCCTTTGCATGTGGGAGCTTCTACCTCTTTTGTCCGGAGACCAAGGGCCGCACACTTGAGGAGATTGACGAGATCTTCATCATGTCAAGTTCCGTTTTCGATACTGTCCGCATTGCGCGGGAGTTGCCCTTCCAGACAGGCATTCTCGCGCACATCGATGACACTGAAAAGGTTGCGGTTCGGGACGAGCGAGTTGAAAATGTGAGTGCTTAATGCTGTCAATATGAAAAGAGGAAGTCTGGATGCATATCTATGTCCTTATAGTAAGACGAAGTGGGCATAGCATTATAGATTTCAGTTCCTCCCAGACTGATCTATATCTGAAATATTTGCCATATCAATCTATACCGAAGAGTATATGGAATATATTAAAAAGAAAACAACTATTGCTATATTATAGTCGATCAGACAGGTAAAACTACAAGTGGTCATCAAATTATGTTTTTATCAGGTCTTTATTCATGTGTATTGCTTAACGGGGATAATTAGATTCTATTCGTGCTTCTATGCAGGAAGTAAGGCTATTTATTAGCTCTCTTACCTTGCCAAAATTAATTATTTTTTGTAGCTTATAGCGTTTATTACCTTTTATACACATATTTTTAGTTTTATTATATTTAGGGATTTGGTAACCCCCCCCTCGCTTCCCCCCTGATGTTTTAGGTGTTCCCTTTTTTTCCGCCAGAACTCTAAGATCTTTAAATTTTATTTTTCATTTTTTTTAAAAAAAATTTAGATTCAATTTTAGAATACTATAACTTATATAGGGCTTACTATATTTTATTAATTTTTTAAGTAGATAGAAATATTAAATAAGCTAAACTAAATAGTAGAAAGGGACTAAAAATATAGAAAAACTTTAATTGTATTTTTACATATATTCCTCATAGGAAACCTATTTTTAAAAATTATATTATAGGAGTAATAAGCATTTTATATCTAAATATAGTAATATAAGCAGTGATTCTATCTTAAAATAAAAGTTACTAGTAAAGTTATAGTTCTATGGGTAGCTAAAAGGACAGATAAAAGGCGATATAGAAGGCGGTAAAAGTACACCTAAAGTTTTGGGCAAAATTAGGCAAAGAGTAGGTAAGAGGCAAGGGCTAAGATTAGACTAAATAAGGAACTAAATATAGTTATAAGTATATAGATAAGAACTTTGATAATACTATAATTACAACTAAACTAATCCTTAAGAAATAAAAGTTTATCAGTTATAAGAGAGTGCCTTTTATTCCTTTATACGATTATAGCGTTAGCTTTTATATAGGTTCTTAGGAAACTCTCCTATAGAGCTCCTAGTATACCTAATTAGGTATCTAAGTAGCTTTATATTATTTAGAGGCTATAATAACTATCCCCTCTATTTAAAGGGTCGTCCGCGACCCTTTTAGGGCTAAAATAGAATAGCTAGGATATATTATTATAGTTTTAATAAAGGGGAACGTAAATAAGTTACTAAGGTATCTCTTTATTATATCGTTATAGATTACGCGATAAGAGTCTTTTATTTTAATTCTATACCTATAAAAGGCTAAAGCTAGATTGATTTAACCTAACTAGGCTATTTATAGTTTACTAAAAGCGTAAGGAGAAAAGAAAGAAAAGTAAATAATTAATAATAAAAAAAGGTAGTTAGCGGCGATCGGTTACGTACTCGAACGTAACCTTTAATTAGGCATTAGCCTATTATAATATCCCTCCTCCCCTTTAATAGGGTCTATAATATAGAAGTTCTACTTATACCTAATCGTAGCGTCTTATATATATTTCGTAAAGATTATATAGGCTATTATTCTCTTAGACATTTCTAAAATATTCCTTAAACTTATCTAATATCGCTAGTATTTCTTTAGTATCTATATATCTTACTAAGTGCGTTTAGTATAGCCTCGCTATTTAACTAAGACCTCTTAGTGGCTCCCTCTTCTAATCGTTCTTATTCTTATAGTGAGAATTTCCTTAATCTCTTATTTAGCCTTATTATTAACTAAGATTAGCGATAGCTATATATTATCTATAATTTAGGATAGTAAGAGATTAGAGGTAGCTAGCCTAACTAAATATATATAGAAGATTAGGTATACTCCTAAAAGGATATTTAATTATATTATATATAGTAAGGGAATCTTAATTACTTCGTATTATATATATAATTAATCTAATTTTTTTAATAGCCTCTTTAATTAGATATTTTTAAGATTTAGCTACATCTTATCTCTTTATTTATATATAAAAGTAGTTTATTAATTTCGATTTATTTATATCTACTATCTATTCTATATTATTATAATTATATTTAGATCTAATTAGTCGCTTTTTATAATTATTTTATAACTCTCTTATTTATTTAGTAGTTTTTAGACTAATTTATAGCTATCTAAAGTCTTTTAGTTTAATAGGGTTAATATAATATCTATAGGTAAAGAAAAAGAGGACTAGTCTAATTAATATTATATTATAATTATTTATCGCTACTACTATAATAGGTAGTAAATTTATCTAGTCCTTTTAAGAATAGATTATAAATATTTATAGTATTCTTTCGACTTCTTAATTCGCTTATTCTATTAAATTATCTAATTAAAAATAGAAAGCTATAAATAGCCTTTATTAGATTTATAATCTACTTATAAATTAAGAACCTTAATTATTTATAATTATAAGTAATAGTTTATAGTATATATAGAAATATATAAAAAATATATAGATTAAAATATCTATAGTAATTAATTCTATTAAGACTACTATAATATTCTTAATAAGTTAATTAGTTATAAGTAATTTATAATATTATTATTTTTACTTAGTATATTAGTAATAAAATCTATAGAAATTTCTGCCTATACTTATTATAATATAAGTAGCGATTTTAAATGCCTATACTTTATATTACGCTAGATTATACTTTATTTATAGATAATATAATTTTATAGAAATCTTTATATATCTTTAATAGCTTCTAGCTAGAAGAATCTCTTTAATAGCTTCTAGCTAGAAGAATCTCTTTAATAGGATTAAATAGATTATATCTTAATATAGATAGCCTATAATATATAAATTATAAATTTATTAAATAATATTAGTCTAGAGCTATTTATTCTTAGGAATCTAGATATAGCTTTAGAAGTAAAGGAGCCCCTTTTTTATCTATATCTTAACTAATAACTATTACTTACTATTCTTTAGCGCTTCGAAAATAGCTTAGTAAGCCTAACTATTTTATCTTACTTCTATCTACTAAGACTATAGATCTTTATTTTTAAATATAAATATTAGCGTTTAGAAGTCTAACTATATATCTATATTTATTCTAACCCTTCTGTCAGGATTTTAGGTGTCTGCATTTATAACTGCAGATTTCTAGAGCTTCCAATTCAACATAGAAGTTCCCGCTGAAATTCCCGTTCTGCCATTTCTCACCGCCTTTATCTGATCTTGCAGTTCTCTCTCATTTATCTCTCACTTTGCTCTCACTTCAGCCTTTACTATGCTTTCTCTTTCCATTTGCCTACCGGACCGAGGTTATTAGGCCTATCCTGTCTATAGCCGCGGGTAACAGTACGTTTACCTACCTCGGGTAACAGCACGTTTACCTACCTCGGGCAATAGCACGTTTACGGCAAGATTACCTCGGGCGAATATTACCTTAGGTAATTAGCCAGATGAACTGAATATTTGTCTATAAATATAGCCTAGAAACCAGACTAAATAAAGGAAGAGCTTTCATCTCAATTATTCTCTTACTACCTTTCTCTCATAAAGGCAGACTAAAGAGACCCTTTATCTTTATCTTCATCCATCTTCCTGGGGTAAGCTACTACGCCGCAGTAGTAGCCGACCTCTACGGGAGGTAGTATTTCTCTCTACAAATATTTGTCCTAAGGACTGCCCTGCCGCATAGGGACCCTTAGGCATTTATTTATCTCTCTTATTTTCATATACTACCAATCCCGACACCTTCTAATCTATATATATATATATTTAAATATTAATTCGAATGAATTTAATAGCCTTTTATCCTTCACGTTCTATAGAATATCTTATTCTCTCTAGGAGAGGGCGTTTAGTCTCTCTACTAGCTTCCTAGGATAAAATTATAGATTAAAGTCGAATTTAGCTAGTAGATTAGCCTATTATATCTATCTTTTATTTAAGTTATTATATATAGCTAAAATAACGTAAGTTCTTATAATTAGTTATAATCTTAAAGCGTAAGACTATCTTTAACTTAGGACGCTATTCCTTTAGCTTATAAATAATAGCTAATAGCTCCTTATCGTAAATCTTATAGTTCGCTTTTATAGGTAATAGCTTCTAAGATAAGTAGGCGTATAGCCATAGAGTTCCATCGTCTTACTATAGGACCTATTTCGCTCGTTGTCTATAAAGATTTCGACCTTCTAGTTAGGGCTAGGAAGTATTTATAATAACCAACGATATTAGGAACTAATCTATTTATTTATATATAGTGACTATAGGAGTTATTTACTTTTCGTGCTAGTTCTTAGATCGCTTTAGCTTAGAGGATAAAAGGTTAAGATTAGTATCTATCTATTATAATAGTAAGATAAGCTCTGAGAAGCTTTTAGGGATATCTCTATATAGTTAGGTTTAACGATCCTATTAGTATTAATATTTTTGCGTCCTTTAGCTATACTATTACTTCTAAATCTATAAATTCTTTCTCGAATAGGGGTAGTGTCGGGATTGGTAGTATAGAAAATAAGAGAGATAAATGCCTAAGGGTCCCTATACGGCAGGGCAGTCCTTAGGACAAATATTTGTAGAGAGAAATACTACCTCCCATAGAGGTCGGCTACTACTGCGGCGTAGTAGCTTACCCTAGGAAGATAGATAAAGATAAAGATAAAGGTAGAGATAAAGGGTCTCTCTAGTCTGCCCTAATAGAGAGGAAGGGTAGTGAGAGGAGAATTGAGATAAAAGCTCTTGTTCAATTCAGTCTAGGTTTTGAGCTATATTTATAGGCAAAAATATTCAGTTCACATAAAAAGAGTGTGCTATTTGCCCAAGGTAAGAGACATTATAGAGTAAAGATATAGACGTTATAAAGTAAGCAAATAGACGTTATAAAGTGAGGGGTAGGCCTAATAACCTTTAGTTATGTAGGCTAACGTAGATAGAAAGCATAGTAAAGGCTGAAGTGAGGGTAAAGTAAGAGAAAAGTGAGAGATAATTAGAAGATTAGA